GCTTGACCGATCAGGTAAAGTTTCGGATAAACAGCTGCAGCATGCTGCGTAATAGTGCGTATCTGCTATCATATAAACATAGCGTATAGCGTGTTTGTTATGCATGTATTGCACTAGCACACTTTTCTTCTCTCTTTTCTAACAAATATACAGTAAACAAGGTGGCATGTTTTGAGAACAATTTCAAGTGGTAATTGCGAATCGATTCAATCTGAATTCTACCTTGTCATTTGTTTACGCAGCGACGCGTCTCGAGAGAGTCGACTCGTTTGTATAGTCGCTTCAACCCTTTATAATAATCGCGTCTTAATAGCGACCTAAATTGTATACGAAGAGATCATGCCTGTAATCTTCCGTCAATGCAGAGAAGAAGATTGGCTTTGTTTGCTTTTATGCGACGGTCTTGCAGATATACTAAATCTTTTATATTCACATATTATTAAAGACAGTGCTTTTAACAGTTATATAGTGTATCGTTTATTTATTTATGAAATTGTACATGTATACATAGCAAATGCCATATGACAGGTGCGGAATAGCATCAACACTCACCTATGTAGTTTTAAAGCAACACAATGCCTCATATTCAAGTTTCTACCTCTATTCTGACCTGCCTCTCTAAAAATCTATATACCCCTCAACAACTCATTTTTCCTCTTCACCTGTATTTGGGTGTTTGAGTCCGATATTGATACATAAATATTCCCACATCGAATAATTTTAATTTTGATTATTAGGACATAAATGTTCTTCATATTAGTTTGTTGAAAGTATATATATATATACTTATTTCTTTTGTTGTTTATGGTAAGCAAAAAGGAATCGATGTGAATTTAAGCAGGAAATGGTTTGCTTTGTGAAGCTGACTGAGTGAGACATTAAAACACGTTCGAACACAATTGATAAGTGATCGAAGTCGATTGATGTTACTAAAGACTGCTCGCGTGATGAGTTGCATTGCCAATTGCTATTGATCGCATTGATTCGTCAACTGCATTTTCCACAATCTCAGCGTCCTTTCAATTCATTTATAATAGAGTCGTTTTATATATTTGAGGGAGAGGGAGAGGGCTCGTGTCCTGCATATATAATATATATAAAAATAGATTTGAATAGATGCGTATATGGCTCTTGAATGGTGCGAGGGATATAATGCTCACCACAAAAGGTCTTGTGTAGTATGGAAATTAATAGTTACTGAATATGCACGAGATTTGTTGCGGTGCCATTAAGACTGCTATTCGCTCTAATGTACTAAAGTATTTGAGCTTTAACTGAAGTAGAGAAAGGATATATGTTGAGCGAGCCCCCTTTATAAATATCATTTAACAAGGTAAGATAACTTCTCTTGAACTTAATAGATATGAGTTACTATAAGCGATTCATAAAACTGTTTTCGCGAGAAACAAATACTTTTAAGCCCTCTAGAAACAGCTGTTTCAGCCTTTGCGGTGAAATTAAGGCTTTAGACATGAATTAAGATATTGCAAGAGATATATGAATATATAGGCGAAAGCGACAAAACACCTGCTGTCCCGCTATACGAGATACGTACGGTAAAGGCATGCATGAAGCAATTAAACTCATTCAGGCACAAAGATTGGATTAAATTCTCCTCTAGACGGCTGAACGTCGTAGTAGGATTGATATAAAATTGATTTTTTTTCGAGTATAACGTATGCGTATACGCTCGTTTATACATTTACAACATATGCGCGACCTACTTGGAAGCCGTTAGAAGACGGACGAATCGCGCGTAAAGATCGGTCCACAGAGGGCGCGGTAGTTAGGCAGTAGCATCGCTGTAGTTGGAAGCATCTTACTGGTCAGTTGTCAGCTCTAGAACCTCCCCTTGGTATTATGTTACTAGGCAACAGCGTCATCAGCGATCTCTTATTGGCTGCCTAAGTATGATTGACGGACAAAGGCGGAGCGTGATGCGACTGTTGAGGCGTCTTTGAGTCTTCACTGTTTGCTTTCGTTCATTTGCGCAGTTTGCTTTCGGAGCTGTGTCAGATCGCTTGCATTTCGAACTAGCGCGAGTATTTCAAACTTGAATTTGTTGTCTCAGCTGCTTGTCGGACGCTTTTCAAGGTAGGTGTCTTTTGTCATCGGTTTTTGTCTGAGTTAGTTCATTACACGTTTTTCTTAAACTGAAATTCATTCCTGTTAATTCCTTCGGTTTTATTTGACTTTTGGTTATTGGTAGTTTATGTTAAGATTAAGATAAATTAAGTATTATTGTAAACTGTCAGCTGTTTGTACGTATTTAGCGATGCGAAGTCGATATTTTTCCATACTTTTCGACCCTGTTATGTAATGTCTTTCATATGGTCATTGTTAGGAGTAGCCTTTAACAGTTTGTACTTTGGGTCAGAAACTCATATGCCACATAGCTGCTGTTCCATTATCGCACTAGTCGTTGAGCTGGTCACTCGGCACGCTCTCATTATCGCCCAATGTTGCCTTTGTCTTCGACAATGCTTCTTTTACAGTGGGGTTCTGCTGACACGTCGTCTGACGTAACGGATAGTGGAAAATCCGCATATAAAATGTCTTAAAAGCCTAAAAGAAAACCCGCATAGCGGGCGAAAGGTGAAGACCTTCATTTCCATCATTGAAATCGCTACTACTCGGGTATGAATTGAGGCATAGAATCCTCTTTATATAGTCATTCGTATTTCTGTATGAGGTTTTTAAGCTGCGAGTATTTTGTCGATATGTTGGTTAAAATATTGAAAATAGTTCCTTCTTCACTCTAAACACAAAATCATGAAACTAACCAGAAAAAAGGCTAGAATTCCATATTTCTCATATAAGCGTAAGCGTAAAGATGTTTACATCTTTTACTTGATAAATATTATGTATATTATGTAGTGGAAAACTTGTTTATAATATAAGCTATCTATTTTCAATTGCTAATCATCTTCTATCGTTTATGATTTTACCGAAACTTACACGTGTATATGTAGCATTCTATAAGCTTACGACGAACTTTATGTAGCATTCCCCTACAAGCAAAGATTTGTAAAAGTGTGCTTATGTAGGTATTGTGTATTTTAATACATATGGGGCCACTTAAGAAAAGTATAGTACATAATTGATGACTGGCAAGATTTCTAAATCTTCTATTTCGCCATTCTCAAAAGAAATATATGTATTAATTCCAACAGATTTCTTCAGTCATATCGTTTGAGGATTTACATTCCCGTCTCATATACGGGATCTTGCCGATTTCTGATACATATACACGTCGTAGTCAAACGTCAATATATAGAGATATAATATATATATATATATATATATATATATATATACATACACCTTCTCAGGTAAGTCTTATCTGATTTGACGGCTTCGTTGATTTACGATAGTTACATCAAACAATCGACGACGATACCGTCCACACGTCGACGCCATTAAATACTCGTCTCACCAACTAATGACCGCTACTGACCGACCGTTTACGATATGTTCTAAATCGTTAACGGCGTGGCGGCCATATGGATGCTGTGTTTTCACGTTTCCGGTCGCTTCTACTTTCATCTTTTCTAACGTAGCAGTAACTTAAAATCTAAAAGCCAGAATCGATGACGAATCGATTTCTCTAGTCTCTAAGAACTCATCGCAATCAGTCGAAATGTAATTGTAGCGTGCCGTTTGAAAACAACTCTCCGAAGATCGCGAATCTTTCGGATTGTCAGACACGCAATGAAATCATCAATATATTCAACGTCTTTGTTTGTCTCATTGAACGCACTCGATTTACAAGGTAAACGAAAATTAAGACGGCATTAAAACGAGTGAATATCCCATATTGTGTCAAAGGTCGCGTCGTTGTTTGTTCGGCGTCTCCAGATTGTCAAAAAACGTCTAACGCACCTGGTTCTTGCGCGCCATCTGCCGAGTTTCCGAATCGTTAATTGGACGCCGCCTCTTTCGCGTGTTGAGCGCACCAATTGCGTAATAGCGGCTTTGTCATCAGGCGTCATCAGCGAAACGTCACGACGTCGAGGTCATGCCCCGGGTATGAATAGAACCGATTGTAAGTTAGCCTACAGACCTACGAGAAATTCGAATTTCATTGTAACAAAACGATTGAATACTGTTCAAACATGCGCTAAGGGATAATAAGCACATTGAAAAACATCGACTCTCGTGCTTGCGTACGCTTGAATAGTCTGCGATATCGGTAACTTTGATGATGTGCCCCGTAGAATTGTAGCTGGGTCAAGCCGGGGGAGGGCTTTATTCAACGCTCTTCTCTCCTACGTGCCTTCATAATTCTTAAGTACTTGCGTTATACTGTCGTTATACAGTTATGTTGCATTGCCACCACCCCCAACGCTGTTTTTGCCATCATAGTTCCTCCTCATAATAGGAAATGCATGCTTGGGAAAAAATCAAAAGATGGTTGTAAATTATTTACAGGCAGTTCAACTGTCTTCTTTTTCTAAACGCTTCGTCAGTTTTAACGCTAGCTTTTATAAAATAGTAACGGTATAGAATTGAAAAATATACGACGACGTTCTTCAAACGAAAACACAACACCTGCTGTTCGTTTATTTGCCTTTAATTAGAAAGAACGTTAAATAGTGGAGTGCTAGAAAAGAGCGTTCAAGCATCTCGTTAGCGAATCTCCCTGTGAGTGAAAATGACAGTTACAGATTGTAATCACATCAATCATGGCAATTTTAATACTGTAATTTTTCCCTTTCCTTGCCGCCGCGGGTCTCTCAAATACTTTTATCGAATATTTCTTTTTCGCGTCGCGTTTATCATTAACGATCCATACGTGTTTTTTGCAACTTGACTTCCTACGGCAATTTCCGTATACTTTGTCTTATCTCTTATCACCGTGATGCAGCAGGACGAGATAAACAGTACTAGGATGATATAGAACAGACACGATAAGAAATAAATGATATAGCACTTTATTAGAAAATATATACATACCATACGGGTTTTATTGTTAACTTTCCATTCAGGAGTATCGAAGAAATGACACCGGAAAGTCCGGTTAAAGAAGAAAAAAGTAATTTAAACGTCGCACAACAACCGTCGTCGCCAGTTGATTCGGCCAACAACAACAACCCAAACAACGTAAGTTTAACATTTATACTCTAATTGCTTCGGTGCAGTTACAAAAGAATCAATTGAAATTATTAATTACGTAAAGGGTGACAAAGACAGCTAATCGCTACGTTTCTCGTTTACATCGCTAATGATAAGATTTATTTCTATTTAGTTAATTTTAGTTTTCGTATAAAAGGGGGTAGTAGTTCATTAAAGCGTTGTCTCTCGTTCGATAAGGTAATTTTTACATATCAGAAAGTACAGTGCTGTATATCGATAGTATGTTATCGTGTCGAGTATATCACTCTTACAATGTAGCGGTCGATTATTAAAACGTTCTTTTATGCACCGAATCGAACATTATTGTTCGCGGCGTCATGATATGGACCTTGAGAAATGCCTCAAGATTTCATATAGCCAGAAAGCGTTCTATGTTATCGATATATAAAGTAAGTTTTTTCAGCGTTCCAAGTCAGCTTCATCTCGAACTCACGCCTGCTCGGAGTGTGGAAAGACCTTTGCGACATCTAGTGGCCTGAAGCAGCATCAACACATCCATTCCTCGGTCAAACCATTTCAGTGCGAAGTGTGCCTTAAGGCCTATACCCAATTCTCGAACCTCTGCAGGCACAAGAGGATGCACGCAGACTGTAGACAACAGATTAAATGCACCGATTGTGGTCAAGCTTTTTCCACTGTAACCTCACTATCTAAGCACAAGCGATTTTGTGAAGGTGTTACTGGAGCCAATCGGCCGTCTGTTGTTCCGTCCCAGTCTAATCAAGCCAGACTACCGTTTCCTCCTCCATCCGTGGACAGCAAGATAGGAGGCGTATCAGCTACAATCACTCAACAGCAAGCTTTGCATGCTGCTTACATGAACTTGTATGGAGCCCACCGATCCCCCTTTCCCTTTTATGCGCCACTAAACGCAACTCCTCCTTATCCACCTATTTTTCCATCTACCCCTTTGCCTACGGCAGCTTTTAATGGTCTTCATGCAGCTTCTCTGCTTCAAAGACCCACGACCGGTCTGCTTCAAGATACCAATGGTTCTGATGATTCAGATATGTCGGAAGGAACACGCTCTGAGGACGGAGAGAATGTCGCCAAATCTTGTAGTTCGCCAGAGCCGCAAGAGGAAGAGTCACCAGGAAGAGAAGATCAGCCTTTAGATTTGTCAACAAAAACCTCCCGTCCAGATTCAGTTGGAGAAACTAAGAAAGAGATGAAAGAAGAACGGGAAGAGTCACCTATAGCTAAAAAGAGTCCAACACCTGAGTTAAGTGTGAGCTCATCCCTTCATTGCGCTTATCCGCCGCAATTTCCTAATTCATTAGTTTTGGACCATTATCGGGCAATGGCTGCCGTTGTCGCACAACAGCAACAAGCAGCCTCTGAGAAGAAAAATCTCGCTTTTCAAGATGCAGCCTCAAGATTCATGTTTAGTCCAAGATTTCCACCAGCCTCTTTACCTAACAGTTTTGCCCATCCTCCCAAGTTCCTCAGCAACCCTGCATCTCCTCTGCTGAAACTACCGAAACCGGACTATGGCACAGCTTTTTCTCATGGAACGCCTGTTACAGCAAACCGCGTAAAAGAACGCTATGCCTGCAAATATTGTGGCAAAGTTTTCCCACGCAGCGCCAATTTGACCCGCCATCTTCGCACACATACTGGTGAACAGCCGTATAAATGTAAATATTGCGAACGTTCTTTTTCCATCAGTTCGAACCTGCAGAGGCACGTAAGGAACATTCACAACAAGGAAAGACCGTTTCGATGTCCTCTGTGCGATAAGGCTTTTGGTCAGCAAACAAATTTGGATAGGCATCTAAAAAAGCATGATACGGAGGGGCCCAATGTTTGTGATAGTCCCCCCACTCAAGTTCCACACTCCACAGCCCATGCCTTGGACGAGAAAGATGATAGTTATTTCTCAGAAATAAAAAATTTTCTTCAACCCAGCAACGATAATTCAAGCGATAACATTGATGTTGAGGACGAATATCAAGATGAGGAATTCGAAGCGAAGAAATTCAAGTTGGAGAATAATAATTCACCATCACCCGAAGATAAGCGTCTCTTTTGCGACAAGGACAAGGTGGTACTTAAGCGTCACCTAACTACCATCACAGCTCCACTCGCTTGTTAACCTCTTATTACTTTGTGTTTCGTTTTTTTCACTAGTCTCTTTGTCTCTCACCTTGCCAATTTTGTTAAGAAATATTATTAACGATAACCCTTATCCACCGTAAGCTATATGCATGCGATTTTTGCTATTTATTATGAAAAATAAGATTTCTATAAATGAAAATATTATGCTCGGTCGTATTCCTATTAATATTGTTTTATCATTATTATTATATGGTGTATATCACATGGGTGTTTATAATTATATATATATAATATGTCTCTATATAAAAACTTGTATTATGTATGTGTACGTATGACTAAATACAGAATATTATACGTTCGACGAACATTTGTTGAACAGGCCAAAAAAGGTTGTTGAACGATCAAACGAATGAAAGCAATAAAGCAGTTCTTTATAAGTGTGTTGATTGTAAACCACAATATACTTCATATCATAAAGCATCTGGCAGCCGTATGAACGAACTTGGAACGATATAGCCTAATTGCACGTTAGCTGTTCGATGTTCGATAAATAGTGTAGAGTCGGATGACGAGAAAGAAAACACTTTCTCACTGTAGGCTGTGTCTTCTATCGATCTGGCGCGTTCAAGTCGAAGAGACCCTTTCGGTCGAGTTATAAGTGGTGCTTGGAATGCGACGAAGCTAATTTTCGGTCCTCCATTCCGACGCTCACGTTCTCTAAAACTTTTGGACGATTTTATAGTAATTATAACTCAAGGTGACATCTATTGGCTTGTTTCTTGCTACTTTTCTCCTAAAACAAGTATCGCCATCTGTCTATTACATTTTGAAGATACCAGAGGGAACTATAGTTTAATCACGTGGTATTTCTATTAATAGTATTGTCAACAACTGCGCCAAGTTCAGTAGACTGCTTTACGGACGTTGATGTCAATAGCATGTTGTCGATTGGTAGAATGCCGCAAGTGGATGTAAGAAGTAATGTGGGCTATTTGGAAAAATGTGCATGTTGTCATGAAGCTTCTTCTCGTCTTTTTTCCTTATTGTCACAAGGAAAACAAGATAGGAAAAGGATCAATGTTGAACAAGATATTCCCATCGACTTGTCTTATAAAAGGAGACGCCTGGATACAGAAACAGATGGATCGTCTATCTTAGAAGCACTCTTATCTGGAGAAAAACGTTCACCTTCACGAGATTCAACTGTCAGCATCTCATCTTTCTCGTCATCTTCGTCGTCATCATCATCCTCATCCTCAGCGGATACGGAAATGTCGAAAAAAGTTCGATTGTCAAACAATACAGCCTCAGTTCTGTCTCCTCGAATATCTGAATTACTCGTTCAGGCGGCCAACTTCGCCAAATCATCCACCCACTTCGAATCTCTGTCGCGTAGCGACCAAATAGCCTTGATTCAGGACGCATGGTGCCGTCTCTTGATTATATCTATCGCAGAGGAGAAACTTCATTTTGATGTAGTTGCCGTTACTCCTTATGAAGCTAACGACCATATGCCAAGTAATACTACAGTCGATACAATCATGGCCTTTATTCAAAAATGTCAAAGTTTAAAAGTTGATGACAGCGAATATACGTTAATGAAAAGTATTGCTTTATTCAAGTCTAGTGCCCAACTTCAAGATAGAGAAGCTGTAGAAGATGTAGAAAAGACAGCTATCGGACTACTGCAAAGGCAGCCTCTAAGGTTCACTAAACTTATAACGACCTTGCGTCGCCTATATAGTGTGGACCCAGAGCAAGTTGCTAATTTATTTTGTTCTCATATAGTAACAAGACTGAGTATGGACCGTCTTTGGCCCGAACTCTTAAACGTTCCGCTATGCTAAGTTGCTAACGTGTTATTTATAGTCTATATGTATATATAGCTAGTGTGTATACGTGTACAGGAATAAATCGAGTGCAGTGACCTCGCATATGAGTCAGACGATTGAAATAGGTAAATTTTAGCTGATCGATCAACGGGCAACGAACTCTGATCAATTGCCAAGGTCGGTCGGCCTGTGTATGTGTACGAAAAATGGGCGATGACGTCACAAAAGCGGTTGTGAGAATTCGAAAGAAGCGGGCGCGTTAGGGTGAACGGCTGAACGAACGTCCCATAAATAGTCCACATTAAGTAATAAAAAAATCAACAAATGCCGCATAAAATACAAAAAATATAGACGATTCGTTGCAGTTCAACATACTAGACTTGATTAGGCTGCCTGTGAGTTAAAAGAAAAACAAACAAAAGACGAAAATGGGCCTAGAGGCGAACTGCTGCGAAAATTTCCAAGGTCGCGTCCGCGCGCAAGCAGCAGGACAAACACCATTTTTGCCCAGAATAAACCTACTTTAACTCTTTTGCAGCCGCGCGCCGTCAAAAAAAGACGCCGATCGATCGTATACCAAATATAGGACGTTCTCAGAGTGTAAACATGCTGACCTTGGATAACGATAAAATACGCCTACTCGCTTCAGACAAATAATTCGAACAGGTTCAAAGTTCGATTGAGAAATAAACACGAGTCTGCACGAGTTTAAATCGTGGTTTTTTCCTGTTTTATTTTGTTTTTGACTATTTAACCTTCGGTTAATCTTTCAATAAGGAAATAGCAACGAACCTGATATAATCTATCCCGTATTATTTAGGTTCATCTTTATGTTTGTAATACGAATCCTCAACTAAATATGAAGATTGAGTAATAATCATATTTACTTTGTATGTAATATTAAAAACATATTTGATAAAGACAAATATCATTCTAATATTATGCCTTTCCAGAATTTATTTCTCTATTAAAAGAGTTTTTCTTATCTTATCCGACTAGCTAGTGAGTAATTTCCAGTGAACAATAATTAATGGTTTATCTAAGTGTTTATGTAAACAGGAAATTTTTTTAAAATGTGGTTCAAAAGACTAAAAATTATGAAACCGGACTTGGTTTATTTCTATTGTATTTATTTCTTGCAAATTAAGTTGTAGATGGCGTAAGCCATCAAATATGGGATAACGGAAAAAACCGAATCGTCCAAAGTACAAAGTATGCCTTCTTTACTTTGCTATCATCAAATGCCATTGGCTAGTGTTGATAAATTTTTTAGGTAGTACCAATTCCGTTGTCTGACTATTTATATAACAAAGGAAATTAGTGCAAATCAATGACGTACTTTGAGATAAAAATAAATGACAACTAAAGCAAAATCTAATAGTAAAACGTTTCAGCCGACAGATGGAATCATGGTAATCAGTGATTATAAATTCGGGCATAAGATCATTATCAAAGAACTATTCAAGTGTAATTTCAATAGTAGTAGAATATGTTGTAAAAAGTTTTTTTTACCTTGTTCTGAAATTAGACAACGAAAACGTAATCGAACATAAATACGTCGAACTATATTTTAGACAATTAGGCTAGTTACGACGGGTATGAATATTTTTTATTTCATTCAATGTTTTCAAAATATATTAATATAACTAGAAGTACTATATAATAATTTCATAATTAGAATTAATCCTTTTTTTTGGTTGTTTTGGAATTGTCATCTTGCACTTCTAGACTTTGCCATGCATCATCGCTTTCTGCCCAGTTCTCTTCCCAGTCGGTCTTTAGGCTATCTTTTGGGTTCTTTTTCTTATTTGAATCAATATCAATGGCTTCCCAATCGTCTATATCCCATTCTTCTCTATCATTTACAGATGGTTTCGAGGAAGTTGTATCCATAGATTGACAATTTAAATCGGTATTCCAGTCGGACCAATCAGTTTGGTATGAAATGCGTTGTGGTTGAGCTTGGTCTTCCCCATAAGTTCTTGGAACGTACAAATAGTTACAATGAGTTACAATGATCAATATTTATATTTGTTTGAATTTTGAAGATGTTACACTTTTAAAAGTAAAAGTACATATTTTGTAGGGAAAGTATAAATTTAAATGTAACAGGATTTCAGCTAGGACTTTCTCCTTATGAGAAGAAATATCATGACTTCTAAAGTTTTAAAAAATTTCATGTGAACGGTACCTGTTTCCAAGATTTTGTGGATCCTTGTGCCCCAGTAAACTGCTTCCTTCTGTGTTACATTTTCCAGATCTCTGGTCGGTAAATATAGTTGAAATATCTTTCCACCCCTTAACACTTACTGTTGAAACCTAGCCAGATTTGAGTTATAGTCTTTAAATATAAAGTTTCTAGTAGTAGTTACTACCTTATTCGCAAGGTTGTTGACACTTGAAGACATATCGCTTAGAAGGGTTCCTTCCTTTACCTATAGAAAAGTTCGAAAAATGTGTTCTATTAAAACTTGTGCCAAATAAACGAAGAATTTGATTAAATTATACAATCACGATCATAAGTAATTGTTACAAGGCAAAAAGGTTTTTCAATGTGACTATTTGATGTTACATACTTTTCAGTTGCCTTTTCATATTAAATCTCTAACTAAAGTTTTGGTTGCAAAACTGTAATATTTAGTTAACTTGCTTCCTTTTCAGAGCTGGTTTTTAATAGGGCCTAATTTTTCAACTCTTCCAATTCAACTTGTATTTGTAAAAAATCTTTTCGACTTAAGACAGTGATAGCTGAATAGGCACAGTTTTGTAAAATTTTTTGTGCTGTCCAGTTTGGTTTAAATCTTCAATTCCATTTTCTTGGTTATTGTATGTGATCTTGCAGACAAAACTCATAATTTTAAGGTCACAGCAACTGTGTTGAAATTACTTAATAGCTTATGAAATAATCTAGACCATAAAAAAATTTTAACCGTCAAAAAATTCACATGTTTAAAACTTTTTATCCTTTGTAATAATTACTTATTATCGTGGCTGTACATTTTATAGATTGAGCTTGCAAACCTTTTCAGAAACACCTTGACTGAAAGTCTTTGTTTTTTCAGTTGCATTATGAGCAAATTTTGTAGCCTTTTCCGAAGCACTCAGTGCAAATTTTGAAGCAGATGAAGCAAAGGAACTCCAACCCTAGACAAAAATAGATTTTTTATAAGAAAAACTCAAAACAAAATATTTACATTCGAGAAAGCGCCCATAGTGTTCTGAAAATATTCGCTTTGACTCTTTGGAATAGGAGCAGGAGTATTTCCAAAGCCACTGTATTTCCCACCTTGACTAGGAGGTAGGTCACTGAGTGTCAAAAAAAAAACTTTTTTAAAATTATTTGACTGGAAATTGTAAAAAAATTACTCAGGTCTTGCAGAATTTTCTTCTATTCTCCTCAAAAAAAAGTCTTCTTTCTGTTTTTCTACTTGAGCTCTGTAATACAAGGAATAGGCAATACATATTTTTTATTTCAATTTTGTTACCTATCATATGCAAAGTCATTCGGAAAACTTTTTGATGACTTCATTGAAGTATTTGCTGATTGTACTGAAGATTTTTGCTCTGAGGGAGTAACATAATTTCTTGCTGATGACTTTTCTATTTGCCATTCTCTTCCCTCAGCCTCAGTACTAATCTATTTTATTTAAGAATTAGTTTATTACATTTGCTTTCAAGACTTTACCTTATCTCTGTATAATGCCGCACAGCGGGTCTTATATTTTTCAGATAAAGTCATATTATCATTATAGTCTTCTTGGGACTCGAAAAATTCTCTGGCCTTCCTGTTTCCACCAACTTTCATCTTCTCTAATTCTACATCCTTCCACTTGTCCATTGTTATTGAGCGAACAAAGCTATTAAATATATGCTTGACATATTATGAAAAAAATCAATTTACACCTAACCTTAAATGAACACCAAGTCCCCGATGCTTTCCGGAGCACTCCAGACAAATCCAAATTCCATATGAAACACTTGCCCATTGAGGATTTTGAGTCGAACATTCGAAGCAAAGCTGCAAAAACGTTTTTTATAACCTCTATAAAATTGTTTATTTAAAAAGATATACATTATTTTCATTTTTCACTTTGACATCTTTAAGCACTCTTTTAGTTCGAGGACTAGCCATTGTCCAATACTGAAGAATTAATCGAAGTTATAAACAACGAGAATATTATCAAATTGGTTAAGAAAGAAACATTTTTACGTGGACACTAACCACAGACTAAATTCTTTAGATTGATCATTAAAAATTGCTGCAGAACTATAAAAATGAATGGGAAAAACCCTAGGATATTTATTTAAGAGAACGGTAACTGAAAAATCTCTTTACCTGTTTTCGTCTGTGGTTAGGAAATGACGTCAAACTTCAACAACACTTTCAAAATGGCTGCGACTACAGAAGATGCATTTGTGTCCGAAGAAAAAGGTAAATTTAGTTTTTTCTGTAATTTTATTCGGAATAATGAGTCATAAAATAGTTCTTTATTGGAAGATTATCACCATACTCTTATTGCAATAATTGATCGCGGCATATTTGTTTAGTAATTTGTAAATTACAGATTACTCAAATTGTCAATTCATATAACACAGTACAATTGTCACATCAAAATTCTTTTATCGCATCCTAAACACAAAAGCAAAATGTATTACTAGCATTAAAACAGAACGTGTTAAAAGATTTTCAGTAAATTTAACAAAATGAAGTAAATGACAGTGAGTCAGTATGAAATACTCACCTTTTTCATAAATTTTAACCTTATTGTATTTTAATTCATAATCATGGACTTGCTTAACAATTAAATTTCCAAACAAATTTTAGTCCAGGATGAAACCACAAATAAGAAGAGTCCTTGTCGAATTCTTGCTACCCAACCACCGAACAAAGCTGAAATATCTGCTAAACACAGGGAAAGAGAAGAAAAAGTTAAAGCTGCTCAAAGAAAAAAAGTTGAAGAGCGAAAGAAAAAATTAGAAGAATTAAGGGAAGCTCAAAAGCGTGCAGGTGAATTTCGAGAAAAACAGCAAGAGGAGCGAAGGAAAAAACTTCTGGATATGAGAAATCGTGAAATCGCAAAAAGAGAAGCTGTGGAACAGAGACGGAAGCGCTTAGAAGAGGATGATAAAGTTACAATTCTAATAATCAGATTAATTAAAGATTTTTAAAGTATAAATTTGTACTTTTGATAGCAAAAAGTTTTGGAAAAAATCCGAAGACTGGAGGAGAGAGATGCGCGATTAGATGAAATAAGGCGATCTCGATATTCAGGTCAGCTGAACGCAGCATTCGGTTCCACTCCTAGTCGAGCTCAATCACACTGCTCTCTCAGACCTGCCGTATCTCCTCGTAGAGCCACATCGGCTTTCAGCCTTTCCTCGAATGGTAAATATCTTTTAACTTGAAAAAAAGAGCATAACGAAGGAAAATTACAAGGCAGGCCTCAGAGAGATAGTTCAATATGAATGACATTTTCTTAGCCTAATTTTATGTCGTATAATTTGCCTCATAAATGATTATAAATTGCATGTTGCATGTTTACCTTTACATAATATATTACGAAATTACAGTGCTGAATTCTCCAAGCAACAACAAAAGTTTGTCATCGTCAGTGATGATCTTGACATCACCAAAAGCAAAATCAGTCTCTAGAATGACATCGAGTACGCTGAATCTAAGACGCTCCAAAGTCAATCTTTCATCAGAATCCCCGCGTTCAACCAAATCAGTGTCTGACGGTAAGGATAGCTTAACCTTTGTTATTAGCGAGCATTTTGCTGCATGGCCTTCACCCTCAGAAAATTCTTATATTTTCAATTCATTTCTCTGCGTCATTCCACAGCAAATGGATCACATAAAACAAGGTCATTGAGCGTACAGCCATTACCGCATTATGCTCGCCATACTTGCAGTTCTGCAATACGCTGTGGGCGCGAGAAAGAACTGTTAAGTTGTTGTTACGGTGTGTCGATAATATTTATTAAAATACCTCTATCTCACTGTATTAATCTCGAAATATGTTACTGAAACATTATATTTTTATTAAAATATACAAAGTTAATTTTTTTAATGTCAGTTCGATCAAGCTCCACGGATAGTTCGAATAGAAAATCAGTAAGAAGCAAACCGTGGTCAGAAGTTAGCCGAAACGTAGAAAGATTATCAACTCCAAAATCTTCGAAAAAAAATACAACTCCATCTCGTTCGTCTCAAAAAACTTCTCCTAGTGTACAGTCAATGAGTCCGCAGGTTGACAACAAACGAATTGAATTAAACTTATGTTAATGTTTTACCTATTTTACTTATATAAACTTTCACTTGTTTCAGACACAAAAATTTAGGCCTAAATCACCTAGCCCAGTTAATAGTACTGAGATTAACATAAAGACTGAAGAAGAATACAAAATTAGATTAGCTGAAAATAGGAGACGGGCTAGAGAGAAAGCCGACAAGGAAAAGGAAGAAGAGAGACTAAGAAAACTTGAACTAAAAGCGAAAGAAGAACAAGAAGAGAAGGACAGAATGGAAGAGCAGATACGCCTTGAAAAAGAGAGGGAAGAGCAAGAAAGAATTGAAAAAGAAAGAATAGTAGAAGAAGAGAAAAAGTATGAGAAATTTTCTCAAAGTACTTTTAAAGATCAATTTTTTTCGTTAGGCGGAAGAAAGAAGCAGAAATCATCAAATTAGAAGAAGAAAAGCTTAAGTATATTATTGAATTAAATTAATAAAAAAATTATTTGAATTAACGTCGACAAATACTTATTTCTTTTTTTAACGCATATTCTTATTTTTCTTGTAGAAAAGTGGAGGAAGAGGAGAGGTTAGAGAAAGAACGAAAGCTTAAGCAGGAAGCCGAACAACGTGAAAGGGAAAGGATAGAAAAACAAGCAAAAGAAGAGGAAGAAAGAATGGAAAGAAAGCGCAAGTTGGAAGGAATAATGAAAAGGTTTAAGACAGATCAATCAGCTTCAAATGAATCAACTCCAGCCTCATCTCCTCGCAGGGATGAAGCACAGTCAGCGAGTGATAAAAAATCAGCTGTTCTCCAAAAAGTACTTAGAGAAAGAATGGAAAATGACGATAAAAAGTTTCAATCTCCTCTCTTGAAAGAAATTATGGCAAAACGATCCACATCAAGTGCGAAACTAGACGAAGAATCGAATAATGACAGCCAGCACAACAATAATCAAGTGAATGGCACTTCTCCTAACCGCCGGGAGAGTGTAGAACAAGTGATAAATATAGAAGAAAAATCGAATGATGATATGCTCAACTCGAATGAAGCTGATCCGCCGCCTCCCTTTGTTGCTTTTGAAGAAAATGCAAATCTTAATCAAGTCGCAGGAAACGTTTAAGATATAAAATGACTCTGAAGTCTTGATTAATAAACACTCTTATGAAATTTTCTTACTTTATCGGTGGCGGAATTTCATAATCTACCACTAAGTGATTTAATTCATACATATTATCTTTGTTTGTACAATTTAACTGCCTTGCAACTTTGTTGTTAATATTTTTTTGCACAAGTCTTAAAATTTAGCAATAATAATCGTGTAAATGAATATACGAATCGTATATTTTTGAAAACATTAACGTATAACTAAGTTTCGGAAAAATTCAAAATATTTTTTGTATAATCAGCAACATTTTCTTTTTATCTTATATCATTAATATATATGACTGAGTTTGAAATTTTTTTTAAAATTACGACCACCCAGTTAAATTAATCCAAAATTTACAATTTTCAGATTTTACAAATTGAAATAAAAATTAAGAGCTGGATCCTCGGAAATGAGAACACTAAAATTGCCCTGTCAATAACAAACGTTTATTCCAAGACTATAAACATTTTTTTTTGATTAATCAGTGCTCCAAAACAATAAATAAAAATAAAACAAAACCCCCAATATATAGTGGAATATCAACAGATATGATGTTAAGATATTATGAGAAGATCATATTGTCTAAAAATTCATTGAAAACCAATTAGCCACTAATCAAAACTTAAATATACACTTATTGCAGTTTTTTTTCCCTATTTTCTTATACAAACCCTGTAAATTACAGTCATATGACCTAAATAAACAAGGTTATTTAGTTCAGCAAAAGTACCGTTGATGACTCATCGTATGAATTTCCTCTTCATCTAATCTCTACTCTGATTGGCTGTTTGTGACATCATATTCTAAGTAAAGCCATTGGGTTTCCGTTTGACGTCACAACAAAACTCATATAAAACACAGCGGCTTTCCTGAATCAGTCATTTAACTATTAGTCAACAAACAAACTCGTCGAAAAACTTACAGCTTTGAGGAAAATCCCTTACTCACGGTTTTAATTACTCATTTAAGAAGTTATCTACTACTAGAAGTAAGAAAGATGTTCAAGCAGGAGCAAGATAGTCCCAACTCGGAGTCAAAAATTATTGTGGCGTCAATTTTGTCCTCCATGGCGTCAGGTGGAGTCCCTTCTACGTCATGTGTCGTAAGTTTTATTCTCAACATATTTATGATATAGTTAATATGTTACATGTTTTGTTTATAAACTATGTTTCATAAAACTTAAATGAGAATTGAACGATCAGTTTGTAGGAGTTGGAAAAAGACCAATCTATTTTTCTCCCAATCAAAATTTCTTGTAAACTGGTAGTTATAAGCAAAAAATACCAGCCATTGATGTATACAAAAGCGATATGAAACATAGTACATTTTGAATTATATTAATAAAGCAGCCCATAATTAATTTTTCTAAAATTCACAGACTCCAACGTCAAGCATAAGCAACCTGTTTCAGAGTAATATTCTGACAGGCACAACCCCAACTCTCACCCCAACAACTCTGGCTTCAATAGAGCAAAGTTTTGTTGAACTCCAAAGTATTCCTCATTCAACAGAGGCCCAAGATTTGACAAAGCAAAGCGGTTTCGCACCCCCAATTGTAAACAGAGAACCTATGGTTGTCTCTCAACACATTCAAAATGGTATGGAAAGCGATGACAGCACAACCTATAGTGATCCAGAGTGGGCCCCTTCATCAGCCAAACGATTGAGAACTAACAGATCAGGAGGTAGTAATGCATCGTCTATAACTTCTTCTCCTAATCCAAATATTAATGAAGAAGACAGTACTCAATATCTATTGAGCGCTCGTGGTAAAGGTCCGAGAAGACACACAGGGCCAAGACCTAAACGCTTAGAGAAGCTAACTTCCGAAGAGGAAGAAAAAAGAAAAGTTAGAAGAGAGCGTAATAAATTGGCAGCTGCAAAATGTAGACAAAGGGTTGTTAAGATGACTAACGATCTAGTTGGCGAAACAGAACAACTGGAAGAGCAGAATGCGACTTTAGAAAGTGAGATTGATAAATTAGAGCAACAAAAAGGGCAACTAGAATTCTTATTGGAACTACACGAAAATTCTGAGGCCTGTTTGAAAAACAAAAGCGTTAAAATTGAAGCAAGTAACCGGCCATCATCCCTTCCACTACAAAACAACCCAGTTTCAACACATGACGTTATAACGCCATCCCGTTACATTTTAAATACACCAAGTGGAATAGAAACTCTAGCCGATATACACACCGGCCTGACACCATGTTCAACGCAAGCTCAGAGGTCTGATAGTTCTGGCAGTCCTGAAGTAACTGGAACAATCTTAAACGGACATTAGGATTACATTCTTAAATGTTAAAATTGATTATTTCTTTCTTTTTTCGACTTAAGTTGAATTCGATTGTGTATCATTTGTAAATACATTTAATGAAAATAACTGAATTTGGTCTATTAAAAATATCAAAAACTATTTATTTTATTGTATTCTGGGTTGTGTGGCAGCGCCATCTAACGTTGTTGTTTTACAAAAAGCTTCAGAGCGGAAGTTACATCAAGCCTTTTCCGTTTCCACCATCTTGAAAATACAGTAGGTTTTGCATTGAAATATTTATCTCAAAATATCAGCTAAATCAGTTTGTGTAGATTATTATACTCCTTTTGTAGTAACGAATTAGACTTTAACTTAACATTTTTGTGGGTTTTATTTCAAAAATTTTCGTTTATATTGCTGAATTTTTCAATTCATATTCGACATGTTGGAACTATCTCAAGTTAAGCATGCCAAGAACAACACGAGAACTAATGCATAGTTTTATAATATGTAAAAAAACAGAATATATTTTATTTTTAATTTTAGATAGTTTCAGAGATTCTACTCCTGTAGCATACAGGAATTTGTACAGTCTTACCACAAACAACTAAACGCACGAAAGAAAACTTTAAATTTTACCATATTATCGATCAATATGAAATCTTAGCTAAATCAGACATATTTCTGAATTACAGAAAATGGGACCCCGAAGAGGACAAGTGAAAAAAGAAGAGGCCGTTTCTTTGGGACCTCAAGTTATGGAAGGTGAAAACGTCTTTGGCGTTGCTCACATTTTCGCTAGTTTCAATGACACTTTTGTTCACGTCACGGATTTGTCTGGCAAGTAAGTTCATACTTAGATGCTGCAAAAAACACTATAAACGAGAAATATATATTTGGTATCGTCAATTTTTTCTTAGGGAAACATTGGTTAGAATAACCGGCGGTATGAAAGTTAAAGCTGATAGGGACGAAGCTTCGCCCTATGCTGCTATGCTGGCTGCTCAGGATGTGGCTGAAAGATGCAAACAGCTAGGAATTACGGCTCTCCACATCAAACTACGCGCTACTGGAGGTAACAAAACTAAAACTCCAGGACCCGGTGCACAATCGGCTTTGAGAGCGCTTGCTAGAAGTGGTATGAAAATTGGTCGTATCGAGGATGTTACTCCGATTCCATCAGATTGCACTAGAAGAAAGGGTGGTCGTCGTGGCAGAAGATTATAAGAACATGTCAATAAAAGTTGAAAAAAACTTATTTTGTTCGGCATCACGTTTTTCTTTGGAGATACTATGGCTGGAATAAAAGCAGTGCAAAATTGATATGAAAAGATATTTTGTAAATTATTTTTACTTAGTTATAAACTAGCTATTACTCACTAATTAACATAAGATATATAGACTTAAGAGTATTGTCATTGGATCTGAGTCATTTTTTACAAGTCCTTATAGTGAATAACATTTTAGGTACCAGGAGTCTGATAACAATGAAACAAAATTTTAAGTTTATATCTATAGAACATTACACAAACTGTTTGTAACAATTTTCTACTAGGTGACTGAGATAATATTCTTGAATTGAATTAATGTTCATGGTTGATGAAGGTAATTGAAACCATCAGATCAACCTCATACTACTGATATTTTCCTTAAAATTTTCTTATTGGAGGTTTTACCTTTTAAAATGTGTAACAAAATATTAGTCCAGCATGCATCTTTCAGTAATATCGTAACTGTGCTCGTTAGCTGTAAATAATTTATGATTCTAAAGACCTACCCGAGAAGTGAAATCGTTTTACACGGTTCACTTTTGTATGTAATATGATACGATTGTTGTATACTGAAAATTATGATTAGATGTAAATTATAAAGTTAAAATGTTATTCCACTGGCATTAACAGTACTTTTTAACTTTAATTTTAAGAACAAGTTTCAACTAAATTTCGTTGGTATACTAAGTTCACCCCTTTTTTACTCATCCAGATAAAATAGCATTGTTTTAAATATGATGTATATTACAGTATAAACTTATACCTTTTTAAGATTTTTAAAACCTTCCTGATAGCAGATAAAGTCTATTTCTTATTCCTATAAAAAACACTTCAGTTACCGATGTGCTTGGACCAACTATACAGCTGAAAAAATAACTGGCAGGAATAATTTGCTGTAATAAATTTCTTTTTTAATTACAAAATACCCTTCTCAAGACGATAAAAGTTATACGATAATATTGCCGGATATAAGGAGTAATAAAATAAATTGCTTTGTACTGAAAGCAGTGTAAAAAACTTTACATAAATATATTAATTTAATGCTGAAGTTAACCAATCAGCATCAACCTTTTGATTATAAAGGGAAGAAAACAGATAGCTAGGAACATTTCAAGAGTCGAATTATTAAGTTACGAATCTACATAAGAGAAAATGAAATTTACTTCTCTTATAGTTTTTTATCTGCTCTTCGTGATAACGGATCAATTTTCAGTGCGAAAGCTAGAATCTGAAGGTAATGGGCATATGTTTCAGAAAATGTGTAACTTTTAAGAGAGTATAAATAAGAAATCAGTGATTGACATATATTAAGGAAAAAATTTTGGAAGTGAATGATCGTCTGCCTGAAGTAGTCATAAAATAAGAGAAAACACTTAAACATATTTATGGTATTTTAAGGTTATAGCAAACAAAAGTTTAGTGCAAAATGAAGTTATATTACTTTTTATCTTATCGATCACAAACAAGTAAAAAGAAAAGTTATTTATAATTTGATACGTATTTCAGCTCAACTTGCCGATTAGTATTTCTATCATTCTTTACTCTCATCAAATAAATTAAAAAATTATTTTTTAGAAATATTATGCTCCTCACATCATAGGTGTCATTTCTAAATGAAGATTTGTTTACAAGATCTTATGGTTTGTTTCTCTCAACAGACAGTCCTTTAATCAGTATAATAAAAAGGTCTATCCGAGAAAACGATGATAGAATGCTGAATAAAAGATTTGCTGAAGTTGTCCCAAGTGGTAAGAAACATTCATTCTATACCTTCTTTTAAAATTTTTTAACCAGAGATAGGAAGATATTATCAAGGCATCATATTTGGGTATAAAAGATCGTATGGCCACACTCCGGATATGTCTATGTGTTTATTTCTCGGTTTAGATGAATGTAAGGACAAGGATAACAATGCGGGATGAAGATCGTTAAGTTTAGCATTCGATAAGCTTGTCTCTATTTTCCTTTCCTGATTTGACTTAATTACTTATGAAGCAAGAAATTGCTTAACAAAAATTTGTATTAATATATTCCCCTTTGTGTTCTTAATTTAATTTTCATTATGGTATGAAAAATCGTAATCGAAAGAAACTGATGAAGAATCAAAGATTATATAGTATAACGTATGTTATGCACCAACAAAGTTATTAGCTTTGGACAACCAAAGTATATACACCTAACAATACTAAATTAAAAATTCTTTAAAAAGAAAATGATTATGATTTTGATCGCTATATATATTAAATCTAAAAATAAATGAATCAATGCGATAGCCATTGATTATTTCATACTGTCAGTTAAGGACAACTTGTATTGTTTCATAATTAGATATAATTATTAGACTATCAAGTAAATTAATTATAGATATAACTTATATATTTTATATTATCTCATCTACAAATGATCTACATACAATAGTTTTTTAAGTTTTATGTTGTCAATATTGTGAACCGATTGCAGTATTTAATACTGTTACGGAGACATAGTGATATCATATCGAAAGTGATATTAAAGAGATAAACTTTCCGGAGCAAAAACATAGGTGTGAAAATCACTTCATTAATTCTGTAAAATTAAACACTCGGCGCAAAACATGTAGGGTGTACGTAGGCATATTTGAATTTCAGTGAAATAATTTATTCAAGTTAAGCTTTTTATCTGTGACAAACAAATGATAAAAAGGTTTGCTCATTTCTCCATGATTCCAATTAGAAGATAAAGCAAGGCCTCTTCCCAGTGTTAATCATTCATATATCTTGAGGCGAATGAGTTCTGAAATGACATTTTTGAAAAAAGAAGAAAGAATAAGAGCGTGTGCTGAGATAAATTCAACAGTTTTAAAATTTCTACATTTTCGAAATAGCGTCCATAGAAATCAGACTATACCTTATATTACATTTTTATGTTTTATTATGGTAATTGGTATTTTTGGAAATTCTTCTGTAATTCTTGTCTACGTAAAAAAGCGCTTCAAAGCTAATGGAACTCATTTTGTTCTCTCTCTTGCCACAACCGATCTTCTTGCTTCCCTCGTGGTTTTACCATTTCTTTTACATGAAGCTTGGAGAGTGATTCAGAACAAATAAATAATTTTTACAACTCCCAAAATTAAAATGCGAATACATAGATATTCTGGTTTCCAATAACTAAAAGCAAAGTTTTAATCTCTGGGTTGGGTCTGCCTTTGCTAGTTAAAATGCTGATACAAAAATTTGAATTGAATCACTCTTCAGGGCAAAATACACTTATACCAATGTTCTCATTTGCAAACTTTTGGAGTGGTTCAGACATTCTGTCATTTGTATCTCTTGTTTAACTTTAGGTTACGTTGCAATTGATCGGTACTTCTGTATATGCAAACCTCTCACTTTTGTATTGTTTGGTTCAAAAGCTAAGAAAATGATGTTTGGAGGTATAATTCTAAGTCCTATTCTAATGACTCCTGTACTGGTCGTGTACGGAACACTGACTAGGACTTTTTCAAATGGTATTATTGGTTGTATGTGTGAAATAGATGATGCCTATGTTGGAACGTTAGTTCATGCATCCTTACGAGGAGTACATCTCATACTTTATCTTGGACTAACTGTTGTGATGATGGTATGCTACTTCAAAGTATATCGCCAAGTTCGTAATCGTGTACTGCCACACTCTCAGAGAAATAACCGTTTAAGAGAAAAATATCAAATAGCGAAGACGCTGCTCTTAGTTAGTGTTGTATTTTTATCGACATGGATCCCTTTTTGGATTATTACAATTATTTTTATCATTCGAAAATCATTCTGGATTGAAGCAAGCTGGCCAGTTCAGAATATTGTAAAGATTGCTAAAACTTTTTATATGGTGAACTACGCCACAGATCCCTTGTTATATGCTTTTTCGTCTGCCATTTTCCGAGATGAGTTGATCCATATTTTTAAACGCAAATTTTAATTTCATATTCTATAATTTCGCTTAAATTTTTATGGAACTAACAGTCGTGAATGTTTAAACTGTGAATGAAAAGCTATATCAAGTAGTAGCATTATCTGCTCTTGTTAACTCTAATCTTTACCATTAACTATCCTAATTTATGTAAGTCTTAAAATTGTAGACAAGATTTTAACTGTATTTTAAAATAGATATTTAAAAAGAAAAACCTAAATAAGACTTATTAAGCATTTTAAAAGTTCTTATTGATTTAGATAATATTTATTCTGATTGATCGTCTGTAGCTTTGTTTTCCTCGTTTCCATAAAAGAGTAAAGGAAACATGCCTATTAAACAACCTAAGGATATACCAAATGTACGACCAGCAAGTGTAGACATTCTTGCACCCCAAGTAGAGGATTGATAAACGCTTAGACGAGGTGTTTCTAACCCACATTTCGAAGCGAGCATTTCGACGTAGCCCGCAAGTCCTAAACCACCAATATCAGAGACTAAATTTCCAAGGGCTGCTGCAGCCATAGTTGATATTCCAAGTATAACACCCAATTTTAAATCAATATATTCCCCAGCAATAATCATTACAAAATTGTCCAAAAATCCGAATCCAAGAAACGGTATGCAATTAGTAAAGAAAACTATTTATGGATATAAATTAATTGACAAATATAATGCATTTATGTACAAAACCTTTCCAAAGTTGTGAATTTGATAGTGTAGATTGGCGGTCGTTCACTTGCTCTGAATTTTCAGTACTTTCTGTGATAAAAGTGTAAAACTATTTTATATCTGAAAGGATGCAAAGATCTTTAAATAGTAATTTATTCTATAAAAGCTTCAAATTTATTGAAGGTAAATTAAATTTTTAGAGCATCTACTTATTTCATCTTGTAAATTTTTCAAACTCTTTTGATCCAATCTCATTAAAAAAGACCGAGTTGAGGCTTGATCATGAAATGATGGAGCTACATCTTGATATGTGGAACGAATAGCTCTAAGTGGTTCTTGAGCTCTTATTATCGTTCTCCTCACTAGCCAAAATTGATTACAAATTAATTGAAATCGAGTATCCTTCATAGTAAGAAATTTTCTAATAGGCAGCATAAGTTCCTTTTACAGATTTTTAGAGAGAATGGAAAAATAAATTCTAATAATATTGTTTTTCAGCCAAAATCGAGCAGAAACTGGTAATCGGTAAAACACTCAGAAATCTATTTGATGGCGCAGACAACTGTAAATATTAGAAATTATTTGAAGCTTAGTTGGAGCTATGGCTTATTTTTGTAGACAAGCTGAAGGGTTTGACATAAGAGAAAGCCTTAAAATTGTAGATGCTGAAATAGTAGATAAATATGTGGTTAGTATTTTATACAATGACTTATTTTTTCCCATGGAAAAACTATAGGAGCAATCGTTAGGTTTATGTAATTCTGATAAAATCCGGTCGCCACTCATGGACTGTCCGGAGGAGATATAGCGAATTCCACAAATTACATGATGGACTCGGCTCAATTCTGCCCCATAGTGCTAAACTTCCTCCAAAGAGATTAGTAGGTGGGTGTTTGCTACTCCTTTACAGGAATCTTTTCATTTTTATTCGCTTTTTTCAATTTAAGGTTCTGATGAAATATTTTCGAACAGGTAATCTATCAGATTCGGTGATTAGCGAAAGAAAGTTGCTGCTGGAGAACTACTTACACACGCTTCTTTTACATTTAGAAGATATTCCGAAAGACCTTAGTAACTTTTTATCTTTCGATCGATATGAAATTGAAGGTGTTACAAAAAAAGCATCGGAACAAATGTTTGATCTGGCTGAACAAATGCTAAGCTCTAACCAACCGTGGCAGATTTGCCCTCTCTTATTGCATTCCGTCTCGAGCAGGAGGCGGCTACCAGCTCCAAAATCCTTTGACAAGAGATCAGATATGGGTCATTTGATGGATTTTGCAAGTCAAGTGAAAAAAGTGCGAATATTGGGCGGTTTGACTCCCATTGGTAAAAGTAATATCAAAGAAGAAGAGCTTAATGTTGACCTTTCCATCTTGCACAACCTAAAAGGGATTATCAGAAATTATAAATATTTTTCTATCTGATTTCAGATTCCTTGAGTCAAAAAAATGATTAGTTTTTTTTGTAGTCTTAGGCAACAACTATTTACCTTATAAAGTTCATTAAAAGTGTAAAGAGAATATTTTTGATTTTCCCTTTTCAGCACTAGAATTAGATACTGTAAAAGGCAGAATTTCTGGTGTAGAGGTAATTAAACAATCTCTTGAAAGTGTAATTTGTAGACGTACAATTTCACATCTCTCTGATATATTTATTGCTGATGCAACTAACAAAAGCATTTGGAACAAATTGACAAGGTCGGATTTAAGCTATAATGGATTAACTAGAATTGACGAGTCCACAAGTCTCTTACTATCTTTGCAAAAACTAAATCTGTCACACAACAGATTGACTTCGATAGATAATCTTCATCACCTGAGCGCCCTTGACGAACTCAATCTTTCCCATAATCAAATTGCCGATCTGCCATCAGATATGAGAGCTAAAATTGGTAACGTTACAGTTCTTAATTTAGCGACTACAGGATTAAGGTGTTTGGCACCTTTGGCAAAGCTCTTTTCACTGAAGGACTTGAACGTTAGTGATAACTTAGTTGCAAGAGTAGATGATGTTCGTCCCATTGCTGGTATATTATTTACTATTTATTTACTCTATGAAGATGTCACATTATTTGCTCCATAGGGCTTCCTTGTCTTGAGAAGTTACAATTAAAGCGAAATCCCCTCACTGCTGAACTTGATTACCGCTTCCGCCTCTTGGAATTACTTAGTCCAAGAGAAAGAGAAGTTCAAGTCGATGGAATTTTTCCGACTGTACAAGAGATTGATACAGTTGCAGTAAGATTGGCAATGACGAAAGCAAAAATTGCTAGACAAAGTAGTGAGATAAATTTAGTACAGAAAGAGAGGGGTATTCCTGATGGAGCTGATGCCTCCATTCCTCGTGAGTTTTGAATTGTGTTTAATCGGAATATTAATTAATATTTTATTAAAATAACTAAAGGTAACTTGCCTGATGTTTCGAATTCAAATTTTGTGGAGCTACTTTTAACTCGCATACCGAACCCAATTGCTGGAGAGAGTCTCGTGTCAGTAATCTGGACTCCTATTGTACTTCCAACGGCTCCACTGGATACTCTTCCGGCAGTGATTGCAGTTAGTACTCATTCCTTGCACATTCTTCGGGCAAGAGGCTCTCCCGGTCCATTATGTCATGTTGAACATTTACTGCACATTCCTTTAACAAAAGTTTCAATTACTTATCGTCACAAAGTGTGGGTTAGATTCGAAGATAATGGAATACCAACATCAGTAGCATTTCGAATGATAGAAGACTTAATTACAACTGTTCAGGCAGTAAATAGAGAATGTAAAGTAGTTTTGGTTCCTGATACAATGCTACTCAATTGCTTAAGTGAAGAAGGATCAACTTCCCCAGCAAACTTTAATTTCAAAGGAAATTGGAAATCAGTTTATAAAATTTACTTTTAAGAGATATTTTAGGGTATATAAAACTTTTATGCAAAATTTACTGAACTCCACTTTCCTAAGCAGCTACAGCCAAAGTGAATAACTCATCTGAAACTTCTACAATAATTGTAACGAAACAGAGAGTAATTTATACTCTAACGGAAAATTTATTTGCGCAAAAACTGAGTTGCAAAGTGAATTCTGTCTTCTCCTTCAAGGATAGCTATAAACTGTTTCTCTCAGAATCTGAAAGAGGCGATAATGTTTTAACTAATTTCTGTCTTCTTATAGACACGAATTCAGATGTTAATTTACATATTAGGTTTGTATCATACCGTGATAGAAGGGATTTTTATCTAGCTTTAGCAAATGCTGAAAAGACCTCAAACGTGTATGAAATGGTCGATGACAAAGAAAGCGATGAAAGTGAGGAAGAAGAGAGTAATAGCGATATTGAAGGTAATGACATAGAATCAGCTGGAAAGAGGCAAATATCTCCAGTCGGTGGCTTTCAATTTAACTCTGTAGATGTTAACAACACTTCAAACAATACTCAAAAGGATTATAATGAGAGCGAGGAAGGAGCGACATGCCCCTTGCAGGCCAATGAAGACACTTCTGTAGAAGAAAACACTATGTCATCTAACTTAATCGTTCTGGATGATGATAAAGACGTCGAGTCAATAGAACATTCAAATTCTACTAGTTCAGAAGAATTCTCTATATATGATCAATATAATAATTAATCGCACTAATAAAAGCTTAAATTTTAAATATCAAAACTGTTATAAAATACTGTTAATCTAAGTTTGTTAAAGGAAGATTTGTTATGTATAAGTGAAACATATACAAGAATGTTGTATAGTCTCCGTGGCGCAATCGGTTAGCGCGTTCGGCTGTTAACCGAAAGGTTGGTGGTTCGAGCCCACCCGGGGACGTGTTTTTTTTAAAGCCCTATATAAAAGCACTCTTTTCGCTAGTTGTTCGCAATTAAAACAATTTTTTTGTCTCAACCTTATAAAAAAATTTCATCGTAAAACGTTATATTCTCCTCAGGACCAGTCTTCATCAGGGACAAAAGATATTTGAATATCACTTAATGCAAAAAATTTATATAAGACATATAATCTCTATTGTAATAGTTTATACTAAAATACCTAATCAAGTTATATGTAATATAAAAACAGCAAAAGTATAATAACGTTTACAGTATATACAAGAGGTCAAGGTGAACATGGCTGACATTACTCTCTCAATCAAAATATAGAATATATAATCTTAAATTTCCATCATAAATTGAAGTGATAACTCTTATAGCCAATGAATTAAACATAAATATTATACAAAAAATAACGAAAATGTCAAAGTGTATTGACCATGTATGTACTTCACAAAATAATGGTGATTACTCTGCGACTAAAGAGAATGTAAATCAAGTTCCCAGTCTTCAAAAATCAGCTTTAAAATATATTTTAAATAATGTGGAAAATATTATTGGTCACCGGATGACATTTCTTCCTTGGAATGTAGCAGAACTAATATTGGAAGGAATCGATCATGAAATTGACGGAATTCAAGAAAAGTATTTAACATACTTTACTTCTGACAGCTCTTGCTTGAGGACAGTTCGTTTAAACGGGACAAAAATTAGTCAAAATATCTCAATGAAATTTTTGAAGGGTCATCGAATAGATGTTTTGGAGGCAGTGAACATTCACTTGTTTTGCGTTGAAGAATGGCTATGCTACGTAGATAATATTCATTTAAAGCACTTAAACATTTCCAAATGCCTACTCAGTAGGCAGGATATAAACGTCATAGTATGTTTAACACGCTTTCACAACCTCATTACGTTAGACGTTAGCTCGACTGCTTTTAATAATCAAAATTTAAAGTTTGTAGTAGATCAGTTACCCTTACTCCAAGGATTGAACTTATCGGAAACAAAAGTAACTGATTTAGAAACTTTGAATAAATTACGGGAATTAAAAATTTTCATGTTCAAAGATAATGATACAAATTCATATAAACATTTGAAAGATGTTATGAATTTAAAAATGATTGATTTATCTTCTGAATTATGGACAGAACCTCAGAAAAAGTCCCTAACGGATTTGTTACAAATTGCTAAATGGCCAGATATACGCTATCTCGATATTTCTGGTAATATGGAATGTAATGAGAATATATTGAGGTATGTATTATTTTTTATATACTTGAAAATATAGCCAGTCTATGAACAATCTTGAAAATCTTTTTAGAAATTTTCTCAAAGCTCATAAAAAGTTAACTTTTCTTGGAATCTTTAAGACAAACTGTGAAAGCCTCACGATTTTTGATCCAAAACACAAAGAACATTTTTTTGGTTTAAAGGTACGATATCATTATCATTAAATATTTCCGTCAACAAAATTATCATTCAGACTACTGGAACGGAAAACCTTGGACAAATAATAACTTCATTGAAGACATATAAACATTATCACTCTTGGTGTTTTGAGTGTATTCGAAAATTTTTTCATTTGTCTCTCCCTCCGCTAGATTTCAGTACACTTAACATATACTGTGAAAGTATCAACGTAAGCATAATCAAACTTTTTACATTTAATAAGATTGTTTTAACATTTTAGACTTTGACTGATTTAATGAATCACTGGAAACCAACACGATACAAAAATAGTGAAAAACTAAATATCCACATGGGCGGTTTGGCTTGTCTTTATAATCTTACAAAAGATGAACCGTCATTATTGCCATTGGGTTTAATATCTGTAATTGTTAATTGCTGTCTGGACGCTGTGGAATGCGGCGTTCATCAAGAGCAACTTGTTAAAAACGGTCTAATGATTTTATGCTCTGATTACATTTTAAATAACGTTGTAAGTAAAAATACTTTAATCGAGTTATGCTTAATCTGCTTTTTCAGCGTTTTGACAGGTATCGATGTTTAAAAACAGTTCTAGATGTCATGTTAGTAACAAACAATGAAGGAATAATTCGAATGTCCGTGGCCATTTGTTCAATATTAGCTTCTCAGGTAAAGTTTTTTCCAAAAAATTTAAACTAACAACTTTTTTTACAGTTAACAACAAAGCAAACTGCCAAATTATGTAAAAACTCAGAATATATTACAAAAATGATTGCTTTAGTAAAATCTAAAGTAGAGCCATATTTAAATGTGGACTATGTTTTACGATTTACATTGAGTGCTCTTTGGAATATTACTGATGAATGCTTACAAACTTGTAGAACATTTATCAAAAAAGGCGGTCTTGATGTTTTTAAACAGGCTTTAGAGGTAAAATGTAAAAGGGAAAATATTGAATATTGTTAATAGTTTATTTTCCGTAAAGAAAGTAGATTCACTATCCGTTGATGACCCCTTTGTCAGCACCGAAACAAAACTTTTTGGATTGTTGGTAAGCAGTTATAATTCATTTTATTATAATGAATATACTGAATTTCTATTTATTAAATAAAAAATGTTAGAACAATATAGCCGAAATTCCTGAACTAAGAATACACTTGTTAATTGATGAAGATTTGATGAATGCAATAATTCAAAGACTCAAAAAGTCGAATATTGTCTCAATTGCCTATTTCGCAGCCGGGATACTTGCAAATATAATTATCGGACGTATGCTAAAACAGTCTTCCTGTAAAGACCTCTATTTTCATCAAAGATATTTTTTTAGACGATTTTTCAGGAAATGAAAAGTTTACGACATTAGTGTTTGTGAAAAAAAGATCTGAATATGCTAAACTCCTTGTAAGTTTTAAATGTTTAAATACGAAAAGTATCATATCGCAAATTATACTTAAAGGCAGAGTCTGTTGAATCATGGCCGGAACAAGAAACCGAAGTCGTTGCTTATAGATCGTTCAAACCATTTATACCTCTTCTCCGAAATTCTGAATTTTATGGAGTACAGTTGTGGGCTTTATGGGCAATAGAACACGTTTGCAAGTTGAACAGTTAGACTAAATTTCATTGTTGACATGACACGATTATGATTCTTTAATGTTTTAGGCAAGAGATATCTTCCAATGTTTCAAAGAGACGGAATTCTCACAGTTTTAAAAAAAAGGCTTGAAAACTCATATCACATGTTTGGAAACGAAAGATTAAGAAAAAAAGCAAGAGACGTTATTATATTCTTTGAAGAAAATCGAAATACTTGTTAAATATCTAATATATATACTTTTATTTATCTTGTTTCTGCAAAAATTCCTTCAAGGCGGGAAAGACAATTTTAAAGATATTTTTGAATCAAAAAAACATCTAAGTGACTTTTTACCAGCAATTTTAGGAACATTTTCAAAAGATCTATTGAATACAATAAGCAGTATTTTATTCGTTTAATATAAAAGACATTTTTACAAAAAATGATAATAAAAAAACAGTAAAAGTAAAACGACTAGCTAGCTAAGCATCAATTAGTTTTTATATAATGTGATGTATTTTTTAATATTATTCATATATAATTATTCATACTATAAAGTTCCATAGTTAAAAACTAAAGTTTCCAAACACCGGAATTTTTAATGAGAAAAGGGGAACTGTAGTTCGATCAAACGGTAGAAAGAGTTATTCATGTTTAGCGAAATTTTACCAATCCTCCATGTTTTCTTCGTTTGAATTAGTTAAAAAACTCATCCAATTCCCTATATGAAATAGTAATAACTATAAAAATTTGTTTGGGGGCTTATGTTCCAATAATTCAGATCTACGGATAAATCAGTCCTTTGATATTTGGTCTTCCAATTTATTTATTTATTGATCATTGAGTTGCGACAGTCATGATAATAAATAATTATGATAAGTTGCTAAAAAATAAACTTCATTGGTTTAGATGTTTCTAAATCATGCTTGTGTTGGAAAAACTTTCATTGAAAGATGATTTTTGTAGAAGAAATTTCCATTTAAAGCATCAGTTTTTCAGTCTGTTTTTAATATGTAATTAGACAGCTTTCAAATAATTATGAAACACACCGAATGTTCAAAACCATGAAAACTTTTTGTTGAAAAATATTTGTTATCTAAAGAATTTAGAAAAAGATTTTTTTACAAATATATTTTTTTAGAAATTCAGACACAATTATTTAGACACGGATACATTTATTTTCGATTATTTGTAACAAAATTCAATTGTACATTGAACTTCAATCGAAGCCTAAAAAAGATCAATAACTTCAGAAATGTATATTTTGGAGAAAACATCAGAATTCTGAAAGTGATGTAACATAAATAATGATAAACTGAACATCTTTAAAAGAAGTAAGCCTTAGAACCATTTAGAGAAAGCTAAAAAGGCAATTTCAAATTCAAAAGAATCAGGGAAAGAACAGTTGTCATCACTAAAGATTGAAAACAAAGTGATTAGGGAAAATCTAGACTGATTTAGTTAGCCAACTGGACCTGATGATTTTAGAAAATAGACTAACAATGATGAAAAACAGGTTAGGGTGACGCAAAATATGGGGAGAGCGGAGTATTGAAGTAGGTTTTGATATTCTCTGATGACATATTCGGAGTTTCGAGGAAAAGGAAAAAAAAATGCCGAAATTTCATTGTTGAAGATGTTTTTCCTGTTATAGAAAAGATTGAGACAAAAATGGGCGAGAAGTGCATCTTCCAGCCAGAAAATGCTAGATATCATTCAGAAAGAGCAACAGAAAGGGCCTTTAAAAAGAATGAAATCAAGACTACTGATTGGCCAACAAGGAGCCCTGACCTAAGCCCAATCGAGAACATGTGGCACCTAACATAAATAATGGTCTATAAGGAGCCACAATTGAAGAATTTAGGTAAGTTTTTACATAATTTTTTGTTTTTATAATATGTATTGTTCTGTTGATTTTTAATCTATTATTGATAATAATAATAATTGGAGCAGGCGGTATGATGTTCATTTTTTTAACTTCTTTTTATAAACACTATGCCTCATTACCATGTAAGTTAGATAACAAGTAAGGTTGCCTTTTTACAATCTCGTAGGAACACTTTTGGATTTTCATCCAAAATTCCTTCTCAGATTCGAAATGTGCACTCTCATAAACAAGTTTTTGGTGAGATGCCACATAGAGTGAATTTGGCTGAGATCAGGTCTCTTTGCAAGCCAATCAAGAGGGTGGATCCATTTATCTCAAAGTATTGGCCAATGCAGTTTTGCATTGTCTTGATAGAAGATGTTCTACCTCTCCGCTTTGACTGATATGTCTTTTATTATAGGCAGAACATCTTCCACAATAAAACTGCTATAGTATTCAGGTTTTTCTTCATCCTCCATTACACAAATATTCAATTAGATGTTATGCGTTTCTATCAATTACTCCATCTCTGCCGATATTTTTCATTGTGATCCCTGAAAAGACTTCACAATTTTCACAATCATTGGTTCTCAAGTTATCGGGGTCACTCAGTGAAAATCTAGCCCCGTCGGTGAAAATTATTTTAGACTAGTCTAGATGTTGACCTCACTCGTTTATACTTGAAATTTTGTTTTTTACAGATCTTTCTGAAATGTTAGTTGTAGTAAAATTTATCAACCTTTTATCAATATAGAAAAAATTGATGTTTACGAAACATATGTTGCTGTTAATAATAACAAATATTATCTTTTTATCAATTATTTTTTTGATATTACTTTAAGTATATATAAATTTAAATAAAAAATACTTATTTCGGGGGAAAAAATATTTTGACCTTTTTTTTAAATTTGGCTTTTTAAGATTTAGAGTGTTTATGCTGATTACTCTATATTTGAAAAGCCGAAAGTTTCTAACCGTATGGAGCGATCAAATATATAAAATCAGGAAAATTACATATTTACCCATAGAAATCAAATTGGTCAAAAATCTAGCAAGAAACCAAAATATTAACACTCACGTTCTTCTTTGTATTTTTTGTAAATACCTTCCATAGAAATATCAATATAAAATCTAGATCGAAAAATATAAATAGATTTTAGCAAATTCTTAAAAAAGAAACATGTCTTAAGTTTTAAAACTAAAATGGTCTTTAAACGAAATTAGAATTTAGGCGTAAAACATTTTTAAAAAATATTTTTATTTCTGCTAATGTAAATTCAAATATTTTTTTCAAAATACTTGTTCTTTATGATATCTTAACTTGATCCTACACATTATTTGGAATAAGTGTAATACGGAGATTTTCAGACGATAAATCTGTTTTACTTACAATAGACTACCGTTGGGTAAAATTTCACAAGTCAATTTATTAAACAAAAGCAAAAAATGTATTTTTAACAGTTTAACCAAAATAATAAGCTTTTAACTTTTCCTACAAATTGTTATATTTACCAATTTAGTATGTTTTTATAACAAAATATAATTTTTAACTATGTAGAATGTCGTTCCGTATGGGAAATTTGAAGGTGGGGAGAAACTATATTAAGATTAACCATTAAAATCTTTTTATACGAAGTTTTTGATTTAAAACAAGTATTTTCAATCCTTTCCTTCTGGAGAAATTTCTGTAAAAACTAATTGAATGGCTTTTTTTTTACATATTATCAACATTTGTCATGTCTATTAAAAGGCAGCCTAGTAGTCTCTTTAAGAGATTAGAAAAAAAATTGACTTGATATATTGCACAATGATAAAAACATGCCAAAAATATCAGAAAACATGAAAAGTGACATCGAAAAGTGTTTGTTAAAAACTATTTCTAAATGCCCTTTTAGTAATAAGATACAATACAATTAAAGAGTTATTATTACTATTGTATTATAATACAGTTAAATAAAAAGAAAATGTAGTTTATAACTTTATCTCTACGTAAAATAGGTGACATCCGAAAAATTGCTCGTATCCTAAAATTCCTCAAACAAGCCGTTTAAAACTTTAGTAGTTTTTGTCTATAATTGTATTTTAAATTACTTTTTGATCATTCCGAACATACAACATTTAAACATTCAACTTAGTTTTTCTTTTTAAACGTTTTTAACATCTCTTCCAAATCTTCCTCCAACTTGAAGTAGATCATGGGCGATTCTCTTTTTAAAATCAGCATCACTGCTTCTCTTCTTTCCAAATCTACCACCTCCCCATCCATAATCTGCGTATGTTTTTTGTCGTTTATCTCTTCCAGAGCGAATGATTTCTAAAGCTTTATTGAAAAAAATTTTACATTGCTCCAAATCTGTGTTTTCATTAGCAGTCTCAGTAGCTGCACTGAAAACTAATGAACACACTAAGATAGCACCCAAAACAGTGATAAGTTTAGAACTTAGCATTTTAACTCTCTCACTTTGCTAAAAATGTTTACGAATGTTTTTTTTCAACATATTTATACTGTTACATTTATTGTTATTCAAAAGAGGTTTATGTTAATTCTTCTACCAATAGGACTTTTCATTTAAAATACCAATAATACTTTTGCTTTGTAATTATGTCACTGTATGGTTTTCGCCTTTAATAACATCTCTAGCGTGAAAAGGAAAACCGTAAGAGTTTAAATTGTAAGGAGGTTTCTACGCTTTGCGTGACGCTTTTTTGGGTAGTCAGAAATAGGCGATAAAATGATAATCTGATGTGGCAGTCTCGTTAAACAGTTTGGCTTTTCTTTCTTTTTTTACACGATACCATTTTAACTCCCTCTTTAGTAGAATTTGCCAACTAATAACCAAGGAATAAAAAATGAATTTAAAGAATTTGTTCATTTGACCTAAAATGTCCAGTCTGTCTACAACAGCCTGCTATCCAAAATTGTCAAAAAGTCGAGAATGGAAATATTCAATATGCCACTGTTTTAAATCTCCAAAAATTTGCTGTAAGAGTGTTTTCTGCCCGTGCTGGGTCTTCGGTAGGACAGCTGAAAAAGTTGACGAAGACTGCTTTTGCTGTGGTTGTCTTTGGCTTCTTGCGTTTCCTGGTCTTTATGGTCATTTTCGTGTACGTGGACGAATTCGCGAATATCTTGATATTAATGTAAGTTATTTACGGTTTGTTTTTGCGCCATTTTCACAAAATATTGCCTACAATTGAATGCTCAGATCAGATTTGCTTTTCACGCATAAAGCATGATTGAATGGAATAAGTCGATTGATAATGGCAATCGCTGGTTTCTTAATATTTTTGATATTTTTAAAAATTTTCAACTTTCTGTTTTCTCGTTCGTTTGTCCTTGTTTAGTTTTTGGATCAATAACAAAAACATTGGGAGAAAATTTTAAATTTTGTTCTTGTCTCTTTTGTCTATGCTGCTTTGGTTGCTATGCTCACTATCGTGTCCGAGGGGTTTTAAGACAAAAAATGAATATTATGGTAATTGTTCAATACTTTTAAGAATTAAACTATTCGAAATTTTTTAGGGAAGCTGGAAAACCGATTGTCTGTACGCCTATTTTTGTGGACCATGCGCATTGATTCAAGAAGCACAAGAGCTCGAACAAAACCTTAAAGAAAAAAAAATCGAAAGATCATAACAATAAACTCTAAAAGTATAATTTCTAATAATCCGTAGTGTATACACATAAAATGCCTAATGCTAAGCCTTATATTAAATATTTTCAATAATAAACACTTCAGAAATATTTTTATATGATCAAGCGTTTTTTACTCGATCCCAATGTAGAGGTCCTCTTTTTCGCCATGGTCCTACTTCGTTTTTTCGTGGACTTAATTCACATTGAAGTTGCTGCCATCGTTGATCATTTTCTATTACACCTTTGTTTAAAACATCTCTTTTACCTTAAACAAGAATATATTTCAACTTACCTTCTTCACATTGTTGTTTACTTTTTGACAACATTTGTTGCTGTTGTTTCTCGATTTTATCAGCGTGGGTAAATTTCGATAAATGCTCATGTGCTTTTTCTTTCATGGGACCTGAAAACACAAATCAAGCCCAACATATAAAGCTAATGAATAATACCTGTTAAAGTCCCAGTAAGCTTAGTAATCAATTTAACCCTGAGATCAGAAAGGGATTCGTTAGGTCTTCTGTTGTTATCGCTGTGTGCTGAAGTACTTCCTTCATTTTTCGCGCTAAAATCGTGCTGTTGTGGCGAAAGTCTTCCATGATATTCATCAACAAGCCTTTGTAGTTTTGGAAATAGAAGGTTACTATCGTGTCGAATTTTTGAAAGCCTTCTGTTTGTTTTATTTAAAAAAATAGGTATTGTATGTAAAGAGGACACTTCGTTTGTGTCACTCATTTTCTCGCTTGGTTCGCTGATTATTTCAGGTGGTGCAAAACCAGAAAAGCCAGGATGTAGAAGCAAAGGCATTGTTTTAAAACAGTCGTTAGCGGGTTTGGGAATTTTGTCTATGACGGGAACCAGCAATGTTTTCGACCGATACACTCCTTCAATTGACTCATCCGGATTTATTTTCAGAATGTCAGCCTGTTCATCTAAAGCTTGAGTTTTTATGTCACTAAATGTATGACCACGAAATATCTTTCTACTATTTTGTGGTTTTACAGAATCAATTGTGTCTGAAGTCAATGGTCTTTTTGAGTTTTCCATCAGTGGCTTTTTCTTTATTTTTTTTTTCTGAACAGGCGGATTTGACCAAAGAGTTAGTTCTTTTTCAAGTACCTTTAAAAGCTTTTTTGAAGTTGCGGCTAAAATATTTATGCACTTACTTGATTTATGAAAAACATTCTCTGATTAAAATTCAGAACAACATTGCGTCGTCTCCTTTGACGATCAATTTTGGTTGAGTAAGCTTCTAGCTGCCTCTTTTCTCGAGGATTGGCGAAACATAGAGCTTCTCCCAAATCTGTTCCTTTAAAAGCCTTTGAGTAGTCTGGCATTTGTAGAGCATGAACGTTGTATTCATTTGGTTTCACAAAATCGACATTAGATATTGCTACATTTTTTGCACATTTTCTTTTTGCGAAGATTTTTTCAGACATGTTTCTCTTTTGTAGAATTTTTGATATTTAAGAGAAATTTAGTGGTGGATTAGTAATTTTTTCGATTATGATTTACTTTATATTAAGATTATTGATAATATTTTATTTTAATAATCCTTTCTTTGAGTTTAGATTACTAAGACATAATTAATATTCTTAAAGCCATTAAACTAAAGCCTATTTTTTTTTAGATCGAAATGTCTATTATACTTGTGTATTTATTGCAAAGAATATAGACATGATAATATTAAATATTTTAACGATAAAATATAGACAAATTTTATTTTTGTCAGTCATTTTAATTTTTTATAATAATATGACATCCAATCAAGCCTATTCCAGTCCATTCTTTAGGTTTTAGCTTCAGAATTTTAACCTCACTTCCACTCCGAACTCTCAAAAGAATAGTTTTGTTCTTACTGTGCTGAACAATTTGAGCCACAGATGATAAACCATCAAAATTATTTTTTGTCATCGATCCGAATTGTAAAATTTCGTCTCCTGGTTTTAAACCGGCAATAAAGGCCGGAGATTGTTTTTCAACTGAAGATATTTTTAGAAAACCTTCTTTTGTAATAGAGTTATCTAGCTTTTCCATTTCCTTAGCGATTTCATGATTTTTATGTGAATGCAAATCATATAGAATGTTTTCAATGATTTTCATTAAATCCTTGTAATCATTTTGTAAACAATTAATTTTATTTCTGACAATTCTTGTTGATAAAATGTCAATGTCAGATCTTGGGAATCCCTCGTTGTCAATTAAATTTTCGGTTAAATTCGTTCCTATCTAAAAAAAAAATTATTGGAAAAATACAAAGTAGATAGATAGTCTTACCATTTTTAATTCGTTATGTAGAGTGTTTAATTCATCTTCCATTGAAGCCTTTTTCGACATTAAAGCAGAAATGTTTTGAAAATCAGACATGGTCAATATTTGAACGAAATGTTTTCCACTTATTTAAAATTGTGATATCCATTCACCGCCATTTTGCTACCTTCAACATTAGTCTAATATACAGGACGAAAAGCTTTTAAAAAAACTGCTGTGATGTAAACAAGTTTTAAATGAAGTATGTTTCCTAATATAAGAAAAATCTTTTTCTGTTCAATTTCAATAGTCTTGCTGTTATTTATTTGGAAAAATTATGTGACATTGCATAGTGGGAAAACTACTAAAGTTGCTGTTACAGAAAAAACTGTAATTTCTACTCACAATTTAAAATTTCCAAGAAATGTGTCAACAGTATCAGAATCAAACTTTGTGACAGACTCTATTCCCCTAAATGAAAATTCCTACTATACACTAGCTGATAAAGAGATAAACTCGTTTTATTTCAAATTTCTCTTTCCTCAAAAAGAGCTATGTTCAGATAAAACTGTATTCTTCATTGTTATTTTATCAGCAGGTATTATATCCATTTTCACGTTTTCCTTTTTTACCAGAAATTTTTTTCTATAGTTATGAATACCGTCCAACGTGAAGCCATTCGTAAAACATGGGCCTCTAAAGAGTCGAGTCATATTAAAAGTGGAGCTTATAAAATTTTTTTTCTCTTGGGTAACGTTGAAGCCGAAGGAACAGATTTTTGGATTTTTAAAGAAACCGAAAAATATAGAGATATTATCCAAGTAAATATTACTGACACGATGTCCAATCTTGTGTATAAATCTTTGGCATCTCTAAAGCTGAAGCGTGATCACTGCGGCACTGCATCCTTCTATGTAAAAGTGGATGATGATGTTCTACTTAATCTTCACAATTTAGAAACTGCAATATCCAAAGCTAAAATGAAAAACTGGGGAATTATGGGGTCACTAAATATCCAAGATAAAGTCAAAAGAAAATATTCTAGAGCCGTCAGTAAGAAAACTTATCCATTCACGTTTTACCCAAAGTACGAAACTGGTGCATGCTATGTCATTACTAAAGATCTAATTGAACCATTAATATCAGCATCTAAAAAAATGAAAACAATAAAAAGTGAAGATGCATATATTACCGGTATATTGGGAAGAATGCTAAAAGTTAAACATTATAAACAGGAAGGGTTTTCTTTTTGGAAATCTTTGATTTCAAAAGATGAATGTGAATTCATTAAAGGAAAAATTTCCCTTACAAATTTTGAATCACCAAAAAAAATGGAAGAGTATTGGCACAAAGCCCAGATGTGTAGCTAATACTTGAAAGAGTGTGCTATGTTGAAATTGGAAATTTTGTTATTTTTTTATGCTTGATAAATAATGCTTTATTGTCACTATTATGTTCATTTCTTGTAAGCTGGGCTTTTATTTTATAGGTTTCGCAAAATGATTCGGAGCGATTGGTATTACCTTAAATGGATCTGTCTTTTAGCATTTACAACTTGGATACTTTTAGGATGGATTAAGAGAGACTCCAAGATCATTTTGCCTCATAATGGACAATTGATACATACCGACATTTTCAATGAAACAAGGTTGAACATTTCTAAGCTGCTTGCTAAGAAAAAGTTTGAAAAGAATAACAAATACGTTATTGATAAGGATTACAAATTCGCAAAAACATTGAAAAGAGAAAATAAAGTACTTTTCTTCGAGTTTAAAATTCCGGAGACATCACTTATTTGTTCAAATGAAACAGAATATCTTATTTTGATCCATACGAATCTTAAACATTTTGAAAAAAGAAAAATTTTACGGAGTTCTTGGATTAAATTTGCTAATCAATCAAAAGTATATTTTTTCATTGGTACGCATTTAAACGAAAAATTGAAGCTTGCTATTATAAAAGAAGCAGAGGAATTCAAAGATATTGTTCAAGTAAATATAATTGAGTCTTATAGTAATTTAGCTTTAAAATCAGTGGCAGCTTTGCACTTTAAAGATACATTTTGCCCTTCATCTAAATATCTGATCAAAATTGATGACGACGTTATTCTGAATTTTGAAAATTTAATTAAAGCTGTAGTTCAGTTAAAGTTTACACAGTGGGGAATACTAGGTAAAACAAATATTAAAAGCAGAGTACACCGAAATGGAAAATGGAAAAATACTAATTATCCATATAACTTTTACCCCATTTATGAATCAGGCTTATTCTATATGATGACAGCTGATTTGATTCGACCAATGATTCAGGTTTCCGAAATAATTGAAATCATTCCGATTGAAGATGTTTTTATAACAGGTATTTTAGCCAATTGTTTAGGGGTTAGACATTATTTTGCAAGAGGATTTTGTTCTGCCGAAACTGAAGTTCAGGATCCATGCTCATTCAAAAAAAGTGGAATCACACAAACAAACTTTAAAAATCTTTATCAGTTGAAAATTTTCTGGTTTAAAATTATGAATTGTTGAAACAAAATTTTTTAATACAATAAGTAATAACGATTCGCCACAGTTGTAATCGATAGATCAACATTAGGCCTACACGCCATTGGTCGATTTTTTCTTGATATCAAACACTGATCCATAGCAACGGCCAACGCTTTATTATACCTTTTATATACTCCTTTAAAACAACCAGCCCAAAGTCATTAATTGTTGATTTAAAACTAGTTAAAATATATTATGTCTGCGCGAAAAATTAGCAAGAAAAGTTCTTTTAAATCTACTGTAAATGAATCAGAAAAAAACAAAGTTGTCAGTGTTGACTTATCTGGACAAGGATTAACTGCAATTGCAAATTCTATATTAGAAAGAACCGAAATTGAAAGACTTAATTTGTCGTCTAATAATCTTCGAGCTTTAAACTCAGACGTCAAGAAATTAGTAAACATTACTCATTTGGATTTGAGCCGAAACACTATTAAGTGTAGTCACGCTCATGATTATGGAGGGTTACCTGCAGAGCTTGCAAAGTTAGGTAATATAATCATTTATACAAAAAAAAATTCTGTGGTATACTCTAATTTAATTTCAGCTCATTTGGAATATTTAAATATTGCTGAATGTAATTTCACAATTATACCTCCGACAATTTGGCTCCTTAGGCGATTAAAAAAACTAGATCTTAGTAGAAACAAAATAAATGTTCTTCCCCCCGATGTTGGACAGCTATCAGGTCTACAATGGTTTGCAATACAACATGCCAACCTAAGCACCCTACCTCCGGAAATTGCTCTTTGTCAGAATTTGGAACATTTAATACTTTGGGGTAACGCTATTGATTCTTTACCTGAAACATTAAAGCAAATGCGACGCCTTAAATGTCTGGAACTGAATTTACGATCTTGTGCAGCTGTAATAGATGATTATATGATGAAATTATTGAAAGGTACATAATTGTGCCATGTGAACATGACGAATATTAGTATTTTTGTATATCTCTAAAATATCCCTTTTTCTTTCTCAAACAGATGGAAAATGTGAATCGACTCACATTCCAGCTGTTCTCTTTGACATTCCTGCTTTAGAGAGGCTTGATTTAGATGAATGTAAGTCAAACTCTCTTCCTGAGAGCAGCTCTGCAATGAAATTAAAATATTTATGCCTATCAAACAACCTATTTCAAAAAGTTCCACCTGTAATATGCACAATGAAGAATATACAGTCGCTAGATTTATCAAAAAATTTTTTGACTACTCTTCCTCCTGCCTTGACAGATTTATCCAACTTGAAATTGCTGAACGTTAATTCGAATGAATTAGAAAAACTCCCTACATCCATATGTAATCTGAGTCGTCTTAATAGTTTAGACATTTCGAACAATAAATTATCAATTTTACCTGAAAATATAGGAAATCTAAAACGTCTAAAGCAACTGTTATGCAGCAAGAATCGACTGCAAAATTTGCCATTTTCAATTTGCAATTTATTCAAATTGCATACGCTTGATATAAGCAATAATGAGCTATCAAGCTTACCAAACGATATGGCAAGTCTAATTGGAATAAAGTCTGCTCATTCATACAGAAAGCTACATATTGACGGTCTATGGCTTCATGGTAATCCTTTGACTCAGCCTCCTCCTCAGATATGGAAAACTGACGATATTCAATCTATTTTTGATTATATGAAACGATTAAAAGTAGATTATTGTGAAATTGAATTTTAATTATTAATTTGTACCTAATTTGTTGCTATTTCCAGATAAGTGAAACGCCAAATTTGCAGCCTTTGAAGACTATCATTCTTGGCAATTACCAATGTGGGAAAACTTCTTTTCTAAATACAATGATCACAGGGAAAGGTTGCAAAACTACCTCAATCACGGACAGCACAGAAGTTCTTGAGAGAACTCTGTGGAGAACTTCAAACAACGTAGATTTTCTTTTCATCGAATTTGGTGGTCATGATGTATATGAGACAGTTTTAAGACATTTTATGGACAAAAATGCGTTGTATATCATTCTCTACAATCATTCTACATATCAAACTGAAAATCATTACGATCACATAGGTAAATATCTTGATTTAATACGTACTCATGCTCCAGGAGCTGTTGTCAAAATCATTGGTGCCAAGTCTGATGAATGGAGGGATATTAGCCGAATGCCTGAGATCGTTTTGAAAGAAGTTGAAATGAATTTACGAGACTATGAAGAAAAAGATAAACTAAGATATGAAGAAAACATTAAGAACTTAAAGTCACTTAATTGCGAGTATGTTCTTTTTCTTATATAGCAATTTTGTTCATATAATTTTTTAAACAATTGCTTATTCAGTAAAGAGTATGAAAAGTTGAGGGGAATCATCGAAAAGCCAGTGAACATCATTCCAGGAATAGTTTACACTTCTGTTATCGACAAAGTTCGAAACATATTAGATTTTGTTAATGAATTGGAATTAATAGCTATTAATAAGGAGTTATTTCCACAAAACCAACGCTTTGTTCCTCAGTCCTGGAAATTATTTCGATCAGACTTAAGTCGAAAAGACAATTTGTTTATCGAGATAGACAATGCAAGAAAATTAGCTGAAAACAGGGGAATAAAAAAAGATGACTTTTCCTCAATGTTACAGCATATGCAACTCTCAGGGGATCTTCTTTGGCCAAAAAAGATATCATCCTTGGAAAACTTTCTTTTTCATAAACCAACAGACTTAGTACAAAAAATGCGATTTTTATTCCGATATAATTTGGATAAGTTTTTAGATTTAGGAGCGGAGTGCGTTTGGTCAGCCAAAGGGCTTTTTACGGAACAAACTATGGAGATAAGCAGAAGAGCAGTAAATTTTAGAAAACGTCTTTTGATTAAAATAACAACTATCAATATTTGTTTACAGATTTTGGAGGCAGGACAGCTGTCTTGGCGAGCTGCTCGTTGTTTTTTTTTTCACGATAAAAATCTAGACAGTGAAAGCGAGCTGAGAACCCTCTTGAACATTTTAGAAAATTTTGGTTTCTGCTATGTTATCCCACCTCCAAGAATTCCACCTCCTCTTTCTCATTTCGTTCCTGCTGTAGTTGTACCTTCATTAAATACAATACCGAATGGCAACAATCCTGATTGGTGGTGTCAAGGAGAGGATTTTAAGTGCATGAGAATAATTTTTCCGTTAAAACCTATACCTAGGTCTTTTTTTTATTTTTTGGCTTGCAAAGTTCAAGCGTTGGTTGAATTACGATCGGATACATGTTTATGTATAAGAGCAAGAACAATTGATCAAACATTTATAAAACTTGAAATTCAAGAAGATAGAAAAGAGTTTTTTTTTAAGTTACATGGCTCAGAAGACGTTTTCACTAATCTTCAGAGTTTGATTTTAGAAGCTGCAAATTACTATGAGGGAATTATTTACCTTGTAGACTACGATTAATTATAGTATGTACGAGTAGTTTTAGACCTATTTGTTGTTTATTAAGCTCTGAAATTTACTTGCTAAGAAGTTCAACCCTTTCATAAATATGTATGCAATCAACAATTGAAACTGCTATGTGAAAAGTTAATTTTTATCTTTCATCATTTCTCTGCACATATCATTATTTTTCTTTGGTAATGGATAAGAGACTCCAGGTGAAACTAATTCTCTCTTCCTTCTGTGAGTGTATCCCTTTAAGCCTCTTATTTTTTCACGTGTGGTACTCACATGCTTAATATTAACTGTAGGTCTTGACATTTGCAAACAACTTTTTAGTTTTTCATAAAAGTCAACATCTGAATTGAAATTGATAATGCCCGTAGCTTCTAATTTATGTTCAATCATGCTAAACACTGGAGAAGCTATCTGAAAAGTTGAATGCAATGAATATGCACCAGTGTTCATGATTTCAGTATGGGCATTTTTGTTCCATAAAGAAATTGAAATTAGGCCAGATAAATCCATAGATATTGACCCCATAACATCATAAATGACAACAATACCATTGCTTAGTTTTATAAATTCTCTCCTATCCTGCAAAAGCATGTTTGCTTGCAGAGCAGAAGTCATAGAAGATGGTGCGCTCCAAACAGCCGACATTAAACCACTCCGACCTGTAAAGAATGTGATTGGTCGAAAAGCAACTCCAAGCATATCAAGTGCCAATCCAGCGGTAACAACTGAGTCATCATCAGATTCTTCTCCTAACAAGCTTTCCACTCCAGCTGAAAATAAGCCAAAGGAATATATTGAGTTACCGTTCAAATCAACATCCATTCCTGATCTTTTCATCACGCCTGTTCTGGTATTTTCAACATACATATCATACACTGAATCAAATGTTTCGGATCTTGCTAAGAAATTATGAAATGATAGAGACTTTCCTTTAGTAGCTAACCCATCGTAAGTATTTATTCGAGGGGAATTCTTCAAAGCTTTACTTATAAGTTTTCCTAAATTATCATTGTTTGAACTTTTGTCAAACAGAAGTGCCTTTGTAAAAGTGGCCAATTCAGTGTTATATGGATCATTTAGACTTTGAATTATTTTTAGGACATCTTCATACGATATATTATTTTTAATCAAATACCGAAGAGCTTTTGATCTAACGGCTGTATCATAACCTCTTGATTGTTGATGGTAAATATCACTCAATATGCTCAAGTCCTTTTCGTTTAATTCTTTCATCTTCCTGAGAGCTTTTAAAGCAGCTTCATTTACATCTAGTGACTTATGGGAACTTGCTAGGTTCAATAAAACTGGAATAGAAGATTTCTGGCCTGCATTTCCTAATGCTCTTATAATAATGAGTGTACATGAAACATCTTGACAATTCTTTAAACGATCTTCAAATATTTGTAAAATTTCCCTCGTTTTTTTAGAGACTTTCTGTGAATTGCTACTGTATGTATATAACACAGCTCCTAAAGCCCCCGCAATACTTTCCTTAATTTTTTCATCTTGAACATTTGATAAAAAAAATTTTAGGAGAATATCTAAAAGGTCTTCACTAGGGTGTGTAGAAAATGCTATTGCTAAAAGAAAGCGCTCAGCTAAAATAGGATCATTCAACTCAACAATTTGGAGTACGGCATTTAAGGATTCTTTAGTTTGAGCTGCTGAGCAAGCGTCCACTAAAATATCTCTAATATCTTTATGTTTTTCATTAGTAATTAAATTCGTGATCTCTTCCTGTGTTGAAAGTCTCAGTATTTGAACTAAAGTACCGAAAGCTGAAGCCGATTTTACCGTTGCCATATGCTTAAATTCTTGTTTTAGCTTTCCTACAACTTCAGATAGAGTCTCTGATTTTTCTACGTTTTCAATATCCGCTTCGATTGATTCTTCAGTTACTAGAAATTTCTTATTTAAGTGTTTTAAAGCCTCATTAATAGTCTTAACATTAATCTGCCCTCCAAAAGGTTTCTTATTGATTATTTTTAAATCTTGCTTAACAACGACTTGACTAGATACGCTAGATATCAAGTTTGTAAAAGATTCATAATTTTCATTAGAAGAAACTTGAATAAGTTCTTTTTCATTTGTAAATTTGAAAGCAGAGGAAAATTCTCTTTTTGTTGTAATATCAAACAACTAAAATTTTTAAAATAAATAAATTTTAAGTAATTGATAATAATAACCCACCTTATGAATATTCTTAAATTCTTGTGCCTTGCTACCGGTGGTGCAGTTTTTTGACGTCTTAATAAGTTCTTCGCCTTTGTTCAAATAATCATAGAAACAAGAGCCACGCACATCAGTTACACTTGAATCTGTTTGTTCTATGGTAAATAATTTTAATAGCTTCTTTGTTCAAATAGTCAAAAGTGGCGAAATTTAAATTTTTGAAATTGGAATAATATCTACTGTATAATTAAGATATTTTAATTTACAATTTGATCTAAGCAAAATAAATCCTATTGAAAATTCTTCTTACCTGTACTTTGAATTAAAGACAATATCCCTCTCTTTAAATTTAAGCTAAGTCTTGAATCCTCTTTTGCACCAAACAAGCGAGTCATCCTTCCGTGATGCCACAAGGAGAATACAGGATATTTTGTTATCGAATTAAGCGATCTGCTTGAATCTGCTTTAGATAAACTGGATAATTTCGGGTTTGAAAGGGATATCTTCAAAAGTGTCGAATCAGCTGCTGTCCACAAAGGGCACATTTCAATCTGACATTGTAAACCGAATCCTATTACTGAATCAGAATTGGATGAAGGATCTTTCAAACTTGTTGTTGTTTGGTAGTCAAAAAAATGAGAATTCTTGTCCATAGTCCATGGTAATCCTTGTGATTGGACCAGTGGAAAAGCTATTGCATCTGATGCAAGTAACAATTTTTATTACCCGTACTTTTCGAATACTAAAAAGAAAATTACTTACAAATTCTAAAAAATAAGGCTAAAACAACACAGTAATAGGTATCCATGTTTGTGCCACGCACAAATTGTGTTACGCAAAAGCGGACCGACCGAACCACTGAAACAAAGTTCGAGTTCAAAGTTCAATCGGCGTTAGCAGTATTAAACCGGGATATCGAGAGATAAATCGCTGTAGGTTAAAAATACAACTCTAATCAAGGAATATTTAAGTAAGTTTTATAACTAAAATGGTTAGCATTAAACTATTGTTAGCTTTTGACTTCAAGTTTCAAAACATTGCTTTCGCTTAGTAGCTAACAGTATAACTGAAGTTAAAACCACAATGTAATGTACCATCCTTGACTGATACATATTTTGATGGAAACATAGTTTGAATCACTTTTTGATCAAGATAGAGTATCAGATAAGGTTCTTAATTTAAGCAGTCCTCGATAATAGAAAAATTTAGGATAAATAACAAATTCTTCTACGTGTAATAATTTTCTAATCATTTAACAGCAATTGATTTTTTTCGTCCTATAAATAATTGAGGTAATGATGGTATAGCAAATACTATATTCACTTTTTTGTATTATAGAAATACTTTTCTCACATTTGAATATTATTTTATTCCACGGGTATGTATTTATAAAGTCACAGAACATGCAATCTGTGAATCTTGCCAGTGATTGAAAATAAAAAACCCAACCAAGCCAACCAACACCTAATATCAAGTCAGTCTGAGTTTTGTCTTGTAAGGTAAACAGTACGTGTTTCCGAGCTAGCATGTCAATGAGTAACTTATTATTTAGTTTTTCAAAGACTGTGTATCACGTTCTTTCTTTTTTCTTATATAATGATAGTTGGGAAGCATTTTGTGAAGGAAATCCAACTGTAAACTCTGAGGTTGAGGTCTATCAAATTGAACTCGTCTTTCGCAATTCGATCCAGAAATTATTAAATTTTCTTGCAAAACTTCTCGATTAAAGATAGAACAGCCAGCACCAACTACACAACCATTAGTCAATTCTGTTTCTCTACCTAGTCTTGCTTTCGACTCGATAATGTTGTTATCACCAATTTTTAAAGCCTCAGAATCTGTTTTTGATTTAAATTAATCAAAGAAAATAGTCTTCTATATACTTACAACATCCAACTTCAAATAAATTAGAATTCCCGATTATAACCACAGTCTGATTTGGTGTTTCATCGATTTTTCTATCGAATATTTTTTAAAATAGATATATAACATTCTAAAAGTCATACCTATTATAAATTTCAGCTCTCTCTTCAATTAAATTGTTTTCTCCTATTATTATAGGGCCAGCATCAGCAATTATTCTTGCTTTTGGGTGAACTATGCTTCTGGCGCCTAAAAAAACGAATGTCAAATAATTTTTAATAAAACTTTATATATATATATTTACCGATAGTTACATCGCCTTGAATATCGCAATCCAAGCAAACTAAAGCTCCTGGGCCAAGTTTAATGCTGCAAATTGAAGGAGCGATAATAAGAGAAGTTGTGTCAAAATGGTTCTCAAGTTAGAATTTAGAAAGTCTCTTTACAAATTATTTTCGTGATAACTTTACACAATTTATACCTGGGCTTAGTCATCTTGCTACTCGATTATATTTCTCTTTATGAAAATATTGTAACGTTAATCTCTGTTTTCTAGTTTGCTGTTTTTAAAGATGGCGCTAGTAGTATATCAATTAAATTATTTTAACCTAATGTTATAAAATTTGTCTTACATTTTAATACAACAGACTACTAACAGTTTTTATTTTTAAAATTTAATTTTTACGAAAGATAGCCATTGAATTTAGCAAACGGGTAGTAATGTTAACCAATCGACATCCGATAATTTTTATTCATCTTACCAATTTACTAAATTTAATAGATATTTTTATCTCTCATTTTACAGCAGAATTTATGAAATCCTATGAATTCCTTATCGTTTGCTCGATATATACAGATTTTCATTAACACTAAGATCGATCTATACCCAGAAGTTAAAATCTCTCTTTTGTGACTTACATCAGGTACTAAAAGGATGTCTTTACATTTGGAAACCAAGGAAGCAGTGGAAAGTTTAGAAAAATTATCCTTAAATGCTAATAATGAAATACCAGAATTAAGAAGCTTGATATGGCTTTTAGATAGTGTTTTATTTAAAAAAACTACACACATTCAAGATTCTTTGCAAGAACTTAAAAGGGTTTGCTTTGGCATTTTTTACATATTATTTTCTTCGTATTTACTTGTGGATTTTTGATTTACAGACTTCCATAGAAAACCATCATTTAACTGCAAATGACTTTGATATAAGCACTGATGGCAGCTATATTTCTCTTTTGAATGAAGAGAAAGATGATTTCCAAACGGTTAGTTAGAAATATACTTGTATACAAGAAACTTTTGACAATTTTTTTTGCAGAGAATACGAAAGTTAGCCGGCAATAGAGAAACGTATTCTGTAAAATTGTATAAGAAAGAGAATTCATCATTAGGGTTCAGTGTTATTGGACTCCAAGACCCTCAAACTCTAAACTTTGGTACATTTGTTCAAGATATCTCTCCTTTTGGCCCTGCTGCTCAGTGAGATTTTTATCATTTGAGGAAATTAGTTTTCTCAAATTCATTTTAAGCTTCGTTACAGAGAAGGAGGTCTGCAAGAGAATGATCAAATTCTAGCTATTAATGGAGAACTACTAACAAACAACCAAACTCATGCTCTGAATCTGCTCCACGCAGCTAATGGGGAAATAAACTTAGTTATTGCCAGAACAGTGTTAGTTACTAATTACTCTCCATCTCTCGATGCTCTGGTATGCAATTTCTTGCTAAGAAAAAACAGTTTCTTTTATTTTTTTGTTTCAATAGAATACATGCGAGCTTCTGGCAGTTGAAGTTGTTGATCTTGTAAATGACGGTAATGGTCTAGGGTTTGGTATTATGGGAGGCAAGTCAACAGGCGTTGTAGTAAAAACAGTTGTTGAAGGAGGGGTAGCAGATAGAGATGGACGATTAAAGTCAGGCGATCATCTTCTTCATGTTGGAGAGTGGTCTGTTAGAGGGATGAACTCTGATAAAGTTGCTGCTGTTCTGCGCAAAGCAGGCACTCACGTTCGTCTGGTTGTAGCAAGACCAGTCTTAGACACTTCTCAGGAAATTCAAACTCCCCCATATTCGGTTGTTATTTCTAATGATAAATTAGAGGAACATTTACAAGGGTTGTATCATCTGGGTTTGGCAGAAAATTCAGCTAATGACTTAGATCCTGACGAAGAAGTTCAGTCTGATGAAATATTTTTTGATGTAAATTTGTCAAAAGACAATTCTGGACTCGGTATTACTATCGCTGGTCTGATAGGATCATCCGCGAATGGAAAGCTATGTGGAATTTATGTAAGACATATAACTCCAAATAGTGCCGCCGAATTGGACGGTAGAATTCAGCCAAATGATCGAATTGTTGAAGTAAATGGCCGAAGTTTAGAAGGTTTTTCAAATGCCCAGGCTGTAGAAGTACTTAAAGCTACTGGGCAAACAGTTTCTCTAAAACTTGCTCGCCCACGCCATGGAGCAACTCATTTAGCTGAATTGCAGCGTAGTTTAGCAGAAACGACTGATACGTGCTTAGAGTCATTTAAAACTCCCAATGAAGATGACTCATCTTTGAAAAGTTATTGGTGTCAGGCCTTGACTTTACAAGCTGATGAAGTTATCATAGCTCACGTTACAAAATTTAAAGAAGGTGGAGGATTGGGTGTAAGCCTTGAAGGAACTGTAGATGTTGAAGATGATGGAAAGGAAGTGCGGCCACATCATTATATTCACAGCATACTTCCTGATGGACCAGTTGGAAAAAATGGTTGTATTGAAGAAGGAGACGAATTGTTGGAAGTTAACGGCCAACGTCTTTTGGGATTAAATTACAAAGAAGTTGTGAACATCCTTAAAAGCTTGCCACAAAATGTTACTTTAGTGTGTTGTCGAAAAACTACCAGTTTACAAGGAAATATAAACCCAGGAAAAGTTGTTAAAGCTAAATCTGAAGATAATCTTTCAATTGAGAAACCGGGTGTGATACTTAGATGGCGATCTGCCGAACCTTTAACGTCCATAGCATTGTGGAATGAGAACATAACAGAAGTTAAACTTGTAAAAGCAGAGAAAGGTTTAGGTTTCTCTGTTTTGGATTACCAAGATCCGTATAATTCTAACAGGCTAATTGTTGTTGTTCGATCGTTAGTTCCAGGAGGTGTTGCACAAAGCGATGGCAGAATAGTACCAGGAGATCGACTAATGTATGTAAATGAAATTTCTCTTGAAAACGCTACTTTAGAGGATGCTGTAAATGCCTTGAAAGGTAGGTATACTAAAAAATGTAATATTTTTTTGTTAACTTATCGGAGTTTGTTTTAGGGGCTCCGTCCGGCGAGGTAAAAATAGGCCTCGTAAAACCAATTTCTCCTGATGTGCCGGACTGTTCTTTAAGTGATATTCCTTTGATGGAAAATTACTTATCTTCAACACCCATTATAAATAATATGGAATCAGAGCCTAAATTAGATAGAGATCAGGATGATAGTTTTCATAATTCGACGTAGGTATTATGTATTAATTAACTTCATATTAACTTGTCGTAAAAATTAGGGGGAGTAACCAGAAAACGATTGAAATACACCCAAGTATTAGGGATACTACAATGGGTCTGTCCCCGTGAGTAAGCAATAATTTTAGGGAACTGGTCCATGTATTTATATTTCAAACAGAGTGTCTATTCATTCTGAAGCGGAAACTGGTTTTAGTAATAGTCCATCACCTAAGTTGCGATCAACACAAAACTTACTTTTTACACCTCCTAAAACCGTCGTTGTTCGTAGGTAATTTCCAAATTTTAAATAAATCATTTTGATGCTACATTAAAAAAAATTTTTTTTCTTTTTTTTTCATAGGAAAATGAATGAATCATTGGGTATTAGCATAGTTGGAGGAAAACTGGAGTTTTTCTCAACGTCTAATATTTCTCCTCCTTCTTCACCTCAGTCACCAATTTCGGGAATTTTTGTTAAGCATGTTTTACATTCGGGACCAGCAGCAGGGCTTTTAAAAATGGGTGACCATATCTTGGAAGTAGACGGACGAGATATCCGTTATGCCTCTCATGATGAAGCTGTCGAAGCTATAAAATTATCTAAAACGCCAGTTACATTCCTTGTTCAAAGCATATCAGATCCATCTGATTCAAATCTAAATAGCTCACAAAAAATTGAGAAAGACGCTGAAAAAGGAAACACAATTGAGATGATTTCTGCGTCGAAACTATTTTCCAATCAACAAGATTCATCGTCTGTTGCACAGTACCCTTTACATCCAGCAAAAAATGAGACCAGCAGTAGTTCTTCAGAGAATGATTTAACAGCTGACTCTTACCAACTATATTCCATGGTTTCGGTTGATCAAACAAAGTAAGACTAACATTCTCAATTTATGAAATATTGATTAACTTATTTTCCAGATGTAAAAAATCTGAAACAGTTCCTACAGCGATAGATACTCAAAATTCTGAAATAGATAGCATTGATTTAAGTCAGATTATAATTAAAAAGATTTGAGAATGGTATAATTAAGTAAACATTTTCAGATGGGTCAAAGCTGAAATATCAGAATCTCTCAGGTGAACTGCTAAGACTGTCATTTGAAAGAGACAATCCAAGAAGTGAATTCGGATTGAGCTTAGTCGGAAATAAACATCCTGATAAACAAGGTGTTTTCGTGTCAGAAATAGACCCAAATTCATGGCTGTTAAAAGACGGCGGCCTGAAAATTGGGGACGAGCTTTTGGAGGCAAGTTACTTTATCATTAACTTGTATTGCTTAACGTAATAATTAGCAACTACTTGAATGATACAATTTTCAGATTAATGATAAGATACTATATGGTAAAAATCATTTGAATGCATCATCTATAGTGAAATCCATATCGAGTACAAATGTTAACATATTACTACTCCGGTAAATACGACAAAATAGTTTCTTTCACGTAATGTACCCTTTTTTACAGGCAATCTGATAATTTACCTGATCCTGGATTATCAAATACCTCAGAATTTTCAGTAAATGTTTAATTTCATTTCGTTTCATGTACTAAAATTAAGCTAATTTAAATATTTAGAACTCTCCTGATAAAGCTGAGAAAGAAGCAAAATGTTCATCAATAGAAAAAGACTTACAGGTAATTATAAATTAATTTAGATTGATAGCAAACTTACTAATGTGTTTGTTGTAGGACATGGTCAATTTTAATAAAATTACGGATGAAAAAGTATTGTATAAGCTTTAATATATCTAAAAGTGATATTCTCATTGTGATGCTTTAATTGTAGAGAGTATTCCTAGAGAGTTATGTCGATATTAAGAAAGTTCACTTGAATAAGGTAAAATCAGTTGTATTTGTTTCAACTACAATAGAGGATTTCAATTATTAGGAAACACAAAGAGATTTGGAATTCTCGGTTAAGGATGATACAGTTCAAGGGGTCAAAGGCGTCTATATAGATAGAATTACACAAAATTCTACAGTTTGTGACGAAATCAGAATTGGGGATCACTTAATTGCCCTGGAACTACCTGAAGGGATAGCTAAGCTTGACGAATTGACCTCCCAAGAAGCTACAGAAGTGTTGAGAAATATACCAGACGGTCCATTTAACTTGTACCTCGTACCATCATTGAATTCTAATCAAGAAATAGAAAGCACAGAGCAAACTGATCAGAAATTTGAAGAAGTTGACTTAAGTACTGTTCCAATTGCTGTTGGTAAGAAGACAACCATTACTATAGCGAAAGGAAAGAGTGGATTAGGTTTAAGTATTGTTGGTGGTGCTGACACTATGATAGGAGAGATTTTAATTCACGAAGTTTATGCAGAAGGAGCGGCAGCTAAAGATGGAAGACTTTGCGCCAGTGATAAAATTTTGGAAGTTGACGGGAAGAGTTTGAAGCACACAGACCATGATGAGGCTATTTCAATTCTTAGGCGAACTCAAGATGTTGTTACTATGGTTGTGTTTAGAGCAGATACATCTTTGTCACCGAGAAAATCCGATGATGAATCTTACACGACTTTCAACATTACATTGATAAAAAAACCTAACAAAGGACTTGGTTTAAGTATTGTTGGACGACGAGGTCAAGGCGGAGTCTTCATCTCAGATATAGTTAAAGGTGGTGTGGCGGATACCAATGGTCACCTTTACCCTGGGGATCGTCTCATGAGTGTAAATGGTGAGGATCTAAGAGACTCAAGCCAAGAAGACGCTGCAGCAGTTTTAAAAACATTGATGGGAAAAGTAACTCTCACTATAGGCAGACTAAAGAAAGGAGGAAAAAGTGAGTGAATATAAGATTTAGCCCAACAAAATATAGTCGATTAATATTTTGATAGACGTGCTTGTATTTGTCTGTATATTGGAAGACGAATAATAAATAGTTAGTTTTTTAGAAACTGAATATAGATGGCGTTTTATTTTCTTTTTATAGGTGAAGGATCCATAGAAGAGGTTATTTTGGAACGAGGATCAAGGAGACTTGGATTTACAGTTGTTGGAGGAAGTGATAGTCCACAGGGCCGATTACCTATTTATGTTAAAACTGTGTCTGAGGATGGTAGCGCCGACAAAGTTCTCTTCCCAGGCTGTGAACTTTTGTCGGTTAATGATCATGAGTTGAATAATGTAACGCATGCTGAAGCAGTTACCCTTATAAAGCATGCCCGAGACCCCATTCGATTACTAGTACGTTACCCACAAGACCCAGAATAATATAAGACGTTGCACAGTTGGCGCGCGTACCGCGTCAGCTAGAGCAGCTGCGAGCTGGGTCTTTGTCGTCCCGCTGCGCTTTGTGAGAATACAAGGGCCTGCCCTTGTTGCCCTTGTATTGTCGCAGTAAAAATCAGCAGTGCATATCGAACGCGATGCTTGTCGCGTGCGTCTGCACGCTTATACCACGAGAACTCTTTTGTATTTTTTATGTTTTGTATTTACTTTAAAAATAAATAGTCGAACAAAATTCACTAATAATACCTTCGACAAAAATCGCTACTATCACTACCCGGCTAACACACAACGTAAAATAAATAATTGCAAAATTGTCATCACAGTTTGACAGAATATTAAAGTCTTTTAATAAACAATGTCCCGAATATCGGTTGGCGTTGTTGGACCTTCATCACTTTTAGGCGGTGGTGAGCTTTTATCTGAAGAGTTGAAAGTGAGGAATTGGACGACTTCTGCTTCAATTTGTTCTTGGTGGTGGCGGAGGCAGTCCGCTTCAATGCCCGTTATTGATTGTAGTCTTGCAAAGACGGCCTCTGCGCTCCATTCCGTTTCAATGGCTCTTAAGGCTGTTGCTAAACTAGCTGAGCTGACCAGGGAGGGGGGCATACTGGCGAACTTGAATTCTACAAGTAAAACAGAAAATTTAGCAATTTCGAATGGAGCGTTTTGAACTGCCGACACCGCACCTGTCCAGAGGCGCTAAGGTGCATCTGGCTAGTTCGTTGTATTTAAATAAAGTACAAGAATAACTAAATCTTACCGGTAGAGCAAAGGGCGATGTAAGTTTGAGCGTAACGTTTGATTCGTTTCAGGTCTCCTGGCTTCAGTCGATCAAGAATCTGGTCTAGAAAATCGTTTGGCGTAATAGCTGAAAGGTCCCATTTTAAACGGAAAAGGACCACCATCTCCATTTCTGTTATTTCTGCCAATTGGACAGAGTAATCAGTATACATAACAAGTTTTTCTGCTGAAAGAGGAGTTGTTTCTTTGAGCTTTGATGCTATAAAAAGGCACACAGCTCCAACTAGTTGAAGTTGCCTTCTAGGCACCTGCATAACAGCTAACACACGACACATATAGTTAGAAGCCAGCGGGAAAACATCATCTTCGCATTTTTGCTCCTCGCTTACTTCCAGCATCCAAGATAAAACAATCTTGAGCATATACGGCTTTACGTCTTTTTGAAATTGAAATGGAGGATGAGAGGGAAGGTATCGATCTTCACTCTTTAATAATCGCTCCATGACTCGCTCGTCCTTCAAAAGAACAGGATCTGGGAACGCTCTTCTCTCCTCCTCCGCCTCCATGCACATCAATTCGACACAGTCGATATCCATAGCTTGTAGGTGATTATAAGTTTTTTTGTCAAAATGGCGCGCTCAGCAGCTCGCCGCTTTATGAATGACCGACTTCAAGTGTCGCTTCCGACGCTGATTGGACCACGTGACCTCTTTTCAATACAGTATAGATTTCCTCTGTTCCTGTGTCAAGTTTCTCAATCCCAGCATTCTCTGTCTAAAACAGGATCGGTTAGTGGTTTATGTAGGCGAAAATAGGTCGCGTCAATAGAAAGCCGAAAGCGCGCTTCCCGTCGTCCTATACTTTGGAATGCATGAGAAAAATTGTTATCTACTTTTCCTACCAATAAACTGATCACTAACAATAGTTTCTCGTTAAGTCAACAGTTCCCATTATTTTATTTTTATTGAATTATTACATTAGATTCTATCTATAAAATACTATACAATAGATATATACATAAACTGTATATGCACATACAGCCAGTAAATATATTATTTCTATAAGAGTTCAGTCATTAACTCAACGAATGTGGGGGGAAATGACCGGCGTGTGGTGGAATGCCGAAAGGAGCGGCAAACGTTGGAGCCATTCTTTCGCTCATATGCGATGCTCCGGGTGCAGAGGGATGTGCCATCTGCTGCCATGCAAACATGTTCATGTTGTGAGCTGCCCAAGCAGTTGCTTGATCTTGTCCTTGATTAGAAACTTGCTGTCCTTGCTGAGTACCCTCAAGTCCACATGATGGCCAACCCATAAAAGAATGAGTATGAGCTGTTGGGGGTAGGAGAGTAGCCGCTTGGTCGAAAATAGAATTACCTAGATTAGTATCAACATGACCCTTACTACCACTACTACTACTTTTGCCGTGTCTGCGACTCGAAGACGTATGTGGAGGGGGTGCAGTAACGTGATTTTCATATGGATCAAGAAGACTAAGTCCTGTATAAGGATCACGTGAAGCAGTAGACGACCGGTGGGCAGCAGGCTGCTGCACAGCACTGTGGGACGATCTTACTTTTGAACAGGATTGCTGCGAAGGCATTATAAAATTCGAATGAGTTGTAGTTGTCGTGGGGCCAGAAGTGAGTGAAAAAGAGAATGGGGGAGGAATTATCGGCTCATGAGTCCAACCCCTTTGAGACAAACCATACTGGCCTCCATAGTGTTGCGACAAAAATGGCGGGGCAGCAGGTGCTACAGTTTGCTTTTGTTTTGTCGAAGATGTACTTGTTTCCATATGAGTTAAACGCATTGCGCTGCCGCTTTCCGATGACGGTTTTGTTGGGGTACTTTTGGCAATAGGTATAGAATTCGACGATGGAATTCCACATGCAGATGGAGATGGTTTGGATGCTGTCAAAGGGGTCCCTACTGCTTTACTGGGAGAGGATGTTGTTGAACGAACATTGCAGGATGATTTTTTTGCCTCATTTATTGGTTTATTTGGTTGGATAGATGGGTGCGGGGGTGCGTAGTGAGTTATTGGTTGAGCAAGGGGAGGCGGCACAACTGATCGACGCGGAGGATCTGTAAAGGCATCTGGAATAACCAAACTGTCTTGTGTAGGCATATCATTGAGCAATTCGAGACCATTAGGTTCATCAGCTATTTTTGCAGGCATTGGCGTTCCTAAATTCGGTATAGGGCCATTGAACGATTCCAAATAGGACGGCATTGTTTCGTTTTTATCTTCATTTAAACATTTAACATCTTTAGTAATAACTTGCTTTTCCTTTTCATTTTTCTCTTTATCTTTGCTTTTATGCTTATGTTTGTGCTTCTTCTCCTTATCTTTGTGTTTCTTCTTCTTCTTGTGCTTTTCTTTATGCTTTTTGGAAGAACTATTTGATTTATCAGGGGTAGTCTCTGATGTTGAAGTATCATGTGTTCTCGGAGTAGTCTCAGTAGCTGTTTCCTTTTCACTTCTATTTTTTTCATTTTTATTTTTAAAACCCTCTTTAAGCGAAGACTGCGTGTCTTCGGTAACAACAGGAGTCACTTTCGGAGGAGTAACTTCTGATTTTTTTATAGGTGATCTTTCAGTAGATTTATCTTGTTTGTTTGAGTTATTAAGTGGAGATTCTTCAACAAGTTCTTTTGTTTCTGCTACCGCTTCATCCTCGTCAACGAAAGTATAGGGATCACTTCCAAAGTTATTATTTTTCTTTGGAGTTTTCTTAGCAGGAGTAGTGTTGTTTCGTTTTGATGTATTAGCTTGTTTTTGATTCGCAGATTTTCCTCTCGTATTATTGTTATGGTTAATAGAAGTATCATTAAAGTTGGTTTGATTGCCATAGTCAGAATTAGTGGTTGAGGTGTTTGACTCTGTTTTGGCTTTTTTTGCTGAAGGAATCAGTAATGGATTAGCAGCTCGCTTTATCCCCTTCCGTTCAACAGCGTCTGCTGACACGGAAGAAGCATTCATATTTTCTATTCGATCCAAGACGGATGGCAAATCTTTTGTTGCAAATTCAATAGTATCAGGGAGTATGTCCACCGTATTCAATGATTCTCCTTTTGCTTTCTTTGCTTTTTTGCTAAGATTAGGAGAATTAGATGTATCTTTTTCGGACTTAACTCCTTCGTTACTTCCTACTTTTTTCTGCGGGGATGGAGTTGAACATTTTTTTTGTTTATCTTTTTTAGGTGAAGGTGACGCCTTAGCAGATTGCGTAGTATTTATACTCGGTGCCTCTACATCAGTAACTATTGATAAACATGGCATGTCAAGATAATCTATTTCATTTTCTTCTGTTTCACTGTTTTCGACAATGTCGTCTTTTTGAGGTGAAAGATTTACGTCAACATCTGGGGACTTAAATATATGTTCAGCGGCTTTAGCCAGAATATCATCATCAGGTGAAGCCTTAATCTTTTTTCCTTTAGGTTTCTTTCCTTTTTCAAGCTTTTTTGAATTAGATGATTCGCTTTGAGTTGGTGTAACAACTGGTGTACTTGTGGATTGTGTAGTTTGTGTAGAAAGAGCTGGGACAAATGTTGTAATTACATTTTGTTGTTGTAAAATTGGGCCATTGCCTGTGATTATTTGTCCTAAATTAGGGGCTAAGACTGTTCCGTTTTGAAGAAGTTGCTGAGGAACTATGGTTCCTCCACCTATCAAAACACCGTTATTTGTTTGAATTGCTTGTGTGACTATGTTGGCACTGGTAGTTGCCGTGGGCTTGGGCATAATCATTCTTTGACCCTTCTTTTGCGGCGGTTGTTTACGAATAATTACTTGTCCTGTTGCACTTGGTACAACACCATGCAACAGAGGTAGACCATTCTGATCAAGTACCGGCTGCCCCCCTGGAGGAAGAGTTAGGACTAATGTTCCTGTTGAAGTTATCATCGCTTGAGGATCTTTTCCCCGATGTCCCTGTAGACGAACTTGAGTGGGTTTGATTACTTGTTGTGCTTGATTCATTAGAAAAGTCGGCTTGTTGTCCACAACTAGATGCGGTTGAGTTACCACTGGAACAACTGTTCCATTCGGTAAAAGTAAAGCTTGGGGTAAATTATTCCCTTGGCTGGGCACTGATACAATTTGTTGGTTTGATGAATTTGCAGATAGTTGTTGAGAGGTGGATGATTCCTGGCCTGCTGTCGGACAAGACAGCCCTTCAACAGAACCAGTTTCATTCACTTCGTTCGTCTGCTGGTTATTGCCATCGTTGACGAAGAAAACTTGGCCATTAGATTGAACTACTACCCTACCAGAGGGCTGACTCTCATCTATAAGTGACGCGCTGTTCCCTAAAACCGTATTTTCTGTTGTTGTCAAAGTTGTTGAGAAAGAATTTTCCAAATTGACTGGAGCCATTTGTGTAAACATTGGTGTTTGCATGGGAACAGCAGGTTGTAGATTATTTGACATAACGTTATGTAGGGCACCCTGATTTAAAACTTTATTTCTGAGTGAATATTTAGATAATTTTATTTTACCTGCGAAAGAACTATAGGCTGATGCATAAAAACATCTCCTGCATCCTGGGTTTGACTGTCTGGTGTTTGATCTGAGCATTCTTTGGCCGCAAGGTGTTCACTGACGGTCATTAATCTGTAATTATTTTTCCAATATAAGAACCCAAAGAAAAAATTGTCTTTCTTACTTTCGCTTTTTTTGAATCGCACTTTCAGGTTCGGCTATATCCACACTCGAGTCCGCAGGTTGCTGGTTCGCAGATGATTCATTGTTAGGTTTAAAAGTCGTTGCAGGTGATTTTGGAGATTGTTGGCTTGTGGTTACAGTTTCCACTATTTTTTTGTCTAGTTTAAGAGCACTCAGTCTTGCGTTTTCTAATTCTAATTTCTTTACCCTTTCTTTTAGTTGAGCAACCTCATCAGCTTTAAGAGAATTATGGTTATGACTGATTGATAAAAAGAGAAAAGAACTAACCTATTACATCCGAAACATTTTCAGTCAGTAGTCTATCATTTGCGACAACGATCTCCTGGAAATAGTGTCTGGCAGATTCAAGAATATGCAGAGAACTCTGTAGAGATAATTGTAAGTCATTTCGTAAAACAAAACCACAAGTCTACCTCTTTCTGGCCTGGAGTATGATACTTAAGGGGTAACATTTCTCCTATTTGATGTATCGCTTGCTTTATTTGGTCTTTTCTCTTTCTCTCTGAAGTGCATCGGTGCAGTTTCTTTACCTGACTCTTTTCAGTGACAGCTCCACCGTTCTCTTCATCATCAGATAGTTCTTGTGGTTGAGAGGAAGCTTCTAGAGTTCAATTATAAATGAGTTTAGATAATTTCATGAAGACAACGAGCTTTTATAGTTATGAATTTTTATATGCATTGTTGTCAACGTATTATAATTGATATAGGTAAGCAAACGCACCTTTCCGTTCATCTGCTCCGCAATCGGATGTGTTTTCAATAACTTTGTTATTCGATTTATCCCTTACTATCGACATTATGTCGAATTAGAGTTGACTGACGTCGTACTTTTATTATGTTAGTACATGATCTCGAACCAAACAACTGGCGGCCATTTTGTTGTCTTATGCATATGCATTTTTGCGCGCGTCTCGTTTCTAACTAAGGTGAAACGCCATCTAGCGAACCATTTGGCAACGAAAATACTAATAACCTACTTTTCATAGTTTTTTATTACAACAATCACAGAATAAGCTTTGAAATCGAAATAAAATAAATTGATAACATTAAAATGGTTGTGTCTTTTCCATGTGCTTTGCAATAGAACAGTCCAACTGTTGCTGAATGCTATTTATGACAGACTGATCAGTTCTAAATGATTCATTAATGTCTTTCATTTTGTCAGATGGATTCATTGACTCTAAACGGAATCTACTTCTTCCTGATAACCTGGAGAAAAATCATATGATAGAGATATAGTCTAAAATGTTTAGCAGGAGCTTACCCAAATTGTAAGTATTTCTCATGAGACAGCTGTAATTGTTTGGATAGCTCGGCACATTGCTTTACCTCATCGTCATAGAGTTCCCTGTATTTTTCGGAATTAACAAAAGCTTCAGTAGCATTTCATGTCTTAATACCTCAAGCGTTTAATTTCCCTGTCTTTTGCATCTTTCTCCACGCGAACCTGTGAAGCTTGCTGTTTGGCAAGAATTACATCGTTTTTAACATGTTCCATTTCCCTAATGAGATCAATTTCTCTTTTCTCTTTTAATAGAACATTCTGCTGTCGAACTTGAGATTCTTCTTCTAATCGTGCGTTCATCTGATCCATATTGTGGTAAGCAAATAACTATTCTTAAATGTTAATTTTTACCTCTTTGAGCTGTCTATTTAGTTCATCTTTAGCCTTAATTTCCCATTCGTGCCTAGTTTGTTCCTTTCCACTTTCGAATACTTTGAAATCATTAAACTCTTCCAGAAGACGATCTCTAGATATTTCTAGATTTCGGTAATCCAATTGCAGTTGCTTTAGAGCAGATGATCGAGATTTATATTTTTCCATTAAGGATTTCAGTTTAGTTGAAGTTTGAACTTTCAGCGATTTACCATTCCCAGTTTCCTGTAAAATATTAAATTACTAGTATAGAATTTCATAAGAAAATAGTTAACTTTCAAGCGCTTCTTTGCAATTTTTAGGTGTGTTTTAAGCAAGTTGACTTCTTTTTCCAGTTTGTCATTACTCTCCATCAGACCTTCCATTTTAGTTTCAGCAACTTTCTTCAACTCAAGAACTTTTCGCATTTTCTGCTTTTCCTGCAATATAAATCATTTTAGACCACACATGTCAATAAAAAAGTATGCTAATTACAGCTTGGATTTGTAGTAAAGACTCTTGCTTTCCTCTTTCTAATTCTGCTATCTGCATTCAGTGTAAAATACATCAAGAGAACTTAAAAAATATACAAGTTAACCCGAATTCCTAGGGCTGACTTCGATTTAACTTCAGTTTCCCACAGTGACTTTGAATCTTGAGCATGGTTTATTGCTTGACTTTGAGCAACTTCTACTTCCTATTAAATTTTTTGTACAGTGACACAGAAAATCAAAGGGATTGGAGCTACTTACATTAATTCTGTATTCTAGTTTATTATTGGCTATTTGTAATTTATCTGCTTTGTCACAGCTTTCTTTGTATAGCTGTCGTTGAACATAACATTAGGGCAAAATGAAGCAAGTTGATGCTTCATTATATTTTTTGAAAGAAGTTCTTTCAATAACACTGAATGCAGCAATGTTAAAATTTCCAGGTTTAACATATCGTTTGATTGATATTAATTAAGTTAAATTACAAGCATTTGTGCAAATTGTATCATGCATTGTGAGCATAATTCAATCATTACCTGATTTAATTCATCAACTTTGGCTTTAAGATTTTCAACTGTTATTATTTCAGTGTTTAAGGATTTGTTAGCCTCATTTAATTGTATCTGCAATTGTTTTGCTTCTATTTCCAGCTCATTCTGTTTTAGAAAAATTGTGAACTAGTTCAATTAAAAGTAAAATAGTATACTTTTAGTTTTTCTAAATTTTTTATTATCTCTGTCTTGACTGCCAATTGCTGCTGAGATTCACTATAAATACGCTTGACGTTTTCCAGTTCAAGAACTGTTTCACTACTCTATATTTGAAAGCTTTTGTACTAATTAATAATAAATAAGTTTCTTTACTCTACCTTTTCTTTTGCTTCTGTGTAGTTTTTATAATTCTTATCTGCACTCTTTTGAGATGTTGTCAATTTTTCAGTGAGGTTCTTTACTTCGTTTTGTAATTCAGATATAATCTACAACAGTATAATTTAAAAAATTGCTTAGAGTTTCTTTTGTGTACCTGCTGGGAACTTGCACAAGTAGTCTTCATCTTATCTATTTCTATTTGCTGATTTTCAAAATCAGTTTTCGATTTCGATATATCAACCTCTAAACGCTCATTTCGGCATTTCAAAATAGCTGCCTACAAAATATGAATATTAATACCATTGTGACAATCAGGCAACATTAAATAAAAGGAAAGTATTTGATAAGAAAATAACAATTACCTCCTCTCTATATTTATAGATACTTTCTTGAAGCTTGTCTTCAGTCTACGTAAAAAAAATTATATATAAAATGAAGTATAGCTTTATATTTATTAAGAATTAATCGAATGAATTTTGTAACATATTGACTCGGTTTCCGTTTATACCTCTTTGCGATCATTTTTTAAAATTTCTAGACTGTTTTCCAAAAGGGAGTGGGTTGTGACTGGCACAGTCCCTTTTTGCACACTCTCATTCTCTTTTCTTAATTCTGAGCACCTATATGTATATATACATATTCTTATATAAATATGTATATTATATATAATTATGCACATTTGAATATATTTAGAATTTTGCTACACATCATCTATCACGGATAGGAGTGGAAGACTTTTATAGATGTCGTTGACAAAATATGGAATTGAACTATATTCCACTTGCCCGTGACATATGATGTAATTTGAAGAGTTTGAATTTATCAACTAGAACTTAAAATATAACTTTTGAAAGTGCATAGGTTGATTTTTGCAGTTCATAAGCATAATTTAAAGAACGCAAATTAGAAAAAAATGTGATAATGTTGGAGAAATAAAATAAAAAGCTAGGGGGACCAGAAGAACTCTTTCGTGCTGGGGTGATTGGTCTCTGATATTAAGCAGAGATTAACTTGATGAAAACTGTGCATTCTGGTATAATAACCGATCACTAACCGTATTTGTAGTTCATTCAAATGAACTTGTAGTTGTATATTTGTTTCCTAATATAATACAAGCTTCTAATTGAAATTTCAGATCGCTTAATTATTTTCAAATTAATCCTAAAGTACTACAGTATTATAATAAATAAACTATTGTTATGATGTAATTATTTGTTACAACACTCGAATTCTCAATATTTAGATATATTTTCCTTTAATAAATTAATGTTGAGCATATATTACGTAAGAAATTTTCTATCTTACAACAATATAACCTCAATGTTTAAGAGAATTATTTTTTGGACATAATTTACTAAGCATTAACAATTAAATCATTAAATACATATACTGACCTTCTCCGATTGGAATTTTTCATTTAATTCGGATAAAGAATCTAATTCTTTTTTATACTTTTCGATTTCTAAACTTTTTTCCTTTATCTATCAATCATTTGAATTCTTATTACATAGTTTTGTCATTTGTTTCTTAACAATATACAGAACATCCAAAAGTATATACTTACTTCGGCTTTATATTCACAAACTTTCACTTTTAAATTTTCAAGATCCTTGTGTAGTTCCTATTTGAAATAAGTCTATAGGCATAAAAAAAATTCCTACAAATTTTACCTGATTATCTTGCTCCACATTAGACAATTTTTGGGTTGTTAAATCACTCTCCTCCTGCTGTTGATCTCGCATATTCGATAAGGTACTATATATGTTTATTATCGATTTTTTATATTGTATTTTGTCTGGAAAGCAATTAAAATAACCTGGCTAATTCATTCTTCTCGGTTTCCAAAAGCAACTTGAACTTTGCCATATTCTCAAAATTGCTCTGGAAATGTTCTTTTTCAGACTTTAAAATTGATATATCCCCATTGAGCTTCGTCAATTCAACCTTATGCTTTAGAGATGTTCGTTCTAAGGCTTCAGTAACTAATGTCTGAAAATTTTTTTAAATTTACGAATTTCTGTTGTAATTATTACACACACTTTTTCCTTAATTTCTGCTTCATATTTTTGATACAGTATGGCATAGTCATCTTGGACTTGTTGAAGATCCTTTTCACTTGACTTTATCTTACGCTCGTATTCCATCTGAAATACATTGTCTTATCTATCGTGTTTATCGATAAATATTCTTACTTTCATAGCTTCACATTCAATAAATAAACGTTCTTCGTCATCTGATTTAAATGATTTAATATCCTAAAAATACAATCAGATATGAATTATGATCTTGAGGCATTAAAGTGCGTACTTTTGTACAACTGTCTTGATTTATGTTCTCTGTCACCGCTTCTAGCCTGAAAACAGTAATCATCTATATAAATATTTTATATCCTCATATATAATCTTTTATAATCTTTAATATTAATAATTTGGAGGAATTTTGATTATATTTCAATAATTTTTCATTTGCATTTTAGATACTTTTTAGAGGGGGAGCTTAAAAGGTCAGCTATTTTTTTTTCCAAAACTGTTCGCTGGTCTTTTTCGTCTCTCAAGATATCTCTGTAAATATATGTGATCAGAAGTGTAAGAGTGGCATTCAAAAGTAAACATACTGTAAATTGTTTATTTGTCGTTCAAGGTCAGTCTTACTTCGACTAACTGTCTCCAACTCTTTTAAGAGTTGGCTATTTTCATTTTCAAGATTTTTTTTCTTAGTTTCTAAAGTCAACTTCGAAGCTTTTTCTTTATCAAGTTCTTCATTCACCAGTGCAAGCTGTTTTTCCAGCCTTTGAACATTTGAATCTATAAAATAGACTTGATAGTTTCATTAAAGAAACAATTTTTATGTTATAAAGTATGCAGTGAAATCAAGCCCTTAGGTATTCAATTATATTTTATATAATAGAGGAAAAGATTAGCTAAATTGCATAACTTTAATTCTGACATATTTTACCATGTATATTCCTATTAACGGATGCATTCTGTGGGAATACGGTATTTTCTTGAGCATCGTACGCTGTTGTACTTCTAAAATTTGGATATGAACTTCTATCAAATACTATAAAAATTTTCAGCTTACTCGAACTCATTTAAGAATTGATGAGCAGTGTTTTGTTCTTTTTTCGAAGGAGTCGTCTGTTGAAATGAATAATTAAAATAGTAATTTTATAATAAAAAAATTTGAAAACCCACGGAAGGTGATTTTTGTGGTTTTGAAAGGGCTATGTTCTCAGATGAATCTTTCTTATGAAAATCAGATTTCACCTGAAAATATGTCAATCCTTAACAAATGTCAAACAAATGCTCTTATAAAATTAGTTCAGCTCCTAATTAAAATTAATATACGCTACTTAAGAATCCCTCATGAGTCTTTGTACACTTGCTTCTCGAAAGAGAAATAAGATTTGCTGGTTAGAATGCTAAAATATAAAGATTTAAAATTTGGCGCGTTTCAATGTAACTTCAATGAAGTAGAGTCATAGGATAGTAAAATAATTCAAAATGCCTTTTATCATTTCATAACTAAAGATTGAAAAAGAAATAATTTGCAGTTATTTAATATTTACCTCATCAAAGCTTTCAACGTCACTAGATCCTGAATCCCAAGTACTTTCATTCTTTTTCTGAACTAAAATCACTTCTTTATTACTCTTTATTGGTTCAGAATCCCATTGACTAGGATCGTCACTCTCTTGAGTATCTTTCTTCGGAGCTTTTGTAGCGCTCTCTTCTTTTGATTCTGAATCCCATTGGCTGTCATCTTGTGGAAAATTCTCGTGCTTAGTATCCGACTCTCTTGTTTTTGCATGAGGGGTTATTTTTGTGCCAATTACTGTACCATCAGACACAGCAGCTTTTTCTTCTTTAATGGAAGGTTCAATGTTTGAAATCGAATCCCAATCACTATTGTCCTCCTTTATAAAAAATCCATGTTTAGAAAATTTAATTTATAATTTGACAATAGAAACAACTAGGATAATTAATCCCATGTATTCTTTGTTGCTTACCTGTTTCGAATCTAAGGTTTTTGGTATATTCTCATTCTTTAATAAAGATTTTGCTGATGCTTCAATATCAGACACATCACTAATTGTCTCATCGCTATCGAAATCGTCTATATCCATTTTATCTTAAAGAGAAAATCGAATTTAAAAATCGAACTATTTCACTATTTGTTTAATTCCTATGTGCCTCCCCTTCCGTTCGTAATAAAATACAACATGGTAGTTATTTAATATCTTATTTGTGGATTAATTTGATACATAATTTTCAAATAAAATAGTAGCTTTATTCCAAAAAGACCTTTAGTTTTGTCCTGTTGCGATTGAATTTTATCTTGAATCTTTGGTTTAGGTGATTGATTCGGTTTGAAAGATGTAAAAGATGACATGTTCGGAACTATACAGGAAGGTAACTATATGTATCAATAATACTAATCAAATAAATGAAGAAACCTGTTTTGTCTATTTCCTCAGCATCTGATAATTCTTTATTATAACCACCGAACTGTTTGACAGATATAAGGATTATTGTTTTATCATGTTGATCAATAGTGAAGAAACTTAAACCTGTGCTTCTCCAATGTTTGCATACGTGGCATCATTGATTGGTAGAAGTGAAGGATTTCCGTCTATATTTGGCTATTTGGGATGAAATGTGAAAAAGAATATCGTCAAGTATTTAAAGTAACCTTTTTACTCATTGAAATACTATTGAATAATGAAGTTTCATCTTCACCATCCCAAGAATCCTCAAAATCATCATCAATAGCGTTTGGAGCGACACTTTGAGAATTATTAGAAATATTGTCTAAAAATCAATATCTTCATGTTTGTTTTGTCATAAATAAAAGTAATAATTAACCTTTCCCTCTTATAGAATCAAGAGCTTCATTTCTTGAATCATTATCTACTTCATCATTTTCGTGTAGAGGTGCGTTTGCATCACTTGGTGACTCTTGTAAAAGCACTCTACAAGAATCATGATTGTTTAGCAAAGCATAGTCATCTGCTGTCTTGCCTGCAAGAAATAAAAACACTTAAATTAAAACAGTAAGTTAGCTCTTTTCTACGTCACCTTTGTTATCTTTCAATCCAGCATTAGCCCCAAAATTCAAGCATAGGCGGGCCGTACTCTCCTCTCCCATGCTGTTTATAATTGTTTTATTAGCAAAAATGTTTAGATGTAAAAAACTTGTATTTACAAGCACGCTATCATCAAGGGTGTCTTTCCTTCATTGTTTTGGCAGTTAGGATTAACTCTTTCCTTAAGTAGCAATTGCGCAATATTTTGGTTGTGGCCTTTGACAGCTAAATGTAATGCTGTATCTCCCATCTAACAAAGTCATATTTTAATAATTACAAAGTAATAGACAAATGTTTCAACCTTGTTTGTCAATTCTGTATTAAGCTTTCGTGACTTGAATAATTCTTCTAGACAATAAATATCATTATTTTCTACAGCATAATGTAAGCAAGACCCTCCATTTTTATCAACCAAGTTCGGATTGGCATGTGACTCTAGAAGTAGCTTTACACATTCAGATTTTTTACATTGGACTGCTTTCATAAGAGGAGATCTATCAAATTTGTCTAACAGATCAGGCTTGGCTTTCCATTCCAGCAACAGATCAACAATATCAACATTACCATTTGCACATGCTAAATGTAAGGCGGTTCTATTTTCTTTGTCACGGGAATTATAATCACCTTTTTTTATTAATTGGTTAAGCTTGTTAAAATCGCCGATCCAAGCAGCTTTATGAAGCTTCGGCAGATCTTTTTCCTTAACTGAATATCCTGACCCATCCTGTGATTGTAATGAGGCTAAGGATCCTGTTGGGGAAGGAGTTTTACTACCTCCCTTTTTTTTAACGAAAAATTTCAACATTCTTTTTTACCAGCTCAGACATGTAGTTGAGCCGCCATTTGTAAACAGTCTCGTTTTCGATATTAGTGTGTGGTGTAGCGCGTTTCGCCCGCGAAAACAAAAAAATGCTATCATCGAGCACAGAACACTCCATATATTGTTAAAAATTTGTTTACATTTATAGTGTACGGTAGTATAAATTACTAAAATACATACATAAAACGTAATCAATTTGAAAAAGTTCACATTAGCTGTGTGTCATTAAGAGGCAGACACCTGTTAAGCTATTGTCAGTGTGCCATACACTCATAGTTCTTTCACTCTCATTCATACGGTACGTTTGCACATATAGAAAGCATTTATGCTATGAACAAAACATCGTAACGTAGTTTTTCAATGAATAATGTGCTCTATTAAATATGCGACTAGACGGTCCGTTAATTCCACACTCTCAAAAAGCTGTCCCACGATCCAGTAGCTACGGCCATACCGTCTTCAGTGACACCCAAACAGGATACTCTATTGTCATGTCCAGCGAGAACGCCTGAATGAAGCATATAAATATTTATTAGTTATGTTATATTTTTTGGTGGAAGTACCGACCAGCTCTATCTTGTTTTAACGTATCCCAAACATTACAATTGAAATCATCATAGCCACCCAACAGAAGGCGACCCGATTTGGAAAACGCCACGGATGTAATACCGCAAATTATGTTGTCGTGCGAATACATGCCGATCTCTTGATCAGCCCTGATATCGAATAGCCTACATGTAGCGTCATCTGATCCGGTAGCGAAAGCGTGGCCATTGGGAAAAAACTGCAAATCTTTGAAATTAGTATCTTAATTGTTATGAAATTAGACTTACCGTGATAGCATTTATGTCAGACTCATGTCCGGAAAAAGTCTGCTTACACATACCGTCCCGAATGTCCCACAATTTGGCCGAAGCGTCACATGCTCCAGATACAAAAGTTCTCATATCCGGAGCCAAACTCAAGCTCATCACGTCTCCAGTATGGCCCTGAAAGCTGGTCGTCTGTTGGCCTGTTTCGATGTCCCACAAAGCGCAGGACATATCGCCAGACGAGGTAACTATCTGGTTATCGTCAATGAAACGGCAACAGGATAGATAGCCCGTGTGTCCTGGTAGTTCCCTCGACACTCTGACGTTTCCTTCTCTAGTCTTGAGTGAGTATATCGAACAAATGTTATCCAGGCCACCGCACGCTACATAGGATCCGCTAGGTGCGTAGGCGCAAGTCATTACCCACGAGGATCGAAGCGGAATAGCGTGCACTTTATTCGTTGTGTAGCCATCCCAAACAATCAATTTGCCATCTTGACTGGCAGATACTAAATTTCTCGAATCGCTTCCCCAATGCATTGCATAAATCTTAGCTAGATGTCCGCGAAGAGTCCGTCTAGTTCGCATTTGAATCCTACCAACCGGATCGACAGAGGCGGCAGCTTGACTAAGCGTTGCATCCGCTGCAGCTTTACGTGCCTCCCTAATTTGATTCTTGAGCTGTTCAGCTTCCTGCCTTAGCTGTTCCAATTCAGTCATCTTGCGCTCTTCTTACATTCACACTAACTCTATTAGCCTGAAAATCACATATTACATTCACACGTTGCTGTCAAACCTACACATAAAAGCATCCAACCACACCCTGCTTAATACCGATTATTTCATCCTAGGTGCCCTGGTTACGATGACGTCAAAACAATGACGTCATATATTCCCCGTAGTCTTCTACTTCTAGGCTACTGAGCAGATCACTAGCTCAATGGGAACACAAAATCGAGGTTTTAAAAGAGACAACTAATTGTCACATTAGAGTAAAACCGGAAAACCCATCACACTTCGCTCCTAGACTAATGAGAAAGCGCGCCATTTTGTTCTACACAATCGGCGGCTAATTTTTTTTATCAATCTCTAATCTTTTGATTAGTTAACTCACCTCTTAGGAATAATTCTTCTACGTTCTTTACGGATATTCGCGTATCTCCCTAAAGGCACTGGTATCAACGCGGCTGAAACGAGTGCAAATTCAGAGATCTATTAAACGCCATCTTTCATTCATAATCAATGCACACAGGCCGGCTTTCAGTTAAAATTAAAGAAAATTTCCTGGTGCAATCCGTAAAAAATTGTTTAAAGAAATAAATTTAAGTAATCCTTAGCAGTTAGAATGATTAAAAGTTAAAAATTAAAATCCATTCCATTTCTCTTACATGACAGACATACTTCCCCTTCACTAATTGAAATCGTCAAAAATACGCAAAAATCCTAAGCTACGTGAACAGAAATTTGTTAAATAAACCATTATTACCCTTTCGATAATCCGCGATAAAGCTAAATCTTTATTCTCTCATATAAACCGATCCTTGCTGAATTTTATTCTTGCATATATGCACCAATCGTAGCTTTTCAAGGCGCGGCGGCGTCAGATCGCATTCGCATTATGCAAATTTTCTCGCACATGCGCGCGCAGCCTACAACAGTTTCATGAAAAATATTCTTATTGTATTGCTTAAACAGAATAAATGTCATTTACACATTATAGATAAAAAATAGAAATGTATCTGTATTTCTTTATTTAAGTGATCTTTAAAAGTTTACCATGAAAGCTTAATAATGAATGATGAAACAGTTATTATGAAATTTTCCCTGTTTCTACAGGTTCCAAGGCAATATGAGCATGAGCATAATTAATTGAACGACAATCTAGCCTATATTGTAGGCCTATCGTACTCATATATGTCTTATAATAACAAAATTATCTAGTTAAAAATAATTCATATAATACAGTGAACGAAATTTTACTGAGAATATTTATGAAACAGACCAAATTTTGTATGATAATTTTGAAGCTAAAATTCTTTTCGAATTTATTATATAGAGAAGCTCCATTTTGGTTACATGAAAGCTCATTGGTTGAGCAATTATACTTGACCAATCAGATATGGGTTAAGAAAGAATCTTCGCTTGGAGATTTCTACCTTAATCCTACCCACTGAGAAAGCGATTTATTGAATCATTGTAATTTTTAAAATCTTGTTGCTTATTTCTTGCTTACATACATACATTATAGACATAAGAGATGTAATTTATATATATATTATATTAGTATATATAAAATATGAAGTGTTTTATACAGCATATATATATATAAATTTATTTATATTTAGATACACTACGGTTCAAAATTAAAATAAGAAATCTTTAAAATATTTTTTTAGATTACGGGAAATCAATTCGATATAAAAGCTACCACGCTTTAAAGTGTCCGCAAATGAAAAATAAAATGTAGTATATATATATATCATATTATATATAAATATATAACAGTTCATTTTTGTTCTGTAAAATCCATTTTCTCTGACTTGTGATTAGGAGAAACATAAATGAAAACCTTTCTTCGTTCAAGCAATTTGAGTTTTGCGCGCTTCTTGACCAATCACCTGTAAACAAGGAAAATATATTCAAAATGGCGGACGCTTCTCGGTATGTTCAATTCTTTAAAATTTTCCTCTATAATATCAATATTGGTACAATTATATGTATTTTATGATGTAATAATTTATTACTCATGGGTAGAGAGTACTGTAAATAGCAAATTATTTCTGGTTTTTGCATTTTCGTTCGTATTATGAAGATTTTAATTATCGCCCAGAAAATGTCGGTTGGTGCGTCTATTGACTATTCCCGAACAGTTTTCTTTGTATCGAAACAAAATGCTTCAATTTATATGACTTAATTTAGTCAGATAAAATTAATTTTAATATCTCAGGGCCTATAAGACGGGAGAAGATAACTACAAAAATGATGGAGAAGATTTAATGGAACTTGAAGACGGTAGCCTGGTACCGCGGAATCAAGTTTTAATGCTTGATGATAGTAATTCAAAAGAGCCAAGTAATGAGGGATCTGTTAACGTGCCCGATTTACCAACAGGAACAACTGTTAAAATGTCCGGGGATAAAATCATTTCAATTCAATTACCTAAGAGTCCATCGTCCAAAAAAGAAGGCGATGTTGTTCAGAAAATAATTGTGGACCCGAAAGTTGAAACGGTTCAGACTGGAGATGATTTGAAAAAGAAAATTTTTATAGCAAATGCCCCAGCAAAAACTCCAATTAGAATTCAAAAAATAATTCCTGTCAATACTGGGACCTTCTCTCCAAGAGTAGGACGTCCTCCTGGTCCAAGGGTTGTAACTATGCAAAAATCACCCATAGCAGTGGTTAGGCCACCAACAGTTGTCAAAGTTACTCGCCCTACAACAAATACATCTGTTGTAGTCAGACCAGTGACATCAAAATCAACTGGAAACCCCAGAACTATGGTTTCACTTATAGATAAATCGAAAATTCAGCTAATGCAACAAAAGCAAAAAGCCGTTATTGTCAAAATGCCGACAAGCAATGTTCAAACTGTCAGTTCCCCACCATCCCCACAGCGTATGGTTAAGGTAGTTTCATTAGCTGCTACTGGAAAGAGTCCCACGAAAGTTATATCGTCAGCCACACATCAATCAACTTCTTTACGCGGGACTGACCAACCTATAAGATTAATAAATCCAGGTGTTAGTCAAATGAAACATTCAATAGAAATGAGTAAAAATCTTGACAGAAATGTAATCAGAGTCGCAGAATGTAATAAGAGAGATGAAGAATTTTCAACAGGTCATTCTGAACAATCAGGAATTGAAAATGTGCCAGAGGCTTTAGTCCAAGAAACTGTTGCAGCACATGAAGAAACCAGCGCATCAGACCTTCTTGCTGGTCAACCAATACTTGAAGATGAAGTCGGTGGTGACGGATATCAAAGCGATATATTTACTTCCTCAGTAAAAGATGATGACGACGACTTCACATACACCGCCCCTTCTCTTTATGCTTCACCCACAACTCAGATCCTGTCTGATAGGGTAAAAAGCAAGGGCAGAAAAAGAGGTAGAAGGCCAGGCTTTTCCAACAAAAGTAATAAAAAACTGGAGCCAAAGATCGAAGTAGACTCAGCAGCTGGGCAATCAAGAGCAGGCAGGGAAAGACGAAAGAGTACCAAAGTGATGGAGATGGAGGAGGTAAGGTTTGTCCAATTTTTTAATGAAGAGAATAATAAATTTGTTCTTAGGTTTTGCTGAGTAAAAAAAAAAGACGGTCAATTCCTAAATTTGAGGATTCTGAGCCATTCCCACCTATTCCTAACCTGGAGGAACAATCTCCTATAGAAAGGGTAAAGGATAATATAGAAGAGGCGGAGCCATCTGTTACAAAACAAAAAGATACTCTTGATGAGGTAGTTTTCGAATTAAAATATAATTTGTAATCAACAATGTTAAAACAGGTAAAGTCGATTGATGACGATTTCATTCAAAACAAGGACGACAGCTTAGAAGTCACGAGTAAACTTCACAGGAAGAGACAACGAAAAGTTTCTATATTCGATATTGTAGTATGATGAGTTACTTATTTCCATTTTCTCCAAATAGCCAATAAAAGACGCGAAAGACACATCGAAAGAAACAGTTGAAAATCAGAAAAGAAAAAAAACTGATCAGCCTGTCAAAGTAGGTCGGAGAACGAGAGCGGTAACGAAAACGGAAGAAAACTCTAATCTCTCCAAATCTGACACATTTCCTGAAGAGAAAGAACAAGAAAAAATTGAAAGAATTGAATTAAAAGAAGAAAAATCTGTCGATTTAACGACAACCGGAAGAGCCAAATCAAAACGAACTGCTAAAGCTGCTGTTGAAGTAAAAACAAAGGGACGAAAAGTTACTCGTAATAGAAGTGGTGTGTTAGAGTCTAACACGAAAGGTGAATCTAAGCAAAAGGAAGAAACCAATATGGAAAAACCGAAAAGTGCGAGAGATAAAAAGAAACTCGTTGTAAAATATGATTTCGGTGCTTCAACAAAGAAAAACGAAGTCGGATTAAAATTCAGTCATGACAATAATGAAGGCGAGCCAGAAGGCAGGCGAACGAGACGCACTAGAAAGTAACCAAAAATGTTCCCACTTACTTTCCGATCTCTTCTATTTATCTTAAATATTTTAAATCATAGATACGTTTTTATCAAAGAGTGCTGTGCTTAGAAAGATTTCCTTATATCTATTTTTATTGATGCATTTACATTTCTTCTGTTTGTTAAGATAATTAGACTATTTGACTGTGTTTATACGTGTATAAATGTTAGAATATTACAAAACCTTGTAAATACATTTAGTAATAGAGCTTTTTACTACTTTAATTTATTTTTAAAATTTACAACTGCAATAATTTTAGCAATACTTAATGTTTACCGTTTAGAATCTTTTTCTTTTCATATTAAAACTGGTTCAATTGCAAGCAGCATCACATATCAAAGATAGTTCCATTCATGTGCATTGAGACGATGTCCCAATACCAAGATATATCCAAATATTAGAGTAATTGTTTTCTATCCAAAGCTTAAAGTTCAAAGTTGTTGACTAAAGTAACTAAGAGTATGGGAAGATATTTAATTTATTTTTCTTATAGTGGAAAAAATTTTAGGTTAGCTAAGTGTTTTCATTATCGCTCATATTAGAACACTGGCTTTTTTCAGTGGTCTACAAGTTCAGAAAGGCTTATCCGCAGGATGTAAAACAATAATAGGCGTGTTGAAAGTAAAGATTTTCTCATACTTCTGAAATTAAACGAGTTTAGTAATTATTTTAAATAACAGATGGCGTTTCAAACCTTAAAGCCGCTCAATGATATACATTTAGTAACCTCATCCAGAACTGATAAAGGAGTTCATGCCTTGTGCAATACGTTTCATATTGACATTGACACAAGGTTCTTTATTTTAAAAATCTGCATATTTGAAAATTTATATAACACACAGATTTCAACTTACAACCTCAGCCATAACTAGTCACGTCAACAAAAAGCTTGAAGAGCTACATGAAAATATACGGTAAAAATATTCTTTACATATAAAGCTTCTATTCATACTCTTAACTTTTATTTTAGAATACTGAAGACAATAGCCGTTGATGATTATTTTCATTCACGCTACTGTGCCGTTTCCAGAACGTATTTATATAGAGTTTTGAGTCCACATGACACTTACAGTTTTGAAGGGAAAAGATTTTGGGAGTTGCTATATCCTCCAATTGAATATGGCAAAAGTTACCTCGTCCATCGACCTTTAAATATGGATCGTGTTAGAGAGGCCATATTACATTTTAATGGAACTCATGACTTTAAGGCCTTCATGTTACCTTCGTATATGAACGAACGATCAATTAACACTGTAAGAACTCTGAGCGCTTCTGTTCAAGAAAGTAATTTTATTCTTCAAAACTATATGCCCTATATGAAAGAAAATATTAAGAGTTATGACTTCATTTTCAAATCTAGCGGGTTTCTATATAGGCAGGTTGGTTGATGTCCTAATGTTTTACAGATTTTACGTTTTTTCAACTTTTCAAGGTTAGAAGAATGACGTCGATCCTTTTGAACATAGGTCTAGAATTAGATGATCCGATAATTATTAAAGAGTTACTGGCTAAACCTTCACATAACAAGTTTTTGAAAATACACAGTATTCCCGCCCACGGCCTCTACTTGTTAAACGTTGAATATAATCCTAAAGGTGAGTTTATCCTACAATTTTTCCGTAATATATTCCAATCTATTACTTACAGATATGAAAAAGGACAAATTCTTTTTTTAGTTCTCTCTAAGTATTGGCAATGCAGTATGTCGTTTAAAAATAATTATAAGAGCTTTATAAACATGCTTTGAAATACAGAGATTGCATTGCTTCTCTAAAAATACGTTGCATTACACATTGAACATGCGTTTGTTTACAAGAACTGATTTTTACATCTGGCTATTTGCTATGGATTTCCCTCATTAGGAGCGTTTACTATATTACTTTCTTTAGTTGTCTAATTATTGAAAATAATATATACGAGAATTTTGCTTAATAAAATTCATATCTTGTGCATTCTAATAATATAATAATTGTAATGATAAATAGTGGGAATGATTAATCAATATTAGCTAACATATTTTCGAAATAAAGTTTAAGACCAACATTTAATCATCTATATAAAATATGAAGAAAATTGGTTTGCACGTATAGTCTGGCCCTTATCGGTCCGTCGAACTGTTTTCGAAATACGTACACGAAATACCGCGCCTAACATTTGCCGCTCTCGAGATTGGAGATATGCTCGCCACTCGTCTTTAGAAAGTTCAACTGAGCCGGTCAGCTTTATGGAGCTATGGGATTAAATTGTTTGCGCATTTGGATCGTCGTCTCTCTCTTATTTGACGTCTACTGTGGGGTTATTACGGTAAATTTGTTTTTCTCGTATGATTGAAGAGTGCTGTTTTGTCTAAAGTACGATAGTTTTTCAATTTTCATCGCATTTTCTATCACATCGTGACAGTTGCTTTTGTGCCACTAGATACATACGGCGTGCAGACTCAACGTATGCCCTGCAGAAGTGCTATATTAACGCGATTAATCTAATATAAAATCTTTATTAAAAATAGAAAGCATGAACATTTTGGATGCTTTTTTTTGTATTCTTTTAACTATCGTCGTTCAATCTATGACGACAGTTTTATTGCCTAAAATATAAGAGAAATTTCTTATCTCTGTAATTAAGTTTGTTTGTGAATATTTATTTGGACGTTTAAACAAAGTAGGTCGTATACGTGTATAGAGCCCCGGTATATACTGTATAGAGTGTGTACAGTCTGACACTATTGCTATTAACTGCAGTTGCTCTCTACTCATAGATTTTGCAACTATCTTTTTCTTTAGACTTTCTAACATTATTTTCCCGCCTACGTGAATCTTACATAGGCGGGATAATAAATTTCATTGACCCACTCGAGTGACATTTTGATAAGACACAAATTGTCAGGCTTGAGCTATTAAATTTCCTCCTATGTTGAACAGATTACATTTTATGAAGTCATATTTAACAGGTTAAAGCGCAAATAAGTAAAGACACGACATCAATTTACCTAGACGATGAAAGTGGAGATGGGAATGGAAGTGGTAACATTCCTGAACAACCTGCAGAAGAGTTCCGTAAGAAATAGTTCATAATTATGTTGATCGGTTCTTAAATTCTGATAATTTATAATAGCATATTATCGTCTGATAATGTGTTGTCAAGGAACGACTTGGAGAGAGGAGTATAGAAATAGAACTTCTGCACACTTCGAAGCTTTAGGATCGAAGATATCACAGAAGATTGACAAAATATTTTCAAGTCAACTGCGAACGTCTGATTACTATTTAAAAGTGCTGCAGTTTCGGTAGGCCCGCGTAAATTTTCAAGTTTTTATATTTGCTTAAAACTCTTTTACATTGATAGGGTTGTAAATTACCGAAAGCGAAAGAGAAGGTAAAAAAATTGCTTTATATCATTTAACATCTGTAAGATATACATCGTGTATACATCAAGGTCCCTTGACTCTTGTCAAGTTCTTGCGACTGTTGATGTACGAATTTTGGACGAAAATAAAGAAGTGGCAGAAGCTTTATTAAATAAAAGCCTCACAAACTTCAAGTTTTATAAAGCTCACCAACCAGGTAATCCATGTTTCCATTAATATTTTTCCATAACTGTCTTTTTGTGTTTTTTCTGGTATCAAAATACTAATACTTAATTTGTTAACCATTTCTCCACAAGAATCTGACGCGTGAAGTTAACTTCGCAAAATTTAAAATAATATATTTAATATCCAACTTACATAAAAATTTCAGATTCATAGTAGGTTCACTAAAATTTTTTCATAGCGGATTCAAAGAAAGAATTTGATTGATGCCTAAAGAATGAACTAATCTAACTACTGTGTAACCAATTTGCGTTAGTCTGAGACAGGATGTTTATTTAACAATTCGAGTAATCGATTACTAGAAGAAAGTTTCCTTACAAAAAATGATATTATTTTTACACCCTCTAATCAAACTAACTCTGAAGACCAGAGATTTTAATTATAATATAATATTAATTTGGAAATTCTTCAGTTGCTGACAATCCTTGCCCTGATTCAATAGGAAATTACTTAAAGAAGGGGGAAAATATTTCCTTAAACACAGAAAACAAAATACCAGCTTTAACTATTCCGTCGAAATTATCAGTGAAATGTAAAGGATTACTTTCAGGCATTTCAATGCTTGTCATCAACAAAAGTGAATTAACAGATGTTAATGGTCTCATTTATCTTACTATTTGGAAACCGATATATAATAAAACCGTATCCAATAAGACTCCCTCAATGTACAAATTGTTAGACAAGATAAACCTTCGAACAGATATTATTCATCAGGAAATTCGACCTCGAATACTCGTCTTTAAAGGTTATATGATTGGCTTTGTCTACTCTTTGAAGAAGAAAAAATATTTCCCTTCTCTACAAGTGGGAAAGCTAAGTAACGATGAAAAGTCTGAAATATTAGTGCATCAACACTTCTACGCGGATTATTTGGTTGTAGGGGAACAAATAAATTCAACTCAGTTAGACCACAAATTCCTGGAATTTTATGATAACAAAAACGAGAAGAAATATATGCAATATATTTTTCAAGCGCACATTGGTAAAAAGATATGTTCAATCAGTATTTGTAAATTGATATTGTAATTATATATCCATCTATTTATTTTGAATGGATATATTCTATTATTTTCCGTTATCATAGTAGTCTTTGTTATCCACAAGTTTGAAAAGTAATTAGATTAAAATTGACTCTATTAAAGATAGCATTACTTTTCAATTCGACAGATCCGATACCTTCTACAATTTCACCCTTTTGTGAGATTTGGGAAAGACGATGTCCTAACGGAGCGTGTGTCCCAAGAGACTTATATTGTAGCCAGTGTAAGGTGGAAAGAGAGTGCAGTTATCGTACGTAGATTTATATTATTTAATGATCAAATGATTAATTACCATTAATTAATGTATCATCGGTAGCATGTCAAAAATTCAAGGATTTGCAACAAATTAATGATCGAACAAAAGCTAATTCATCTCAGACTCTATTATCACTTCTTCCAAATATACAATTATACGAAAATTGTGATCGTCTGTACATAGCACAAGCTTTTATAGGATATTCTTTTAAAAGTGATAGACCTAACCATGAACTCTTTTTGACTGTATGGAGAATTATTGAGGATAAAAAATCACTGAAATTGATAAGTAAAACTAAGCTTGCTGAGAATAAAAAAGCAAAATATTATGAACTAATATCAGGAAGTTATATTGAGTTTAATAAACATGATTTGATTGGTATTCTTCAGAGTAAATCAGAAATAAGTGATCAGGTTTCATCCGGTATTGCTTTCGTTGAAGCTGATGATTATGAAGTCTTTGCATACGATATTCCTGAGGTTGATAGTTCTGAACTTGAAGAAGGCTTTGAAATTCTTCGAAAAATGAAAAAATCAATTAAAAATAGAAAATATGACATTCAGATTTATTACGAGTCGAAAATTGAGATAGGATCGACTCCAAGACCTTGTTATGGATGTGGTATGCTAATACTTTATCTATCTTTAACCAATTAAGCATTTTCCTATATAAAAAAATCTTACTTTACAGCATGTGGTGGAAGTGCTGCCTGTCGAAATGGAGGGAAATGTGACGAAGATAGTACTGGACGATTTATTTGTTACTGTGCTGCTGGATTTGAAGGAATCACCTGTGAAATGAGTAAGTTTACTTTGTTTTTGTGATCACACCAAAACAGTTGTACTTTCAGCGAAGCAAGAAACCACTACTACCTATCCTTCATGTGGAATAGGTCAATTTTTATGCTCAGATGGCACATGTATCGAAAATTATCTTTTATGTGATACTATTCCCAATTGTTCAAATGACGAGGTTAATTGCCGGGACTTGAGTACGTAATCATCTTTAATTTTTTGGAAAAGCTGTAGCTATGCTTTTTTAGATGAATGTCGAGAAAACATCTGTTATAATAAAGGAAAGTGTATGGAGATAAAAAACGGAAAAGTTCAATGCTCTTGCTATGATAATTTCTACGGAGAACGTTGCTCCAATGGTTGATAATTACTAAGATGATCTTAAATAATATAATATTTATAATTTAAATAACTTTTTAATATCTTTTATGATTTCCTTTTCAGAGTGTTCAAATTTTTTATGTAGTGATCATAGTGACTGCATATCAGACAGCCTGCTTTGCGATGGGTACAATGATTGTTCAGATGGGAGTGATGAGAGAAATTGCCGTAAATAAATTTTAATTAAAAGTATAATTTTTTAAGAGTTCTTTCTATCAATTAGCTTCAAAACCTTCATGTCGACCTGGTGAATTTAAATGCCAGAATAATATCTGCATTCCAAATTTTAAGCTTTGTGATGGTGAAAACAATTGCTACGATGAAAGCGATGAAAGGCAGTGCCCGATTTTGAGTAATTATCTCAATTGTTTTCAAAAAGCTTATTTAAAATATTTTACGTTAAACAGACAACTGTTTGGAAAACATCTGTTATAATGACGGAAAATGCCTTTCTGTACAAAATGGAATCGTTACGTGTGAATGCAGTGATCGGTACTTTGGTTTACGATGCGACAGAGGTAAATCATTGAATATCAAAGCTTAAGTTAATTTTAATATGAAGTAACAAATACTTTAGAGTGTCCAGACGAAGAATTTCTTTGCACAGACAAAAGTAATTGTTTACAAAAATCCAAGATATGCGACAGGTTGACACAATGTGATGACAACAGCGATGAATCAAATTGCTGTGGGTTTAGGACATTGTATATCTTTTCTTGTTCTATAAAAATTATTTAAATATAGCAGATACGGTTTTATATGCCCGACCAAAACTAGTTCGAATCTTAGTCGGAGAGGATGTTAGATTAGCTTGTGAGGCTGACAAACAATATAAAGATAAGAAAATAGAATGGGTTAAGTCACCCAATACTATAATAGAAGATGGTTATGATTCTCGAATGACATACGAAGAAGGATATTTGGATATATTAAACGCAAAAGAAACTGATTCTGGATTTTACTTTTGTCAATTTAAAGACAATAAACAAGTGAAATCAGATGAATTAGAATTAATTGTTGAGTCAGGTATTTTAGTTTAATTAATTAGAATAATTTTTTTAGATTTTTATTTGTGTCCTGCTAGATCCTACTGAAGTTTGTCTTAATGGAGAATGTGGTAGGATTTAAAGAGTAGAGGGACTGTCAAAATATTAATTTTTTTTTGTTTTTTTTACAGACACATTTTGCTCTCCTAATGAATTTAAATGTGTATCTGAGTCCACTTGCATCAGTATTGTCTACAAATGTGATGGTGTTTTTGATTGCTCAGATGGATCTGATGAAATATGTCCTGAAGGGGCAAGAAAATTTAATTGCTCCAGACTGACAATACCTGAGGCTAAATGGGTTAGTCTCACGTTGAAAATAAAACCATTTTATATTTATATTTTTTTAATAGTGCGACTTTAAGCAACACTGTATACGCTCTGAAGATGAAGAAGGATGCAAGGAACCATTTATTGTAAGCCATCCGAAACCTACGTCACAAAAGATTCAAGAGGGCGCAAGTATACAACTAACATGTGAAGCTAGGGGAGTTCCTCCTCCAGTTATCATATGGCGTCTTAACTGGGGTCATCTGAGAAATTCAACATCAGTCAAACAGTCATGGATGAGATTGCCTAATAACGGTCTTAATTTAATTAAATTAAAATTTTCAATAAATAATGTAACCATATTTTAAAATTTAGAGGGAAGTGTAGGTAAATTAATTATTCAACCTGTAACTGAAGAAGATGAAGGAGCCTATAATTGTGAAGTTTTAAGCAAATTATCAACAACTCCACATATCAGTGATGTCGCTCAACTCATCGTGATACCATCAAAGCGTTACTGTGATGCTTTCGGATACTTCAATGAAGTTGCAAACAGTAAAGAAGATTGCATTAGGTGCTATTGCTCTGGTGTAACTCATAATTGTAAAGGAAACGAACGATTTTATACTTTTGTAAGTCAGATTAATTTGAGTTGATGAAATTTATCTCTTTTTTTTAATCTATTATTTGAAGATAACCCCAGCCAGTAATGCAATTCGGGTCATGAACTTTGATAGGAACGAGTACGTCAGGGATTCTTTAATAACAAGAACTGACAATACCAATCAACGATACACGTTTAACGAGCAGTTTTCTTTCTATGATAAAAATAGATATTACTGGTCTTTGCCAAAGCAATTTTTAGGAAATAAAGTAAGGGCTCTAATTAATGCATTTGATACTGACGAGTGTTCAAAATTAATAGTTAAAGTCGTATGGATCCAGTGTTCAATTTTCTTTGAGTTATTACCCTGAAGATAAGCAAGATGTATTTAAAAATTCTCCTGACTTTATAATACAAGTATAAAAGGCAAATTCCATAGTATCTGAATTCTAAGAATATTTTTTAAAGGGTAAAACTTATAGTTTGTATAACTATTTTAATGAAAAAACGAAAGTTCACAAAAAAAGAATAATTCTAACTGAGGTAATGTATAGTATTATTCTCTGGTTATTTTCCGTATTGCTCACAAGAGTTATATTTCAGAAACATTTCATTCATATTAATGGCTCCCGAGTCACTAGACAAGATTTTATGATGATTTTGAGTGATATCACCTCTATCTATATAAAGGCAAGATTCTCTTTTGATCAGTCAGAAAGTCAAATTCGTAAGTTGTTTTCCGTTTCCAGTTTTTCAACTAAAGTTTTTTTAACCTTTCAGAACAACTTTTAATGAGAGAAGCAACAGAAAAAGAGCAAAGTTCAGACCAACAAGAAAGTACTTTCTTAGTCGAAGAATGTAGTTGTCCATCTGGTTACAAAGGTTTGTCCTGTGAAGAATGTGACGAAGGATACGACCGTGAACACGAAAGCTTGTCATATGGAAGATGTAAACCTTCAAAATGTAACTGTAATGGACATGCTGATAATTGTGATTCTCAATTTCATTGTCTTGTTAGTTTACCAGCTACAGTTTGTAACTTGGGTAAAGATTAATGTTTTTATTTGATCAGGGGTGCCGTGACAACACAGAGGGCAATAATTGTGAAAAATGCTCAGAAGGCTATTATATGGTAAAAAACAATAATCCAAAGGATCGATGTCAACGATGCCCTTGTCCCGCTTATAATAAATATGATCAGTGAGTATCAAATTATCATCAAGACCCTACTATAATGAAGTTCTCGACTCCAGCTATAATATATTATTTGTTATTAGGTACGTTTATGGTTGTTATTTAAATGAAGAAGATGAAGTTGTTTGTCGATGTCCTGAAGGCTACGAAGGCAAAAATTGTAACATGTGTTCCACGGGTTATGAGGGTGATCCTAGATTGGGAAAAGAATGTACGGCTATTGGCCAAGGTTTGAATTTTTAAGAATACAAGCATCACGAATCATTTAACTTTCAAAACCAATTGTATCAAACATATCATTCCGTAAGCTTATAGGTCACAATCAATGATTTTAACCAACGAATTTATTTGGAGTGGAATAAATTAATTGGAAAAATAATTTCTATTCTATAGATAGAAGATGTGATCAAGCTGGAAGTTTTAACCCTGATTCTTATGATATTTGTAATTGCAAAGTATGATTATTTTTAAAAAATTGGAGATGCTATTGAATATTTTCATATACAGCCTGGTTCAACGGGACTATACTGCAATGTTTGCAAGAGGGGTTATTTTAATCTTCATTTAGAAAATCCTGACGGGTGTTTAAAGTGTTTTTGTAATAATCAAAGCCTAGATTGTCAATCCGGTGACTTTACTGTTTACAAAGTATTTATAGAAGATAGCTTGGTAATAGTTTTTTATGTTATATACTGTTTCAGAAAATATTCAACAAAGAAGACTATAACGCTATAAAACTTATTGATGAAAGAGGTAATGAAAAATATCATGATTTTTATTTTGTCGATGCTGCAAGAAAACGAGTAGAAATTAGAGATTTAGACAATATACGTATATCTCTCTATTGGTATATTCCATCTGCAATCTTAGGAAATTTGGTATGATATAACTTCTTCTGGAGATGACTATTAATTTTGAGAATCATTTTAGATTCTGTCTTATCGCGAATTGTTAATATTTAACTTTTTCTACGATGGCTCAGAAAGTGGAAGCTTTGAGATAATATTACTGGTTAGTAACATGAAATGTAAATAATTCAAATATCCAATTATAATTTTTTATTCAGGATAACATGAATCGTAGAAACTCTTTCGATTTTATGGCGTATTGCGATGAGAGGCATGAATGCACGAGTCAGAGTCGTATAGAGCTAAAAGAAGTAACTAAATAACTAGATATATTTGGGAGATATAATAATACAATAAACAATCACAGGAAAATTTTGGTATTGGTAGAAGTGAGTTTATGAAAGTTTTGAGCGACACCAAGGCTATTTTAATAACTGCAACATCAAGTGAATTCGTTAAATCATCTCGGTAATTTTGTATACAAATCATACACATAATATATATACAATATACTATATATTAGAAAGAATAGCAGCGTTTAATTTTAACTATTAAAAACAGATTAAGCGACATTGAAATAACCCAAGGCAATTGGAAAGAGGGGAACTTCGATACTGGTCGAAAAAATATGGCTTTAGAACACTGTAACTGCCAAAGAAACTTTATAGGAACTTCATGTGAAAAATGTCCAATAAATCATTTTCATTCACATGATTCGTGTGTACCTTGTCTCGAACATTGTAATGGATATTCAAATACCTGTGATGCCACTACCGGTAAATGTACGGTATGTATAAAGATTCAATAAACATCTTAAGTCCCAAACTGAGTATACTTTATAAACCTTAGCACTGCTTGTATCACACAACTGGAGATAGATGTGAAAACTGCGAAAAAGGCTACATTGGTAATCCAACTCAGCATCCTGGGGGACGCAATGCTTGTATATTCGAAGGTGAATGCAATTTTTGCGATGAATTGGGCACAATTCCCATAGAACCTCGCTGTTATCCTGAAACAAGACAATGTATATGCCAAGTAAGACTATTTAATATTTTTATTTACAGCTTTGCATCTTAAATTGTTTTTAGAAAAATGTAATTGGCAGACTTTGTTCAGAATGTGTATCAGGATTTTTTGAATTTTTGTCTACTTATAAGCCTCCCTGCACGACAGAATGTTTTTGTAGTGATCAATCATCCCACTGCACAAGCAGTAATTTTTATTGGCGAGAAAAATTGATCACTTCTAATGTGTTAGCCATTGACTTAGATTCAAATACATTAATCAATGACGAGTGCTCTGGATGTTTAAAAAGTGATTCGTACGGCGAATTTACTCTACATATTGCTGAAAATTTGAGAAATCGTGTTTGGTATTTTAGTTTAAGTGAAATACAGGGCGATTTAAGTTCTGGTTATGGTGGTAGGATCTTTTTCAATTATTACACCGAATCTTTAAACAGCAACTGGGGATTAAATCATGCTGATATTATTCTAGAAGTAAAATTATTATCAATATATTTAATTTAAATATAATAATTTATTTGTGCACACTTATAGAGTACAGATGGATACAAAATCTCATCCCAGTTCCAAGATCATGCAAATTTCGTATCTTCGAATAGGAAAATTACTATCCTGTTAAGAGAAGTAAAATTACACTAAAAACAAACAAACACTAAATGCAAATAAAATTATCTGACTTTTCAGGATCAATTTTTTAACGATATAAATAGGCATGCTGTAACTAGAAGACAGTTTATGAATATTCTAATTCACTTAAAATCTGTTTATATTCGAGCGACTAGAGATGCATCGACTTTCAGTTCATCGATTAATTCGATTTATTTTCAAGTTGGTGATAGCGAAATCGATGCTAGTGGTCTTGGAAAAGCTTCAAGTATTGAAAAATGCGCGTGTTCACATCCTTACTCTGGAGGGAGCTGTCATGTTAGTTCCAGAAAATGACAATTCTTAAGAATGCATTACTTTTTTTAATTTCAGAAATGCGTTGATGGTTTCAGACCTGTAGGATCAATCGCAATGAGAACTTTTAAGTGTGTAAAAGACTCGTCATGCTCTTGTAACGGATTTAGTACAAAATGTGATGAAAATGGAAATTGCTTAGTGAGCTAAAATTGTCTCTTAATCAATATTTTATCTAGCCATTTTCAGGACTGTACAAGCAATACTGAAGGTAGTGACTGCTCCAAGTGCAGAAAGGGCTATTTTAAAGTTAAGACTGGCAAAACAACTTTCACATGTCAACCTTGCTCGTGTCCGTTTCAAGAGGCAAAGTTAGTTTTTAGTAACAATAATATGCTTTAGGTTTCGAAGTATGATTATTTACAGCTACGCTGAGGATTGTCATCACAGCCTTGCAAAAAAGCAAATGGTTTGTCGTAATTGTTATAAGGGCTATGAAGGAAAATGGTGTGAAAAATGTTCACAAGGCTATAAAAAATCCTATTTCCCAATCTTTCAGTGCATAAGAACCAGTAAAATTTAACATAGATTCTAATTAAAATTTATAAAAGTTTGAGGTTTACCCTTTTCTTTGCAGAAACAATAGATTTCCATGTTTATGTGCTAAAAGACGAAGCTAAAATTAATGCCGAAGAAGGTAGCACAGTGGAACTAAGATGCCGGACTCAATCTCAGGTAGCGCAGTAAAAGTCTAAATTAGTTACAATTAAGAGTAATCTTTTTATAGACGTCATTGTTTGTAATAACTTGGAAAGACCCAAAGGGTGAAAAAATTGAAGGGAATTCAAATACTGCTGGTATACTTTCTATTCCCAATGTGAAAGTTAGTGATTCAGGTCGTTATACTTGCATTGGCGTTCAAAAATCCACCGAAGTGGATCCTGGCGAATATAAAACTGACTCTGCTTATGTGAGCCTAAATGTTCGAGCATTATATGCAAATAAACCGCAGAATATACGAATACAAAGAAGCGATGGACTTTTGGTTAAGGATTCAACAACCTTAAATATTGTCGCTGGCACTAAAGTGAAATTATCTTGTATAGCAGACGGCGAAAATATTCAATATTCTTGGATGTGGAATGATGGGACTCAAAGTTATGTTTCATATCTTTTAATAGAATCTGCAAACAAATCTATTGATGATGGCTCCTATGAATGTGAAGCAAAAAATGATGCTGGCTATGCAAATATACGATTACATTTGCGTGTGATTCGTAAGTTTTGAATATTTGTTTGCTTAAAAAGTAATGATTCTCAATATAGCTTCGAAAACAACTTATGGCCCGCCTCCACCCACAACCCCTCCTCCAGTCATGCCACCATGTAAGAATGCTTCTTCTTACAACTCATAAAAGTTAATCTTGTCATAGCTCTATCATCTCTTTTAGCTCGTAAGCCTGATATCTTCATTCCGAATTCGTATTCAACTGTACGAAAGAATGATAATTTAACTATTATCTGTGATTTTATTGGGGACAAACCTGAAAAATTTTGGTGGATCTTTAAACAGAGAAATGTTGAAAAACATCTGCCGCCAAATGTCATCTTAACAGACAACTCAATACGAATACAGAGAGTAAATCAAAATAACAGTGGGGAGTATATCTGCAATGCTAGAAATCGTCATGGTATATCTCAGTACTCTGGCTTTGTTAGAGTTATCAAACACATAACTTTATCCTCAACTTACAAGGAACTTTACATTAACGAAAAATTCGAAGTAACTTGTCGAGCAGAAAATAATACACGAGTATCTTGGAGTTTCAGTTCAGGGAAACCGTTTCCACAAGGAATTAAAGTTGATGGAGAAAAACTTGTTATTAAATTTAATCCTAAACAGCAAGGAATTTATGTTTGTAAAAGCAAATATGGAGCTATTGACTTCACTCTGAAAGCTAAACGTTACTATTAACTCTCTCAAAGTGAACCTCTTTTTAATTTTTAATTATAAACAGGTGCTGATTCAATTGATATCGAGAAGAAAGTGTTATTTGGAGAAAGTTTAACCTTAATTTGTCCAAGTACATACAAATTTTAAATAGTTTTCTCACGCAAAAATTGCATAATGCTTTATCTCTCTAGATGTTAAAAACCCCGATAATGTGAGATGGTGGATAGAATCAAGAGATTCTTCTACTCCTATTTACGATAGGGAGAAGGCTATTTTCAGTAGTGTGACGAAAGAAGGTGTTCATACTTGTGAAGAAAAGTGCGATGATGTTAGCATATGCTATAAAACATTTTACAATTTTCAAATAATCATTCAAAGTAATTTTAATGCTTTGAGCTATCAAAGTATATTTTAATATCTTTAAATTACAGAAAGAGCTCCAAAATTGCAAGGAGATAAAGCTATTGTTCCTACTGAAACCCGACTGATTCTTGACTGCCCATTAACAAATGCAGATATTGTCTATCCTAAGCCAACAATATTTTGGACATGGGAAAACAATCCTAATTTGCCAATGTTTTATTTTTTTATAGTATGATATTTTAATATAATTAAATTCGAATTTCTTTTCCAGTTTGAGTCAAATTAACGCGGATGGCGATTTAGTGTTTGGCAGATTTAAAAGTGAATATGCAGGAAAGTATGTTTGTACTGTACAAAATAGCGAAGGACAGGATGACATGACTTGGTTGGTAGAAAGAGGCGAGAATCAACAAGTTTTTATACCCTTTTTCAATGAGAAAGATGACACATATCTGGCTTTAAAAGCACCCTCAGTTAAAAGATCTCTGAATTTTAAAGTTGCATTTAAATCTTTCGATTTATCAGGGATTCTCCTGTTTCAAGGAGATGTCGGTAAAAAATCTGATTACTTTAGCTTGAGTCTGGACAATGGACATGTCACTTTTCGCTACTTTTTGGGCAAAGTACCGGTTACAATAAAATCCAATGATAAGATAGACCTCGACAAATGGTATGTAGCATCCATTATAAGACCGGAGCGATCCAGCTTCGGAGTACTAAGAGTCGAAAATGAAGTATTCAATGGAACCAATACCATATCAAGTGGTATGGAAACAACCAGTCCATTGTTTCTTGGAGGTATTCCTTCGACAACAAATGAAAATGTCAAAAAGTTTATTAATTATCACAAGAACTTTAACGGCGTAATCAGCTATTTATCATTCAATCAAAAAGAATTAAACATGCTAGACTACGAGTACCTAAACATGGTAGAAAACTATGATACGTGTTCAAGAGATGCTCCGTGTGGAAATGGAAAACAGTGTGAAAATGCTAATGTTAAATATGGCGCTTTATGCTTCAATTTAGATTTTGAACATTGTAGAGGTATTTTAGATTTTTTAGATCTAACAAAAAAAACCGTGTTTTATCTCATCACTTAGATACTTGTCCAGCTACTCATTTATGCCAGTCTCAACCTTATTCTGATTATCAGTGTAATTGTAAATTGGGTTTCAATGGAGAAACATGCGAGAAATACACAAAGACTATACCATCTTTCAATGGTCATTCTTATATGCAAATAAAGCATCCTCAACAAAATCTAAAAACTAATATTTCACTCGATTTAAAACCTACTTTTCTTACCTTACCATCGATTATATTATTTATGACGGCTAACAGAGTAAGTTATTAACGTACTTAGCTTGAATTAACAAAAAAGCAATGCACTTTAGGAGAATACTAAAGACTACCTGTATATAATGTTGGATACAAATGGCTTTCTGATCTTTGTCTATTACCTTGGACATAATGAAGCAATATTGTCATCTAAAGTACCACTTTCTGAGAATGAATGGAGTACTATTCAAATTATCAGAAGAGCCAATCTTGCTTCCCTATATGTTAATGGCACAATTCATGACGAAGGTACCGTCTCACATACAGATGTTAAAAATAAAAATTAACTTTTATTAAATTAGGTGATTCCGGGAAAACTTCGAAAGGATTAAATGTCCTTGATACCCTATGGTTAGGCGGTATAGCGCGAACACAGACCTCACCTAAAGATCTCTCAGGATTTGTCGGATGCATAGATAATGTAGGATACTGTAGCTGAAAACTTATATTTGTTTAGAGTATTTATAAATTATTTTATGAACAGCTTCAATTGGATGGAAATAAATTCGATTATAATCTTAACCTGATAATTAATAGCAAAACTGTTACCCAATGCAATGAGAAGTCTTTATGTAAGGAATATATTTGCCAGAATGGAGGAACATGTATTGAAGACCGACCAAGAATGATTGCTAAATGCTTATGCCCAGAGCTATTCACAGGTAATTGAAATTAAAAAGTAATACAGCTTATTTTGAAAATATCCGCAGGCGAAAAATGTGAAAATGCTGTTAATATGTGTGAAATGAATAGTACGTTATGTGGTAGAGGTACTTGCATATTTTTAAACCCGGGATTCAAATGTGATTGCGGGGAAACAAGGAAATATGGAGCATTCTGTTCACTAGGAAAATATTTCAGTAAGAGCCTGCATGTCAGCAATCATGGTTACTTAGTTCTCAAAGATGACGTTATCAAGCCCTATTTAAGAGATATAGTAAGTACAATTTTGTCAATTATACATTAAAAAAATTTACAATATATATTACAATTGATTATTTGAAAAACAGATGGTGGTAAGTGGTGTGAATTGCAGTTTTTTTTAGTTAGAATTCCACTTAGCCTTTCTATCATTGAATAAATAAGACAATAAATTTTAATATTGTAAGTAAAATATTTATATTTCTATAGATACGACTAAATATAAAAACTAAGAAGACTTCTGGTTTAATATTCTTACAATATCAAAAAAATGGGCCTGATTTACAAGCCCTTTTGTTATTGGATGGAAAATTACAATTTCACTACAATCTTGGATCAAATTTGACTATTGTGAAGTCAAATATGTTCCTAGCCAATGGTTTAAAACATTCAATAGTAATTGAAAGAAGTGGAAAACAAGTTTTTGTAATAATAGATGATAAGACTGATTCATCAGACATTTCTCCCGGAAAAATGCAAACTTTGAATACAGACAGCGAGTTTTACTTGGGTAGTTCCTGTAAAATATTTTAAGAACTTACGTATTTTAACAAATTTTTATCTTTACAGGTGCTATTCCTATGAGTTTAAGGAGTAAAATAGCAAACTTCACGTATTATTTTGACTATTTTGATGGCTGCATTTGGGATTTAAAAGTCAGCAACAAAACAGACACGATGGTTGATATAAACTTGAATGATTATGCTATAATGGAACATAACGCTTGGACTTGTATATAACGTTTGATACACTTATTTTGGTTTGTAGCAAGTTTTTAGATGCTAGAAGTAATTTTTTAAAACAATATAAATATATTTACGTCATTTAAGAGTAAAGACAATAAAATCTCATTGATTGAGATTATTTAATTTTATGTTTCAACTATTCTTTATTTGATTGATACATCTTTTAATAAATCAATAGTAACGTAAAGCCTTTTTCATTGGCATATTAATATATACTAGAATTTAGTGTTATAAAACTTTTGCAAATAAATTCTGAAAAAAAACTTAGTTATAAATTCAAGAGAACTATGAAATTTAGAAATTGATAAGAGATCATTTATTGGTTGTATGTTAAAGAATCCGACAAACTCGGAGTCAGAATAGAATTTCGGGAAGGGATATTTTTACTTATGTTGCATCGAAGCTTCAATTTCCAGCTGTTATCGTCCAAGGAGAGATAGTTGTGAAAAATGATCTGTCCAGCAAGCTCCTTTAAAAAACAAAAATCAATTAATTTTTCACTCAAACAATAAACATAAACTACCTCAGCTGTCATTGAACATTGGTCAAATCTATATTGAAATAGAACATTGACATTGTCGATATCAGTAGAATTACATCCGTTAAGTCGTAGTTTAGTGGCATTAATTGAGTATCTTTCATAGAATTCTTCTCGGTTAAGATTTACTTTCATCAAATTGTTAGAGCAGGTTAAGTCGACTGCACGTAGAGAATTCAAGGTTGTTTTAGGAGAGCTTGTTGATGGATTTGTTGAAAAGATTTCAGTTGTGGTTGTGGACTCAAGCATAAGTCTTTCACAAAAGATTCCAGTTCGAGGTGGTTTGCACAAACATTTAAAATCGTAAAAATCTGTACTATTCTCCTGTTTAATACACTCGTATCCCCGACATAAATCAATCACAAAATCACAAATGTGTGAATCGGATAAATGAATGGCTATTCCACATAAGAATATATAGAGTAGTCTGGAGAATGAATGTATACAATAAAAATATAACTTCATTTTCGTTCTACTTACTTTGCCCTCATGACACCAGTTTGATCGTGTGCTTTAGATTAAGACTGAAATTGAACTGAATGACAATAAATTTATTACCACTAACATCGATAAGACACATATTGACTTTTTACAATATACACTTTATTATATGACTGTCCCTATGATCATTGATAAAAAAAGAGCAATATACATATGACAAACACTAGATAACATACTCGACTTTGATGATTTTTTGTGCTTGTAATAATAAATACCATCATCAGGTAAAGTTTCCAATTCAAGGCATTCCTGTACAAGAAAACAGTTAAAACTTTCATGTTCAAATTCGTGATAAACGAATCCTATGCAATCAAGTGCATAGGAGCATGTGATAGCACAGTCAGATAAGGTTCCACTCATTTTCGAAATTAAACTTTCGAAGGATCCATCGTTTGTATTTACTCCATCGCAAGTTTGTTTTTTCTTCTCAAAGTTTTCGAAGAGGTTAAAATATAGTTTTATGTTTAATTCTGTGAATAGGGGTCGTAGTCTCCTAGATGTTAAAGAATAATGAGTTGAAGATAGCCCATCCAAAGTATATAGATGTTCTCTATTGAACCTACTGTAATCATACTGTGAATCATCTAAATTTGGTCTCTTCCACCTAATGGAGGATGTAGCAGTACTGACCAAGAACGGTAATCGCTTAACATATCTTTTCAACTTTATTTCTAGTCTTTTCATGAAATCAGTGAAAAAAGCTTTTGAATCGAAAAAGCTATTGGTGAAGCCATTGACCCTAACGAAGTCAAGTTTCGAACAAATGAAAATGCCATTGGATACATCATATCCACTGTTTGTGTAGTTATTAGAGTCAACATAAGTGCCAACGTCTCGAGGGGCAAAAGAGCAACTTAATATGTTTCTATCGTCTAGTAGTAACAGCTGAGAATCATAAAATATGAGACAATCAAAATTTGGCCATAATTTTGTGGCTTCTTGAAATCCGGCATTATATAAATATCCATCATTTTGTCTTTCGCCCTGTTGCTTTAAAGAAAATATTTGAAATTCCAATAATTGTTTTCGCAAAATGAAATGTAACTGTCTTATAGCTATTATAAATGATTGCTCTTCATCTGGTCGATAGATTATAAAAACTGCCACGCTCCACCGAGGAATACATGAGACGGGTGAATAAGGCTGGCCCTGAATTTTGTCTTGAAATTCTTCCTGGATAGCAGTCAAAGAGAGGGTTCTTTGCTTGAATTCTACTGACCCTACTAAAATTCAACTAAATTAGTGGCACTATCAAGTAATTAAGCACTTACGTAATGTTTCAGGAACACAGGGGCACATTTGATTAAAGCTGAAAATTTTCTTTCTCGTTCTCTCACATTCTTGCTCGAGTTTTACTAAAGCATTCCTGACCTCATATTCATAACCTCTCTCACGAAATTTTTCCAAAGAGCTTTTTAGCTCCGTCTTACGAAGTGATTTGAGAAGAATAACTAGTGATATTAAAACAAGAGTGATCGTTACACATTGTCGAAGAGTAATTCGACCAAGTGTGGGAAAAAATCTCATGCCTTATTTTGTAAACCTGAAAAATATCGAGAAAGAAGTATCGATTCACACTCAATAAGGCTAACCTGCTTTAGGATCAATATTAATTTAAATAATCTCAATACACGAGTCCTTATTTCTTATGTTCCCTTCAATGTTTTTGTCTCTGTTGCAGCTTTTGTTTAATATTTAAATAAGAGTTCAAAAATTTGCCATTGTTTTTATTACTATTGATCTTCAGAATGAAAGTAACATTTCCTCCAGTTCGCCTTTTAAAACTACATACATTCCTAATTTAGTAGTCTTCAGTAAACTAGACGACATTAAAAATATCAAGTTTTACTTTATTTGGCCTATTATAATATATATAATTATTGGATTACTATCTTCAATATTTTATAATGAGGAATACCCTATTATAACAACACTATCAATACAGTTCTCATATTTTGTATGAATGACATATATTCAAAAAAATATTACTTAACTACTCGTTTGGGACAGAGTAAATATGTATTACATGAAAAGCTACGATTCTGAAGCAAACGGTACACGAATCTTGCCACCTAAAAGCTTTGATAAAGCAGACTCGCAGGGTTTCATCACGTTTACACTGTCTTTAAAACGTCTATGAACTTCAGATAGCAGACTGTCTCCTATCTTTAAGTATTTCATCTCAGCACATATTTCGTCGTATTCTGATAATTCCATAAATAAAGTACAAATATTTTCGACAACCACAGCATTATCCTTATGTTGCTCGTATGCATCAATGATGAGTGGCAAACCTCGAACTTCGTTTCCTCCGCTTTCATTTGATAACACTCTGTAAGCACTCTCCTCATCAGCTTCAACAAGGGATGCCAAAGTCATGCACGCATTTTTAACAACTTTAGCACAGTTTTTGTGTTGAGAAAGTGATTTAACCAATTTCCCAACACAATCAGCGTCAGAAATTTTCTTTTGATTTTCATCTTCCAAAGATAATGCCAAAAGGGCAGCGCTGGCATTTTCCACAGCTTCAGTATCTCCTCCTTGAGTATCTAAAGTTTTAATGACATCCAGAACTCCCTCTAGTTCTGTTGCAAGTCGACAATTTTCTTCATTAACTGTCAAGTTCCAAAGAGCTTCACATGCAATAGAAAGCAATCGTGTTTTGGATTCAAAGGCTCGCATAGCTTCAATAATTGATTTTATACCACTTGAATCCCCTATAAACTTTGAAGCTTCATCGTTAACTGCAAATACGCCTAATAGCTTTATAGCAATTAATTGAATATCTAAACTGTTGGAATGTTTTTTCATGGCAGAAAGAACCAGTGAAATTGTGTCTCTAGAATATAAGATGTCATCAATATTTGCTGATGATATCATATTCAGAATTGTCTGGCAGCCCGCAACTTGTATTTCAACATTCAATGGATGTAATTTTGTAGCTTTTGTTATTAACTCTTTGGCTGATTTCCCATAGTCTACAATTCCATCTCCATTATTTAATTCCGTCAATTCAACTAAATAAGTTAGGGCTGGCAAAGCGTTACTCTCATTACCTGCATGAAGCGTTAAAAAATCTATAACAGCATCAAATCCCTCACCCTTTGGTACAGAAATTTCGTATTCGACGTCTCTTTTTTCGGCTAAGGTCGAACCACTTAGTAACAGGCACTCTTTCACATAAGGAACTTTTAAGAGTTCACTTGTAGTTGGACGTTGATGAAAATCAATTGTTAACATATTGCTAACTAACTCAATCATCTGTTCGGAGTATTGATCTTTTACTTGGTCCAGAATTTCTTTAACAGCCTTAGGATTCTGCTTGATTTCATACAGTTTGCCTGTTATTTCTGTACTATCAATAATGGTGCAAGTCAGCATTTCAAAAATTATGCACCCAACACTCCAGATATCGGTTCTCTCGTCATATGCTTTGTTTAAAACTTCAGGAGCCATCCATGTTGTTGTTCCGACAGGAGATCGAGCTTTAGTTCGCACATCTTCTATAACGGTTGCTACACCAAAATCACCTATGGAAAGGCTATTGTCATCTTGTATGAAAATATTGCTAGGTTTAAGGTCCCTATGAATAATTCCTTTTTTGTGAATGTAAACAAGTGCCTCTAGAATTTGACCAAGCCACTTTTTTATCGTAATTTCTCGCAAGTTTTCTTTTGTTTCATGATATTTTTTTAAAACGCTATGCAGGTCTCCATTCGAATAAAAGTCCATTGCTATACAAACATACATCGAAGAATCATCTTTATCCCAATAAACAAACATTTCTTTATAGGCACATATATATGTGTTTGATAGTTTCTTAAGGTGCTGTGCTTCTCTAAAAGCCTTATTTGCTTCGTTTTCATCTTTACACTCAATTTTCTTAAGAACATATTTCTTGCCCTCTAATTTATGTTCAGCAAGTTGAACTCTACCTTGAGCTCCTCTCCCTAATTTTTTGATGATTCTATAATCATCCATCGTGAGAAAATTTCAAGCCGGATGTGTACGTTGTTGCTATATGCACAACGCATGCTCGAGTTACGGTGGCGCTACCTAACGGTTGTTATTACAGTTTATATCTTTTGAGGGAAAACAGTCAACTCCGTTTCTTAAAGTTATGGATCTGACAAACGAATGGAATGGTATTACTGAAGAAATAAGACTGCTCAAAATCAGTCCGAGAAGCATACCTGCTTTAGCAAATCTTCCAAAAAATTCGAAATTTAAATTTCGTAAAATATCAATTTACAGCTTTTTAATAGTTATCTTAGCCTTTTTAATTTTCCATGGGTCTTCATATGTAAAAGATGTCATAGAATTAAATGAAACTTGTTTCATCCAAGTTCCAGAATCGATTTCTCTTGCATTTAGACCTGCAATGGACTGCAATCTCTGTAAAAATGTTCGAAAAGTACACAGAGTCTCAAAAATCAGCGTAGAAAAGTTTGAGAAATATTATGCTTATTCTCAACAGCCTGTTATAATTACTGATGCTATGAAAAACTGGTCAGCCTCAGCAGCATTTAATTTTGAATATTTTAAAAAATTATTTGGAAATGAAGAAGTTCATTCTGGCGACATGTGCCAATTCTTTCCTTACAAAACTCATTTTAAATCTCTTGGCGAAGCAATGAATATGAGCTCCAGCTATATGAAAAATACAAAGTGGTATATCGGATGGTTTGTAAAAGGAATTGTTATATCTAGTTATTTTTAAGATTCTTTGTAGGAGCAACTGTGATCCATTCGCAACTACCGAACTCAGAAATCACTATAGTAAGCCCTACTTTCTGCCAAGATTTTCAGAATCAAGCCGTACTGATTGGATTTTTATGGGCAGTCCAGGATATGGCGCGTCGATGCATGTAAGTCTAATAAGTATTTATTTAGTTGAATAACTTGCACTCGTTCTTTTAGATTGATCGCGTTGGGAAGCCATCATGGCAAGCTCAAGTTAAAGGACAGAAACTATGGACATTGGAACCGGCCCCAGAATGCTACTTATCTTGTAAAAATAGAATCCAAGTCACAGTAAATCCAGGCGAAATCAGTAAGCGATTAAATTTAATATTTTTATTTAAAAATTGAGCATAGCTTTTATGTTTTAGTTGTTTTGGACACAAACTATTGGTTTCATTCTACAAGGATAATAGGGAGCAGTAATAGCATCACTATTGGATCTGAGTATGATTGAGACTTGACAGTTTCGAAATTGCAATTTCATTTTCTAATGGAAAATTACTACCGTAAAATTACTTCGACGTTCATTTTTTTCTTTAATAATATACTTAGTTTTTATGTGTCAATGTCGCCTTTCTTCTTGCAACATAAAAGTAGAACAATCGCAAAACAATTGCCAAATGTATTAATCATCGAAAAATTACAATTATTAAAAATATTTTTCTATAAAATTAAATAGCGTTATATATAACAATATGTCAAGTCAATATCATAATTTGCATAAATATGTAAAAAGCGTTGAAGTAGTTACAGACATATTTATAGTAAAACGCACTTCTTTTTCTTAGGCGGTTCAGGAGGCTCCAAAGCAGCCAGAATTGCTTCATCAAAAACATTTTTCAAACCTTTTTGTGTAAGTGCTGAACATTCCACATATTTAACAGCTTTTAACTCTTTTGCCATTTTTTCTGCTTGATCAAATGATATCGGCCGTTGTCTATTTTTCGTTAATCTTTCAATCATTGCTTGATCATCCCGTAAATCGATTTGTGTACCGACTAATAAGAATGGTGTCTTTTGACAATGATGAGTAATTTCTGGAACCCACTGCAATAAATCAATTTATTAGATATCTTGGTTAACAGATTAAAATAACGAACTTTCTCTTTGACATTTTCAAAGGACGAAGGTGCTATTACGGAGAAACAAACGAGAAATACGTCGGTTTGTGGATAAGACAGAGGTCTTAAACGATCATAATCCTCCTGTCCTGCTGTATCAAAAAGACCTAAAGTGTAGGGTTCACCACCAATCATAACCGTCACAGCATAATTATCAAATACAGTTGGAACATACTCCGCAGGAAATTTATTTGTCGTATAAGAAATCAGCAGGCATGTTTTACCAACTGCACCATCTCCGACCACAACACACTTGATCGTTTGCATTGCCTTAAAAAATGGGTGTGGATTAGTCATCAATTTCATTTACAAAATTTATATAGTTTCACATTTATCTATACATCACTTATAGTACTACCGTTGAGTGACTGAAGTTCTCAAAATAAGGAAAGGATTAGCTCAAAAAGATTTATCGCAAAATCTATTATTGGCTAGCTACTGACCTGAGAATTCGCCGCCATTGCTGGTCTAAACTACAACCGTTTTCCGAACAAGCAAAAAAAAAAAGAGTACAAATCAAGCATCCAAATTAAATATATCGAAAACAATTTCATTAAATTCGATCTAGAATTCAGATTCGTGGAGAAAAGCATGGGAATTTCTGAAAAATCGTGGAACTTACCGAGCAAAATTTTCTTAACCAACCCGGAAACTATAAGAACGCGCATGCGTGAAATATCCATTTCCACTACGTCAGCTCATTCTATATATAAAACTGGTAGGTTTCCCGCTTCTCTCATACGCCTAATTCTGCATAGGACCAATTCAAATCGCAAGAATGATACCTTAAGAATTTATCGAAGGAACTTTTTATTAATACTGAGAAAATTACCGGTATGAAATGGAAGTTTTAGAATATGGTTCGGGAAGATTACCCTCTTATCTACACAGATCACATCAACGACAAAAATAGGTATGCAAAACGCAAAAATCTCAGTCTGTCCCTTGTGACGTTAGAGCACTGTGGCGTCAAAAAAATGCTCTTTCGACCTTCTTATAGAAATTCAATTTGGGAAAATATAAGTTGTAACATATCGATTTGTGTGTTGTTATATAGGCCTAGGGCTTGCATACTTTTTGCTAACTCAATTTAACAAGTCTAAAAAATAAAATTTTAATGAATTAAGACGTATTTTCATAGTACGCGCTGATTTTGATTTGAACCTTGAAGAGTGCTTTATAAAAAATTTTGGTAATATCAGGCTATGCGAGAGAGCATTTATCGATTGCGATATTGCTATTCTCTGCAGATGTGTTTGACTTTTCTATGTCGACATTAATAGGATGCCAGTGAAAGAAACTACAGGCTACCGCCCTGGATTCCCAAGTTTACCTTGTACACGTTGGGATAGTGAAAGAGACCAGGTCGATGTGGAATACAAACGCTTTTCTGGGAGAACATCCTGTTTTCAAGGACGAAAAGGCTTGGTTTTAAAACTTCTACTTTTAGTTGTAATTTTTCTGGTAGGGCTTATTATAGGATACGCCATTCGACGAAAAATTCAACCGATATATGAAGTACACCACTCAAAGCAACTTTCTATCATTTCGAAAACAAACTTAAATACTTTGAAATCTCACAGTATGATAGATAATCAAATCATCGGCAATCAAATCAGGTATAGCAAACTTGTTACATTTCTAAACTAAATAAATTTGATTTCTGTTTTTTTAGAAATCTTTCTCAGACAGTTCATTTAACGGCTACAGGAGACAATGTACACTTGGGAAGAATTTTACACAGGCAGCTAGTTAGCTATGGACTTGAAGTTATCAGGAAAAATTATTCTGTTTTAGTCTCATCTTTAAACTAGTGAGTTAAATGAAAGCTTTATTTATTTCTATCTAAGACAAGCGTTTATTTAAATAGCGCAAAACCTAACAAAATTCTACTTCAGGACTCTACAGGGACAACAGTATTCGCTGGTATGCAAAATTATATGTACTGTAAATTTATTTTGAATCTTATATTATCGGTTTAACAGTGAAGTATAGGGGGAAAAATGACGAATTTCATGTAGAATACTCTCCTTTTTCGTCATGGTCCCCTAGTGGAGTAGCATCTGGTAAACCTGTCTATGCTAACTTCGGAAGAGAAAGAGATTTTAGGACTTTGAAAAGTCTTAATATATCTGTGAAAAGTAATATTGTTATAATCAGATATAAACGGCATTTTCCAACTGCCAGTGCAGTACGAAATGCAGTGGAGAACGAGGCTGCGGGTGTTTTACTCTACCCAGACCCCGCACAATTTACAGATATGTTTCATGATCACTTGGAAGCTTATCCTAAAAGTAAATGGCTACCGAGTTGGGCTGTGGTACGAAGTCAGTTAAGCATTTTTATGGGAGATTTACTAACTCCTGATTTACCAGCTATAAGTAAATTTAAACTAATAACAACAATGTTAATATATTACTGATGAAATGATATTCCAGCTGGAATGCAAAGAAAGTCGATTGAGGAATGCAAGAACTTACTTCCCTCCATTCCATGCCAACCTATCAGCTTTAGTGATGCTGAGATCCTTCTTTCGTGAGCATTTAAAATTTTTGTCGACTAACTAAACTTTGTATGAATTTTAGAAATATGGCTGGCTCAAATAATTTCTCAGTCCCAATTGATTTCATAGGAGGTTTGAATATATCATACAATATTGGCCCAGGATATGATAATGAAAAAAAAAACTTTTCAATTTATATGCAAACAAATAATGAAATGTTAACTAGAAATATTTCAAACGTGTTAGCAATTATTTGGGGTTCTGAAGAGTCGGATCGTTATGTTATTATTGGAAATCATTATGATGCTTGGTTGACAGGAGCAGTTGACCCTATTTCTGGTACGGCAATTTTGCAAGAAATATCGAGGAGTTTGGGGGAGCGCGTAAAATCCGGGTGGAAACCGCGAAGAACTATTATAATTGCTCATTGGGATGCGGCAATGCAAGGTTACTTAGGTTCAGTTGAATGGATACAAGAATTTAAACAAGAATTAGAACATAATTCTGTTATGTATATTGATGTGAGCACACCAGTTACTGGTAGGCTTATAATTATTTCTGTTCCCTTAAAATAAAGGTATAATTTACTCAGGAAATTATACAATGGAAGCAACTGCTAACCCTATTTTACATGAACTGCTATGGGAGAGTTTAAGACAGTCTGAACCCTGGAATAACTCAACTGAAGCAAAAAGTGCATATGATTTATGGTTAAAACGCTGTCGGCTGAAAGATGAGAGAAACAGGCCTGAGTAAGAATAATTTAGGTTATTTTTATTATAAACAACTTCTGAGTAACACGTACAGAATTTGGAGTTTGGAAAGTAACGACTCTGATAGGGATGGTTTTGTTTTTATACTAGGAATACCTTCTTGCCATCTTCAGCTTGCTCCTGAACGGGGTTCTGGTGATGAGTTATTTCCTTCGCATACCACTGCAACTGATACATACAATTATGTTTCCAAATTCGTTGACAACTCATTCATGTCACATAAAAGTTATGCTCAAATTATCTTGGAGATTCTTTTTAGAACAGCTACAGTTCCCAAACTCCCTTTCAGAATAACCAAACTAGGAAAGTATCTGGAGAAAGAGTACCAAAGACTACAATTAAATATTGAAAGCAAAAACTTGCTTCGAAAATTCCCTTTGGGTGAGTCATAATTTATTTAAAACTTTCCTTTCATGAAAACTTTGCATTTTACAACTTATATAGATATATTTCAAAATACTCTCTTAAATTTCATAAAGAGTGCCGAAGCTATAGATTTTGAATTGGAATCTACTCCTGACGAAAGGTTGTTATTTCTAATAAAAAATAGATCTTTACATTATTATTTTTTCAATAGTACCCTAAGAATTAGGCAGTTGAATGATCAACTAATGAGTGTTTCTCGAGCTTTTATATGGTCAGAAGATATTCCAGGTCATTTGAAAGGTCAAAGGTAATAACTATCACAAAAACTTACTGACGCCCTCAGCTTTACAAGTTTAAATATTTTTTTATTTTATTTTAGAAACGTCCTATTTGGAAGGACTTTTCGCGGTAATTCAGTCTTTCCAGGAATTTTCCAAACATTTCATGATTACGTAACCAAAAGTACAGACGAAAATGCTGTAAAAGTCAATCGACAAATATCGATAGTATCATACTGCTTAAAAGCTGCAGATAGTATCATTCAAATTCATTGAAGTATCCTTTCTACATTTGTATATTATCAAATTTGTGCTTTTATGCCCGCATATTCGTAACTTTTTTAAGTCTAAGTAGATTCTATTCCATATAATTTTAATGTTTAATGTAATACTGTGCATCAAACGCCAAACTGTATAGATTTATACTAAACGTTATTAGTTATATTTGGTATAATATTTTGAATAATATTGTCAATCAATTTAGTAAATCAACTCATATTTCAAATTTTTATCGGAAGCGGAAATTAACAAATGAGAGTTGTTTGAAGTCTATAAAAATACAAGGTACCTAATAAAATTTGATGTATCAAATAAATAAAGAATTCGTTAAGTGGTATTCTTTTAAATTTATCTAAAATCCTCTTAAGTCTAATTTTAAAAAAATTGTGATTTTATCCCTGAATAGTATTTGTTTATAAAATAGCACCCATTTACAACCAACTACGAAAATAAGTTTTAACGGTTTTTAACTAAAATGACCTCTACCCGTAAAGAAACTTTGAAAGATGACATGTCCCTTTCATATTGGACTGAGCGATGGGAAAATGGAAAGACTGGATGGCATAGAAATGACATAAATCCTGGATTAGTTGACAACGTCGAAAAACTTTTAAATGGCAGAAGTCAGGTGAAAATATTCTTTCCTCTTTGTGGAAAAAGTATGGATATGAAATGGATGTATGATCAAGGCCATACTATTATTGGCGTTGAAGGTTTCTCGAAGGCAATTGAAGAGTTTTTTAAGGAAAATGATTTGGAATACACAAAAGAAGGGAGTGTGTATTCGACCAATGATAAGAGATTGATCATTCACAATCGAGACCTCTATGATTGTAATGTAGAATTACTAGGAAAGGTAGATGCTATCTGGGATCGTGGAAGTTTTGTAGCTATCAATTATTCTGATAGACCAAAATACATATCTTTAATGCAGTCATTTTGCACCCGTGAAACTCGATATTTATTGAATACACTGGTTTATGACACCAGTCTATTTAGCGGACCACCACTTTGCGCTACAAAAGATGATATTAATAATTTAGTCTCTAGCTGGGCTACCATAGAAAAAGTCTACGAGACAGATGAATTAAATGACCGTTGGCGGGCAATTGGATTGAAATCTTTCATACGAGAGGTATTCTTAATAATTCCTAATTAGATACTATATCTAACACCCATCATAAAACACAGAATATACAATTTGACAGTATATGAATACATTGTCATTGTTACAAAAATTCTTTAGATAGTTTAAAAGATGATTTTCAATTACAAAAATGTATTGTCCGTATTTAAATATGACTGCAGACGAGTAATTACATGATATAAACTAAAAGATGTTTGTCAAGCTCGTAAAGTAACCTTTCCCAACATAGGTTTATTGGAAAATTTCAATTTTGTGATATTTTTTTCTAACTCAAAAACAACAACTGTATTTTTTCCATTACGTAATAATGGAGCGGGTAGGTAGAGAGTTCTCTGAGGTCCTGCGTTCCAATATTTTCCAAGTAAAAAGTCATTAACCAAAATGATGCCTTTACCAAAGTCAGATGTATCGATAAAAGTATCTCCTATCTTATCATCCAAATTAAATTCCGTTTTATACAAATTGGGAAGGCTATGATCTACATAACTCTCTTCATTCGCTATTTTTTCGATGATTTCTTCACTAAAATCGATAACAGTATGCAACCATTTCTTTATCTTAACTCCATCAGCAAAGATCTCCCCTTCAAGAAAACCTTTGTGTTGAATGTTCAGAACGTTTCCATAGTTAACCCTTCCCATATTTTCCAACAGCAGTTCTATTTTACATTGTTCATTAGCACCACTCAATTCTATGATATTAGTAGGCTCCTCACGATGAGTTAAAATCTTTTTTAGCTTTCTATCAACATAAATGTACATTCTATCACGAACAACTCCTTTCAAAAGCAATTGTTTGGTTGACTTCGGACAATGGCTTTGAAGATGGAGAAATCCGAAAGATTGTCCAGATTGGGAATGTACATCGAGACTTTCCATATTTAACATGTAATTCGACTTGGTCTGATAATTAGCAAGTTGTCCAATAACTTTTACAAGTTTTGATAGGCTCAAGAAAGGTGTTAAGTCATACGACCTAGGTTTAATTACATGAGACTTTGATGGGGGTTCTGGCAGTGGTGTTTGAGAGAGCTTTTCAAGAATACGCCTGATAATAAAAAATTTATTACTAAGTCTTCCATCTTCAGTTATTGGAGCATCGTAATCGTAGCTGGTTATAGTTGGTTGATAGCCACTCTCAATTGAATGATTGTTTGCACCATTCCAAAACCCAAAGTTGGTACCTCCTACCATCATGTAGAAATTAATAGATGCATTATTAGCAATAATAGAGAGCAATTCATGTTCAAATGACTCCAAATTGATAATGTGATGTTTTTCGAACCAATGATCAAACCACCCTGTCCACCATTCAGCAACAAATAGAGGACGATCGGGTTGTAACGTTTTTAACTCATTTAAATGTTTTGTCGCTTGTGTCTGAAAATTTATGGTCATTAGAGTTCCGGGAAGTCTGCTCTTACCAATATCTCCTGAGGAGTCGGACGTAAAAATTAACTCATTTATTCCATAAGTTTTAAACAAAGATTTCAGGAAGAGCAAATATGAAGTTTTTTCACTTGGTTTAATACCTCCAACATAAGCGCCGTATTCATTTTCCAATTGAAAAGCTATTATAGGCCCATTGCCAGTAGAATATTGATATTGAGCTAATAAAGGGAGTAAACGAGAAAAATAACGCGTCACTTTTGATAAAAACTCCTTATTATGACTTCGAAGTTTTATTGTACTCTGACGTAATAGCCAAGATGGTAAGCCACCGAATTCCCACTCAGAACAAATATAAGGACCAGGCCTGATTATCATTTTCATCTTTAATTTATGAACCATTTTGATAAAATCAACCAGGTTCCAGCGTCCGCCAAAATGAATCATTCCATCATATGGCTCGTGAAGGTTCCAAGGAACATAAGTTTCCACTGTATTTAGTCCTGCTGCTTGCATTTTAAGAATTCTATCGCCCCACTGTTCAGGTAACGTACGGAAATAATGAAATGCTCCACTTAATATTAAAAATGGTCGACCGTTTAAATAGAATTTTGAACGGAAGGCAAATAATCTTTTAGGAAGTTTCAAACCATTTACTTCATATGGAAGACATTTTCCATCAACTATCTCGCAACTTTTGCCCAGAACTGAATTTCGCTCATTTCTTCCGTCATTTTCTTCTAATGTGTCTAATGAAGGCATAGAATGTCTAGAAACCACATGATAAATTAGATAATAGATGCATATTAGACAAAACATGAAGCATGTAAATTGCTTAACAGTTAGACGACGAATAAATGCCTTACAAGCAGTCGTCATTTCTTACAAATTACGTGTCCTTGACCTTAAAAACAATAATAAATTTTCTCAAAAATATAATATAATTCTGTTTTATTGCTACTTTTGAAGAACTAAAATATATTTAAAATTTTTATTTTCAGAATAATTCAGTCATCATCGTCAGAAGGGACAAAGATATCGTTTTCTTCGAGAAAAGCTGCAACTGATTTGCTTATGTAGGCTCCACCAAATATAAATGGTAAAACAACAGTCATAACTTTGGAGATAGAAAACCGGGTAAGGTGAGGTGGATTCTCCAATGCTCCAGATTCTCTAACAATCGACATGAAACGTTGTTGTTGGATAGATGAGAGATTTTTTTGAGTTTTTACCAGCTGTAGAAACGATCTAACAGACGCCATTTTTCTACCTTTGAAAACCGGTAACAACCGGTTAGAAGTATTGACTTATTTTTATTTGCTTGTGCAATAAAAGAATTGCATTAAAAATGAATAAGTACTGCTTTATAGCACAATTAACATATATCAAAGTGTTACTAATTTCTTAAGTTATTGTTCTTTGTTGCTATTGGTTACTTGAGATTTATTTGTCCATCTCAGCCTAACTTCAGCTATCACATACGCAGTAATCACAGTTGCAAAATAAAAGAGAAATGCAATATAGAGGCCTTTCGCTGCCAGAGCCAAAAATAATCCCAAAGCGCAATTAATTAAAGCAAATAATAAACATACTCTCCCCAACCATCTGTGAAAATTTTCCCAAATCACACGTTTTTTAGGGGTTTTTGAATCAACAGACTTATGAGGTCTGCAAAAGGCTGTAAATTGCTGAAGTCCTATTAAATGGACAAGAAAACCGATTATTCCATGTGGAAAAGCATGTAAACCAGCCGATAATATTCCACAAATAAACCCTGCAGTTGCCGTCAAAAGACCCACTATTTGCAAAATTCGATGTATTTTAAACCACAATGGATCTTTGTGTCTGAAATATCGAGCTATGAAAGCCCCTGCTTGTAGGCACACTCCCCATCCTATAAACATAAATATGCCATGAAGAGCGATTAGATTGAAGAACGGCTGGTTACAAGATTCTGAGATCGGTGAACTTATGTAATTTCCAGACAAGAAATACAAATTATTATTTGAACTAGATCCTCCAAACATATAAACACCGTTTCCTGAATGAGTTAAAGCTGGACCAATTCGTCTGTCAGGTATACTACCAACAACTTTCCTCAGATTCCATTCTTTGCGACCAACATCATATACAGCAACCTGATCGGTTGGAGAGTCACTACCAATTAAAACTTGATTGCTACTCTCATCTCCTCCAAATAGAATAACAGTTTCAGATGACAACGGAGCCATAGCAGGGTAAGTTCGTGGCGAAGCACAACCTGGGAGTTTTGTCCATTCTCTGTCATTAATGTTAAAAGTCCATGAATCTCCTGCAGGACACGGACCACCAGCTCCCCCTCCTTTTAAGCAACCGCCATAAATAAAGAGTTGAGATTCTAAGATACATCCTCCTGAGAGACATCTTGCATGAGGATAGTTTGGAGAATAAGAATGCCCATCTTTGTGTAACTTAACCCATTGATTCGAAATTAAATCAAAATATAAGGTATCGGCAAATCGACGGCCTTTATCAAACCCATGACTTAAATAGAGTTGATTATTGCTTATGCCACCGACAGATCCATAGCGCCCTGAAGGAGGTTCGTTTATTGGTGTTTGCTTTGTCCATATTTCCGTTGACAAGTCAAAACACCAAACGTCGTTAAAAACAACCTTTGAAGTGCCTTCTCCTGTTGTTAAGCAGTACAATTGTCCAAAAACGCCTGAAACAAAACTAAAACGTCTTGAAGGGCCTGATGTTTTTATTTCCCTCCAAGTTTTACTTGTTGTATGATAAATCCACGTATCACCCAATATTCCATCCCCTCCTCGTCCACCGAACAACACAATTTTTTTCAGCGATTGAATGAAACCGATACCACAATCTCTTCTGGGACTGGGGGAATTACCATCACCTTTGTGAACAAGCTGCCATATTAGTTGATTTTGAACAAATGGGAATATATAAATTAGTATAAAGATACTCTTCATTCCTGGGTTTTGCCAATTGAATAATAGTGAATTATGATTAATATTGTAGATGGTATGGAATTTATCGTGCTGCCACCTGTCGACTTTCGTTCATTTCTTTCAGGCCTACTGATTTCATTCATCAAAAACAGACATATTGTATCATATCTTAACAGACTTCTCTTCTTTAGCACAATTATTAGAAAAGATATTAAACCTTCTACTTCCCACCACCTGCCGGCATTTTCATTATTTGAATATTTACAACGCCTAGTGGCAGAAATAAAAATTATAGTCATCCTTTCCGTTTTTGCTCAACGTATGGTTGAAGAGCCTTTGCTTGTTGATTTAAAGTGGAAATTATCAGTCTTCCTATGTGAATTGCATCTAAAATCAACGATATATCAAGTTGGAGCTTTCACTTTACGAAAATCAGCAATAATCGATCGACTACAGGCAAACTTGGCTGCTGGTACTCTACTCTGGGCCAAACGTTCCTCACTCTCTCCTCACTCAGCCTGACTCTCTTATTTTATTTAATCTATAACAGTTTTGCTGCTTTCTCAGCTGATATAAAATCTGCAACCTTTCTCACAACCCAAATTATCTTCCACATCAACTATGGCAAATTTAGCTAATCAACGATCATTTACAACGTTCAAAATGAATGCACTTTCAATATTTAAGATAGATCTTATCAAGTCTGCAAGATATTTACAGCGGCTCTTAAGTCGAATCGACCAAATACCTTCACTATATGAGGGCCCAACTGTTGCGGTAGCGATAGAGAGATATGAAACTTACTGGCTTCCTTTAGTTGCCGAAAAAGACAACATCGATCTAGTACCTCCTATAGATATTCAATGGGTATGGCTTGTACATATGCTGTCTCCCTATTCTTATGAAAATGACTGCCTAAAAATTGTTGGTAAAACAATTGATCATAGGCTAATGCCTTCAGAAAAGGAGGAGAAGGCAAGATCAAACACAGAAAAAATGTGGAAGATTAAATATCCGAGAGTTCCCTTTCAAATAAATTTTGATAATGTATATTCGAACTCCAATTATAAACAAAAATCAACTTACGATCTTCGAATGGCTATTTCTAGACAAAAATTATTCTTTTATCAAGTTTCTTTACCACACTTTATTGATAACATATTTCTCGAAAATGCTCTCGATAGATATATAAAATTTTTATATTTGAAACACCTAAAACCTTCGGAATTTTTTGTTCCTTGTTATGACATGGATTTGATATGGCATGCCCACCAACTACATCCATTGTTATACAAAGAAGCTACCGAATCTTTATTAGGCAAACTGTTAAACCATGACGACTCAGTTAACGATCGATCTAGGGATTCAAAACTAAACAAAGCAGATGTATTAACGAGACAGATCTGGAAAGAAGAATTTGACGAATCATTCTCTTCAGCTGGAGCAATGTTTCGTGGTATGCCGGTTAATGGTAAATTGAATGCAATAGATACAAAAGAAATATATACAATGTCATCTAAGCGTTGTAAAGTGACTATCTCACAATTATATGTTGATAGTGGTAATTTAAATGAGCATCGACTGATGGTCCGTCTTGCCCTTCGCAAAGCAGGTGCAGACAGCTTAGAAAAGCAAATCTTAAAGCTGAGAGGCCCACAGAAGCTGTGGAAGTCGAAAGGGGACGGCATAGTAAAATTTGAAATAACCACATCCGATAATGTGTCCCTTCTCTTCGAATTGTATGATTGTAAGGGACTTATGTGCCTCTATCGTGAGAAAAACTGTGCCTGCAAAAAATTTGATGTGTCAGATATGATTGAGGAGTATCCGACCTGCAGAACCCTCTCCTATGAGGCTGTTGGCTTTGAAAGTCAATCGTCATCAACGGAGGCCACCCTCTCTTTTCAAATGTCTTTCTCAGAGCCAGAGAGGAGTATATGCGTTTTTAGTCTTGAAATTTCAAAATTTGAAACTTGTGTAATACCTGAAAATATTGAACAGTTATGGGGTCCGATTCCAATGGCCCTACTCCCTGAAGGTGTTCCAAATACCTGTTATGCTGCTTCTCATAAAATTTATAATCATCTCAATCATTTCGAATTTACAGCCAGGGTTATCCATTCAATACCTCTTAAAATGTCTGCCATTCAACTATTCAGAGGTGATAAAATGATAAGTGTAGGACATTTGATTAGCACTGATCAACTTCCTACTGCCAGTGATGTCAGCTGTGACTTCCAATATGCTACTATAGACCCCTCTAAAGGTGAAAGAGCTTTCATCATAAAAGATGAATTTGGCGATTGGGGAATTTGTCTAGGATTTTGGGAAGGTCTCAAGAAAGGTATTCCAGGTAAGGCTGGGTCACGAGGCGTAAAAGCTGTTCGAGGAGTCCCCGGAGACCCTGGTTATTTAGTTATTCGTCTGCTTAAACTTAGGGAACGAACTTGGACATACACTAAAATTCGTCTTTGCGAAAAAGATAAACAGAAAAAAGAGGCATACATCGAGGGCTTAAATGTTGACTTTAGAACAGCAAAATTTTATGTTTCAAAGGAGGTCAACGATATAGGTCCAATTTTGACTACAGCTCTATGTCTTACCCTTCTCCAAGTTTTGTGTCAACCAAGAGTAGTTAGCCAAGATTTCTCTCTAAATATGTCTGAAGAAGAGAAGGAAAATGTGAAATTTGATCAAGAAAATACTTTTGGCTGTTCTACCCTAGCCCTGCTTGTTGCTGGAGGTTTTAATATTGATACTCCATGCAACACTTTTATGAAAATTTCATCAGGTGGATCTTGTGCTGGCTGTTGTTGCGATGCAGATGGTAAGATTTATACTTATTTTCTTTCACAATGATATACTATGTATCATCATAGGTTACGCTGATGTGGCTGGTTGTGGAGGCTGTGGCGGTTGCGGTGGTTGTGGGGGTTGTGGTGGCTGTGGTGGTTGTGGAGGTTGCGGGGGTTGCGGGGGTTGCGGGGGTTAACAAGAAAAACTAATCGTTAAGGACATTATACGTTATTGATATTTGTGATTAAGTTATAATTTAAAGTAGCTGTATGTATGCACTGTAATTTCGCTACGTAGTATACACAGTGTCAAAAGTTCAACCCAATCAAAATTCAGCTATTCTCTTCTCAACAGAAAGAAATTTTGTATTGCGTATACGCCTACTTCGCGCAACAAATTATTACTTTAAATCTCTAGTAATAGTAGTTCTAACAGTGTTTTCGGACTCAATACTTCATGTATTTAATATGAGATTTATTAATTTTTAAAAATAAGTTTTTCACTTTAGTATCCATATACTTTACCCATAAAACTTTAGCCGTGAAAAAAGAATATTCAAATTAAGCATAAATGCTTTTAAACATTCCTGTTGTATAAAATGTATACCAAATATACTACATTATCTGATAGAAATCATTACGTACCTCGACACTACTCCTTTTTTTTACACAAATGCTAGAAGTATCGCTAATCGATTGAAGTATTTATTTGTAAATCATTATCATGTTTGTCAAAAATAGTAGATAATTCTATCATGATACTGAACTTTGTTGTAAATATGTCTTTTAATTAAGTCTTAAGTTTAACTGTCTTCTTACTATCTATCAATATTAAAAATTTTGTGCCAATTTCAATACTTCATTTTAATATGTTTCAAAATATTTGTTGCCGTCTCCTCTCGCAACCGGTTAAGTTGTTAAGACTCCATTTCAGTTTGCTGTGCCAACAAAAGCACTTAAATGAATATTCAAATGTTCAAGCGATTACAGAGAACCAATGATCAACTAGGGTAGAGTTGCACTAAGCAACAGCGTCCTTAACAACAAGCCCGTTAAAAGGGGCAAACATTGAAACGAATTGTCACTATCGCTCCAGTTCGAATTTCAATCGTACCATTTCAACTAATCTTTAGCAATGGGTCTTGGTGATGCGTGGTCTGCCGATCCTGATTTGAACAGCAGGGATCCTAATGAATTAAATAACCACTTAGCTGTAAGTTATTCAGAAATTTTCATTGATAAACCTATAAAACTATATAACCGATATAAAAGTATTTTGTCTCTAACGGCGTTTTATTTACTAAATTCGTTTTAAACGAACCAAAAACCTGTCGTTAATTATCATATAAAACTTAAATTCTTTGGTTTCGAGTAGGGACGAGATTAGGATAAAGGGATATGTTTTCAATAGCATATAGAATCAATATAAACTAGAGATTGTTTTCCCTGACGACGAGCAGTGGCAATATCAATTTATGATCCTTTTTGTTTACAGGTGACATATGAAGACGTAATTGGTGAACCTGATCACTTACACAGTATCGATTGTGTTTGGCGATTCAGTTACAAATGCTTTAATTTATGGAAGACGTTGTGCTATCTGATTATGTCTACCATTTGTGGTATTCCCATGGCAATATATTGGGGTTGCCTCTTCAGCTGCATTGCTTTCTGTCACATTTGGGAAATAACCCCAATGTTTAAATTGTTTGAAATCAACGTAAGCTGCTACAAGAGATTCTATGGTCTCCTAATACATTGCTGTTTGGATCCAATTTGCGAAGCTGTTGGTCTGTGCTTCAGTGCATTCAAGAAGTAAAACTACGGGTTTTGGCCAAGTCTGAGGATGACCTTCCACTATTTTCGTGTTTTCTGAATATTCACCTATCATAATAATACAATAGTTAATTATAGCAATAAAATTTATCTGTATAAGTTCTAACAGGTTTGCAAAATAAAAATCCTATTTGACACATTTGTTTGTCTATAAATAACTACGTCAGCAAAATTTCAAGAATATTTTGAGGTCTAAGGACAATAATAGATCGGCTATTGGGATTAACTATCCCTTTTATTAGTTTAGAAATGTGTATGCGAAAAATTACTAAGCTGCAATTGAGTTTTAGAATGACATCGATCAATCACAGATCAATTCCTAGACCGCTTAAACAGTGTAGATTATTTCTATATATAATCTATCAGAAGGAATTGGTTTATACACACATAAACTTCAAAGCTTGATTTAATATATGAAAGCGTAAACTTTACTATAAATTAAGTCAACACGGTAATTCGTATTCAGCTGGTTAAGAATATTAGTAAAAACTTTTGCCATTAGTTCCAAAGAGACCTATTAAAGTAATAGTTTATTGTCATATTATATATTAGTTTTCAGTTTTTCTTTATTAATTAAAACATTTCACACTTAAAATATACATTTTTATACATTTTCACTATCCACATTTTCTATTTCATCTCTTAATCCATTGATAACTGATTCATTCAAACTGCCGATAGGGGACAGATAAAAAGTCACTGCGATGTTGATCATCATGTTAATGCCGAGATCCATAAACACTCTCATCACTGAAAAACAATGTTAGCTCAAGTGTTTTAAAGATGAGGCTGAAATTGAGTATATTACCTAAAAGCGATGTAGAGAAAGAAATCTTCTTCATGATGTTCCTTTATTAGGGGAGACAAAGGAATTGTAAAACAATAAACATAAATTAAAATATTTCTTAAATAAGAAATATCTCACCTGATACAATGCTCCCATTGTAGCAGAAGTAGGAGGTATGACATTATTGACAAAGAAAAATAGAGCATCCTCTGGTCTCAAGTGAATTCGCTTACGGATCAGGAAATAAAATTGTCCAACCGTCAAGTCAGAGGGTACCAAATACTTCTTTTTGTCCAGATCACCAACTCGAGCTTTAGGTGCTTTTTCAACGATCACCTAAAAATGAAGGCATATGCATATATCTTGTTTATCATTTAGAAAAACACAGCAAATGATTCCTTACGGGGACACGGTCAGGATATTTCTTTCTGATTTTCTCTCCTTCAGCCTTGCGCTTTTCGAATGGTTGTTCTTCTTTATATTCCCACCTCATTTTAGTTTATTATGTTGCAGAAATGGTAAATTGCTTACAGCTATTGCAAATTTCTCTGATAACCCGTATGATTGTGTTCATCCACAAAACAAAGTAGTTCTGCATAAACAGGACGGAAATAATTGCCTAGCACGAATAACATAATTACTGAAATATAATAAAATCTATACATTATTTTTTTTAAATTAATCTTTAATGAGGACTAAGCAATTATCTTTGGTTAAATTAATGACAAATCTGGCGTAATAATACTTATCATGTGATCATTTTTCATGGGAATTTCCGAGAATGACGTCATTCGTGATTTCACGCGATTTTGTTTTCAATTGCGTGATATGGCGTGATCAAATGAGATATTTACATTTAAATCACCCTTATTTTATTTCAAAAAATTCTACAAAGAGGAATACCCCACTCCAACTTGTAAGTCGTCGAAGTTATTCCAACGAAATCAGATGTGAGTATTGCTCATTCATACTTACTATAAGAGTATCATAGAGCTGAAACTTCCATCAATATAATAAATTCCGGGCAAGCTCCCTTATAATCGTTAAAATAATATAAAAAATCAACATCTATAGTCAAAATTCGTTAAAGCATCATAATTAATTGAGAAAGAACGATAATTATTTTTGTATTATTAATAATTTGCAAATAAAAAATGTTGTGACGTTATAGGAAACCAAATGTTATAATAAATTTTGGAGCAGATAGTAATATCTAATTTAGTCTAACTAAAGACTATAAGAGGCCTATTCATTTAGTAGATTTATTGTCATCAGAAAATTTTCTACTAATGTTAATGCCCGGTCATGGTGCACTTCACCTTCCTTTGTTGCTTGGGTCATTAACCTTAATTTGCATAAGGCATACTAAAGAAATTTTTCGAAATATCGCATTACGCTATTTTCTGAACAATTTAAAATAAACTATCTTTTTTCTTCAAGGTAATCAAATTGTTCAAAGACCTATCCATCTCAATTAAGAAAATTTGTATGCATTATTTACTCAAACTTTTCGCTAAGCATGGATACAAATATCAAAAGCATGTTTAACAATAACTTGCACACGTGCTGGAATGGAGATGAAAGCATGTGTTGCAGTCACTGTGTGGCATAGCATAATAGCAGCTTAGAATGAACAAGAACCTGAACTCTGATATTTTCAAACCGTTTGTTTTTGAAAGTATTTGAAGATCCAGTTTTCTATCTGGACAGGGTGATAATCATTTATAAAGTTGGATTTGCCTTATTTTAAACACACGTTAGCTATTGCACTGTATAATTTAGTTTATTGACATTTGCATATTGATATAGGCATGAACGAGTTTGCCAATTGAAGAAAAAATTTATTACTTTTTACAGATCGCTTTAGTACTAAAGTTAAAACGTCTAACTGTAGCCAAATGATGAAGTGAATTCTTGTGATCTGGGAGTGGAGTAGACAAGATGTGGTATGTGTTTTGATAATTTTTCTTCATAGGTAGCTTAATATTGCTTCTTTTGTTGCTTCTATTTAAAACCCTTTTAAGCTTGCCGCAATAAAATCTCGAATTACTTTTGAGTTATAAATTTATATTTAGTATCAAATATAATGGTTTTATCATTTTTTGAAACTGAACAGTGATAAACAGGAGAACAGACGAATGATAATACGTTGGATACGACGTACCACATAATGTCGTCTTGTCAGTTTTATCAATTTTCACTAGGTGCTGACTGTGAAAGATCGGCTCATGCAATGTCCGTCTCGTCTTCCTCAAGCATGGCCTCTACCCTAGTCGAAACTGTGTCTTTGGATTATGCAGACTTTCAAGAGAATTTCCTTATATGTCCTACATGCGTTTTTGATTATGATGGAGATGTTAGGGCCCCAAAATTACTTAGGTGCTCGCACACAGTATGTAAGGAATGCTTACAAAGAATAGCGGATGATGCCAGATCATCTGGTCTTGATTCCTTCAGGTATCTTTCGTTTACTATGTATACACTAAACTGACAGTTCTTGAAATTTAGGTGCCCGATTTGTCGTCAAAATATTCAGATTCCTGCTGATGGAATTTCCAGCTTACAGCCTAGTTTCGTTATCAACCAGTTGGTAGACTTAATGTCCAGGCAACGAAGAGAAGTTGTTCCAAAATGCTGCAAACATCCAAGAATCGTAAGAACAGAAATCCTAATAGTAAAAATGTATTAAATATGATTTAAACTATTAAGGAGCTACTTTTCTGTGAAACTTGTGACACAGTGTTTTGCTCGGATTGCGAAGTTTATTCAACACATAGTGGTCCCCACACTGTTATTCCTTTTAGGTTAGTGAACATATTTAAAATACATTTTTCTTAATAATTAGTTATTTCAGTACGGCAATCAAAAGAATGAGCGATATATTACTTTTCAAGGCAAATCAGTGCACACAGGTTTTAGATTATGCGAAAAGAACTGTGCAGAATGAAATAGACGCAATAAATTCTAATCAAGAAATTTGCGAGAATAAAGTTTGTATTTTTTCAGTTTAGCTTGTGGGTTTAGACAAAAGATTTTTCCATAGATTGAGGAGTTACGAACTAACCTTGTAGAATATGTAGATGGAAGGATTCATGAAATGCTTAAGCTATTGACTAAAACAGCAAATGAAAAGAAAAACTCTTTGAATGAGCAAATGAATATTGTAGAAAAAGAAAGATCTAAAATAGAACGTGAATGTAGTGATGCTGTTAGTAGGCAACTTGATGTACGGAACATAACCCAAAAAATTAGTGATATTACTCAGAGATTGGAAGTAGCAAATAATATTGCCGAGCCGAGGGAAAACTCTTTCATGCAATTTTTATGGAGCAATAATGAACTTGGAAATGTAAAAAAATTATTAAACAATATTGGAAAATTACGCTTAAGTTCAACTTTACCGGCGTTAAGCCGTGTATCAGTTCAGCGTGAAGTGACAGTGCATCTTTCATATATTGCTAAATTAACTACCATAGATAAACAAGGTATAATTTGTAGCTGCGGAGGGGATCCAGTACAGACAACATTGACTACTCCTAACGGTATCGTAGAGGAATTAGACGTAGTTGACAATAATGATGGCACATATGATATAAGATTTAGTGCTAGTCAAATAGGCAAGCACGTTTTTAGTGTAACAATATTTGGTAGACGCGTGAAAAATTCTCCGTTTGATATTTACGTTACAGAACACCAATCTGCTTCTAAAAGATTATCTTATATTGGAACTGATGTTCAACTAAAACGACCTTTGGCTGCTATTATCGATAATAATAGCAATAAAATATACATCTCTGATACAGGAAATGGTCGAATAGTTATATTAGAAGCTGATCATCTCACCTTAAAATCCGTAATTCATTGTTCTGCTACCTCAGACCACTCAGCAACTGGTTTAAGTTTGACTGATCGCAATAGCATATTGGTAGCCAATTGGAGACAAGGAGCTATTTTTGAACTGGATGAAACAGGACAAGCTTTAAACACTATTCGACACAAGGAAATTAAGGAACCAACTTGTGTGGCTTTTGCTTCAAACGAATGCATTGCGGTTTTGGATAGCCTTCAAAAGAAAATTTTAATACTGAATATCAATGGAGACTTTGTCTGTTTTTTTTCTGGTTCTTATCCCAATGTCAAAGCACTATATGGCCATAACGGAAATATTATTGTAGCGGGTTCAGATTTACGGACTTATTCACCCTCTGGTGAATGTATACGAAACACTGCGTGTCAGAAAGATGCTAGAGGTTTGTTTAGTGGAGTATGTGTTGATAAGGACGGTTACATTTTAGCAACTCATTCACATAAGCAAAAGAGTGTTGTCAAAGTTTTTGAGCCTGAATCCTCATCACCCAAATTTGATATTGATTCATTTGATGATAAACTGTACAGGCCGTCGGGCGTTGTTGCACTTCCTGGCGCCAGGCTACTCGTTGTAGATTTGGGCAATGATTGTCTTAAAGTATTCCGCTATAAGTGAAGAACGTAAGAATACTTTCAATATTTTTCAATCTGCACTGGAAAAAATTTCATTCCGTTTATGAATGCTTCATTTTCAATCGTCATTTTTGGCGCTAATAAACATAAGCAGAAATTAAATCAAATTTGTGTTACTATTTGCCTTATGATTATTCAGAATTTTAACAAATTTTTCCGACAAAAATATCGATTTTGTTAATACCTTTAAACGGGCATTAAGAGATCATTCACAAAATCTAATAATATCCTAAACTGCTTAGTGCATTTCCTGGTAATGGAATATCACTGTCAATTTATCAGACTTTGTACAAAGTATATTTTTACAACTACATAAAGGAAAGAGAGCATAAAGAGTTAAGAATAATTTTAGATTTAAAAAGTGGCTTTTACAATATTAAAAACCTGCGCAAAAGTGTCACTTTTAATTCAGATCAACACAAAAGCAAGATTCTAAGATCTTTTCAAACATGTTTGCTATTTTCTTAATTTTATAAATTTACATATTGAATGATTGTGGATCTAAAAATTCCACTTCATATTTTTAAAGATACTTCTTCCTAATTATCCTTTATAGGTTAAATATAGACTTGTCTGTGCGTAAAAAGTTTCCAATATGTCTTGTCTTGGAGTATAACTTTGGATTTTATTTTCTTAAAATATTACCATTGAAAGTGATAGATTTCGGTTATTTTCTCTATTCGAAAGATTATGTTACTTGAATGTTCTGTTTCATTGACCCTCCTGTCATTTAAATTATAGCTTTTATTTTTCACTTTCATCAATTGAGGAAACCTTTGCATATCTTTAAATAGCATTTTTAAGTATTAAACTTGAAATATAATCTGCAAGATTAAATTAATTAATGTAAATACCTTATTCGAATTCTGTAATTATCATATTACTTTTACTTAAACCATAACGATTTTTTTTATTTAAATAGCAAAGAGTCATTTTAGTGTTATTTTAAAAACTCTTGTTTCTAAATTTGTCACACTATATTACATCTCTTCAAATTTGTTTTCCCCTAATCTACTATATTTAAATTTTTGTTTTAAGTTTATATAAATTCATTTCAGCTGAAGACTTGTCCACCTTTTACTAGCTGCTGTTTGGTTGACAGTTCTTTATTTAAAACATAAAAGTTTTTGTGTTGCCTCATTGTTAGATATATTTAACTTTTAAAGTGAACTTTCTTTCTGAAAAAAATACCTAACTATACCAGTATCATACATTAATTCTCCCGCCGCAAGGTGTCCTTGACATTCAACTAGCCACGCAGTCCGTGAAAGAATTATAAACGAGCGAGATAATGGCAGATACTGCAGCTGAGGAAAAAAGTAATGATAGCAGAGATAGTAAAGAATATAAATACAGCGATAGCAGTCGCGTAAGTGAATAATATTTTCTAACATTACAAGCAGCCATCACTTATCTTTGTACTCTTTTTATCGCCCGATATTTCTGAACCCTATCTCTCTACGATTTAATTTCCTAAATGTTTTCATTGGGAGCCGATGAATTCAAATGGTGAAATCTAAACATTTATCGAGTTTCGTTTGACAAATGTAGTCACTATCAAGAAATCGTAAAAATAAATCTGCTAATTTATTTCATTGTATAAAATAGATATTGATTTTCTGAGAGCAGTTAATATGACACACTATTTGAGTCTTTAATATCAGATGGGATTAACGGAGTATATAATCATGACCTAAAATTATTTTAACATCTCCCATCGGCTTTTCAACAATTAAACATTAAGATGAATTATTTGATAACAATAGATAAATTTAATTGTAAGCAAAGTTGCTGCTATTCCTGAATGTCTATGTACATATCACGCACTTTTTCCAATTGATACCTTCATTTAAATTAGAATATTTTAACACTATATCTACCTTTATGCAGGAAGTTAAATTTCGGACACGAACCACCAGTAGAAGTTCAAAGCATTACAACAGGTCAATCTCTACCTCTTCTCAAGACAGTGTTGGTGAATGTACGTATACTGCGCTTTGATAGGAAATCTTTGTTTTCATAAAGTATGTAACAGTAGGTCATTTCAAATGAACTGATATGAGTGATTATTGAATCTTGAAAAAATACATGACCAGCTATTTAACTTACTCATTAAGCTACAACGAGCCAAAGAAATTAAACACGTATATTCTCATTTAAGCACCAGGTGGCGATTCTTTAAACAGAATACCTATACAAGTACACCAGTAAAGAAAATTTTAGTGGCAGAATTTTCTCCTATCAGATATTTGTCTTGAGCGTTAAATGAATGGGGTGCCTCAACATCAATTTTTAATACTAAACTAGGCCGTGGTATTATACTCTAAATACTAGTAATTGTACAAAGCCTAAAGACACTCGCAGTAAACTAATATCGATTTTCACTATCGATCAGGCAGGGGCTTCTATAAGTGAAATTTTTGTAGTTAATTTGTTCAACTAGAAAACTCGTAGAAAATCAATTGAAGGTCTAACAAGGTTAAGGCGTTTGAGATAAGAATCCGATTAATCCACCGTCCAAAAGCGAGCCCGCTCTGCCAATCAGCGAAAAAATAGTCCTATACTTATCTGCTACGCAGTGCGCTAGCAGAGCAGTAGGGGCACTACCAGCAATCTGAAATTGTAGGAAGAAACGATGGATATGAATGAAGAAGAAGCGGCTGAAGTCGCAGACAAATTCAAGGAAGAAAGTGTTGAATCATTTAGAAATAAACAACGCAGGAGAAGCAGTATTCAAGCTCCTAGGATAATCGATCCTAATCGAAGGACATCTAGTGTATCTAATGAATCTTGCTGTAGGCAATAGAATTATGCTTTAAAATATGAAATTTCTAGAGTTTAAGTTTGTCTTTTTTAGCATCGTATACAGGAAGCTCTTCCGATGAAGAGGGTATAAACCCAAGGGAAAAAACACAGAAATCTTCAGCAGGATTTACTGACTTTTGTGTTAGAAACATTGAGATTCATAGCGTTGGTAGAAAAGAGATCGAAATTGCCGAACAGAGTAAGAGTCTTTGATTTATATGCATATTGTTGTTAAATTCGATTATTTTTTGCTGTTCGCTTTTTTGAATGACAGTTGATATGTGCGGTCTCATGGCACTGAGAAGGAGAGCAAAGACGGATAAGCCACTCCATGGAGCAAAAATTATCGGATGTACACATATTACCCCTCAAATGGCGGTATTGATAGAGACTCTCATAGCATTAGGAGCGCAAGTTAGATGGGCTGCTTGCAACATTTACTCTACACAAGTAAATCATATATTGTTATGTATATTGGCAAATCTCATATTTTTAAATTATTGATTTTTAGAATGTCGTTGCTGCCGCTTTGGCAGAAGCAGGAGTTTCAATATTTGCTTGGAAAGGAGAAAGTGAGGAAGATTTTTGGTGGTGTATTGATAAAGCTATTCACGCTGACAATTGGCAGGCCAACATCATTTTAGATGATGGGGGTGATGCAACACATCATATGCTAAAAAAATATCCAACGGCATTTAGCATGTTGAAGGGCATAGTTGAAGAAAGTGTTACTGGGGTACATAGGCTCTACCAGCTATCTAAAACTCAAAAATTAGTGGCACCAGCTATGAACGTAAACGATTCTGTTATGAAAACCAAATTCGACGCCTTCTACTGTTGTCGAGAATCTGTTGTTGATGCCCTAAAGAGAGCTACCGATGTTATGTTGGGTGGCAAGCATGTATTAGTCTGTGGTTATGGAGAAGTTGGAAAGGGAGTGAGTGCTGCCCTTAAGGCCGTTGGTTGTCATGTGATGGTGACAGAAATTGATCCAATTTGTGCAATCCAGGCTTGCATGGATGGAATTCGTGTTGTGAAAATAAGTGATGCAGTGGGCTCCGTTGACATTGTTATTAGCTGTACTGGTAATAAAAATGTTGTTACTAAGGAACACATGGATTCAATGAAAAATGGCTGCATTGTATGTAATATGGGGCACTCGAACACAGAAATCGATGTCAATGCATTAAAAAATGCTACTGAATTGACTTGGGAGAGAGTTCGGTCACAAGTTGATCACGTAATTTGGCCCAATGGCAAAAGAATTATTTTGTTAGCTGAAGGACGACTGGTTAACATGAGCTGTACAACTCTACCGTCTCTCGTCATTTCGATTGCAGCCTGCACTCAAGCTTTAGCTTTAATTGAATTGTTTGTCGCACCAACTGGACGCTACAAAAATGATGTTTATCTTTTACCTAAGAAGATGGATGAGTACGTGGCCACCTTACATTTATCAGTTTTTCAAGCTCGCTTGACTGAATTATCAGAAGAGCAAGCAAGATATTTAGGTCTAAACAAGAGTGGACCGTTTAAACCTAACTATTATAGATACTGATAGACTAACAAGTGTATTTCCTTATATATAATTGTTAACGATCTGCATAGTAATAACTTATTAATATATTGTTCAAAGTAGTATGCGTAATTTACGTTAAAATTTATTGTAAGCGCGTTGTTTTTAGCTAGTCTTTTACCTTCTTGTTCAACTAGTAACAGATTTTAACGCAGTTGTTTCCGGGGTGTAATCATCAATAAATATACAATATAAATACAAAATATGTACAAGAGATCTTTGTCTTCACACTACTCGCTATTACGTTGTAACGGTCATTACTTCTACAGCTTGCGTTGCATCGGGAACCTTTTTCTCATTTTCTATTACAGGTTTTACGTCTTCAGACATTTGCAAAGCAGATATAGCTGATCCATTAACCATTGTTCCATACATTGAAACAGGTATTGTTATCATGCTGACCTGACCAGAATTTATAGAGGACTCTACCATATCTGAGTCACTACCAAATACTATTTGACCGTCCTGTAGGTGAGATAGGTGTTCTCCATTATCAACTGAACTGTCTGAAGCAGTCAATGTCTGAGCTGCTTGTGTTGCTTCGCCCAAGGCTGCTACGGCTGGGACTAATTGAGCTGTTGTGCCATCTGATAATTGAACAACATGGAGAATTCGCACACTGCCATCAGATCCTGTTATCGTCTGAACTACAGGTGCATGGGTAATGGTTTCGGTTGTTTGACCAACCAATGTTGAAGTATGATGATCATCGAATTGTGGTAACAAATCGTCTCTCCCATGATGTTTATAGCAATTCTTAACAATTGTTCTAAGAGCTTGCGTCCAAGATATTTTTTTCTTCATTTCATCAGTACGCACATCGCTTCGAACATTTGCCCAAGGAACATCATCTGGCCACCAAACAGGAATACACTCCTTCTTACCCCATCCAGGTTTACTCCTTCCTGTGCTATATTTGAGCATTTCGGGAATGAAGGCGCGTAGTTGAGCCTGGGTCATCTTGTCAACAGGAGTTGGTATGCCATCAATGACAAGAGGTGGTAGTTCATGCAATTGATGCGTGTCTTGAGCATGTGCTGGCATAGTCTGATTTAAACTTTGTTCTAAATCGCTCATAATTTGCTGTCTATTCTGCTTTACTACTTGTTCTAAAGGTTGGGAACCAAAAACTTTGAAAGTAGACTGAGAGCCGTTTGATTTTCCAGGAGTGCAGCATAGGACGACAGCTTGTTGCCCAACACGAGTTGTATACTCTTCTATAGTTGCTTTAAGTTTCCGTAACAAGCGCGTTTGCTGTCTTTTGCGTATCGAAGGGTTAGTTTCAAAAAGATGGGCTCTTTTCCTCTTTTTTCCTGTGGCTATGGCTGCTGCTGCTGCAATTCCAACCGGTCCGGCAGCTGCCAGTTGTTGGGTAACATCATCAGTTACAGCAGAACTTAGAAGATCAGTTGGATCGTCGAATGACGTACTGTCAGGTGAACTTGGATCAGTCAGCTCGTCACTACCTATGACCATATTTGATCCATCGATATGGCAGCTCGTGTTCTTCGTCATAACGATTAATTTTTGGGTCTGGGAATTCATATCTGTAAGGACACATTGTGTTTACATCGGAAATTGCGCGAAACTTTCAAAAGGGCAAAATGCGCAGATTTTGTGTGCGACTGCGCCAGACGCCTGCGCAATCCTCTTTGTTAACTAAACGACAGCCTTAAAACTCATGGAAAAAGGGGTTATTCAGCTCTTAAATTTACCACACGAAATACTTCCTTACATACTTTAAATTACTTTAATTATCAAATGACTTAGATAACTCTGATAGGAAAAACGAACCTTTTATTCTTATACACTAAGTCGCCATTTTGGCGGCCATTGCGACTGCGCAGAACACTGGACTGACCCGAATTACGCCGGGCTTGTTTCAATCATTTTCACTCATATTTTCTGCGATTGCGCGACTGTATTATTGTTTGAAAAATGATTATGTCTTATAAAACTTACTTGATAATATTTTCCGTTTAAAATCTATCTCTAAAGCTGTTGTTTCTGAGATGCGCGAAAAGTTAAAAAAATGGCGTCTTTCGGAGCATGTTGGTTAAACCGCCATCTGTCGAGCAGTTTAACATTCTCCGTTGACGGCGCGCGAAAATCACAAGGTTTAAACAACCTTTTCACTTCTTGAAATGTGGAATTTCTTCACGTTCCATGTCATTCTAGGTTAGTTAATATAGGTGATTTGCTACAAATGTTAAACTTTTTATTCGATATTTATGTCTTAAATAAAAATGATCAACAATCTATTGATTTCATTGATCAATTTATTCTAAAGAAACTGTTAAACACCACCTATTAGCATGCCTTGAATTGATTACGCATTCTGATTAATCAGAAAAAAATACTGAGTAAAAAAACTTCATAAAACCTCTTAATAAAATTTAGCAAGTGAATTACAAGTATTGTTTTATTATGAAGTACTTCAATATACTAATATATTTCTATATTTTGAACTACCTGCAGGCATAAAAACAAATTTCTTCAGAGTGTAATAACAAAATGGTTTTTGTCTATCTTGAATCTTTAAGTGAAAAAATCCCACTCACATGTTAATTTAATAAATCCCAGGCATTTAAGCACCTTTTAGGAATCTACTTTCTTAGACTAAGAATATCTTTCACTAAATCAGTAAACCATTTCTTTACAGTTTATATATTAGGCTCGATTTCGGGATCGCCTCTCTCTTGCAAGAAAGTAAATAATTGCTTCCTAGCCAGAAACACTCACAATTGGTGTAAAAATTGGCTTCACTGCAATCAAGTTTTTATATTCAAGACATGCATAAATTTTAAAGACGGTTTAAAATGCTTAAAGAAAATGAAGTGCCACTTGAAACAAGTGGATAGTAATACTTTTCTACCAGGCTATCCTCAGGGAATTAATATCTATTGCACATTCTTATTAAAAAACCCTTTTAAAGAGACCATTTATACAACAGCGTTCAAAAACTCTATTAGCGAAATTAACAGATGTTTAAGTATTTTTAACCAATCAGTCGAATTTGTTGAACTAACTGATCAATATTGCAGGTTGGTAACTAAAGAACTAACAAAACATAGACTTATAGCTGTTTTTCAGAGAAGTTAAGATCCTGGAAACTTGTATTGAAAACAACGTCAATTATGAGATTAAGGATCACAAATATGATTTCATTCGTTTTGTCCATCATAAAATTTATCCATACCTACCATTTGGGCCAGCCACCGAAATTTGTGTAGGTATCTTCATAATTATTGTTATTTTTTTCTACTGTGGTTCTATAACGTAGAAAAGTCTTGCAAGATATGGCCAGACTTACTCTTCAACATCTGAATTACAAGATATAAGTAACTCTTCTGGAAGATTAACATCAGGATTTCTTGCTACTATGAGTCCAACTTTCTATTTTCTTGTATTAAGAATTTGTTGGAAACTCATTTGAAACTTTCCTAAAATCCTTTCCTGATTAGCTTACTGTACAAAAGTATTATACATATTCATTACCAGCTTTGAGGTCACGGAAAAGCTTTGAAAAGCTTTACCTGCCAGTGTCAAAATTATTTACTTTTGGCGACTTATAAGCTCACTCAACTAGATAGTTACATTATAGTTACATTAACTGTATCTTCAGATGAAGAATGTTTCATTTAAAGCTGTATCAACTGCTTTTTGTTGGGTCAAAAAATGCTCTTGTTTATTAGTCAAAATTATTTTTCTATTTATTCTAGAACGAATTCTATGGGCGTTCAATGTTCCGAAAGCCGACGCGATTAATGTCTCATGATCGCATTTTCTACTAATAGTGTAAGAACTAGAATTTTAAGCTGAATGGGTGTTTGATTGACCTTATCAACAACAGCTGAGCTCTCTTTCCACAGGCAATCAGTCTCTTCGCATGCGTCTCTGAAGCCTTTTCTATTTCGAAAATAAAAGTAAATGGATAGATAAAAGACGAATGCTTACCGAATTCTTTTCAAGTTAAATTTAAAGCAGTGCAATATTCTAAATCAGCAAAATAAGTTGAGCTGAGTCCTGATTCGCATAAAGAGTGCTTTGAAGAAAAAAATTTTATTTCAATTTTTCAAAGTCATAATTAAACGTTGAAAGAAATTAGTTTGCATAATAGTGTTTTTTTTTAAGTTTTAATATACTATTATTTGTGTCATGCGCGTAAATAATGTGGCGTAATTATTGCTTAAACAGATCTCAAAGTGAATTGCTATAGATGTACAGATGCAGAGTTACAAAATTATATCTTTTTAAGTGGACAAGTTTTATTTGAAAAGAGCATTCTGCAATATTACTAGATGCTATAAGCGTTTACAAGCATTCAAGAATGAAACACCAGTTTATAATGAGGGAACGGTGTTCAATTCAATTCCGAAAACCATACTTTAATCTTGTGAAGTCTATACCAGACTAATTGTCGTTTATACATTTGTTTGAAGACGCCTCTTAGTTTTTTATGCAAACATTTAAGATAGCTTGCAGAAAATAACAGAAATTAAATCTCTTTTACTTTCCAAACCACAAAAGTTATGTAAGTAGACATTTCATAATTTAAAATAATTTAAAAACTATTTTCCCAAAAAAATGAGAATATTATATATATTATTATTGACATTGTATATATTTAATCGAATTCCTGTTATACGTGACTATTTAGTTATTATCATAGCATTTGGTGCGCTTGAAACCTGGCGATGACGTCAGTGTAGGGCGTATGCGTGCAAGCGTCTAATGTATGCACACCGTTTGAATAGACTAGAATATTCACGCACCTGCTAGGATGGCGGCTATTAGGAAGAAGTTGGTTATTGTAGGGGATGGAGCATGCGGGAAGACCTGCTTACTGATTGTTTTTTCCAAGGATCAATTTCCTGAAGTGTATGTGCCTACAGTTTTTGAAAATTATGTGGCAGATATCGAAGTGGACAGCAAACAAGTGAGATTCTTTCTTTGTTATTTTGCTAAATATAGTCAAAGAATGACTATTCATGTTACTAACGATTACTCGTTTAATTTTATCTTGAAAACTATTTTAAAAAACATATTATTGAGTGTGTAAAGTAGCTAATCTCATCGCGTAGCATAAGGATTTCAGCTAAAGTAATCTATATTAGTCATTTTTCTTTCAGAGTAAATAAATATTTCAATATGAAAATTAACACTAATTATATTTGATAATTTCTAGGTTGAATTGGCTCTTTGGGATACAGCTGGGCAAGAAGATTACGACCGCCTTCGTCCTCTCTCCTATCCTGATACTGATGTTATTCTTATGTGCTTCAGCATTGATAGCCCAGATTCATTAGAAAATATTCCAGAAAAATGGACACCCGAAGTGAAGCATTTTTGTCCAAATGTACCAATTATTCTTGTTGGTAACAAGAGGGACTTGAGAAATGATGAAGGAACGAAACGGGAATTGCAAAAAATGAAGCAAGAGCCTGTTAAATATGAGGATGGTCGCACTATGGCTGATAGAATAAGCGCTTTTGGGTACTTAGAATGTTCAGCTAAAACTAAAGATGGAGTTCGAGAAGTTTTTGAAACTGCCACAAGGGCTGCTTTACAAGTTAGGAGGAAGAAGAGAGGAAAATGCCTTATAATTTAATGAGACTGAAATAAGAATGTTCTCAAAGTGTCGTTTGCGGAATAAAACATGCAGCTTTACCATTCAGTAATGCCAAGACATATTAAAAAGCAAACTTTTGTTGATGTTGTCAGATCATAAAATTGCCAAGATTAGAAATTTGCTCCGTTTTAATTACAAATAGTAAACTCAAAACAACAGCAGACAAAATTTGCAACAATATGCTTAGTTTGAAAAAACTGAATACCCTTTTATTATCATCTCATTTTTTTTTCTACTGAAAATTATTATTTTATTGTCTTATCCAATATAAATAATGGTCGATATTGGAAAATCATGAATTTTTGTCGTCTGTGACATTATTATTTAGGTTGCTTTTATAGCAAGGGGATGGTAGACTAGCAGTTCGTTTTATCCTCTGAGGTACAGAGCTTTCCAAATCGGCAGGAAGTGATGTTGATCCAGGAATAATTGCTTGAAATGACCTCTTACATGGAATCCCGATTGACTGAAGTATTTCGTCCATTTTATTCATGTAGTCCATATGACCATTAACTATTTCCGTTAAATCAAAATTGTGCATACGCCTGTCCTGAAGATCAATCCTTTCTAAGCCTGGGAATGCAAATTGTACGTCATCCCTTCTTCTAATTTATATTATATCACCTTACCTGCTATGCTGTATTGGATATTAGTTGTTCTATAAAGAAATTTAAGCAACCAATCTTTTCTGCAGAAACCATTAACTATCCTACCAGCAACAACCTTTCTAAAACTTGTCCATTCTTTTTTAGAGGCAGTCACAGGTGCTCCAAGTAATACAACGTCTTCTATAATTCCCTCACAATTTTTTCTTCTGCTCATTTCTTGTAAACAAAAGAAGATAACTCGAGCACCCAGGCTGAATCCTATCAGAGAGATGGGGCGTCTTCCTTGTTGACGGGAGAGCAATACTTCGGCAAGGTGTCTGCCAACCGCGGCTGATCTTTGAGTACAAACTCCCCATGGATTATCGATTATACTGGCTGCGCTTAAGAGTGTTGCAGGCCAAGCGATTGCAGCTAACAACGCTGATATAATTAAAAATTAAGTCTTATAATCAACTTTTTACTTGTTTATGCTTACATGACAGAATGGTATATTGTAAAGCTTCTTGTGCCGCAGCCGAAACAGCAAAACTTAACAAATAATCAATGGCCTGGCCCATCTGGTGAAGATATTTAGATTCATATTTCAAAACAAACTGTTCACGGGAAATAGATAAATTTCGCCAAGGGTATCTAAAATCTTGAATAGAATCTGTTAGCCATCCAGAAATGGCTATTGTTACAGCTAAATGCTGGCCTGATGAGATAGATTCAGTATTGATAAAGTACAAATATAAATAAAAATATTCAAAAATACCAGATGTAATGGGTTGGAATTCAAACTCCTCTATATCACCGATTCTTTTTTTCATCTATAGCATAAATTTTATATTCAAACAATGAAGTTATAAAATAAAATAATATGAAAACCTTATAACCCGTGAGACCTGCTCCCGCTACGCCGAATAGAGTCCCGAATACGGCTATTCCAGCAGTTCCTATTTAAATAAAACATAGAGTTTATTTTGAGAAAATTTGCTCCAACCTAAAGCAGCAGCTGCTCCACTTCCCAAAACCGCACCTGAAAAATCATAAAAGTAATTTTATATACTATATAGTGAGCAGCATTAAAAATAATGAAAGAAACTCAGTGTAATAATTACGCCTAATTTAATTATAAAACATATCAGAAGATGTACACATAAAGAAAGTTCATTAAACATACCAGCTATGAAAGGGGCGGCCAGACCACCAGTTAAGCCTAAAAAACATATACAGTAAAAAAGAGTTCAGCCTTAATGATTTTATTTTGGTTCACCTATTAAAGTTCCTCCGCCAACAGTAGCAACACCTATAAGAGCATATCTTTTTATTTTAGCCTTCAGTTGCTTTTTTTTCTTCAATGCATGCTCCTCTTCAGTCATTTCATGTTGATCTGTCTGAAGTGCTTTCACGACTAGTTGCTCAAAGTCTTCAGCCTCTTCCCAGTCAACGTTGAGCAGGCGTGCCAGATGCTTAGCAAGAATTCTTGTTCTGGCATCATATGATCCTTAAGAAATATAATTAAGCTTAAACATTTACTGTAGTAACCTATAAGCGTATTACCATTTTGCAAATTTGCGGCGATGAAGTCGTTTACTAGTAATTTGCAACCCTCTCGTTTGATAATTTCTTCTTCGCTGATTACCTTTTTATGAAATTCATAAATTAGAGAAAAATCGGGTATGAACAGTTTTTACACATACTTGAATGAACGGCTTCTCACAATCATGTCCTCGCCCATTCATTATAGCTTGAACCGACGAACGAACTTGATCACATTGATTGATGTGTCGGACAACATTGTTTATACATTCCTTTTTATAGTCTCTGAAAAGTACGATAGAATGATTAGCAATTATTTAGAAACTAAAATAGGGACCAACTCGTATTCCTCTTCGGGATAAAGCTGAAGAAGTGCAATTCCACACAGGCCAGCGTATGCGAACTGACCTGCATCTGACAGTTGTCTTCCAGTTGCCTGCTCTCCAGCTAATCGATTATCTGTTAATCGAAAGCAATCAGTAAAAAAGTAAATTTTATTTCTTGCAGGAAGTTATAAAAGATTGTATCTAGCTTCTAAATTGATAAACTAATAACTATTTAATCTGAACAAAGAAAAACTCTAACTAACACTCTCTTGCAGGATAATCTTGCTTTATTTCTCTACTAATTAAGAAAAAGTCATACATACAACAACAGATAAACATTAATAATAAAAAAAGGTAGAATAACGAGACTTACGATTTATATTTTCGAAAAGTCTGTGGTCTTGATCATTGATTTCTTTAATTACGATTTTACTTTTTAAAAATGAGAAAATGATTACCTAATTCTTTTTTACAGTCATGATCTTCTGGCGAGGAGTCACGTCGCCGAAAGAAACTGAATAAAGATTCTTTCGGCGTTTTACTCATCTTCGAAGTTTCATAAAAAAGTAAAACTGACTGAGGGAGTAAGTAACCTTGACCTTGGTATAGTATGGTTTACTAGTCCGAAATAGTAAATAATCAAGCGGGAAAATACTCGAAAACCAATAATGGCGCTTCTATCTGATTATTATTAGCAGCCATTTTACAAATTTTCGCCTTGGAGACTTGAAGAGTCCTCAATATACATTAGCTTGGACAAACAAATGGTTCAGGCTATCCTTACTTCTCAATCTCAAAAGTCACTAAGTAGTCAAGATATTGAGTCTATTGGGAGTCAAGGAAGTATGTCAGCACCTACGCTTGAATGGGATTCAAATGAACAATCGTCAGGAGAGGAGATTGAAGTGGAAAAAACTAAAGTTTGGGGCAAATTATTTCCAGTTGGAAAACATTTTGAGTATCTAGGCGTCACAGGTATAACACGGAGATCACGAAGTCAACTTATTTACAACATTGCAGTTTAGTGTGCCTAGTATAAATTGCTGATTAAGGCTAAATTTTTACAGATTTAATTCAGGAAAGCTACTCAGTCGGTAGAGCTGACGACTGTACAATAACACTACAGGGTGATGATGATCCTAATTTCTTATTATATAGTAAAAAACATTTTGAGATACGTCGGGTAGTTGAAGTACTTTAGAATAGGTTCTTGGCTAACTCTTACCTTCCAAATAGGAAAAGCTTAGTACAGGCGAACACGTGTTTTTGTTGGACTGTAGTAGTAATGGAACACTTGTTAATGGGGTAAAAGTTGGTCAGTTTACAGTTTTCTCGGTTTCATAAAAAAAACAATAATATTTTACTTACAGGGAAAAACAATAAGCAGGCATTAAATAACAACGATGAAATATGTCTGACTATAAAGAAACAGCTTGCATTTATATACATGGCATCCGATTCCAACGAAGATGCGCAATTCCCTAAAGAACTTAGGACAAAATATACAATCTCAAAGGTTTTAGGAAGGTTGTCATATATTTTTTTAATGTCTATTATATTTTTTGTCTCCTTTGTTTTATTGTGGCTTTATTTATAGAGGCGCTTGTGGTGAGGTTAGACTTGCTTTTGAGAAAGGAAGTTGCAATAAAGTCGCCATTAAAATTATCAAAAAAAGAAATTTCAGCCAGAACACAAAAATGGTTGGTAAAGAATTATATTTTTCATTTATTTTTATCACTAACTACTCTCAGATGAGCAAGGAACAAACCTTAAACGAAGTTCGAATTTTGAAGGCTTTAAAGCATGTAAGTACCAATTCATTCATATTTATAATTTTAATAGCAATTTTCTTTTTCAGCCGTTTATTATCAGCATAGAAGATGTAGTAGATACCGACGATGGATTATTTATAGTTTTGGAACTGTAAGTTTCCTTCTAAATAATTCCTTTCACAACTTTGATAAACATACTTTACAAACATACCTGAAGAATGGAAGGTGGAGAGTTATTTGATAGAGTTGTTAGTGTTGGTCAGTTGGAAGAGAAAGTAGCCAAATTTTATTTTTATCAAATTGTTCTGGCTATAAAAGTAAGGTGCAAATATTTTGGCAAATATTCTATATGTATTTTTCTCCTATTTCAGTATTTACATGATCAAGGTATCACTCATCGTGATTTAAAGGTATTTCAAATCAAATCCTACCAACAATTTTTTCTAAAAATCTCTTACTATCAGCCAGAAAATATCTTGCTTCTCAGTGATAAAGAGGATACTGTTGTAAAAGTAACAGACTTTGGGCTGTCAAAATTTGTTGATTCTAAAACTCTCATGACAACATTTTGCGGAACTCCAAATTATTTAGCTCCTGAAGTGCTTATTACGAATGGAATGGGCTCCTATACTAATGCTATCGACTGCTGGAGTTTAGGAGTTATTTTATTTATTATGTAAGTTAAGTTCTTGAACTTGAGACAGAAGAGACATTATTCAAATTGCAGGTTGGTTGGATATCCGCCCTTTTCTGATGAGAGAACTGATATGGAGTTATCAAAACAAATTAAAGAAGGAAACGTTGACTATCCAAAAAAATATTGGAATGGAATTTCAAAGAATGCTATCGATTTATGTCGGAAGCTGTTGACTGTTGACATAAAGAAAAGATACAGTATGGAGCAATGCCTTACACATCCTTGGTTACAGGTTTGTTAACAAAAGTTATAGGTAGACAAAATAATTAACACAAATTTTTAGGATGATAACATTAAGGCAAAGACCCGCAATATCTCAGGTGGCTTGATGTTACCACCATCGAGCTTGGTAAGAAAAACTATTGTTCTGTGCTTATGAAATACATCCATTATTATTACAGCCAAAAAAACGTAAAGGAGAAATTGAAACTTTGGACATTCCAGCAAAAAAATGAAATATTTTGTAATTTGTAAGTTTCTGTCAAGATACTTGTTGTAATTACATGTCTTTCTTTATTTAAAATATATATTTATGTGTGGACAAATCTGTTTATAAGATTTTAAGTGTTATGATAATAATCACTATGCTTTTAAAATATATCTAATTCGATGTTAATTGGTAGCATCTATGTATTTACATCAACAATCGACATGTAGTAGTAACAAAAACACGAAATAGGCTAATTGAGTTCAATGCGATATAGGATTCAGTGGATCGGCACATATTTTGCTCAAATCAATGGATTTGTCATGCTCCTCATCTATCTCACCAATCACAGCGCTGTTTAATAAAAATCATTAGCTATTATAAAAACCGGAGATTCAAAACTTACACGTTGTCTCCTCTTACAATATATAATCCAAGTGCCACTTGCTCTACACCACTAGTAGCACTGAATACACGTTCATGGCTGTCCTCCAAAATAATATTTATTGTTTGGTCATATCCCTTAAGCATACCCTTAAAAATACAGAAAATTCATAAGCAATTCAAAACATAGGCTAACAAAATACCACGATTAGGCGACCATCATTCGTAAGAACTGATACAACACCTGCACGGAAAATGGAACATAGTGAAAATATGAACGATAATACCAGTTCTTTATAGTATTCCCTTTAAAGTAAGGAGATATTTAGTTTATAAGCATACTTACGGCCAACTAAAGTGTCTAATGAACCCGACATAACTTTTTCTGCCGTTAAAATAGTAATGGGAAGCAATAAAACCAACTAATTAGTTTCAATTGTTCGAAACACCGCATAAAAAAAAATCGAAAAAAAAACGTTCTCGACAATTTAAGTTGATGGTATAGAAAGTCCATAGCTGATTGGACAAAAACCGCCATTTTCTCAAAACATAAATTGTAATCATACTCAAATAATTTAAAGTATATTAAATCAAACAATAAAGTAGTATCAATCAAAGTTGTTTAGTTTTTAGTTGAAAATATGAAAACATACTAGCACAATAACTCTTTCTTTCGCATGCTGTGATTTTGATTAGTTTTAAGTTTTCATCTTATGTCTAGATTATCTAATTATTTCACCCATTATATAAAATGATATATCATATTGTATATATTACAAGATATATTATATACTAATGTCAAATGAGCAGTAAATTAGGGCTACACCTCAATCTTAATTTCCAGGGTGACAATGTAAACTTTTACTGAAACCACTTCTAATTAACATTTATTAGGTATCACATTATGAAACTTTTAACTATGTAACAAACGACGAACGATTACTTTCTTATCAAAACGAACGTCTGCAGAGTATGATTTCAAGGATTAGAGAACTGTTCGTAGAATTTAGGAAAATTAACTTTCACACGTTAGATAATGTAAATGCATTTGTGACTAACGTAAAAAAAAGTCATTAGATTCAGATTTGTACAATTATTAACATAGTGAGCGACAAATATATGTAAAGTTTTTTTTATTAATACTAAAAAGGAATGGCTAGCAATAATCAAGAATTGATCACAGCGCTTTAGGAGATTCTCATGCTACTACACCTCGACCTTCAAATCTTCTATGAGGAGAGCTTGGTGGAGGTTCTAGTTTAATACTGTTCGAATCATGAACAGTTGGAGTAGACGGTGACTCCAAAACAGCCTGACCGCTACTATCAACCTTTAAATGTATGATTCGATCTCCTAAAGGAGTCTCTGGATCTAATCGAGCTAGTGGAGCAAATCTTGAGGCATTTAAAACTAATGGTTCGAATGATTTAGTATTTGGTTTTTTCCAAGGGGGAGGCGTATTCTTATCCAAATTTCTTATAAAATCTACGTCTCTCTGTAACAGCTCATCATCTTCCATAATATCACCTTCTACAAATTTTGCAGTACCATTCGTCTTTTCTGGGCTCATTGTTGCCCTTCCTGAATCAACTGGACTAACGATTTCTAAAGCGTTTAAAGTACCCTTTTCCCTTTTTCTTTTGCGCTCTGTAAGCAGTTTCTCATCCTCTGTACTTGGAGAAAGAGAGTTCGTTGGACTGGACGATGGGAGAGTTGTTGTTGCTGTTAAAGTTCTATCTATATGTGTCGGTTCTAATATTTCACCTAACCAATCTGGGTGTTGTTTAAAAAAAGCCTTAGCTTCATCTACAGCTTTGACTAAATCTTGTCCAATACCAGATTGTATGATGCGCTTATAATGAGAATCAAATGATCTCTCAGAGCGATGGGTTCGAGTGGAAATAGTAGATGTTCTAGACGATAATGTTGAAGTTTTATCATCTAATCTTTTGCGTAAATGCTGTTCAAATCGGCTAATATCTTTTGTTAAGCAAAAGGTAGGAGCAGAGTCGAGTTTTGGAGGAATATCATTTGTGGAAGAATAGTCAAAGTAGACAACTAGAAAATTCTGCAGATTACCATTTCCTGACTTTGCTGCGTGCATCTTATCTATTACTACTGAAATTGCATTTTGAAAAACATCGCTTTCGAATTTTCCTGGTCTATCTTGCACAACCCGATAATTCCCTTGATTCCGAGCGCATTTGAAACGAGCACCCGTGCTAAAAGCAGTACCCATTAATTTATATTTAGTCTTGTCTATTCACTCACCTGCAAACTATAACAACAAATTGTACAATTTCCAATTTATTGGATACCCAGCTCAAAACCCCTTGCTCGTGAATAACATTTTGGTCCCAAATATCTAAATGAACATCTAGCTGACAAACTTCCTTGAGATAAGTAGCTAAAACCATAACAGCTTTTTCATGAGCAGCACAATCGTAAGAATATAAAAGTAACACTGCTGGATCATTTTTTACCATATCTAATAAACAAGTAACTTTTAAATATACTCATATTTAAATGTAAGTTATACCTATTTCTGTTGTGTTACCCATCTTAAAACGCCTCATTGAGAAATCCGCTGCAAGTATTATTTTAATCTACGTTATAATAAAAATGTGTTCACTCAATACCTTTTCGTATAGGTATTTTCCTTTTGAAAATAAGGAACAACAAAATAAAGAAAGCCAAAACGAATATTAAAGCTCCAAAAAATGAGCCTAATATAATGGCGATATTTCTATTTGTATGATCTGTTTGAGCTGTAGTGACTATCGGTACCGACATAGGCTGATCTAAAACGATAAGTAAAAACTTTGTGGTTTCAAATCATTAAGGATTAAAATTTTTTACCGGTACTGTATGTAAATTGGTTGTGAGAAACGACTGACCCATTAGTTTCATTACGTTGGTCCTATTTAATAATATTAATATTATTAGTATGCAGTTGAAATCTTTAGTAACTTTACTTACAATTTGGTTTGTCATTTTATGTTATAAACTACACATTATCCGACAGTAAATACAATCTTTCATCTTGATATTACAATCAAAATTCTAGTTGAATGAATTAGGCGTCGATCTTTAGCTATAATGAAGAAATCACACCCAATTACATTAAGGATGTATGTTTGTTATCAATTGTTTTCAAAATCACAACATATGACGAAAAATAATAAAGTATCTGTAGTTGTTAGTAAAACTCACGAGAAATCTAGCGGGCATCGTTGATGGCATCATAATCAGTGACATTCCTCGAACTTGACTGGAAAGCAGAAAAAAATCAATAGCCTTATTTATGTCGCCATGTTGTTTAGCCAGGTTACCAGTACTGCCGGAAGTAGTTACACCATGTCACCATCCTTTTTGAAACCAGGACTGTCCAACGGCTGGATTTGACAGGTCAACCAATCAGCAGTCGACCGCCATTCTTAAAATTGAAGCATGTAAATTTTTATATTTTTCTCTGTAAATCTGCGTTTGTGTTTAATTTCAACCTGCATATGATCTCTTAAATGACGACGGTTATAAATATGAAGCCTTCCTTTGACGCTATCCCGTCAGATGTCTCAGAAACAAACAAATCTCCCAGGTTAGTAGTTGTATAGCTCACGCTAAGTTTTTTTGGCACCCATCCAATTCTTCATTACGTTCGCAGCAGTCATATAATTTGTTTAACTTTAGCAATATATCAATGCTATTACTAAATTTTTTAAAGGAAAAAGTGCGATTTCATTGGTAAGAGATACCTGCTTAAAATAATATGCTAACAACTTATGTAATCATTCGTAATATGACTTTAATTCTACTCGTTAAATTTTTTCGCTGAAGCCTTGATAATTTGTCGAGTTGATCGAGTCGTTATCTAATATAATACTTAAAGCAAATGAATGTAAAAAGTATTGCCAAGTTTAGCAGATGTGAGTTCTTGTTAGTTTTCTTAACAAATGTTCAATTGCAGGAGATCAAGACGAACGAGCATGGAAAGTTTGTTCAAAAGCCCCAGCACGATGACTCTGAGCAACGTAAGTTAATTGTTTGTTAACGATAAATTTCTAATTTATATTTGCAGAAAAGAAGAAAACGTCAAAAACCTGACGACGATTCTTTAAGCTTGCACAGTGTCGATATGAATTTAAATAAAGATTCAAAGAAGAAAAAGCGTCTTTCCTTACAAAGATCCATAAATTCTATCTCTAATCTTTTCTCATCGCCGAAATCCAAAGTTTCAAACGCATTGAATGTGAGAAGTCGTTTTTGATTCTGCAGATTAATAGATTTTTTTTTAATTAGCGATCAATCAGTTTAAAATCGTTGGTCTCACCTGCCAAAAGTGATAAGAATACATCCCAGTACAAACTACCACCCAAAACTCCTACAAAGAGAAGACAGAGCGTATTTTGGGTGGACACAGTTAAGGAAGAAGCCAGGTCAAAATACACTTCTAATGAAATAGAGAGACAGGAGGCAATCTATGAGGTATACAAAACAGAAGAAGAATTGGTTGAAGACCTAAAAATGGTCATAAAGGTATGACTCATACAGTAATTATTAACTTGTTTAATATTCTGTTTTTTCAAGACGTACAGAGACTCAATGAAGCAGTTGGGATTATTGACGAACGAAGAATGTCACAGGATATTTGGTGATATTGATGAATTCGTTCCTGTACATGAAAACTTAGTGACTTTACTCAAAACTTGTATGCTCCCTGATGGTAGTTTCTCCTCTGTAGGAGTAATACTTAAAAACTGGGCACGCTCTATTCGATGTTATGTTTCTTATTGTTCAAATGAAGTTTATGCACATTCATTATTAGATGAAAAAAGATCTGATCCCGCTGTTTTAGATTTTTTACAACGGTGTCAAGAATCACCATTCAGTAGAAAATTAGATCTATGGAGCTTCCTTGACGTCCCACGAAGTCGAGTTGTTAAATACCCATTGTTATTTAAAGCTATTCAAAAAGCAGTCAGTAATTTCCTTTCACTTTTAATTACTTCTAAATGAATGTTTTTTAGACACCACTTGATCACAAAGATACAGCAAACATTAATGAAGCTCTCAGTATCTGTGAGGATGTTATAAGCGAAATTGATAGAGAAACTGGAATAAAAAAATGTGAGTTTACCAGGGACAAATTGGACTATTTGGAGGAAGGACAGAAAGAATGTGGAATTGAGGAATCGAAAGCCATACTTTGTGACGGAGTTTTAAAAAATAGTCGTGGCACGGTAAAAATATTCTTACTTCCTAGCAAGTGATTATGAGTCAGCTTCTTTTTCAGAAATTAACTGCCTTTCTATTTGAAAAAGTTTTAGTCCTCACACGGCCAGCAACTAGAAATGGAACTTTGCGCTATCAAGTATATAGGCAACCTATTCCATGTGATCAACTTTGCATAGAAGATATTCCTGACGGTCAAGTCAAAGCCGGTTCATTTCGCACAGCCTTTTCTTCCAATCAAACAAGTTGTATTATTTTAATTCTATTCATCACATAATAATAATTGAATGTCAATAGCAAAAAACGTTTTTCGCGTTTCTTTCCGCGAGTCTTCATCCGGTCAAGGATATAGCTTACAAGCACTTGACGAACATGACAAAAGACAGTGGTTGCAATGCTTACGAAGAGTTTTACCGGCCAGAGGAGAACCTGATGGCGCTGAGAGTGCTAAATGTGGTGAAGATGATTCATTTCCAGATCCAACTTTGAGTTTGAGTTTCGAATCGGAGTGCTCATTTTCGTCTGATGTTTGTAGTCTAAGTAAGATTGACGAATAGCCATGTCTTTGTTGTTTTCTTACATTTATATATATATATTTGGATCCAAAATACACTTTTGATTAGCTTTTCGGCCTAGAGATAAACGACACGCCTACTTTTGAACTCTTTCACCATGGTAGATCAAGCTATATCTAGACTCTCCTCAAATTTGAGTGTTTGGGCAGAAGTCAATATATTGTTGATAATATTTGCAAATGTAGGTGGTTTTATTGCCTTTGTTTCTACAAATTGGGCAGGACCCAAGAATCAAGGGGAAAACAAGGACGAATTTATTAGCATCGGTTTGTGGAAAACTTGTAGTCTTGAGAGATCTGGCGCTATTATAAAATGCCACGGCCCTCGATTCTTTGTTTGGTCTCGTGAGTACATTATTAACCTATAACTGTCGTCAAATGCACAATTTTCTCTCAGCTTGGTTTAAAGCTAGTCAAGCAATGATAACTCTTTCATTTATTGCTCTTGTTTTGGCATTCGGAGTTCACTCCGCTAGATCTTGTGTGACACGAATTCAAAAATACCAGTGGGTTATAAAATTATTCATTTTATTATGTTTTATTCAAGGTAACTTTAATTTGATCTAATCGAAAGAATCTGATTTCATTTCTGCAGCTTTTTTTTCTATGATTGGGTTGACGATATTTGGCGCGAGTCATAAGAATATAAAACTAGAGGGAAACGGTGAAAAATTTAGATTAGAGTGGTCGTTCTATTTATGGCTAGCTTCCACTATTTTAGTTCTTTTGTGTTCGGCTTTATCTGTTCTAGAAATAAAATATTCAATGCAAACTACAAATGATGGAATGAATGATCAACTCGATATGAATTAAAAGTGTTTAATAAACTATAATTTTTTTAATTTATTATAAGCGTTTAATAAATCTGGAAAAATAAACAAAGTATTGGAGAATTTTTAATTCGTTTCTTCCCCTATAAGTGCGCTGGCTGAAACAAGAGGTCATATAAAACACATGTCTATATTTTATCGCTCACTAACCAATTTTAAGAACAGTGCAAACACCTAGAAAAAGAATAAGGGTGTCTCTAACTGATTTTTTGGCTGCGCTTTCCCATTGCTCCGGGTTTTGTCCTTCAGAACCATAACTTATCATTTTTAGGATTAACTTCTTTTATTAATGTTCTCGGAATTAAAAACGGGTAGTAAGAGAAAGTATAAAAGAGACGATTGACTTTCAAAAAAAATGTTCTAAAACTTAATTGGCTAAGTTTTTAAGATGATATATATTTGATATATTTTTAGCATAAAAATTATCACTTAGATGAGGACATTATAAATAATTTTAATTATTTCTCTGCGAAGATAGAATAGTAAAGTTTTTCAAAAATATTCTTTTTATAATACATATTTTTTTAATATTTAATTTGAAAACTTACAATAAATGTTTATGTGTGTATGTAGTAAAGAAAAATAATTATTTTTTATTAAGGCAGTTGCTTTAGTCAATGACTTTGATTTTTGGAATTTTTAAATAGTTATGGAAGTCAAGTCAATTAGTTTCGTAGAAACTCAAAATTGAGAATGATTCAAACTTTTTCTTGTTGATTTTTCTCTTATATAATCGTCAAAATATCTACTTATTAGAAAAATAATTTGTCAAAACCCTACTGGCTCCCCCAGGCGGTGACTTATGCACTTTTTCCACACGCTAATTTAGCTATGTTGAGTGCAAAATCACATTCAATTTTGACAAGAACTAGTTATGTAAGTAGCAGATTTTTCTTATGTATATTTACATACTAATAACTTGCAAACTATGTAACCTTCTGAAAAGATAGAATAAGATATATTAAGATCACTTATGTCATCCCGGGTTGTTTGGCCTTAACCTTCACAATTTGTTTAGCTATTTTCGTTACAGATCCGTGCAGCTAATGCCCTGATAAGTCGAAGGACGTATTCAAGTACAGGTTGGAAATTAAACATCGAAATATCACTTTTTTCCTGTCTAAATTTAAACTAATTTACAATAGATGAAAATGACTTGGTCGTTATTGGATCTGGACCAGGAGGGTATGTGGCAGCTATTAAAGCTGCTCAATTAGGAATGAAAACAGCTTGTGTTGAGAAATCCTCAACATTGGGTGGTACTTGCCTGAATGTTGGTTGCATACCATCTAAATCCCTACTAAATAATTCTCATTATTATCATATGGCCGCGCATGATGATTTGAAGAATAGAGGCATTGAATGTAAGAATACGTCATAATTTATTATTCTTTCTTGTATATTTTAAATGCTTTTAGATAAAAAATTCAAACCGTGTAATTTTTTGAACAGTTGAAAATCTGAAGCTAAACTTAGAGAAACTAATGGGACAAAAAGATTCATCTGTAAAATCTCTAACTGGTGGTATTGCACAGTTGTTCAAGAAAAATAAGGTAGAGAGACTGGAAGGACATGGCACGATTACATCAGCCAACGAAGTATCCGTAAAGAAAGAAGACGGAACCACTCAAGTATTGAAAACAAAGAATATATTGATAGCAACTGGAAGCGAAGTGACACCTTTTCCAGGTATTGATATTGACGAGGAGAGAATAGTTTCATCAACTGGAGCCCTTTCCCTAAAGAGCGTTCCAGAAAAAATGATTGTCATTGGAGCTGGTGTAATAGGTGTGGAATTAGGCAGCGTTTGGAGCCGATTAGGAGCAGAGGTCACGCTGGTCGAATTCATGGGAAACATTGGTGGAGTAGGCATTGATTTGGAGGTTGCGAAAACTTTACAAAGGAGTTTAACTAAGCAAGGACTAAAATTTAAACTGGCCTCGAAAGTACTCTCAGCTGAAAAGAGCGATAAGATCCATGTAAACGTTGAAACTTTAAAGGACGGAAAACAACAAACTTTGGACTGTGACACTCTCTTGGTTTGCGTTGGGAGAAGACCGTACACTACTAATTTAGGTTTAGAAAATGTTGGTATAAACAAGGATGAAAGAGGAAGGATACCTGTAAATAATAAATTTCAAACTTCAGCGGAAAATATTTATGCTATTGGAGACTGTATTGAAGGACCTATGTTGGCTCACAAAGCAGAAGATGAAGGAATAATCTGTGTTGAAGGAATGTGTGGAGGTGCTGTACACATTGATTACAATTGTGTACCAAGTGTAATCTACACTCATCCAGAAGTTGGTTGGGTCGGGAAATCAGAGGAGCAACTTAAGCAAGAAAATATTCCTTATAAGGTAAGAAAATATATCCTTTTTTTTACTGTATACTAAACAGAAGTCTTTTAGGTTGGAAAGTTCCCACTAGCTGCCAATTCTAGAGCAAAGACAAATAATGATACAGATGGACTAATAAAGGTTCTTGGCCATAAAGAGAGTGATAGGATTTTAGGAGTTCATATAGTTGCATCAGTTGCTGGAGAATTAATAAATGAGGCTGTTTTGGCTATGGAGTATGGAGCAAGCTGTGAAGATGTTGCTAGAGTTTGTCATGCTCATCCTGTAAGTATTTAAAGTGACGAAGAATATAACTTGAATATATTATAATTGTTTTTCAGACTGTTTCTGAAGCTTTAAGGGAAGCAAATTTAGCAGCCTATTTTGGAAAACCTATAAACTTTTAGGATAAGTACGCTTACTGAGACGTGATTACTTGGTAACTGTTATCAGAGAGGAAGTTTTGTAAAGAATGTTAATGGAATGAAATTAAATATATTAACATTTTCAGTTTGGTGAATACAGTAAACGTTATAAGTTTATTCTTGTATACCTGATTTTCCCTACTGAATAGAAAACTGACTGGTATTAAAATTTCTGATTGCATAAGTGGAAAGGTATAGAATTTGCGCGAAATAGTAGTCTTATTGCACAACAGTTTGAAGTTTTGAATGTATGGAGTGAAGAAAATTAGTTTATCAGTTTTTAAAACAAATTGATTTCTTTGAGAAACAAAAGTGTACTTGCATTGTTCAACACCACCAAATACCCCTGTATATAGTATTACATAGGCAGCAATCAGCAAACTAAAAAGAATAATTTAGGCAAGGTTGATCAGTGAATCTGCATCAACTTGACGTTGCTGTAATTCTTCCAAGTAGCGTTCGTATCTAAGGTATGGCGGAAAATTCGCATCGACGACAGTTCTTAGCATTTCATTCCTCGTTGTTTTATCCCAACTCTTAACAACTCTGAGTCGGTGAAGGTGGTCTATTAATCCACTCGTTGTCTTTTCTTTCTTAAACCTGCGTTTCTCAATTTTAATCGGGCAAGAACTATGCTTTAAGAGCTCAAGCTTTAATCGCCAATCTGTCATGGCGTCTCTAACAACCGGAAGCCAATTATACTTTCAGCCTAGAATTATTTGTCTTATAAATTATGCTTTGGATTACAGTCTCAAACTTGAAATAAGATAATTATTGGCTATTGATTGGCCGCACGCATAGATTTTATTAAATTAATAGTCTACTCCAGAACAAATAGTCTAGACCATTTAAAAAAATTTAATTACATTACGAATAAAAAGAGAAATTGAAGGGCTCTTTTCTTCAAATGACTATCTGCAACTAGTATCCAATCAAAAAAAAATTTGGTAAAGAAATTCATCTTTTCAAATTAGAACTTATGAAACATTTGTAATAGGGTAAATTGACAGAAAACTCTCAATTAATTGCGGTTACGTGATGACGCCAATAAGTCCATAAAATCGTTCGTATTCGACGTTTTTTTATTAAAACATCAATGAACAGCCGGATTCGATCGCTGATTCGGAAATTGATTTAAACGCCCGATCAGTACTTTATACACTTATTCAAAAACTAGACGGCATGGGGATATGTTCGAGTGTTGAAAAATCTTTTATTGTTTCTAATATATCGAAGAATATTGTTGTTATTTTTTCCAGTACAAAGAGTCAACATTCTAAGATAGCCAAGAAGGTTATCGTTATTAATCAGAATTTCATTGAAAAGATCTATATAATTGTTTGAGAATTTAAAATTTCAAGATTTTACTTTACAAATGAATATCATAAAACATACTGTAGGTGAAATGAGTGCTAATATTTTAAAATTTCAGATACTTAAGCAAGTTGGAGCTAAATATAAGCAGATTGAGTTGAATGAAATGGAAAATGGATTAAAAATATTGGAAAAACTAGGCGAAATGACCGATCACGCTACTCTTCCGAGAGTCTTTATTAAAGGAAAATGTATAGGCGGTAAGTAAATGTGGCAATTTATAGATTTGAATAAGACTGTAAAAATATTTCAGGGGCTCAAGAACTAGCTGATTTACACAAGAGCGGTGAACTGAAGGTAATGCTTAAAAATCTAAATGCAATATGGTCAGAAAATGAAAAAGAATCAGGCCAAAAAATTGACGAGATTGAAGAAGATCAAAATGAAAACGAGGAAGAAGTCCGAAGAGATTCAACTATTAGCACAAACTAAACAAGTAATTTAATTTTTTAAGTTTTCATTTCAAGCAAACTTGACCTATGATGTCTAAAATGGAATATTCACAACGTCACGTTTAAAAAATTGATACTGATACTTATTTATGAAGATTTTCCAAAAAGTTTCCCACCACTTCTTATTCTGCAAAATAAAGTCTGAGTCTTGTGCCATTCTTTGTTTACAGTTTTACGTACTTAGATTTGCTAGCCTTTTTTGCGGGTTTTTCACTTGCGGAAGCACTATCTGTAATCATTTGCTCTGCTTCCGCGCTCTCAACCTGCTGAGTTGCTTTAAGAGTCTGCTTGATGCTTGATATCTGAATGGATCGCAGGAACATCAGTAAAGTAATAATCAACGGAATATATTTGACTCACTTCCTGGTCTACTTTGGCTTGAATCTCCGATTGTTTAGCTTTTCTCGTATTGGCCTTGCGAATTTGTTTTTCGATATTTGTTTGCATATTTTCACAGTTCGCACACCTTATAAATAAAATAATTAAATACTAATTCAATGAGGACGAAAGAGCACAACCAAATTTCCAATGTTTGAATTATGTCCTTTACCGCAGCCGGAGTAACATCGCGCCCAATAGAATAATCAACTTCAAGCCTTTGATTTCGTTGATCCAATTTACCCTCAATGACGTTTGCATAAATTATCTCAATAATTAAATCCTTAAATATAACAAACTTTTGACAAGATTTTTTTTAAGAATTTGACTACAAACCTCTAGTTCTCGGGTGTTTTTCATATCTAATTCTTCCAATAAAGTCGAATATGGTATTCTCTATATGAAAATAAAAACTCTTTCTAATTATGCTATTGAAAAAGATATGAAAATTTACCTTGTCAATTAGCGATAAAGATACGACTGTTAATGCTTTTAGCTTTCTTAACATAGTATCAGTTAACTCGGGTAGTTGATCTATGTTTTCTATTTAAAAAATATGTCATTAGAAACGTGTTTCTTAGTTTTATCATAGTTACTTCTATATTCTTTGTAAGTTCCATAAGCAAAGAGATTTAACGCATTTAGATATTTCGAATATTCGCCTTCTGATAACTGTATATTATTTATAGTAAGTTATTAGTACACTTTGTATATCCTCATACTTCACAAATGTTAGGCATATCCAATAATTCACCAAAAACATAAACGTTTGGTGCTTCAAGGACTTGGTTGATCAATTCAGCCATAGCTGCCCCCTTTGCAGTCTTAGCAAGCAAAACATATTGCTCCAGAGGATTTGAAACAGTTTTCTCGGACATTCTAAAGCTCTTTACGCTGTTTTCTTTCTCTGGCTGAAATCGAATAAAAAGAACTTGACGATCACAAGCACATTTTAATACGTCAATAATCCATTTAAAAAGTTATTTCAAGCATTTAAAATTAGGTGAGTATATTAATATAAAATAATTTTTTCTGAAATTTAAGAATAGAGGTAATTGTTGCTAGTATACACCAAAAAATAACGTACATCTAGTATTATTAGTCGTTTCCGGCTTCCGTAAAACATTCCATGAAAAAAATAAAGATCAAATAATTACCAGTTTGTATAGGTACACGTTGTCGCCATGTTATTACTGTCGAATTAGTTGGAATGCTAGAAACTTATGATAAAATAAATTTTTGACAATAAGAAAATAATGAACATGATTCGAAGAAATAACCCTACATCTAAAATTTTAGCATTAGTTGCTGGTGGGGTTTTATTACTATTTGTTATTTATATCTGGCATGATACTTTAGGGCGCTTGAGAAAAAGCGAAGAAACAAATGAACATTTGAACCAACAGCGTGATTCTCTGTCAGCACAATTGAGAGGTACAAGTATAAAACTGCATGGTATATAGTTATAACCCTTTTGCATTATAGTTATATATGAACATAAAAGTAAGCTGGAGAAATCTTTACGAGATGATCGACAATCTTTTAAAAAATTCAAGACAGGTAATGTCAATTAAATATAGTCATCATATTATTTATTTTATTTTAACTAAACTATGTAGAATTGGAGGAAAAATCAGGTGAAACTGAAAAAAAGTTTTCTATGGAAAAACAAAGCCTTCTAAGCAAAATAGAAAGACTCAAACAGGACTATAAAATGCTTCAGGTACAAAAATTTAATTTTCAGTTTGTTTTTTGTTCACTTCCTGCTGATTCCATTTAGAGTCAACACCAAGATATGGAGAGTGAATTTAATCGATTAAATGAACTTTACAAAAAAGATAAAACTGACTTTTCGGCTGAAAGAGACAAGCATCATAAGGACTATCTCAAACTTCGAGACTATGCTTCAACTCTAAAAGAAAGTAATGATATATTAAACAATAAGAATATACTCCTTGAAAATGAGTCGAAAAAGTTGAAGAATGAGGTTAATTTACAATTTTTTGTTTTCATTTAGTTTACGTTTATATTCCATAGATTCTTTCAAAACAAAGAGATCAGACCGAAGCCCAGCAAGTAAGTTGATAAAATTGGATTTTAAAAGCATATTTAATACTCAAAACAAAAAAAAACAAGTTGTTCACAAAAGCGACAAATATGTATAAATTAATAAATATTTCGCAACAGCGTCATCAACAACAGCAGCAATTGTTTCAGCAACAACAACAACAACAGCAACAACAACAGCAGCAGCAACAACAGCAGCAACAACAGCAGCAGCAGCAGCAGCAACAACAACAACAACAGCAACAACAACAGCAGCAACAACAACAACAGCAACAACAACAGCAGCAGCAACAACAACAGCAACAAGAACAGCAGCAACAGCAACAACAACAGCAGCAGCAACAACAACAACAGCAACAACAGCAGCAGCAACAACAACAACAACAACAGCATTTCCAACAGCAACAGACTCAGGAAGGTTTGCAGCACGGACAAAATCAATCTCAAGATCACATTAAATCACTCCAGCAACCACAGTTGAATCTTTCTGCATCTCATCAGCTGTCAAAAAATAACCCTGATGACAAAAGTTTTGCTAGGGATAGAAATGATGAGACTATTGGAGTTTGTATTTGAATTTATTTAAAATACTTGAAACTATTGATAACTTAACTTTAGAAAATTCCGGAAATTGAAAAGATGATCAATTCTCAAGTCAAAGCGTCTAAACCTTCAATTCCTATAGCAGGTAGGTCGATAATTTGAATACTGCAAACTGAAATGAAGAATATGAAATCTAACAGGTTTCGGATCGACTAGAGATAAAAAGGATTCTCTACAAGAACTGAAGGAACAGATTGACCATAATATGCAATTAAGACAACCTGGTTCGTGAAATTTTAGTGAATCAATTAATTGAACTATCTTGAAGATATCTCTTCACAGTTGAAGATAGAGAGGGACCAAAGCTTAAGCAAGACCATCAAGTAAAGCCCCCCTCATTACAAGTTAGCTAATTGGTTTTAACTTCTTTCGAGAAGATAAATATTTTTTTGTTTTTAAGGACATAGAAGGTGATGATGATCGCAGAAGGCGTCAAGGTAGGCTTATTAGTTTAAGGAGATTTTACTCCATCTCCTAAGTTGATTGGTAGATTGTGGTGTTTTGATAAATAGTACTTTCTAAATAGAAATCGCTGGAAAGTGAAACACCATTGTAAGGGTTTGTGCCGGCTGTATCTATGGATATTAGGAAATTCATTACTGTTTTATATAAACTTGGGCAGAACGCTATATTTTTTATTTAGGATTAAAATAGCTATTTCGCTTTCTCCAATCAAGGGCATTCATTTTGTTTCCTTTTTAACTTTTTTTCATTTTTTCCAGAAGAAAATGGTGATAGGGATGACGTTTACCATGCTGATGATTTAAATATAAATGGTTAAGGAAAAGACGCAAACTAAACATCACGGATAGAGGGAATCATTAACTTTTCGGATATAAACAAATCTATAATTATTTTTTTTGCTGTTCTGTACAATTTATGCTTTTTCTACCACATTACTAAAGCGGTTGTAGACGTTTCTAATTGTTGAAGCTGTGATATGTTCTAATTGTATACAAATTATATTAATGCAAAATTAGCTGATCTGTTGTACAATTAGAAGTGATAGTTATTATAACTCAAAACATTACATATTACAACAATCAGAGTCAACGTAAAGAATTAGCTCTTTCTCTTTGAATATCTAAGCTGCCTCTTCTTCCTATGAGGGATCCCCTTCTAGAATCGTTACCACCGCTATCATCCGAAGTATTCGATTTTAAGCTTCCTGACCTAGAGCGTGAAGGTCTTCCTATACTGCCAGACCTATCTCGCCTAACTGCATAGGGATTGTTGGCAGCCTTTGCTGCTCCTTCCAAAATCATTTGAATTGTTCTGCTTTCGATTGCAGTTTGAATAAAATTTTCTCGTCGAATTTTATCGCTCGAGCTGGCCCTTTCAAAAATGTATTCAACAAGATCGTCTACATTTCCTTCTCCGATTCCATGTAGAACATTAGCTCGTAAGTTAGTCAGAGACTATAAGAAAAATGTTCAAATAAATATTCTAAATACATGACAAAGACTTAATATCTACCGTAATCATTTGTTTTACTTCATCCTTAGTTATATATTGCGTTCTATGAATATCGTACATATCGAATAGCCATAATAACTTCTGCTTTAGGGATCCCTTAAGCTGAATATTAAGTGTTAGCATAAATTGACGAAAATTAATATGACCTTTTCCAGATTGATCAAATGTTCGGAATACATGCTCAGCAAATTTTTCTGCGTCACCGTTGGGAAATATTTCACTGTACATTTTTTTAAATTCGTCGACGGTCATATGCATCTTTGATTTATCCTTACAATCATGCAAAAACTGACGATACAAATCACCAATCTCCTCTCTGGTGAATTGTGTCTGCTGTTCAAGATCATTAATGATTTCTGGCTTAAGAGTTGAAGTCTTGTTACCCATTATTTTATGAAGCTTTAGAAATTTTGACAACTTAAATTAATCTATAAAGGCATGTGATAAGACGATCTGAGATGATAAAAAATGGTCAGTGATAAGACATTAGGTATGTGTTTTTTTTATATGTTTGAGCTTGTTTATTTCTTACGTCGAAAACACATAAAGCGATAAAAAACATTTCGAACAGCTTTACGAAAATCAGATAAAAGCCAAAAATAGACAATAGGGTTGAAAAATGAGTTGGAAAATGTTAAAACTTTGCTGATTTCCAAAGCAGTAAATATCCACTTACTTATATTTTTTCTCTTTGATTCTTTAGTTTTATATATTATATTTAGCACTATATATGGTAACCAAGATAACAAAAATAAACACATAATTATAGCCATAGTTTTGGCGGCTTTCATTTCAAATTTTCGGCCTTTTGATCTTCTGGCTTCGTTTCCCAAAGTTCTGTCTAAGTTATGAACTCTCCTTTGTATTTTGAATGCTAGAACAAGCATTTTCAAATAAAGAACTTTGTTTACAACAACTGGTATTAAAAGGTGTGGAAATAGAATAAGGAAAAAGAAAAGACTTGGAAGCCAATTGCTCAGAGTACAAAAATGGTTTCGGTGACTATTGGTTTCTGAATTTCTTGTGAAGAAAATGGAGGCTGATATTAATGGAATATATATCCACACCATAAAGAGCCAACATCTTGAGCGCCACTTTGTTATTAAAGTAGGGTATTTCAAAGGATAGTAAATAGCAATATATCTGTCTATGGCAATTACCATCAAATTATACAAAGATACTCCACTTGAAGATAGAATGATATGTAAGCATGGATGACATAGTCTATGGGTGATATGGTGAAGCCAATTCGTATTATTTAAAATATTATACAGAGGGTGAATACTTCCCATTAATAAATCAGACACTGCCAAGCTGATAGCCATTTCGTTTGTAGTAATACTAAATGTTTGAAACTTAGTAAAAACAATAATTGTTATAATATTTCCTGAAATAACCAATATTGTTATTAAAAAGTTTATCAATAAAATAACAAAATGAAATGTTTTGGAAACTTCCATCTCCGACTGATCTTCAATAAAATATTATCTCCACTTGATAAATACACCTGCACCATAATCTACGAAAATAATTTACACAGTTGTCATTAGCTGTGATTACTCAGGTTCTCTTTAAGAGCTTCAAAGCGTCAAAGACCAGCGTTAACTTGATTTCTATTTAAAGCTACATTTCAAAAATTATGCTATTTATTGGGAACAAGACTAAAGTGAAAGTTAAAGAAAGTGTTTTATAGTTAATCTTTTTCAAATAAGGGTTCAGTTGACTTCTTCAAAAATCCTCTTTTTGCTGCTTTGTGTGACTTACTTCTTAAATGAGCTAAAAATATTTCAATAAGCTATAAATTCTCCAGAATTTTCAGAACTTACCTTGCCAGTCTTTAGTTGTCAAGAACACCCTTCCTTCACAAAATTCGCATTCTTGGTATATTTTTTCACTGATTTCTCCAATAGTTTTTTCTGGTTCGAAAGGCATGTTGCCACTCTATTTGTATTAGCATATTCATTTATCGTCCTTTACAAGCTTAGCTCTGCTTACCTTTAAAACAGCATGAAATAATTCAAAACTCGGCTGAAAAACGTTTTCATCCCATTTTTCTGGTAAAGTTGAGTCAACCGAAAAAACTGGTGGTACCTGATTTCCTGATCCTTTAATTTATAAATATTTAATAATGCTTTAACAGTTGTTTGAAACTATTTACTCTTTAAAAATCGGTTGTTGATCCACTTTAATTGCTTTCTGGAGTACTTTCGCGTAACCCGTTGAAGATTTACTTTTCCTTGAAGTAAAAGGGATGAAATAGAATTATTTTTTTGTGTTCTTATATGCGATTCAATACCTTCGTCAAACAATGCCATTCCCAAAGGAGTATTTTTTTCATTGTCAGACAATGCAAGATATTTATGAAACTCTTTAAAGCCGATAGCCTGTAGTAAACCAATAGTGTAATCTTGTCTGAAATATTTCAACCATTAGTTCATTAATATGGAGATACTTTGATATAACAATACCCACTTTTGGCTCTTATATTCCTCATACAGTTCTGTTAATTCCTGTTTTAATCCATTTTCAATCATAAATTCGACTCTAGAATTTATTCTTGCATCTAATACTGCCCAATTAAAGTTAATTTTACAGTATTTTTTAGACGATTTAAGATATTTGAGGAATGTGAAAGTTACAGAAAATTATAAGAACAAAAATTGAAGTCTTATCTAAGTTATCTTTGATTTAACAAAGTTAACATTAAAGATACATAAAAAAATATTAACTATGGTTTGGATATCGAAGTTATTGCTTTTTTTTAAATCAATTTAGGTCTCTTTCTAGTATATTATTGCAAAAAATTAGATAGAATGTATGTTGGTTTAATCTACCTGTCTGATCGCATTTGACCCAAATTAAGCAAATTTTTTCATATTTCAGACGACCACTGATATGACTCCCACTTTCTCTTTGCTGATTTGAATGATATGTACTCAATTTTGTTTTACTATTTCTGAACACTTCTAATGCTCTCTTAATCTTTCTCTTGTCGTTAGGATGAATTTTCTTAGCTGAATCGGGGTCTGCTTCCATTAATGCACTATGCAAATCGTCCTCGTCTGATTCACTGGAACTTGCCTCGGAACATACACTTGGAACATCGACTAAAAAGTCCCACAAGAGTGCCTCTATATAATAGTTTGTTCCACCGACTATTATTGGAATCTTATCCTCCTGCAGTAGTTTGTCAATCTGAAAATAAAGAGTAAAGTAAGAGTCATTTTAAAAATTGGAAAAGAAAATCCATAAAATAAATCAAATATGTACAATTTATATCGCAAATATGTAACTTTGTTACTATTAATATATTAAACTTAGTACTTTCAAGAAGAGTTAAAGATACAAACATACAATGGGTATTGCTTTATCCCTGAATTGCGTAACTGTATGTTTCAGCCACGGTTTTTCAACATAGCTAATCATGTGGTGAGGGGCCTCCAATTGCTCTTCTAATGTAACTTTATTAGTTACAACATCTAACCCCTTGTAAACCTGAGCGATAATATATCAGTAAAAGAAGAAAAATGAAGTATGCGCTTATATATGTAACACCTGCATTGAATCGGCAGATATTATTTCCCCTTTAAATGTTTTGGCTAACTGCAAAGCTAATTTGGACTTTCCCGTTCCTGTCGCCCCCAATATCACTAAAATCGGTAACTTATTAATTTTCGTAAGAGCCGCCATGTTTAGACGGTAGTTAATCCGAGAAAAGTTATTTGCATTTTGTTTCCCATTGGAGTGACTACCATGCTATCATTGAACCATATTTACTCTGTATATACACTTTATTTATGAGTAACAACTGATTATCTTATTAATCAATATTTCTTCGTTAAAAATTCTCTAAAGCGGTTTATACTTTGATTTTACGAAAAAAGAAAGTCGAGTGATAAAACAAGGTTTTATTATTCTCTAGAAACATAAATAATGTATGCAAGTATCATAAGCAGTATTTATCTAGTACTTTTTGTGCACTGATAATTTATTGGATATCGTATTCATGTTGGTAAAAATATTTTAAAAGTACTTTCACAGTTTTAAACTATAACCGGGTGGCCTTCTTCTCTTTGCAGATTCTGTTTGCAAAATGGATCGATTTAACTTACCTGAACCACCAAATACAGACTTGCAAGAACCTGAAGATTTAAATCAACTAAGATCGGATAGATTGGAAAGAACTCGGAATGTGATGGTGGTTAGCGACCCTTTTTTTTGCATTCCTCTCAAGATATAACATTTGTCTTATAACTTCTATCAGTGTTATAATTTATCATTTAAATCAGAAACAAACTCTGAGATTGTAATTACAAAAAAAACTCTTCGTTAGATATACTCATAAGTTTCTTATTTTATTTCTCTAATGCAACCTGTACTCATTCAACTGAATCCTATTAATTTACTTCTAAAATTATCTCTGCACTGATAATCCTACTAATTCCTGTCTTTCGAAGTCCTCTGCAAAGTCTATAAAGTTTACTTTAATTTTTTGTAGGGGCTTAGTTCATCCATTGCTTCAGCAACGTTACCCAAAGTTAGTAAACTCAGGCAGAAGGGCTAACGTTTTTTATGAAGGAATTTTTTTTAGCAGAGACTAAGTAACAGGGAGACTTGTGCTATCAAAATACAATCATATTATCGAGGCTGGAGAGATAGAAAAAAATTTTATGCTATGCTTTATGAGAAATATGCTGCTGTAAATATTTTATGAACAAATATCTATAGTCTTAATTTGACACTCCGTAATAGGAAGAAGAGGAAATATTCCAGAAAATGCAGCAGCAAGTCGAGGAAGGAGAACTGCTAATTCAGAAGTGAGTTCATGTTTAGATCTCACCTAAACCTTTCAGCATGACACGTTGATGGCATGTGCATCTTAGTTTTTGATCAATTTTAATAACTTTAAAACTTAATTTCAACTCTCCTACGTGCAGGAATATGTCACCAACACTTACTTTTTAAAATATAAGGTAGTTGCACAAAACAAGGGAAGGATTATTTGTCTAATTATGCTTTTTAAAGTGAAATAGTTTGGAATATTTATTATTATTTCAATTCATGATGTTTCTTTGCTTAAATTATCCTGTTCATTATTCAGCCACAAATTAGAAATAGAATTAGAAGACAGTAATACTACACGTAAGAATAAGCATAGGCACTTTGAATCTAACATTGTTAAGTGAGTGTTATCTTTTTTTTAAAGATATATTTGTTTTGATGTTTTTGATTAAAGTTGCGTATAATTTAACTAGCTTTTAAAACTTCTTTAGAATTCAAAGGTGCTGGAGGGCGTATAAAGCTCGTCAAGCAGCTAGGATTACAGAAGACACTGACCAAGATGTCGAGTCTGTTGTTTCTGACTACTCTGAAATAAATGAATCTCTTAGAGAACACTTTTCAAACGTTCAAATTATTTCAAGAGACAGACTGTATTCAGAAAATAGTAGCGATAAAGAGATTTTGGAGGTTAACCATTCTCCTTTCCGTACACCACTTCAACGTGTTCCAAAATTTGAGAGAGAAAATGATGAAGAATATTTAAAACGGGTGAAAAAGATCAATTTTTTGAGTTTAGCGCAAGAATTTGCCGCAATACAAAGAAACGATTCGACAGCTTTACCTTTTGTCCTAAGTGAATACGAAGATAAATATGAGGTCGAAGTTGAAACCCCTGTGAATGAAGATAAGAATTTTGCATGTGATAAGATATCAAGCAACGAATTAGAGATTGAATCTACGCTGCCCGAAATGGATTGGGAGAGCTTGGAAAAAAATTTGATGGATTCGGCTGAGGAACAAAAGAAAGCTCAAGCAAGATATGAAGAGAAAGAAGAGATTAGACAAAAATTAGCTGATGCAAAAGACGAAGTTGTCGAAAAAAAGTCTTCTAGAGTATACTCAACTGGTTCGTTTTTAAATAGTTGTTTCCCATCCTAAACTAATATTTAACAGGTAATATGCAACTATGCTTCATAAATGAACTTAACACCGACGATGATGTCTTGAGAACAGCAAATTCGCCTCCCAAAACAGTAGATGACTATTTCAATAAGCAGGAAAGCATAAGAAATGAGGCCAGGAAAGCTTTAGCCCAGGTTTTAATCACTGTTTACCAAACATATATAAGAGAATGACTCATCTGCAGGTTCGACCTATGGCAAGAATGCAATTGCAAATTGAAAAACAACAAAAGAAACATTCTTTTCCGGCAGTTGTAAGTATTTATGGTAAATATGCGCTATGAAAGTTCAATGAGGTTCATTATTAACAGACAGGGATGCCATGCCACGATGATGGCACTGATAAATTTGACAAACAATCGCTATCTTATTTGAATCTCGCTCAATTGCAAGTTATTGTAAATGATTTGCATACACAGATAGAAGGTAAAAGACTTTAGTTGTTTAAAATTTTTGCTTTGAAATTTAGCCAAGTTTTATCCCAAATTACATTACGATAGGAGAAAGTTTGAATGCATCTTGTTTTGCATTCCAGACTATGATCCTCCATTGCATTATATAATATGTTTTTGTTTATCTAGTTGCACTCAAATTTAGACAAGGAGCTATCAGTATTAAATAATCACAATATTGATTGATTCAGGCCTAAATGAAGACTTAATGAAAAATCTGATGGAACGTGATGATCTCCATATGATTCAAGACTCAATGCTCGTGGATATAGAAGATCTTCAAAGGTTATTTTATATTATTCATAATATTGAAAAATATATTTTTTATTATCAGACGGGCAGAAGAATATGCAAAAAGAATGAACCAGAAATTAACCGTAAATCCTCATATGAGCATAATAATGCAGTAAGATCTGATTTATGAATTTTATTTCATTTCAGTTGAGATTATTTCAAATGTTATTGTTTCATGCAGTAAACAAAGTTATTTTTCGTTTATTCTGTAGCATATCAAACAGTATTATTCAGGAAAATAAAGCTTTTAGCCTGCTTATTCGAAATTCTGAATCGCTTAAAGTTATCTTTACGTTTTATTTTTTTTGTATACATATCGCATAGATCAATTTGTCTGGGCTTCAGCAGTGATAAATGTTAATAAATTTAAGAAAACGAAATATTTTATTTTAAATTCTGTGCGGTGCATTAAAATGGCGAGAAACAAATCAGTCAGCCTATTTCCACTTCCGGAATTCAACGGAGGCTAAATTCGTCGTAATCATCACGTGATTGAAACGTAGCATATGAAGAAGCAATTGTAATTTGCAGCTGACTAGTTCTCAATTATTAGTTGAACTCAAATGAATTATATATCGAAATTCGCATTATAAAATTCGCCAAAGAGTTGACATCGAGAAAATGCACCCATCTGAATACGCTAATTTGACTGATAAACCACTTTTTGGAGAAACTAGGCCTAGAGTAAGTCTTGCAATAATCTGGTAAATGAAATTTAAACTATGATATTTTAGGATAGGATAATAAATGTATTAGTCGGAGGAATAACTACAATTCTAGTCGCGGTAAGGGGAATACAATTTTATCTTATAATTTTGTAAATAGAATAATTCACTGCTTCATAGGTTACCATAGTTCTCTCCTTCGTTATTCCTCTACCCCCTAATGGCATCAATATTTTTTTTGCCATATGCATTTTGCTCATTGGTGCTTCAAACGTACTTCTAATCAAGTGGTATCGACAAGGTGATTTGGAACCAAAATTTTTGAGTCTAATATATTTCAATGCATTTACAACCATTTTGTTGTGTGTTTGTGCTATTTTGTACATTGATTTTATCAAAAGACATTAGTATTCAATCTACGCGAAATGATAATTATATATTTACATGGGAGAAGTTATTTTATATGAAATAAATAAATTTTGGGGACAGATGTTTAAAAGAAATTGTTATAATCACACAAAGAATCATTGATTTTTACATAACGTTTATTCATGACTGAAGTTTAACATATGACTAAATAATCTGAAATCTATCAAAATTTAAGTAAACCCTTAGCAACCTTCATAATAAATACAATGAAAAACTAAATAAGATACATTCGACAACAGACACTAGACTTAATAAAATTGTTGCCCTTCGAATATGACCTTAAGAAATGGAGTTTTGAGAGTATATGATACATATTATCGTATATTTTTATACTTTCTGGAAGTAATATAAAATTTTATATATTGTAAGTTTAAAAGCCAATGAAAAAAAGCTAACAATATTAGCCATTTATACAAATATTAAATATAAATGTATAGAAATTTATATACATGGACCAACCCTTGTATCCTTTATAATAAATATTTGAACTGAGCAATTCGTTTTTATAAAAAATGCGCTGTGTTAAAGTTTGTTTTATAACTAAATTCAAGCTAAGCTTGATTGCTGTCCATGGCATAATTGTCGTACTGTTGACTTAACTGATACGGTTTATAAGGGTGTCCATAGACTGGAGTTTCAATGTGTCTTGATTGTGGCATCTTACTATTATCTATATACTGTTGTTGAAAATTATGTGGAAACATGATAACTCCCCTATTATTGGGTTGATATGGTATTTGCTGAGCACTTTGTGTTCTTTTTTTCGAGATCTTTTGTTTCATAGCGGGCGATGTGAAGGCAACAATAGAACTTATCAAAGACAAAATAGATGATACGATTGCCAATCCAAAGCAAGCGTGAACAAACTTTCTTCCTTCACCAACCTCAGCAGCATAAACTATCCACGATATCGTTGTAAGAAGAGTCGCAACGGCAAGATCGCCACCTAACAATCTTTCACCCATGGGGTATTTAATAGTGTCTGTAACAGTTACTAAAATACAAAACAGAACGGCCAAGAGTATGGATATCGCGGATAATATCATCAGAGCTCTGACGGACTTTAACCAATCTGTAGAGAAATTAATAAACAATTAAATGAATAGAATAAAAAGGTACTCTGTATAGTTCTTATTAATTAATTTTCGAATATTTTCCTTCCTTCCTAGAACTCTTATATTGATAATATAATATTTATACTTTATAGATATTTCACGACGGCAACTAGATAGAAATGAATGATAATTTCTTTATCACAGGCCGCTTAGGGAGTAATTATTGACAGTATTTATAAACGCATATAAAGACTGTCCTTTTGGAAGAGTGCCAAATTATACTATTTTAAAGAAATCTTACTAGGTGGGTCATTAATTGTTATACAAGCAGTTACTGAGAGTCCAGAGTCGACATTACATAATTTAAATAAGCCAACTTCCTGCGATTTTTCAGCAATAATACCAGAGTTGATGTAACTTTTACTATGCAACCAATGAGGCGAAGATAAGGACACGATATGTACTATAAGGAGTGAAGGTAATAGTAGAAACAGTAATATTTTCATGTGCTTCGATGATCTTGTAAATGGAGACGCCATACTATATTGTTGAAGGAAGAAATGTACGGAGAGCTTTACTCTGAAATGTTGATAGTATCCAGGTAAAAAAATCAATAAGGTGTGTTCTTTTACTCTGTCGAAGAATCCTAATGTTGAAATATTCAATTACTTTATGTCAGTTTTCACTTGCTTTCTCGGAAGGGGCATAAGAAATAGCAAGAATTTTTATTATTAGAGTGGTTAGACTTATAGAAATCTGTGTTAGCAGATATTTACGTATGCCCTGTTACTTTTGCCACATCAAAGCGCCCTCTAGTTATTACTTATAAAAAATGCTACCGTAGGGTTAAAGTTGGCTGTATTCAATAGCAAGTTCACGACAGATACGTATTATTTCCATTAACTAGAAAATTTTTTATATAACAAGAGTGATGGAATTTTGTTTTCTATTGGATAATAAATCAAACACTTCTTTCTCCCAAAATGTATCCTAAAATCAATTTATCCCTTTCATTTGTTCAGGCAAAAGTTTTACAAAAGTGTATTCAAATAAAAATAACTAAATCAGAGATTCTGTAAATAGAACGAAATTAATTTATTTTATCATGATACGTTTTGTGTAGATCATTGAAATTTTATGACAATAGCCATAATTTATTAAATATGCATTTCATGTTAAAATCTAATCAAATGAAAGTTAATTATTTTCTCTTCTGAGATCTTGCCCACTTTTCATAAGTATGAACTTCATTCTCGTTCTCATTCATGCAATTGCTTATTAATTTCCAACCTTGACCGTGCAAGAGATCACTCAATTCTATCCTCTGGATTGATTGCTTTAAGGTGTTTACTGTTATGTAACCGTTACCGTGGTGTTGAACTGTGTCACATTTTGCATCTGTTTCCTCTTCCAAGTCTACTTGCAGTCCAGTATCCAAAATTGCCTGACAAAACCCAGTAATGGTCAGTGACAAGGTTTCATTTGTCGTTTTGTTCGATACAGAAAATATCTCCAGAGTTGAACCAAATCCCCTTGAAGAGCTTGTTTTAGGTATTTTAATTGTTGAATTTAACGTAGATTTTCCATTTTTTTCCAATTTTCCCAAAGTAATACTAGCATTCAGAGCATTTGGCATTTTATCATTCGCGAGTCAATAAATGGAAAATTCTAAAGCTACTGCAACAGTGTCTCTGCATGGTACTGTTCAATACATAATCGATTTATTGACTTTTACTTCGGTAAAAAGTTTCTTTTAATTAATATAACTTAAAAGAAATGCTACTTTCAAGCATCTGTACTTGAATGGGATTTAAACATTAGAAAAGATACGGGCTATCTTACATACAGTATAGCATGAAAATATTTTCGATTATGCTATGACTAATTGATTAGTAGAAAATTCTTTGTTTTTTAAATGGATAATGAATCAGAAATATTAAAGGAAAAAAAATTTATGTTATGACCGAGCAAGCTATTATTTATAAAATGCGCCAACAATGGGTGGTCAGTATTGAAAAAAACCCCAGAAATAATTAAAAAAGAGAACGGATTTAGGAGCTTGTAAACCTTTTCAACACTATTTTACGAAGTGCTTAAAGGTTAAAGTAATTCGAACTCATTAAATTTAAAATAGTCACATCTTTAAAAGCTTAGTTTCTATTAGAAAACTTTATGTTCAATCAATTTTCTCTTATTAAAGCTGAATCAAGTCAATTTTACAAATGGTTGTTAGTATCTTAACAATCTTTCTCAACAATTAAAAATATTAATAGGAATAGTTAATTATAGTTATTTGGAAATAACTTTTTTTTATTTAATTATTCAAAGTAAGTATTATAGTGTTAAGTAACAAAATATAAAGTTTTCAACAGTTTTCCAAAGCTGAAGGTATGAATAAATTTTCCATGACTTATAATCAATAATCCAAAAACTAACATTTACATAGTACCTAATTACAAGTCATTGTTCTTTCAACAATTGTTATTCGAAATTCTTTCCCAGTGAGGAATTTGTCAGATACTTTGTCATATACTTCACAAGTATATTTTCCACCTGGAATCTTTTCAACTTTTCTTAGAACAAACACTTTTTCTATTGCTCCTTCTATGACATTCACATATTGATAAGAATATACCCTTTCGTATGATTCTAGATCTTTTTTGCCTTCAATTCTTGATACTTTCAACCTTGCTTCAGGATAACCGAAAACTTTACACCTAAAACAAGTTGGCGTTGTTCGTGTTAGGCATACTCGAAGACTGGAGTTTGATGATTCGCAAGGTTCAATATAAATTTTAGGTACATCGTGTTTGAAAAATATGGCATTAATCGTTTTGTCTTGATCGCTTCTTTTCATTATAGCAGATAGGGAAAATAAATTATTATTTATTTTCCTAAACATTTTACTTAGGTTGTAAGTAGAAAAACCAAATTTAATTTTCTGATATGCTCCATAAGTTTTCATACGCCCATCATCCTCATTCACCTTAACTTTGTATTGGGAAAGACCAGATTGTCTATTAGATCTCGGTGCTTCATAGTTGGGATACTCTTCATGGGATATTGTATAAAACTCGTCTATAAAAGGGTTAGCATCGCTATCTAACACAACAGTAAAGTCTAATTTTAAAAGATTGTTACTAAAACTAATAGCAGTTCTTTCAGCTTTCAGCCAATAAACGCTATCTAACTCTTCAAATTTGATAGGTTGATGGAGTTGTACGGTAGTGTATATCAAGTAAGATATGGCATATGGGTGAAGAAATGAGAAAACTGTGCAAAATGAGTATTCTCTTTGCTTAGGCAATTTGTGAATTTTCAAAGTTTGTACGTGCACATTTCCAGCTGATAAGCTATTTAATTGAATATTCTTATCTCCTGTAGGAAGTTTTAACAGATCGATATAGCAATACAAAAAAATATATGTACTATAATATTACAAGGGAATAAAATGTATTATTAAGTGATTAAGTTTATAGTACACTTTGAAATCTAGTACAAGATCTATAATTAAAAAAATTTTTTTTCGTTCAACCTTACGATGACGATTCAGTACTTAAACTTTTAATATGGACTTTCTATCTCGCTGAAAGATTTATTGCTTATTGCTCAATGTTCTTTTCGACATGTAGTTATTTTTTGATTCCTTAGGAACAAAAGTTACCCCCTTCTTACCTATAATCGGAAGTAGTTTATCAATCGGTGAATAGGGAGTGTTTCTAGCTAAAGTTGAAAAATGCCACATTATAGAAGGCTTTGAAGAACACCTAAAAGCCAGAGTAACAGTAGCTGTTCTTCCAGGTACAAAGGTAGATAACCTTCTTCTCATTGGAGCAAAGATTGGAATATCGCTACTCCTCTTGCTCCATTCGGGCTGATATTTTCACAGAAAGAATTTTAAAGAGTTCAATATTTACAATTAACAACTTTTATAACTATAGAAACAAATAAAATAAAAATTTTACCATCGCCATATCGATAAATACTTCCGACGATAAAGCAAATCGGAAAAGCGCAACCACAATGTGTATCCGCCGCATTAATCTGTTAGAGACTGAAAAAACCTTTTCTCGATCGTATGTTTGCCCCAGTCGCTTAAATAATGGATATTTATTCATCACAATAGCGGCTCTATAAACATTCGATCTATTTTTTTGAGTTGTTTCACATTTTAATAGAATTTTGATGTTTTTCTATTTATTCAATCACTTGTTTTTTTGATTCGTTGACGTAACTTTCCTGATTGAAACAATATGATCAATAATAAGAGAAACTATACTGTCAATAATTAAATTTGTATCATTTAGTTAAGAAATTCATTATTCTCTATTCTATTCAATTTCGTTCCAAAAAAACAATTTTACTTAAATTTCCGTTTCTAATTAGAGAGTGTGCTATTCTTTTTATTAGCCTGTTAGAGTTATAACTACTGGGGTCGTTTAATTAATTAAAGTTATTCTTGCGAGGAACGCGGAACAGTGCTGTTAGAAGCCAATAATGAAATATTTACATAATTCCACAATATGCAAACATTAAAAAAAACGCTGAATGAGTTTGTTTTATGTGCGAATTTTAGCGGTTAGTCGAAAAAGCTATATAACTATAATTTATAAAGTGTCGAATTGATATCGTTATTAATATTTTATATTAGTGCTCAAAATATGACTAGTTGCAAATGTGGAAAGAGAATTAAATAGCAGTCTATAATGTCGAACATTGACTATAGTATACCCAATTTATACTGTATATATACTGTATGTTATATATGTATACATTTATTTATATTATTCTATGGGTATTTTGTTCCTAAGTAAGAAAATATCAATATATTCACAAAATATTTCTTTCATGAACACATTTTAACACATTCTCTCTTGATCAGAGTATTTAGCTGTTAAAAATCTCTTATATTGAAGTTACCGAACATTTCCTTTAGTGGTCTATAAACTTGATGAAAATATAGCATGTTGTAGAAGTAGAGTTGTATCTTCTCATCCATTTTAAATGGTACTCTTTTATAGCTTATTATTTGTGAAGAAGAATAGACTAAACTTACAACAGTTAGATCTAACTCAACCGAATAGGGTGGATTGAAAGTTATTCAAAACATAATGAGGAGTTGCTCAAAAGATATTAGAAATATTTTGAAACGCGAATAATAATAAACGGAAATAGTCTACGACAGAGTATTAGAAAACGAGAAGGATGGGATTATGTGAATCACAGTAGTCTTTTTGATAAAGCTTACTGAAAAAATAATTGTTCCTAGATATCAAATATGAGATTCACTCGATTTTCGAAAAATAATATCAGTAAAACTTGATAAAAGGTTATAAAAATCTTGTAATCTGTTATGTCACATCAGCTAAATGTATATATATATATATTAGATATTGTATTAGTATGTTGCCAGATTCAAAATTTGACAGACTGCAGAAAAACTACCTGACACTAAAAATGTTAAAGCTGATCAAATATCTTGTTCTCATAATTGTATTTGAAATCTTACTCTTAGTGGAGTCGCAAAAGATGAATGATCCTATACAAGGTATTTTACATTCTCTTTTTACTAATCTGGCGGTTCTGTGTTACATAGTACAAAAAATGATATTGATAGCCCTACTTTAATTTGCGTGATGGTGCATTTGAATTCATTAATCTTATTCCCCAGATTACGCCAAACCTGATTGTAGGCGAAGTAGCTTAGTTTTAGTTGTTTTTTGCCAATTTACAGCTTGTAACAAAGATACATGATGCATAAATTTAAGTGTGAGGCTTTCAAAAACTATTAGATTTTTTAACCCAAAATCATGATCAAACTGAAAAAAGTAAAGTGGGAATTCTTTCAGAATCCTTTGAAAATATGTTTATTAGATCTGAAAGAATAAAAGCAAAATTCGTGAGAAGTGGATTGATGCTATCGTTGACTCAGTCTTGTATCTTTTTTATTACTTAATCACGAAAAGCACCTCATCTGCATTGTTGCTACAACAGAATAATAGATACAATCATTTTATGCTACTTAAAAATCTAAACTTTAAAATATTACTTGTAATAAAAAATATTCTAATGATTTATTAGGGTTTTCAAAAACTTTGACACTCCTTTTGAAAATAATTGGTGAATTTAATATTTGACATTTATATACTTAAACCTTTAAACTCTCTCTCACCCATTACTAATTGAAATTTTTCGGATAAATCATTTATAGGATCAATATTCGAAAGAGCAGAGTCGGATTGTTATAAAGTGATTCGTTAATTATAAGCAATTGTTTGTTTATCAGGTTTCTTGCAATATGAATTCTTCGACGAGGAGAACGACGGTAGTGGAATTGACACTTCAACAGCCTTAAGCCCAACAGAATCAAGTTCTGGTTTAAGTGGTGGAGCGATTGCTGGAATTGCTGTGGGATCGGTTGCCGCTGTTGGTGCAGTCGGAGGAATAGGAGGCTATTTTTGGTATAAGATAAAGAAAAACAATGTTACTCCTCTAATATAAGCTTTCAGCTATACTTTATACAAAATCGAAGAACATCTCAAGTATTCATTGAATGCATATTTATTGATAACAAAAATTTAGATAACTTTAAAGTACAATTAAAATTTCATTATTGAAATAATGTAATTTTATATTGAGCAGTTCAGTTTCGCTCACATTTCTTTCTTTATATAATCAATTTCTCGTTCATATTCAATTTTTTTACGAGATAATAGTCGTTAACTATTTCTATTTGTCAATGTGAATAGTTACTACTCTTCAGATACGTTGTAGTATCATTAATGATAAGATGGATTTTCATATAATCAGTATAATCAGGTCACTAAAACAGAGTACAGCATTTAAGTTTAGGGTTATATATCAAGCAAACGCTCCTATTTTTTTATTCAAAGCCGACATCCAGCTTTCTCTTTCTTCCTGATAGCATAAAATATCACACTTAAGTTATAGTCAAAACATATTTAGAAATTTAAAAACTTGCTTTATTTGTTAAACTGAATCGAAATTCCTTTTTATTTGCTTTAAGAGTAAAACTAAGTTGATCTTCATGTCGGAAAAGAGTAATTGGGTTAGTCTTGTCAGCACCAACCAAATGTATCTCACTTTTTGGAAAAGCTGATAGCCTGTCCTCAAAATAAAGAAGACTTTTGTGATCTAAAACTAACCAGTAATATATTGAATATGTTTCATCAACTGTTTTTATTTTAGCATATCCCTCTTTGTAGAAATTCATAATCATTCTGTTCAACAATTGCGCCTCTGATTCGAAAGTGAAAATGAGTTCTGCCCTCTCAAACTTCAAGCGTCTAATCATATTATACCATTCCATCAGATCTTCACCCTTACTAGAATAAACAAATATATTTCTCCAAGTGTTATGCATTCTAAAAAATAGTTGCATTCCATTAGGGTGGTTAATTTTTTCCGGGCACAAGACTACTTTTAATTTATCATCTTCCAAGTGAATTGAAAATTTTTTGTTCTATTTTAAAATATATTTTTTACTTCAAGAAATTAGTTGCAGAAATGTTAAATACTTACATCTTTCTGTTTAAAGTATGAAAGAGTCGAGGATGATGCTTCAAGAACAAAAGTTTTTGGTTTAAAGTCTTTAAACGATTTTCGTTTTTTCAATAAGATTCCTTTCTTGTTTGGAGATTTAAAGTCGGAGTTTAATTGAAAACCTAGGCTAAACTCTCGGCGATAATATTTAGCTAGAATCCATTGTTCTTTTTGCACTCTGAAACAATTTAGCAAATTCGTAAATAAGAGGATAGGTAACGATATTAATGTACAAATGTTAACTAACAACGGTGAATTTTTTTTGGGTCTCTCGTAATAAACTGGGACAAATTTTTCGAATTGCTCATGTGCTTTAACGTTTCCATTGTTTTTTAAGAAATTAAATTCCGTGCTATTGAATGAGCAATCGTCAATTTTCTGAATATTTGGTAGAATATCATCGAATCGCTTATGAATGTCTGCACAAGCCGGGCAAATAAAAACTCCAAATGTCAATGAGCAATGCGTTTTTATTCCAGCTACAGGTATTTTTATAATCAATTATTCATATATTTATTAATTTTATCACCTGTATCACCACAATCAGCGCAGTTTATATTACAGGGGAGAAATGTTAACTCCTTCACTTTTTTTCTAAAATTCATTTTCTTTCTAGGCGGGATTGGATAAGAAATAAATATTTAGGCTGTATAAAAAGCTATGAAAGCTTCCTACTCTGATGACTGAGAATCATATTGAAAAGAATTTCAAATAATGGCCGATCAATCTTAAAGTTTAAATAGAGAATGCAGTAACCAGCGCATTTTAGTTATTTTTTCTGAAGCATGACTTTCTGTAGAAAAATTTATATTTTTATTTAATAAACCCGTTTATTAAATGAGAAATATGACAAAATAATAAAATTAAAACATAAAATCATAAATTGAAATAGTCCAATTCAAACTATTACTATCTGCTAAACTTAATAATGCATTAATATTTCAGAGAATCAAGAATTTTGAGTTATAACTGTTCTTGAGTTGTAAGATCTATGGTTCATATGGCGGTGGACTCTCATACGGTGGTGGTTGTACATCCGAAAAAATTGGTGGACCCAACTCATTTTCAAAAATTCTTCTTGGTGTTCGATAGAACTTTCTTAAATATAAAATATTTGCTGCTGTGGAAAAAATAGAACATCCTCCAGCGGCTGAGATGAGATAAAAGGAAATATCAAATCGTATCTGGTAAAAATTTAATACTAGTTAATTGAGGTCCACAATTATAAGAACTATTTTGATTAACAAACCATCACTTGGTTTCCTCCACTACTTTTAAGATTTCTTTGAAATTTATGAAGACTTTCCGCTACATGATAGCAAAGTCCACATATAACAACTATTGTTACAGCTGAGAGGATATGTAACACTTTTAGTATGTTTCATATAATATTAAAATTATAGATATTTTTGAAAAGAATATTTTGCATATTTCTCAACTAACCTGAGAATATACTAAACATCCCATTTCTGCGAGCAAACCTGAAACCCTTATCAGCTGGGCTTATCAAATCAAGAGAAAATTGTATCAAACTAAACAGGAATGCTAAAATGCATAAAGTCAATATGGCCTTCATAGCTTTGACTATTGGTTTAGTTACGCAGTTAATTAATAGTTCTGAATTTCGATTGCCATATCTGTAAATTGTCGATATTTCTTTGTTATAAGGCTTCAAAAATGATCCATCATAAAAAAATTGCTGAGCACCAAGATGCAATAGCTCTTTATGATCGAAGTATTTACATTCTCCTCCAGTTATGTGAAACCAGTTCGGTTCAGCTATAGCTGCGCAGAGAACTACCATTGTTAGCATGCTAAATATTGCTGTAAAACACTTGCATTGATTACAATTTTATTTTAGCTTGGATTTTATTGTAGATACCTGCACCAAAGTTTCTTTCCTTTTGTTTACATGTGCAGAATCCCCTAAAAAGTCTTGAAAAAAAATTTGTTCGCTGCCTCTCAACTGAGAAAAGATTTCGCTCCTGAGAAAAGTGAGTGGGGTGTAGAATAGGAACATCCGAATCAGAGTCTTCATGATAAACCAGTAGATCTGTATCCGACATTTCTTTCAAATGACACCTCTTACATGGGACGAAGAATCAAATATGTTTTTTTTTCAGAATCTCAATTTGAAAGGATTTCGCAAAAATATTATTTACAATATTAACTTCCGGGAATAGGTAGTACTAAATCGTGCTAGGCAGGTGTAATACTGCTGTTGATACTGATATTTTCTCCATTAAAAGTACAGAATAATTTTAAAACATTATCTCTTTATGTATGATAGACTTTTTATCTGTATATAAGACATACATATATACTCTTGAAATGAAATACTTATTCAATAGATCATAATATCATCTTAAAAATTAATTATATATTACCGGTTGATCGCGTCACACTACCTGCAGCTTCTAGGTAGTATCACATACTAAACAATTCCTTTCTCAAACAATCTAAGAATTTAAATTCTTAGTAAGAAATCGAAAAACAGAATCATAATTTGTAAAAAAGTAATAAATACTATTAACTTAAAATGAATAACTTATTTTAACTACTTAAAAATATATAATTCTTCTTTTTTCTTTTAAAAATGTGATAAAGGCAAAGTTTCGTATGTTACTTAAAAATCGTTCACGATTTTATTTAGAATCAGAAGTATGGAGAATTTCATTTTATACGATGAAATCGGCCAAAGTGATGGAACAATTATATATAAGGGTCGTCGGAAACATACGATTAACTTTGTTGCAATTCATTGTGCTCAAAAATCTAAGAGAGCAGAAATTACAAATTTAGTAAGTATGTTATAACAGTTGAATAACAGTCAAATAATTCATTCAAAAATCTAAGAATATAGAATTTTATTTCCGATTCAGATGCAACATCTTGTTAAGTGTAAAAATATAATAATTTTTAATATTATAGGTTAGAATGTCACATGAAATACAACATGACAATGTGGTAAAATTTTTTGAATGGTACGAAACTAGTAATCACTTATGGCTGGTCGTAGAGCTATGTACTAGTAAGTGAAAAACACATTACATGCATGTATTTGGATATATGATTATATTAGTATATATATATATCTTTAGATGGAACATTCGATGCCGTCCTTTCAAGAGATTTTTCGCTCCCAGAATCTTCAGTTCGAAAATTTGGAGTTCACCTTGTTCGGGGACTTTATCACTTGCATTCTCTCCATATAATATTTTCAGATCTTAGACCATCTAGAGTAAGTTTTCCCCTATGTATATATATCTATTGAATTGCCTTTAAAAAGGACTAAACATTCCTTAATTTCAAAGATAATGGTCGATGGTCCAGGGATCTTAAAGTATAATGACTTTAGTTTAGCTAGATTAGAGGGTGAAGACTTGGACGAACTTTTCAGAACTTATATTGGCACTGGTGATTTTGAAGGTCCAGAACAAGAAGTTGATAAGAATAGAACTATAGGTAGTGCAATTAATAGTCCTTGTATTATATTAACAGTTGAATCTTTCAGGGAATCTGAAATATGTAGCTCCTGAAGTGATATCAGACCGAAAGTTTACTATGGCTAGTGATTTATGGTCTTTGGGTTGTACATTGTATGAAATGTATATTGGTAAGTTGCTTTTCAATTATTCTGCAAGAGTGCAGAAACTGTTTCAGCTCATTTCTAAAAGAAACCTCCCTTTTACATAATCAAAGTTTTGCGATAGTTTCTTACAAAATTGTAATAAAGATAGAGGATACGTTAAGTTTTTTGATATATTGCCAATACTTCGACAACAGTTGTCTCATCCATCTTAGTTTCATTCTGATATTTAACGCACATACGTGTATACTATTCATTTACTTCGTGTTTACACGTGACATAAATCCTTAATTCATGTTGTGACATGTCAAATAACCTGACTATTTTATGTGATTTCTATTCTTATTGGAATCCTTCTGTTTGTTCAAATGGTGTAGAAGACAGATTATGTCTATAGAAGAAAGATTTTTTGTATAATTAGTTAGATAATTTCGGCAATTTAGACAGATAAGATTAAAGCGAACTAATTGAATAGATGATCACTGATCATCCTCAAAGTTTTTGGGTTGTTCTAAAACGGGTTTTAGATGACACTTAGTTTTCGCTTATCTTGTGCTCTCAGCACTTTTTCCAGTGATGTCTTTGTAAATATAAAGTTGCTAAACATTATTCAGCATTGTTTGACATGATGTTTACGCAATTCTTAGAACTATGGGAGGTTTATTTATAAGAATTGAAATTATTTAATTATAAATGAGACTTTGTACGAAATGGAAACAGGTCATCCACCATATAACGATAAAGACAATAATAAACTAAAGAAAAGAATATTAAATGACCCTGTTCCTGAACTAAAACTAACAGGCTCTAGATTTGGACGGAGTGGTGGAAAAGCTTCACAAGAATTTTCAGATTTAGTGTGCTCTCTTCTAAAGAAGAAGCCTGAAGAAAGAATTGATTGGACTACTCTAGTTCGTCATCCATTCTGGCAGGGACAATTAGAAAATCTCTACGAGTTAATGCAAACATCTTCATGTATTTAAAAAAATATTTATAAGATGTACATAACAAAATTAATGATATGTTTACATTCGACAGTTTCTGGCGGCAACACTTGCGAGGCAGCAGATAGCACGCTGACTGAAAAGGAGGCCGACATACTTCGAGTATGTCATAGTCGAGCAGACACTATAACAACTGGTACTGATCCATAATTCGCTTAGCTTCGCTTAACTTTAAATTTTCAGCTCGAAGTGATACAGAACTTCCCCAATTCGGTTCCGTATTTGGCAATGTTAAAACCGTTGATCCTGGAAGGAGTTTAGATGCTTTAACAGATCGTAATGTTAATGCAAGCACCCTAAGTAATAATTTAAATTACTTTTAACACTGATGGTCTTATTAGGCGTGTCATTTACAAGGGTCAACTTCAACTTTAACTGAACGACCTCCAACTGCTCCATCATCTGGAGATCCAAAAGTGGCAACTCGCCCAAGGACTGTCACACCAATGCCAACAATTAATGATGATGATACTCCTGAATTAATTCTAACAGAGAGTCCATTAGATGTGCAAGATTCTCTTAAGAAAATGACAAGTATGGACATAACCGATATTAACAACGTTCACAAATTGTTGTATCATCTAAGTGATTCAACTGTTACTCCTTGTATAGACAACTTAAAGGTATATACCATATACAGTATTAAAAATAAAAAACTTCTACAACATTTTGTTAATAGATATCAAAACCCTTATCCAAAAATTTTGACTCTAAAGTTCTTCCCGTACCACCACATTCTTCAGAGAAACTGATACAATTATCACCGGATAGCAGAAAACAACACCTCTTAGCGTTGGTTGATAGTATTTCGTTTGTAGAAAAAGGACCGGCATCACAAAAAAAGCTACACCTTTTCAACTATGTTGCTACATTGGCAACGAATTCTGATATTGCATCCTTTTTACTGTCCCAAGGAATTGGTCAAGTTCTAGCAAAACAAATTAAAGAGTCGCATCAATTAGATTTGTAAGCATGAAATAAATTTGTATACCTGCCTAAAGTTTTATTTACTTGACAGTAAGGCGAGAGCAGGTCGTTGTCTGGGGTTAATATGCCATTATTCCTCAGAATTAAATGAGTCACTGAGAATGTGTGATATTATTTCCAATTTAACTGAAGTTATTCGGGACAACTTCAGGAATTCAAAAATAAAATGTGCTGTTTTACCTGCCCTTGGGGAAGTTTTGTATATAATAAGCAGTCAGGAGGATAAAAGGAATTGTAGCGTCTCTAACTGGAATGTATCTGCACTTACATATACGCTAATCATACGATGTCTAAGAGAAGAAGTAAAAAAAATAAATTTAACTTATTTTGTTATAATTTATATTCTCCTTTTTTCAGGAAGACGCTTTGGGAAGTCATTACGCTGCGAAAATTGTTGAAAATATAGCTACTACGAATGGTATTCACGCAAAGGTAAGACTAGTGATACTATAATTTGTTTATAATTTTGTATTTTTTGTAGAAATTAGCAACATCTGATGTTGGTTTAAAGCTTTGGTATGTTTACACACATGCCACTGGTGATTCTTTGAAAACGACTGCTATATCGGTAAGTAAACAATATATCTTGTTCGAAAAGAGAAATACCAAGTATTTTTTAGGCTCTCAGTCGCCTTGTCAGACATCAAGCAACAGTGTTTAACAGCGTCTTAGAAAAAGCGGGCATCTCTAATGTGCTTTCAGCTTTAGCTCAGCCAATTCCTAGAATTCAGCAATCAGTCATCACAATGATTGCGGTCTCACTGTGTAATGATTCATCTCGTCAAATTCGAATGGTCCAGGAAAAAGATTTCATGTTGAATGTCATGAAATTACTGGAGTCTCCATCACCTGTTATGCGTGGGAAAGCATTCCTTGTTATTTTGCAAATGGTTTCAATCCAGAATGACCTTCTTGTTATATCCTGTCAACAACGGTTAGTGATGTATCTTGAACGTGATTATAGACGCAGTCAAAGATCAAATAGAGAATTAAGCACTCAAACTGAAGAAAATATTATGTCCGCAAGAGATGATCATTTGCATACTGGTTATCTTAACCTGTGTTTGGAATGTTTAGTTCACTTTTTGGCGGAGTTAATTCCCAATCTATTCTGTGAGTATTTTTTAATACAATCGATTTTTTTAAGATGTTATTTTATTCGCAGCTGAAATACTTTCTTCAATGGATGTTGTAAGCGGTAGAAAACATCCATCAACCACTCAAACCAAACAGTTAAAGCATCATTTACCATCAATATCAGCCATTCACTTCCTCATATCTAGCCAAGTCTTTCGTACAAAAGTTGTTTGCTCTAATTTTATTAAAAACGTCGGCAACCTTCTTCGACATGTTAAATCCATTGATTGTGGTACTACCAAAATTATAAATGCAGTTGGACAGCAGGGGTCTGATCATTTCGTCCTGACAACCTTCAAAATAACAGAAATTCTTGTGTCTCATCCGTCCATTATTTCTTCTTTCTACTTACAATTTATTGATAATATTGTCCCTCATTTGGTTGAACTTGTCGGAGCATCGTGTGGAGACAACCAGGCGTTTTCATTACGTCTCTTGTCTGAAATAACGGGTGTCTTAATGAACAACTCTTATTTTGATACAATCAAATATAAAAGTGATTTAGATAGAATCTACAATATGGTTGAAAAAGACCTGTTCCCTGTGTACGTAATTTAATTTTTGTAAAGCATTGATAAAACTTTATTTAAAAATAGCTATGAGCAACTCTTGCTGGAACAAGATCCTCTGCCGTCACACGCTTTAAAGTTACTCATTTCTTTACTGGAACGAAATTCGGCTTTTTCTAAACGATTTATCAAATCTAATTTATCAAGTCAAATTTTCTTTCAAGTGATATCCGTACGTATGAGAAAAATGCTAATTGCAAGCTTTAATTTCATTAATTTCATTAGGATCATAAACATAGTCCTCTTAGCTCGGCCGTTCAGAATGCTGTTACTGTCTTGTATTTTCTTATTTCCCAAAGAGACTCTCCTATAGAAGAACTTTATGATGGAGGATTAATAGAATGTGTAGTGACTGTTTTAAATGACGCTTTTGCTTTGGCAGAAAGCCGTGACTCAAAGGGTATGCAAGGAATGATGGTTATACAGAGTATTGTAGACCTTGCACATGCAATTTTAAAACGAGTTAGTGAGGTCGTAAGAAAAGCCATTGAAGCTAAAAAACTTGGTGCTGAGAACGCCGATAGAGATGGAGAGGCAGCTGAGAGGTTATTGTTAAACACAAAAAACATAACCGATATAACCTGTGTATTAACGAAATTAGTTTGTATTGTGTACTATCAATTGGATCATTCTAAGTTTGTTTTTAAATTTTAGCTTGTAATTGACGATCAAGAAATCGCTGATATAGCTCTTAAGACACTCTCCCTCTTAGTTCAGCTATTTGCTGGTGAACATCCTGAATCTTTAAGTGTGCCGAACATGGAATGCTATGCTATGGCTTTAATCAGGAGCGATATTAAGAAGAAAAAAGTGTTATTGCGTATAATTAAAAGGTTGTTAATTACCGATAGAAATCATTTAGATTCAATACGACGTCATGGTAGAAACTTGACAGATGTTATTTATAGCCTTTGTGACGTTGCAAGGTACGAAAAATAATTTGACTTTACATTGAAATACTAATTATACTTCGTAATTTTAGTTCTCAAGCAGAGATTGCCCTGAAATCTCTGGCCTGTGACATCTTAGAAATAACAGGGGAATCACAAGCATAAACCTTTACACATATATGTTTATTGAATTGTGCTTTTTTTATTGAAATTGTTTTTTGAATTGTTTCCAAGTTTTTTCTACTACAATAATAAAGTTTTCTTAAACTTCATATAAAAAAATACAATTTTTTTCTTAAAAAGAATTGAAAATTCCGCCAACTAAAATATAGAAAATATTAGGTGAATTTAACCATAAAATAAAAGTAATCTTTTATTGTTAAATATATTGAATATTTCATAACGCTTTGCCAAAAGACGAAGTTAGTTATAGAGCTTCACTCCTAGCAGTATATAGATATACCTAAAAGAAATGGCGGCGTCCATATGGAAATGCTTTTCTGGTATTTTTCAAAGATGTTCACCTCAGTCATTATTAATTGCACTTATTTTATATTTGTCAGGTTTTAAGAATATATTAGGAACAACATCATCAATTTTTCAACGTGCGTCTTTTAGTTCTTCTATTTTGGGCAATTTCTCCAATAACTTCTCGTTGTTGTAGGTTAAACCATTAAATTTTATTAACTTACTAAGAACTTGGTATTGTCATACAGAAACTCACAAGCCATAAGAAATTGTTTACCCGCTCCAGTTCAATTAGAACAAAAGCGATTTCGTAATGGTCCTCGATATATTATTAATCATCTTGGGAAGACCACCAATGCCGATGATGTAACGGATCGCTTCTACCGATTAAACAATGGAATGTGGATAAGAGCAAGAGCTGGAAGGTATCGATATTTATGGAGAAGGAGGACAAAAAGAAAATTACGATTGCTTGAGCATGTTTTCTTAACTAGAGGTCAATGCTGGAAATTAGATAAAATGGTTACCACTAAATATAAAAGAAAGAAGTATTATCCAGACGATCCATACGAATATTATCATAAAGATCATCTTATAAGAGGACGACAATACTTTAAACCTCCTTTTTTACCTCTGAATTTAGAAAATAAGTAATTTTTGTTTGAAAAATAAAAATACGAAGGCTATCTTTAATTGCTTTTGGTGTGTACTCATTTGTTCAAATAATTGCCACAAAAATAATTCTTTAAGAAAGCATTAAAATTTGCTATTTATTAATAATATATTATATAAAAGCTATGGAACAAAGCAGTTTTTGGCATGAATCTATTTAACTTTTTGATGAACTAGGAACAAGCCGAATGGTTGAAACGTTCGAGTTATTATTTCCTCGTTGCATGACAGATAGAGAGCCAGGAGGGACGATCCTTTGCAATGTAGGCTGGACCATTCGAACTTTCTTTTCACTTTTCAATTTAAAATTTGGTGCTGTCAGACAAAATCTGTCTGGAGGCAATTTCAATCCTGTGTATGCTTTTATAACCGGTAGCGGTTGACTATTTTTCTGTTTAGCTACAGTCAATAGGAGCTGCAGGAAAACGATAATTTTTACAAAAGTTTAAAAATTAAAAGAATAATATACATCACGCGGCGGGGGTTGAGAAAAACTATAATCCATTCGAGTTTGAACAGCTAACTTTACATCTTCAGTATCAATCGTCTTTTTTCCGGCATGGTTAGAAAAAGCCTTGGCGTCATCTAAGACATCGCTGACGTATTCTAAATTTCAATTTTCAAAATTACTATTATTAAGCCGAATACAAAAGTATAAACTTACTGTAAGAGAATTCTAGCATTATATTCACCAATCTCGGTTCATAATCTTTAACACCCATTTCTTGTAGGATCGCCTGCATGACGAGGGCATCTCTCGGCAAGTCTTTCTTCACATTTGACGCCATAATCCTATATATTTTTCAAAGCGTCACTTCAGGCTGTCTGCAATAAATTCCACATTCAGCCAGTCAAAAGGATCAAAAATAGTTCCTGTTTTAAGGACAGAGTCCAGTTTCGGCCTTCAACAGCTATCTGATTAATTTCTGCTATGTAAGAGATTAGGATTATATCCAATTAAATTAATGAATTTTGAAAATTAACATGAATATTAATAAAGTGGGAATGTTTAAAAATTTTTTTATGGAAAGTTACTTATATCGAGCGATAATATAAGGTTATAGTTAACAATTTTGAAATTTTTTAAGGCACGAAATAAAATAACAACAAAATATAATATGGAAACGGATACCAATGTGTCGAAAATTCTCACCCGAAGATCTAGGAGAAATACTGGGAAATGTGTTAATTATTTTCCTTATGAAAAAGACTCGGGGACTCAAAAAGACAAAGTATTATCTCCTCCAGCGAAAAAACGTAAACACAAAAAGTCTGCTAATAATCAAAAGGACAATTATGGCGTATCAGAGAATTCCGTTGTGAATAATAATAATACTATTGATACTGATGTACGAATAGCTACACTTTTAAATCATGGTTTGTATACTCAAATTTTAAGCCAAATTGAGTTGATCTAATGAAGATCAATTGATACTTATTTTGATTGTGGCTAACTTTTCAGGTCACACGTGCTACGCTAATTGTGTTTTACAAGTTCTTAGATATACTCCTTTGTTCGTGAAGTATGCAAGAAAATTATGGACCAAAATTACAATTGTTTGTTATGAGCTAACTAAGCAGGGATTGCTGGTATAAGATCAAGTAGTAATTATTGTAAAATAATGGTTTATTATGTTATTCAGGCCAATGATGTTTCTCTAAAACCCTGGGTCTTTCTTAAACATTTGATAAATTTTATCGAGGAGATGATTCAAACTGAAGAAGAATCAAGTCCTGACTGTTCTTCTCACTACGACTCTCGAGGGGAAAGAAAAAGGTCCCATCCTTTAGTTTGCTGTCCTCATGTTTTATTTAGCATAACCAGGTTCGATATAAAATTTTTTGAAGCAAAATTACAATATTTTCTATCTCAGCCAACTATTTCCCGGCTTTGCTGAAATAAATACTGATCAAGATGCACGCGAATTCCTTGATTTTACACTCGAAAGGTTTCAAGAATCTCATGAAATATTACAAAGTCTTTTACTTCACGATGGTCCAAATCGAAGGCAGAATATACAAGATTCATTACAAAATCACATTCATCGAGTTACTTTTTCGGAAGAAGCCATAACAGAAAACGACAAGGACCCATGCTTTCATTGTAAGATGCCTCGAAATAACATGACAGAACTAGTCAAATCCACTTTGATGAACTTTGGAAAAGAGGTATCTGATGATTTCAAGACAGAAAATATTGCAGACATTCGCAAAAGATTTGAAATTCGAAAGTGTGAAGATTGGGTTTGCGATTCATGTCATAATACAATAAAACGACCTACTACGATTTTCGAACTATCGATAATTTTCCCACCTGATGACTCGGATGTCAAGTCTCTTAGCTTGAATGATATTATTAAACGAAGTTCAGATAACCAAGAATTGGAAAGTTTAGCCCAAAAGTGGCTGTTAGGTAGGGCAAGATCAAAAAGGGAAAAAGTAGATGATTATAATTGTGGCAAATGTGGAAGCAAAAATATGTGGCGTAATGATAGATACGTTTCTCTTCCACCCATCCTTGTGGTCTATCTTACAAGATTCAAGCAAAATGATAAAGGTGATTGGGTCAAAATAAGAAAGTTGAGGCCTACACCTTTCAGACTGCCTTGTCTTTTGGATTCTTGTGGAGCGTGCACGGATCCACTTCACATGTAAATTTCAAATTTGACAATCATTATTAGTTACTTTATTTCTTTCCTCTAGATATGAACTATATGCTGTAATTATTCATACTGGTGACAGCATTGATAGTGGTCATTTTACTGCAGTTGTAGATGCAACCTTATCCCCCCATGCGCATCGAGATGGATGGCTAAAACTTGACGACATGAAAGTAGAAGTAAAAGAAGTCGATAAATTCATTAATAGTGATCTCTCTGGGCGATTTTCAAAGACCCCTTACATGCTCTTCTATAGGCGATTGGGAGATTGTTAAGGTTGAAGAGTGCTATATAATAAAAATCAACCCGTATCTGATACACGAATATCTTCAAAGTTCGTAAACGGTTGTGTTTCATAAAGTTAATCATAGCTCTTCTCATAATTTAGAGTATAAACAACATTTTGTATGAATACATAATCAAAATATATACAAAGTGTTCACTAAAAAAATGTTCATTAAAAAGTTCTAATCATAAAATTACAATCAGCAAAGCGATTCTTGACTCTTATTTAAATTTGGGCGAGGTTTCTTGTTTGGTTTCGGATGCAGAGGTGGCGGCCTACTATTCAATAACGGCTCCTCCTGAGACTTCCCGTTGCCAAATTTTGTTGGATACGGCTTTGGGGCAGCTTCAGGTTGCGCTTCTGTTTTGAGATCTGGTCGACTTCGAGGAACTGGTCTAACTGAATATTCGGATGATGCTTCACTTGGAGGTGGTTTTGACCAAACAGGGGTGTTGTTGATGAGGGGAGGTCGAGGTTTACGTTGTTGAATGGGTGAATTATTGTTTTGTTGATTTGCTGCCTCTTTTCTCTTCGTTGTTGGAGATATCTCGACAGATGTAAAAGTGGTATCACCGGCAGTATCATATTCACTATAACTATGGAGGTTTGGTTTTAAGGAGATTTCGTGTTTTGGATCTACTACTGGAACAACCTTGATTACATCACTACCAGCAATATCAGCCTCTTTTTGCCTATAAAATGAAACTAATGTGTAACTGCATACAAGAATTCAGTATTCTAATAAGTACTCATCGAAAGGCTTTTCTTTCATTTTTCTCCTACAAAGGCAAAATATTACAATAGCCAGAATGATACCAAGAATAAGAACAACTCCAACTGGAACAGAAATAGCGATAGCAAGAGCTGTTTTTTGAGCTTCCGCTTCTTCTTCAACTATATAATATCAACGTATATATTAGAATATATATTTGCTTCAAAGGAATATTCTGCAACTTATCAAAAAACTACTTACTTTTACATTCAGTTGTGACAGAAGGAGACCATCTTGCTTCACCATTTACTTCTTCACAAGTATACTCATCTCTGCCATCTAATTTATACCCGGATCGACATCCCTTTATTATTACTCTACTTCCAACATAATATCTAATGGGACTCTCTTTTATGGCCATTGGAATTGCTAACCAACTACAGTATTTTGGAGCCGAATTTGCTAATGACCTAATTTCTTCAACTCGTTTCTGTGTATAAATTATCTTTAATACATCTAGGAGAGCTTGATAAGAAAAATTAATTTACCTGAGATCTCAGAGTAATTTGAGCAAGAGCTTCATTTCTAGTAATAGCATAGTCAAATTTACATTCAAAATCATTACCGCAGATATCAGAGGCGTCCGGTGCGCCTGTAGGTATTTCAAACGAAGGGGTGAAATTACCCCTTTTATAATAATTCCAATTTTTTTGCATTCTATATTGAAATAATGTTTGGGCATCAGTAATTTGCCAAGTTAAACCAAACTTGAAGTGTATTTGCTGTCTGTTGTTTGAATTTACAGGTCCACCTTGATTTTGAGGCATTAAATCATTTGAAGGATCATTGTCCCATTTACCCAATAAACCTTGTATTTTATTTCTCAATTTTTCGGGTGCACTAACGACTAAACTTAACAGTCCTGGCTGAAAGTATGAAACTTGTAAACCAACTCCAGAGACAGTATATACAGTAAGATTGTTTTGGGATTCAGACTCTCGGTCAAAATTTATGATTGAAACTCCAGAAAAATCTTGCCACCACAAGTGGTCTTTAACAAAGCTCCTTTCCACACCATCAACATATACTTGTAACTTTTTACGACTCTTTTCAGGATTAACTCCAATATGAATCTGCGATCCTCCACCGTCTTTTAAAGCAATGGCTGTTACACCAGATGCATTAAAATAACTTTCATCATCTACAAAGATTAAATAAATATAAATAAATAACGCTCTAGAATTTGCAACATTTTACAAACCCGATCCTTGCACGTGCAATCTTTCGAGTCTAGCTTGTAACTCAATCTGATTGCTACTTGAGTCCACTGTTTTAATGAGCCAAAACTCGCCATTACCATTAAAAGTATATTCAACGTCTTCCCATGTCAAAAAATGAGGATCACCATATACAGCAGACGTCTGGGGAGGTTTATAGTTTTTGCAATCCGCTGTTGGTCTTGATTTCATGTATGTGTCAAAGCATAACCCATCGTTATTTGCATAAACGCAGCATAAATAGTATGGAGCTATTTCATTGAAAGCATGACTCAAAGTTGGAATATATGGAGGTTCACCATATGGCTCTTTACCAGATTCATGAGCTCTGTCTGAGGTACTACCAGAGAGAGAATCTCCGGAGTATAATAGTTCTCCATCTTGTCCATAACAGCAATGGCTTCCCGCTCCGGATTTTCTAAAATCGTGTACATATTTATAGTATAGTAAAATAGTTCACTATTAATACCAACGTGCTCTGAGTTGATCGGACACAGTGAACAGCTTCAGTATGCCTAGCACAATTTTCTGGAAACTTATTGTTTTCTTGGCAGTAGGGATCTGGCTGAAATCTGCCAAAATCTGCCTTTGCTTGTTGTATAGTACAAGGGCAAGGCTGACATAAGAAAATTATGAAATAAACTATTTATGTAAGATGAAAAACAATATTTACGTCCAGCTCAGTACGCCAGGTACGATCTCTAATATCCTTTGAGTGCCAGGCCTGACATTTAGATTTGGCCCAATCGCTACCCCTGTCTGATTTCGAAAAAGTTTTTATAAACCATCCCAAAGGAATAAAATGACTCCACATTCGTCTATAAATGGAGAAAAAATTTTATAATAAATTATTAGAAGTTATGAGAATATTATAAATGTAGTATAGTTAATTTATACACGTACAGAGGGTTATTAACATCTGTGCTGCTTCTCCATACTGTGAAAGCTCCTATATCAAATAGTCTACAAGGATTATTGACATTTTCAATGTTTTTACATTGATGATCGTCCACTGAAAAGGAAAATTTTCCTGTATTCTTTATATCATTAGCCAAAGTATGTATTTTTTTTAGTTCATAACTTGAACCATCCTCTCTGTAACCCATTAAAACTATTTTTATAGTTTGATCTTTAAAGCCGGGAGCATCTTTGTCCCATTCAAGAGAAATTTCTGTAGAGTCCAGCCAGTTCTCTCCTCCCGAAACTTTGACTTGTGGTTGCTGGAGAGTGAATCTACCGACTTCCAGTTCAGACTTGAAAGATATACTTTTTGCTCTAGCAGACACTTCCATATTAAGTTTGTTCAGTTTAGTTAGGGGTGGTGATATACAATAAGCTTTCATGGACGTATCATCACCCATAACGTAACCAGCGTAATCGTCTTGGTCAAAACTGCATTGAGGTTTTTCTGGATGCCTGTAACAAGGACCAGAAACAGCAATTGCATTTCCTCCTAACATGTGTGTAAAAGAGGGAACAGTTTGCAAGGGTCTATCATCTTGAATTTCCTTATCACTCGAACATCCTCCTGTAATTATCATATCATCATCTACCCTATAATAAAAGCGACCAGTAACATTTGATCCAGCAAATGGTATCAATGGTAATTGAATCATGCGCGGATTTTCCGAATAAGGCATTTTAGTGAATTGTCTGCCTTTACCGGCATTCATTCCCATGTTTGCTGGTTTACATTTCTTGTTACTGTCTTGGGAAGTTCCTGTATCAGGGTTACAACCATTCTCAACAGCTCCATACCAAGACATTTGCAGATAGTTTATTACTGCAAATGTCATTTTTTCGTCTGTTACTAGTGCCAATTGAAAACTATTTCGAGGTCGAGAGTTAATATCTTGAGTAACACTTGTGAAGGAAACCTGATGCCATGTTACGACAATGCCTTTAGTTGCTTCGAATTCCATTAAGTTAGGTATAGCACCAACAACATCACGACTAATGAATTTTAACATTCCTTTTGTTATATCCTTGTGAACATCGTCGTCTTCGTCCAAGAGCCTATAATACAATTTGCTAAACTCTCCCCTTGGTATTTGTTGAGCATGAAAATCGGTCCTTTCAAAAAACGGAGCAATAAAAGGAAAATCATCAACTTTTGGATAATCAGGATTCGGAAATTCCTTCGCGTAAGGCGTAGATTTGGCTGGCTTATTTCTAGAGAAAGCTATATGACCATAATGAGATATCTGAAAAGTATATCAGAGAATGATTTTGCCTGATTAGAGATGATAACCTACCCATATTGCTGGATAATTAATTCCATAAAAGGGAAATGACCAAGTTATTTTGGGATCTATTCCTTTTTCTGACGAATGAGGAGTAACAATATTTGTATCAAAATAAGTTTCATTATAAGGATACATTCTTTCTCTTTCTATATAATCCGAATTATCTTGGAAATGCTTGTAGTATTCTTTATAGTATATTACAATAAGATTATTCACTTTTTAAGTTGTTAAAAAATAACTAACCATCAAAACTTGATAGGGAAGATACACATCCTATGGCTATAGCCGATATAAAAAAGACGGAGAAACGTTCAAGTAGCGTCATATTTTCATCGAAGAGCTATCTTGAGGAAAATTTAAGTTATCATTAAAAAAATAGGCCAATTCCAGTACTATTGAATATTACATATTGATTGACTCAGACCGGAACTGGTAAGGTGAAAGCTTTACCTGTACAATAATTTTAATCATTGAGCGCCATCTGTTGGCCTCATTTAACTAACAACTATGCAAGAATCTGTTACAGGTCGCAAATTGGAGAGCCTTTTACCTCCTTACGAGTCTCCTCCACCATGGATTCCTCCTCATCTAGTAGCAGAATGTTTTTTAGAGGATTCTCTTGAATAATTTTTGAAAATTTTTGCAGAGAAAAGGGCACATGTTTTATGATAACGACATCGAGCAGTTCCTCCCCAGGATCTTATACATTCGTAGACAAAATTCTCAATCTACGGTATGCATGTTTACTTATGTCAAGTTGGGTATTCACCCTGCAAATGGTTGTATTTTTTTCTAGTTAGGGTTTCATATAAGAGGAGGAAAAGAATATCATTGCGCCATTTATGTCTCTAAAGGTTCCTACTAACTATCTTGAATAAATAAAAGAAAATACAATCTGTTTTATACACAGTTATTCAGGGATCGGAAGCTGAAAGAGTCGGACTATGCGAAGGTGACCAAATCTTAGCAGTTAATGGAGTATCGTTTGAAAATCTATCACATTCGGAGGTTTAAAAGAAAGTAAAACTGTTACATAATGAAACTTATGCAAAAATTCCATTGCAGGCTGTTAGAGTTTTAACTGGAACCAATGAAGTAGAAATTACTGTGAAATATTTCCCCTATGGATATCGAAGATCTTTTGATAGAACAAATCTAATAGCCGACATTCAAGATCAGGAGAAAGACAGGTTTTATCGATAGGAACTGGAGATATTATATCTAAAATACTGACTGCTTTTTTAGTTATTGATATTGCATATAAATAAATTATTAAAAATAAATTTACAAGATAAAATAGTTTTGAAAATATATGCATTAACATTTAGGACAAACTATGTTTGTAAAATGGTACTTATCATCTAGATGTCGCTAGGTCAGTAATGCATAGGGCTGTATACTTTACTTGGGATGCTAGAAACTGGTATATTTCTTTGAATAATAAATGTGATATCAGATGCTGCAACAATCAATAGATGATAAAACCTAAATGCAAGGTAAAAGGTTTTTTTGGTTATACAATTCAAATTGGCATTACTTGTGTAATCTATCTTATAAGTTATCCATGTCAAATCTCTATTAGAATACTGGCGAAGAATATTGTAACAATAAGTCTGCCATGAAAACAACCCCTTTTAGTAGATAATTTTAATGGACCATTAATCTGAAGAAAAATTTACGGAATGGCAACCAGAGCAGCAGCATGTAAAACAATTATTATTGACTTTAACTTAAATTTTATTGTAAATTGCTGTCTTTTAAATTTCAGTTTCATCAAAAATACGAAATCTAAAAGATTATCACTATAGAATAATCAATAACTTAACACCCCAACCTTCGGGAGTGGACGTTGCAAATACTTTAAAATATTTTTCTCAGACTCTTTTAAGGTTTGTATTATTAAGGATTACTTGAGTAAAATGAAGATTTGACTTTATTAAAAATATAGCGTCCTAAAGGATGTTCCACCAGTTCTTAGTGGTTTCTCTTTCACTGAAAGGCAGCAAGATTTCGTTAGATCATCTTTATTTCCTAGTTTAAATTATTCGGGTTTATATCAAGCGGTTATTAGCATATTAGACATAGTTCCCCAAATTCACCAGGGTCAAATGAGTGAGTTTTAAAGGATCAACTATAAATTGCATTTAATACATACTTTTTAAATTATTAAAGCTTTGGGAGTTGCTGTCTTAAATGTTCTCGGCTGTTTGGTATCTTTTATTGAGAACGAAGTGTTGGATACTCTTCCATTTACTGTCGCTTCAACCCTTGCCTTTTTCCCCGTATCACTTCAGTATCACATTATCAGTCTATTATGTAACAACTTACTGCCTATTACGTTAGGCTATTACGGGATAAATGATTCTCCGACTTATGCCTCCAATTCAGTGGCTTCAATTTTAATGCTAGTATATCAACATGTAGAAAATCCTGCTTATCACTCAAGAGTTTTGGAATGTTTTATGAGTTATAAGAAAAATGTTGTTAAAGTAAGCGTTGATACGAAATGACAATGTTTAGGAATAATAATAATAATGGCTTCTTAATAGGACCTGTTAATGGTAATAGCATATGGTCCTCCTGCAGCTAAAACACCTGCAGTTGTTCATCTTTTTCACTATTGGCCTCAAATGGATCCTGCCCTCACCGACAAACGTGGTATTCACTTCAAATTTACTGGTGAATATAAAATTTATTTCTTAATTCTTTAATAATTTCATTCTGTATAATTATCATAATTCGATTACGCGATACAAATTTTTTACTGAATCTTAACAGGGAAGAGTTTCACGGGTAAGATGGTTACAGAAATAGTTTAGACACTAGTTGTTTATAATAGTTAGTACTAACAATTTTTGGTAAGCGAGCGCGATTGCCCAGTTTTAGTTGGCTTTCAATATCAAAATTTTTTTTAGAGCTTAAGGGGCTTTCTGCTTTCCCTAATTCGTGTTTCGATTTTACTTAATTAAAAGCCTTGTTTTGCCTACAATTTTATATTATGTTTAGAGTGGACGCCAATCTTATGTCAGAAAGAAGGTTGCTTAAATAAAAATGAAAGTCGAGCTGTTAAGGTATCCATAATAGAAATTAGATTATTAATTGTCGTCAAATAATAATGTTTGTTTTTTAACAAGATGTGTATGGATCCCACACTTGTGGTACAATGCAGTGAACAATCCCCGCCATTGTATTTGTGCGTTGATTGTGCTCATGTTCTTCGACACGAGCATGAAAAGAAGCTGATTCCTGTTCTGAAACCTTTAGAACGGATTGTTTCACTTAAATGTGAAAATAAAGTATTTAACGTTTTTTTAGAGTTTGATAGATTGTTACTGTACTTTCATTGTTTCAGAACTGTATGTCCCCAAAAAATAATGCAATAAGCACATGCTTTTCAAATGAATGTGCCAGCATACTTGGCTGCAGGCCTATTCGCTTATGCCAAGCTTGTCATGAAGTATGAATAATTTTGTAATTTTAAAGATTATCTAAAGCCAATCTCCCTTAGTTAAAACATGATAAAGAAAAAGAAAAATCTCATATTTATGCAATGAGCATGCCTGATTTATGGTCAAGTCCTTCCGATATGCAATGGATTTTGGTTGAAGCTATAGTTAGGTTTGTAGACGTTTTTAACTCACAGCTTGTAAAGCAGGTAGCTTCAGATCAGATATTCTATTTTAGTCTGCTAAAAGAGGCTGAGCCTATTGAAGACAAACGAAAGGTAGAAATGGGCGAGGAAAGGTTAGTCACTGGTTTAGCAGACATGAACGACGATGATGCAGAAAACGATGCAAGTTCAAATATCTCAAATCTTTCCTATAAGTTAATATAATTTGGATTTTCAGGGGAGCGATGATAGAAAGCTGCTTAGTAGATACGGTATATTGTTAATCGTTGAACTATGTAAACCAAAAGAGACTATGCCTATTGTAAGTGTATAATTTATAAGAAAGATGAATGTCAAAGAGAGTTTTTCATAGGATTTACTTGGGAGAATATTAGCTATGCTTTTTCATTGGTTTGATGCTACCGCCTATTTATCAGATGGTGAAGTCAAAGTTCTATCTCATTAAATAGTAAATGTCACTGAAAAAATTTTTCAGATATTGCCGGAAATGCTTTAGAAAAGTTGAAACCCAATTATATATGTGCTTGGTTAAAAACAATTTGTAGAACTCATCTGGAAGTAGTAATATCTTGTCTGCTACCTCATCCCTGTGAATATGCCAAAGTCGGAGGCCATTGGTAGATATGAACAATTATTTATATAGTAGAAATTTTTTAATGTAAAATTTCATATAGGGAAACACTCTCATCAAGGACAAGTCAAATAAAAGAAGGGCTAAATCGTTTGTTTTGTTTGGTTCCCTACGATATAGTAACATTCGAAGTATGGGATTATGTTATGCCATTTTGGATGGAAGCTATAAGAACAGAAATTCCAAGACAGGAGCAAATGGAATTAAAAGTCTTGTTATGGTTTGTAAAAAGGATATTTAGATCCAATTTAAATAATAGTAATCCCTTAATCAACAGTAAAGTTTTTGATGTCGATATGTGCCCTTTGTCCTTCGATATGGAACACGTCTATCATTTCATTAGCGAGAAATTTGAAAACACATCATCCTCTGTTCAGGAACAAACTTTACTATGGCTTCAGATTTTGTCATTAGTTGACATAATAGTTCCCCTGCATATTCTCCTAGATATGTTTCAGAAAGGGGTACAAACAATGAAACTCGAAGGTTAGTCGCTGTTTTATCTTTGATTTGAGTATTCTACTTTAATTGTTACAGAGAAAGATGATATCGAGCAAGAGGCTCATGAGAACTTAGATGAACCAGTAGAAAATGTTACCTGTTACCTTCTCATGCTGGATATTACTCTCAAACAAATTGAGATGCAGTCTATGTCAGCTCATATGGGAGTATACAACGAAACTAGTAAACAATTAATGTTGCTGTTGACCTCTATGATATCTACTCCATGGCAAGGCAAACATACCTGTGACTCGGATACAGAAATAATTGAGTGCAAGTCTTGTGAAAACGGTGCAATTTGGCATCAAATAGCTTATCAGGTAAGGATAACTTTGTTTTTGAAAACTCATCATAAACTAGTTTTGTAGTTATTGGCCTATATAACACCAAGAGATGAAATTCAAATTCCTGAAAAAGATATACCGCGAATAGATGAAATTCATCATAATATATTCTCAAAATCAGGTATACGGATTTTATTCTTTGCATCAATAAATATGAAAACCAAAGCTGCTATGACAGATAAAGAAACTCCAGTTACTGAACAAAAAGTTGATGATGTTAATCTTCAATTGAATGTAGACCAGCAATTGCCTCATCTTCAACTTTTATACGCTTTACTTCAAGTAAAATGATCTAATCTATCACAACTAATGTAATAATCCGAAATTACTCTCGTATTTTACAGGAACTATCCCACCAAACAGACGCTGACGCCCTTTTCTATCTTCTGCACTCCCTCAGGTATTTATGCTTACACGGGGAGTGCTTAAATTATGGAATAAGAGACAACGAAATGCTTGTAAAACATTGTCTGAAAACACTGTTTATTCCGAGGTAAATTTAACTTCTTTTAATAATTCCTAATTGGTTTGTAAATATTTATCAAGTATATGGAGGCTTTTGGAAGCCAAGCATTCGACCTTGGGTACGATTGGCGTTCCATTGCTACTTCATTGCTTAACTATTCCATCTGGTGCTGATGTATTTTGGCATCTCGTTGAGGAAGATTTCACAAGTGAAGATTGGACATCCAGATTTTCTGCAGTCGAAAAAGTAGTTATTGTATCTCGTCTTATTCAACCTGAAACCATTATGAACAATCATGTAAGTTTGAAAAAGTTCTTTTGGATCTCTTAATTAAATATAACATTACAGGTTATCTTAACTGCTATTGCTCATGCAACGTGCTATTTGATCGATATGTTGAATGATGTTAAACCAGAAGTTGCTCAGCGCACCCTTTTGTATTTAGACACAATTAAAACATCATCGTTAAAGGTATCATTTCATTCAGAACATTATGTATTGTGAAGCAACTATACTTTAAAACAAACTTTGTTTCTCAACAGTTTTTGATGCATGCATTGGAGTTTCAATTCGATTCCGTAATAAGTGACCGTAGTATGATAATGCAACGAATCTATTTATTATTCGTAGCTTTAAGGAACAAAAGGGAGGTAATCGGTTGGGAATTTTTCCTGAGTAGATTCGATACCCTGTGCTTGGAGGCTCAACTCGATTTGGACAATAGCGTTGATGCCTCAAGCGTTACTGGTAAGATTATCATTCAAACGTTTAGAGTAGCGTTAATGATTACACAAACCGAAAGCAACCTTGTTTTCTTACCTGCCGATTATAGAAACTTTATAAAAGTTTTTACATCCCTTAGAGCACGAGAAAACCGGTACGTAATGATAGAATAGATTAAATATCTATTAACATTCGGCACATTATATAACTGTCTTTCACAATCGATTCACACTGTATCGTAAATAATTTTTATCATTATATTATGGCATTTGTCCTATTATATTACAATATTCGCTTATAAGAATTTCTGTATTTTTTAGGCCTATCAAATAACGATCGACAAAGTGAACATTTTTTAAGAAAGTTAAACAGAGCCAGATTTGCTTTGGCAAGAACGAACAGTATTCGTTCTTTGAGTGGAAGTTTAAAGCCCCCATATAGGAGAGCAGCTTCCGTTCCTCATCATCTATTGGTTAAAAATTGTGCCCAATCATTTAAAGGTTTGTAAAGTTTTTTATGTTGTTAGCTAGATCTTCCTTCTGAATTATAGAAATATATCATCTTACATTCATAAAAAAACGTATTCAGCATGTAAAAAAGGGCTAACAACAGTAAACATGATTAGTTTTGCTAACATTTTCCAGTATACGAACCTTGTCCCTCGTATCACCCACAACCTACTATATTTGTAACTCCATGTGGTATGTTAAAATAGTATTTACAAATCTTTTAAATCCTTTCGAGATGCTCCTGGTTGGTGGTCATGTACTCTCTAAACATAGTATAATGAATTTGTCTCTTGGTTTTGTATCTTTATAACGGTTTTTGCTTCAATATGTGTGATATACTTCATCTCCTACTCTCTCCTATTCTAATTTCTCTCAGGGATGCAGCTTTCTCGATCTGAAGCGACTGATACATCAAAGTATAAACCTTTTCTCAGCCTTCTTTTACAAGGTATAGGCTGAGTAAGTGTAGGATAATTTGCTTAATTGATTACGCTTCTTTTAATCTTATTTATAGATTTTTTTTTGCAAGCAACTATGCAAGAATTTTTTGCATCTCTAAAATTTTTTCTCAACCATCCAAATGAATACTTATTAATTATTACATGTTGTATTTTTTAATGATTTGTTGAAATGAATGCATTTGGTTATTATCTGCAAATATACTTGTAAATTTAATTACAGTTGTATGTCTCTTAATATTCTAATCGTGTTTTAAATGAATATCTGCATCTAGGTCGAATATGTTTTTGATTATGTTTTATGCTTTTACTTCTTTCCTGCTTTGGCATTTTTTTTTATATTTTTACGGAAGAACTATTTGTTGTTGAAAAAAAAATATTTGAGTTTCTTAAAATTAACATTCTTTTTATTACATATAGATAAAGAAAAGCATTATCCAAGGCAGCAATCTGCTCCTCAATTCAATTTGCATAGAAACCCAAGAGGATCGAAATTTGGCTTGAGCATGTTTAGTAACTATCCTGGCAGTAAGCTTTAAGAATATCAATATATGCGCATTGGTATATAAATGTTACTTTTTCGAAGCTGGCCATTTAAGGGAATTTACTGATGAAGAAAGTAAGCTGGCCGCGCTATTACAAAGGGCTATGGAGTTGGAAGGTGTTGATAGTGAAACGGTTCACATGCTGGTAACGTTTTTAATGAAGTTTATGACTACGTGTGACGTTTCCAAAGTAAACGAGGATAAAAATACTTCTCGCGTGCAAGTAATTTAAAACGCTTTATCAATACTTGTTGCTAATTTTTTAACTGTCAGGGTGTTGTACTGCGTCATCTAAACGTACTATTGGGTTACAATCAAATAGAGAAGTCATTCAGTGTTCCACCTTATAAGCTTAGGTAAACGCAAAAGTTATCCTTTCTCAAATTAAAGCTTTATCAGTGTACAAATTGCTTGTTAATACTTACAGAAACTCAGCAGTCTTTAATGCTTTTCTGGCTGGCTTACCTCATGTAAGTCTTATATGACTGTTTGTCTATCACATTTATAATTACTTAAATGACACAGGTTTTGGATCGGAATTTCGCATTGGGAAACATTATATTTCCGATTGCCTATTTGTTATTAAAATACTGCGCATCACCTCAAAGATATGCTTCTGATTATCAACCGCCAAATTATACTCTTTGGCTGCTGGATCCACATTGTAGATTGACTTGGTTACAAACTTTTCTCGTTATTCTTTACAAAGTTTGAATTTTGTTTATAATTTTTTCCTCGTAAATCTACACATGTTTATGTGTTCTTTTGCAGTACCAGTACAGCACAGCACCAGCTAATGAGATTATACCAACATTAATGCAGATTACGATTAACACGGTTGACGCTCATATGCATCAATGCAAGGAACATGACGAAACCATGGCACCTCCCAGTCCCTTCGTACCTCGGCATCGAGGTAGCTTTCAAGGCACTGTATGATTTTTTTCTGCATGCAAAACTCAATCAATAACAATCCGTTATGAGTAAATAAGGTTTTGAAAGTCAAAGCGTTTGACGGTTTGAGATTCTTTTTGTGATTTTTGCACGAACTCAACGTAGCTTTGCTTCTTTTGCTACGTTTTCTATTCTATAATTTTCTCTAGTGTTCTTACTTTGCTACTGGTCTTTGATATCTAGCTTAGAAAATTTTTTTAGCTACTCGCAGTTTCTTTAGTTTTAAGATATTAACCTCTTTGACATAATTACAGATACCAGCAATGTTTCGGTTGGTGATTTAGAAAACATCCAAGAGACTGATACGCCTCCGCAGAGTCCATCAGATAGTCAATCGTCAACAACAGGAGGAGAAGCTTGTAGTTTAAAGGCGCAAAATATTGAAGTGATTTCTGATACAGAGGATATAAAAGTTCCTTTGTCAGCTCAATCATCGACTACCTCGTCAAAAGTGAAAAAAGCCTTTAATTTTGGCTCTCCAACTCTTCCTCGTAACAATGCTTTGTCGATTGCTTCACCATCAGAAGCTGTCGATGCTCTACAAAGAGAACAGCCTCGTAGGTTAGCTGAATATAATGCAGGATCAGGCAGTGAGGTATGTTGAAATGATATTTTCCAGTTATATCCAATTTGCAGTTTTTGTTGACATGCGTATAGATTTCTTCAAGTTCTCCTTTTTCATCCAATTGGAAAGAAAAGGTTTCGTCATTGTTGTATTAATTATTTGTCTTTCAATTTAGAAATTATTATTGCTGTAAAAAGTCATTAATCATTTTTACTAATTGTAAATAATTTAAAACAGAGAACTTTCAAACAAAGCGTTGAAGAATTTATGATGAAAAGTATCTCGAAAATGAAAGAAACATCTGATAAGGAAGATGTTTCTCCCACAATACTTAAAACACCAGAGGATCACGTGGAACAAAAGATGGTGGAGCAAATAGAGGAATTTGAAAAGAAGCAAGTCTTGAGTTCTGTTCTATCCTGTACAATTGCAGAAGTGGATGAAGATGAAAAATCAGCTGAAAAGTCTACTGAAAAGTCAGCTGAGGATTCGACTGAGAAGCCAGTTGAAAAACCCCCTGACGAAATTTCAACTGAGAAATTACTGGAAGATACTGCAAAACAAACTTCCAAACCAAAGCCTTTTGTTAAAATTCCGAGCGCTAGTTTTGTTGAGATGCAAAGCAAGGAATTTCAACCAGAAAAAATCACACGTCAAAGAGCTTCAAGTGCAAAAGAAGAAAAAGTTGCTAATTTACAGGATAATAGTAATTATCATAAAATGTATACATATTAATTTATTTTAATTGTGCATAATCTATGAAATTAGGTGAGACAGAGGAATCCCCCAGTCAAAGTCCACGAAGAAGTATGAAACCGAACTTTAGACAAAGAAAACAACGAAAAACTGGTCTTAAGACAATAGAATTGCAGAAGATGTTTTCAGATCTTGAAGATGGTTCAAGTACAAAATCTTCAATATGTAGAAAACCTAGAAAATCAGAATTACTGAAAGCATCCTCTAAAAAGTCAACATTACCTCAAAATAAATCCAGTAATCAGGGAGAGACTGTTATGGTTGAAAGATGTCCGCAATGTCATTCTATATTAGAAAAATACGATGATGATACAATAAGTCTAGCAATCGTCTGTATGTCCTGTTTTATACATAGAGAACCAGTTATGGCAGCACCTCTACTTTTTGATATGCTAAATGCTGCAAGTAGAATAGCTGCGGGAATTCATTATTCCTGGCAAAATGAAATGTGAGTAAACTCCTGTTTCTTTTAATTTAATACTTGATCATTATATTTCTTATAGACCAACTTTAATAATACCCGGAAATTGTGTTAGTGTTGCTCGTCAATTTATTCGGTGTACCTTGCATCAGCTGTCTCCTAACGGAATTTTTTCGCAGTTGATAGTGTCACAAATAGACAGTAAGTACGAAAAACTTATGTAAATAGAGTAAATATACTTTCAATACTTTTCAGATTCAGATTTATTGAAAACAATTGCGACAGCTCTAATAGACTTTCAAGATTTAAATTGTTTTATGGCTTTACAGTCGATTTTAGAGGTGAAATATTATCTTATCGATAGTAATTCAAATTTAAGTTATATTATTTTTCTTTTAGGGTGTAAATGAGATGAAAAATATTAATGATGATCAAATAATCAATGCGGTCCAAAATCTAGCTGTTTTTATGGATTACGTAGCGATGGAAACACAAACACCTACTTGGAATAATATTCTCCCTCTGTTTGATATTTTCTTTAGGCGCTTACCACAATTTTTACCAACAAACTGTGAAATAAGCAGTGTTTTTAAAATTATGATTCAAGTTCTGAAAGTCCCTTCATTATCTAACTTCAAGGTAAAGTCAATGTGCAACCCTTCAAAGCTAAGTTAATTATATTTTTTCAGACTATTCTTGAACCATTTAGCAAAATGTTATCATTTGCTATTCAAAATTGCCGATTCAAATTGCAGCAAGTTCTTGATATATGCTCCCTAGCAAATAGGGCTTATGCAAAAGAGAGAGATAAATTATATCTTACAAGAGGAATAATAGTTGAGCTAATTCAAGCTTTAAAATTTCGAGTTTCCCTGCCAGATGAAAATTTGATTCTTCTGGTTCAAGTAAGCATTCTCCTAAATCTTGGTTATTGCGTATGAATAAGTTTTAATTTATTTTTCTACTTTAGTTCGTATGTCTCGATTTGGGAGGCACTGTTGGTCCAACTGCAATTACAGAAGATTTATCAATAACCTTTGCCTTGTATACCCAAAGTCTTGTGTCCACTGGAGCAGCAGATTGTATGAAACAGTATACAAGCGATTGCGTGGAATTTGTTGCAGATTTACACACTATCTATAAGATAGGAACAAATGCATCATCGAAGACCGGTAGCAATCAAAGAGCTCATCAAAATTTAAATGAAGACACATTAGGAAGTCAACTGAAGGCTGGTATAGCACAATATATTGCTTTGGAATTTACAAGATCGCATGGACGCGACAATAAGGCAGTAATTTCGAGATATATGCCTTGGCTTTATCATCCCCCATCAGCGATGCAGCAAGGGTAAGAATTTTTTTCCACTTTTTCTTTCTTTTTCTCCATACTTTTCTGCTTAAGTCCTACTACTTCAATGGACAATAGAAACAACGTTGACTCTTCGGCGTAAGTGACGTCATTTGTATGCGCACATCTATCTTCAAAAGTCCTTGCACCATTTTGTGTTGTTTGAATAAGCGATTATTAAAAAGAATAGTTCTTATAAAAGAGCAAGATACCCGTCACTTTGTAATAATCGCTTTCAAAAACTTGATGTTTCTCACAGTTTCGACAATACAGAAAGAGTAACTTTTATGTACATTTTTTCAACAGACCGAAGGAGTTTATAGATTGCGTCAGCCATATACGACTTCTCTCCTGGCTTTTACTAGGAGCTTTAACTCATACTGCTGTAACAAGAAATCAAGCCCCGACTTTCTGTCAGCCTATTCCTTTGGATGCAAGTTGTCATATTGCAGATCATATTATGGTAGTTCTAACAGGCTTTGCCGAGCAATCTAAAGCATCTGTTCTTCATATGTCATCCCTCTTTCATGCCTTTGTTCTCTGTCAACTATGGACTGTATATTGTGAATGTAGCTCTACACCAGAGCAAGATCAAGAATCACATACAACTATTATGGATTTTTGGGGTAGAGTAACGCCGGGTGCTCTACAGCTTCTATCACATTCTAAGGTACACTCAGAAATGGTCAACCTTCATATCTTAAGTCTTATGGAAGCTCTACAGGACGTTAATTCTCCCGTTTTAGCAAAACTTTTCCCTATGTGGACCCCTATTCTATACTCACATCATAAACAGGTTTTATTTTAAATAGTCCGAAAGTTTACATTTTATAGTAAATATTTAAAAATTCTTTAGCTACCCGGACATATGCAAGTACGCTTACAAATGTGTCAAAATTGGGAACCCAGAGATATATATGCCAATAGCAACAATTTCGAAACAGATGTGCTGTTGAAGTGGTTAAAAAGATTACAATTTAAATTGGGACAGATCGAAGTTCAATCGTCTGCTGCAACTCAATTTTATACTGTTTAATTGAATTTGCCCTATTAGATAGATATGTTTCAGAAGCGTCTAGTTTCTCAAATTCCCTCCTATAGTTTTAAAAAGAAATTAATAAAAGTGATCGTATATAATATATCTTTTAATTATTATTTTTAAAACTGTTACTGTTTGAAGAAAACACAATTTTACAATCAGAATTTAAGAAAATGCAAAAAGATGAAACTTTTTGTTCCTGCAACAAACATAGTCATTCACAAATTAAAAACACTTCACAGTACATTTATCTATATTTCGGGTTCTATATGGTTCAAAAAAAAATAATCTTTCTCCAAAATTATGTTGATTATTGATATCATCCAACATTACTACTGCATATTTAAAATCACATCAATTCCAACACAATTTTATACAGAGAGTAGATTCTTTCATTAAATAAGATTACCTGTCTTATTTGCATTTCAGTTTTTAAAATGTTCTTTAGGTTTCGTCACGATATTTAATTTTCAATAAGACAATAAAAGTGAAATTTTTGGAAATGACTAGTATTACAAAAGTTATGACAGTTAAAAGTAAGAAAGGAACGACTTTAAAGAAATTACTTTCTAAAATAAGCACTTATATCAACTTAGATTTTGCACATTTTCTGAGTCTGAAATGGCATCAATTTTCGCTCCATTTTCTTCTGAATGCAGCTTAATTTCGCTACCAGATTTTTTACGTTGATAGTCAATAAATTGAACAGTAATACCATTAACAGTTATTTTTGTTTTTACCGCTGTCGATCTATCTATATTTTTATGACGAGGAGGTTTTCTATTTGGAAGTATGCAATAATAGTAATAATAATAATTTAGCAGAGTAGGTAATACATACTTGAGTTTTCTCTTATATATCTTAGGTACATTTTGGGCTCGTTTTGTAGTAGTCACTGATGGTACATTCGTTTCGGAAGGGGTAGGTTCAATTTCCTGAATGCTTTCTTCGGCTTCAAAAGATTTTTCAGTTGGAGTAGGAACATCTTGACTAAGTGAAGGACTATCGCTATTTCCTACAGTGCTTGTTCGACTAACTTTGTCTAAGGAACTTGAACTTTTTGCTGTCTTTGAAGTTGAAGGAAAATGTTGAGATAGCGATACCTTTGGTTTTCTATATAAAAAAAATCATTATTAATAATATGAAAATGGTCAATACAAAAATTCTCAGTCGTCATAAATACATCTTGAATGTATCAAAATAAATTTAAGAATGGAATGTCAATAGGAATTTATGATATTGAATAAGCGTTGTGACTTGTTAAGTAATTCAATGAAGATTCTAAGTAAATAGCAAGTGATCGCAAAATACCTCGTACTTGTTCCCTTTCTAGTTTCACACATTGCACATTTATAAGCTTCCAATCGATTCTCAAACGTGCAAATAGTGCACTTCCACTTCTCCTCTGCTAAATTCTTCTGTCGTTTTCGTCTAAAATATGTAAACAAAAATTAAGGGGGAAAAATTCAGCGATTTTGAAATCTTATTTCAAATAGCATCTTCTGTAATATATGTTTATAAATATGCGTTACCCTTTTTTCTCTTCCATATTTCTAACAATAAAAAAAAGAAGAATTTATACAGTAAAATTATGGCACAATACAATAACTATGTCACGTGACATCAAGACTACTCACTATTGGTTAAGTCGCATTTCCGGTTCCTATTCCCTCTATGTTAGAAATGTTACTTTATGTAATTTTTATCAGCAATGAACAAATAGATAAAAACTGGGTCTCTACAAGTGTAATGCTATAAATCCTAGATAAATATTATACCTTTGCAAAGCAACGAAATGGTAGACTAAAGCAATATTGTTAACATATTGCAAAGAAATCTTAAATTGCGTGAAATTTATTTTTAATCATTTTTTAGCTTATACCATAAAGCATTTTAACTTTATAGACTTTTATCAATCAAGTTTACCAATTATACGTTCATTTCATAATTTTCCATTCAAAAAGCGCTAAAATCCACTTATTTACGTGGGATTTCATTGAAATGACAATGATTTCGACTTTCAAATATTCCTAATTGTATACATATTAAAATTTATTTGGATACTTTGTATGAAACAAAAGTCTAAACTCTTTGCTACTTCTTACGAAGAGGATTTTTTTGAAAGTATTATCACTGGTGTTACCTTTATGGGATTTCTGTTAGTTATGACAATTATTGGTTGTATAGTTTGGCGCGTTATTTTTCGCAAGAAAAAGAGGAAAGTATACATCGATAATACTAGAGCAGATGTTCAAGTTTATTCGTGTCGAAGAAAGAGAGGATTACTCAGTTTATTAAGTATGAACTAAGTATATTATACGGATAGTGTATCTAAACTGATTAAAGTATTAATAATTAATCTGATTGACAACTTAAATAATTTTTAGATATTCTTAAGAAAAAACCCAGAAAGTCAAATTTATATGTGGAATCAAATATTCTTAGAAAGATCAATATTAATCTTAAAACAATACATCCAAAATTAATTAGAGGTAATTTAAAAGCAATGGACGATATGGAGGAAGTTATTAAACATTCTTTATCTCACAAATCTGACGATAATTTGAATAAATTTTCGCCACAAAAAGTTGTCTTAAGTAAATTAAGCAAAACCATCTTTTAGTTTATTCGGAATAAAAAGATACATTTCATTTTTTAAATTATGATACAAAGAGGTTTTATTGACCTCTTTAATGAACACTCTGGAGAAGACAGTCTAGGCCTTCAATAGCAAGATGAAAATTTATCCTCTACACTATAAATATATGTTGTAATTTTGGAAATTGGAAACAATAGGCATTTTAATTACAATATTTCCGGTCAAACATACTGGCAGGAATATCATCTGCTCTAAAACTCTTATTGCAGCAATAGTCAGTAAACATTACTATCATTTTGATATAATCAATCTTATGGATTTGACAAGAATTTGAATTAACCGATTACTGAGTGTTTAAAAGAAATTTTCGACAATTAGCGTAAGAGATCGTTTCATATCAGATAGTTGATTATGTTGAAAAAAGGCATAGCTTGATTTTAAAACACAGTTTCTTTTCTTGCAAAGAACAGCAGCGAAGAGCGGTCATGTTAAATAAAATTGTATATATTAACATGCTGGTCACAAAATTGTAAATTGTTACGTTTATAAAATATGATGAGATAATTACATTAAAATATATATCAATTTCTTGTTTGTTGTCCCAACTCCCACTTTCAATCGAGATAGCGAATTGCTTAGAATGAAGTCAGCTTAGTGTATGGAAAAAAATGATATAAAACATTAATATTTCCAATGTTTAAAAAACTATTTCATTTTCATTTTTCATATTACAATATTATTATTGATAATGTTATGAGGATTAACTTTTAATATTTAAAATAAGGCTTTCAATCTTCTTTTTCTATTACGTAAAGTTAGTGAGATTAAGTAAGGCTTGAAAACAACGTTTATTTTATGTTCAGTTTTAACTAAGAACTGCGACTTAAAACTCGGACACCTCCTTGGCTACATAAAATAAAAAATCTCAGTGCTTTAAAAGTCGTCAGATTCAATGTCAATGTCAAAAATTTCTCCTTCCGTTTCGTCTTCACTATCAGAGTCAATGGTATATTTTGTAACTCTGGCTCTTGTTGACTTCGCTCTTGGTTGTATATCCGAGGAGTCTAAGTCTTCTTTTTCCTATTAAAAAAACATTGAAACTTTATAATCAATAACCTCATTGAGTTATTAAATTTTACTTCATTATCGGAAAGCAAGACAATTTCAGACTCAGAATCAGACATTTCCCAAGCTTTTTTCTTTGGTTTCTTGGGAGATTTTTCCTATAAAAATTTTTATAAGTTTTAACTCTCATTTAATGATTATATTCTTTTTACCTTCTTCGGTTTTCCCTTCTTCTTTGGCTCATCCAGGAAGGTACTTGGTTCAGCAGGAGTTTTCCTTTTCTTCTTTGGTTCGGCTTTTGGTTTTGATTGCTCGGCAGAAGTTCTCGCTACAATATATGTTTTTATAAATACAGCTTCATGAATTTATTAACTTACGAGAAACAACTTGTTCCAAGGGAGGCATAGAGTCATCAGAGTCAACGTTTCCCAGAAAATCATCTATTTTACGCTGCTTTCCATCCTCTTTTTTCTATTGTCAAAGCTTATTTTAGAGATATATCATTTATTAAAAGAAAATATTACTGCTGCAGCTTTTCGTTTACGATTTGCCTCAGCTAAAACCTTCGTTCTAAGAGCAGGATCAAGAACAGGTGGTACTCTCTCTCCAAATTGTGATGGCTTGGTATCTTGAAGATGCACCTTGGCTGTCTTTCCTCTCCCTGTTTATAATATAAGGATAGCTTATTGTTTATGATATTTAATAAAATTTATAGCAAAACATTAACCCTTTCCAGTCTTTCCTGTAGTTGTCACGATTGCAGTTCCAGCATCTGCTCTCTCCTTTTCTTCTACTTTCTGGTAAATTGTACAAAAGATAAGCTATCTATAAAGTATTTAATTTAATAAAACCTCTAATTCTTCAATAAAATCATTTAAGTCTTCTCGCCATAAATCTTTAGGGGATTTTTTCTTCAAAGTATTTAATTCGACTTCCTTATCTTTCTTTTTCTTCAGGAACTCCTCTTTCTTTTCGCGAGATAGGTTGTAGATAGGCATTCCAAGTAAATATTGGAAATCGTAATCGCCTGCATCTTCCGTTTCCTCTTCTTTATCCTGATCTTCAATAGAATCAGCTTTTTCTCTCTCTCTCCGTTCCTTTTCTACTTTCTCCTTCCAAGATTTCACCGGATCAGGCTCAAAGTCACGTTGAACCAATTGGGCAATAATATCTTTCTTTTTCCTATCTTCAATTTTGATTTTGCCCTCGATTTTCTCTACAATAAATCGAGCCATATTAGTTAATTTTCTCATCTCAGCCTCCAGCATATTCTCCATATATGACTTTCTATCCCCATAGAGTTTGAGACGATAACCATAAAATTCTTTTAAAATTTCTATTGGATTATTATATCTCCTTATACATCCATTTGTGTCAAATAAAACCATGGATGCTAATGACATAGTTGTTTGGATCTTAAAATATTTATGAAGCCCCATTTGTCGCGCATCGGACATTTTTGCTTCTGACATTTTGACTACAAATTTTACGGTTGTATCAGTATGATATTCTCTGAAGTCTTGTATAACAGAGGGAGTTTTTTCAGTACCCTGCAACATAGGATGTAAAACGGTTTCTTTATACGGTTGAGTCCACGTTTTAACTGGTAATTCAGTAATTTCAATTTCATGTTCATTCAGCAGAGACACTTCACCGTTGGAAGCATATTTAGTTTCGTCTACAGCGATAATTTCGCCTCTGAAGTTTTTATACCAGGGCTCCATATGGCGTGGTTCCAATCCATCCATCATTAACTTTAAGTTTTCAACAATATCTCTCGGATTGTAGTTAGGAACTTTTGTACTCCATCCAGTCCCTATGCCTTCAGCACCATTGACCAATACCATAGGTAAAATAGGAACATAATGATTAGGTTCAATTCGCTGATTATCATCATACAAGTGTAAAAGTAAGGGATCGTCATCTTCGTGAAACAGCTTTCTTGCAAGGGGACTTAGCTGAGTAAAAATATAACGAGGAGAAGCAGCATCTTTCCCTCCATTCAATCGTGTACCAAATTGTCCAACAGGAACCAAAATATTGATATTGTTTGAGCCAACGAAATTCTGAGCTAAATTTATGATCGTTGCCATAAGAGATCCTTCACCATGATGATAGGCAGACAATTCGGCCACGGCACCAGAAAGTTGGGCAACTTTAACTTCCTTTGTTTGCTTTCTTTTAAAGCAGGCAAATAGTACTTTACGTTGACCTGGCTTTAAACCATCACAAACAGACGGTATTGAACGTTCATTATCGGCATTTGAAAACAGAATTAACTCCTTGTTAACAAAATCAGAATAAGTAACAGTTTTCGTATCTTTCCCATATAAATAAACCTAAAAGTTACTAAAATTAAGTTTAAAAGCTCAATTTATTTCTTTGTAATACCTCAGGTCTATCCGTTAAGTGTCTCTCTTTTCTATCATTCATGTATTCAGTAAGCCAGGTCTTTCTTTCTTCAATTTTCTTTTTGCTAAAAGCTAGAAGTATAGAATCCTCATCCGTACTTCCTCCAAACCTAAATTTAATTCGGTGCCGTTGCATATCCATGAAGTACTCCTTAGCTTCTTTTGAAGTGGACGTACCCAAACCTTTGTAGTACTTTACTTTCCAAACATGCCAATTTGGAGTTGCCTTTTTCCATTCTTCAAATTCTGGTATGCTGTAAAAACTGTGGACTTTGTCTTTTTTTGAAACTTTAACGATCGGAGTAATAAACTCTTCAATAAAATTATATTTTAACAAGTTTGGCCACTTATTGTGAATAAAATTTATAATTAAGCCTTTTATATGAGAGCCATCTTGATCCTGATCAGTCATTATCATAATTTTTCCATATCTTAACTTTTTAATAGACTCAGGATCATCATATTTATTTCCGTAGTTTAGTCCTAATATCTGAAATTGTTGACTCTTTTGAAATCACAGGAATTAAAAAACTTTGACGACCAAACCTTTATCAGATTATTAATTTCAGCATTTTCCATTATCTGTTTCGTGGTTGCTTCTCTTACATTGAGAAGTTTACCTCTTAGGGGAAAAACACCATATTTGTCTCTGCCGATAATTCCTAAACCAGCAACAGCAAGAGTCTTGGCTGAATCTCCCTCAGTTAGAATTAAAGTACAATCACTTGAATTACGTGTACCCGCGTCATTTGCGTCGTCAAGTTTTGGGATACCTTTTAACTTATTGTGTTTTCCGGCGGAGCACTTCTTTGTTAGCTTTTCTTGATCTTTAAATCTTATCCAAGATTGAATAGCATCGATAATGCCACACTTTTCAACCTATAAAATTTTGGGGTAATTAAACCAATATGACAAATGCACATTGTATTAGCTTATTACCTGACCAAAAAATTTCTCCGAGGGTTCACATTTTGAACCAAACTTTTTAGCTTGTAAGTTCATTGATTCTTTGGTCTGACTATCATAACTAGGATTTTCAATTAAGCAATTAATGAAAATCCATAAATGATTTTTAACTTGAAACGGTTTAATCACTACAGATGATCCTTTTTTTTCTTTTTTCTTAACAGCATTAACTAAACGGTTAGCTATTTGATCGGCAATATAATCAACATGCTTTCCCCCTTTTGTTGTAGCAATACTATTTACAAAAGATACTTGTTGCATTCCTTTGTCGCTTATAGTTGCTGCTATTTCCCATCTTTCGTTTACCTAAAATTAATGATAAGTTGTTAAATCGGAATATGTAAGCTTTTTTTTTACCAATTCATAGGCAACTTTTAATTTGTTCCCAGAATCGTCTTCTTTATCTTTAATGAACAGTTGGATATAGTCCTTAAAATTGTTAACTTGCAACTTCTTTCCATTGAGCATAACTTTAACACCCCTGGTTGAAGCAGCTACGTCATATGCTCGTCTTTTGAACAAGTCACAAATATCCTTGTCCAGTCTGAAATTTAGTAACTTGAGACTGTTTCGCAATTAAAGTAAATATCAACTTACTCAGTCATATCGAATTTTTTTAAGTCAGGATAAAAAGTTATTGCAGTCGAGTCGGATGACTTATTGGAATCTTTTACCATAGGACCGCTTGTTTTCATCATATTATCTTCCCAAACCTTAAATATTGAACTTTAAAATAAGTTTGTACATCTTAATCAAAACCTTACTTGTTTGAAAGATCTTTTCAATTTACTTGAGGTAGTTTCGACGATAAATTTTTTACTAAAGATATTACACAACTTTGCACCGAAACCATTTCGACCACCCGTAACTTTTTTCTCATCATCATTGAAATTAGACGACGTGAGGAGGTGACCAAAAATCATAGTTGGAATGTACATATTCTCTTTCTTATGCATTTCAATTGGAATACCTTCTCCATTATTTTCTATTCGAATTTTATTATCCAACCTATAAAATCAATCAATAACACTATCTGGTCGACAAGTTTTAGTTTTTACTTACGAGTTGATTTCGATTGAAATTCTTGTCATCCCCTCTCTGTCTCTTTGTTTGTTATCAGCGGCATTAACTGTTGAATTGAAAATTCAATTACCTCTTAGTTTGTTATAACATCAGCATGTGTATTATTTCAAATAAGTTGCTTACCCATGATTTCATCAAAAATTTTATATAAGCCGGGCACATAAGTCAATTCTCGCTGGATCATCTGCTCTTTCTCATCATTATATACCCACATCATCTGATATTAAGAGATATTAGACAAAATTACTATTTGAATGGCCAAACCTCAGTGTGCTTGTGTATGGATCCAATATATGTATCTGGTCTGAGAAGAACATGTTCCAGTTGGGTTTTTTTCTGATAAATATCCTCTAGATCTCTGGCAGGAGCCATCTAGAAAAGGAATTAAAATCAGTAAATATAAAGCAAAAAAAGGATTCTTATGAAACCTTTCAGAAATGTTCGTTGAACTTAGTATACTATCTTATATTACACTGATGAAAGTCGGGTAATAATAGGAGAATATATAATTTTCGAAAATTTCTGTCCTAGAACGATTTAGCGAAATCTTGTAGACTTATGTCAAAAGTAAAATGGCGACCTTATACAATTTAATGGGTCGCCATATTTCATCTCTATCAATGCTCCTTTTATATCGCTCTAGCTTCAGATCCAAATTTTCTGATACAAAAAGCTACTTAGTTTCTTAAATATATGAAAACTCTACACTCTTTCTGGGTGTTTGCCAAGTTTATAATCTAAATATTATTATGAGTTTTGTAACGATGCTCTTAGATAAGATTTAGCTAAACAATCTAAATAACCTTACCTTTTCGGAACAATTTTTGCGCCAAGCAAAACTGAACCGATATTTTCTGTATTCTTATTGGCTAGCAGAAGCGATCATTTGTTAATTAGCCGTTCTTACTAAAACACGAACAGAAAGGACCTTGTCATATGTTTAGATATTATATTACACAACTAAAATACATTTACAATTTTTGAGTAAAATTTTTTTTGAGTGAGTAAAATAATTTTTTCTGGATAGGTAATAATTGGTGTGTTTATCCGAAAACCATAAGGAAATATCTCCTTCACTAATTATATTCTAGTTTCACTGAAATATTTTCCATTTTTTTTCGAAATTAGTATACTAAAGATATCAAAAATGAATAATTTGGAAAACAACAATAGTGGTGTAAAAATTTTCCGGAAGAATATATTTTTTATATAAAAAGGAGTTATGCTAATTCATAGTTCAGATTACCACAATGGCTGCGAAATCCAACAAGTACTTACTGTTTTTTTTACATTTTGCCGAAATTCTCACTTATTTAATGCATTCTAAATAAATTTAAGTTATGAAAAAAATTTCCAAATTCTTTGTGATTAAACACAAGGGACTAAATATTATAGTTTTAGATATAAATCACTTTTTTAGAAAAAAATTCTGAAAATGGGATATTATCGCTCATAATTTTTTATAAATCTTACCCTTAAGCTTCACCGGAGTAAGAGTCAAATGCCCGAGTCATCCAGATGTGATACTCATAGAAGATTACCACGCAGGAGATATGGTCTGTCCTGAGTGTGGTCTAGTAGTCGGCGATAGGTTAGATTTCAAATTCAGTTTCATTATTGCGTAATAGACTATTATTACATATGCATGTAAATAAGTTTCATGGTTCATCAGAGTTGTCGATGTCGGATCAGAGTGGAGAACATTCAGTAATGAAAAAAGCACCAAGGATGCTTCTCGTGTTGGTGCCGCGGAAAATAGTCTTTTAGAAGGTGGCGACCTATCAACAATGATAGGAATGGGGACCGGAAGTGCTAGTTTTGATGATCAAGGACGGCAGATTTATCGAAATAGACGACAAGTGACGAGCTCCGAGAGAGCTCTGCTAAATGGTTTTGGTGAAATTAAAACTATGGCTGATAGACTGATGCTTACTGAGTCGTTATCAGATCGAGCAAGATCACTTTTTAAACAAGTTCATGATACAAGATCTTTAAAGGGAAGATCCACAAATGCAATTGCATCTGCGTGTTTGTATATAGCTTGTCGTCAAGAAGAAGCACCACGTACCTTCAAGGAAATCTGTGCCGTATCTACTGTATCAAGGAAAGATGTTGGACGAGTTTTCAAGTTAATCTTGAAAGTTTTGGAGACTTCCGTTGAAGTTATTACTACAAGTGATTTTATGGTACATCATTTAAATACTAATCTGTCTTACTCTTATATAGATATCATTATTTTACTATTATATTGATATCTTTTCAGAATCGTTTCTGCAGCAATCTTTCATTGTCCAATGCTGTTCAAAAAGCAGCAACCCATGTGGCTAAGAGGGCTGTCGATACAGATCTTGTTGCAGGAAGAAGCCCAATTTCTATTGCAGCAGCAGCCATTTATATGGCCTCGCATGCGTGCAACGAGCCAAGAACACCTAAAGAAATATGTGACATTGCAGGCGTTGCAGATGTTACAATTAGGCAATCGTACAAGCTAATGCTTCCTCATGCTAAAAAACTATTTCCTGATAACTTTAACTTTGCTATCCCTATCGATCAGTTTCCCCAAAATTAAATGTATTCATTTAGATTTTTGTATGGGGTGTAATGTTTCTAAAACTGTATCATTCGTTATATTTTGACTATGTATTATCTTTATTTGTTAAAAGTAGATCTCTTGAGCACTAACCGTGTAAAATGCATTTTAAACCTATACTTACTGAAATAAAAATATATTGATATATAAATTTTTATCTTTACTTTCCAGACTACCTAACAGACAGGGAAGGGTTATTAATTGTCTTGATTTATTGATAAGCTTTTATAAAAATGTATTATACGAATTTTTCATTGAGTATAACGCCATCTAATGTGAAATATTGTAGGAAGATTACAAGCAATTCCAATCTTGCAATGTACACGAAAGATTTATATTGATTTTGACTTACTCTAAGTAATATTATGTTATCCAATATTGATTTAAACGATCCGACCAAAACAGGAAGACATTTTATAATTGAAATGGTTTTATTGCTGAGCTTACAAGTTCATTTAATATCCGAGGTAGCGTAAGGGTACCATATTGAGTTTGTTAAGTTACATCTGTCTTTTATTGAAATATTTACAAGGACTAATAAGTATATAGCAAGCACGCAACTTTTTTCGAGTTTAAATACTGTATATTGGGTCATTTTTTAAGTACCTTATCCTTTTATTTGATATGAAATTATCAGTATACTTCAAATATATTAAACAATAGTAAGAAATATACTTTTATTAAAAAGTAGCTTATTTAAGCTACCGATATCTCTGAATGTTGTTATACCGAAATTGATCATTCATAATCATTAAACAAATAAATTCTTGTACCTGTTGCACATAATAACATTTTAAGTTTTCATTTATAAATATATGAACCATATAATTTAAGCTCTTTCAGATATAAGATATCATATAATCAATTCCCATTACCAATGTTCAAATAACGTATATTATACCTAATTATGATATATAATAAGCGTTAATAAGACCAATTTATCGAACCAGTAGCTGAATTCTGTATAAGATAGTCATTATGGAGAGAAAGTATATAAACAAAACCATGAATGAGGTAAGTACTTGAAAAACGAGGAATTTGCATAGTCAATAGGCCGGCCTAAGTAATATAAATAGTATTATCCTATCATTTTTATAGCATAACGGCAGAGAGAAAATGACAGATTTTGAGAAGCTAGGAAGCCGATCGAAGTCAACAATGTCCTTTATTCCATCTAATAACAAACAACAACACCTTAGCGGTTTTCTAACAGGAAGAACTGTTAAGCCTGCTGAAAGAGTTATTTTACCTCATCTGAATCTACATAAACCGACTACTGTAAAATTTTATAACAATAGGAAGTTATTATCTTTACCTAAGATCGAGCAGGATCAAAAAGTTAACCAACTGAAGAGGACACATACCTTTGTACAATCTAGACCTATTACTAATGAAAAGATTTATGACATATTTGTCGGAAAAGGGGTCAAGAAAGGATTTTGTCAGGTTCGACCTATTATAGATGAGACTATATATCCTATGTTTGCTAGAAGAAAAGGACGATCATCATCCAAGTATGGACTTTTTAAACCGGTAGGAAATATGATTTGAACGTTCAGAACAATCAATTTAGCAGTCAAATGATCCTGCATTCAGTTATTTAGTGCCAAAAACTCGATTTGCATGACGAATCAAGACGAAAAGTAACAGACTTTCATTTTCTAATACTTTTCATAAAAACTTTCAGGAATTAAGCTCTTTCTATATAATTTAAACGAATTAAGTAAATATATCTAAGATATCTGCATAATTTTTATTCTTGAATTGAAAGTTTTACTTTTAATTTGTTCATTTAAGGGATATGCTAATCTTTCTTTTATTTTTTAATTTTTTACTAATTCTAAAAAATTCTCTGTTAGAGGAGCGTATGAAGATTAAGCAAATCTTAAGATTCAGAATTCTTAAAGGATTTTGAACAAACTTAATCGTTCGTCTTAATCTTCTACGCTAAATTATTGTTCATTGTATTAATAATATATTCTAAGGCTTCCTAGATTAAGGAATGCTTCTTTTTAATGGTTGAATACCTCTAGGTATAAAATACTAAATTAATTTTTGTACATTCTGTTTCGATCTAATAAACATATTCTAGAAAGATTTCTAGAACAAATTTTGGCGATTTTTTTAAATTAATTTTAATGAAGCTCGAAAACTAATTAAACAAACTATCTGCAGTGCTTATATTTCAAAAAAGAGGCTTAATAAACATATTGAAAATTCAATAGCTTTCTTTGAACATCTATTTTAATATCTCGGATTTTTCTCTAGCTTCAAATCCTTCGGATTTTAATCTTTGCAATATAGGTCGATAAATATCTGCCGAGAAAGGTAGTACCATTCCTTTGGCTTGTATCTCAGCTGGAAAATAAAGAAACTTGTTCGGTTATAGTTGAATAATTATCATTATTCACAAACCATCGATAATCATTTTTGCTGCTATTCCTGTTGGATATCCTACAGTGGCTGCCATGGCCGTATAACCTTTAGGATTACCATAGACAACAAAATCTATATTTCTCATTTCTTCTTTTCCATCAGCCCATTGTAGTCCGACGTCGTGTCTCATAACAATCATATCACGTTCACCGGGAGCTGTAGATTCAGTAACAGTATTACTGATAAGAAATTAGGGTTTACGCATTGGCAAATTTATCGACTACAGAACACGATAAATTTTTTTTTTCCTATCTGATTTATATACAAACCATATGATAGCCTTTTAGACAAATAATTTGATAAAGTATCGAGAGGCGATCCTTTCTTATCTACTAGTTCATCGTCGAACAACCCAAGCCTTGAAAACAATATACGTTAGAAAGTAATATTAAAATGCAACTATTTTTTCCTTACTCTTCGAGAACTTGTAATCTTGGATAGCTTCCACCTAATTCGTCAAATACGTGATCTCTAAGTGAGTCAGTCAAGATATCATTAGGTTGTTTTACCAACTCTGATATAAATTCTCTCTGAAATGAAGTTGGTTGTATATTACTTTAATTTTAGTATTTATGATGTTACCCAAGTAATATCAGGGCCTCCAGGATGCAGTTTTGGGTGGGGATCAGGACTAATCAGTCCAACTCTCAATAAGCCTTCTGCAGATTCCGAAAATCCACTGTATCTTAGGGTTCCTGAATATTTTTTAATATTAAATAAGTATTTTAGATAAAAGAAAAAGTTAAACCTCTTAAAATAGTATGGGCAGATTCTATATTATACATTTTAGAGTATGGAAGAGAATCACGATTCGGGAATCCCTCCAGATGAAATCCAGGTAGGAAATTCATTTTTTTAGTGGATTTTAAAAGTCCTCCATCTCCCTCAATTTCAACAATTTTACCATTTTGGAGATATTTTGCTGGTGAAATGATGTTATACAAAACTCCTCGAGGTGACCAGCTGAATTTGTATCGAAGTGGATTCTCTGAATTCTCAGGAGCTGGCAGACCACCACAGTACGATACAAAAGAGTTTATCTATTATCAAAATGTGAATGTTCGCATAAAAATTACTATTTAAAAGATAATCAACTACCAAAAAATGAATTGTGCATTTATAAAAAAAGGTAAAAGCTTTCTTACTTTTCCTCCGTGAAGTTTAACTTCATCGAAACATTCCATGGCTAACATGTGATCAATTCCAGGATCAACACCTACTTCATTCATGATTGTGATTCCGGCATCTCTCGCTCTATATTGTTTACTTTATTTAAAAAAAAGTAAAATACGAATGCAACATACGCTGAATGTAATTCTTGCATAGCTGGACTGCAGTAACTTGCGGTTACCATATTGGTCCTATACTTAATACATAGTTTGGCTATTTCTGGATGTAGTGCGTAAGGTAGTAAACTGTTTAGAAAATTCTTATCTGCATGTTTATTGATTTGAAAATTAGGGTTAACCTTATAACTAAGTCATGATCTTTAATTAAATCCTCAACTTCATTTTGGCTCCTATGAAGTTCCAATAAGACGGGTTCAGTGTTAGGATAGGTTTGAGCTAATTTATCAACTTCTTCTTTTATTTGAGCGGCTGAAATCATTTTGCATTAACCAAAACTGAGCACTAAAAGTAGATATATTATCTTACCAACAGTTACGCTTATTCTAGTATCTCTTGTTAGATAGTCAACAACTGGAGCTGATACATAACCTGCTCCTAAAATGAGTACTTTTTGCACGGATGACCTTGCAACCGACTGTGCTTTTGCCTGTTGTCTATTTTCAAGGACATACTGTTTCGTTCTTTCGTTTTATTTCTTACTTACGATTTTTGTTCCCTTAGCTTTTTAATATATTCAAAGTTAGGGGTAAGTGAGCCACCGGAAGTTATAACAGCCTAAAAGCAAAATAAATAATATCAATAACACAAAAAATAGACTTCTGATTCTACTTACATTTTTTACTACGGGAGAAGCTTCCATTTCCGTAAAAGGTTCATTGGCATTAGAATTAATCTATTATTGAAAAGAGAAATGATTTATCCTGTGAAATACTACTTCTAAGTTTAAAAGTCTTACTAGATCTGGAATGTAAGGTAAAAGAAGTGAGCCAAAGAAATCCGTAGCTTCTCTTGGAATTTGAGCTGGCATATTGTCGATAGAGCAGATAAGAACGCCGTCACCAGAGAATCTATGACAAGCATGTTTTGACTTAAAACCATTAAAAGATACTAGATACCTTTCGGTTTCCATATTCTGATCAGCATCGTATAAACAAAATGGTGAATCGATGGTTGTACACTCTTTCATAAATTCGATGGAACCGCCAGGATCAGCTGATATGTCACAAATAGCTAGTAGTCTATGAGGAAGTTGTGGGCATCCAGGGCTTGTGGGAAGCCACGGCTGGAGCTACAAATATACATCACATTACAACTGTTTTAAATTGTATTATATTTATTACCTGAGGTTGAAGTAAATTTTTGGCATCAGGAATCGATATTAATCGCGGAGAATTCGGGGCGTAATATATTCCATTTATGATACAAGAAGCATACGGGGCAATCTGAAAGAAGTTTTTTTTAAGTGATATTCTCTCCGAGTCGTTTTACAAACATTCAAAGCAAAGTTGGAAGCATAAAGTTCGGGATGTTGTTCAAATTCCTCTGCTTCAAATTTCTTTGTTTCTTTATTGAATAAATGATCTTCTCTACTAACAACACAACCGTAGACTTTTTTCGTAGCTGTTTAAAGAAATAAATTCCTTTGTAATTTTATAGTAAGTTGGCCGTTAATTATAAATACTAACATCCGTGTTTGGCCACTTTTGGTAGGTGCTCTGGTTCAACATATTCATGTGGTAAATCTTGAAAAATTTCCTGAGCACCTTGGGATACGTTTCCACTTCCAGTAAATACAAATGTCAATGGACCAATTGATTGAGGCATTCTACCCAAAGATATTTCATAACCTGCGTCTCTAATTGCTTGACTAGCCATACCGCTATTTCTGTAATTATGAGATGGTCCAATATGCTATAACAAATAACATATATACATTTTAATATAAAGGTTATCAAGTGATGAAAAAATTAGTGCTTAATAAATTTTATTGAATATTATCAAAAACTGAATCTCAACTATAGTTTGATAATTTTTAATAACTAAATAGATTATACAACTTTGTTATCTTGATACTTAAATACTTATAAGGCAATTAAGATTCTGATTTTTGATAACTGATAAGACTTTTCACCTACCATAAACGGAGTGTGATGACCAAGAGCTAGCAGCCTGAGACCCATTCCGTGTAGGATATTGATCATACCCGATACACCGGCATATTTACCGAAAGCGACAACCCTTTTATCTTGGCTATCAACCATTTTTTCATAGTCAATCAATCGTATGTTCTATAAAGTATACACACTTGTTATGCAGTCGAGGAAAAAAAGAAAGAATAAAACAAACTTTTTCAAGCATGGCATCCAGTAATGGCATATTAGCTTCTTGAGCTTTGATAGTGTGGGAAAAAAAGACATAAGTTTTATTGGGCTGCAAGACATCAATTGGAACAACTTTAACGCCAATTATAACTGGTGCTTCGCTTATGTCTTCTTGAACTTTTGCTCCAACAGCAGCGTATTCCTGAAAAAGTTTTTGCTATAGAAAACTATAAAAAGCTCTGTAAAATTTATCCAAGAACAAAACTGATTATACATGTGAATTTTTCTAGCAGACAATAAAATTGTAACTTAATCATAGACACTTTTAGGAACGACACCGCGGATGATAAAATTTTGCTGCTCATGTCCGTTATTACATTTTCTAGAAATTCATGTTGCATAACTATGTAAATATAATAGTTATTACTGGATAATTGGATAATTGCATTGCACATTTCTTAAACTTTAATGTTAAGTTCTTTAACTTAGGATAAACCTTCCCAAGATAATAAAAATTAGTGGTTAAATTAGTATTTATGATAGGGCCTTTAAAAGAAATTCGTAATATAAGCTTAATACGAAGATATATGGTTATATTCAATGGAAGCACTATCACGCCATGTGAACTATAGGTCTATGAATTTTTTAAAATTTCTATTCTATTCAATTTGACTTACCGCCATGTTATAAGCCCTTCTATTTGATGGCTGAACAAGAACTTTTACACCATTTTTAACTAACAACTTCACATGATGAGGAGCAAGGGGGGCTCTTCTTTCCCACACCGAGTTATCTTCTCGTCTTATGGCGACAACACGTTGCACGCCAGAGGTATAAAACCTTTGCAATTTGCTTAAATTTTTACTTGCGCGAAGCATATTTTATCAAACTAGAAGAGAATCACTTTTAAAATCTACTTGTCAGTAGATGGAAAGCAGTCAGTTGATTATTATCGACAAATATCAGTCGCAAGTGATAATCAAGATTCGTAGATCCTTGACCTTGGAAAACTTTCGAAGATAACCTGGTGGTGATAAAATTTTATGGCGGTAAATTTAAAAGTTTCAAAAACTATAATTTATAATTTAGTCTTTTAAATAATTATATTTTGCCAAAATTAATTTATATTGATTTTAGAGAATTTTTAGTGAAAAACAAACTAATAGCAATCTATGAAAAATAAATTTTTTTTATCTGATGACGTTTTTATCGATTTCGCAATTTTACGCCTTACTTCGTTAGGTTGTGATCTAAAAATAACTGGACGACGAATTCTCCATCCTATATAAGGTGTTATACAACGAACTTCAGACTTCTGTGTCTGTGTAGAGCTTTCTCCTAGTCTCCGATTAAACATCATATTTTTCCTTTGTTCTATTCTATTCTCCTCCATAATTTTTTTCCATACATTTGCAACATCGGTTTCCAAATACTTATCTGCTTCATCCAAGAGAGTAATAAGATAGCTTTCTATAAACTTCACTGTATCAGTAATGTTATGATTACAATGAATATCAGTATCTTCAAAATTATTCAAAGGTATTACTGAGAGATAGATATCATAAATTTTAGACCGCAAATTATCTAGCTCTTCATCTTCTTTCTCGCCCTGATCTTCATCAAAAGGTAAATATAATAAATGATCGGGAATTTTGTAATCATTCAAAAATTTGGTTTCTGTTACTAGAGCTTGTTTTTTCTTGAAAGTATCCACAGACAAGAGTAGACTAACCACATCATTCTCAAGTTTGTTGATAACCTCTAAAAGTTCCCTGGGTACTTTGAGAAAAAATTTGCGAGCTGAACGTTGATCATTCAATAAGCCATCTGAAAATGATCTTTTCAGTGCATGTTTTGATTGATTACGCTGAAAATCGCCAAAGCTAAGGTATGAATTAATTTTATTCGGGACTGCCATCTGCCAATTTGTAGGAGAAATATTGATTAAAAATTCTTTCATTGTTGATAGCCTTTCAAGATGATTATGTCTCATTCGTAGGTCACATTCCAGTGTTTTTATTAATGATTCTACCTTCATTATGCTTTGACTAAGAGCATCTTTTTCTTTTTCATTTTGTAAAGTGGTTTGGGTCGCGTGTATCGTTTTTGAACAACTATACACAAGTTTATTTCTCATATAATGGGAACTCTCAATCAATTTCTTTTCATAGTCCATAACTTTACTTGTTTCAAATTTTCTTAAAGCTTTAATATATTCTATGCTATGATGTAAATTTTTTTTTTTGTATGAAGCTCGGCAACAGTCTCTAACATCTTTAACGTAGGAATTCAATCCTTGATTTTTGAAGGTCTTGCAATAATTAATAATCTCAAGTAATTGTTTATCTGTTGATTGAGGCTTTTCTGAGGAATGCATTATACAGAGCGAGACAGGGTCATAAAATTTTGAAATTATTAATGATACCAAATAGAATAATATATTTTAATTATTTTAAAAAACTTGGGAATTTTTTAAATAGACTTTATAGAAAAAATTGTTTGTTTCAACGAAATTCGCCCGAAATGATTAACTAATTTTTAAAGCGTGAAATAATTTTTAAATACTGGAGGTGAATTTATTTTGAAATATTTTAATACGTCGTTATTCCAAAATGATGACTTAGCATTTTAACGTACGAAAAATCTCAAGTAATTAACGGGATATTTAAGCGGAATGTAAGATGGACGCATATGCACCAAGAATTCCATCATAAACTTGCACTGCTCTCGATTTGATAGATAGCTGTTGAAGAAAAATAGTAAATTATAGGCTTAGTCTAACAAAACACTAACTAAATATTTACCTTAAAGCAGGAATTTCCGGGTTGAACCTTCAATTCTGCCAAAACCCAGATATCGTTTGATAGCTTGAGTGATTGGTAAAGCATATCTTGACCGTCAACATTTCTCTTTGCCACTGTAAAAATATTGTTATTTTTTAGCTTAGATGAAACAGTGTCGGCGTTATGCTGAACGTTATCAACATCTGTTTGAAATTCATTGGCCGATGGAATGTCTTTCCAAGTTGCTAGAAATACTCTCTTATCCATTTCACCATCCTCCGTGAAAAGAATATGTAGAGGAACTATGCAGCTAAAATAAAAGACATCAACGTTGTTTTTGAAAGCTACTTGCAGACTGTTCAAAGGCTCAGATTTTTGGACCTGTCCTGAGGTATTCAATGGTAAAGAAACATTAATTGAGCTATTCGGAAGAACTGGACTATTAGTAGATATCTGTTGCGCCGGTTGAAGACCAAAGCTATTTTTATTGAACTGAATAGCAAATGATGACATACGATCCAGAGCTTTGTTGGAGATTGTCAATTCCATAATAGGTTGGTTATTTCTACGACAAAAAGTTCCTGATACTTCCATACCCTTGCCCTTTACTCCTGGTAGCCAAACTTCTTGAGGGGGAATGTAAGAAGTAGATTGTGACAAACCAAAAACATCATTTAATCCAGAAAGTAATCCTGAATCCACAAATCCATCTGAAGTAACATGATTACCTGCTGTTCCAGGAGATGGTGCACCAAATCCTATGCCACCTAAGCCTTCTAGTCCATCGGACAGAAGGTCAACAGCAGAGTTAGGTACAGTAGAATTACCTTGAGAAGGTACAAAGCTATCTATATCCAACAAATCTCCAATTGCTGGATGAGACGAATCGGGAATTACGGACGGCTGGGTGACTGCTGGTGTGGGACTAGAGAAATTTTTCTCGTCCGAGTTGAGTGGTAAAGCTTTTCGAAAGTAGGATGCTTTCCCATCCACAAAAACCGCTGGAGGTTTATGATAAATAGATGCTAGACTTGATATATGACATATTAGTTCATCCAACAGTGTGGGCTCTATAAGATCAGTTTCAGCACTAATAAGCGGCTTTTCTGCTAAAACAACATGCTTAGCTGCTGCTGGATCAGTTGAAAGTAATCTCCAATAAATATAGCCTCGATCTCTCAGATCTGGGTTATCAGAATCATTTGTGGCTAGAGAAAGAACTTGTTGTACTAAATCTTGAGTATCAGTTGGCTTCTTCAAAAATAACTTTACAATAGCAGTCAATAATTGTAATTGCACTTGTTGACTTTCATCTTGATAACCGTCAAGGAAACTCTCGAGTAATTCGTCTGCATTATCAATTCTTTCGGCATATTCCCCAATAATCCATATCATACTAGCTTTAGCTTCGGACTCATCTAGAGTGTCGAGATTCTCACAAAGAGTAGCAATTATACTTTCATATCGGTTTGGAAATTTGCGAAATATATCTTTAATAACAACAACAGCCTCTTGGACAACATAATTGACTTTTGTCTGAATAAGATCCAATAGAGTACTGACACATTTCTCAGCAGCAACTTCAACTTTTATAGCACATCTTCCAATGGCCCTCACTGACTTTCTAACAAAATCTACGTCAATCTCTGTCGCATACTCTTTCAATTCAGCAATTACTTGAGCAACATTTGCCTCGGATGTCAGACGACACATAATATCTAACTTTTCCAACTTAACATAAATTGGATCATTATATTTCACAAAAAAAACTTTCATATCCTGTTTCATTATATCAGGTCTTTTTTGGACTACCAAATTGATGTTACGAAGCGCGACATACTGGATTTCCGGCTCGCTTGATAACAAAGTGACTAGAGGCGGTGAAAGTTTTTTCATGAAATTAGCAGGTTGGTCAGTTGATTGATCCATGACCTCGATAAGTTTCATGATAACCTTGACAGAGGAGAGGACAATTGCACTATTAGCATGAGCCAAGCGCTGGGCAACTCTCTCACATATCATCACTGCATTCGATGAATCTTCGGGTACATAGTTCGATACTGCGTCCAAAATAAATATTTGTCCCCATTCCGTGCATTCGTTGAGAGCGGTTAGCAGTTTGCCAACAATTTGAAAATCGAGCTCAAGCAATGACCTGGCGCTTGGGGACGTTTCCATAATCTCACCAATGGAAGCAACTGCATTAGCCACAACCATCGGATTTGGATCAGCGGTTAGATCGCGTAAAGTATTAAGAAATCCTAACTCCTCTACCATTTCACCGTTAATGTCATGCAATTTTGCTATGCAAACTGCAGCGGTTTTACGAACGTATGGATCCTCGTCTTTGAGACACTTTCGCAAAGGATCACAAAGATATGCTGTTATTTTTTCAACTCGAATACAACCCATTGTTCTTACGGCCAAAGCTCTAATAAGGGGATTTGGATCTTCGCAATCCTGTTAAAATTATGTAAAATTGAATAAAAAACAGGGAAAACAATTATGCTACTCAGTTGAGTACTTTACTTGTTTAGATTTCAAGTGTACAAAAAGAAAAAACCTAAAACTTCAAATCACCTTAACAAAGGTATTAACAGCCATTATTGCCAGGTCTGGCTGGGTCTTTGCGTAATTCATCAAGTATAAATATACAAGTTTCTTCAATTCAAGGTTGTCTGTTTGCATGCAATTAACAACGTCAGCAAATAAACTGCTAACATCCTTGCCAACAGTCATGCTAGCTATCACCTTCTTTACAGCCTCTTTTTTTTTCTCTTTTTTATCACTATTTAATTCGGCTTTTAATTCAAAAATTTCGCCTTTTTTTGTTGTTGTAAAATATTTAGAGTCTGTCATCTTTGTCGGTATAATAGCAAGTAGGTATGAGAGATATAATCAGCGTTAGGCCCTACTAGTTGATACTTTTACAAGCTGTCAGACGGAAACCAGCAAAGTAGCAATACTCTTACGAAACTTGAGCAATCCCGTTAAACAAAAGTTCGACCTTGACCTTTATTCTTTTTTATTTTGGTGGAGCGTTTAGTTATCAGAAAATCTTGTCATTGCTTTAGTAATTTGATTTCTACTGCTAAAATGTTTCATTCGAACAAAAACATATTTACTATTTGCTTAGATTTTTCTAGTTGATCTATACCTTCGTTAAAAATAATATTATGTAATGTTGCGTAATGTCGAGATATCTTCCAAAGTATGTTTAATTAATACTTTTGTTGTAATAATCAGCTGAAGTTTTTAAAGAGTGCTCATTTTATTCAAAATTATACTTCTCACAAGAATAATTGTTTTATTAGTAAGACTAGTTTAATCATATAAATTACTTAGTAATTGTTATCGTAGTTCCTAAGTCTTTACATAAATTTATAATCGAGAAAACGCAAAAAATTTTATTGTTTGATTCTTGATAATTTTCAAATACTATTTTAAACAGGGTGATAAATCGAAAATGTTAAATTACACTAGAGGGAGCTGCAAATGGTGTTTACGAAAGTGGTGTCGAACAATCACATGATCAAAACTAGGATCATTATACTAACACAAAGACACATTCGACTACATGACTATATTGCAGCTCAAGAAATATTTGAGAGTGTAATAAAAATACAAAGTATGGGTATGTTGCTGTTAGATGGAGGATATTAAGAGCTGAAAATATTTTATTTCCTGTTAATAAATTAAACTGATATGTACAGATGTTTTTTACTATAAATTCCTTTGTACAAAGAATTGTCTAGCTAATTATCAACTTTATTAAAAATGGAAATTAAGAAAAAGCTTTGGCAACTACAATTACTGTTCAAGAAAAATTGGATTTTACAGAAAAGAAAACCCATTATCACACTAATCGAAGTTCTAATACCTGTTCTATTATCTGTCATTGTAGTATTAATACGGGGAAGCGTTCATAATAGACCTCAAAATAATCCAAAAACCTGGTCCTCTTTTCATGTAAAGGACTTCCCGCCGCCAAGATTGGGATCCAAGTGGTGGTCTTTTAGACCTTGCAGACTTGCCTATTATCCAGATAAACCATGGGCTAAGGAAATCGTGAAAAGTTTTATGAGAGAAAACGATTTTCAAGTACAAATTACAGGTATCTTTCGCCCAAGTCATTGATTTTATTCGAAATGTGAAACTCAATGTAATACTTTAATTTCTTTTCTACAGAAATACAGGCTTTCTCTTCTGTAAAAAATTTAACTGACGCGATCTTAGAAAAGTTTAACGAGGAAAATAATATTCACAATAATACCGTTCAACGGTTTTTACGTAGTAAAAAGTATGAAATGTCATATATTGCCAGAATGAATAGTAAATGTTCCTATCTTGGTGGAATAATTCTAGAGAAACCTAAAAATTCATCAATCAAAGTGACAATTAAACTATCTTCAACTCCTAGAAATGCCAACATACGTCATTACGTCAATCCGTTTAAAGATAATTCTAATTGGCATACACAGTTTACATTACCCTTATTCCAGATTATTGGACCACGTGAAGCCAATATTTCAACAGGTGGTATTCCTGGATATTGGAGTGAAGGTTTTCTAACTCTCCAATGGTATTTGACTAGAGCAATTCTTAAATATTCTTGCAAAAATGATAAAGAATGTCTGAAGAGATTTGATAAATTGAAAAAAGTTGATCTGAAACTAAATCGCACTCCTTATCCTCCGTTTGATGATGATAATTTTGTTATTGTTCTTCAGCAGTATTTCCCTATGGTCATCATGCTATCATTTGTTTTTATTGCATTAAATATAGTTAAAGATGTTGTTCAAGAAAAAGAAGAAAGACTTAAGGAGGCTATGAAAATTATGGGCCTAAATGGGTGGATGCATTGGATTGCGTGGTTTGCTAAATATCTTCTGTTTATGTTGGCTAGTGTTGCCTTAATGACAATCTTATTCTGTGTGAAAGCCTCACGACAAGGAAAAGTTGTTGGTTACACCAGCTCCGCGGTCATGTTTTTCTTTCTTTTAATGTATTCCATTATGACAATATGCTTTGCCTTCTGTGTAAGCGTTTTCTTTTCCAAATCGAATCCAGGAGCAGCTGGAGCAGGAATTATATTTGTAATAACTTATATTCCTTACTTTTACATTCAACAAGTCTATGATACTCTAAGTATGTCGAGCAAACTAGCTGCCTGCCTTCTACCTAACATAGCAATGTCTTTGGGTTGTCAAGTTATAGGAATGTTTGAAGGAACAGGGAGTGGAGTACATTGGGATAATATTTTTAGTGGAGTGTCTGTTGACGATGACTTCAGCCTGCTGCATACAATTCTGATGATGATTCTAGATAGCGTTATATGCCTAATAATAATGTGGTACGTGGAAGCTGTCTGGCCTGGGGACTTTGGTGTTCCACAGCCCTTTTACTTTCCATTTCAAAAATCCTATTGGTGTGGATCACTACCTACAATTGTGGAAGCTCCCTCAAGAGATGTGGTTAACGAAACTTTCTATGAGAGAGAACCTGGCTTATTAAGAATAGGATTACAAGTAAAAAACCTCAAGAAAATATTTAAGAAGGGAAAGTCGGAGAAAGTTGCTGTCGATGGACTCTCGTTAAATATGTTTGAGGGACAAATTACAGCATTATTGGGCCAAAATGGTGCTGGTAAAACTACAACTATGTCGATGCTTACAGGATTTCTACCACCAACTTCTGGAACGGCCAAAGTTAATGGCTACGACATTGTTACTCAAATGCCACAAGTACGATCTAGTTTAGGTTATTGTCCTCAACATAACATTCTCTTTCCGACTTTGACGGTTGAAGAGCACTTAAGCTTTTTTGCTAGACTAAAAGGCTGTCCTGCATCACAAACTAAAGCCGAAATAGAAAAGTACTTGGATTCAATAGATCTAAGAGATAAAAGGAAATGTTTGGCAAAAACTCTGAGTGGCGGCCAAAAAAGGAAATTGAGTATTTCTATTGCACTCATCGCTCAATCGAAAGTTGTTATTCTGGATGAACCAACAGCAGGTATGGATGCTACAGCCAGACGTCAATTGTGGGATATACTACTCAACAATAGACTAAATAGAACTATTCTAATGAGTACACACATGATGGATGAAGCTGATATACTAGGAGATCGTATAGCAATTATTGCTGAGGGAACTTTACAATGCTGTGGATCAGGAGTCTTTCTGAAATCTCGCTATGGAACAGGCTATCATCTCAATATTCTTAAAAATGCTGATTCAGATGTAGACGAAATCACAAAAGTTATTATGAAGCATGTGCCTTCTGCGAGATTTGAAATGGAAGCTGCTGCTGGTTTAAGCTATTTACTTCCAAAGGAAAACTCCAATAATTTTCAGAATCTCTTTTTAGAGTTAGAGTATGAGAAAGAAAAGCTGTCCATATCTGGATTAGGAGTGTCCGTTACAACAATGGAGGAAGTTTTTTTTCGTGTCAAACAAATTACCGATGAGGAACGTCAGATAAAATACGACAATCTCAGCTTAAATGAAAGTAAAGATTCAGATATTGACTCTGGTGCTCCAAGTCTGGCCTCCACTGCCGATATTACTCTCTCGTCTGGTTTATTTGATCGTTCTTACGGAAATCAAAGTTTACATAATAACGTCGGATGGCGACTCTTTTTTCAGCAGCTTTATGCCATGCTTGTAAAGAAATTCCTACAAACTAGCAGAAATCTTATTGTTACCTCTTCACAAATGATCTTACCAATATTCTTCACTACCTTAGGTTTAGGAATAGTGAGGATGATTCCATCAGTTTCATATTCTCCACCTCTAAATCTTGATTTATCAAAGTACATGAAAACGGAAATACCCTTTATTGACAATAATATAAATGGCGTAATGGTATCCATTGTTCAAGCGAAGGGTGTTAACACTTTGGCAAAGAATATAACCAACTATAAAGGTAATATGTCACAATTTCTCATTTATCAAGGAGAAAGAAGTCTAGCGACATACAACAGCAAGTATATGTTTGCTCTAACTGATCAAAAGAAGTCCTCTATTTTGGCATATTTTAACAACCAAGCCTTTCACACACCTGCCGTAATCTTGTCAATAATTGCAAATGGCTTTTTAAATTTTGTTAATGGTACCCTTAACCACATAGACTTTGTTAACTATCCCTTACCTAGAACTGTTCAACAGAAGCTTAAGGATGAACAAACCTTGCAGATAACTGGCTTTATAATAGGATTTGAGGTTGTCTTTGGAATGTCATTCTTAGCAGCTTCATTCTCTCTCTTCCTAATTCGCGAGAGAGCTACAGGATCAAAGCACTTACAATTAGTTTCTGGAGTCCGGAAAACTACATATTGGTTGGCAACTTTTATTTGGGACTATTTGATATTCATTTTACCCTGTTGCTGCTTGTTCATAACTTTTGCTTTGTTTAATATCCTTGATTATACAGATAAATTTCAGAATGTTCTTCTCCTTCTTTTACTCTACGGATGGGCAATGCTACCTTCAATGTATGTGTGGAGCTTCATGTTTTCAACACCTTCGACAGGCTACGTCTGGCTAACTTTATTGAACATCCTTTCTGGAGAAGTTACAGTTTTGGTTGTTGACATCATGTCAATACCACAATTAGACGTTCTTCAAACAGCTAGAGTGCTAAAATGGATTTTTATCACTTTTTTCCCCAATTATAATCTAGGACAAGGTATGCAACAACTTTATTTAAACTATGAAACTGATAGTGTGTGCCAAAAATACTTCAAAAAATTTGACAAAAGGTTAGTTTGTTTTGAATATCCAACTTCACAATGCTGCCCTGGCTGTACTTCCTCTTGTTGGATGAAGAATTACTTAGCTTGGGAAGAGAATGGTATAGGAAAGCAATTGACTTTTCTGGCTCTTCAAGGAATTGCCTACTTTACTGTACTAATGATTATGGAAACAGGTCTCTGGAGGAGATTTAAACCAATATTATTTTGTGAAAGTCGAAGAAAGTCTATGATATATAATCAAATGTCGATGTCCAGCAGCATTTCATCAAATACAGAGGATGAAAATATTGCTATCGAAAGAAATAAAGTGAGATCTATTGATCCTAGTCTCTACGGTGTTGTTCTTAGCGAACTAACTAAATGCTATGATGATTTACTAGCGGTTGATTCAATCAATCTTGCAATAGAAGAATCCGAATGCTTTGGTTTGTTAGGTGTAAATGGGGCAGGAAAAACATCTACATTCAAAATGATCACTGGAGACGAGGGTATTTCTTCTGGCGACGCATTTCTTGCAGGATATAACTTGAAAACAGATATGCAAAATGCTAGGCGTATGATTGGGTATTGCCCTCAGTTTGATGCATTAATTGATCAAATGACCGGAAGAGAGATGCTCACAATGATTGGACGTCTTCGAGGTGTACCTGAAGGGCAGCTAACTAGCGTGGTAAACGATCAGATATCTGCAGTATTGCTTCAAAATTTTGCTAATAAGCGTTGCGGAGAATATAGTGGAGGAAATAAGAGAAAACTCTCAACTGGTATGGCTCTTATAGGCGATCCTCCCGTGATATTACTTGATGAGCCAACAGCAGGTATGGATCCGGTAGCGAGAAGGTCTCTTTGGAATACTTTAAACAGAATTCGAACAAGTGGAAGGAGCCTTATACTGACGTCGCATAGCATGGATGAGTGCGAGGCATTATGTACCAGATTGGCAATTATGGTAAATGGACAATTCCGATGTCTCGGAAGTACGCAGGAGTTAAAGTGCAAATTCGGTCAGGGATTTACTGTTATAATGAAGCTGTCTCCTCCATCACAAGCAAATCATACGTCTTGTCCAATTCGGGCAGTTATAGATTTTATTGACAAAACTTGGCCTGGATCAACACTTATAGATAGTCATGAGGATATGGTTCATTATAATATTCCAGCAACAGTTGCAAAATGGTCTCAATTGTTTGGTATTATTGAAAGGGAACGACTTCGACTAAGAATCGAAGATTATATTGTTAGCCAAACAACTCTAGAACAGGTGTTTCTAAACTTAACAAAATATCAGAGATCTCAAGAGGAGGGAAAAGGAGTAAAAAAGAGAATGAATTGTTTCTCATGGTGTAATTGTTGTGTATGTTATGGCCAACTCGAGGTACACGATGATGGGCAAGAGACAAATTTATTATAGACTTTATTAATAATTTTCAATATATTTGGGTTGGATTTTTTTTACATATACTAATATTTTTTTTTAGATTTTAGTCATTCACTCTTCATAATGTAATTGTTCAATGTTTTAATGGAATAGTGAGATAATAATATTTGTGTTTGAGTACAGTCATTTAAGCCTGTTTCATCTATTTTATATATTTTTTTTATATATAAAAAAGATGTATTTTCTTGTATTCAAATACATCTGTGTAACACTTTTTACATTGATCAAAAATAAAACTAGGATGTAAAGATTAGAAAATAATAAGCACTTAGTTTTGAACTTTATTGCGGCGTCTTATTTTAATCTTTTTTCCAGGGTAACTTTTTTCGTCAACCTCTTTTATCCTTTTTAAATGATAATAACGCCACTAAAAAAAAGATATTTCTTTAGATATGTCTTGTGAAAAAACTTCATACCTGAAGAATCTGCTGATCCTCTAAAAGTTTCACGTTTTTGGAAATTAATATCTCTTCCCTAAATGATTCATATTGAAGAAGTTCCAAAAAGAATAAGCACTGAGGATAACTGAAAAAAAGGAATTTGACGTAATCTTGTTATATTATGAAAGAAAAAGTTACATTAGAAATTTGGCGTATTCCTGCTTTTTCCAATATTGTAAATATTTTAAATAGTTAATAAATGCTTGATCTTTGAAATAACTTCTCTGAGCTAAAACTGGAAAAATTAATACTGTTTATTAGTTACTTTCCAGTTAAGATAAAATTAACTTGCAATGTAAATAGTTGGGATTTGCAAGGCATTGAACAAATTCTAATTCGACTTGAAACCTGATATCGCCATCTCCATCAAACAAATGAACTTGTGTACCTTTTAGGAAAACTTCAAAATTTGATATACTTAGCACTTTAATTGGACAACGATAAATAAGCAAAGAAGCTAATCTAAACTTAACGAAAATCTATTTTCCAATCCTATTTTACAGTGAAATGTGAAAAAAATTATTTTGCTAGTTTCTCTTATCTTTGTTACTATAAAACAAGATAATTAAGAATAGAGCAAATGTCAAATTACTTTCTAGCATTATATAATAAGTAGACAATGGTTTAATTAACAATAAATATGTACAAGAAATTGAATAAATGTCAATGAGTTTATATGAATATTATAAATAGCAAGCTTGATTGTTATTTAATTATAAAATAAATATTGCTATTTACGATTAGATGAAGAAATTCCTGAAATCTAGAGCAACTCTTATCACAATATTTGTTACGTAATTAGTACTGTTTATTTGTTATTTATTTATTTATAACCTAGTATCCTTAATGAAAAAAACGTTTTTTATTACCTTGTTCAACCTTTCTTTCCTGACCGAAAAGTAATTCTTCTAGCAAGGAGTTTTTCTTTAAACTATCCCGATCCTTCTTGGGAGGCATATCGCGCAAGTAACGGTAGATACTTTATGAGCCTATTAGGCAACACCAGTTCCATACCTATAAAGACAATTAAAAAATAAGATGGAATAAGAACCAAATAATAGATATATGTATGTGTGTGATGTATACCAAAAGTATCCTGGTAAGTACCAGAAAATATTCTCTATCAGTCTAATTTAAAAAATGGTATATACATTTTCGTAATGTCATATATACCAAATAAAAAACTTCCCTTTGTAATTTTATACGAGCTATTTTTTGAATTTTGCATTTTCTAAATTAGATTTTTTTTACCTCTCCAAGCTTCATTAAAAACTTTATGTGATTTGAGAGAACTAGGCTCTGGATAATTAAGGGAGAGAGACAGAGAGACAGAGATAGTAATTTCGGAAACTAAAATTTAGCCTTTCAAATTTCCACCGAGTACAGGTCAAGGCTGAAGTAACTATAGAACTATTAAACAATTGTTTTTATTTAAAACCAAATAGAGGCTATTTTTAAACTTTATTTTTACAAATTTGTTCTGAAGAAAAAAAAACAATTTTATTACAATAACAACATGGAACGTAGAATATATAAGAGCCTAAACAACTAAAAATAAAAACGGATTATATATATATATATATATATATATAGAAATTTATCTAGAATTTTGCTTTTTTTTGGGAATATGACTAATCTTAATTAACTGACTGATTCTTCTAAATTTTATTAGGTGTAAGTAGAATTCACACAAAGAGCTAAATTTAGAATGTTGTTTCATAACATGTCACGATTTTTTTTTCATTATTTAAGCCTCTTTGTCAGATTTCAAAAGAATTTTCTATTGATCTCCCTATAGTATAGGACAAAAGGAGAAATTACTCTATTTATTGTTGAGATAACTGACTTCTTCTTACATTCTGGAAATGCATAGCAAATGATAAAAACATTGATGATCAATTCATATTTTTCTTACACCGCCAGTTATCTCATACATGCAATGAATATTCAACACCTCGATTTTAAAGTGCCTCGCAGAAATTCGGTTCTAGCCGAATATCTAAATCTCTTTCAGCTAGTAATGACCGCCTAATAATAGAAAAATTTTCTTCTAGTTAGATACTTTGTTTTTTCACTTTGCTTTTTCACCTTTATAATCAATGACTTACAAACTGAAATAGGTATAATGTTCAATAAAGTTACAATTTGCCTTTATCATTTCGCTGAGTTCCTTTATTTCCCAAGATAAACAAATCTGACTTTCATCATGTCTCTACGTTTCAATGATCAACACATGCAAAATTATGCAAAAACTGATTCAAACGTGGATATGGAAGGCATATTATATATAGCCGAAAAAAAATGGATTGGTAAAGGAGAAAGTAAGTGCAAGATATTAATAAACCCAAACGCCTTTTCAACACTTGTTTTTTCAGACAAAGTCAAAAGATATTTTAAATTAAAAGGAAATTTACTGTTCTACTTTAAGAATGAAAATCCTGTAAGGGCTTATAGCTTTATTGTTATTACTAAATTGAAGCTTAATCAAATAAATAGCAGTTAACTTTGAAACAGGGCAAATCATATAACAGAGAATTTATCAATATTCTATTACTTTAATTGATGACATTTATTGCTAATAATGCGCTCAAAATTTCAGGACAGTGAACCTCTAGGTCTCTTTGTTTTGGAAAATTATTATATAGAATTAGACAATGATGAAGCTAGTGAATATTACGCATTCGTAATAAGTGAGTTTTAATTAATAATATTGCATGTTTTTTACCGTTTACGTATTGTTTACTAGAATTTTCATACGGAAGCATGCTTGAAACTGTTAAGCTATTTACTAGAATTTCAAAAGAGAGAGATGAATGGATGAATCGCCTATTGCAAGCCGGTTGTGAATACTTATCACTCCAGATTGAGGACGCTGAGAGTCGTCTGGAACAGTTCAACCCAAGTACATTTTTTATCAATTATTATTGAAATAAGCTTATTTAGTCAAAATTTTAACAGATATGGAAAGTTCACTACCGGGTTCAAAAATTTATAATCTCAGAGTAAAATGTGAAAATTTACCTCACAAGTTTTCCGAGTTCCCGTCCACTTACCTCACTATAATGGCTTTAGACGGATGCTGGAAATTTGTAGGCAGAACTGAAACCGTTGAAAAAAGCATTAGTCCTGTTTACAGGAAACCAATAGCCATTCCAGAAATCCCCTTTGAAAATATGTTGAAATTCACTATTTATTCAGTTCGCGAAGAATTTCAAGAAGTTAAAGTCGAAATTAGTTTTGCTCTTTTATCTCTAGATGAAATCGATAAAGATTTTAGAGAATTCTCAATGGATTGCTCGTAAGCATTTTCTAAATTAAGTTTCGAATACCGAATGAAAAATAAAAGCTATTACAGGCTGATAGATACCGCTTCTTTCTAATCAGAAAACAGATAAGCGTACTGTATCTATAATTTTTAAATTTTAACTATAAAAAGTAATCCTAAATCTTCTTATATTTTTACATTTTAATCTTATTAATATTTTAGTCTTCATATTTTTTGCATCTCTTTTTTATATCTGAAATTAATTTATAAAGATCATAATTTTCCACAAGCTAACATCATTATTTCAATTACTATTAAAAACAATTTTACAGAACTGACTTTCATTGGGAGGATAATAAAACTAAACTATTCGTTGCCATGTCGAAAATAGGAGAAAATAATGAAGGAAAGGTTCTTATTTTTAATTAAAATTCAATATTAAAAATAAATTATATATAGAGTTGTTTTATTTAAACCATTAATTATAGGTTGAAGCCAGCTGTGATTATTCGAATTTCCAGGTGAAATAAACAGAATGCAGTAGTTTTTAATCGCTCTCCACAATATTCTTAAAGTTTTTAGCTGCATGTCTTAAAATACATATCATTCTCTTTCAAAATTACGTGCACGTTTTCTATCAAGTTTTTTGCTTTAAACTTAGTCAGTCGAATTTTCAGATATCAAATGAAGTTATCTATGCTAACCCAATTTGCGAAACATTTGACTTTGAATCAGTTACTGCAACTGACTTTATGTATGAAAGTCGATTAACGTTCAATCTACCGGCTCTATATTTGTAAGTAACAAAATGTGGCTGATTGATATGTGCATGCCATATGTAGAAAAATAAAATTTTAAACCAATAAGCTGACCGAGAAGCCTTCTGCTTGCATAATATATTATTTTGTCTCCTATAAAATACCTCTTTAAGAGATACATATTGTATGGTTATTCTTTAGAAAAAGGTTAATAAGCAAAGAAAACGGATGTCTAGAATATTTGAAACGTATAGATAAGGTGGTTTCGTTTGTATTAGACTGTATAATGTCATCAGTCTCCTGTTATGAACAGGAAGTTACCAAATACGAAAAAGGTAAAGACTTTTAATTGAGCGATTTTTTTCATCAAATAAACCAGACGCGTTTGTCTCTGTTTAGAAAAGTCATTTTTTAAAAAAAGTACTGCCAAAGCCGATTCAAATAAAGCATTTGCTCCAGTCAATTTACACCTGGAACGTTTGATGGTCAGGGAAAATAATCATACCGAATTTTATGATATTTGGACCACTGGTGCCTTCACAGCATATTCAATTGGTTATGAAAATGGAGGATTACTGAGATTGATAGAAAATTTCAAAAAAACTTCAGAGGGACAGGAACTTTTTAAAGTAAGGATTTCTTGTTTCTACAATTCATTTAATGAAAAATCACTGCTCTCTTGTAACAGATTCATAAGAGATATTTGCTTTCAAAGAAACCTATAAATTCCCAAATATCCACAACCAATTCAAACGATGCATTTACCCCTAGTGTGTATGAACTCTTAACAAATACCGTTGAACAATTAAATAGAATAAGAAGACGTCGCGATATTGTATTCAGCCAGGCACTTACCGCAGCTGTATCGGCAATTTATTCTTGTCTTGTGCTGAATCCTAATCGTAAGGAAATTATCAAAGAAACCGGATTCATATTATACTTTGAAAGTTTTCTGACCTGCTTTGGAGAAGAGAAGAGCATGTTAGAGGACTTTATTCCCGCTCTAGAAGATTTAGAAAGATGTCATATTGTAATTGAGAAAGGTCAAAAGATTCACTACGATATAGAAATTAATGACGATTTTGGCGGAAATTTATTAATTTTAAATAGTTTAGGAAGGTTTAGTATTGTAAAATGATTGGTCAAAACTAAGTAATGCTTGTGTTTATTGATTTATTCATAGGGTCGGTGTTGTTATAAGATTCTATTTGGCGGGAGACTTATGGGAAAATTGGAAAGAATTAAGCGATAAACTCATTCCTTTGACTGTAATTTTCTTTACACTTGGTATAAACGAGAAAGCTAAAATGTAACTCCGTATATATTATTTGAAAATATTTATAATATAGTAATTTTTTGCAGTGCAACTAACACGCAACTGCAAAGAGACTGCAATGAAATTACCAGGAAGAAATTAGACACATTTTACAACACATATAAGGGAATTTTTCCCGAAAAGCTATATGATCTTTTACGACATTTGCATTATTGTATGGTTAGTGAAGATGAGTCGAAATTGATTAAAATGTTCTATTATGGCAGCCAAATTACACGATTATTGAAAGGTTTACACTTTGTATCGTGCAAAAGTGGTAAGGATAGAACATCAATGAGAGTAACGCTGATACAGGCAGAAATTTTAAAGGAGATACATTCCGTTAGCGATGATTTTCAATCTATATTGAATTGTTTAAGAGAACGAGGATGCCGGAGGAACAATACCGAAAAAAATACTGGAGTAGCTAAATATGCTTTTAATCTGATTCAGGTTCATTTTCTACCTGATCTCTATCAGCCTCCAAGAGGAACTTATAAGAGTCTTGAAACGTGAAAAGCCTAATTTTACCAAATATTAATGATACAACATCAAAATTTAAATTATTTAGCCTGTTTTCTAAGTTATAGTCATTATCAGGATTATTGGTTCGACACTGTCTGAAGGAACTTGTGCTCAAAATAGTTGACATCAAACCATGTATAACGCTTATAAGTGGTTGAATACAATTTCATTACAAACAAGTAAATCTATGTATCATTAATGATCTGTTCGATTGATTCGTATAAACATTGCTATAATATAATGGCATATAAGGTATTGTTAAATAAATAAATATCTTACTTTCGATATTAGTCACTGCACTTTTTGAGAAAGCTTACGATCAATTTTTAATTAGTCACGTCGAAAAATTTTTATGAAAAATCACTTTTAAACTACTTATTTGTCAACAGAAGCTATCAATTATCTTATATTTTAATAAACAAATGGTTAATAGATCAGGCTAAGGTGATTATAAAACTAAAATACATGGTAAAACTAGTTTACTTAAACAGGTAGTTTTAAAACCACAAAGTTGGGGGTTTTTCCAATTTTGTACTTTTATTTTCATTTTGCATTCAACGTATTTCTTTGTTCACACACTAGCTTGAACAGCGCTGTGCATTGGAAACTCTCTGAAAAACTATCTAAATCGAGCTACAACGGAATATTTTATTTAAAATATCAACTTTTTATTCTGATTGCTAGATTGTGAAGGTTTAATTAACGTGTATCATTACTGATAGCTGCTATTTGTGTAATTGCAGTATGAACGCAGAGTTTTTCACCTTACAAGTAAATAAATTCGTTCAAAAAGGCCATTACTGATGGGCTTTCCTTTTCTAGATAGAGGAGCAAAATCTGGACACTGAAATGATTTGTTCTGACATCCAACAATGGGAAACTGAAGGAAATATTTCGGATGCAGAGATTCTTCGCTCTAAAATACTGTCATTTGTGGAAACTGAAGAGAGTGCGAGAGAAAGTTCTAAAGAGATTCTAGTTAAAGAGTACAGGAAGATAATTCCACCGATGCTAATTTATTGCTTCTTCGAAGATAAGTCAAAAAATAAAAAAGGTAAACATATCATTATAAAATATTTGACATATCGTCACATTTTCATCTTATTTTATTGCAAAATTTTAAAGCAAGAGGACTGTGGACACAAAGACCACAAGGGTGGCCATCGAACGTTCCGTTTGATGATCCCAACAACGGACATGAAAAGAACGAATCAAAGAAAGCAGAAAAGCCGAAAAAAGACACACTTATACAAATGTACAACTTCCTTAAACAGAAGTTTAAGGTTGTCTTTTATTTGTTCTAGATATATATTTACTGTTTTCTCTCTTAGGATAAAGAAAGCGGGCAATATCAAGATAATGTAACTTTTCAGGAACAAACTTATCAAGAACAAACTTATCAATTGGTTTCCCAAAAGGAAGTAAGTAAAATGTAGACTTTATTGGAATATCCAATAAGTTAACATAAAAATATTTTAGATAAACCCAGTAAATATTTTATGGGATAGTTCAGAGAGATTAGATAAAAAATTAACTACCATCAAAGGTAAACTTTGTTCCTCAAAGTTTCAATCATTTTTGAGATATAAAATTTATTTTTGTAGACACTATGTCGGACACTGTTTATGAGACCTTAGAAAAGTGTATAAAACTGTTTGCATTTTGCCATAAGCATATGAATAAAGCCTCTGTGATGAAGTTAGCTAGTGACTTGGAGTATGAAATCGATTGTTACTACCACAGTAAACAAGACTCTGAAATAAACATTGAGCGATGGAGCAATATAACGAACAATGTATTAGTAGAAAGTTCATTCGCTCAGCAACAGAATTCTCCAGATTCTTCTTATCAAAGTAAAATATACTCTAAATATTCTAACACAAAATTAAACAATATAAACAATCTTAGACGGTGTGCATGAAACTCTTCCCCCTCAGCAATTGGTAAATTATCAAGAAATTCCAAATCATGCTTCATATTTCTAGTTAAATTGTAAGTATTTATAATTTAAATGATATTATAAAAATACACATTTTTATCAACAGGAGATTTTTCCCTTGCCCATTCAGACCAACTTCAAATTTTTGCTTAATTTTGGAGAGTGAGAAAACTAATTAAAGCAAAATTTTCAATTTACCATTTTACTTGAATATTTTGACATATCAATTATGTAAACATTATATTGAATACACAACGAAAGATCCTAGCAACAGAGGTGATTACGTAATCAATTTGATTTTCTATTAAACCTAAAAAAATTATTAAAACATATTTCTTCAAATTCTTTTTTAAATTGTCACTGTAGAGGTAATTTGCGTCTACTTTATTACTGAACAAGCATAAATAGCACGTCTAATAAAGATAGTTTTTAGCAATATACAATATACTTTATTAGATAGTCATTAGCTTTTATATTTGTTTATAAACTGAAAAAATGAAAATATAATGATTTTCTTTTTCCTCAATTTTATTTCAAAAATGATAAACTTTTGCGATTTGTGTGAAAAGTAAATCACACAAGTATGAAAAAAAATAATATGGCTAAATTAATCAATTAAGATATCTTTTCTAGAAATTGATTTATTAAATAGATTACTCATCAAGATTAATAGGTGTGGAATGATTGAAATTTTTTTAAATTAAGAAAATTAAATACCACAGCCAAATGGCAATTGCATGCTCGAATGTCGACAGCTATGACGTCTATTCCAGCATTTCTACATCTGAATCATCATGGAAAGGTTTTATTGCCGATGAATCATTAATTTTAGCCGTATCCGTCGAGTTATGAGTAGTATTTTCGAATTTATTCAGCTCCTACAATTCGAGTAAAACAAATTCATATTAAATATTTTCAATTATGTATCGAACACACTTACATCTTCATTATCCGACCAAATTGAAACTCTTTTACTCTCCTCTGTCAAAATGGAGTATTGTACACCGGTGTCTGCTTTCTTCGTATAATATCTCCTCCATAAGAAAATCAGAATAGCACACACCAAAAACAAAACAAAAATAACACAGAAAGCAATTTTTCCAGCAGATACAGATTTATGTTTAGAATAGATCATACGATTTTCCTTCCTACAAACTTTTGTCATATCGATCTCTCGCGATATTGGCCTAAACCCACCCTTACATTTATCACCTGGAATTAAGCGGTACCCCTCGCTGACGATTTTTTCTAAATGCCCCCTTTCGCAAATGAAGAGATCTTCGCCTTTGAAGTCCGGAGATATTTTACATTCATCGATTCCATTTCTCACGTAACCGTAGTCACTAAATTAAAATAATTTTGAATAGTAAATCTATGTGGTAAACTTTTGAAATATACCATTCATAATCTGACTTGTCACACTTGCAAACACTAGAGTCTTTAACTTCAACTGAATAATCATAACCATTTCTACAAATGCTATCTTTCTTCAATTTTTTTAATACTTTTTTTAATCCTAGATAACAGCCGTTTAGCTTGTTTCCTTTGTGTGGATGAAACTCTTCATAATCCGTCTGTTTGCCTAATTTAGAAAAATAAGATAAACAGTTAACTGAACTACAGCCTTAAAAAAAACTCACATTGTTCCTTTATAACTGCCTCAAAGTCAACAACAATAATATTCCATTCATGCGTATCTTCAGTATAGCCCCAAATGCTCACAGTCATAACCCTAATTTATTAAAGTTAATTTATTGCTATTTTGTGACTGAAAAAAGACATACTTATTCCCAGGTTCAGTTAAAAGGCCAGTAACAATTATCTCTTTGGTTGTGAATTTATAATCTATCCAACAATTACCTTCGTCCGTGGAAAATTTTAAAGTCTAGCATCATGCAAGAAAAACAGTATCAGGTTTCGTTCATTTAGATTTAATTTAAAAGGAAGTAACCTTGCTGACCCCATCTTTGGGAATAGCTACTAACAGTCCCCCATGATCACCTATTTGCACTATATGAGGTCCTTTTAGAGCCTGTTTGAAATGTTTCAACAATCGTTTTATTTCAGAATAAACGTTTGACTACTTACCAAAAAAAAAGAATATCCTCCATCATTAGAAATATATACGTCAGTATCTCTCCTTTGCAGGGAATCACCAACATGCCCATGGACAATAATTAGTCCTGGAGCATTTGCTACGCTAACAGGTCTGGAGCCTTTAACTCCTTGAGATGCACTATATGAATTATAGATTTGTAGAGAACAAACTTCCATTGAGCATTCTGCATTTTTTGGTACAGGAACGCTTTTCCATTCCGCTCCTCGATCATAACTGATCAATGTAATGATAGTTGTACTTTCCAAAATCTTCGAAGTTATGTAGACACCATCCATTGATAATACTTTATAAAAGTCTGTTAGATCGCCAGTGCGTGTGTTGGGGTATAAATGACGAAGAAGAGATTCGGAGTACACGAGACCCCGGGCGCCTGATGTGTAGAGTGTCCCGTGTCCTGTATCTCCTGGATTGTCGACATGAAGAAAAATTAAATCCTCACTCATATCCAAAACGGAGAAGAACTGAAAAACTTAAACTTAAAAGAGCTTTCATTAATTGGGCTTTGATAATTTTACTCTATCGCTGGTCAGGTGTGGAACTTGAGCTTCAATCCAGGTCTTAGCTTCGTCAATTGATACCATAAGCATGCGAACCTTTTATTGAATTTCATTGTTAAATTTCAAATGATGCATAAAAACTAAAATACCTCTTTCTTTGGAAGTTGGACAGATGCATACAAAAATTTTTGTTTATTTCCAAAACTATGTACATTGTCCAAGACCACTTGAGTTTTGTTGTTTCTGACATTAATTTTTAACAATTTATGAAGTGGATTATCTGCATTATTGAGCAAATTGGAAAAGTAATTTAAAAATTTATTACTAACGGAAATCATCTTTGACAGTTGCATAAATTATATCTTCATCAATATCACTCCAGGAGAATTCTACCACATAATATCTCAATAATCTCCAGCTAAATGCTCCATCTTTACTGATATATAAAGGCTAAAAATTTTATCTTTAAACAACGATTTACGTCTAATATATACAAAAAAGCTTACTCTGTCAATTCGGCGGTCATTTAACGTAAGAATTAATTGTTGTTTTATGGGATGAAAAACAAACACACTCGATATATCGAAATCAGCTACAGTTTTTTTCCAAGTTTTTCCACTATCATGACTTATGTAGATTATGCTTTTATATTCTATACTCTCAATAATATACAGCTGTTGAAGAATACTTTATCAAAAAACATTCAGTTAAATGGACTAATTATGTAATAACCTTTGTTGTATCTAGTGCATGCTTTTGCAGACCATTACCAGGTCGTATTAAGAGTTCTGCTTTATCTTTGGCAACAGCCTTATTAATTTTTGTGAAGCTTCTTCCATGATCAATACTGTAGATTTTTTTAAATAATCAGATGGGCCACATGTAAAAAAGACTTACAACCTTCTGTATACAGTCGATGGTTTTAAATAGTTGATTGAATTTGTTGTAACCGCTATTAGAACCTGTAATCGATACAATTTTACTTGTTCTTATTATTTTTAATTTATCTGGAGGGATACAATATTTATCAACTTAAAACAATGAAAGACAAACAACATTCAAGATATTTACCCTTTAATCATATATTAAATGAAAGTAAACATGATATTATATTTCAATATTTATAAATGTTAATAAAAAATACTTGCCCCTGTGTTTTGTCCAGACCATGTCAACCAAAGTTTACTTTGATTGTTTTTAGGTTCTAACAGTTTCTGAAAATTAAAGTTAAAAGGTAAGCAATTGAAGTAGTAATTCATAAAAAAAAAGAAAAAAAAACATACCTCTGTGAGAAATTTCTCTTTAATACCGTTTGCTTGAAGTCTACCCTCTATTTCTACTTTTCTACTTGAACATATACTATCAGAGTTATCATTGAGACTTCTTCGCCATCTCTTTCTTTTAAATGCCTCTCCGGTGATATCTTTTACACCTTTGAGATGGTGAATCCCTTCCAAACTCCCTTTAAAAGATAGCTGAGATTGTATGTTTGATTGTTCATTGGCCATAAATACTACATCCCTTTCTGCTCGTAATCTAATATTTTTCGAACAGAGAGATTGTCGGACAATAGAAATCACAGTTAAACAGAAAAGTACAAAATTTATCTTATACGACGCCATTCTCTATTGTTCGTATTGTTGGTCATGTGATTAAAGCTGTTGGTGTTTCCGCAATGAAAATTACGATATTGAATGGTTTACGGACGATTATTAATAATAACCTTTTGAGAAACTTCAAAAACAAAACAATATCCTCCCAATTATACGTCAATTTCTACAGCTGCCTTATTTCGTCCCCGTTAATGGCTGAGTTTGATATTAAACTCAAGCTGTTTATTAGTCAACTTTCAAACAAGCAGCGCGAAATTCAAATCAACGTACTCTAAATGCTTACATGTGAGGTCACTAAGTCGTTCACAATGGATGTTGCTAAAAAAATATTAATTCTATCCATTTTATGTATGTCAATGACATATTATTTGGAAATTGAAACACCACTAACGCAAAGTGTTTTATCCTGGAAAAAAAGGGGCCATTATTTCAAGTACAAAGAGCACTCGATATACTTTTTAAGTACAAGACCTAACCAGAAAAAAGTAAAAGAGCAAATTTATTAGAAAATTCTATTTTCAGAGCAAACAAACGATTCACCTAAAACTAAGTCATCATTAGTATTACTTCACGGATTTCCATCTTTTTCGTATGATTGGGCTAAAGTAAGCTTGCAGACATAACTATTTTTAAAAGATATATTATAAATAACTAAAAAACACTATGAATAGCTTCTTAAAAATTTGGAAAATTATGATAAATTTGAGGATATCATAACCTTTGATTTCATTGGCTATGGCCTTAGCGATAAACCTGTAAGTGTCGTTTAAAGCCTATTTTGATTTAACTACCTCAATTACTATTACCTTTTCATAGAGAAATCATCTATATTCTATTTTTGAACAAGCTAATATTACAGACGCCCTGATAAAGCATTTAAAACTAAAGAATGTACATATTTTAGCCCACGATTATGGAGACACTGTTGCACAGGAGCTACTTGCAAGGTAATGTAAATTCCAGTAAGTTTCTTTTTGGATCAATAATTCATATTCTCTAGGTGGAATAAAAATGAAGTAACAGATTGGAATCTACAAAGCGTTTGCCTATCCAATGGGGGTATTTTTCCAGAAACTAATTTTCCTCGTCCAACACAAAAAGTCAGCTGTTCTCTCAATTAACTTGTTGATTGATTTTTTGCTATTCATTTTCTAGTTGCTAAGATTACCTTACTTAGGTAGCTTCCTTTCAAAATTGATGTTTTATGGAGCATTCAGAAGAGGATTCAGTGAAGTATTTGGACCTAAAACACAGCCAACAGAAGAAGAGTTTCAAGACTATTGGTCAGCAATTCGACAACAAGCCGGAGAGGCTATTTCATATAGGTGAAAACAAACTTTTTGCATCATTTACGACCTCTCACTTAATTTGTCTGCTAGATTACTTCATTATATATCTGAAAGACAAGAAAATAAAGAGAGATGGACAAATGCCCTGGTCTCTTCAAAAGTTCCTTGTAAGTGTCTACAATTATGTAACAGCTGCTTCTGAACGTTTTTAATTTAACAGTGCATGTAATATACGGCCCAGCTGATCCCGTTAATCCTCGAGGCTTTATAGAATTCTATAAGTAAGAGATTTAGTTAATTTATTTAAAAACACGACATGCTTATTTAAAATTTTTCACAAAACAGAAACACAGTGCCAAATTCAGAAGTAACCGTCCTAAGAGATCATATTAGTCATTATCCACAGGTAGAAGATGTTGAAGCTTTCTCTGAGGCTTTCAAGAATTTTCTGAATAGTCAATAAAATACGAAATTTTGTCACCAATAAACAACCTTAAATTGCTATTAGATTGATAAATAAAATATCAAAATTGTTTCAAAGTGACTTTTAAAGTATCATCTTTCATATATCTAACAAATAATCTTAAAACATTTCAAAATATATAATTGTAATAAACTTTCCAAGTTAATTTTTATAGTTACAATTTACAACTGACTCAGAAAGGAAATTCAATACAATATTAACTACAATATTGTAGTCTTTATCAATTAAAATTAGGCTGTTGCAGTTCAAAGTGTGAGTTTTTGGCCACTGAAATCAATTTTAAGGCAAGTATTCGCCAAATAGTAATGAATACTTTAGACATAAATTTATATACGGTATATATAATAAACTGTGCGTATTATATAATAATTAAGACCAGATTTGGCTGAATTTTGCATCAATCTGGGTTAAGCATAATACGATACTACCAATTGCTTATGAACAAGCTATTAATTGCGTTCTGTTTGAAAATAAACAATACAAATACAATTTAACGGCTAGTAAACCGTTATGACAGAAATCTGAGCATGGTGGCGCTTAAACTGGCCTGTAAAGTAAACAGTATATCTCATCTATCAGCTTTAAAATCAATAAACTCTTAAGGGCAGAAATACTGAGATGCAAATGGACTTTGAACTTTAGTTTTAGCGAAATAACCAATCAAATAACATATATGTCTTTGCTACAATCTTGATATTTACCAAATTTCGAAGACGTTTTATTTTAATTAAATAACTTAAAATAGACAGCGTAATGGCAGAAGGCAAAAGCGAAGTACTGGAAGTAGGACAGGTTTGTAATCAATATATTTAAAATAGTATGATTATTTAAATATTTATTAATCTTTGAATCATCGGAGAGGACCTAAATTATATAATTTCAGATTATTAAACCAGCAACGACAAAAGACATGGCAAAATATTTAGTTGAAAAATTATATGGCATTAAGACGACAAATATTACTGAATTAAATTCCTACGATGATCGTAACTATTTGATAGAAGTTGAACCAAGTCATTCAAACCCTCACCTAGGAAAATTAGATGAAAAATACTTATTAAAGGTTTTAAATTGCATGGATTCGAAGAAGAATCATTTTCTAGGAGAACATGCTTTACAAAAACATCTTAATTCAAAATTATCCGTGAAATGTCCTCAACCAGTGATGAATATTGAGGGTAAAGAAATATCTTTTGAATGCCTTGATCCTAATAAAAATGAGGTTTCAAACTTAGTGAGACTTTTTACATATGTTCCTGGAATAATATTTCATAAAGGTACTTATTCAGCTATGCAGTTTTATAAATTTGGAAAAGTACTTGCCCAAATGGAAAATGCTTTAATTGATTTTAATCACCAAACCTTAGTAGGTCATAGTACAGTATGGAATTTGAAATTTATACCTGATTTGAAAAAGTTCACAAATGCTGTAAAGAACGACGGTTATGTAAAAATGGTAGAAGAAGTTATACAAAATTTTGAAAGCGATATCTTGCCTAATCTAAAAAATTTTAGAGAAGGTGTTATTCATGGAGATACCAACGAACAAAACATTTTGATTAATAACTTAACAGACGATGCGGACATTGTTGGTTTGATTGATTTTGGTGATTGTTGTTTTTCATATGTCGTATTCGATTTGGCTATAACCATTATGTATTTCATGGTTGAGACCAAATCAGTGGCACCGTTGGATGTAGGTGGACATATTCTTGCAGGTTATCTTGAAGAAAATTCTCAAAGTAGTAGAAAGATAAATAAAGTTGAGTGGAACGCCTTGAAAAGTTGTGTTGCTGGGAGGTTTTGTCAGAGTTTAGTGATGGGAGCCTATACGTATGAGTTAACTAAAGATTCTTATGTCCAAGTATGAAATAATGTCATTTTTAAGGACGAACAAAACATATATTTTATTTGACAGGTAACTGCTTCAAAAGGATGGGATCGATTTATCGAGCTGTGGACGACTCCAGCTGAAAAAGTTCAAGAAAATTGGATTAGAATAATTAAATCTTATAACGAAAATATTCTACAGTCTTTTGACTTTTTAAAAAGTTATTGAAAGATCGAACATTTGGTTTTTAATATTGAAATAAATAAAATAGTAGATTAAATTAAGAATATTCTTCAAAATGACATACTAGGGCCATCTACCGTTTAAAACATAATCTTGTTTACACCCGTAGCAACAGGATCTTGATTGCATTTGAATGCAAAAAAAAAGTAAACACTCTAAAGATACGATGGAGGATCGTGAATCCTCGGAAGAGATGGATGGCCTGAAGTCTTTTGTTATGGATCAAATTGAACAACAAAATGTTTGCAAAATTTCCTGATATAATGTTTTAAAAAGAACCTCATAATCTGTTCAATTCTTTTATTCCGTTTTTAGAAAAACTCCAATGAAAACATATCCTCTGACAGATTACAAGCTTTTGTAAATCGGGCGCTCTCAGAAAGCACTAGGTAATATGAGCTTTAGATTTTTATAGTATAAATTTAACAAACAATCCTTGAAAAGAATGAACAAACAAGTTAAAAAATCGAAACTGGAAATGGAAAATCTATACAAAAGTCTCGGAGTCAACAATATGGATGAGTTAACCAGAGAGCATAGAGAAGAGAATGGATTACAATAAAAAGAAAAATTAAATAATTGTACTTTGAATAAAGTAAACTATCGGAATGTTATACATTTTTTGTTAAAATACTGTCAAATATATAATAAAACCAAAAAAAATCGTTTCAACAAATGCAAGAAAAGCTAGTGAATAAAATTAAAATCCTTTCATAAACTTTCAAACAAATTGTTATAATTGGCTTTCTTTTTCTCTAAAAACTACCTTTTTAATTTGATAGGCAATAGATGTCTCTACCTGCCCAAATTCTTCTTTTCGCGTGTCTCCTAATTCGTACTAGAAATATTCAATTCTTGTGGAGAAAATTATAAAGTTTTGCGTTTAAAATTTAAAGTAGATTTTTGCTAAAGGGTAGAATATATAATAATGAGTGACGAAGACGAAAGATTGGAAAACTTAGACGAGCAACCTTGGGTTGGGATTAAAACACAATCTGGAAACTCAATCATAGTGAAGTACATCTTCAGTCACAAATCGTATGAACTTTTGTTATCTGATGGGATTTCATGCTATTATGAAAGGATGGAAGCAGAAGAATTATCCGAAAGAAATAAAGTATGAATACAAATTTACTTTTAAAGAAGTACGAGTAAATTAAATTAAATGATTTATTCTATTCTGTAAAGGAAACAAACCCCAGTCTTGAATTAACTCAAGGAAAACTGTTACATTTAATTAAATCGGCCTTTACAGGAGAACGAAATGTAAAAATGATTGTTAAGAAAGAGAGTGACAAAATACAGTGCTCTTTCACTTATTCTATTTCTGGTACTCTGTTTCAATGGAAGATCATTGCCCGACGTCAAGTTGAGAGAGTAAATGTTTAACTACGACCAGATGTATATCTTCTATCTTATTTATCGTTCATTTCTATGACTATTTTTAGATGAAAAGTGATCTTTTATCTCCCCTCTTTCAAATGGCAGAAGAGCTTAGTAGACGCCAAGCAGTTTTATTTACAAAGCTACGAGAAAAGGACAAAGAAATTGATGATTTAAAAAATCAAGGCGTTAAATGCAGCAGAAGTATGAACAATACTAGTAAATAAGAAATATTACCAAACTATAGATTTTATCTATCACTTCAGAACATTTAGAAACACCTATCTTTGATGAAAGTCTATTTCATGAATCGATGAAAAATGCCAAAGTATTCAAATTGTTCATTTTATATAATCTAGATTTTAGTAATTAATTATTATTTATTGATTTTGAATTCAAATAGGCATTCAAAGATATCTGTAAAGATGATGATAACATGGGATTTTCTCCACATTTACAGCGATTTTATAAAGAAATTATGAAGAAAAAATGTGAATCCGGTAATAGCACCGCTGTAACACAGTTTTGTTACTTTTCATTAAATTTGCCGTTTCTTTAGATGATGAAGACATTCCAGCTAGTGGTAGTGGAAATAACGCTTCCAACTCTCCTGTGAAATCTGTAAGAGAAAGCCCTAAAAAAGTAAAAGACTTGTAGTTCACAAATAATGATAAAGTTATTTATTTTTAAATATTGCTCTTCCCCTATTTTAGACATCTGATCAAATGCGAAAAGAAGCTAATGATCGTAAAAAAGCTGAAGAATATAATACTCCCGTTGTGCAATCAAAGAAAAAGAAGAAGCTAAAAATTTAGAATCAGAGACTTTCAATTTTTCCTATTTCATCATCAGTAATGTAATTAAACGTCTAAAGAACGTTATATCTTACTATCACTGAATAGCTATTTTTAATGTTTTTACTTAATAATAATATTTATGCAAATGATCATCTTTAAATAAATCAATCATTCAAACGCCTACAAGATGAAAAATATACAGAATATACTATGTGTACTTGAAATATCTATTGTGTCTACGACTCCGTAAATGTTTGCTTTGTTTAAAACGAAAAAGCTTTATTCTTTCATAACATAGTTCATACAAACCAATGGCTGTCACAAAAAACTACGTGCTTTTTATATTGACACATAGAAAAGCCAATTGTTATCTTACTTTCTTTTTTATTATAATCACTTCGTTCTTAGTTTTTGTGAGATAGTCTTCTATTATCCTCACAGCTGTCCTATCAAACATTAATAATACTTTTTTTCTATCGCTGTTTCATTCTTTTTTTATAAACAATGAGGCCTATAACGATTTATTGATGTCAAAATTGTAGGAAAATATTAATATATTTAAAAGGCTAGTTCCGATCAAAAATTTAAATAATCTCGTAAGCTAATAAATAATATATATATAAGCAATACGTTAATTAAAGATGATGAGTATTCATAAGATTTATTCAAATATAGCTGCATTATGAGTGGCTCCTATCATAAGATAAGAAAAACACTACTAAATTAACTGTGCTAACTATTGACTCACTTTTCGGTAATATATCATTCGCCAAGAAGAAAATCTACTACTATAGAATAATTTATTATATCGTTAATGTATACATAGATAAACAACATTATAAGTTTCTGTCCTTTAATATTTATTAATAATTTGTTAGCGTCATACAAAAATTGTCTCTTGAACATTATGATCAAAATTGATCTTTAGCGAAAATCTATTATAACGCTCGAATAGCACATAAAAGTTAATAATTTTTAAAAAGCCATTTTTCACTGAAATCATTTTGTTCTTATTAATGGAAATGTTTCAACAGAATTTTTTAAGCCTAGTTTTAATTTAATAAGAAAAAACTGAATAAATTTCTATATAATAAATCACTTTTTTCCCTCAAATATGATATGTAGACTTAAGAATTAAGCGGTTGTGGCCTATACTGTGTGAAATCTAATAGGTAGCTCCATGACCTACCAATCGCACTGTCAGTATAAAAAGCACATCCCCCCTCCCCTCCACACCTTTACCCAAAAATTTTTGTTTTGAAAATATCGAACAGAGTAGATACTTTTTCCGAGTAAAAATGAAATTGGCAGTACTTCTGACAGCTTATCTCTTTTCAATCGTTTTTGGTACCTATTTATCCGACTCTAAGGTATTTTGGAACTTGTTTATTAATTTAAATTATAAAAAACAATATTATTGAATTAGAATAATTTCGTGGATAGACTTCGACAACGTCTTGAATTGAATCGACTTGTTAGAAATTTAGAAGAAGTAAGTAGTTTTTTGCGATCGTAAACATATGTAATTGCTCGTATAATAGCTTATTAAAGAGAGAATATGTCTTTTTTTTAATGATTATTTAGCTTGAAAACTACGAAGTTCTCAAGGAAACTTTGAAGAAAAAAACTTATGGAGCTGGTTTACGAACTCAGGTAACTTTTACTTTTCTTTTAATAATTAATTTATAGAAAGTAACTCATCGTAAATTTTAGTACTTTGGTTTAAAAGAGGGTGAGAATGTATGTCATCGGGTAATTTTATTGGGCAAGCTCTTTGGACGATCCAGTTGTTGGACATCAATTAAACGGTGCCGATGCGGATGCGACAGCTTAGACACGGGTGCCTTTGAGAAGAGAGGGTATTATAGCGATTTGTGCCCGGACCTTATAGAAATTAGTTCCAAGAGAGATAAGAAAGATGTTTGTATTGATGGTGATAAAAGATGTTGGTGTTATTGTCAAAGTATACTTTAAAGTGAAATACTAATACATTATATACATAAGCAGCACATTGAAGTTTCAGTTTATTTTGAAACCGTTAATAATTAAATTACAGATTTTTAAGTCCAACACAGAAAATTTAGAAATTCAACCTGTTATTCACTTGTCCAAAAAAGTATGTAAGATATTTAAAAACATTTTCTTACAATAGTACATTGTAACCATAAATAACATTAAAGTATCAAAATTTCTTTATTTTTAGTGTTGCAAGTTAACGCACGCTCTTAAATGCGTCAGTGTATTTAAACAAAATATCTAACATACGATCAAAGAAATAAAAAAAATGAACTAAAAATATCGTTGTTTGTTAGCTTATAAAACTAATCACTGTATCACCAAGCAGTTTAACCATCTGATGCTGCTAATATATAAATATTTATAAAAAAAAATTCGAAAGACTACTTAAAACAGCCCACAATCTTTCAAGTTATTTTTAATGATCACATCCGTAACTGCATCAAATACGAACTGTACGTTATTTGTATCCGTGGCGCATGTAAAATGAGTATAAATATCCTTATATCCTTTTTTCTTATTCAAAAGTTCAAACTGCATTTGAATATACTCAGACGCTTCTTCAAAATTATCACCACCTGTGAATAAATTTATTATAGAATCTTTGCAAAGAAGTAAAATAAATGAACTTACCTGTATATTCCGGAAAACAATTTCTAAGGGATGATTTGGTTATTTTATCCATAAATAAATCCTTTTTGTTTAGAAAGAGAATAATCGAAGTGTCAGTAAACCATTTATTGTTGCAAATAGAGTCGAACAGCTTCATACTCTCCATCATTCGGTTCTTTGAAAGAATTTAAACAAACATTAAAATAGTGAACTTTTTAAAAAAATTAAAAATATTTACCATCTCTTGGTCTTCTGCTAGAGTTAGATCGTATTCACTCATAGCAACAATAAATATTATCGCCGTAACTCCTTCAAAGCAGTGTATCCATTTCTTTCTTTCGGATCTTTGGCCACCAACATCAAACATTCTGGAAAAGTTTTAAAAGATAATACTTTAGATCAGTAAAAGTTGGATATAATTAAAATATATTTACTTAAAATGTAAATCTTTATGAGTGAAATGCGTTTCAACGATACCCGTAGTTTTCACCCTAGTTCGCAAAACATCTTGCTGAGTTGGTATGTAGCTTGGATCGCTAATTCGCTCTAGAGAATCCAAGTAGCTGTCGAATGAGAAACATTCGTGATTAATGAAAGAAAGTTATTACAAAGAAAATAAAGCAATTATTTATGGTTTACAATCTTTTGGATAATTCTACAAAATAGTTTAAATTATCGATTTTACAACACTTCATAATAAATCTTTAATACGTACTATTCAGCAGAATCGTTAAGTTGATATTCTCTTGATCTGCGGAAGCATGCTTTGATTCCTGGATCATTCCACACCGACTGCATAACTAACGCCAATTCTCGAGACATTTCGCCATCTTCTTTTCCAGCGATTGTGAAAAAACGCCTTGCATCCTCCTAGTTATGATAAAAAGCGGTTTTATAAAAAACTATATTGGATTAAAAACTCTAATGTTACCTCTTTATCGCGACCGGCGAAGGAAATTTTAAGTTGTCCCATAGCTCGTATAATAGCAGCCAAACTCTGAATGGTATTTGAATAAACTACGGGTTTGTATCTTTCACATTCTTCTTTTGAGTAGCCTCTATCATGAATAATTCTGCAGGAAAAAAAAACAATTATTTTCGGCCTAATTAATAATATTCCAATTCAAATACCGCATCTGTTTAACGATTGTACTCTTTCCGGACTCTCCCGCTCCTGTAAGAATAAATTGATTTTAGTTTAACAATTAGAAAAATATCAAGTTTTATTTTCTTTATCTTATCATTTTAGCTTGTCTACAATAACGATTTTCCTATAAAAAAAGAAGCTGTCAATTTGATTGAAACCAAACGTGTTGTTAGCAAGTAAATTTTCGATTCATGATCAATATCCCTTAAAATCCCAATAGACTGTTTTAACTACCCATTGTGATGACGTCAACGTATTATTTTTACCGTTAAGATTAGATATAGATAACATATGCTCCTAAGAGGCCTACTATGACAAATAATTTTTAATGCGCTGTATAAAAATATTGCTAATGAAGTATTGGTAATTGTGACCAATTTTGCGGACTTTTGTAAAAAAAAACAAATAGAATAAAAAATCGTAATTTACTTAATTGTTTATACAAAATACCTTCGCCTACCTACTTGTCACAACAAGCCTTACCTAGAAGTAGCAGTTTTACTTCTCTTCCTGCTTTTTCTCCATCTGCTTTTAACTGTCTATCTAAAGCCCTCGACCTCTCAACAGCCGCTTTGTCTTCGCTGCTAATGGCGCAGCCCATTTTTAATAAAATATTGTCAATTAAAGTAAGGTAAAGATCCGGTTTCTAAGCACGGCGTCTGCTGAAAAGAAGCGCCAACGACCTAATTAGTTTATAAAGTTAAAAAGATAGATATAATAGTAAAACTTACCAAAATCTACCGATTCGCAATTGACACCAATTGAGTAAGATTATTAATAAACAAAAAATTCGTGCAAAAGTCTGTCTATCTGATATATAATCGCCGTCAAGGCTTGCACAAATTCAAATATTAAATATTTTACCCGGATGTGTTAAATAGCGCTGAGGCGAATGAGAGAGAGTTTGGGAAAATGGCTGCTATTCACCACCTAAAGGAGCCATATTTGAATATGTTAACTGCCATAACCGCTTTTTAAACCGTTTGAAAGCGCCATCTATTGGTAAAATAGTGTCAAGGACAATTAATAGGAAAAGTTTTTTGTATCTTTAATATTCCAATTAATGGTAAACTGATCGTACAGTAAAAAAAATGTTTTCTCAAAGGTTAGCTTTGAATCGGATTCATCAATTGTCAAAATTTGCCAGCATTATTCCAGAGCATGTTTTCTCTGCGAGAACTATGGCGGTTGTATCGTACTTTTGTCTTGAATAATTTAATGCTATTAAAAAACCAATACGCAGATACAAAAGAAAACTTGTTTATACGATTTTCATGTTCAAAACGACGGCAAAATGGTTAATTTCGCTGGATTTTCCATGCCAGTTCAATACAAGGGCTTAAGCATCACTGATTCCCATTTGCACACTAGGCGAAATGCATCCATTTTCGATGTTTCTCACATGCTTCAAACAAAAATACTTGGCAATGATAGAGAAGAATTTTTTGAAAAACTAACAGTATCTGACGTCAAAAATTTAGCAGAGGGACAGGGAACATTATCCTTGTTTACAAATGAAAAGGGGGGCATTGAAGATGATCTTATTGTTACTAAAGCAGCGGAAGGTTATCTTTATGTTGTGTCAAATGCGGGCTGCCTCGAAAAGGATTTGGAATATATGCAAAAAGCAGCTAAAAATTTTAGAGATCAAGGAAAAGACGTTCAAGTAGAAGTCGTCAAAAATGGATTATTAGCTTTGCAAGGTCCAAAAATGAAGGATGTTCTACAACCTTTAATAGATTGTCAATTATCGGAATTGACATTCATGAGATCCGTTCTGACAAGGGTAGCCGGTATCGATTGTCGAGTTACTAGATGTGGGTACACAGGAGAGGATGGAGTTGAAGTAAAAATTTCAAATTGATACTACGAGATTTAATTAAGAAATTTAGTATGATTTCAAATATAGAAAAACTTATTATTATTCTTATATAGATATCCGTTGCTGAGAATCAAGCAGCGATTCTTGCCGAAAAACTACTCGATAATCCTCTTACCCGGTTGGCCGGATTAGGAGCAAGGGATACTTTACGATTAGAGGCGGGATTGTGCTTATATGGAAATGATATGAATGGTGAAACCACTCCAGTTGAAGCCGTTCTTGCTTGGACCATTCCGAAACGAAGAAGACTTGATGGAAAGTTTCCTGGAGCTTCAATAATTAACAGACAATTAAAAGAGGGAGCCACTAAAAAGCGAGTTGGATTCTTATCAAAAGGTCCCCCTGTCAGAGGTAAAGTGGACAGCTGGCTTATAAATTTTTTATATCGGATTCAAAAGTTTCTCTCTTTATTATAGAAGGAACTGTTATACTTAATGAAGAAGGTACAGAGGAGATAGGAAAAATAACAAGTGGATGTCCATCTCCGTCATTGAAACAAAACGTGTCTATGGGTTATATCATGAAAAATCATTCTAAGATTGGTTCCAAAGTGAGATTTTTAGTGAGAAAGAAGTTTGTCGATGGAGCAATTGTGAAAATGCCCTTTGTACCTATGGGTTATTATCACGGAGAAAAGTAGTTTAGGAAGCGAAATCTTTCATATTTTAATATTTGACAAGAAATTTAAATATCAAATTGTGAATTATGTATCATAAGGTCAATTTCGTTTATATTTTCATTAATATTTCAAAATAGCTGCAGTATATTCATACGCGCTTATGTTCAGAAAATGGGTCGTGCTCTGACTCATAATCCAAATGAACAAAGGCTCTCTCTACCTCCGGCAAATATTCAATCTTGTGCTGTGGATAATAACATGACTACTATGAATTCTAGCTTTTAATTGAATATCAAACCTGCAGTGATTCTCCTATGTCATGTGATTCTTTAAGTGTCATATCCTCAGGTAAAACGATATCGACCTCAGCAATAAAATTCGAACCAAAATGATACACTCGTACAGTGTCTATTAACTGGAAAAATTCATTTGTCAATCTTATAAAAGAACAATTTTCAGATGAAGAAACATAGAATTTAAAGATATAGAATATGTTTAAAAGTCAAATAACATAGCATCTTGATTTTTACTTGTAGCAATCCTTTTAGAAGATTCTACATGGACAACATTAGTTTTTCGAAATCTAAGCATATTTCTGATACTATCCCTTAACTCTTTGCGAAATATTAGAAAAACGGCTATATTAAACCATGAATTTGAATACGATATTATGTAGATGGTATTTTCAGTAATGCGAAATGAGTTGGAGATTGGTCCACAAAAAGATACATACAATCTAACTATTTGAACAGGTAAATTACATAAAATAAACAGAATTATCAGGACTATAAGCATTTTCATGGACTTTTGTGTATCATCGTCTCGCGAACCATTTTCTTTTAATCTACGGGATAGTGTTTTCAAAACTCTACTGTAGCAATAAGCAATAATTGTGAGTGGAATTACAAACAGCACAAAAAAATCTAGTATCACAAAGGAACGATTAAATTTCATAAAGTTTGGGTCGAAGGTGCAGGCATGTCTTGAGATTCCATCAGAGCTTGTTACCACGATTAAATCAAAAGTTAATGGAATTTTGATTGAATATATTGTAGCAAATAGCCATATGAGGGAAATGAATAATGCTGACTTTTTCAATGACATCATTTGACTTCCTTTTTCCAAAGCTATGACATTGTATTTTACGATCGCAATACTTGCAATTGATAGCACGCTTGCAACCGAACTTGAAGACGACATATAGTGACACAGCTTACAGAGTATACTTCCCAGGTATTGTTCTGAAAACATTCCTGTTATCCGAGCAGGCACGACCAGCAAGCCTAAAGATGCTCTTGCCGTCAACAAAGATAACAGAAACAAGTTGCTTACTTGTCTCCTCAGACGCGGATCCTTTGAAATAGAAACTGCGATGACAATATTTCCAGCAACGATCAAAACTATACATGAACTGTACAAAGTTATAAAAGTATATCGGAAAGTTTCGACTGTCTCAGCTTCAGGTCTTGGCGAATCGTTTTCATTCATAGTAGTTTCACTTTGTTCTCTAAATTCGGTGGTTACTTGATTTAAAAGCATATTCTGCTCTAAAAGTTTCTCCAGTTGAAGAAAAACAGCTCAATGAGTACGATGAACGCAAACTGATCGTCAGCAAACACTAATTACAAATCGATGACTTACACATAAAAAAGCATTCCTACATGTTTAATGGATCTAGATCTATAATAAATGCGTGTAACAAAGAGACACTATCGAATGCTACAGCCGATATCATGAAAAAAAACTTACTAAAATTGACGGATCGTGATTTAGGGCTATCCAAGTAATTTTTTTCATTATATCAGGTCGGGCAGTGTGGCCAGTCAGCATTTTAATTTGCTCTGAAAGCATTGATAAACAATTACAAAAAGATTATGTTTAAAATTATATACCATTGCCAGTAATCGACCAACTGACGATAATGTAAAAGCTGATAAGTATGGCACCAATTGGATCCGTATACGACCACCATTTGTAACCTATATAACCGCAAATAAGAGCAACAGAGTTTGAAAGCGTGTCATTTCGATGATCTTCAGCTAATGCTTGGGTTGTAGGAACAGGTACTCGACGGCAAGTTAAAAATAAAATCAGTTTGATAATAATTGTCAAAACTAAAATTATAATTGTTGCTATATCGATATTTAAGGTAGATGAATCCTTGGTTGCGTAATTAATAATTTTTTCTATGGATTCTCTAATCATTTGAACAGATGCTAAAGCCATTACAACTGATAAAATGACAATAGCAATAGGTTCTAGTTTTGTTCTTCCTCCAGGATAAGAATATATATCTCTTTTTTTCATAACTCTCGAGCTCCACCACATGAGGGCACCACTTGCTAGATCAACAGCTGAGTCTATTGCTGACGAAACAACAGATAGAGAACCGGACAAACAAGAAGCAACCACCTTTCCAATTAAAAGCAACTGAAAGTTAAAATATATACATTACTTGTTCGACTGATTATGTTTTCAATTACTAAATTAATTCCAAAGGTTATTTTGGCTAAAATATCCGCCCGCTTCCTCATATCTAGAACTTCCTTTGCATTTTCCATAGCATCATCTACTTCTAAGTGCATCTCTTCGAAACAACGTATCAACTCATTTTGTTCTTTATAGTAGCGTCTATTCAAGATTACAACGCTCTCATATATTCATATACAATATAATATATTCTATAAACAAACCGGACATTTTTAGACAATGACTTATTGATTTCTTGTTTTTTAGAAGAAAAGGTTTGAAGGCATGGTCTCCAAGTTGCTTCTATTTACATAGAAAAACATTTAGGAATTTAACAGTGTTTAGTCAATTGTTAACCTTCATCTATTATTGTTGTCGAACACGGAGCAATCTCCTCAATTTTAACTTTTCTTCTAGATCCTATGCAGGAATTTGACAATGAGCAAATAGGACTATGTTTAGCTAAAGGAAAAACTTGTGGCTAAAATTTGAGAAGGATTAAAAGTTTTTTTCTATTTCTAATGTGAATATTTAATAATATGAGTATACCAAAGACATTCTTCGTTCTACATAGGGCCTGGAAGGTTCGTAACTACATGTTACATCCTCATGACTTGTGCTACAATTTCTTGATTTTGATGAAACTTCTTTTTTTGATTTATTATCAGTTGAAAGTTCCATGTTGCTCTCACTTGATTGTCGAACAGGTTGATAATCAACTGAAGATGAAGCATTGTCTCTCGGTGGCCTTAAACCTCCCTGAAGTGCACACATTTTAGCTGTTGGTTTGGTATTGTAAGTGAGCTGACGGCCCTATTATTGGCCTGTAGGCCTTATTAATCTCGACCATATGATGATAAAAGAGTTAATGCCCTTCACCTTCAAGGAAAAAATCGCTATAAAGTAATGTTCGTATTTTTGCAGAAGTTGCATGGAAAAGCTTTTTAAAATAACCTTATATTAATTTATCATTTTGGACTTGATTACTGTCCTAACATTATGAAAATGGATTTTTTATTATATAAAACGTTGTTTATTATTGGTCTAAAAATTTTTGAGATGGCACATTTTGACGAATAGGAGCTCTTGTAAGAGATCACGTGACTGAAAATATTTAGTATAAATACTCTAAGCATGCGCGTTATTCTCAACCATATTTTGTGGACGTGGTAAGTTTTGTCGAAAAGACAGAATTGTTGAATAACATGTAACAACAACCACAATTAAGTTACTAATCATTCTTATTTGAATCTTAGGTAACACGTGAGTTCTTGTTGGCCGGTTTTAGCCGACTACAAGCTTTGGACGGACTTCACGGACGCAGTACTGTAAGTCTTCTGTTTTTAATTTGATCACTTTTAACTTCCGGTGATTAATTACGATGTTTTGCGTTATTTTTGAAAACTAGTAACTTTTACTTTGCAATCAGGTCATAAGTTTCTTTTAAAATTCGTGCCATCGAACGTGCCACGTTGCATGTCGCTGGGGTCAAATAGTTTACGAGTACGACTTATGAACTTTGCTTCAATTATGTAATCTGTAAACAGCTCGTGTATTTCATACTGGATCAGGATTATCTGATATCTAGAGAATTGTAGATAAAAGTTAGTTGTTATCTGATCTTCAGAGTAGCTTTAGAGCCCGTTATAGGCTATTACAGGAAAACTATTGAACGTGTCGAATCTTGTAAATTGATTGAATCTATAAATAAAGTACGTTGTATCCTTCTACTTGTTTGGCATCACGGAAGTAGGTCTTAGACGTAACCTTAAATAAGGCTATTTTATGTAGGGAACGATATCTTTAAAGTAGGCCGCCATTCTCTGAACATCTGCCTTTCGAACACGGTTGCCACGTCGTAGAAATCGATGACTGTGATCGACGCTTGTTCAAGACAAGTGAAATAAGGCCTACAAGTTAAAATTTGTTTTCGGATTTTGAATTTCTTTTTCACACGTACACGTAATGTATTGTTTTGCATTTCAGCGAGTACTGTAGAACTAGAACCCGGTCACCGGTTATGAGTACGGATATGGATTCGATGGTAGATGGTGTAAAGGATGAGAAGTGCGTGCATAGGTATGGCGATGCTTTTCCGCCCCTACCCAGTACGTCTCCTAGTCCGGAGAATACCAATAGTGAGGGAAATTGGACGAAATCTCCAGCAGCTCCGAAGATGTCGCTAAGGTCGTCGACCGTTACGCAAGTCTTTCAGGTTCCGCTGGAGGAAAGACGTTTCAAGGATGCAGGAGCTGAAAATTGTTCCTGGGGAAACAGTAATCATAGTAGCACTGAACAAGCTCGCGTATGTGGAGATATTATGAAAAGCTTCAACGTTTCTATAGAGCTTTCTTCTGGAAAAGATCGATCACTGACAGTTGTTATAACTGGAAAGAATGATGCTGTAATGAAGGCAAGAAGAGAGGTTTTAAATAAACTACAAACACCCTGGAAACAACAGATGCACATACCCAAGGAACATCATCGTTTCATTCTTGGTCCAAAAGGGGCTCGTCTCCAAAAGCTCGAATTAGATACAGCCACTAAGATACAAATGCCCCGATCCGATGAACCATCCGATGTCATAATGCTAATCGGAACTAAAGAAGGAGTTGAAAAGGCAAGACACGAAATTCAATTAATATCTGACGAACAAGCAAAATTAGCAATGGAGCGTCTTCCCATCCCGAAAGTTTTTCACCCATTTATCCAAGGTCCCGGAAATAGAACCGTGAGCGATTTAACGAATAGTTATGGTGTGCGCATATCCATTCCGCCGTTGTCGGTGAACAAAGACGAAATCGTTATTTCTGGAGAAAAGGAAGGTGTGAAAAAGGCCGCCGAATATGTTAAAATGTTATTTGAGGACAAACGCAAAAACTGCCAAACTGTTTCAGTTGAAGTAAGAAAGTCTCAACACAGATATGTTTTGGGGGTTCGTGCAAGCGGAATACACGAAATTCTTGAGGCAACTGGAGTCAGTGTGGAGGTTCCACCAACTGATAATGCCTCGGAAACAATAACTTTGAGAGGAGATCCTCAGAGCCTTGGGGCAGCACTTTCCCAAGTTTATGCCAGAGCTAATAGCGTTGTTGTTAGAGTTGTTGAAGCACCTTCTTGGTTACATCGTTTTATTATCGGAAAAGGTGGCGACAACATCAAGGCTATATCTTCAGATATACCTAAAGTTCACATAGAATTTATAGACGATCAGGACAAAATTAGCATCGAAGGTCCACCTGATGAAGTAAATCAAGCCGAACAGTCCTTGCGTACCATCATAAGTCGCTTACTACAAAGCATGTCTTATGAAGAAGTGAAAATAGACCAGAAGTATCATAGATATGTGATTGGACAGAAGGGAGCAAATGTTAACAGACTAAAAACCGAATTGGGCGTGGCAGTAAGAGTTCCGTCCGATTCTGAAAAGAGCGATGTGATTAGAATTGAAGGCAGCCCAGTTGGAGTAGAAACAGCTCGAAAACAAATTTTGGATATGGTGGAAAAAGTGGCTAATGAAAAATCTAGAGATATCATCATTGAACAACGCCTCCACAAACAACTAATTGGCTCTGGTGGAAAGAATATTCAAGAAATAAGAGACAAGTTTAACAACTTACAAATTACTTTCCCAGAACCAAATAAAGTAAGCGAGATTGTAACGCTTCGTGGACCGAAAAATGATGTAGATGGCTGCTACAATTATTTACTGAAATTCGCACGGGATATTGCTGAAGCTAATTTTACAGCTGAAGTAAGAGTTTACAAACAATTTCACAAGAATGTAATTGGAAAGGGCGGAGCAACTATTCGTCAAATTCGAGAAGACACTAACACGAAAATTGAACTACCATCTGAACGAGCGGAAACTGATATGATTAAGATTACCGGAAGAAAAAAGGATGTTGAGGCAGCTAGAAAGCGTATTGAAGACATACAAAATACACAGGCTAACATGGTGGAAGATACCGTTACTATATCACAAAAATTACACAATTCACTAATTGGAGCAAGAGGACGCTTAATTAAGGCTATAATGGACGAACACGGTGGAGTTCAGATTCATTTCCCTGTTGAGGGCGCAAAATCTGACATCGTTACTTTGCGTGGACCTAAGGAAGATGTAGCTTCAGCGAAGAAAGCTTTGATTGAAGCTGCCAACGAAAAAGCATCCCAGTCTCATACGGCAGAAGTGAGATGCAAAGCCGAATACCACCAATTTTTGATCGGTAGACGAGGTACAAAGGTGGCGGAAATTAGAGATAAGACTGGAGCAAGAATTATATTCCCAGCTCGCGACGATAAGGTAAGTCAATATTTTGCTGCTTTGATACAATTAATATAGCAATTGTTTCTAATTTGCATTTCTCAATAGGACCAGGTCATCACTGTAATCGGAACTGAAAAAGCTGTCGAAGAGGCACGAAAAGAATTGGAAGCAAGAATTGCGGCCTTGGATAATGTGATAGAATCAACTATTGATGTTGCGCCACAGTATCACAAACACTTTCTGGCTAAACGTGGTGAACAATTGCGTTTGATCGCTGATGAATATGGTGGAGTTAGTGTTTCATTCCCCCCACCTAATTCTGGAAAATCGGTTGTTGGATTAAAAGGAGCTAAAGATTGCGTTGAAGGTGCAAAAAAACGCATTCAAGAGATGGTTGAAGATCTCGAAGCCCAGGTTACGATTTCTTGCGTCATTGCACAAGAACATCATCGCTCGGTTATGGGGGCAAGAGGCTCGAATGTACAAAAGATAGCTACGGACTTTGGTGTTCTCATCAAATTCCCGGATAGACCGGAAAGAAACGTGAATGGTGATGTCCCAGTTGATAATGGAACAGAAAAGCATGATGCCATTTCGATTACGGGTAGAAGTGAAAAATGCGAAGAAGCAAGTAAAGCCTTGAAAGCGCTTGTCCCAATTACTAAAGAAGTTAATGTTATTCAAACCATGCATCGTTACATCATTGGCAAAGGAGGTGAAGGAGTAAAGCGTATAATGCAAAATCACGAAGTACAAATTGCAGTACCGACAGCTGGCGATCCAAGCGATGCCATAAAGATAACTGGTGTAGAAAAAGCTGTTAATGAGGCCATTACTGCAATTGAGGATCGTGTTAAGCAGCTGGAACTCGAAGAAGAGGAACGACAACGCAAGTCATTCCAAGTTGAAGTTGTTGTTGATCCAAAATACCATCCAAAAATTATTGGAAAGCGTGGCTCTGTTGTTACAAAGATTCGTGATACCCATGACGTCCAAATACAATTTCCAGACAAAAAGAATGCCCAAAACCCTGATACCATTGTAATTACAGGATACGAGGAGAAGTGCTCAGCCGCTCGTGACGAGATTTTGGCTATTGTTAAAGAACTAGAAGAACAGTACATTGTTGAAATTGAACTTGATCACCGAGTTCATCCTCGTATAATTGGGATCCGTGGAAAATCCCTCAGAAAGATCATGGATGACTTCAAAGTGGATATTCGCTTTCCAGGACGTGACGCATCAACACCAGATTTAGTAACCATCACCGGAAATGAAGATGACGTATATGATTGCCGCGAATGTCTGCTGAACATGGCGGAAGAGTACCTACAAGATATTGTTGAAAAAGAGGCGCTCGATAAGTACCGTTATCCTAAGGACACAGTTAATTCAAATGCAAAGAGTGATAGCGAGGGATTCAGGGTTATAGATGCACCCTGGAGTGCTCCAGACACTAATAGTACTACGGATTTCCCTGATCTGGCGTCGGCTTCCGCTCCCCGCACAACTCCGACATGGGGGCCGTCTGTTAAGCGTTGAACTGTGCTCAAATTATTGTTTTATGTTTGGCGTTGATTCTTGTTACTAATGATATAAAGCAACAACAAACTTGACGACGCTGCTGCATATCAGCTGTCTGCATTCGCTAGCACTCTATCCCGTCAATATATACATATATGCTATATATATTTATATATATGACTTACGTTATTTGCATTCTACATTTATGCCTTTCAATGCTGGTGATAAGTTGGTTAAAAAATACAATTAATTATCAATCGGTTATCTTAATTGAATTGTATTCTTAGTCATGATTTGAATCTTTAAACACAGCGACAGTACATAAATTCTCCTTTTTCAATAACACATTTCTGAAAATACCTGACCGTTAACATATTTAAATCACTTTTAGGATAATACTTTACTTTGAATCTGTTTCTAAAATAACAACTGGCACCTCAGCTCTGTCTTTTTGAAGTTCCTGCGCCCGATCTGGTATGGCAGACAAAACACTACTAAGTTTGAGTTCTGTTGATGATGCTTTCTTCGCTATGAAAATATATTCAAATGATAATAATAAATAAAAAGATCAAGTATAATTGTGATCAAATTAGTGTCTAGCTTACAAGCCAATATCATTCCTTGAGAATCTAGACATACAGCCGCTCTGACATCCTCCTGATGAACTCTAATGAATAAAATATCGCTCATTTTGTATTATTCAAAATAAGCATAAGCAGATTAAATTGACTTACAACTCATCTAAATGCCTTTCAATTGGTTTCTCCATATAATATGTTGATTAAGTTATTTAAATATAATATATAAAGCAGTCAAATTAATGGTTTCGATATAACAGTTTGAGCTTTATTTTGATCATATGACGGAAAATAATCCGCTTATTTTACCTGCATGCGGTGTCTTTTTTTCGCGCTCTTTTCGAAAAAGAATGAATGGTAAATAATTTTTTTTTATTTTTAACGAGTTAATTTATTTAGAATATGAAAACAACATTCTGTGATAAAATTTACAATTGAAATTGTTTTTCCATAGCTAATATTCTGGTACATTACTCTTGTCCATGCTAGTATTCAATGAGTGGTTCTTGTACATTCCGCATTGGCCCAAATGCTGTAATATATCACATGTTATCAAATTCGTGTGTATAAATTTATTTTTTTAAAGTATTCAAAAGAGAGCTAGCCAATATGGGGGCCGTCTGTTTTTTTTACCTTCGAAAATTTTTGGGACTTGGCTCTAAAGGTTGTAGGCATGGTGTGAACATTTGGAGGATTAGAGCCATAAGAACTGTTTGTTGTTCGATACATCGGATTAACTGTTTTCGACTCGTATCCTCGAAACCAATCTAAAGAGTTAATGAAATTTTAAATTATTACTTTTCTGATGTCGTTTGAAACATTTTGTAAATCGAAAAACAAAAGTGTTTCAAAATTATATTGAAGATCTCTTAAATATTGTTAAAAATATGATTTTCAAAGTTTGTCGACATCATTGTTTAGTCGGTTTTGACATACCGTCATCAGATGAATGAGGAGTCTGCTCGGACTCGACTGGGAGTGTACACGAAAATACAGGATTTCCGGATAGATAACATTTTCCTGTTTGGGATAGAAAGTTAAAATTACCCGGGTGTTCGAATCTAGCTGGAATTTCTTTTGTCCTATAGAAATCGGATGTCTTCGCACCTGATGTTTGGAAGTTTGTCTCTCCGGTAGCGTTGTTAGGAATACTCTGCGCAACTTCAAGTTGATGGCTCTATATTTCACAGAAGGAAGAAACAATAGATTATATTTTATTATATAAGATAGTTTAGTATTTTTTTACATTTCTTACCGCTGTTTCAGTCATATTTCCTAGATAAACAACTCGCTCGAACTATTCGTATCTGTTTCCGTTGTTGCTAGGGAATCCTAGTGACGTCATATAAAACATTTTTTGTTGGTCATTTACAAAAACAAAAATTTAATTAGGTGACTATAAAAATTCTATATAATTATGACTGTAAAATTATCTATTTCTTTATTTATTGAAAAATATTTTTCTACGAAAAATAATCTAACCAAAGGCGAAGTAACAACAAGCGGCGCGAGAAACTTGGCCAACCAAATGATTTTTTCTAAATACTGTCGATGTACATAGCTTTTGTTGTGTGCGCTTGCTTTAATGCAAAATTTTGATAAGGCAAATAGAAATGAATATGGATAGACATTTAGATAATTACCAAGTGAGTACTTCAATATTTTTATATGATTTAGATAAGTAAAACTTCCTGTGCACTTGGTTAATATGTACGTAAACATAAACAGTGCCTATTTTTTTTTATCTATCTAATTGAACACCTTTCCAATTAAAAGTCTACATGAACACAATGTCCAAGTGAAAATTTAATGTTATATTTTGTTTTCAGTTGAGTCGTCTAAGCATTTTCTACGTTATCTCTTCCTCAATAAGGTCAGAAAGCTGCGTACTTCGAACTCCAAAATAACTTTCAAAGTTTTAAATTTATAGTTTTTTAGGAGCTATTTCTGTCGTATTATGTTGCATTTTGAAAAGAAAAGTATGCTTAGCAGAGGTTTGTTACATTCCCATTAATGTTACGTTAGAAATTAAATTGGTGACAAAGACGCTATTTATTGTTTGTAGGTGTTACCAATGTTTCATCTGTTACTTTCGGATACCGTCGCTTCGTGTTGTTTATTGATTGGCTCGGCCATGGAAATTGGCCGATTAACAAGTCCAAGTTTGGAGAAAAAATTTATCTCAATTTGCCCTTATGTCAGCACTCTCATTGTCGTACGTATTTATCACTAAAAACCAAAGACGAGTTCAAATTCCAAACAGCTCTTAATTAATTAAAATATTCTATCAAACTTTCGCAGTACTTTTTCATTACGACCTTTCTTTTGACGGGAGCATACGCCCTTCAAGCCTTTCTTAGAATGAAATATCTACTAGCCTTTCAATTAGAGAAGGAAACATGGCTGGTTTGTTTCAATATCTTAAATTTAGAAACGTTTTCTATAAAAAAAAACTACGTTGCTCAAAAAGTATTATTCTTTTCAGAAACATATCCATAAAATATCAGCTGTGACATATATTGCATCGTGGTAAGACGTCAAGCGTTTTCTATTGTATTCTTATACAAGTTTAACTTTTAGTTTTAAATAATTTAAAAAACGTAGTCGTATACCTCCGCTAAACTGTTAAATAATTCCAATCACTTTGCTAAGCAACAAACACAGAAAGCAATATGGATGATGAACGATTAAATCTTATTCTTCATCGTAAGAGATATATTTTAAAGTGGAATAATGAATTAGATGTAGCTTCACGTAATATTTTTCCTCCGGAAGTTTGTAGGGAATTAAATAGTATCGAACCTGACAAACGAATTCAGTTTATTCTTAATAATAAAGGATTCGAGAGTCTCATTTCTATTCTAGAAGCAACTGGTAGTGGTCTCGATCAAGAGTTATTATCGGAATATAAAAGAGAAGCAAATCATATGGAAGTAGATGACTCAATCAATAAGGAATGTAGTATTCTTGTCCATAGAACTTTTGGGAAAAGTAAAATTATATCAGAAGCTGAGAAAAAATTTCTACAAAATCTATTATCTGCAAGAGTTCGTGTGATGCGGGAGGCTTATCAGAACCATCTAGAAAATATAAATAGAAAGCTACAAACGCAAAGTGGAAAAGAGACTGATTTAAATAAAATGATAGCTGAAGCGATTTTTGTCTTATCCTCATCAGTTGTGGAAAACTTAGATGATGGAAAATCAGATAACGATCAGCCAATTAATCATCTCGATATCTGTGTAGATCGCCTCATTAACTTGTGCTCTTCTGCCCTAAGTGAACGAGATACTCTTTTAGTAGAAATGAAATCAGCCCTATCAGAGCTTGGTTTATCTCAGCCCGAGAGTATTATTCAAAGATTAAAAAAAATGAACATAGAATGCAGCGAAGCCGCTGTTACAGATACTGAAAAATATGAAAGAATCGCTCAACTGGAGTTAAACATTCGAAAAATTAGAAGAGAGTCGGAAAACGAATCACGAGAAAGGAAAAAGGAAATTGATTCACTCCAATTGGCATTGAATCAGAAAGTCAACCAAAATAAATTACTTATGGATAAAAATAACTTTCTAAAAGAAAAGCTAAGAAAGAAAGGTCATGAAATGAGTAGAATCAATAGCAAATTAAGCACCGTTTTAGAAAGAAGCACAAGATTAAATAGCCAATTAAACAAAGGGAAACCTAGTTACTTATATTGAATGTTTATTTAACAGTTTGCTGTGCCTTTAATATAGTATATAATTATGATATGTTTTATTTAATCGTTCCCCATACGCTTTATCTACATATTAAAAGTTATATTTGTATTGAACACAAAGGGGTGTACCGATAGTTTTGGCAGCGCTGAATACATTTTTAATGCAATTTCCCTACTCTGGAGATAATGAGATATGCTCGTCGTAAGTTACTATAATGAAAAAATAGCATATAATTCTGATATTAATGAAAACCAATACTTATTAATAGCTGCCTGCCAATATTTCTTCTCTCATCCAAAGACGATTGGGTTAGAATTATAAATATTCATATATAATAAAAATAATAACAATAATAATTATTATGGATGTTATTATCTATTATAGACAACCTGGCATATTTTCAACAAGTGCTTTTTTTATATTTGCTTATTGTCAATCGCATTTCTCAATCTGGTAAAGGAAAGATTTTAACTTGAATTAATTGATTGTAATGTTTCTTTTAATCACTCAATAATTAGGTTTTCTATTATGCAACCTTTCATATCTACAGAGAATATCAGTCGACAAGAGGTAAAAGGGTTACAGCAATTTTATCAGAGAATATCACCTTTTTTCTCGTTAGGTATTCTTAACTTCAGTCAATCTGAGGAGGAAGAAGAAATGAAACGGAAGACGTCATTATATCAAGCAGTTTTCATCATGTGTTGGTTACCAAGTCAGTATTTTTTATAATGAAGAGTCTTTGAATCAAATATTGTTAACAATAACATTTTTTTATATTGTAGCTTTGTTATTGGGACTACTATCTTTTTTCACAGAAATTTCTATTAAAAAATTATTCTGGCTTGTTTGTATTCAAGCGCTTATATCACCTTTACAAGGGCTGCTAAATTCCTTAATCTACGGATGGAAAAGACAAGGATTTAGAGAGGCGTTAGAGGAGAGTCGCCGTCTTCTGCTACCTAATCCCCTACCTTCTTACTCTGCTCTTTAATTCCAGTTTCAGAATTAGAGTTTGCTGCATACTTTATATAACAAATTATGACTTAGATAGTAAGCATATTGATAAATTGTATTGCATTTATGTTAATCTACCTGCCTAGAGTTGCATATTGCTTTTCTCTGAATTATTATTGGAAGAGGGAAAAATGAAAAATACTTTTTAAAAAACATGAATTTCAATGTGGGAGTAAAAATAGTTCTAAATATTACCATTCTTGTTATAAGCCTCCTTTTTAGCCCAATGAATTTGAACTGCGTAACCATATAAAAAGCAATCATATAATAAAGAAGATTTTATTTGCTATGCATTTACAGAAGAAAATGATTATGGTATATCTAACTTTAACAAAAACAGTTTCATTTTCATTAGAATTTACCATCCACGCAAAACATTAACTAATTCTCTTGGATTTTTCTGACTTAAAAAGGTTAATTCACTTCTGCCTTCTTCGCTATCAGCATTTTCAACTTGTATCCAATTGTTTGAAAAATAATAGTCTAGACAACTTTGCATTTCCTTATTATTGTACTCTGTTGTTTTTATTGGTATAAATGGTTCCATATAATGAAAACCCTCTTTTGTTAATAAATATGCAGGTAGATAAGATGATCTCATATTTCTAGGATTAGACATAGGGTCTACAGTACAGACGACAGATCCACCGCTCCAGTCATTCTTTAATAGTTTTTTAAAGTTATGTACTAATGATAGCCTACTGGCGGGCACTACATTACCGTATGGTAGGCTAATTCTTGTTTTATGCCAAAAGGAATTAACACCATCAATTGCAACCAAAACCTTCAACTTATTATTACTGGCTAGTAGTTTGATTTCTTTCAATAGCACTCCAACGATGTCACACGAATATTTTGTTCTGTCAACTGCTAAATTTATTAGTTGTCCCAAAGAGCTTCCGCTTTCAGTTTTTTCTCTTTTGCTCCAGGTATAGTTGCCCTCAATAGTCAAACTATCCACAAGTAAATGACTATTCATTTTGTGGAAATGAACCAGCCACTCTAGAGCTTCAACAGACATGTCAATTCGATCTTCATTCCAAGTAGACGGTGTCCACTCCTTAAAATGCTTCGACCAGAAGCCGGCCCAAGGGACATGAATTATTAGAAAATCTTCCTTTGAGGCATAGTGTAAGATATGAGCCATTGACGTTGTCTTACCCGTTCCTTCCTTTCCGTATAAAAGATATCGTATCGTTGGTGCTGAGAAATCCGTTTTCTTCAAGCAGTCAATAACTATAACAAATAGATTTTAGTAAGAAAGTAAAGTTTATTAGTTTAATATAAATAGCTTTTAAGATTGCATATATCCCAAGTTATATTCAATTAGGCTGATAAAATCTTTTTATAGCAAAAAATTAACCCTACCTTTTAATGCTGGCTTTCTAATCATTAAACAGTGCTCATTAAAAGCTGAGGCTAAACGCTGATAATCAAATGGTAAACTCTTTTCCAAGAATTTGTCAACATCTTCTTTCTCAATTTTATAAAACAAACTCTCTTGTTCTACTCCTTGCTCACGTGGGTCGGTAACTTTTGTTGTACATGGATATTTCGTATGTTTAAGACTGGGATTAGTTGCGTTCTGAAATTGTTGAGTGAGGCTGAATGACTCCGCGGAATATTTACGAATATTATTGAAGAATGCTACGGATCTTGATAGAAAGAGCGGTTTGAAAAGCAGAGAAGGCATCTTCGGCAACTATCTCAATGTCAAGGTCAGCAAGTTTATCAATTTTTGTTCGAATGTTTATAGTGTCCATAGTATTATTTTATTGAATAAAACCAATCCTTGTTTAGTTTTATTTTATTTCATAGAGTATGTATACAAACACACATGTATATCATTATAAATATGTATACATATAATATATACTATATATATATATATATATATATGTATAATAGTTTACTAGTTGAACGATTTATTTAAAAATAGTTTAAAATTACTTATTGTAAAATTCGATGTTAGCGTTGATCATTTTTTTTTCTTTCAAAGTCAACTGTGAGATTTAATAGTTATTTTATGTAAGTAATTACATACTTCGTCATTATTCATAGCATCCTTAAAAAAGTTTTTTCCATAAATTGGTTCTTTACAATAACTTATTAGGAAAATTTCAAATAAAATAGCTGGAAATGGTAAAATGTTTGACCTCATAAATAGTTAAAAAGATTCTTATTCCACACCATGTGCAAATATCATTACTAAGCCAGAGGAGAGCAAAAGATCATCAGGCATATGCTGATTATCCGAAGGTAAGACTAAAACAGCTTGTTTCCCTGGAACCCTTCTTGTCACGTAACGTTCGTAATGTCGCCTGTTTAATTGTCTGGTTTCTAACGTAGATAAGCCTGGGGGCCAACGTCTTTCGTGAGCATTATCCATTAATTCGCCAACAGCACTTTGCGGACAACCGGCGTCTATCAAAGCTCTTTTTATAACAGCTTGTAAAACTGCATCTGGTGTTGAGATCATACCTCCCCATCTAGTCACTCTAGCAAGTTCCATATCTGATGCCCATCGCGATAATTCATCCGTTTCTCCACCAGCCAATCTGTTTTAAAAATAAGTTTTTATCTTGTTATAATATCTATTGTGTCCAAAAATTAGCATATTATATTTTATTTTTGAGCTGACAAATAAAAATCTATTTGAAAATATCGCATTAAAAACATAATTAATATTAAATTAAAGTCATCTTAATACAATATATAAAAGTAATGAAATATTTATTGGTCATGTCATTATAACACATGTATCATATTTTTGTTGTTGTTACCAGATAGATAATGAAAATATAGAACCAAATGCTAATTATAAAAAAATTCTGTTTACTTTTATCTATAATCTAACAGGTTAAATGAAAAATGAAAAACAAAGCCCATTCAATGAAATTTAGTTGTGCTTAAATTAATAAAGAGCAATAGTTAAAAATCGATTATAAGCATTCTGCTCATAATTTATGAATGTAATAAAAATCAAAATCGATCAAAAGTTTGTGAACTGAAAAGAAAATGTTTTTTTTGGATTGTTTACCTCATATTCCATCGAGATCTCAGTTCTCTTTTTAATTGTTCTACTTCGGCTTCTGCTTTTTCAACTCTCTTCTGATACACTTCGATCTGGTTCATGAATAGTTTCTTTAGTTCTCTAATGCAGCTATGGGTTGGTAGTTGGTCTTTTGGAATCTCAATGTCGCATTTATCACATAATACAGGCTTTCGAGGATTAAATTCACATTCGATTATGTGTCCTTCTAACATGTCTAGTTTTACAATAGAAGTACAACCATGTAGGGCATTTTCACAGCGTATCTCTAGTCTAGCAAGCATATTTCTAACAATTCGGGGTACAGTTTGGAGTTGCTGCGTGGTTAAACCTCCTCTGTCCACTGGGCATGAGCATTGCCGTGAGAGCCATTGTGTTATACAGGATTTACAAAAAACATGTTCACACGGACCTGCTGCAACTGGGTCTTGCAGGACACCTCCACAAATTGTACAAATTAATTCCTCATCTACTTTTCCAGTGAATCGTGTTATCTCGAATCCCATTGGGTGAGTTCCAGGAATATTTAAAGTCAATGATCGATTTTGGCTCACTGGGAAACGTCCTTTTTCGCGCTGAAACTGTACAGCACCGCTTTGTTTTGGTAAACTCTTGACGGTCTAACTAGATACAGAATGTAGCAAGTATCATGTGTAAATTTCCGTTTCCGTTTAACAAAATGGCAGCCTAGTCGTAAATTCGAAAGTTAAGTTGAAAACTTATTAATGAAATAAAAGTTAATCTGATAGATCATAAATTATTATTTGTATTAAACAAAAAAGAGTTAAGGACTGACTAGAGTTCATGAAACCAGCGTGATCAAGCCATGATCGTTTGCTACTAAAAGCATTCTGTTTAAAGGTAAAACTTTAAAGGCCGTTAATTGCCCTTTTATAATATCGTGTTGCAATTTAACAGTTGAACTATTGATTATATTCTTGTAATTCAAAGGTTGAGTCTGAAAAGCTATCTTATTTGTGGTTGTTGAACAGACAAGTTGTTTTCTAAAAAATTCGATGCAATGAACTGGTTCCGTTAAAGATTTTAGAGAACCGATAACTTTACAACTTTCAGCCTTCCATAAATAGACATTACTATCAGTTGAAGACGTTACAAAGATTGATTGGTCTGTAAAATGTGGGACCGATTTAACTTTTAAAATTTCCGAATCGTGTGCTTTCCAGATTCCAGAGACTAGTCCTGTTCGAACGTCGAATATTGATAAATATCCATTACTTTGACCAACAGCTACCGATTTTCCATTAGGACTGATGTCTAAGCATCTAACAGATGTATTAGACGCCAATGAGCTGCGAAGTTGGTAAGTAAACCCGTTCGGTGTGCGGAGGTCAACAAGACGTAGTTTTCCGTCTGCTGTTGCTGACATTATACAGCTTGATGGCTCCGGAAACCTTTTCATGACAGTAACACTCTGTTGAGCAGTAAGTGAGCGTATGTTTACTCCCATAAAAGGGTCCCATTCATGAATAACACCATCACAACTTAGCGCTCTTAAGGATGACGGTGAAAATGACACTGCAAAAACTGATTTCGTATGCCTTGTGTACGTAAACTGAGGAAGCGTTCGTGAGTTTCCGTTACCCATATTTCTAACCGACCAAACTTTAACGGTTTTATCCTTTGATGCGCTTAGTAAAGAATTTTCATTGTCCAAAATACATAAATCTTTTATGTAGTTTTTATGGCCATCAAAAGTTTGTAATTTAATCTGATGGAAATCGGAATATATAGAACTCTCTTCGTGAAAGCCAATTTCCTTTTCCCAGTATGCCAACCAATTTCCCTTTAAATGTCGTTGATTATTCAACAGCATTTGTTCATTTTGCCTAGCAGTATTCATGTCAGATCCAGTTTCGGCGTGTTGAACACTAATCTTGTTACCGATAACAGAAACATTAGTGCCCATAGTGGAGCCTTCTTTTACTTTAACAGGCACTGGGAGAGTGATTCGATTCAAGTTCTCTTGCTCTTCAAACTCCGCGCATAAATTTCGTAGATAGTCGTTGTTCGTTAAAATATTTTTAAAATGTATATCTCCAGCCAATCGGCTAAGAGGTATGTAAGAATAAAATGCAAGCTCTTTATTGAATGTGTCCTCCAATTCCAAGGAGCTCTCCTCCACGGAATAGTTGTCAATAGTTTCTTCCTCTACGGGATTATTTAACATCTCGAGACAGGATGCAACTGACACGTCTGATGAACTTCTTACATGCTCCTTTCGTTTTTGTGGCCGACGACTTGATCTATCTTTAGAGAAACCCTTAAAGAACAATGTAAGAGCTTTTGTCAACTTTTTTCTCGTTAAATCACATCCTATCCTCATACTAATAAGATATAAGACATCGACGACACGATATGCTAAACCTTGTCTCCCACGATAAGAGCTTGGAAATCGTACAGTTTCAGACGTTACCAACTCAATGCATGGTATCAAGAATTCGTTTAAAACAATGGACTCTAGATTTTCCATTAAAATTGAATCAGACAAGTAAGGGATAGTATGTTGAAGTAGTGTAATCGATGCAATAACAGCTGATTGATTTCTTAAAGTCAACTTTTCGGAAGAAATTTTCACGATTTCGGTAAAATATGAGTAATATTGCAGTATAATGACTTGTTCACCATAGAGTATAGCAATATCAATTAAGCAATTGGCGACTCTTGAAGCAGCGACATCTCCTATTAGTCTTCTTCCAACACTGCATGAGCTGTCATCATCTGTGGCACTCTCAATCAAATGAGAGTAGTAACAACCAGCCAACATACCCAGCAGATTTCGAGAAACATATTTAGAAGTTAAAACAGGACCCAAACGATGAGATAACCATTGCATTGTTTCGGAAGCCGCTTCACTGATGTTGCATTTTATACCTGAAAAACTTGAGTTCGATTTGGATTTTGCATCTTTTTCTTCATTATAGTTATGATTATGTGCTTGATCATCTTTTTCCTCATAATCTATATTTTCATCCATATGAACATCAAATACATCTTGGTCTTCATAGAGTTTTGAGCTCTTTTCTTCGCTTTCTTGACTTTCACTACTTGTATTTAGATCTTCTCCGAAATTTCTCTGACCAGTGACTGCTTTCACTAAAGATTTAGCAAAGGTATTTAAAAACTTCTCCAAACCCATTCTAACAATTAATTGAACAATAAAAACACGGTGATAAAGTTTCATATGCTTTGGAGAAGTCACTGATCTTTCGTATAATCTCTCTATTGGATTTATTAGATACTTATCCATCTCCTGTTTCGACATACAGCAGGCTGTTGAATTAAAAAGCTCCCAAACTGCACTTGGACTCCATGTCACATCATTCATATAAGGAAGAGCTAATGAAATAGCCATTTTTAGAGCTTCGTCACGTAATTCATTGCGATATTTTATAAAGAAATTCGAAAGTATCAATATTTGTTGCTTAACTTTTTCTTCGTTATCGGCTACACTCTTAACAAACTTGAAAACTTCATAAAATACTTTAATGAAAGGAGATATTGGAAATATTGACGAGTAGTTTAAAAGAATAATATTGGTGTTAATTTTCTTGTCAAAATAGGTTGAATATTGAAAAAGGTTTCCATACTTTTCCTCTCTTAAATCCAAATCCTTTTGATCCAAAACCAAAAGCACTTTTAAGAGCTGATGAAGAACTCTGCATAAAAAGCCATAAAATAAACGTAATCTAGATGATTAAATTTTAAATAGGTACCGAGGGAACGGCCTAAGCGATTCTTGACAAGTTTTCCTGGCAATTCTGAATCTATCGATAAAGGAAAAGCACGGGGAGTGAACGAACTGATTTGGGCAGTAAATTTCTACAATGAGACAAGATAAACACTGCAAGTCTCTACTGAGAAGGGAGGATATATAATTATTCTCATTTTGATAGTTTTTTGAATTAGGAAGAGAATTATTATTCGGCATAAAAGATTCAGAGAATTTTTTCTTTTTTTCTAGTCTGTAAAGTAGTTCTAAATTTTTCCAGTCTGGTTGTAGCGAAATTGCAGTATTTCTGTCATAAATAAAACATTTTAAACATACAATTTTAAACAGATATGTTAAAGTTTTCTACATTTTAGGAAATTTCTGAGGATGTGGTTTTCGGAAAAGCTGTAGAACTCCATAATTTCTTAAATCTGTATGTTGATCAACGAATTGAAGGCATACGTTTTTTTCTACCACAGCATCATCTCCAGTTAACTGATTATTAATTTCGTATAATTAATAAAAACCTTTAGAGTTTTTGCTATAATGATAAAATTTGACAAAAGAGCTGAAATTTAACCTTATATCCGAAAGTTATATCAATCCAATTATGGAGTTGAAGAGAAACTTCGTCGCTTTCCAATACAGATCTGTGCCAATTTATAAAATCCCGTGGCGATTTACACCAGTCAGGTAATATCAAGTCGGGGAGATCATCATGAATGGATACAAGGATGTTTAAATCTTCAAAAAATTCTGGAATGCATTCATCTGGTGTCCAACTGTATAATCGAGCCATTGTTGAAGGGTATTCTCCTGGTACCCATTTTTCTCTCACATGTTTGCACAAAATGCTTTTATCCGTATTTCTTGCTTTATACATGTAATAAGTTATATCCGAAAGTACTTCAGAGACGTGATGAGCATTGTGATCGCCTCTTTCCAAAGCTTGACTGTAAGTTATGTCTAATTGTGGGTCGCCTTTATTCAATCTGTACTTGGACATTGTTAAGTCTCTTATGTCATCTTTTTTCATAAAATTTGTAACCCATGGAACAATTGGATGATAATTTGGATCATTTCTCCTTCGTCCCGCTAATTCATTTAATAACAATAAGTACTCTAAATTAGATAATTCTCCATTTTGCCATCTATTCATATCGTTTAAAAGCTTTTGAAGGTTATCCTCATTTTGATTTGGGACTTTAACTGTTGTAATATCTTTATAAATACAATTCAATTTTGGCTGGCGAACTTTAATCCAAAATCGAGAGTCGCACGAAATATCATTTAATCTCACATCTCCAAACGATAGGCCAATTGTATGGAGAAAGTGAATTGTTCGAACTAGCTGGTAAATGATAAATAAGCAAGGCATATATCCACTTAAAAAATTAGGTGAAAATTTAAATGCATCCACCAGATTATGCTTTCTATATTCTCTGACAATGTATAAATTATTCTTCTTTTCGTAGATTCCTTCACATCTGAGTAGACCTTCTAATTCTTGTGTTTTGAAAAGTTTTGTTAACAATCTTGAGACAATATGACGTTGTTTCTAAAAAAGAAAAATTATTTGCTTAATAAGAAAATCAAAAGCATGCAATGCTTACATCAACTTTAGATAACTTTGGTGAAAAATTACCAAACAGGAAAGCTTTGGTGTATGAATTTAGAGCTTTCAGATGTAAACTATCAATACTTTCTCGAGAGAGAGTTTGTAGTAAGCTAGAATGCTCTTGTATGAATTCACGATCAATTAGGCTAAAGAAATGAATATTTTACTAGAAAAAATATTTAATAATTTTAAAGTTAAATAACTTACCTTTCAACATTGAGATCGGTTAAAATTAACTTTTCAACAGCAACCTTTATGAAATTTTTAGGCAATGAAGTGGTTGTAGGAGCTAACAAATCAGAACAAAGTGACTTGTCCAAATGTACCCAATGTTTGGCATTATATTGAGGTGACTTTTGATTGCGAAAGTGGTCCAGCCAAGACGTACTAACCTAAAAGAACGGTGAAAAAGCAGTTTACAGTATCATAAAGCATTTATTTCTTTTCATATGAGACAAGGAATCCAATTTAGTTTTCTAGACAATACAATTGATTTCAGTACTACATAAGTACTGTATTTTTTATTGATCGGAGCTAATAAAAATTAAAAGAAAAAACAATTGGAAACACCCCCTTGTCGAATTGTATAGAACACTATTTTATCGCTCACCAGACATACGGCGTCAACATTTGAGGTTGCCCTAATGCAAAAAAAAGGAATAAGTAAATCCTCTGAAATGGATTTTTCTAAATCTTGGAGCATTTTTTCATAAGAACAGTTTGATTGATCAAAAATTCGAGAAATAAATCAGATGTCAATTTGCAAACATTATACTCTTTTCGAAAAGTGTTCCACATTGGTTGTCCAGAGTTATTATGATTATTTATTTAAAATAATCTAATCAGTACAAGAAAGCCCCTTGAATTAAAATTCATAATTGAAGAGGCGATATATGTATAAAAATTTGAAAATTTGGCTTAAATAGTTCTTCTTTAAAAAAGTCAGCTGCTTTTAGAATATGTATACTACTTGTATAACATAAGTATAAATATATTTCGCAAGTTTAAACTGTAAATCAACGTAACAATCAGATTTTTTCTGTCGACCATTCTTTATCAAGTTAAAAATGTTCATATAAGTTCTATCAAATGAATGTAGAAACAATAATTGGTTTGTACTTTGTTGTCTGAAGTACTAATGTTTGCTCATAAATATATCATAACAAAGCATCAGAACAAACGATCTTTGATTTTAGCTTGTACAAATAGAATCGTTGACTTTTTTAATGGACTAATAAAAATATTCATAAGATAACTTTATTACGACCTCAAAAAATATAATCAGCCTAGATATTGTCCAAATACTCCCATAGTTCATTTTCGTAACCTTCATGCACATGTTTCAGCAGAACATTTCTTCTACTTTCACAGTAACGACTTTTATCTTGTACCTTTTGCTTAATATCCCTCAAGACCTCTTGGGTAATTTCCCTTTCTAAATATTCGCTAAGCTGCTCTGTAGCTTGCTCTAAATCTCTCTGATTCGTCTCGAAGATAATTGACTGGTTGTTTTTTCGTAAGTAGAATGCAAATACGTACGTATGCATCAGAGTTTGCCTACATTGGCACAATACGTCGACGGCTTTCTTTAAAAATTGAACTTCAATCCACGACATATTGTGCTTTTGCATTTCTTCCATTTTGTCCCTGACACTTGCGTACAATTTATTTTCCAGTTTCAAACTCTGCATATGATTCATATAGCGATTACAGTAGAAAAGATATCTTTGTAAAGCTGCTCGACTTTTTTCTTGAGCGCTTCTGGCTCTTTTAGCCTCGTCTTCATCATAACGATTGCAGTTATACCAACCTAAGAAAATACAACATAGTATCATCATATAAGAATCCAGTAAATATATAGTAAAAATATCTGATAATAATTCTGCTTAAATCATTAAAAAATGAACAACTAGTTCAACTCACTTGAACCGTGTGGTTCCCAAGGGCCCAGACAAACCCAACAGAAATCAAATCGGCATTTCTTGCAAACCATATGATTACAACCTCCGTCTTTTTCGATAATGGATCTACACTTTGGACATTCTTTTGTATTTGCTGCTATCCAATTTGAAGTTTCGGAGTCGTCATCACATTTTTTAATCCATTTTCGTAAGATACTGCATTTTACAGGATCATGCCAGTTTTGACCGCAGGCAAAGCAGAAGGTATGGCCACATCGACAGGTAACAGGTTTGTCAGAGACATATTGGCCTTTGATCACATGACCACAGTCCGGAGTTGGACACCATCGAAGGAGTCGGTTGCACTCAACAAAGCTATTTGTAATCAAATGTTGATATTTAAGCTTTACATGAGAATCAGATAAAAGTTTCATAACAGTCTCGTCATCTACCAAAATGTCACAGTTATGGGCAGCACATGAAATAGTTTGACCCATTCCCTCGTCCATGATTTTGGTTGTCAAGTAGTGAGTCCAACAACTTATGCAGAACCTATGACCGCACTCTAAGCCAGACATAAGCTGTTAAAAATTAATTAGAATAATAAACTACTGATAATTTTAATTGTGAGGCAATTTTAATTTTAAGAAATGGTATATAAATTAAAAAATTTTCAGATTTATATAACTGATTAATTAATATTTGTATATATATTAATATATAGAGATTTTAAATAAAACCATCTTCTCGTAATTACTTTGAAAGAGACTGAGGAAAGTACTACTATCGGTTACATAACATGCAACTTTCCAAAACAATGATTTCTCAGTTTACAGGTTTAGTATAAACAAATACGTGTAAAATCAAACAAACCTGTTCCGGAACGGAAGCATAGCAAATTTCACATACATATTCACCATTCTCTTTTACAGAATACCTCGGTTTTATTTCTCGCTGTAGTTCAAAATATAAGAAATTATACAAATTTATCAGTTTTTTAAACTTAGTTGTTTGTTACAAAAACATTCAATTTTCTCCTCTCTAAAATGTTAAATTACTTTTCACTGGCTAGCTTTCTATAAGTATTCTTTAGTTTGAATTTTGCACTATAAGAGCCAAAATTCTTTGAATTGAATACAGATCCTAATTTTTCATTCAAAATGTTCAATATTCCATCTTGTTTCTAATTTAACCTTTGCCTGACTCAAAGTTTCCTTTAAAAATCTTTGAAAATGGCTGTGATTTATGCTCGTAACACTTTTTTCTCGTCCTTTACCATTCCTTCGCTCTTTATAGAATATTGAAGATAGGCAATGACCGCAACCGAACGTATTCTTAGGGTCACGCTATTTTGTTAGTTATGAATTGTTTTACAAGAACTTGATAGGATTACCTTGGAGCAAGCAATAGCAACCTTTCGAGACGGGCTAATTAAATGTGCATCCGCAAAAATTCGATCAGGGTCGCTTTCATAGTATCTAAATGAAGAAATAGTAAAAATTAAGTAAACATAAAACAAGTTAAATTGAAGCATAACTCTATTTAAAGATTTAGTTATCTTAAATTTTACCAAAGACTACAATTGATCATAACGTTATATATTAATTTATCTTATTGTTTACAAATTTTCAAATAAAATTAAAATTATAGCTTGGAATGGTCGGCGTGTATTTATTTTAACCCTTGCTCTATCTGTTATTGTAAAAAGGAAAAAACCAATAAAAAATGAACTGACGTCTCAATTAGCTTTTCCTTATCCCATTTAAAATGATTCAACAAAATCCTAGTAGTCGTAGCTGGAATCTACAGATAAAAGCACATTACATTTAACTGAATGAAATTATTAAATAGTGTTTTTAAGTCAGAAAATATTTCAGAGGCCATGATTACGTTAAAAATTAAGCATTATTTTCAGTCTGTTCCCTCGTCAGGAAATGAAAACTTTATTTCCCACGATTTGATAGCTTTTGCAACAAAACAAGTTATCTTTCTAAAATTTGTAGCTTTGTTGATCTAGTCTACTGCAGTTGATTATTTATTGGTATGATATTTCGTTGATGCCATATTTTGTCACCACAGGTAAAAATGACAACGTTTACCAGTTTATTGGTAGTAAACAACCCTATAATTAGAAGTATGTATCAGTTAGAAAAGATCTTGAGTACTTTTTAAAATTGACACTTCCACTTCCTTTATGAGTCAGCAAATTAAGAAGAACTTCATTTGACCTTTAAGGGTTAAATGTTTGCCGATATTATATTATCAGATTTTTTTTGCCTGAATGTTGTAACTACATTAATACAAAAGAGCATTATCACGTACTTTACTACATTTAACCTTATATTATTTTACTAAGAGCCAAAGCCACGTGGGAAGAAATAATTTTCTGACTCTAAACGATACCCACGAACCTCAACAACATTGCGAACTTCTTTTATAATGTCAACCATCAAAGTAACAACTTGTTCAAGAGCAAGTACATCATACGGAAATTCTTCTGGATCCATTCCATCCATTGCACTTGTCTGTTCTGGGGCTAATTCGACAAACTCGTCATCATCTTCAGTGCCAGCATCACTATTTGCAAGAAGATCATCGTCTATCTCCATATTTTAGGTTTTTTAAAGAAAGTTAATTTTCTCTTTAACAAATTTTCATTGTTTTTATAGATAATAGTGTTCAAGAGTGAAAAATCTCCAACGAATTTATATGAGAGAGTCCGAAGTTAAGTTTTAGTACTTTAGCCTCGCTTACTTTCAAGGTTGTTGGCTTGAGGATGGATTTATGTAAAGTGTGTAATTTTTTCAGACGGCTTCCCTTCTAATAAGTGACGTCATATTGGTTCGTAGCAAATTTCCGGTTTTCTTTGTTGAAGATTTCTAGACTGGTTACCTGTATTTAGTAATAAGTATTTGCTCTGACACTTTCGTCTTTTGCAATTTTATTTGAAATCAGAAAATTTAGATTACTATCCTATAGTGTAACCTCAGTCATTTCACTATATTTGTAAAATATTAAAGTAAAAAAATATTAAAAAACTGAACGAGATTCAAAGTTTACTGAATAGGTGACAAAGTTGCTTGCTTTTGAGAACTCTGCGAAAGAATCAATTCGCTACAAATAACTTGTTCAAAAAGTTTTTATTTAAAACTGACTAATCCAAACTCTCTGGATTGTCGTCGCTGTCAGTGTAACATACAATATTACGGTTATCAGTTCTGTTATTATTTATTAGTGTTGTTGTAAATTTTTGCCCATTGGTGTATTCCAGAGAACCAGGATAATCATCCGAATCACTTTCGCTTATTGCCAGATCATCTTTTACGATATCTTGATTTCTTCGCAATCGATAGAATAAGATATAAGCAAATGGTTTAACTGTCTCGGATTCCTCCGCTTCTGTTACATGCGAGTCATCGCAGTACCGCCAGTCTAAATGGAAACTTTTAAATTCAACTGTCGAATGTTTTTAAAGTACAAACCTATTTCAGATTCCCCAGGATCAGTAGCAGACATAAGTCTGACATAAGATGCATAATGCCCATAGAATAGCGTTCCATGATGGTGAACCACACCATATAGATCATAAACAGCTTGTTCAGTTTGCTCAGCCTCCGAGAGCCTCATATACTGTCCTAAATTTAGCTCCCTGAATTTTTTTATACGTTTAGTCTTAAATTTCATAAATTATTATTTAAAACAAACCCAATTGGAAAATTTATGTCACGTTCATCTTTATTCCGAATCATTGATCCTGCATTAAATCTTTTTAAATGTAAAACTAGAATCGGTGGTAAGCGCCAAAGGCTTATTTCCTTTGTTGCCTTTCTATGTTTCTTGCATTGGGGACAATACCACTCATCTCCCATTGATAAAGTTTCTTCCCTCATAAATAATTTTAAACAGCTGTAAATATCATTAGTGTGGCAATCTTTCATGCTACGATGATCCTGGGAGTCGAGTCGCTCTTTTTGTTTAATTAAATATTCCTTTGATTTTCTCCAAAGAACGGTGACTTTGGTTATTGGATCCAAGGTGAGAGGTGAGTCATTTTCGGGCTCCTCAATAAGAGTCTTTTTCCAGATTGAACTCAGCACCCGGCTTATGGTATCCATTTGATGTAAGCTAAATAGCTTTCGTTTATTAATTGAGTCATAGTTTCTAATAGGTGATGGTCTAACAAAATAATACGTTATATAAATACTTTATGTGAAATATAGTCAAACATACGAGTTTTCTGTCGAATAACTGGACCCACTGTCACTGTCGCCATTGCTGGATGAGGATCTTTTGGGCTATTAATAGATTTAACAATAAAGTTTAGCAAAAAACATAGAGTATTATATTTACGGAATTTTTCCAATCAGAATTACTGTCGTTGCTATCTTCTGATGACGTTATTGAAGAACTTTTGTTACTAGAGAAATTCGATAAGATGTCATTATTTGTATTTCGGTCAATCACATCGACCGAATATTGAGCATATTTAAGAATTAAATTTGAAATCTTTTTGAATGTTGCTTCAGATTTCGGAATATTTATGACAAGAGGCACGGCAATTGGACTACCAAGATAGCATTCTTGTCGATGTCTCTTCTCCCAGTGTTTTCTTTGGCAATCTCTGTATCAATGTTATATTTTAATGAATTCGAGATCACTTAATTAATGACACATACGAATTACAATAAGCAACTTTAAAACATCCTTCACATCTTCTTGGTGACTTTGAAGGAGTACTGTTGCAAAAGGTACAACTATTTAAATGGGAATTCGGACACTCAAGCACTTGAGAAACCCTGATTTGTACCATCTCTTTTCTGGTATCTCTTTCGCAGTATTTCTCGAAACTAAAATAAGAAGGGTTAGAAGAATTCTTCAAACTGATATAAGTTTGCACTTACACAGAATAGTTATGATCACTGCAATTAAAATGTTGAAAATAGCCATTTCTTTCACATTCTTCTACTCTACATTCATCTTTATTCACTTTGAAAATATCCATCTATTAAAAGATATAAATATTACATTAATATTTTACTACAAGTAATTGCTTTACATTCTCAGGTAGTATATCCGTTAGGTCTGAAAGATTTTCTTTAAGTTTCATTATGGAAACTCCTGGCTTTATTCCTAATTTGTACTGCAGAATAATGATTTCATAGTGAAAATAAAAAAAGAATCAGATAAAGAAATATTTACATTTGTCGGTTTTCGAGTGAGATCTTTGAAAAATACAGTAAAAACTGCTGCTGATTTTTCTTCAGGGAGTGGAAGAGATAAACTTGAGAACGGATCAAAAACTATGGAGACCTAAATAGCAAGAAATTGTCATAAAAGCCTCAGCTGCAAAATACTAAATGCATTCCAAATACCTTTCGACATGTTAAACAAGTCAATTTCGATTTATATTGGCCACAAAATAATTTAGAAATATGAGATCGATTCCGTTTACAATACATCTTCCAAGTCAAGTCTCCATAATCTTTCTCCGTTGTTTTAGATGGGTCAAAATCCGGTATTTCAATATATGGTTTGTGTTCAATTGTATTTAAATCCTGAAAATATAGCTAATTTACAAAAATCACAAAAATTCTTTTGCAACCTCATGTAGACCATCGACTAGACAAGAAAATAGTTCATGAGCATCATGCTGACCTAAACCTCTAAATTGAGATGACTTTTTTTCCAAAACAGACTGAAAAGTAAATTTTAGATAAGATGAAAGTGTATGAAACACAATAACGGTTACTTTTATTTTATTGGGGGAATACACTGATAAGTCTCCTGACCACATATTTTCTGTGAGATTAGCAAATTCTTTGGCTAGTTCTCCATTGTATCCCAATTTGTTTGTCTTATTTATTTCCTTAATGTATAGCCTACCTGAATTTTGAGAAATGAAAAAATAAATTTATGGAAAAAATATATTTTAATAATATCATACTTGAAAAATAATCTCTCAGTTCTTGAGTGTTAACCAAAATTTGAAGAATTGAGTTAAAATAGCACGTATTACCAATATTCCTAAGACCAGTAAACCCAGGTTGGTATTCTCTATCTCTCATTTTACTACGATTGTTATGTGGAAGGATACTCAAATTATTTTTCAATACATTATTTCCTTCAATATTTCGAGTTTTAATAAAATTTTCATGAAAATCAGATGAATTTTTATTCTGCTCCATTGTAATAGGTGGAACTGTCGCCACCTTTTTTTGAGATTTCCAGTTCGTATCTTTTGATGACTCCACTTTCAGAGTAATAACTATACTCTTTTCGTTGATCGTATGATGACACTTGTTCGGATTTATAATGTACCTAAAAATCATATCATATAATATTATAAAATTTTATAGTAACTCGCTTACTCGAATGAATGCACATATTCAAAAATTGTGTCTTGTGTTGCATTTTCCTTTTTCAGAAAATCAGGATCTCTATATTGGCAAAAAAATGGATATTTGAGACCACTTGTTATTACAAAGTGTACCTTGTAGAAAATCTTATTGTGGCTTTATCTTTAGTTAAGTCGACTTTTACCATTTCTCGTACAATTTTTTTCACTGCGATTGTATATTCTGCGTGGTCCCCCTATAGAACTTTCTTTATAACATGAAATATTTCAATTAAATCTACTAACTTGCAAGGAAAAGTTATTTTTAACGTGCTTTAAAATTCTAACTTCAGGATCTGGAAAAAAGTATATTAAGCTTATGTTTTGACTGAAAACAGAAATCAGAGTTTGTGTGAAAGTTACCAAACAGATTAGTAGAGATTTTAACACCTTCTCCGGAATCATAAATTGAAGATTCTATAATATTTCCATTTACGGTATCTTCTTCGTTCTATTATATAAAAAAAAGTTTAGGTAAAGCCTAAGAGAACTGTATAAGAAATGTATAAAACATACTAAATTAACTTTATCATTTTGCGTATGCTCAATTACATCATCTTTACTATCTTCAGAGTCCTCATCCTAAAATAAAGAGTTTAGATTTTAATACAAAATGGTATGTAAGAGGCACTTACTGCGTTATATTCAGTTTCTGAATCCAAATTTCCTTCAGCAAAAAATATATGTATCAGAACTTCATCTTTAGCTTTGGTAAATTCTAATATGGGTTTTCTAGTCATGTCGATCTCATGCTCAGTTTTTTTACTAAACTTCCTGTCCTCTGCAAAACATATTCAATGTTATAATAGTTTTTTCAAATAGATTTAACATATAATTACGTCGGAAATTAACGATGAAAACATTCTTTTGGGCCGTCACTGAGATTGGTTTATTTGTGTTCTTATAATTTGCATAAATAATTTTGTGACCTTTTCCTTTCTGTTTGGTCCTTTTGACTGAAAGATATCAATAAGAATACATATTTATCCCCTTATTTAATATAAACATCATTACTTGTTAATAAGTCATTATTTATATCCTTATTATCCATATTCAAAATTCTTTGATTTATATTACTTCTTCCCATCAAACAAAATTTCGGCTTCTTTCCATGATCAATATCTTTTAGGCTTTCGCCTGCTAATAGTCTTTTACGATGCAGTTTGACTTGAGCTAAGTTATTCTTTAGACGTCTCTATTTTGCCAGTTACACTTTTTGTATGCAAAAATTTCTAAAATTTCTAACAAATTCAGTCATTCCATGAAGAGAAAAGTAGGATAATTGCAGATTTGAACTCGAGGAGCTTAGTGAATCACGTTTGCGAAGAACAAGCGAATGAAGTTGACCATTACAGTGGTAGGAGTCACCGGCTATTCTTTAATGGTGACTCGGTTAGATATTGTGAGTCGCCATTTTTAAAAAATTACATCGTTATGTTTCATATGAATGCATGAATCAGTATTTATATTGGGGAATTTCCAGTTCTGACCAATGAACATCGAGTAGCCAGTTTATTTCGGTGATAATTGGTATGTATATTTCCAGGTATTCAAAAATGGCATCTTTCTGAATTGAGCAGAAGCGCCATTTTCATTATCCTCCCCAGTTTAATTTCGATTTGTCTGCGAAAAACATGGCTGACAAGATGGATGATAGTGATGGTATTAAATATTTTAATTTATCTTATATTCTTATTACAGCTCTTTTCTAATTAAATCTTTTACCATAAATATCGCTGTAATTTTTTTCGATTCGCAACATAATTTACTACATAAAATATAGAATAAGTAATGAAATATAAAAGATTTTCAAATTTATCTGATAATCATTGTTCGACAAGCAATCTGAAAAGAATTGAAAAAGAGCTAATAAAGAAATTAGATATATTATCGTTTATAAATGTTTGATGATAATTTGCAACATTTTTCGTGTCTAGAGCTGAAAGCTTCTGTGGATGGAACTAACGCATCGGCTCCAATTGAAGTTCGAAAGAATATACCGCTTAAACTGCAGTCGGGGACGAAGAAAACGGCAAAGACATCTTCAAATAAAAAATTAAAAACTGGTAACAAAAAGTCTGATAAAAACTGTAATAACGAAAAAATGGACACTTTTGAAAAGAGTGTGTATCAAAACTGTTATGACTTAGAGAATTAGCCCTTGACTTTTCAATTTTTCACGTACGTCTAGATAATAGTGACGAGGACTTTGCACATGTATCGACGAATAAAATGGCAGATACTGGTGACCCTCTTCATAAGAACGGATTTTTACAATGGGACCACAAAGTGTGTTTCTTTTTGACTAGTAGTCTGACAATTGTTCCCATGTATATGTCTTTCATAGAAGCGGTAAACTTAATTGTAAATTATTGTACAAAAAATAAAATTAGGGGTTCGTTTCAAAACATTTGACAATATTCATATGTTTTTGTATTTGTGGTTCTATATTTGTATTCACGTTCAAAAACATCTGAAAATCTGCGCTAAGGAACAGCTGAGAAAATGAAACGACAGTTGGTTATTGAATTGAGAATCAGGCAAAGACACTACCGCTTCTATGAAAAATTTTTAGCCAATTTCACTTTAATTTTAGAATACGTAAATGTAATTGAAGATGTGAAATTTGCTCAAGAATACTTTAAATTTTTTAATGTTCGATTGTTAAATCAGTTTTTCTTCAAACAGGTAAATTTGTTAGGTGAGAAGATGCAAGATATTGATATCCATTGCTGCGAATTATGTGATCGACCGATTTTAACTTATGGAAGAATGGTAGGCTCTCAGCTAAGAGTTATTTTGAATATTAAATTTTAAAATTTTTGGTATAGCTTCCCTGCAAACACATATTTTGTTGGAGATGTGCAAAACGAAACGACACAAAATGCGCGAGGTTTGTGTGCTACGTTAATAGGTTTTTACTTTTCTAATAAGTTCAATTTTATAGGTGCCAGCATCTTGTTAATAGGGTAGAACAGTGTGAACTTGGGAAAGTTTTTGTGTGTGTTGTGGACACAACAAAAGATGGTAAGGATGGGTGCAAAAGGACTTACTTATCGTTACGTGACTTACATGCTCATATGAATTACCGTCATCGAGGAGCTGTTGAATCTAATATGACAAATAATTCTAATCCAACACCGCAACCGGCTATTATGAATATGGTAACAACGACTCATTCTGTTGATACTGTGTGCCAGCGACCTTCCACGACAGCTACAAAGCCGCCAAGAATGTCTAACCTGATAACAGTTCCTTTACAAGATGCTAGACAAGCTCCTATGCCACAGAATTATAATAACTATGTACCATACAATACACCATCAAATGCAACACCATTTACGAGGCCAACCTTCAACCCCAACGTTCCTCCTCCCAACTATTCAGTTACTCAACAACTACCTAATTTCGCACCACACATTCAGACGGCAGCAGCTGTGTTTGCAGCAGTGGGGTCTAGAAATTGGGGAGCGCCAGGAACACAACGACCACCAAGGACGAGTTTCTATTAAGGCGTTAATTTTTGTTTTTAACTAATTTTCTGTATATCAGTGTTACATATTTTACTGTTTTTATTCAAGCTTGTTGTAGGTTGCCACGATGTCATAAACTGTAATTTTACAACGTTACGAGATGCGCTACTTTCATGCGTCATACTGTTCTCTTGAAGAATAAATACGTTACTTATGACAACTATTTTTCGTTATTAACAATGACTTGGTTTATGCCATCATGTGCGTTTTCGTATATTGTTAGAATGCAAATCAGTTGTGAATATGATAAAAAAAATTTCAATAAAACTTTAATGAAAAGCGAGTTTGTAAATATCGTAGTAATGTGTGACGATGAATGGTTGTCTTTATTAAAGAGAGAATACTCTACGTTGACAGCTAATAAATTTTACTCCTTTACAAACTATGGAATGCGGTAGGGGGCGCCACACAACATCACATTTATAGAGTAAAACCGATCGCTCCCCAGCTAGTGTAGAGTCCCTCGTATGTTTTTCTTGTATAGATAAGGATTATTTTTTCGTAAAGTGTCTGACAATGGCCCAAGCTACAGGCTCAAAACGTACCAAATCAACGGTTTCGGAAACTATACAGGTATTGCAGTTGTAGTTCTCTTGTTTAATATTATAGATATTTAGTTTTCCACTCTGCGTATACTTAACTGGGCGATAATTGATATTAAATTTCATAGGTTGAAGGATCAACCCAAGAAAAGAAAATACGTCTGGAGAAAAAGAAAGCTACAAAGGAAGAGACATTAATATTAGACCTAAGTGTTGCACAATTAGATAAATTGATTTTGTTGGAAAATAGTTTACCAGTTTCATTAAATGTAGCCGAGCAGGTAGTGATCCTAATAAAATTTCTTAAGAAATATTTATGCTCATTTTTATGTTTATTTTTACTTCAGGCTATATCAAGACTATTAAAATATGCTAAAATTGCATCTGAAAATGCAGTTCGTTGCAAATTAATAATGCTGATTGGGCATTTAAGTCAGACTCCTGGTTTTGATTGTCTCACAGTTCTTTCAAAATTAAAAACACTTTTGGAGGCTGAAAGTAAATTCCTAATAAATTTATATGATATGACTTAATTTTTTACAATTTTATCAGAATCTCACACAGTTATAAGTCAGTATTTGGATACCTTGACAACTATAGGCGAAATAGTGACGGAATCTTTAAATGACAACTTGGAAAACTTCCTTTCTATTGCAGTGAAGGTAATTTTAAGTACATATTTTATCAAAAGTCAATAATATTTTTTTTTCAGTATTTGTCAAATCCTAAGCATAGTGTTCGATGTAAAGCACTTAAACTTTTAGGCACATTGGGCTGCCCTAATAAGGAAATAACTGTAAATGTTGACAAAGACGTTGCAGAATCAACTACTGCCCATGATGAATATGATATATGCAGCAATCTAGAGAGTATTGTTATTTCTTTTTTCAAAGATCAGGATAGCAGAGTCAGAGTTGAAGCTCTTGGAGTTATTGTTAGTATATTATTCTATTTTTCAATCATATTAAAGCTTTATTGTATTTGTTGTTAGTTGTCTTGGCATATGAGAGGAATTCCGCTGTCTCCTAGAATGTACAAGGATGTTTGTGCAACTTTATCTGATGACTATGAAAAAGTTCGCTTCATGGCCGCGAGATTAATCTGCGTATTATGCCATTTATATCCAGAAGAAAATGTAACAGTGTCCAATGAATCAAAAGAAACATCTGATAAAGTATATGTTTACAAAGCAAAAGTTAACATCGCTCTCATTATAAATTTTTTAGGTTCAGTTACGATTAACAGATGATGGATTTGCAAAATTATGTCAACTACTTTCTACTGATGTTAATATGAAGGTCAGAGCTGAGGCCGCTATGCTACTGGTTCGTTAAACCTTAAACTCAAGCTAAAGTTTAATTTTCATCAATTTTTCACAGGGATCACTTCATAAGGTTGACTTTGTATTTCTTGAACAAACTCTTGATAAAATTTTGATGTCCGGGTTAAGAGTAAGTAATAATATTTTCTCGTCAAACTTTATAGTCTAAAAATTTTGTATAGAGAAAAACCTCTGCACACGAGCGACAAAGAATGCACTTCCAGACTGGTGAGTGGTCGACGGGTAAGAAATGGGCAGATGACGCTCCAAAAGAAGAACTAAATCCCGATGATGTAAGATTGATATCTCTGGGAGCATGTGGAGCATTTGTTCACGGTTTAGAAGACGAGTTTGTGGGTCAGTAATATAAAAATGAGTACTTCCAGGTAAAAAACTTTCTTTCCTGTAAACAGAAGTTAGAAATGCTACTGTAGATGCTATTTGCGAGTTGGCCGCTAATTCACCGAGATTTGCAGTTTTGTCTCAGGTTTGAATTAATATTTCTTATTAAACGAGATAATTTTTTCAACAACGATATTTATTTTCATTAGGATAGTTTACTTGACATGATGAATGACGAAATTGAAGATGTTAGAATGAATGCGGTCCATAGCTTAACAAAGGTAGCATGTCACATTTCTCTGAGAGAGGATCAAGTTGAAGCGATATCTGGTTGTTTAAAAGATTATTCTACAGGTTTTAACAAATATGAAATATTTATTTATCTAAATCTCTTCTTCATTTTTAGATATTAGGAAGGCATTACATGAAATGTTTAGCAGGCTTAGAGTTACAACAAAAGTTACATTGAAAATGTTAATTGAGGAGCTGTTAAATAATTTAAAAAAATACCCACAAGATCGACTATCTATTTGGAAGTAAGTTTTTTCTTTATCACTGTAAATAGTCTACGTAATAATCTATTGTGAAGGTGTATGCAAAATATGGGTAAAGTTAATAGCAACATGGTTCAATGTATTGTACCTTATTTACTACACCTCCATCCATACTTCGATACGCCGGAGCCAGACATTAACGATCCTGCTTGTAAGTTTATTTAGAATAGCTACTCATAGGAATTGAAAAAATTGTCTTCTCTCAGATGTTGCTGTGCTGTTGCTTGTGCTAAATTCCGCATCTTGCCATGAAGCTATCCTATCTCTATTACCTCACCATACTATGAAACATTATCGATATTTAAAAGCAAGCAATCCTGATCTGTTACCGAATGAGCTCAGAGTAATTGTTTTAAATTATTTTGATTTCATATATAATATATCTGTCTTTCAGTTGGATCATCATAAGCATACGCAAACAAATCGTGATCAGATCTCCTCAGAAGCTACATCGTCATCATATTTAAAACAAGTTGTTGAACATATACCCAACCTTGAAAAAATGGATCTACCTACGGCCGAAAAATTTGTCGATATTACCAGAAGGTGTATATAGATAACAAAGTTTTTTTGAAATGGGTTTAAAAAAATTTTTTCAGGGATTTACTACGAATAAGTTCTTTAGAACCAAGTAATGCGGCAACGGCAGAGTTTATGGTGATCTTTTTGGAATGCATTGGAGAATTAGTAACAGTTTGTTTATTTTTATTTCAATATTATATAGTATTATTCTTGAATTTTCTTCTAGATCTTTCAGAGTTCTACAAATCTTGCTGCCGACCTAAGCTTAGATCACCAAAGGCAGCATATCCAAGGTTTACTAGAAAAGGTAATCATATTTATAGTAGGCGATATTTAGCACTTATTTTAAAATGTTATTGTAGATAATTGAGAAATGTACTTGTATGCAACAATTATTTCTTGGAATATCTGAAAAAGACAACATTTCCGTTCTTCAGTTGAAACTTTGTGCGCAGAGTATTCAATTATGCTCATTTTTACAAACTCGAGCTGACTGTAAATCATTGTGTATTAAATTTCTTAAAATTGTCAGTGATTTTAAAGGGTAAAGTTCTAGCAATTTTATTATAAACAAAAATTTTTATTTTCCTTAATTTTCCCATTAGAAAACTGTCTTCATGTTCATTCAAGCCTTCTCGTTTCACTTTGAACCTCTTGAAAAATTTAAAGAAATTTGAGAGCTGTGATCCTAATGTATTTCGTTCGACATTGTTACCTTTGCTATCGATGTGTAGACAGAATATAAATGTCTTACAAGTTAACAACACTTTACATAAGTAATTTACTTAGTTCCCCTCAGCTTCGTATCTTATATACATTTTCCATTTCAGAATACAAGCTTCCATACAAGAACCTCAAGACAGCTCTGACGTTCAGTACAAGTTCACTTGTGGGTTAATAACTTCTATACCTGTTCATGCAATAATCGAAGAGATCGAAGATCCAAGTCGAATAAGAATTCAAGTTACCTATCCAGATCAGCAAAGATCAGTTATCATTCCCCGTCTTGAAGACTTTCGGCAAATTTCTCCTTCAAAATATAACTTAAAAACGAAAGCTTTATTATGCCATAGTGCATGGACAGACGCAGCTCACGTAGAAATTGCCGTTGTACTGATTAGAGACACTCATGACGAACTGCTTGTTTCCAAATTAAAAGATCGGACGAACCAAACGTTAGAACTATGCGATGTAGTCAAAGTAAAAATACTTCCTGACAATGTCCGAAAAACTTGATTTATCTCAAAAATAATTTTAATTTAAAGTAATAAAGTACTTTTTGATGAAATTGGAAAATTTGTTTGAGGAACATTTTAATTGCTTAGCCAAGAAAACTATTTTTTTATTTAATTTAAAAAAAAAAGAAAAATATAAAACAATAAACAGTTTGCTTTAATAGTTCATGAACAATCTTTGAAGTAGCACTCATAATTAATTGCATAAATTGCAATAGTTATTTAGTCTCGTTTAACTCAATTTCACTTGTTTTGTCTGGAAGGTCGCCATTTTTTCGAATTTTTCCCCTTAAAAATTTACCACCAGCGAAACCTAACGTTTTATAGTAGGAGGTGAAAATGAAATATATGCTTTAATTTAAATCATACCAGCAATCCCGCCTCCTACGGCAGCTGCAGCCCCGAGTTTCAATCCGGCCACAAGACCGACGGGACCACCGACGCATCCACCAATTAATGCTCCACAAAAAGGATATACAGCAGTTTTATATTTTACAGCCTGTTGTTTTATTAGTGTATAAATAATGTGTTTATTTTAAGAACAGTAAACCAGCTCACTTGTTTTAAGTAACTTCTACCAACTGATACGTTTTCTTCCGTTCTTGCAACGTTTTCCTCTATACCATCTACTTTCGCTTTTTGATCCTGGAAATGAAAACAGGTACAAAAAGCACCAGAATAAATATCAATCTTACTGATATAGCTACATGAAACGCCTCCATTATCTCCTGGACTTCGTTTATGCTCTAAAATAAATTTTTTTATTTTCTTTATTTACATTAAACATTTTCGAACCTTTCCAAGTTCAAGGCACTGTTTTTCATTTTCCTTTATTATTTCAAGGTGATGTTGGTCAACAGTGGCCAAATCTTGTAGAGTTGAGTTCTCTTGACTTGATATCAATGATTCGTCGAGATCAGATGATTCGTTTGATGATCGTCTACCACCTGATAATAGCCTTCAAGAAGTAAGGAATAAAATTAAGTCAAGACCAACCATCGGCAAACAACAATGATTTTTCGGAAACTTCCTTCAATTGATTATTACAATCTAGCGTTGCTTTATTAAAAAAGGTATCGAACTCTTCAAGATCCTCATCGCGCACCTTATGAAAAATATATATAGTATTTGTATATACAGTATTAAGTTATTATTAAAAGTTAAATAGTTAATATTGCAAGAATCCTTATAAAAATATATTGAGCCCTATGAAAAAGAAATCAATAAAAATTGTAAACATACATGTTTCCTAGAAATTTTTAATCGTTGTATAATATCCTTCAACTGATTTACTGATCTCTGAGTATTAATTTGTTCTTTTTTTACATTTTTAAAATCATGTGAGTGATAAAACTGAAAAATATCTTTGATAAATTGATAAATTGTTCACTATCACCTAAGTTATTTTATAATACCTCTTCCAGATTTTCAATATGATTCTTTAATCGATTTAAACCGATTTCTATATCTGAACTAAAGCTGGTTATCGTTCTTTTAAGTTGAAGAATTGAATATTTTTGCACCATTTCTTGATTATTTTTCTTGTCCATAGTACAACGTAAGCAGATTATTTCGTTATTTATTTACTGGATCATCTGTACTATAGATCCTGACTCTTTAAAAATTAAAACAATTTGTTTTAATGATGTTTTAGAAAAAAATTCGTTTGTTTTGGGGCATTCCTAACACGTGACTCAATGGATTCTCAATTTCCGTTTCCTATAAAACATCAAGTTTTTCAAAACATATTACAAAATACCTCTAGAATTAGTAACTTCAATTCAATTCAACACAATTATATTATGATATAAGATCATATTTTTTATTTCCTTTATGCCTAATTTAAATTTTAGAATATTATATCACTAGATCTTTATGAAAAACAGATGATATTACGTAATTTAACGAACACATTTGAAAATATCGCAAACAGTTAATTTATTTAAAAGTAAACATATAATATATAATAATATTGACTTTTAAGTTAAATAAAATGCGATAAATGTCACTCAAAGAAGAAAGTTGGGATAAAGATCATACTGTTGTGTTTATTGCAATAGTTGGTTTAGTGATCTTATTTACTCTGCTTTTATTGTACTGCTTCATTAGTTTATTATCACAATATTGTCCATCTTTTTTTATTTTACAACCAATTCGAGAAAATGACATGCCTTTTCTATTAACGTTGTATACAAGATTCAAATGCGCATCTGGGACAAAAATGAAAGTAAAAGTTCAATTAATTGGAAGCAATGATGAAGCTTATACATTCAACTTAAGTCATCTAACTGAAAACTTTCCAACTGGTAGCTCTATCACATTTTTAGTTTTCAGTCCTCCAATTTTTGAAGGAATTGAAACTCTTAGATTAATTCTAAATCCAATTCCCAACTATAAAGATGAATGGAAGCTAAAACAAATTCATGTTTATGACTTTTTAAAAGGTAAGAAAATGACTAATAACTGTGTGGTTTATTATAAATTTGATACTTTTTTAAGATAAAAATTATTACTTTAATCAATCCAATACTATAAAAACTTACAAATGTCAGGAAATGTCCATTATCATTCCAGTATCACCTCAAACTTTGACTTCAAGTTGTAGTCATCAAATTCTCAAATTGTTTTTTGAACATCATATTTGGTTAAGAATGATTTGTTGCCTAAATAGAAATATCCTTTTTAACAATTTCGCAACTTATAGCTTATTCATATTTCATCTATTATTACTCTTTGCAGTCTGTGCAATAGTAACAAATGCTGATTTATATCCTGGTTTGTCTCTTCATATACTTATATCCATTATGTTTTGGACTTTTATTTCATGGCTAGTTTGCTGCATTTGTGACAGTTTTCTTAGGCATACGAAGCCGAAAGAGCAGGAATCTAAAAGAAATGCTATACATAGTGTATTTGCTCATAGCATAATATGTTTATCCTTTTTATATTCCTGCTCTAGAAATCAAAAATTAATGAACCTATGTTCAGTCAACTTGGTCAGCTGTTATCAAGTAAATTATTTAAAACAAGGCAACGAGAGGAAAAAGAGAATAAATTAGCGAAGGTCTGTTTATAATTGTAGAAGTTCTCTCAATTTTACTTTCTGTACGGATTTAGCTTCGGAAATGCAATTTATCTATGACTTCGGAATGGTACGACAGCCTACTAAAGTCAATGTCTCTGATTGATTTGGAATCTTTAGAATATTATCCTACTTTTCCAAAATATATTTCTCTTATCAATCAGACTTCACATATTCCTAATTCTGTTCAATCATTTCCAAACGTTTCTTTTGTTAAGAAATCAGTTTCATTTCAACGATTGAAAGAGAAAAAAAGTTGCCCATCACGTTTGCAGATGATGATTACTCATCGGAGAAAAGACAAGTCAAAAATTTGTAAAAAGAGATTCATGAATACTAAAATCTGGCATGTAAAGCACTCTAAATTTAGTCAACAAATGCTAAGAATTTTTCAGTCTTATGAAATCAATAAAAAAGAGCTAATGCAAGATATCGATTCATGTGCAAAAGATATTAGATTGAAAGGACACTGGAAAGATAATATTCCCGATTTAATATTGGACGAGGTATTCTTTGTTAAATACAATATAAAAATTTGTTTATGTTTTACTTTATAAACTATTTAGTTCTGTATTGATCCTCGGAAGATAGAGGATGTCTTACAAAGAAAGTTATCATCATTTGTACTAGCCAGAAGTTTGGAAATTGGTAAAAACTTTACTAAATTCTCAAAATTCCAATCCGAAGTGAAAAATGAAATATTGAGTATTCTCTATTCAATGAATAATAAACCTCGATCAATCTTTACTAAGAAGCATTGTCCGCTTTCTAAATATACCAAATGTATTATTGAAAGTAGTGGCGATTGGAGGAAATATGCGAAAGAACTTATAAAGTTAAATAATGAAAAAACTGAAAATTTTCTCAAAAATGTCATTGAGATCATTCAAGCTAATGGATTTATCATATCTGAAAAGATGTTAGGCAAACTTTGTTCTGAAGTTGTTAGTTCTGTCTCTCTGCTTATCGAATTTGATTGCGAAGGATTGTCAAACAGAGCTATTAAGTCAATGAATGCTTCGTCTACTCAAATGATTCCCAGTACAGAATTATGGAGTTTGTTAGACTCCAAAAGTGGTTGTATTTCGAAATTTTTCCAAAATAAACTTAAAAGGAAGAATTTTCTTTCATATAACAAACTTACTAGAGGAGAATCAAGGATGAAGTTCCTGGACATAAGCAATTCGCTTAAAATTGTTGTACGTGATGAAGTTAGGAGAAAAGATAAAATATTGCGAAGACTAGTCCTATGTTATGCTCTCGTATTCAACAGGAATAAATTTGAATGTTACTTTAAAAGATGTATGACTTTAGATTTAAAAAGACAAATAGTGCGATTAGTTTGTGGAAGCATTTTCCTAGTGAGTTTTATTAATTATATCATAAGTTTTACAGTTCTAAATCGTTGATCACTTAGAATTTATCAGATGACAATGTAGTTCGGCTTTTGAAGAAAGATCTTCAACATCAAGCAAGGTAACAGGACTAAAAGATTAATTTTACAAACTAAACATATGATTGATTTAAGATTTGACTGGATAATCAGAACTGTATTAGAGTTAGCTATAGAGAAGACTAAGAATTTGAATGATATTCCCTATTACGAGATGAAAACATTAAACTTACTTACTCAATCTATTGAGAGGTACATCTTGAAAGAATCAATCAATTCTACAGCTCGTTTATTGAGAAATAAACTTACATTTGGAAAACAACTTCATAAAGATTATTTCAACACCAATAAAAATAATTGGACAAGTAAATCTAATTCCAATTGTTATTATAATGAATCAAATTTGAGTTTAAAGGAAAAAAGTCTTGGTAAACCTCCATCTCTGAATCTTGAATTGGAAAATGACCTCGGTTTAATGAAAATTACACGATCAGAAGTTACAGAAATACAACGCTTTCTAACTGGAGCCTATAGCAATTCATTACCTTGGATTACTAACTTATATGTTTATTTCTTTATATTTTTACTAATTATTATAGTATTTATTATATTAGCGACGATTTTTAATGATTCAAGTCATCAGCAACTAAATTTAATTTTTAAAACGTTCTTGTTTAGTTTATTGTTTCATTGTTTTTTTCTTGAAACCAGTAAAGTTGCTATTATAGTTGGTTTAAGAAACAAAATGTCCTACTCGCAACGGTTCGTTTAATCTTAAGTATAAAAAGCAATGTAACATTTAAATAGATTGATCCACTAATACGATATCAGTTCATTTATATATTGATATATTTTTTATTGGACGGAAGGAGATGACTTTATCTAATATCAGTTACCAGTTTATTTTATCTGTACGATTAAACGAAAAGAAAATAATTATAAATTATACTAGCAAAATTTTTTCTTTTTACCTGAGATAAAAACAAATCGACGAGTTTACCTACAAATTCTTCTTTCCTATATATTAACCTTGAGCCTCCCGCTTGATGTATCTGTAAAATATAGATATTATTTGCATAAATTGAGACAGAAAGTTGGTTGGAATGTGATTTCGAAAATGCTAAATGGTCTTTCTAAAATTTTATAAAATTCTTACATGCAAGATAAAAAAAGGATAATTGAACTATTATTTTTAAAGTTATGGTGATCTTACCTCAAACGTCTCCTATAGATTTATATTATACATGTTTTTGTTTTTAAGTTATTTAATAAAAACGTTAATAAAAAATGTATTATAAATAGTAATACTTACTCTTTGGACAATATCATATATTTTATTGGGTCCAAGTTCATAGCAAGCTTCTACTAACCTGGAAAAGTGGATCGAAAGAAAACTAACCATCTTTTCAAGATCGAAGATAGCAAATAGTTACCCAAGAACATCATCCGGTTTTCTGGAAACAGCTCCTTGAAGTTGTCTAAATAAAGCATCACCAATGGCTCTATCGATTTGACCTGTATTTTCTTTGTCTAGATTTTCAAACAGTTTTTGACTTCGTTCAACGTGATCTAAAAGACAAAATAGTTCGAGTATTATAAAAGATTAACACAGAATATTCGAACCTATAAAAACACATGCCAGAAATACACCATCTCTAAAGACATGAAAAGGAATATATTCCGCTTCTCGGCAATATATCTTCCTTAAAAGTTTTTCTGTATATTGTTGTGAAGCTTGCCTTTAAAAAGTTTTGTATAATACTGATGTATCTTAATTATTAATTATTTATAACTTACATGCATAACAGTTGTAAAATCTCGGTATAGGATATACCCGTTACTCCCTTAGTAATAGAAGTTTTCGAACCTTGCAATTAAAAAATTCAATATGTTTAAATATTGCAAATAAGTATTGAAATAAATAAAAGGTTTCACTTTTGTGTGACATTAGCATTTCGTATGAGTCTCTAACATTTATTTTAAACGCCTCTTCATTATATGGTGTTTGCTTTATCATTTGGAAGGCTTTATTGACTTTATTTGACTTTTCTGCAGCATTTTCAAAGCTGAAAAAATATACTTAAAAAAATGATTTTAGCTTAAACATTTAGACCTACTATTCAACTAGATAGTTAATTGGATTTTCAGGTTGATTCTGTATCAATTTCAGAATAGCTCCCCTTATTAGCAGATTAGTTCCTGATTTCTCTGTACATAAAATATATATATATATATATATATATACATATATATACATATTGTCAAGTATCATAAGTGTTACTTGTAAACAAGAGGACTATTGCTATTTAGTTATTGTTTTTAAAGAGAGTAGATTTTTATGAATTCCTTACCTAAAAATTGTTTATCAATATCTCCTTGATTGTCTGTTGTTGGTAGCTTTTTTCGGTCAGTCATTTCAATTGATTAAATTTAAATCTTACATTCTTTAACATTTCAATGCGAGTCTGCTGTAAAGTACGCAACTTCCGCTTTCCAAAGGGGCGCTTTCGAATTTGTCACTGGAAGATAAATATTATTAATATTACTATTATTTGTACCAAATTACATTATTAAAATATATTTGAATATCTCAATATTATCTAAATAAATTAATGTTATTCAATAAAATATTTATTTTGAGTCTGTCATTTAGTTTCCAAAATTCCTTACGGATCAGTAATGCATTTGAAAAACATTTAAATTTTTCCTAACCCCATTTTTATTGCTGTACATAGGGATTATAAAGAAGAAAACTTTTGAAGACTTTTTTATATGGTTGAACGATAGTATTCCAGAGGAATACTTTATAGACGGAGGAGATTTTGCTTTTGGAGCTGGTATAGCTTTAATAAAAAAATCAACATTTATTTCAATTTCTTAAATTTCCTTGATCAGTAAAGGACCAAGTTCATTCTAAAGATGAAGTGTTTATAACTATTACACCAGACATAGAAGTCATCGGTCTACTCCAAGCTCATGGGCTACCATTAATAGTCATTGAATGCCCCAAAATTATGCCGATCCATAGCAATATGTTTTGTCTATCGTATTCCCATTCCATTTTAAACATTATAAAAACTCAGATTAATGACTTAGTTGAAATGGACGCAGTGCAGAATAGTTCGAAAATAGATTTAAGCGTTGTACTCGAAAGATTCTATGAAATCGGAGGTAATGTAGTTATTTTGAAAGATAATACGAAAAATTATCTTCACAAAAAACTTCTAGTAACTACTCAAACGATAAAGAAAATATGGACTGAAATGAATAAATTGAAATTTACAGCTCTATCTTCTAAACTCGTAACACCATCAGTTACAAACTATGATCCAATGACTGAATCAGAAAGGAAGGAAAGCCTTTTTGAAAATCATACGATTGTTTTAATTAAGTTTTCTCGATTTACGCCTTATCATGTTACTTTATCATCATCAGTTGATTGGGTTGAAAATCATCAACACCATAGCTTAGTAAAAGTTGCCAAGCCTTTTATAATGTTGTCTCATCACAATAGCATAAGGGAGGACTGTGCAAATCCATTCTATAAAAACAAACAGGACAAATGCGCAAACAATGACAATAAAGCAAGTGAATATACAAATAGACAAGATACACTAATTCTATAATTGATTTAATTAATTCCTTAGCAGCATATTGACATATATAAACAATTGTTGGATAAACTGCAAAAAGTAATTATTTTCATTAGGAACTCTGTAGTGAATAATTCTTTGAAAGCTGATCTCCTTAGAAATCAATTGGAAGTTTGTTGATCCATTTTTAAATAGTTCATTATATATTTTAATCAAATCATTTTAGAGGATAATCGAGAGAAAGGCTAAAGATTTTTATGAACAAAGACCTTTCAACTATACTTTAACTAAAAAAGTAATTTACAACAATCCACTTAAACAGTTTATTGCTGCCTTTAATATAAAACCAGTATGTCTTCTTATCTGTTCTATTCTAAGTAGTTTATAAAATTGAAATAATTTAAGAATATGATGCTTTTCAACGAAACGTCACATGGGACAACAATATCAGGAGAGAGAGTATGTAAGACTGGGTGTACTTGTCATACTGAAGCTGAAGATCATGATATTAGTTCATTGGTAAAAAACTTTCACATCGAACTGATGGAGGTAACAAACTGTATATACAAATTATTTTATTAGTGTTATTTTTTGGCTTCTACTGTTTTATATTTAGCTTATTGCAAAAAAAATGTCAATGAAGCTTCATCTAATCGCTTCATCAAGTTCAAAAAGTTCCATAGTCACCCGAGATCAGAAAAGTGGCCATTTTAATAAAGTCTATCGAGAAATAATACAAGGCGTCATTCATACTTCCGTTGAACCCGTTCAAGTAACTAGCAAATTACGCAATATATTCGATTTTTCCATCTCTTTAAATGATGCTAAATTGGCCGTTTTGATAAAAAATGATTTATATGACAAACATATTCATTATCAACACTTGATGAATAAGAACATTTGGATAATATCGATCTCCGTTGGAACTCTAATATTTCTAATTGTTAAGATGTCACCTTATACAAAAAGAGGAAGACTTAGTCGCCAGTTGTGGACAACTCCAAAATTAAATGACAAGACTGACTTTCTAACGGCAATGTACACTCTTTTTGGACTCCTTTTTTCTCAAACTCGGTAAGAGAAATTTGAATTATACACTGAGTATAATTGTACTCTTTCATTGTCTTTCCTTTTAAAGATCATCCAGACCGAAAGCTTTTTCGGTAAAGTGCCTATGGTTTACATGGTGGTTGATAACATTGGCTACTAGTTTAATAATAACTTGCAAAATGACAGAATACGCTATGGACTATTCTTTAAAAGATGAACCATATACGTTGGAGGAACTGGTGGCTGTAAAAGACTACCGTTTTGTTGTAGTCCGCAAATCAAGTATACATATAGCAATCTCGCATTTATCCAACTATGAACCATATAAACAAATATATTTGCGTTTGGTGAACAATCCTGACAGTTTAGTAGACACATGGTTCGAAGGTTTACAGATGATCAAGCAAAGCGAAAGAGGTGATAAAGTGGCTTTTATTGACACGGATAGGAAGCTTCTCAGTATATCAATGAATGAACCATGTATATATCGCGTAATAATAAGTAAACAATTGACATCATCTTTTCCGGAGGCATTTCCCTTCCAGAAAGGACATGCTCTGCTGCCTCATTTCAATAAGGCGCTGATGAATGTTTCAGAAGATGATCAGTATAAAGAACTATTTAGCAAATGGTTCCCTGATCGATGTCAATCAAAAGAGAAATTAGAAAAATCCAGCTTCAGAACAAGTGTTCTAGATATGAAATCAATCTTGATAATATATATTGTCCTATGTACTACTTTTCTTATTATGGCCCTTTGGTCATTTGCAACATCAAAGGAATACCGACCTAAGGTTGAAAAGTCTACTGGTGTAACTGAACAACTCGGAAATCTGAAATCATCAATTAAATCTAAATTTTACAAGACTTCAAGCCCTGCTTTGAAGCGTTCAATTGGATCAGATGATACCACACTGCTACAAGCTGATAGTAAAATTCTTTCTTCAGGACAATCTATCGTAAGGTCAACGGACGAAGGAGCGTCATCTATCAACAGTGATACGCTAATGGTTGTTGATGGTAAAACGAATTTCTGCTGTATTTATTTCCAGTTGTAATAACATAAATTAATATCATTGCAGATGTTGTTTTGTCTGATCGTTCAGCTAGTGACTCTGCAAACATAAAAGTAAAGAGTAAAGATGATTCAAGTTCCAACGTATTACCAAGAAAGCCAAGAAAAGGTGCAGGTGGAAAAGTTGTTACATTTAACTTCTCTTAAGCATTATGAAGCTTAATAACGACTAAACTTTGCTTTAAATCATAGTAGTTAAGAATTTAAAATTTTTGTACTTTTACTATTTAAATTACTTATGTAATTTGTTATCAAATTTCAAGTTGATTTTTTTTTCAAACATTTAAATTTAAAGTAGCAAAAAATTGATTGCTGCGAGATATTCACTGCAAACGCTGTTTAGTAATACTCTTGACATGGCACCTTACAAGTGAATTAATTTGCCAACGGACAACTGAAAGAACAAAGTATGGATTCACATCAAGATGTGGATTTGAATATGCCGGTATTTTAATATTTACGAGTGCAAAAAATTAAGATATCTAAAAAAATATTTATGATTTAAATTATTTTTCTAAATAGGAATTAATCAACAATTTTTGCTCATTTTTGCTGAGACCTTTTATCCCGTGTTTTAGAATAACAAAGAACTTCAAATAACATTATCTCCCTTTGAGGAAGAACAACGACGCTTTAAAATTGAACATGAGAAATTACATGAGAAACACAAGGGCCATGAAAAAATGCATGCGGAAATGGTTCTCATTTTGATTGTAACTCTTGTAGTAGCTCAGATCCTATTAGTACAATGGAAACGCCTTTTCCCCAAGTCCTATCATGCCGTTACATTATTTGGAATGTGGATAATTCCTATAGTTTTTGCTATTAAATTTTGGTGGCTTAGATTTATGTCGATATGGATAATTTTTTCAGTAATAACTCTAATGATATTCTATTTTGCAACTATGACAAAAATTCATCCCAGAACTCCCAGACTTGTCTATAGATGGTTTCTATTAATATATCAAATAAGTTATACAATTGGATTGATTGGTTATATAATTATAATGCTAACCCTCTTTGGCTTCAACGTTTTGATTTTGGTTAAGCCTCAGACAGCAATGGATGCAGGATTTTTATGCTTATTCTATGGATTATACTACGGAGTTGTGGGTAGAGATTTGGCTGAGCTCTGTACAGACAAAATGGCCTCTCAAATAGGATACTATACTGAGACTGGTTTACCCAGTAGGAAACTTGAGAGTAATATCTGCGCAGTATGTGGGCAAGAGGTACGTAATCTAAATATGTATTTTGAATCTAAAAGAAGAGAAAATGATTAATTTTTATGACTTGTTGGTTTAACGTTGAAACTATTAGCTGTGTGAGATAGTTTCATGTACTGAACAACAGGAAATTTATAAAGATAATTTAGATTAAGTTCAGTAGTGAAAGATATACTCTACTATATCGTGAATTATCAAGATATCTATTCTGAATAACAAACTCTAATATAAATATACCTTCGATAGATCATTTAATAAAAACTTTTGCAGGTAAGCTTTGCCGACGAAGAAACTGATGAAGTTAAAGTGAAACTCAACTGTGGCCATTAGTAAGTTGAAATGATAAATAGAACGTTAAAGTTGAATTTTTATCTAAAGACGGTTTATCTATTTAAATAGTTTTCATGAATTTTGTATACGCGGATGGTGTATTGTTGGTAAGAAACAAACTTGCCCGTATTGTAAAGAGAAGGTACCTTCAATTTTTTCAATGTCTTACGCATATATTAATATATATATATATATAAAAATGCTAAATAGGTGGATTTAAAGAGAATGTTTTCAAACCCCTGGGAAAAACCTCATGTTTTATACGGAAATTTGTTAGACTGGATTCGCTATTTAGTTGCTTGGCAACCGGTTATAATTGTCCTTGTCCAACTTATCAATTGGACATTAGGACTGGAGTGAATACTCAAGGTATTACAACTATTTAAAAAAATTCATTTTTTGAATGTTTAAAAATATGCTTGTTTTTGGTCAATTTTAAATAATTTTCCAGATGTTCTGGATAAAAAAAACAATAATTTTTTAAATTTACAGGTTACAGTCAGGGGATAGGAAATTAGCCAATGAAAATAAATATATTCTGAGCTGCAACGATACGTGTGAAAGTCAGAGAAGTCCAAATAATACAATATAACACTCTTTATTAATATTATTTATGAAATGTATATATAAAATAATATAAATCTGAACTTTGGTTAATTATTGTTTACTTTTAAAAGCTCATTAAACATATATATATATATATATATATATAGTAATTGTTCCACTCTTATTTCAGTTTATACAGGTAAATTATTCGCTCTTTATGCTGCCAGATTTCGGTCTCGGTATCATTGCAATGAGTCTAGGTCTTGCAGTTATATTGAATTCTCTTGAAAAAGCTTCCTGAAGAATATTAGAAAGCGTATTTTCCAAAATCTTTTCAACCGTTGTTGTCTCATTATTTTCCCTAGAAAGATAAAGTTATTGTAGCATTACTTATTACATGAGTGGAATCATACCTGTTAGAGGCAGGCTTTGATTGCTTTCTTTCCTCCACTGGACTTGAATTATATGACGGTTCCGATATAGGTGAACTGACGGCTATAGGTGAATTTAATGGCGAACCTGGTACAACTTCCTGTTCTTCCAAGTCAATTTCTATTGGTGAAGATTCAGTATCTATCGTGGCTCCCTTAATTTGTTGAAAATACGGAATAGGTTCGTTACGTATAGACAATACGGCCTCTTTAAATGTTGATTCATCCAGTAAAGATCTATGATTGATTGAAAAAGAAAATGTTCTGTAAGGATTTTTCTAGATTAAATCCTATAAAAACAAACTTTATTATTGTTCCCAAAGTCAAAGCGGTCATATCAAATTCTTCTTGATTGCAGACGGTTTCTCCTTCGGCTTCATACACTTCTTGAATTTCCGCAGTATTTAGTTCTCTATATTATAGAATAGAGTATAATTTATAACTTTTATCAATAGGTTAATTAAAGTACGGTTACTTGTTAATAAAGTGAGAGGCATATTGATCTGGGAAATTTTCCAAAAATGTATTTATTTGATGAGAACGACCAGTTATTGTTAGATGCTATTTAAAATGTAGACAATTATCAGTATATTATATTCCGCCAAATAAAGCTTTTTACTACCTGAATAAACGGTTTTGGAGCCTGTGGCATGACCCAATAGAGGCGTTCGAACACTTCGTTCTCCCGTCGTAATTTTTCCAACGTAGCTAAATCAGAAGATTTAATAGGAGGAAGAGTTCTATATTTTGAGAATTCCGGAGCTGTTGGCTCTTTTCCGCAACGGGATAATAAGCGGTTAGGAGATGATTTCTGCAACAATTATCATTTATGATTGTTATTTATAATAAAACAATTTTATTAGCATTTACTAACCCCATCTGATATTATGGTTGGACTTGGGCTCACCGTAGGACTAACTGGCAACAGTTTGTCAGCATATAAGTTATCCTCTGTAATAACAAACTGAACTTTTTGTCGTTCGTATTCACTTTGCCATGATTCTAACTCTGCTTTATATTTGGAGACAATCGTCATATTGTGAACCTAATGAAATTGTATATAAAGCTTTTTCATAAACTAATTTTTCTAATTAATCCCTAATTTACCTCGCACACTAAGTCAATATCATAGAATGTAGCTTCACCGACTGTGGTTAGAACAATTTTGCAAAGAATTGATTCATTAGGCTGTAAGAATCCACTATTCGGTTCAACTGCAATTATCTAAAAGAAACAATTCTTGAGGGTATAATGTATATTTGCGTGAACGATAAAAGCCATACCTGGTTGTGGACTTCATTTGCGACATTCCAACTAAAGGATATTGGATGAGAGTCACTTTTGTTTGTCATAGCGACAGTTCGTCTTACAACGGCGAATAGAGGTATATCTCCAAAACTAATTTTCTCTTCCGATAAAAAGCAAAGCTGACCTCTTTCTGGTATGTTTTGTTTTGGAGGAACCCCGGGAGCATCGTTCGGTTCATTTGTAACCAGACCTTCTATTCCATCTCTCTTGTCATAGCCGATTCCAATAAAAGTAATTAAAGATGTATCACCATTATGAATATGAATTGGTACATCGACCGTATATGTTTTAGCTTCCAAAGGTGAGAATTTCCATTCGACGGCAAAGTTTTGTTGAGGTTTAATCTCACCCCTGGTTGTAAGGCATTCGAATACAGCATGATCAAAATTCTCTGACTGTAAACTGTGCAACTGTGTACAATCTATTTCAAAACGGACTGGTCTTGAACCACCATTATACAATTGATACATTTGTTTAGGAGGAGATTCATCTCCAACAGCAACTGGTGCAAACAAAAATTTATTTGATGGAAAATGAACGTAGGTTGCATCTTCTTCAACGGTTACTCCAACGAAATTTAACTATTAATAATGTATATAAGCTTAATTGCTTTCAAATGATACAGTTTATTAAACTTACTAGAATTTCTCTTCCCTTAGCGATTTTTAATAAAACTGGTAATTTATCGATGCCGGATAGATCGTGTAAGTATCTTAAAACAATTGATCTTGTTTGACCAGCTTCAAGGCATCCTTTTTGCGGTTGGATAGAAAAGAGTTTGTTGTCCATAACTTTTAACTGTATTGGAGAATAAAATCTTTTATTAATGATAAAAAGGTAATTTATACTGGAAAAAATATCAAAAGGGAAACTAATAAATCAATCTCTTCTTTTACAGATGTTGGATGTCTAAAATTAACGGATTTCTATCACTGGTAAACCACAACAACAACATGCGTGATCGAAATTAAGATGAGACTGAACCTGATTAAATTGTTCCTTAATTGGCAGCTTGAATAATATTTAATAAATAGTTTATACCATTGATAAGAAATATTACAATATATAGGTGTATAGCTCTTTCTTTTCATTGTATATCTACTGTGAAAGATCGAGTAGATTGCACAATAAAGAACGAATATTTATACAACGCTGTTTACTAAAATTAACAATTTATTATCAACTACCTCTTGCATTTCTTCTTCGCTAAACTCTCCAGTTTCGGCCCAATATTCCAGTTCCATTTGTAAGTCTGTCGGAAAGAGAAATTCCCAATCACATGGTACGACGCCATTGTTTTCCAATACTAAATTCACTTCAAAAGGTTGACTGCCTACAGGAGCGGCGGAAAAGTTAAAATCAACGATAGACCTAGTGTAAACTGGGGGTCGTCTGCGATAGCTTTGCCTCGTTGCCCTATTATACATTAATTCTGCTTGTTGAGGATCACAGTTTAATGACTTATTAAGTTTATCCAAGTTAAATAGAGTCCATAATTGTTTCTTTCCAATAGATTTACCACAACCTCCAGATCTAGCATCAATAATTTCTAAAGTAGGAAATACGCCACTGCCCATAATTTGACACAGGGGTTCAGTTTCTATCACATCTGTAACGCAATAAAAACGATCATATTCTTGCATATAGAATTAAGTTCTATCGCTTTTTGAATACCTGAATCCATAATTATTTTGTACAGCAATTTGAATTGATAGCTCATTCGTTGACTTGGTCTCATTACCAATTGAATTTTTTTAGCTGATTTTGCAGGTAGAATACCTGATTGATCTTCCGTGATAAAAATGCATGTCTCAGTGGCATTTTCATCATCTACCACCAGCGACAGTTCATAATGCAGTGGACAAGCAGCAGTATTACGGATGGAAACGTACTTGTAAGATGATGTATTTACTATTATCGTACCGAAATCAATATAGCTGCTATCAGACTATTTGAATAGAAAATTTTAAGTATAATGATATATTTTGTAAAGAATTTAAATAGTACCTGTATTTTTCCAATATTTCCTTCTCCAACAACTCGAACAGGAAACTCTCTTTTTCTTCCACCAGAAGTTTTCCCGCTTTGTCCTTGACCCCAAATAATGATACTGGGTTTAAGTAAAAATTTACCAGACGTGGAAGGTTTAAACGTAAACTCGTGATGCTGGGATATAAAATAATTAAAGAAATTATGGTTTTTGTATATTAATTTATACCTGTTGCTCTCCAGGAAGGATAACTCCATTAGCAGGTTCAATTTTCAGTGTCTCGATATCTTCAGAGTTTATTTTCCATTTGAAAGCCATTGGGAGTCTACTTGTATTCGTGACAGTAAACGATGATTTACTCTCAGTTCCCAAGCAAGTAGGTTTAAAATAAACGTAGGCGTCATTTTCCAATGAAATATCAGCTTTTTCCGCCGAACCAAAACATGATATGTCCTGTGAAAAATTAATAAATAAATACAATATTCTTATAATGAAAATTGGAAAACTGCAAATAAATTACAAACCACTTTATTTTTTTCCGATTCATTTAGAATGAAAGATATATTTTCCTTAAATCTGCCAACTTCTTTAGGTTTGCAGTTGACAAGAAATATTTGATAACCTTTCAGAAGATATGCAGCTGACGGAATAACTGAGAAGATGCTGAAATTTATAGAAAGTTGCAATTCAATGTCAAATATTTGTCTATTAAACGAACCCTTTATCTACAGCATTAATCATTAGAGCTTGACTACTTTCATTATAGAAAGAGAATGTTCTAAATGTCTCTTCTCCTTGATTGCAAGCCGGAAAAACAATATTAGTTGGATTAAACGAAATTTTCGGAATAAAGATTTCCTGATTTACTGGAAAAGTGTGACCTACAACAGAAAATAATGAAATCATTCTATCATTATGTGAAAGTATTTTTGTCAACCTGATACTCTAAATGTTAGGTTCAAAGGAAGAAAATGGCTGATGCTCTGCACCATCCTGTAATCTCTCAGACTTTTATAAAAAGCATAGCCTTCTAACTTGCCACCGTAAAGAGTACCCATATCAGTCTAAATGAAAAGATTATATTAATACTCTCTTACTACTTATCGAAAATAAATTGAATTTGTAAAGCCTTACCGGTTTAAAAGTGACCCTGAACGAAAAGGACTTTAGGGGTGGGATATCGGCAACCTTAGGACTAATAACGAATGGTTTTTCATCATCTATAAATAATAAAAATATTATGGTGTATTTAAAAACTACGTTTGTCTTATTTGATTGCTTAGATTTACCTGTAACCCAACAAACTGTCATTTTTCCTTTTGTTTTATTTGTCAAATTTAAAGTTTGTTGTTCAAGATTCTTTAAATTTGTTACTCTTTGAAAGTCCATGTAGCATCCATCCATGGCAATGTGATCGTCATTTTCTTTGTTCATCTGAAAGTAATCTTCATAAGGGTCCTTACATGCTGGTAAGGCCGAAGCACTCTCAGGGCTCTAAGGTAAAGAAGATAATTAAATACTCTCTGAAAATAATATTATTTATTAGCCAATAACCTTTCTCGGATCACTTATAAATCCTTCAGAGTCAATATTTAACGTTTTTTCCTCTAACATCTTATTTATTTCTTCAGGAGGAATAGTGGTAAATCCTCTCTCTTTATGCACACGGAATTTTTTAACATGCGCTTTAAGCAAAACAGCTGGCTTTTCTACATCCGAATGACATGTTCCAATCAAATCGATGAAAAGAGGAGGGTGATTATGTATCAAGCAAGCAACCCTCTTGTGAAAATTTATATTAAATTTCGGTTCAAACTTCAAAGTAACGTTAGTTCTTGACATTTCTAAAAGTTGGCCACATGATGGTGTAATTTGGAAAACACTATTATCATTGTCGTTATCAAACTATGCAAATAAGAAACATATATTAAATTTATTAAACATTCTTACATTTTAGTTTGTAAAGAAAGACAAACCTGAAAGACAGCTGATTGCTTTGAATCATTCACAATTTCAATAACTACAGAAGAAGAAGTACCCTCATCAATTTGACCAAAACTAACAATTTCGCTTGTTAAATAAACTGTAGGTCCTGTGTTTATATGATTAAATTTATATCTTTACATGTATTACAATATTTTCAATCAGTTACCTATAGATTTTCCAATACACTTTAAATAGCTTTTGGAAGTTTCGCTAATAGTACTTATTTCAAAATAATCAGTATGTTGATAACCAACACAACTTGATTGATAGTAGACCTATAGAAAAGTAAATAAACTCTTTTTATGTTTGTAGTATTTTAGATGAAACTTACAGGCAATCTCAGAGAACTTGCAGGTGGAACAAGGCCTGATTTTTGTTTAACAAAGAAAACTCTATCAACACTGTTTAGAGTCGGTTGAGTAATTTTAAACGGACAAGCAACCTAAAAATTGTAGAATTTTCGAATATATTTACTCATATACTGTAAATACTTATATATATTTCCAAAAGTACCTACCGGTGAATGATTTAAGAGTTCAATACATCTTTCTACGCATATATCTGAGTTTGTTTGACCAAAATCTAGTAGCTTTTCACCAAATTTCAGACTATGATCTTGACAAACTGCTTCACTAGTAGGCGTTGTTACTTCGGCCGGATCCATCAATTCGGGAACAGAAATAACAAGATGTGGATATTTACCTAATAAAATTATATATATATGTAAATGATCGAAAAACGATTTAAAACAGATTAAACGAACCAACTCCTAACAGATTTATTGTTAATTCATATTGATAGTCGTTGCCATAGGTAAGAATAGCAGTTCCACTATATCTTTTTGCTTCCATTGGAGTAAAAGCAATGTTAATCTCAATATCGTCCCCACTCTTGGCCTTTCCTTCCAAAACTCCGTTAACTTGATCCAAGTAAAATGGCTCCGGACATTGCAATTTAAAAGGAGTTACTAATGTACTAAGAAAGTAATTTCCTGTTAGTTAAGAATTTATATAAATCTATAAAAGTATTTTTACCTCAAGTTTTTTAAAACAAAGCTGGAATTTATACAGTCCTTGGCTGCACACATCTCCATGTCTATTATTTCTGGTGCTTCAATAGCATATGAAGGCAAAGTCCCAGATATTTTAACGTCAAAGACAAAACCATCCTAAAAATACAAATCAAACTATGTTCTAACACAATTCACGTTCTTTTGTTTATTTCTTCGATTATTCTTACCTCTAGCTTGAAAGAGATGGAGTCTTCGTAAACAACTCTTTCAAGAGGTCTAAATGTTATTGGTAGAGTGAATGTTGTACCAGCACTTATCTTTGTCGGCTTTGGGTAAATTGTAGTAAAGAATCGACTTCTAGGATTACTATAAATACGATTCAACTTAAGAATACATTCCAATATTCTTAAAAAACAAACCTATATTTTAATTTTTGAGTTTTTATTTGCACATTTTTCAGAGTAATATTTTTTGTATACTCTCTGCCTGGTTGCCAATCTGTAAATTCAATTGCTTCAGTTACTTCCAAGCCATGAATTCGGAATTTTCCTTTTGGTATTGGAGGTTCTATTAGTCCTGGCATTTTTAAAGTGCTAAAATATGAGCGATAATAAAAACTTTGATATTTCCACTTAAATCTGACAGTTTATTCCAAGTTTTTTGTCTCAAAGATCTATATATTAATTTTCTAATTAATTTCCGAATTAAAGTACTCAAAAAGACAATCAAATTTCTTTATTTTTCTAAAAGTAGGGTAGTTTATAAAACTCTAGCGACAGTTGTCTTGGTTACAAGTTCTTCATATCGCTATATGGAGTGTCGTAAAACTGAGAATATTTCGGTCGTGTTTATCAGTTTTTGCCGAAAAATTGCGTTTTCCGTCAGAGTAATTTTATCAACTACTAAGTGAGTCGAAAGTTTTTGGATAATTAAATAAAATCATGACTTTGATGCGTGCATATTATATGTAACAGAGCCATAAAAGTGTTAAAACGCTAAGAAATTTCTGTCATTTGTATAATTGTGAGCGATAATTCAGCCTTCTGCGTTTCAGCTCACCGACGATCATCTAGAAAGATGTCATTTAATCAAACCGAGCCTGGTAGTAAAAGATTGAAAATGGAAGCAGCAGTACCCAATCCTGAGAAAAGATTACCAACTGAACCTCCGGCTGGTATTCCAATGCAACTAGATCCATATCGTATAAAAGAAATGATGGCACAAGCTAAGCAGCAAATTGCTCAGAGAAAATCTCAACTAAACATAAATAACTTAAATACAGGACAAAATAAGCAGAGCACCAGAGCAACAGAGTTACAAGCTAAAATTGCTGAAAAAATGAATGCCCTGGTTAACTCGGGAGATATTGTTTTAAATACAAGGTAAACATAATACTATACTGTGACTATAAATATCAAAATTGTCCTTTTGTAAATGAATACTTTATTATTACTTTAATTTTTAATTTAAAATTATTTAATAATATCTGAATTTAAGAGAAACGAATCAGCATGCTATTCAGTATATGCTTTTCTATTGCTCCTATTTTAGTCAAGTGTTAGTAAAATGTTTTAAAGTCTATTTTACTTTCTATTAGGCCTTCAACGAAACTAATTCTTGATGCCGAAGGAAGAACTATAGACCTGAATACGGGAGCTTTAGTTCAATTGAATCAGGCTGCTCCTACAGTTAAAGCTAACATAAGAGTAAATAAAAAGAAAGAAGTTCCTGAAGATCGAAAGAAAAAAGCGTTTTCCCCTAGCCCAGCTCCCAGTCCTCTTCCTACAGAGGCTAAATTTACTGATCCTCGACTTGCTATAAAACCAGCAAATCGTATAAAAAGAAGCTTCAAATTTCACGAACAAGGAAAATTTGTGAAAGAAGCTCAAAAAGCTAGGGCAAAAGCCCAATTAGAACGTTTACAAAGTGATATTTCTCAAACTGCCCAAAAAACAGGCATAGCATCTGCCGCGAAGTTGGCTGTCATTCAACCAAGAGTAGTTCAAAGTACTGCTGTTCCAGATATAGAATGGTGGGATAGTTTAGTAATACAGAAAGAAGAGTATCCGGAATCTTTGGATGACCTTTCAATCAATGATACCCTTACACGATTAGTAGAGCATCCAATTCAAGCAGAGCCTCCTACAGCTCCATTGGAGGAAACCCCTATTAAGTTATTTTTAACAACCAAAGAACGAAGAAAGTTAAGACGACAAACTAGAATGGAAGCTCAAAAAGAGTTACAAGAAAAAGTAAGATTAGGATTATTACCACCTCCAGAACCAAAAGTTCGGTTAGCCAACTTAATGAGAGTTTTGGGAACTGAAGCTGTCCAGGATCCGACTAAAGTAGAAGCCCATGTAAGAGCACAAATGGCAAAGAGAGTACGACAACATGAAGAAAATAATGCCGCAAGAAAACTGACACCTGACCAAAGAAGGGATAAGAAAATTAGGAAGCTGCAAGAGGATACAAGTTTAGGTGTTCAAGTGGCAATATATCGAGTGAAAAAGCTCAACAATCCTGCCCATAAATTCAAGGTTATCTATCATTGTTTTTTTGATTAATTGTTCTTAGTACTTACATAATATTACTTTTTTCTCATAGGTTGAAACCAACGCTCGTCAATATATGATGACCGGAATTGTTCTTTTACATCATGAGTGTAATGTAGTTATTGTTGAAGGAGGCCCTAAACAGCAAAATAAATATAAAAGACTAATGCTTCATAGAATTAAATGGAGTCAGGATGAGGATGAAGAGGAAGAGAAGAGAAACGGATGTCGTTTAGTTTGGGAAGGCACAAGCACAAATAGAAATTTCGGAGATGTTACTTTCAAACTCTGTTCTACAGAAAACGTTGCAAGAGAAACGCTAAAGAAAAAGGGAGTTGAATACTATTGGGATCTAGCCTACTCCGGCGCTGTTCTAGAACAAACGACTACATAAAATAACATGTTTAACAAATTTTTTGGAATTTTATATACCAAGAATTGTATAATTAGCTTATACCTAATGACTCATTTGCATATAAAGTTGTCGTAGTCGATATCAGTTCTCTTCTATAGAATAAAGAGTAATTTCTAAAATTGTTCAAGACGTATGAATACTTTTAATATTATAGAACTCCAACTTAGGAATAGGCTTGTTGTTTTCCAATTAAACATTGCGCCCACATTCTAATTCCTCTTTACGTGTATGCATATTTTTCTCTTAACCAATTAATCCTTCAGTATTATATGACAAAACGGAAAGTTTTACTTAAACTTTTGTCAAGAATACTTAATTATAAAGTACCTGATTATAGCTAGTAGTATTAGCTGTCGTAAAAGAAATAAAATCATACAAAAATCGATTCGACATAACGTATTGTAATCGCCATTCAACTTTGTACAAACAAAAGTTTTATAGCTCTTCAGACAAAATGCAGACTTCGGGTGACGAACGTCTAAGCGCAGAGTTCGTTGTGACCTATTCAGTATTAACTTTCTTCCTTCTCCTTGTTTTTGCCCTTTCCTTCCTTCATTATCATATAGAAAATAGAGAAAAATATCAACGTCGAAGAGAACGGATAGAAGCTCTCAAAGATGATACTAATGAAAGCGAAAACTTTTGTGGCGTAAATAGGGCAACATCTCTAAAACCATTCGTACGGACTAGAATGTCAATGCTATATAATAAAATTGATGTGAAGCCAATCGTAACACACTTCGCTTTAGGTTTTCACGAGGATTTATCAGTTAGCAATTGGAGTAAAATAATTAAATCTCCTATGGGTCGAAAGAGGTAATAAATGCTTTAATTAAGTAAAATTAATAGTAAAAAACAGAAGTTCAACAGAAAGAAGTCTCGATGGGCCTATGCTACAGGTTTCGCAAAAGACAATTATAAATCTTTTAAGTATTCATCGAATGAGTCTTCATCAGACAAGACTGACTCCGATCATTTTTCATCAGAAATTGAGGATTGTGCTCATAGTAGTCAAACTCGAAAGGCAGTAAATAAACCAGCAGTCACCAAGACTAAAGCGAAAAGTCATATGGGTAGTCTAAGTGTTGGTGTTAGCGTATTGAACAATAGAGTTAATTCCAGTTAACCAATTCGCTTCAATATATAGTATTTATCTGCTAACAACTGCTATAAGCTGATTGCATTTTCACAAAATCAACACACAGGGCAGTTCTGTGTTTGAAAAAAATTCTAACATGTTTGTTCAATGGCAAGACCTCACTACTTATGTGGATTTTTTTCTACTGTATTTATTTTGTTGTGCTATTAAATGTCCTTAAGCAAATGTTCAACATATATTGCCCCTTTTTGTTAAAATTCCTTGAATCCAAATATAAAATATATACTGAACGTTTTATCTCAACCAATCGCATCCGGACAGTAGTGTAAACAAAACGTCTCATTCAAATTTATTTTTAGATTATCGATTGGATGCAGATAACAATTTGTTATAGTTGCTTGTTTGATTAGCTATCTCAAATGTATTTCGCAATAGGCTACTCATGTATTAGGTAGAAGATGAATAATTTCGCAAAAATTCTACATCAACTCATTAGCAATAAAAGATGGAATTTAGGTTTACAAATAAAATGATAGGAATGAGTAAGCCTAGGCAAAAATATTTAGAAAAATGTAAGTTCTACAGGGTAACACTGGAACAATTTGCTACTTCTTGTGATTCTTTTAGAATGTTGAAAGCAGCTTTAAACTCTTCAGTTTCCGCTTCAGTTTCATTACAGTTTTTCTGAAAATATAATAAATAGATAACAAATTTTTCAATACTATATAAATTAAAAGCAAACAAACTATATGCTTATGTAGATCCATCCAATAATTCCTTAATTTTGATTGGGTAACTGATTTGGTTTCCGAAGCTTCCGTTCTCAGTCTCTCCTGCACAGTAAAATTACTCATACGTGTCAGACATTTTAATATCTAATTACCTGCTGTCTTATTTCATGTTCCTCTGCTCCTTTATTTTGCATTTCTTCTAGTTTTTGCTGGAGCATTTCCTCCTCCTTTGCATAGTAAGATGTTTCCTTAGACATTCTGAAAATTACAATTATTCTAATTTTAGATAGTGAATGATTCATAAATGAATTACACAATCGTTTTCAATTATGTTATATTAGGCCTAAAACGATAGTTTTCTACAACTACGATAAGAATTATATTTAACACCGGTTGTATAAAGGTCTGTTAAAAAAGAGAATCATATTCTGACTCTTTTTTCAAGTTAAAGAAAGTTGGCATATTAAAATCATATGAAATCTATTTGATACATTTTCAGAAATTGAACCTTTTTAAAACTCCAGTGTTAATTTTTAGTTGTTTTAGTTTTCCAGTGTCTATTTCAGTCATCTTGAATTGCTTTTTAGATGTGTCACTTCGGTAGTCAAAAAATAAATAATTGGAGGCCTGTTCAAGTATTGCGGAAGCGGAAATTGTCGGTTTATAGTGGTGCCCTCTCGTAAGAGAAACACCAGAATATGATAAACAACGAGATTTAACGGGACTAACGTTGTACGCTAAAACCCAAGAATGTTACCAATAGTAAGTATTTTTGCGATTATTATTCTGTTTTCAGAGAATAATTAATCAACTTGATGAGAGAGAACAACTGAATATCATTTCTGATGCTTATTAACTCAGTGATTTCAATTTCTGCTTTTGATCATCGAAATGATACATTATGAGACCACACCGCCATTTTGACAGCATTTTTAAATATCGTTAATATTTACAGAACGGTTCATCGAGCCTGATGTCGTCGTTGAGTTTGCCTCCACCTTTGCCAAGTCAGACTCCATCCATGACGCAGTCAAAGTTATCGACAACCGTTATGGGAAGCGGAATGACACCCTTTGGAACGCCCGGTAAATTTTGTTTGTTATTTTAAATATAATTTACACAATTTAGTCTAATATGAACGCTTAAAACTAATGAAATAAATTAATATTGAACACTTACGCTATATTTTAATATACGATTTATTATTCCAATAGATTTACATAAATTTTTATTATAGGTATTTCGGCACCTCCTCCTGTTGTACCGAATCTCATAGTTCCATCTGCTCTGCGACCAACAGCCATGCAGCAAACTTTAGGTAAAAATGCAAAACAAATGAGAATCTTTGCGAACGTTTAAAAATACGAATTAGGCTTTAATTTACAATCCTACAAAGTTTATTTGAAGACGTCTGTTGAACATGGGACATTAGCTTTAATGTTTTCTATTTTTTTCCCGATTTAATTTGATGTATACTTTTAGTAGTTCTATACAGCGTGCGTTTGTTTGTGGTTGTTCCAGTAAGAAAAGGCGATAGCAGAAGACGTTTTCGACGAGAAGGGTGAAAAGTTATGGGGACAGACGCACGAGGCGAATGTATGCCATTGTTTGTAAACAAATTGAGTAGGCTTTATTTGGGATGTGAATACATGTTCAAGTGCGATCAGGCTTCAATTTTCATAAAAATAATTGAACATTTTTAGAAAAAAATCGTGCTTATGTATCAACATCCAAAAAAATTGTTCATGTCACATAACATGTGTGTTTTTTTTTGCCGTTAAAGTCGCTCCACATCGACAAAAAAACGGTCGTCTGGTAAATGGATGGTAAACCTTTTTTTATAAACTATATAAAAAGAAAAATGTGCTTTCTTGGAAATTTTATTTACGTTTTCGTTAAACAATGAATTTCAAAACAGGCAATGTACAACTGAAACAAACGGGCGATATTATACAGGGCTCCGGAGCGAAAAAATCGTCGAAGGATTTAGATGCGTCGAAATTGAATGTTAAACAGCAGGAAGCAATAGAAAAAGTTCGGAAGTATGCCATGGAGCAGTCCATTAGGCAAGTTTTGGTGAAGCATACGATAGCTCAACAACAAGCTCAAATGATTCATTTTCAAGTAATTTTATTAAATATTTCTTCAAACCAAAGTTTAAACATATATTTGCAGACAACAGTTCAAAGACAACAAGCACTAGCGCTCATGTGTAGAGTGTACGTGGGTTCCTTAAGTTTTGAAATTGATCAAAAGGTAAGATTCATAATTAAACTTAAACAAGGAAAATAAAATGGTTTATATCTTTTGCGGAGTTAGTTAATGTACTTGAGTGTTACACAGGTAGTGGAGAATGCATTTTCGCCGTTTGGTCCAATTGCAGATCTATCTTTACCCTACGATAACATCACTCAACATCATAAAGGCTTCGCATTTGTAGAATATCGAGTTCCTGATGCAGCTTCTTTAGCATTGAGTCAAATGGATGGCGTTAAATTAGGAGGAAGATTTATTAAAGTAAGTATATAAGATTATATCTATCAGGGAAAGTAGCACATTTTTTTTCATCTGAAAGGTGGGAAGACCATCAAATATGCCCCAGGCACAACCAATTATAGAGAAACTAGCAGAAGAAGCCAAAACCTTCAATAGGGTCTATGTTGCTTCCATTCACTCTGAATTGAACGAGAGTGACATTCAAAGCGTTTTTGGCGCATTCGGTAAGATCAAATCTTGTTTACTTCCGATGGATTCGTCTAAACCGGGTAAACATCAAGGGTAAGCTCAATTTTATTTAACGTTAAATAGTCATCAAGCTTTCAATAAATTATAGGTACGCCTATATAGAATATGAGGAAAGAAAGGCTTGTGAAGATGCTGTAAATTCAATGAATATGTTTGATTTAGGTGGCCAACTGCTTCGAGTTGGGCGTTGTGTTACACCGCCCGATGTTACAGTTTCGGCACCAGTTTCCATGCCGTCTAGCATGCCCACAGCAGCAGCTGTCGCAGCTGCTGCTGTGTCCATGAAGTTAAGCGCCATGGAAACTCTAGAAAATGGAAATAGTAAATCATCGAATAACAGTTTACAAAATTCCCCAAAGGTGTCAAATGGTCCTCCTGCTCCTGGTATTTATATACCAACCACGCTGAGTGCCCAACCTATGGAGGTAGAGGAAGACAGTCCAACTCCAACACCTCCTGATGTTCCTCCTGTTGGCATAGCTATACCCTCCGCTCTGGGAGCAAGTGCAACTCCGGTTCAAGTCCCAACTCCCACACCACCTCCGCCCCCTCCACCACAGCCAATTGAAGAATCTAAGGAGCCAATTTTGGTGCCTGATCCAGTATCAATAGCGGCCACAGAAGAAGAACAGAAGCCGGATATCGATACAACATTAAGCACACAAGAAAACTTGAACATTAGTGGAACTTCAGCTAGACAAATGCTGATGCATAAATTAATGCAAAGATCTGCTGCCCGACCCTACCAGATAACTGATTGCCGAGTAATGATCTTAAGAAATATGGTAGGGCCTGACGATGTGGATGAAGAATTAGAAAATGAAGTTACTGACGAGTGTGCTAAGTTCGGTAACGTCAACAGAGTTATAATTTACCAAGAGAGACAAGGGGAGGAAGAAGATGCTGAAGTTATTGTAAAAATATTCGTTGAGTTTTCAAACGAGAAAGGTAAATTATTTCTTTTTTATGTCATAAAAGCTTATTCCTGTTTTTCCTTACAGAAGTTGAAAGTGCTATTGCAGCTTTGAACAATCGATTTTTCGCAGGCCGAGTAGTTAAAGCTCAAAAATATGATCAATCTATGTTTGACGTGCAAGATTTATCTGGATAAATCAAAGTCATAGACAATTATTTGTATATACAATACTATTGTGAACTTAGTTGTAATTATATTTAACTTTGAAATACAAACACCTTGTAAAGTAATTGAAGTTTTTTTAAAGATATTTTTTATATGTTCAAAATTAAATATCAATAAGATGAGCAAATGAAAGTCATAAATTAAAGTTTTAAAAAATAAATTTTACTTTTTTGACTAAAACTCCATTGTACAATTACAGAATTCTTTTCCCATGTAAATATTTGAAATAGTGTAGGCCTGTGAAGGGAACCTGCGTTCTTTAACTTTTTAAAAATGAATAATTATGATTACTTATTTTTTGATATTAATTCTATTAAATGCAAAACGAAGTATTCTATTAGACAAAAATAACTTTTGTTCACCAGAAAATTCTAGTAATTGTTTCCCAAATCTACATATTATACCTTCAACTGAAAATGACTCTGAGGATAGCTTTGAACAGTTCATACCAAAGACTACGAGAGGCTCTTACGACTATGTAGATTCATTAGATTATAATTATTTCATAAGAATATCCATGAAAGACTATAATAGGGGAGAATGTAATAGATATACTTCGAACAAGAGTCGTAAAGAAGGATACTGTGGATTTTTATTTCGAAGAAAAAACAATAAAGAGTATAGAGTTGGAGTAGAAAATGGTAGTCATATGAAAAAACTTCGAGTAGAAAGTCAAGTTGGTCTTCACCTATCAATTTTTTTATTATTTTCTTTTACATCTAAAGTATTATCTAGTCATCATAGTCTAGTCATTGACGGTGGTGAAAACCTACTTAGAAAGCTATATGCGCTACATTTTCATTGTATTCTATCTCAGCAATTCAAAAACAATTTGATTCTTCTTTTGAAAAATTTGAAACTTTCTGTCTTAAATATTCAGAAAGACCTATAAATAAATCTTTCACTCCTCGACATATTATAGAAGATCCATCTTTCCAAACATCAATTTGCAAATCTAAGATTGGTATTATGGTTTACTGTTCTCAAGATGGATGGATCTATCCCAAAAAAAGAGTAGAATATTAGTAAGTCTTCTTTTTTATTCTAATTTTGAGAATGTTACTTTTCTTTCATTACAAAACAAATTTTTTAGTGCCGTGGGTAAAATAAAAAATCACGTTGAATTTATACTTTATAGACCAGGCTTAACTAATCTCTGCGGACCAACTCACCTCCTCCGAAATAATTTTCTTGATAAATCAATAAATTATAGGGAAAACAATATCCCTAAGAGTAAAGACAACATTAATGAAGGTTTTGATAAGAAAACTAATTATTTATCAGCTTACTCATCAATTAGTTTCGAAGAATGTCAGCAGTTATGCGCCGAGTATAGAGAAAAACTATGCACGGGCTTTTTATACACTCCAATCAAAGATAAGGAGATAGTGGTAAGTATATACCTAAATTAAAATAACATGAGTAATTGTACAGGTTATTAATTGAAAACACACAAAAAAGGGATATTGCCGACTTTCTGTAGGAAAGTTCTGTGAGGAAAACATCAAGTATTTTGTGTACTTAACAGCTGGGCAATTTCTCTATCAAGCGTATTATCCGCCGTGCAAGAAGGAATATGATGTCGATATCTATAAAATTTATAAAGAAAAGGGGATTTTACAGGGTTATGAAAGTAAACACAAATGGGAAAAGGACAAAGCAGATTACTTTTTAGATTCTAAATATTACATATGTTATTTAATTAAACATAATGTAACGTATAAAGAAGCTAAGAATCTTTGTAAACAAATGAATATGAATTTAATTAGACCATATTTAATCAGTTCTATGCTTTTATCCCATTTTCCAACCAAAACTTTGATCTGGAGTGGAATGATTATTAACAAGACGAGAATGTTTTACGAGTCAAATTTTGTTAAAAAAAACAACCCTTTCAGTTCTGCCCTTTTATCAGGATTTGACATAACAGGCATTAAAGTATTTTAATAATTTCCTTACTGAAAGCTTAAATGATAAACTATTATCTTTTTTATCTTGAATGAAATTATTGAAATAAGCCAACAACCTGTTACAAACTAGAACTATATTTTTCTTATAGAAAGGATGACTTTGAAAATATTTTATTGCCAAATTCCCAAAGTGAAAAATATTGTAGCGACAAATTGACAGTTGTTTGCCAAAAGCCACTAACAGGTTTATGGAGTTCTTGGGGGCAATGGAGTAATTGCCCATGTTATAGAGAATTGGGATCAAAGGTTAAGAAACATAGGATTCGTTATTGTAACGATCCAAAACCTCATAAGATTGCTGTAGACGAGAAAAGAGTTTGCGGGAGATATAACTATAGTATAGATTACGAAAATGAAAGCATGATTTGTCCTCCATTAAGACATACAGTTCGGGAATTGGTTGAAATTAATAATATTTTAGATCATAAAGAAGATATTTGTCGGGCTTATTACAGTCCTACTCAAAAATATAGGTCGGACGCTACCCTAATTGAGAAAAACTACCAGGGAAAACGTATAAAGGATTGTTTATTATGGTGTATTAGAAATACCGATTGTCAAGAGTTAAACATATCAATCGATTTGAAAAAGATGAATAGTTCTAAAAGAAATTCAATGCAGTATAAATGTGTCTCTTCTGATAAATTTTGTTCGTTTGTCAGGAGAGATTTATTAACAAGTTTTCTCTTTCGAAGATCTGTACTTGTTTGTCATTCGAAATATTCAAAAACATGTCGTACGGCAATGTACCATCACGAATTAGAGACAGGCTTATGTCTAATTTACGAGCCCATTCCTAAAACTTTCAAAGAAGCTTTGAGGTTTTGTTCGCTTTATGGCATGCATCTAATGAAATTTGAACATTTCTTTGATGAAGCCGGTTTGGTTAGTGTTTTTTTTTTCTGTTTAATTTTTATTTTTGTTTTTTTTTTAAAAAAAAAATCAATTTACAATCACAACTAGCCAGATTACTTTACGTCAAAATATAAGGAAGTCGAAGCTTGGCTTGGTTTAATTAAAACAGGAGGAGTTTATAAGTGGAATTCAAAATTTTGGAGTGAAAATGCAACGTCAATCAGTAAAAGAATTACTGAGGCTGATGGCGTTGGGAATTGTTATATATTCTACTTTCGAAAAAACAATAACGTAACTTTCAAGAGAGTTCGTTGCAATAAAAAACACTTTACTATGTGTTATAAACCCCATAGAGGTCAATGGGGTATGTGGTCTCAATGGAGAAATTGCCATGTTAAACTGTTTACTAAGTGTCTTTTCGGCTATTATCGTACAAGAACGTGTGATTCACCACCACCATATGACGGATATTGTTTAGGAAGATCTGCAATCTATCGACCATTATCAAATAGCCAAATGGTACATGATTCGAAAATCTATAAATTTTTATTGAGTTTATTGAATAGTTTTCCAATTATGTACCAGATTCTATTCATTATTGCGGGAATAGTTTTGTTTGTAGCGATAATACTTTGCGTTAGAGTCTCAAAGACTAAAGAAAAATGCAAAGGTGTTTGTACAGACTTCGGCAAACCGAAAAGTTTTACTGATTCTTCAATAACGGGAAACAACGGGTCTGCTTTTTCCGAATCAGAAACTATTTATTCATGAAATAATAATGAACTGTTTTGAATTATAGTAATTGATAATTGCTTTGTTAGAGAATATTAGGGACGACTAATTTTAAACATAGTTTATGATAAAGACAACAGCTTGGCTGATAGAAAGTTACACATTTCCGTAATATCTTTGTTGTTCTCTCTTTTAGTAGATACATTTTGCAATGTGGAATGGAATTCTGTCGAGTTAGCAAGATCAGCTACGGATGAACTCCCGTCTAGTGACATATCGAGAACTCGCAAAATAGTGAGACAATCTTCATCACTAGCACTATATATAAAATCAGACGATGAAATATTCTCAATTAGGGCTGAACCTATTTCCAAACAATTTTCATACTCGTCATCATGCACATTAGAATGCAATAAATTGTAAGCCAACTTTGATGCTGACGATGTACAGTCGATATTCTCCAGTAGGCCAGAAACAACGCTTCTTATGGATTCCTTCGCGTGTTTTCTCATCACTTTGTCACTTAGGGAAACTGATGAAGTTGCGTTAATAAGCGGATTAAGCAAAACTTTCGGATCTTTCAGAGAGAAAAAATCCTTTATTGGCTCCTTTGGGTCATCTAGTAGAACATCCACTGTCTCTTCCATCTTTAAGCAATTGGTCAATAAGGAACAAATTCCATTCTTTTGCTTACTATCTTCTATCTTAGATAGCGCAGAAACTACAAAGTAATAATTGTATTAATAGAAATTTATTAGTAGAGATCATACATTTTTTATGTATAACTTACTTATCGAACGTATGTGAAATCTGCCTATTGACCATTCAGTTGAGTTACTATCTTGTGAGGCATACTTATAGCTCTCTTCAAGTAAATCAAAGCTATTGCTGTCCAATTTTGATTTAATTTCCACTTTTTGCTCGTTGAAAAGATCCTATAAAATTTGATTTTAATACATATTTTATATACTGTATATATATATATATATATATATATATATATATAAGAAATGAACTGATTTAATACCAAGGGCATTTTGATGCTCATCAGAGGAGAATTTGAAGTTTCGTTCGGTGTCTTCTTTCTGTAAAAACAAGTATTTAATTTAATGTCATAAATTAACTTTGTGTTGTTTTATCTGCAAGATGCTTATACGGGAATTTTATCCTTGATAAAAATCATTTACCTATTAAACTCATCTACTGACATTCCTCCTTCGGGAGCTACTGTCATAGACTCGATAACTGGCGCTAACATTTTTCCGAAAGGTGTTGACATGACGTCGTTCGGCAGACTGGTGATATAACTCGGAATGGGCTGTTGGACAAGCATTTGGCAGATACGATCGCTAAATGTGTTGCAATTATGCTTCAATAGATGATACTTTGAAGCACTGGTTGGAAAATAGACTTAGTTAAATTATTATTGTTTTGAAAACTATTATTACTAACTTAAATTCATCGATAGACAGACTCTTCAGGAAGTCTTTGAATTCACTTTCCGACATGTTAGTCCTTCCTAGTTGCACAATATTATCAGGGCTCCCTAGGACTGTGCCGCACTGAAATAGCAAGAAAATGAATAGCCGAATATGAAGAGAGTCGTAAAAACAAATTAACTTACTGGGGGGCAATGCTGTATACCAGCCCCTCCAAAAAAGAATTCTCTACCATAAACAACAACGCCTGTATGCCATACTCCATCAATTTGTTTGCCTGTACAATAAATAAAAATATCATTATATAGGAAAATGACTAAGGAAAAGTGTTTGGGCGATAAAGAGCGCTTCTAAACATAAAGATTACTTACCCAACATCATCATTGATATTTGCTTGGCTAATCCTTTTGAAAGATCATAAATGTGAAGCTTAACGTTCATATGATTCGCCATTCTCCCGTTTTGATAACAATTCGAAGAATATAATAAAATCAAATTGTAAATCAGTTTAATAGTGTTTGTATGGACACTGCCAAATTTCAAAATGGAACAAAAAATAGCGCCACAAAAATTAAATCAAAATGGCAATTTTGCTGATGATATCAGCCTTGAATAAGACATTTCATTTAGTTAATTCCAATATTAAGCGGTGCTAATCTTGACTAATTATCAATTAAATTTCACAAAAAATATAAAGATACAATAAAAAATCAAGATCTTTCAAATATTTTATTTAAAGATAGAATTTATTAAAGGTAATGTTGCTTTCTACAAAATTGGAAAGCTCTTGAGTAATGTTCGTCTAATTGAAAGCATTTTATTTTCCTCAAATTACTTTATAATTGTTATCTGCTTCATAAATATTTCGCACAACAACCAACAAATAGTAAGAAGAAGGGTAAGCTTTAGAAGAAAGCAATTTGTTTTATCCATATAATCATAGTTTCTAATTACTTCTAGTCCCTTGTCTCCTATACGGAAATTCTTCTCGTCGGCATCATTTCCATCATTAACTTCTTTATGGCAATTTTCTCCAACAATCTCTGTTTCATCTTCTAATTGTTTAGCAACAATTCTATGTACAAATAAAAAGTAGATGTTTTACATTTATCTAAAAAAAGGCATAATAACAATAGCACAGACCCAGAATTTTGTAGGAATTCCTTAAAAGTTTCGAAATTTTTTACATGCTTCTTGGCCAAACCTAAAAAGAGTAGAGAATGTAATAATATAGAAACCTATTTAAAGAGTCTTTAAAGAAAAAAGCTCAATTTCAACCTTTGAGTTTGATGATATTGTTAATAAAATAGCGGTTTGAATAACCTAGCGGGAAATTTATTGCGTCGTACAACTCCTGAATTTGATCTTCTGATAAATCTTTAATTAAATTGCTTAAATCATTTGTATCTGGTTTCATATTATTTTTTTGTTTATTTTTCCACGATGAATGCTTTAAATTACTTAAAATATGTTTAATTTTTGCTGTTGTTGATGTTTTTTTTTAAAAACAAACTGCACATCATCAATAATTCAAAATAAGAAAGGCTATAAACTAAGAATAGATTTTTCAAAGGATGCAATGTAAATTCTTATTGACGTAATCAAGTTAGAGTTAACGTGTTCAGAGTCAGAGAGAGTTAAGAGATATATTGATTTGATTTTCAATCGCTTTATACTTATAAAGGCATAAATACAGTATATATTGTATTAACACTATTACCAAATAAGGTAATATAAACAGATAGAATCGAACATCTTTATAAAAATATGAAAGAAATCAATCAAACAATGATATTAATATTAAAAACAAATTCAGTGAAAATGTAAACAAAATGTAAAAAAAATCATTGTGTTATTACGTTTAAAAATCCGTATAGAAATCATTGACAGTTTTCGCAAACTCTCATTGAGAGTTGTTTTAGAATGAAAATATTGTCTTATTTTCAGATCAGATTATCGTGACGTGCAAAGACTAAGTATTATTTCTTTGCTCCTGAATAAACGGAGTAATTTTTTCGTGATATTGCCTTTCTATTTATTCTATGAGTATTGGACCTTTAACATTCCATTTATACGAAGATTTAACTCTCAATTACGATCTAGAAATTGGCAAGAAATTAAAAAATTTGTATTTATAAAATTTTAAATATGTGTAAAATATGAAATTTCTTAATGAAAATTTTCGATCATATAAGGATCTAGTAAAAAAAATAAATAAACAAAAAACAAACAAACAAAATAAAAGAAACAAGATATAAATCAACTGCAGCTAACGATCGATTGCTTTTTTTCCTCTTTTTTTCTTATTGCTGAACTTTGAGCATTTTTATCTCGCTCTTCGCATATTTTAGCTAGTGTCCAAACAATGTTTGGCATAATAATATCACGATCAGGAAAATCAGAAAATCTATTTAAATTATTAGGTGATTTTATTCTTTTAAGTATATCGACCGCAACACCTGAGTCTGCATCATCACTGAGTTCAGAGACGTCGTCTTTATCATCCTTTTTCTTTCTTGGTGGAAGAGAATGAGATCGTCGAAGACTTGTTTCTGTATCTGATATTGAAGTTATTGAACTATCTAATTCATCCGTACTTTTCCACATGAATTCATCACTTGATGTACTACCATGCATAAATTTTTTACCACGTCGAAATTTGATTTCGAAAATACTCTTATCAACAGGTGATCTGACGTAAGCAACGTCTAGTTCAGACATAATTACACCAATGACAGCAGGAGTTAAAGAAACAAGGTGACCGCCGGGTAACTTGCGATTAGCTCTTTTTCTGCATTCAATATTCTCTGTAATTTTCTTCAAGTGAGTAAACCCAACAGTAGAAGCTAAAGTCTCTCGATCAGCAACAATTTCATGTTCCTTGGGTGAGTTTAGTATTCGTCCCAAGTCCATTGATAAATTTGAAAAATCAGGCCGTTCCTTAGGATCAACAAGACAACAATGAAAAGCTTCGGCCAATAGAGCTAGAGGGCATAAAGTTTCTTTAACCTTTTTCCCCACTTCAACGTAATCTAACCCGTATGCACTTGTTCTAGCAATACGTTCTGGGTCAGAATCACTTCTCAAAATCAACTGTATAAGAATAATTCCGAAAGAGAAGACGTCTGTTCGATTATCATAGAATAAAGAATTCAAACATTCTGGAGACATATAGAAAGGAGATCCGACAATTGGTAATTGAACTCCTTTCTTTGGAACACATGTAGCGAGACCAAAATCTGCAACAACAGCTTTAACACCTTCCTTAGAACTCGTCGACTTTAGTAGCACATTACTGGCAGTTAAATCTCTATGAACATATCCTTGACCATGTATATATTTCATTCCCCTGGCAATGTCGAGAGCAATATGAAGGCGTAAACTCCAAGAAAATTCCCTACTTAAATCAGTCGCCCACGATTCCAAACAACCATAATCCATTAATTCGGTTAGGGAATGAAGTCTCCCATTTTCTATACAGACTCCTTTTAATCTAATAACATTTTGATGATTTAGTCTATGAAGTAATTCAATTTCATTCAAGGCAGTTCTGTAATTTAGGGCAACCCTTCGAGGATTTTCATCTTTTGTTTTTAAACGTTTCAGCACCAAAGCATCCGATGTTTCGGTATTTATTGCCTATAAATAAAAGAATAATAGTAATAATAATAATAATAAAGTATCGACGTAATTAATGGACAAGGCAAACAGCTTTGTTTTTTATAAAGAATGCATACAAATGGCTCTGAAGAGTAAAAGCTTTTTTCTTTTCTTAAATAACCTTTAATCAATAAGAATAAATAAAAGAATAAATTAACAAAGATTTTAGAATTTTGCCTCTAACGAACCTAGCTAAGCCAAACTGCTTAGATAAAAAGTCCTCTTTTTCTACCTATTAGTGTTTTGTTATCAATAAAAAAAAATTTATATTGTTGAATATATGGTTTAAAAACAGGCCAAAAACAACGAAATGAAAAAAAGGAAAAGAAAAGCGTTGTGGGGGGAAAATCATTCGATTTATTATAGTAAGTTATTCATAGGTCGTCAACATTTGTTAGTCTTCGATTTTATTCAGTTTTTTCCAATGCATTTCTCTAACTTTAAATATGAAAATACATCTTTATATGGCTAAAATTGGCGAGCATAATAGAAATATGACGTACAATTCAAAGAAAGAGCTATACAGAAGTATTTTTTTTTTGTTATTCTCAGCCATAGACTCGTAAGAGAATTGTGCTTTTTTAATAGCGTATTTAAAAATGTTAGAGGTATTATTATTGGCCTTTTACCAGAGACACATCTCTAAAAATATCACTATAAATAATTCAATACTTTTAATATATGTTATTACTCATAAATAATGATAGAAGTGCTATATATGTTTTCAGATCAGCTTATAAAACCTATTCTAATTGTTCAACCTAATCAGTTTATGCATAATTCATTAAGTAGACGGTTTTTTTTTTGCCTAGTTTTTTAATATGTTACCAATTGAAAATTAAAATATTCCTACAAAGCCCCTTAGAGGAGAAACATATTTTAAAATTACATAAAGGAAGTAGTATATTTAGAATATTTCTCTTCAATTGTAGAAGAAAAGGAACAAGTTGAATAGTTCTATATATTTTAGAGCAATAGAATTCCAGAGTTAGACAAATATATCGAAAATATTAAGGTTATCTTTCAGGAATGTAATCAATAATAAAATCTACTATATATATACTTTTTGTTATAAATTGTTACAAGTTTTCAACAACGCTTATATATTGTATATAGTACATTGATATATAAACAAATAAGAAAAATGGTGAATAATTAAGGCCATAAAATAGTATATTTAATAATTATAAAAAGGGACTGTCGGCTTAGTCAATAAGTGTGAATATTTGCAAAATGCAACAAGAATTTAATGCCTGCTCATTCGATTTGAATTCAATAATGAATAACAACTTAGTATGAGGAAGTGGTAAACTTAGAAGGCTATTATTACAATAAAAAAAAATGTTCTAATTCTATATACAAACATAGCAGGCTTACATCTATGAGTTGTGTTCCGTTACAAACATTGTATAATTTGATTATTAATAATATTTCTGATGATAAACAGATATCAACTTAAATAATAACAGAGAAACTATATGCAAATATCGTATTGAGATCCTGTTAGGAATTTTTAATACTCTTATAACCTATTAGTATAAATCTTATAATTAAATTTCTTGTAATCTAACACACACAATTAGGAATTTGATACGGTAACAATTTTAGATTAAATACTACTTTACCTTATAAACAATAGAGAAGAATCCTTCTCCGATTTTACTTAAATTGAAATCCTGTATGTTGTATAAGCATTTCAAGCTTCCTTGAATTGCTTTGAAAGACGGTGATATGTTTACTCTCTGATTGCCATGGTCCTCATTCACATCAAGTTCCATCTTACGATGTAGTCATTACTGCAAAAAAATAATTAGATTTAATGATCTTTTGACGTATAGTTGTAACAAGCCGTATCAACATTTTTCAGATTTGCTGGAATCCTAATCGATTATGCATTTTTAAGCCTAACTTATCGAAAAAATTCAACAGAGGAAAGGTTAAATTTCCTTTAGGAGTTTAAAATATTATTACAGCAGCAATTTTCTTATACAAATTTTTTTAAATCTCCCTGTAAATGTATCATAATCGACAAAAGTTTAAATTTAAAAACATCAAAGTAATAGTATTCATATTAAAACCTACTTATATCTGTCAATTTTAATCAATCTGGCAAGCTGTCACGTGGTGAAAGATTAAATATCTTCGCCGTTCTCTTCTCTTCCGGCAGAACATATAAATGGGAGGAATACGAGATTTACAGATAATTATACCTAGGAAATGGTTGGTAGCGCCCTCTATGTTTTAGGGTTGTTTTATTCTGCCTTCTGTGAAAAGCGTTTATGCTACTAAAGTGTACAATTTAAACAAAGGCGTCACGCTGACCGCTTTGTTTAATTTAATTACATTCTTTATTATAATGTACAAATAAAAGAAAAGAATGCAACTAATTGGCACAAATTACTTTAATTGCATTCTTTTAACAACTAAAATAAAATATTCCTGATTTATTACAAGAAAGATAAATAGATAAAAACATTACTTTTAGGCTGTTCTGAAAGCATAAAACACGTTTTCAATAAAACTTATTAGTACTCATAATTTGTTAGAGCTAAGTTAAGAACATATCCGATTTATTTGTGTTTATTCGAAGCATAAATTCTAATGTGTTCTTTAAATTTTCAAAGTAGATTTTATAATTTTTGTCAATTTTGTAAATGGAATACTAAATAAAACTTGTTTATTTATTATACAATTACAATTCAATTTTAAATTATAAAAAAAAAGAAATAGAAAATTTTTCCCGCGTAAACTTACCAGTTTTTCAATAAAGTATTCCTAGCAACACACGGCTTTGTTGGTGCGAGCCTAAAACATATTTCAGCAGACGACTCTTTTGAAAAGCTGACAATTGACACTTTACTGGTTATTATTTTGTAATTACAATTCAATCTTCATTGAAAATAAAGTGAAATGTTTGTTGATGAATCACTAGAAGATGTTGAATTTTTGTCGAATTGGAAAAAAGAAAAGTAAAAAAGATTTATACTAATTTGAAAAAAATTTTCGAATTTTTTTTAACAATAGTTTTTTCTCAGGAATGTGACAGATTCAGAAGCTCAAACAAAAGAGTTAAGTGTTAGCGAAGTTGCGGTTCAGAGTGTTAGACGAAAAGATAAACAAGTAAGCACATGTTTTTCTGTCGTTTCCATAAAAAAGCAATTAAGTAGTACTAAATTGTAAAATTATTAATTTAGGTCCAAACTGAAGTTGAGGAGCAATTTGGTCAAATTAAATTAGAGGATGACAATCCAGAGCTTTTAGAATTTGTAAATAGATGGGAGCCTTTCATTCGTAAACAATTAGGAAAAAATTTAAGGAGTCACGCCTTTGATGGTTACGGAATACAATGGGACGAAGAAGCCGAGGATCTAACACTTGAACATACATTATCCCATAATGAATACTCCAGTGATGTATGACAGATTGAATTATTAGAATCACTTTAAAGATGAATAAACTTTCTTCGTATTTAGCTTCAAGTTACTGCTGTTAGTTGGAATTCAACAGGAGCAGTAGTGGGTTCCGCACTTGGAAGACATGATCATGAGGACTGGTGTACGCATAAATCAGTTGTTTGTACATGGAATTTAGATAGAAGAACTGTTCAAGCGAATAAACCGGATATATCTATAGAAATGAATGGTTGTATTATGAGTTTATCATTTCATCCTACTCAACCAGCCATTTTGGCCGCTGGCACATTCAATGGCGAAGTTATCGTATGGGATACTGCAAAAGAAAATGATATGGTACTTGCAACGTCTGGCATAGGAGAATCTTCTCATAGGGAGCCTGTAACTGATATTCAATGGGTTCATAACCCGTCTGTCAAAGGGTTTAAATATAGCGTAAGCATTATTTGTCGAACAAACATGATTGAATAACATTGACTAAATAGTTATTATTCATTTTTAACTATAGATATTAAGTGTAGGTGGAGACGGAAGGGTGCTTCACTGGCGAATAACTAGCAAGAACACACTAAAAATTTTAGATGGTTTTGGAGTTTTCGCCTCAAAATTACCAAGATCTCTTCGAGCAAGAGGAGATCAAGAAGTTGGTCTCACCTCAATATCCTACAGCAACCATGAAGACACCACTTTTATTTTAGGAAGCAACGCGGGAGCGATTTTTAAGTGTTCCACAACAACATCAGCTGTTATTCGAGTGAACGAACCAACTTCAGTGGAGCTTAAAGACCCTGTTACCCTAACATTCTCTCCCCATAAGGGGCCTGTTCATTCGGTGAATTTATCTCCTTATCATAGACATATTTTCGTTAGCTGTGGAATGGACTCTTCGCTAAGAGTATACAGCCTTGTTCAGGTTAATATAAATAATAGTACCAACTATTACAGATTGACTAAAAGTTTCTTGCCTATTTTTAGTCGGATCCAATTATAAGCATAGAACCAGGAGAAGGTTATTTGCACGGTTCACAGTGGTCTCCATCTCGACCACTTGTATTATGCACAGCAACAGCAAACGGAACCTTATTGATATATGATTTACTACAAAATTCTGCTGTACCAGTGGCTAAAACTCAAGTTAGCTCATCGTCTCTTTATTGCGTGAAATTTAATAAGAATCAGTAAGTTTATCTAATGAAAATTTAACTCCGAAAGTGAAACTAAAGAATTGTATTTTTATAAAATTTTAGACCGCAGTTAATTTGTACTGGAAATGGAGCAGGACAAATCCATGTTTATAGATTAACGGATCATTTATGTAATCAAGATTCAAGAGAACTCAAGAAATTGGAAGAATACGCCGACACTGCTCTTAAAAATTAAACTATATATTTATTTATTTGTCTTCTTATTCTCCTTCAACCTTTGTTATTCTCTTTTCATCATAATAAATAAAATTCACTAGTTTATTGTTTAATGCTCAAATCTGCTGATTAATTTTGAAGATTTTCAATTACTAAAAACTCAATTAGATTATATTATTTGGATATAGTTAATATTTTATATATTTAATTTTAATATTAGAGTTTTAGATGTAAAATCAAACAAGCAAATTATAAAATCAACATAAGAATGTTTAATAAAACAAACAAATTAAATTGAAGAATAAATATTTCTTTTTGTTATTAACGCCATCTTGTATCTGTTTTAATATTGAAAAAAATAGTATTGCAAAATCAATGTGACTGATGAATTATCTTAAGATATCGTTAAATAAGAAGCTATTTTACTATTTTTGTATTTTTACCTTCTCATTAAGTTTATTGATTGTTTTATATAACCAGTATAGATCGAATAGGATAAAAAATGATTTTAAAAGGTTTTTTTTACAAAATAAATTAAATCAATCGCTAATATCAAAATCGGATCCATCAATTGAAAATATAAGGAAATTTCGACCGACTGGAAAAGAGAATAGAGAGTATGAAGTGATTTTTACAAAATTAAAAAGCTTACAGAGAAGATTACCAATTTTTGTTTATAAGGACTTTACCGATGTGTATATTTCGCATGATGTTCTATATACCGGTACTTGGGATCCTGATACTACTAAGTTACTTTTGTCTGAACTTCGTACTAGAGATGGACTAATAGATATAGGAGCCAATCTGGGAGTATTCACGATTCATGCAGCTCATATGGGCAAGTGCGTTATCTCTGTTGAACCTTCGGAAGAAAATCTAGGTTTGATAAACATTTTCATATAGTTTAACGAATCTTCCTTTCAAATGATCTATAATAAAACATTATATTTTTTTAGGTTTGCTGTCTCGTTCACTGCACGCTGGAGGAGTTTCTAATTGGACTATGTTATTAAAAAACTCTATAGATAGAATAAGAACCGAGTCATCGGTTCGACTAAACAAAATGAATAGAGGTGATACAAGAGTTATTCCAAAATGGAATAGATGTATAGGATCTTGCCCTCAGAAGGTCTATAGCATATTATTAATGGATATTTTACTTGTTTTACCATCAAACCTGAAGCGATGGATTCTGAAATTAGATTGTCAAGGTTGTGAAATGCATGCAATTTTCGGATCGGGAAATTTACTTGATAAAATTGATCTAATTATCATGGAATGGTTTATGATCAAATCGCATAAACAAGCTAATCAATTAATATTATTTTTATTAGAAAAGAAATTTTTACCCTACGGATTAAATAATTATATATTAAATCCTAATGAATTCACAAATTGGCCTTTCGATATTCAATGGAAGAAGGATGGATAATAATTATTAGTATTTATATTAAAACAATAGGATAAATTAATTTATAATATTATTTCTACTCAATAAACTTGTTGATATTTTTATTTTTCAATATGAACTATTTTAAACTACTTTAAAAAAACTACTCTTAAAATTATCAGCATTTAGCTTGTTTTTTCAAACTTTATCCAAGTAAAGTCTCACTAGGAACGAGCTAAGAGCAATGAAGCTGGAAATTATTATTTTTATTCTGGCTTTTCTAAACAAAGGTAATTTCTTAGTGATTAGTCCAGAAAAACTTTATATTAAACCTGGAGGTAGTGGTGTAATAACATTGGACACAACGGTTTCTTGCCAATTAATTGTCGACATAAGTTTTAAAACATATGATAAAGTGGTACCTCAAACAAGGGTGTTTGGTCTTAAACGGCAATATAGATTTAAAGTTAAGACTGATGCTCTTGCCGGATATTCTACAGTCTGCTCTCTTCGCTGCGGAGAGGAAGAAGGTTCATTTGAGTTGAATATTGTTGAAGCTTTTACAGCTGTTGGTGACCCACATTTCATGCAACTTGTTAAGGATATGAGAACGGGAAATAGCGAATACATTTGCTACGATATATCTGGAAGAGCTGGATCATATATCTATATAGCGAAATATTCAGATCCTGATATAAAAGTATACGGAAGATTACTTAACGATTTTTATATGCACGAAATATTAGTTTTCATTGAAAGCCACATTATAATTGTGAATTATAGCAAATTTTCTTTTAATCGTAAACGTTATCTTTGGCCCTTAGCTTTGAAAAAAGTGAAAGTACCAAAAATTGCACTTCGTACCAACGGCAACAAATTGACAATAGCCTACCTATCGAAGAAACCAATTATTATATCAATATTCAGAAATATTCGATTAGACGTTCGGCTGAGGCATTTAGATGTGACTTTAAATTCTATGGAAAGATTGAGTGGCGGACTTTTAAGAGATTCTCAAATAAAAAAATATGAATTCTATCCTCCTGTTCAAGAAGATTCAACCACCGGTACAATAATGATAGATAACCGGTTTTATCGAGCTGATAGAACTATTCGTAATAATCAAACTTGTTGGCTATTAAATGCTTCGGACGTAGTGAATGTCAAGCAATTTATGTTATATAAGCTCTGATTTAAATATTAAAAAAAACCAACTCAAAATTCTTTTTCAATTTTTTTTTTTAATTTAGCTTTCTCTCAAACATCGTCCATGCGCGTAATTTTTCCTAAAAGAGAATTATAATGTGCATGTAAATTCTCATAAAGATTTATTTACGTATTACACCGTTATTTAAAAAAAAAAGTTATTCACGTATTTAATAATAGTAATAATTTATTTATAGTTTAATTCTATTTTTTTTTATTTATTAAATGAAAAAGAAAACAAAAAAAAACGGATTAACAAAGATTATTTAAACTATAAAAAATACGTTATTTTAATAGTACATCTTAATCTGTGTGTTATTCTCGTGTGCACAAATCATTCAGATATATATTTTCTTCTTAATACACATGTAATTTTCAATGAAAAGTATAAAAAGCGTCTATAAAATTCTTCGGATTAGTAAGTTTAATATTTAGAAAGATTCCTTAAAAATATTAATTTATTTATTTAAATCATCATCATATAAACTATAAAAGAAATTATGTAATCAAAAGGATGATCCTCTATTCTAGTGCTAAAAATAAATTTTGTTTCTCTTATCATCAATATACAGTATTATTCATTTAGACGGATCGTAATTCTTTTCCTTATTCGCCATTATATTTTTAAAAAAGTTGTATAATTTATGATTTCACATTTGTACCTTATACGGTACTTCGGATTGTAGGATATTTTGCAAACATGACATAGTACATATAATTAACTGGATTAATAGGGAAAAAATCTCAAGTCCAAACGATAAATGAAGATATTTAAAATATTTCTCAGGTAAGTAGACTAAGAAAAGAGTTACGACTGTGATGGTAAAACAGCCTGTTGTTTTGTGGGAGGAAAAAAAAAGGCAGTTAAAAACACAAAATAGGATTTAAAAATTTCAATGGATTATCATACTTGTAAGAGCGCTTAAAATAGTAGTCAACTTTTGAAGTAGAAATATATACTTTTTTGCCGATGTTGCTGCTGCCAGAAGGAAAATATTGAAGAAGCATCCTATCAGTGATATTGCTGTTAGGGCTCTGATAGTTATTAGAATTTCTGAAAGGGAAGGAAAAAACTAGTAGATAAATAACTTTCAATTAATTAATAAGGTTTTCTCTGTTTACGCTTTGAAATAATGTAATCTGGATAATCTAATGCGTCTACACAGATTTTCGCAACTGAAACATCTCCACTTTTCGAGCGCTCTTCGTCACACATTGACCAAATACCAAAAGATGCTGAAAATATTCAAATTACGCCAGGGAAATTGTGCTAAGAATTTTTACCTGTTTCTGTTTTCGTTTGTATTATAACCCAATAAGGGAGAGTGAATGCTAGAATCTGAGATCCTGTTAATACTAGCGCTAAGAAAACCATTATTCTTTGCAATCTTCCAGTATTCAATCTCCACATATTAGTTTTTCTTATAGTGAACAGTTCTATTTTTAATTTTGACATGTAAGATAGATTTTTTCTCATTTAAACAAGATATAAGCATTGAGTGTTTTAGATAGATAAAGCGACAATCAAGCTCAACACCTACTCATATTATTGAGTAAATAACAATGAGTAGTATATGAAAACGTATATGCCTAAAGGTAACATTATTTACGGAACTATAGGGCTACTGTATAGTCACATACATGGACGCTGAAATTTTTGCATAGACGCATCTGGCCAAAAACAAAATATTTTCAATGAAAAGCTTACATTGTTTTTTAACAAATGTTATCATGATTTAACTTATAAAGTAGATTATATCAACAACATACACCCAATTAGCTCGCGCATTATTCAAATTGTGAATATGTATACTATAAGGGAAATTAGATATACATCTAAATTTGCAATATAAAGCTTTTATTTCAAATTTGGCTTCTATTTCGTTCATACTGTGCATCAATAAAGATATTTTTCCAAAAATTGGATATAAAATTTGGATTATCATCAAGATGAGGATAAAGAGGATAAAACTATTTCCTAAAATTATCATAAGACAATATTTTGTTATTTTTATAGTCATTCAAGCTATATTCATATTAGGATATTATTATAAGGTCAACGAGAAGAGGTATTTCAAGAAAAGTTTACAAATCAACTATCTTCAGAAGCTTGTTGAAGTTGATGAAATAATTAGAAATATGGAAAATTTATGTGAAATTGATTATATAAATAAAAAGATGGCTAAAGAATTGGATAAAATCTACTCAGTTGTCAGTAATGTTTTTAAGAATGACGTATCAAGCGGTGAATCTTTATGTCCTTGTATGCCAAGTTTAAGTAACTATTAAAATTTTATAATGATTATAATTCTTAAGATAGTTTCTTTTTAAAATAGAAGGAAGACTAGCTATAGATACAACTCCCAAATATTGGTCCGATATTAGAAAAGAGGATTTTTCAATACACTTGAAAAATGGTCACTTTTGGCAAACTCAATGTCGGGCTAGACAACATTTGGCAATTATTATCCCTTTTCGAGATAGGGAATCACATTTAAAGATCTTTTTAAATCATATACACCCAATTTTACAAAGACAATTGCATAACTACGGAATATACGTTGTAGAGCAGGTAACAACAATTAATTAATTGATTTCTTTAGTTAATCGAATCTATTTATGACAGGCAAATAATGATGAATTCAATAGAGGGGCTCTTATAAATATTGGATATTTAGAGGCAATCAAAGATCATTCTGATTATTCATGTGTAATTTTTCATGATGTTGATATGCTACCAGAAGATGATAGGAATTTATATAATTGTTTGGATCATCCTAAACATTTGACTGTTCTCATCAATAAATCAAACTATCGGTAAGATATTCTTATTATCATTTGTTCTTAGGAAATGATTTTTAATATTCTAACAAATTTACACGTAGATTGTACTATCGTACATACTTTGGAGGAGCTGGAGCAATAAAATCTGACGTTTTTGAGGAGATTAATGGCATGTCGAACTCCTTTTACGGATGGGGAGGAGAAGACGATGATTTATATAACCGTTTAAAATCTCATGGTTACAAAATATTAAGATCAAGCAAGGTTAGTAGATATACAATGTTAAACCATACAGAAGCAGATGCAGCTCCTTCCAGGTAATTATACTCCATAATAGTAGTCTTTATCCTAATTCTAATTTAACTCTGTTATAGATTTAATCTATTGCGAATGGGTACCAGACGTTCCAAATACGATGGTTTAAATTCTCTAAGATATAAACTTTTATCAACGAAAAGAGATAAACTATATACAAAATTTCGGGTTACTTTTAAGAAATCCAACATACGAAGGACAATACGTTATAAAAGAAAATCTCAAAAGAAGAATAAACCTCAAAAAGCGAAAACTTTTAAATAGAAACATTATACTTCGTTTACAAGAATATAATATTTAGATTTTATTGAATTGTTCAAAATATTTAAAATCACATTGATAAAAGACAAAAAAAATTATGAAAAAAGTAATCTTTTTCTCCGTTTGTCACAGAATTTCATTTTGTAATTGTTATTTTTCATTCAAGTAATGTCGACTATCATATTTCATTTACAAAGTGTATAATAAATGACAACATTAAGAGAAAAATCTGCATGCACATTAAGAGGTTGGTTAGATGAAATTTACCTGTTTATTGGTTTTTACAGACCAAGGAACATAAAAATCATAAAAACTAGGTCCATTTTAAAGTAAATAAAATGTAAAAAAAACTTTGAAGCTCTTAAGAGAAGTTGAAATCTTTATAATAACTCTTTTTTTTAATGACTAAGTATTATTATTTTTAAATGTTTCTATCTACAACCACACTTTCTTGCAACCATACCATCATAGCTGTACCTAAATGTTGGTATATTTCGTCGATCGTAATATAGAACTGATAAGGGATCGAGTTGTATGGGTACGCAGCAAGGCCAATCAGTAGAAGACCATGATAGTGTTTTATGACTGGCTTGAACGATTGCATGTTTAGTATGGGATGAAAATGATGAAAATGGCAATTTGCATACACCAACGCACTTGTTAGCCTGTTAGGGAATTTGAATTACAAAATACTATAATACTATTATATAGTGAAATTAATTACTTCATATGCTATTGGTTTAATCATGAAATTCCATCCGATATCTCTAAAATTTACTCTCATTGGTCTCAATGAACAATCTAAAGTCTCTCGTTTAGTCCTGATTGATTCATTTTCTGATATACTTGCTTTTATTCTTTCAAATTTCTCTTCAATAATATCTTCCTTTGATTTTAAATCTTTATCAATTACAGGCTGCATGCTTTGAGATATAGAATTTTGTAATATAAAATTTAATTCGTCATCTAAATTACCAAATCCCGAATTGTCAATAGAATATAATACCAAATGGGGTCGAGCTCTTTCCTCAAAGAGTTCAATATCCAAATTCGCTTCACCAATTGAACGTTCCATTTGTATTTGTAAAATAACGCTTTCTTTCTGAACGCAAATTGCAGGAAGAACGAAAGAGTGCCATTTCCTTTGGCCATTTACGCTACCGCCATATATCATACGTTTCTTTAAAGTTCTTTTTCGATTCTCTTCTAAAACTGAAACTTTTATGTCACGAGATACTCCAGTACCCATTTTATTCGACGATGTAACCTAAAAGTACTTTAAGTTCTAAATTATCAAAAGAGAGAAGAGACGAAACAAACCTGAGTGCAAAATCTTAATTCGGCTCCAGTAACTCTTTCAACGCTCGTTTTTTCGGATGTTGATAAATTGAAGGATATTTCCAAAATACGGCTTAAATTATTTTCCATGGTTATATTAGACCACCAAGGTTCAAAACTCCTAATCACATTAGCACTGGGCAGGGTAAAAAGATCCTTTTCGAACCTATTATACATTTCCACAAGGTATATCGAAGCGGAAGAGTTCTCTTTATACAGTTGAGGATCGACATTTCCATTCTCTAAAGGATTTTTCTTCTGATAAGACTTTGTTATAAAAAGGAAAACAATAATAATATAGTACGAGGAAAAGAAATTTATCATTCTTCCTTTCTAATTGGCAACTTGTTTGCATGTGAATATGGGAAAGGATGTGAATATTTTCATGTTTGGCTTTCTGGTTTAATTTAGTTTTAAGACCTCCCTGGGTGTAGATTTAATTCAAAAAGTGTTTTGTTACAGTTAAAGTATCCACCTAATAGAAAGTTAGTTACTTAAAAAAAGTAATATTTGTTACGGAAAATGATATTTTTCGTGGAAATAACGTGTTTTTTAAAAACATTATAGTATAACGTTTTCATTCATTAATTTATGATTTTTTTAAATCTCTATACAAATCAGAAATCATTTATGTCCTTTTTTTAGATTGAATACCATATGTTTGATTAAGCAAAATAACTGTTTATCCTTTTTTTCAATAGGCCTAATAAAATTAGAAATACTTTTAAAAAGGATGGTCAGAAATTCTATATTTAAAATTCCGTGTCAAACACAAATTGTTAAAATTCAATGAACGATAGGAAAATGAACTTTATTTAAGTGAAAAGGTTCTAATTGCATTCATAAGGGAGAGACTTAATATAATATATATACTTTATATATATATATATATATATATATATTTATAAATTTATATATGTACAGTACATTGAGTTGAAAATCAGAACCAGAAAGAAAAGTCAATTTTATAAATAGTAAAATTCCTTTTAGAATTTCCCCTTCGATTAATCGAATCTAATTCGAATGACAGGAAGTACTCCGGATATTTTTGAATAATTTTATATCCGAAAATTGGTTTTCATCAAAGTATTATAAAAATAGTGGTTCACTTTACCATCAAATTTGACTCGGAATACTGCAAAAGTATGTTGAGTAAGAGGAAGACAAGGAAAAAAGTAAATAATTTACATTATTTCTTAGTAACTAGAAATTATTTGACTACGTAACTATTACCTAAAGTTAATTATAGCAAATAACAACATCTATAATACAGTATATACAGTATATTCAGTATTTGTTTTCTCTATTAGAACAGTCTACAAAATGCAAGCTCAGACAATTCATCAAAGAATCAGTCAATTGTGCCTGTAAATGATAAGAGAAGATTAACAAGAACGACTTTTCTGTCGACAAATGGAACTTCTACTTTTCCTTTTTCATTAGGGATACAAAAGAGATTCGAAAACAATTACAGAATGTCACCTGTGGAGAATGATACTTTCAACAGCACTGGAGTAAGAAAAGTTATAAGGGAAGTTTTGGAAAATAACTTGAAAGGTGCCATGTACGAAAGGCAGGCTGGAGAGAGATTAAGGAGATTAACTGGCACTTTGAAGGATAATTTGAAAGAAGTTATCGGATCGAGATACAAAATCATATGTTGGGTTGTATTGGGTCAAGATGCTTCACAAGGTCTAATAGCCGGATCTAGATGCCTTTGGTACAAGGAAACGGATCATTTTGTCTCGGAATCTTTCAAAGTAAATAATATATTTGCTGTTGCTGTTGTTTATGGCATATATTGCGAATAAAATACATAAAACAGATTAAGAACATTAAAACGGAAAAAATGTGAAGCAATCACAAAATATCAACCAATAAACAGTATTTATTGTATTACTAGAATTGTGTAACAAAAGTACTGAACTTTAATACTGACGTATTCAATGGTAATTTTTTTATTCTATATTTGAAATACTTTTACAATATCTAGATTTTCATATTAGGATGGACTTTGTATTAGCAAAGATATCTAAATGGTATTTATTAATGTTTCCACTTATGTTCTTAATTATAGAATAAGTAAGTTAGAAAACATCTAATTATCATTTGTACAAAGTACTACACATGTTTATTATACCTTTATACTTTTGATAAACAACAAGAAAAAGTTAAAACAAGAGCATTCGAATATGATAAAAAGAAAAACTCTAATTAAATAGTATAGGTCGAGTTGTTTGACCCTAAAAATAGGACAAACATACTGAAAGTATACAAAATCTTTTGTTACAGCGCCACAGGAGAACGCTAAGTGTACTATTAGTGAATGTTAAGCATTTCAAATTACGTTTAAGCCCAGAAATAGAAAATTTTCATATAAATTCATTACAAATGCTTTAAAATACCATTAAATTGCTATGTAACAACTTTATTACTATTTGATTTATATAGTAAAATGCGTTAATTAAGAAGAAACTGATTCAACTATTTCTAGTAAACGTTCCATTTTATCAGCTTGTTTCAATTTTCTAATTAGATAGTCAAATTCCTCTGTTCCATTCATTATTTCATGAATATTGTAGCAAGTTAGTCCTATTCTATGATCAGTAATACGATCTTGAGGAAAATTATATGTTCTTATCTTTTCATTTCTGGATGACGTTCCTATTTGTAATTTCCGTGAGCTTTTCGTTGCAGTCAATTGCTTTACAAATTCTTTCTCAAATAATCTATTCAAAAAAGAGATTTCCTACTGTAAAGAGAGAACGCTTAATCAATAATATATACAACACACCTTGAACGGAGCACCTTCAAAGCAATTTCTTTGTTGCGTAAAAGTGACCTTTCACTTTGGCATTCAACAGACATACCTATAACAATTCGTGGGTGGGAAAGATAATTATCAATCTTAGCTAACCTAAATGAAAAATACCTGTAGGTAAATGAACTACTCGACAGGCGCTTTCTGTTTTATTGACATGTTGTCCTCCTTTACCACTGGCTCTAAACGTATCTATTCTCAAGTCAGAATGGTTGATATTTATTTCGATTTCACTAGGTTCTGGAAGAACTGCAACTGTTGCTGTACTTGTATGCATTCGTCCAGATTTCTCAGTTTTGGGAACCCGTTGAACTCTGTGAACTCCGCCCTCGAATTTTAAATGACTAAATACTTGAAATCCACTTATGGTAGCACTGGCTTTTCTCACTCCTCCTATAGTTTATTTTGTAAATCAAATTACCAAAAAAAAGCGGAGAGAATGAACTTATAGACTACCTCCAATACTTATATCATAATTAATAGGAGAAAAATTCCAAGATTTATGCATGGCATAATTGGTATACATATCAAATATTTCTGCAGCGAAGAGCATAGCCTCCTGACCTCCAACTCCAGCAGTTACTTCTAAAATTGTATTCGTGTTATCAATCCGTTCTGGTGGCGTTAAGAGTTCAATAATCTATAAAGGAAGCAAACAGTAAAACCTTGAATATTTGTAAAGGAAATGAAAACTCCTCTTCCCCTACATTATTTTCTAAATTTTCACTTGTTTCTGATACTTCCATTATATCTGATTCAATAAGTAACTTTAATTCTGAGTCTGTTTCCTTATCTAAAATAAAAAGATGAGATACAAAATATAATATTCTTTATAACACATGGAGTTTAATTACCATGCAGCATTCTATTTAATTCCGATATATCGTTACATTTCTCCAAGTAGTCGTTATATAAATTGACAATGTTTTCATGTTTTATCTGAGTGCTTTTATATTCATCCATTTCATGATCTGATAAATTACCTTCGCATAACTTTTTTGACGCAATGTCATATTCTTCTTTCAGTTTGTTCAGAAAAAGGCCTAAATTACCTTTCAGAGATAATAATTTAGAGGCAAAAAATCTGACGCTTTGTCTAGAATTCTTTGAGATTATTGAGTGATTAGCTTTTGATTTCGAGGAACTTAGTAAGGAATAGCATCGTACAATGTTCGAAAACACTAGGCGAGAAGATGACATTATCACTCAATGTTAGAAAGTACTACCTAAAAAGGCAAAGAAGACAAATTAATCATTGATAATCTCATTCTTATCCTTGAAAATTGAAATACTTTATGGTTTGTTTTAAAAATTACTATTATATATACGTTATTTAAGATTTCTAGTCGACCTCAAGCACATTTTGATAAACCAGTTTTTTTTAATAGTATTCGTAATGTTTTGCATATGAGCTTGTGTCAAACTTTTTTTTCTATTATCTTTACATCACTAATCTTAGTTCTTTTTTAACAAATTAGCACTTTAACTTAAAACATTTTAATTTTTAATTTGTTTCATGTAAAAAAAACTGTCTTTTTAATGAAACATTCGATAAAACCGTAATATTTCCATTTACACCATCTTATAAGTATTAAATAATTGTTAACTATTTAAAGTACCTAAGATTTTATGATTGATAGAATAAGAATTAGGAAAATATTCTGCTATCATTTGACAATATTTTTGAGACATATTACAAACAGTTATTAGACTCCAATAATTTGTTCGAATATGTCACGCCATAGCAGCAATCAAATATTGCATAGTAGTTGCACGTTGGAGAAACTAGACGTTTTCAACATTAAAAATTATGCTAGGTGCTCAAAATCTATCTATCTATTTGTTACGTTTGATTCGTGGGACTAGATATGGTTTCAGATCTTCTTGGGAAAAAAATTTTGCTAGAAGATGTAAAAACAGTTATGTACCGGCTGTTCATTTTCGCTCATTCCATCAAAATTCTTGGAAAAGAGCTTCTTTTTTCTCCTACAATTTTGCAGCAATATTTGGTTCGACTCACATATTGTTAAAATGTCAAAATGATATAAATTCAGCTAAAGGTGATTTATTAACTCTCATTGACATTTTTCTGTATACTATTAACTGCTTATTCCTACAGTTAAAGAATTGTTAGATGCGTCTAAATTGAATGACAGTAATACAATTAAAAGGTGTGATAGTTAATGAAAAATACCATTTTATAAAACTTTTACGATTTAGGTTGATTGACGAAGGAGTAGATATCAACAGTACGCATCCTCTTGGTTGGACATCTTTGCATGTTGCAACTATTAACAAAAATAAAGAGTAAGCTATACATAAATGAATTTGTATGATATATACATTTAAAGATAACTAATTGAAAAAGAGAGTTCTCTAAATTTGATAATTTCTAGGGTACTTAGGATTTTACTTAAACAAAAAGCAGACCCGAACATAGGAGATCAATTTACTAATGCATTTGAAACTGCTAAGAGAAAAAATCTTCACTACTTGAGAGGTTAACTCACTTATTTACGAATGTTTATTCTATAATCTACTATATTTTATAATTTCTTATTTTAGTGTTGATGTCTCGAGAGGATGAGTTTAGTAACCGGCTTAATAATAGGGCTTCCTTTAAGGGATGTACTGCTTTACATTATGCAGTTTTAGTGAATGATAAAGATATTGTTGAAATGCTTTTGAATGCGGGTAATAATTTGTAATAAATGAATAGACTATGTAAAAAAAATTTCTTTATTTCAGGTGCTGATCCAACCCTGGAAAATGATTTGGGTCATTCACCTTTAGCATATGCAGGTTCAGCTCCAATAAAACAATTGTTGGAAGATTCTTCTAAAAAGGTTTGAATAGTAAACGTTTTCTCTTCCATTAGTTTATATTTACGTATGTCATGCTTTCAGTTTATTAATTTGAAAAAGAAAAAGGAGGCTGAAGAAAGATGTAGATTTCCTATTGAGCAGAGATTAAAAGAAAATATAGTCGGACAAGAAGGAGCTATTTCAGCTGTTGCTTCTGGTAGGTCTTTTGTTTTCAAACTTTGCAGCTAAGTACTGAAATTTTATTCTATCAGCTATAAGGAGAAAAGAGAATGAATGGTATGATGAAGATCATCCTTTAGTATTCTTGTTTCTCGGTTCATCCGGCATAGGTAAAAGCATTATAATTTGAAAATAGGCATAGGTATTTTTACTGAGTATGTATGTATGAAAAGGTAAGACTGAATTGGCCAAACAAATTTCTAAATATCTACATAAAGATGCCAAAAGAGCTTTTATACGATTCGACATGTCGGAATATCAAGAAAAGCATGAAGTATTTATTTTACTTGTGAGAAATATACCCTTAAAAGTTTATTTGAATCTTTAGGTAGCAAAATTTATAGGATCACCGCCTGGCTATATAGGACATGACGAAGGGGGACAACTCACAAAAAAATTGCAAGAATCTCCCAATGCTGTTATCCTCTTTGATGAAATAGATAAAGCCCATACAGACGTTTTAACTATCATGCTTCAGTTATTTGACGAGGTTTATTTACTTTGGTCTTGTTAAATTATAAAAGATAAAAAAAATTTCTATTTACCTAGGGACGATTAACGGATGGTAAAGGTAAAACTGTTGAATGTAAAGACGCAATATTTATTATGACTTCAAATTTGGCAAGTGACCAAATTGCTGATTACGGTATGCAATTAAGAGAGGAACAAAGACAAAGATATCAAGACAAACGAAAAGTAAGATTATCGTCAATATATATTATCTTATATCCCATTAATTTTATACCGTTTACAGAATGAACAAAATGAAATTATCGAGAAAGTGACTGTATCAAAGCAATTTAAAGATACTGTTATAAAACCTATTTTAAAGGTTGGCAAATTTACTATTATCGTATCCTTATGTCAATATGAATAGGATTTTCTTAATGCAAGTATAATATACAGTAAAATAAGCATTTAAAACCTGTAATCCATAACTATTCTATAATATTTCGTCACAAAGGAATAAAGACGCTTTTCTAAAACGGCTTTTGTTTATGGCAAAAAGATATAGATTAAATTACAATTTTATTCTATTCTTTGTAAACAGAGACATTTTAAAAGAGATGAATTCCTTGGACGAATTAATGAAATAGTATACTTCCTACCTTTTTCCCGTTCAGAATTAATAAAATTAGTCACAAAGGAGCTGGAATTTTGGGCAAAAAAGGTTTCTAATTATAATTTTTTGCTGAAATGTTTTTTTTTTTGCAATTCTCAACTTTATCTCAGTTTTAATCCTATTATAGGCTAAAGAAAGGCATAATATTACTTTACTTTGGGATCGTCAAGTGCTTGACATTCTTGCCGATGGTTACGACGTGAATTATGGTGCTAGATCCATAAAACACGAAGTAAATGGTTTTTAATATTTGTTTAAATTTCGATTATCCTTTTATAAAAACCAATTAGGTGGAAAGAAGAGTGGTGAGTCAATTAGCTCTAGCTCACGAAAAGCAGGCAATATCAAAAGGCTCAACCTTAAAATTAACAGCAACAAGACCAAGTGAAAATGATGAATTGACCAAAGATATAGAAAAAGAGGCTGGTGTACCATTAATAAAAATACAGAAAATGGAAGAAAAAGGAAAAAAATACATAGATATCGAACTTGATACACATTCTTTCTGATAATCTTTTAATATGTGAATACAATAATAACTTATTTAAAAAGATTATGTACCATTACGAAAGATTATACTTTATAAGAATATAATTATACTATGCGTTTCCCTTTCTCTTAAAGATGGATTATAGTTGAAAAATTTCAATTTAATCCAGACTTACCCACAGATGTTTCCTATTAATAAAGTTTAAGTACTAATGGATAAAACATTAAAAGATAAAATCAACAAAGCCCGAAAAATTAAATGCCTGAAGAGCCACGTGTAGAGGATATTGTTAATATGCGTAAAGTTGTTAACCAACAGATTAGCTTTTAGATTAAATGATATGATATTTATGATAATTCGATTACATACCATATAAGATATAACAAGTATTTACAGTATTTCTTTGGCGTTTCAGATACTATGCAATTCGTATAAATTTGTAATTTTTTGTATTTTTTTAAACGGTTTTTAAAATGGCTTTTTCATCAATAACAAATAAAGTTTACGTTCACAATATTTTTTCATAGAAAAACTAATTTTTAGCAAGAACATCAGTACTTTTTTCTTTTTGTATACAACACATAATCTCTGAGTATAAGAACAATTAGGTGAGAAGTTTTGATGTCTCATGAACATCGTCAGTATGATCGAGTAGTTTTGAAGTGTCAGCTTCATTTTCCTCCTCCAATTCTGGAATGTATACGCGAGTCACCCCGGGAGCGGCTCTTGATTGTATTTGTTCGTGGTGTTCTAATAAACAAGAGCATCTCTCAAACCCTGCTGATAGGGCAGTATCTTTTGGCAAAACTTTATCAAAATCCGGTATTGAAACGTCCGCTCCTGAATCCAATAAACAACGAACAATTTCTAATTCTCCCCGACCAGCCGCCATATGAAGAGGAGTTTTCCCATCTTGTTTTGACTTTTCATCCGGCTTGGCGCCAAACAAGAGTAGCAATTGAACAATATCTGTCTTTCCTGACAGGACAGCATAATGAAGTGGTGTAAGTCCTTTTTTTGTTTTGAAATTCACATTAGCCCCTTTTGAAAGTAACATTTTGGCTACGTTAACTTCGCCTGCTCGAGATACTATGTGAAGAGCCCGTAGACCGAATCCTTCGGACTGACTAACTGAGAGATCATCTTGTAATAATTCACTTTCGATTATATGCCTGTACTGAGAGAGAGCTTCAATTTCATTATCACTTAATCTATCCATAAGTTTGTTTCGACGTCAAAACGCCGATTTAGTCGATATTTCCTACAAATTACATGACAGTTGCGCACCTAGAGTCACGTGACAGATCATTGATTATGAAGACGACAGGTAAAAAACGACCGGAGCGCTACCCTGGTGGCTCATATAAAACATACATTATACAGTATATTATTCTTATTTAATAAAACAATAATAAACAAAATTTCATTTGTGGGAATTTGATTTCATTGTTCAAGGTTTGGTTTGAGATTTCGATCGCTGATCTTGCAGAAGTTTCGCAAGGGGTGAAGTTTCTTTCTCATCGGAGAACATATTTTTCGAGATATCTCCACTAGATGAGGGTAACACAGAAGGAGTAGTTGCTTGGGGAAAAGATGCCATAGGCCAATTTGCAGATGATGAGGACGCTTCATTCACTTTAAAATTTTCATTCGCAGTATTTATTGATGTTAGCCAATTGGATGTAGGAAAGAGTGAATAAGCCGATGTTGTAGTTGAAACATTTTCAGTATCATCCTTTCTGACTTCGTTTGTTTCAAAAAGCCAAATATTAGTTTTGGGTGATGAACTAATGGGTAATAAAACATTTCTTTTAATCAACAATTTCTTTCTTACTAAAAAACAAATCAAACCTCCGACGAGCAGTTCCAATAGCAGTAGACATGCGATTTTCTAGTCGCTGAAACACGTATTACCATTTAAAATGTTATAATGCCTAATAAGTTTAAACAAAACTAGTGGATCATGCAAGATACGAAAAAAACAACAAAGCTACTTTTGATTTTTAACTGATCAACATATTCAGAAATAAAAAGAACCATTGTGCACACCTGACATTTATCATCAATACGAGTTCTGAAAGGAGGCAGAGGAAGAGGTATCTGTCATCATGACATGCATAAAACCACCGCAAAAAAAAGTAATAATAACAACAAATCAATGTGCAATTTTCCTACATACTCACTGTTCCCATCCACCGCTTTATATTTAATCTTACCTCTGATGAAACTGCCTCGCTAGCACCATCAGGATCGGCTTGAATCGCAACTGTTTGCTTACTTTGTTCAATATCTCCTTCAACCACCTTACAATATTTTATAGCAGGCACTGAGAACTGATATTTCGTACCATTTATCATCTCATACGTAAGAATCGTTAAGGATGGATGTTTATCACATATAGCAAGACCAATTTCAACTAAACGAGTGCACCGTAATCGCATCTGCATTTCCTTGGCATTTTCAATTCCTCTCCAAGTTTTTGTAAAATCAAGAGGCCTATTGAAAATTAAGTTATTATCTATAATTTACCTAAGATAAACAGTAAAATACTAACTTCATGCATTCAGTTAAAGGCATAAAACATTGTAAATCGAAGTCCTCCTCCAGGGGATATTTTTCAACTGAAGAAAGCAAAATTAAAACAGTGAAAACCCTATTTATTAAACAATTAAAATTTATTTTGTAAGAGTAAGAATTCATACATTCAGCTTTTTCTGAATCGCTATCGGTTTTAAAGCAGAATTGTAAACAATTTAAGAGTTTACTTAAGTCCTTCCATATTCTATATACAGAATTGAAATTCGTATTAATTTATTATACGGAAAAATTTAATTGGTGATCTTACGAAGATTCCTTCAATTTAGGATGTGATAGTTTATCGCTAACTGTAAGGAGCCATTCCAATGCCATCTTGATAGCAGGAAGGGAATAAAAATCTTTTACTTTGGCTTCTTGTTTAGGTATTTGAGAAAGCATATTTTCCAATATAACAACTACCAATCACAGAATAATTATTATAGAATAACCTTATTAAAACATAGTGTTTAAAAATTAAACCTGTTAGCCAAAACGGAATTTCGCATTTGTCAGAATTTTTATCATTTGCTTCTGATTTCACTTCACTATATCTATAAATGTCTTTTTCCAATCTACGTTGAATAAAATTGATGGAGAATACGTTTATTGCAATCAATTGCAATAATTGGAATGTGCTGTTTTCGTTATGAAGGGGTTATAATTAAATAAAAGTGATCAATAGACAATTGTTTACCTAAAAGATCCTGTTGAAATTTGATGAGATACACCATGAATTACTTTTTCTGCTAACCTCTTAGCAAGATTAAAATCTACACAAAATATTAAAACAGATAATTAATGTTATTTGATTTGTGGCTCTTTTTACCTTTATTAAGATGGATGAGCCCGTGTAATTGAACAAAAGCATCAGCAAAATCTTTCGATGTCATTTTTTGACGAATATCAGAATTACTGAATATTAAAATAATATTATATTTGTTATAAAGATAAAATAAAATTTTATCTACATTTCATCCGAATATTTGTGATACACTTTCTCCAAGTTGTTTATCGCAACTCTAAATGGGTATTTTAATGCCAATGATCTTACATGATAAAATACTGTTAAAAGCTTATTTCCAGACTGTGAAGCTAATATAGCTAATTGGTTAAAAGGTTGACCTAAGAAAAAAATATTTAATATGTATTGGCTGAAAATAAAACATTTATAGCTTACCGCTTGATGGTACAACTGTTATAGCATGACGATAATAAGTTTCCGCTTGATTAGCCTGATGCCTATAGCGAGCTTTTAAGTTGGAAACACATTAGAGTGAAAAATTAAATTTTCTTCAAAAACCTATATTACCTATATCTCCAAGATGGACTAAACAATGCTGACATAAAATCATTACTGAGCTTTTTGCAACATTTTTACCTTTATGTTGGCGGTGACCTGGAAAATTTTCATCTGAGCAATAGTTCAATGGTAACAATATTTTTTCTACCTAAAGTATACATATCTAAAACTGATGGAGTCATGAACGGCAAATTAACGCGAAATGTGTGGCAAAGAGTCAGTAACAGTTGTGTGTAGAAGCCGCTGGCAGCTTCTAAGAACAAGTTGAGAGTTGCTTGCATTTCAATTCTTTTTGGATTCTGTGTTAGAAGGCGTTTTAGTCTATATTAAATAGATATCAGAGTATAGACATACGGATTTATTCTTGGTTTTCGCTTGCAGATCGTTTATATGATTTTTAAAGGCATGGGTCCATCTAAAATATATATTATCAGATAAAATTCTCAACGAATATGTAAATCTAACAATTCTTGTTCCAGTTTATTATCCAATGCTCTTTCTACATCCATAATGATTACTTTTTTATATAAATCTTGGAGTTCTAATCTGGCTGTATAAATCTCAAAATTTGCCGATGGCTCTGAAAAAATTTATTTATTGAAGTATATTTTACGTAATTTACTTTGTTTTACCTGACAACAACTTCTTTAGCTCCTCTACTCGTCTAAAAAAAAGTTAGCGAATTTTAAAATCCGATCGAAAATGAGAACTCGTTTCAAAATTTGCAGTTGAATATTACTAATTCTTTATTTCAAGATTATATAAACTTACTCCAAATAGATCTTTATCGAAGATTCTTTGTGTTTCGTCATTCTACCGAATAGTCACAAAACTCTTCCTTAACTATTGTTTTTTGCTGCAAGAACTCCAAAACATGCAATCTAATTCCTCAAAACTGGTAGCGCAGTCGTATTTCGGTTTAATACAATCAAATAATTGGCTACATTACTGTTATCACCAACTAAAAAAAATGATTGAACCGTTAAGCCCAAATGATCCTTCATCATTTTCTTTTCCTGACCAAGCTATAATTAATCATATACATCTAATTCTACACGTAAACTTCTCAGAAAAGCTCGTTAAAGGTTCTGCCATTCTTGATCTAGCCTGGATAACAGATAGCAATGAAAAGTTATTGGTAATTTGAAACATAATTTAAGAGTTATTTTAAAGTTTATAATGATTATTTATATGTTCAGATTCTTGATACAAGAGACCTAAATATTATCTCAGTATTTGACGAAGATAGACAAAACACGCTAGAGTTTTCTCTTGGAGATAAAGTTGGAGATTTTGGACAGCCTCTAACTATTAAAGTACCGCTTGATTACACAAAGAAATTGGTGATAGATTACTCTACCGCTCCTAATTCAACAGCTCTGCAATGGTTGGCTCCTGAGCAAACATCTGGCAAAAGTAAACCATACTTATTCACTCAATGTCAAGCTATCCACGCAAGAAGCCTATTACCATGCCAAGACACTCCAGCAGTCAAATTTACCTATTCGGCCGAAATAACTGTCCCTGAGGGGCTTAAAGCATTGATGTCTGCTATACGCAATGAGGATGAGACTAATAACTCGTCTGTATTCCGTTTTCAACAAGACATACCTATTCCATCATACCTGATCGCATTGGTGGTTGGGGACTTAGAAAGTCGTCCAATTGGACCCCGTTCTCGAGTCTGGTCAGAAAAGGAGATAATTAAGGCTGCAGAATTTGAATTTACCGGTGTAAGAACATTTTGTTGTAAAATCTGATATAAAATGTATGATTTGTGCTCTCTTTCAGACAGAAAAACTACTTGCAACTGCTGAAGACCTTATGGGGCCATATGTTTGGAAACAGTATGATTTGTTGGTTTTACCACCCAGCTTTCCTTATGGGGGTATGGAAAATCCATGCTTAACTTTTGTAACACCTACTTTACTAGCTGGTGATAGATCATTAGTCAGTGTAGTTGCTCATGAAATTGCTCACAGCTGGACTGGTAATCTTATAACAAATAACAACCCTGAACACTTTTGGTTGAACGAAGGTCACACCGTCTTCGTGGAGAGAAAAATTTCAGGACGTTTATATGGAGAATCATTTAGACATTTACAGGCTATAAATGGGTGGGATGCTTTAAATGAAACAATCAACAAGGAATACAGTCCAAAGCATGAGTTCACAAAACTTGTTCCAAATCTAACGGGGGTTGATCCAGATGATGCTTTCTCTTCGGTGCCATATGAAAAAGGTTCTGCACTCCTGATGTACTTAGAAGAAAAGTTAGGAGGACCTGAGGCATTTGAACCTTTTCTTAAAGGTTATGTAAAAAGATTTCAGTACAGATCAATTAATACTAGTGACTGGAAAGCTTTCCTTTATGAATTCTTTAGTTCTAAGGTAAGAATCGATAACCCGTTTGAAGATATCATGACTTTGTGCTTTTATCGTAGCAAGATATTCTTGATCAAATTGACTGGAATGGATGGTTTAATGAACCGGGAATGCCACCAAATAAACCAACGTAAGTAAAAAAAATAATATACCAATAATTTTAATGACCTTATACTCATTCAGCTTCGACGATACTTTGCTTAAAAAAGCATCAGATTTAGCTAATCGTTGGATATCCTGCTCTAATGATCAATTAGATGAATTTAAATGTTCAGATTTAAAAGAAATGCAACCTTTGCAAGTTAGGAAATAAGATAGAGGTGTTTTAAGGTTATATTAGTAATATATTGTTTAATTTCAGGTCAAATGCTTTTTGACTGACATTTTCAAAAAGGTTATAAATGATTCTCTTAACTCTGTAATATTTAAGTAATGGCAACTTTTTGTTTATCAGGAACCACTTTCTCATGAGAAGATTGAAAAAATGAATGAGCTTTACAATATGAGTTCAATTATAAATTCTGAAATTCGGTTCCTGTTAGCAGTAAAAAAAATCACTAAAAAGTTTAAATTAAAATATTCCATTATTTTAGATGGCTGAGAATAGGCATTCGTGCTAAGGTAGCAAAATTTGCTGACAAAGCTTTGGAAATGGTAAACCAAGTTGGTAGAATGAAGTTTGTACGACCACTGTATAGGTAGGCTTGTTAAAATTTGAAATATTACACTAGCCTTGACGTTACTGATAAACTTTTTCAGAGATTTGTACGAATGGGAAGATTCTAGGAGTGCAGCTATTGAAAACTTTCAGAAAATGAAAGCGCAGATGCATATTCTTACAGCCACAATGGTGGGAAAAGATTTAAAATTAATAAAATAAATTATATGACTTGAGGTTTTAAACAAATATAAACGAATTAAATTTAAATTATGATAATCTATGTAATAGAACTCTTTTAAATTAAACAATAATGCAGAACGCTACAGTGGAAGCTTCAAAGCATTACTTATCTAAGAAACGAATTCCAGAACTTTTGCAAAGTTTGACTGTTGGTTTGCTTGCTAATGAGCCTGATGATCATATTGAGTTTTTGATTTGCTGCTTGAAAAGTATAAAAATACATGGGACAGATAAGATTACTTGGGACTCCTTTCTTCCAGTAGACGACGAAGGTGGTCAGAAACCATTCAAATCTGAAGTGGAATGAATTGCCAAAGAGTTACAAAGATTTAACTTAAAAACTCAAATGAATAACATTAAAATTCTTAAATGTTGAAATTTATATATATATATATACTGTATACATATATATATATTAGTATATGTATATTATATATATGTAATCGAAATTGGAAAACAATTATTGCCTCATAATTCCAATCAGTCCTATGCTTTTTGTAAACAAAGTATTTCATACAAATGAACGAATCTGCTATAAAATAATGTAATATTGCAGTTCAGATTATAACTGCTGATGCGATAAAATATTAAGATTTATATTTCTTATATTTATATGAATATATAATTAAGGTATAAATTGCTAAATCAGGATGAAAAATTTAAGTGAAAACTTAAATTCTCGAAATAATATACTGTTTCGTGCAGGTGTAGTAAATAAACTGGTTGTAAAGATCGTGCATTCTATACACAAAAAACGTCTGATTCTTTAAACAATGGCTGATTCTGATGACGAGCATATGTTTGATGCTCATCCTGAAGAAGATGAAGATGACGATGATCATATTAGGGTAAAAAATTCCTTATTAATTTAAAAAATAATTTTCTGTCTGAGCGATAATATGATATTTCAAATTTCTCTTTGTAAATTTTTGTCTATCTCTCTTACTATTATGAAACCACACACTAACAAGGCTTTAAACTGAAATTTATTGCAAAAAATATTTATTCTTTTATCTGAAAACCGTTCAAATAGTATAAATCTTTCATTTTTTATAATCATTATTTGTTGCATTTATGATTCCCGGCAAGCGAACTAACTATTGCTATTTAGTCCTTAGAACCAGAACCTGAGACGGAGGATCCCGAGGCGGTATTAGCCGAATGTGTTACTTGTTTCGAAAGCAAGGACTTCATTATGGAATCGAATGTGTTTCAGCAGCTACAACAGTTAGTCATTTATCTTAGAAATTCTTTTTAAATAAAACTACTTCTATTTTTTAGATATTTTACTGCTGGTGGCTCTCCAGATACCGCAGTAGACTTATTATCTTCTAATTATAGTGCTTTAGCTCAAATGGCTAACTTTTTAGCCGAACTACAAATTATGGCCGGTATTGACATAAAAGAAGTACAAGATGTTGTTGAGAATCATTTAAAGTCAATGATTATAAAATATTTTGATCCTAAACGAGCTGACTCTATTTTTACAGATGAAGGAGAGGTACGTTTAACATAAGTAGATTATTTTTATACGAATATTTTGCATTGTTTACTTGGTACTAATTAATTTGCCTTAACAGCCGCCAGCTTGGCTTGCAGAGCTAATTAATTACCCGACATGGAGGCATTTAGTTTATGAATTAGCCGAAGAATTTCCAGATTGTTTAATGTTAAACTTCACAATAAAAGTAAATTTCTGTCATGTTTTTTCATGTATATTTTAAATATAATTTGTTTAAATGATTTTATAGCTTATATCCGACGCCGGTTATCAAGGAGAAATTACTTCTGTTTCAACAGCTTGTCATCAGATTGAAGTTTTTTCTCGAGTGCTTAAAACAACCTTGAGTGAAATTCTATTAGGAGGAGAAGCAAAAATGAAAACAATGCTTTCTGAATTTGCAGTAAGTTTTTTGTATCTTAAATTAGAACAAAAAGATCTAAAGCCATTATATTCAGAAAATGATTTGTCACGGCGAGCATACTTATTTATATAGTCAAGTTCTTATGCAAGCTCTGTGCGATGATGTTAAAGGGTCGGCAACTATGAGACGTTTGTGTCAGGAAGTAGAAAAAATAGCAAAAGAAAGGGGATACGATGTAACTCCAATTTCTTTGGGACTTAGTGGTGCAGCAGTTTATAAGCAGGCTTGCACAGCACTGTCAAGTATGCTTTGCAGGAACGCCTTAAATCCTGCTGATATATCAACGGTTCGTTATAAATAGAGAAGATAAAGTCATTCAAAGTGAAAATATTTTTTATCATGAACAGCTCTATAAAGTTTTTACAAGTTCAGACCCACCACCAGTATCTTTACTAAGATCGCCGTCATTGTTAGGTACATTTAAATCAATTTTAGTAAATCGCATTTTCTTTTTTTTATTTTATAGTGCAAAAATTTATATTTAAATATTTGTAGGTCTTTTTATGGAATCACTTTTTAAACCTGGAGCAAAGGTTAACCCAGAACATAAAGGAAAATATATTTTTCTATTAGCTTACGCCAGCACAGTAGCAGAAGTTTGGAGAAGGGTGAGTAAGCCTATTATTAAACTTAGACGCCTTTCTTTATATAATTATGCTGTTCGATCGTCTTTCGATACCTATTATTTATCTGTAAAATGTTAAAGTAAATAGATTACGAAAAATAGTTAAGTTTAGGGAAAAATACGTTTAAACCGAAACCAAGACTATTATCAGGTAATTGCAATTTTCCGTTCCAATTTCTAGTTTTAAAGACACTTTTTGTATTTCTCTTGGTTGATAGTGGATTGAAAAGAATGGAATTTTTTGTTAATTTCTCCTTCCAATTTAAAAATTTAGCTAATTTTGTACTATTCCCACCGCGCTCCTGATGTTCAGAACAATTTGGTTTTCTTTTCTTGTTTTTCTGTGAAGAATCGGTTTTTTCCATTATAGTAGTAGATTTTTCCGATATTGTTATTGCTGATTCAGGCTTACCCAAGATCTGATGTTTATCACTTGATGGTTTGTCTTTTGTATAAATATTTTTGTTTTTAAAAGTATTTATTATTTCAAAAAGTATGATTTATTAAATGGGGATTATCATATTTGTGTGAAAAATAATTGGTTACCTTGAGAACCTCCCTCGTTGGTTTGTGAAGAACTTTTAACCTCAGGGCTAAAGATTAATTAGAACCTCAATAATTATATTTTAATCTATAGACAATTAAAAATTTACGTTAATCGATTTTCGTTATTTTGCTCTGTCTCAGTAAAGAGATAAGATGTTTTATTGAGACCACAAGAGGTGTCTTCTGTTCTTTCAACATATTTCAGACCTAAATTTTTTTTACGGTACTTTTGAAAAGAAACTGGTGACAAAATTCCAGCTGAAAACCATTTCGAACTTTGCTCAACAAAGCCCAAATTTTCTTCAATTATTTTTTTTATTGATAGAAATATGACATATTTTGCAAACAATTCCGCTGAGTCTTGTTCGCTAACTCCTGGTGCAGTTGAAAGACGTCTTGGACTTTCAATGCTTCTGCGTGATTTTAATAAATTTTTTTATTCCAATTCAAATAATTTAAAAGTTATTCGTACCTTAAAGATGGTCTATCCATCATTCTACTTAAAATATCTATCATTGCAGAAGATCTGTAATTATCTTCGTATAAATAAGTGGGAATAGGTGCTTCTTCTTCAATGTCAAGATTAATCATTATAACAAGTCTGTCTAATAAAATCCATGATAAGTCTGTCAGTTCAGGTTGACCTAAAGTATCGATTGAATTTCCTAAGATTTTAATCGCCAGAAATTTCGAGATATCCTCTAAGTTTCTTAAACTTAAAACGAGATTTTCTAGCCTACTATGTCTGAACAATTTCTCGGATTTCTTTCTGTACTCTAATTTTCCAACTAATTGGTTACCAGATCCTTTTGATGAGAGCCTCTCATCTGAGGTGTAATTATTTCTTATTCTTAGACTGTCATGTTATCCCTTTGCAGTGTATTTTTTTAAAAGTACTATTTTACTATGGTTAACAGTATGTATAATTACATTATATAGGATATATTAACGATAAAAAATGACTATTATCCTATAAATTTCATCTCAAGGGGATAAAATAACATGTTTACCTTATAAAGTGTGCAAATTCAGAAAATATATTAAATAATTCATTAGTTTGATAAGATGGTAATTTTCTCTTATCTAAACATTCCTCCATTATATTTAAAATCAATTTTCTAAGGGGTTTTTCGCAATTCTTATTATCACTGTGGTGTAATTCGAGTATAAGTTGAAAAGTGCACCCATCTGTATTGCTTGGTTCTCTATTTTCATTAATATCATTCGCATTTGTATGAAATATTTGATTAGGCAAATCACTTTGAGTACTGCTACGTCTCTTTTCATATTTTGAATGATATCTTGCAAAAGAAACTCTTTTTATAAGACTTCCATCAGTAAAACCATGTTTTTCCTTAGATTGTAACTGTAAAGTAAGATATCCAATTATTTTTCTACTGAATAGATGTAGATTAAATGTTATTATAGTTATTTAAAGAATTTACTGAATTTAACTGAAATTTATCATCATTATTATTATTTCTATTAATGGAAAGCTTCTTCAAAAATAACTTTATCTTTTCGTTTAAGTCCTTTCTAAGAGATTCTAATTCCCTTGCACATCTTAAAAGGAGTATAAAGATTTAAGACAATTTCTTTAATACGTATATTTTAGTTACTAACTTAAATGACGTATAATCGAATAATTGAGATATGAAATTATACAATTCAAAAGTTTCTCTTTGAAGATAACAATCAATCGTTTGCAAAGAATAGAAAATACAATTGGAAAAAATTTTTTCCAATATGTAAACTTTAGAATCGATATCTTCTGAGGTCATTTTCAATGCTATTGTATATAGCAGTTCTAATCTGTGTTTTATATCGATAGTTTGTTCTCTTAATCGTTTGAATCTAGTTAATTTTAGCTCAGGGGTTTTAGTATCCAGGGACTGTTCGTCGAAACCAATTCTATATTTAACTTCATACATTTTCATTAGAAACAAATCTATCTGCTCGTTTGATAGTGTTGATCTAGATTTAACGCAATGTCTTGCCCGATCGATATATGTACCTAATAAATCTTTAATAAATTTCGCTGAAGACAATTCAAGTTCAATAAGGAAAAACAACAAACACCGAATACTTAAGAAGCATTCAAAGGGTATTGTTGGTAAAGTAGAATAAGATAACGCAAGGCATTCTCCTATATGAATAGCTGCTCTTCCATAATTCTCTTGACCAACTGCAAGAAGATGCTTTATTTATTCCCCCCTTTCATGTCAAATAATTAAAGATATATTACCATTATACCAAATTTTTTCTAATTTTTCTTCGATCTTATCTTGAAACTTATACAATTCTGCCAAAGTAAACGATTTATTAACATTTCTAGTTATTATGTCTTTCATTTTTTTAGGAAGATCAAATGCAGTTCTTAGGCAAATACAATCTAGGGCTAGACCCAAAAAAAATGAAGCCAAGCTTTTATCTTCCTAGTGGGTATTTATATAGTAATCCTATACAATTCTTACTTTATTTAACTTGATAATAATACTTTTTAAAATGCAATTGTTTAAGAAATTTTTATATAAATAACCACCGTCCAATATTGTTTAGCTATATTCATGTAATACTCCGCTTTATTAGATATATCCTTTTCTAACCCAAATCCTTTTGCTTTGTATAAACCAAAGTAGTCCGCCACCAACCCACTTATATGTATTGTTGAAGAAATCATCATAAGATATGCTCTACTATTCTCATCTTCTGATATTTCAGCCATTTCTATAAATAATTTTTCCGCTTTAAGGAAATTTAATTGGGAGAAAAGTAGTTCAAAGTGTGTATAAACAACTTGAATTCTCAACCAATTCATTTCATTCTTATCAAAATTCTCTTCAATATTCCTAATTAAAGATAAAGCTAAATCATTTCTATCAAATTTCAATAATATTTCACATTGTTTTATCATATAATATAATTTTTCATAATTTTTATAACTGTAATTAATAAGTAAAATATAGTTTTCTAATATTTCGTCATATTTATTCAATTCTTTCAAGCATTCCAATTTTAGGATGGTAATTCTTATTATAACTAATTGAAAATTCTTTTTTGCAAATTCATTTTCAATCTTTTTATAAATTTTGTATGCTTCATTCAAATAATGTAATGATTGATTAAAATCTTGAAGGTTGGCATGGATAAGACCACCCTTTTCATAAAATTTGGCAAGAAATCTGTATTTTATGTTTAAAAGAAAAATGTTTCCTTATTTTATCAAAATGATGATAAAGTTCTTAAATTAAGAGTTATTTAAAAAACCTTACAGAAAGCTCATATCCTGTAATTTTTGTGAAACGAGCATATCGTTAAAATATATTAGCGAATCGTCCCATTTAAAAATTTGTATTAAATAGTTTAATATCTTTAATTTAGTAAACAGATTTTCCTCACTTTCACAGTCATTCCTGTTATTAGTAATAACATTTAGTAATAATAATAAACAACAGCTTTATTAATTAATATACTCTTCAGAAAGAGCACTCTGCCAGTCTTGATGACGGTTTTCTTTACAAATCAATTCATCTGTTAATGATTATGAATACTACTTGAATTATTGTTGCTTATTTGTAATTATTTTTTAATAATGAAAAAGAAATAATGGTTATCGCAATAAAAAAAATCGTAATACGCTCATTCGCTTAGATAAATATCACTAATACCAACCTTTACCCTTATAAGAGGTAGTTTCAACTTTTGCATCTGACCTGCATTCCTGACAAATTTCTAGTACCCTTTCATTATACTCAAAAATATTCTTCATATGTGTACATCTATCTAAGCGAACGACATCCGCTTTGTTACATAAATATTCCGAAATATCATTGGGTTGATTAATTGGGGGTAAAACATGTTGCTTTATTAAATATTTCCCAGATGAATCTTTCATTTCCTTTTTGAAAGCTAATATTTGTTTATCATTCATTATAATACTATTCTAGTAAATGAGTATTTTTAAAAAGGGATTGCATCAGAGTTTCTTTAAAAATCTGAATGAAATTAATATTGTATAAATTTGTTTTTATTTCAGAACATTCGTAAATCTATTAACAGAGAAGATTTAGACTGTACGAAAGATGCTTTGGAAAAAGCATGCGAATTGTGTACAACTTGTAAAGCATCTTCGGAATTGCTTCCACATTTGCCAGACTTTTTCGATTGTCTACGTTATCCAGTTGTTGCAAAATGTGCTTTATATTGGATCGAAATAATTCTCGGCACAGAATCGTACTTTAAGTTTAACACCGATCAAACACCACTCCATCTCGCCTTATTAGATGAAGTAAGTATCTTAAATATACAAATACGAAATGTGATCTGATTAATAAGTATATTTGTTTTTGTCGCTTTCAGATAAGCACAAATCATTGTCTTCTTCATAGTCGAATTTTCGATTTACTTATATCAATCTTTGAGAGAAGCTTTAAGGAATTAGAAGATCTTGTGCAATTAGAATTAAAGAAAACTGTTGTAGATCGAATGATACATTTAACTACATGCGACTACGTTGTGCCAGTTTTAAAGTACATAGTTTCTAAATGGAAGTCAAAAGACACAGATTTATCATTAATTAGGCATTTCATAGCGGAATTCTTTGATGTAATCGATCTACCTCTTTCCAAACAAATAATAGAAAATTTTAAACCTCTGCTTAAAGATGAAGATTTAATAGGAACCATACAAAGACACGCCGCCACCAAAGTTTTGGCTGAATTTATGGGTATATACGGAATTTTTCAAATAATTTCTCTTATTAAATTTTTGTTTTTTACAGCGGAGACGAACTAAAACAAAATTTGCAAAAACAACTATAATTATACAAACAACATTTTAAAGCCGTTTAGTCGTTAATTTAATCTTTGATACCGTTAATATTCATATAAAAAGTTACTAATCAGCTCTTCAGTTATATTTGTTTTTTTGGCTGAATTGTTTTTTCTTTATCCTTTTTACATATTGTTTAAAAAACGTATAATAAAAAAGATGGTTTTGTTATTCAGATTACTGATTTAGTTTTGTAGAACAATGATTAAATGACAAAGAGAAAAAAAAATAGTGACAATCTGTTTGCTAATGATAGTATATTCTTTCGTTACAGGAAAGCGTAAGAATAATGTGTACAAACTATTGTTTATTTGCACAAAACATTTTCTTCTCAATATAAAGCTGACAGAATCGATCTCATGAAAATGTTTTAGCATTAGGAAATTTGCGTCATTTGCAAAGATTAATTTGCTAATTTTCAATCCAGCCAAACAAAGTTAATATTATTTGTTTCCTGCAGAAATAATGCCGAAAAGCAATCACTCAACAAAGTCGGAGAGTTTTCAATTAGATAGCTCAAGTCGATGTCAGATGTCACTTTTATAATTTTAGGTTTTAATTCCGTTACAATTTCATTTTCAAGCTAAAAAAGAAATTTTTTTATATGTTTTACTTAGTTATTTTTTAAGCATACATACAGCTGTTTCGTAGACCACATCAACGCCATATATCGGTTTTGAATGCTGAGAAGACTTCAATCCCATAGGGAAATTTTTTTTTGTGGAAGACTGAAATAATTTGAATATGGCAGAATGAGTTTCATTTTCGACTTTATCCCAGTTTAATTGGGGATATTGTTGTTTCAGAGCTAATATAAATGATTCAGTATCCATTTTGTCTGCGTTCGAAGTTGTAGTCGTATGTCTTGTTTGATCATCTAAGTAATCAAGATGGTAATTTTTCTCTGCTCTACGAATAATAGTTTGCCTCAGAATGCCAATTTTCAGAGGTGAGACATCGGGAACCAATACAAAAAATCTAAAATCGAGCTTTATTTTTGTACGTTCCTCACGCCCGAGATCTAATGTCAACGGGTATTTTACATATTTGGAGACAACCCTACGACCACAATCCAATTGACGAATGATTTGAATCAAGTCATCTGTTATAATAGAACCTTCCATCCAAGATGAGTTCCATGGGTTGACAATCCATATGTTATCCAATTCTCTTTCTTCTCTCAAATTATAATAAGCAATAAAATGAGTCAGTTCCGTGGATAAGTTAAAAGAAATTGGATACCAATCGGGTGTTACATTAAGAGTCTGAGGATCAATTATTTCCTGTGCTCCATTCTCCGCATCTCGCCTGGCGATAACAGAGCATAGCTCCTTTGCAGTCAAAACATAGTCTCCCATAATTTGGTTGATATATTGTCCTTTTTGTAAAAGATCGTAGCGCTTAAAATGCTTCCTTAGAAAAAGTATATCAGCATCTTTCTCCGAGTCGACGATATGAAATTTCCCATCTAAAATTTCATCTTTAACAAACTCAAAATCGGTAAAAACCTTCAAGGGATCGTTACGACTGGGACGACAATCCCAAGTTTTGTCCTCAGCCACATGTTCGATATCTTGATAGCTTAAGAATTGATCTTCATCTTCTTCCGGAAATCGTAGAAGATCAATATTATGTGCTTCCACTAAAGAATCATCTGGCAACCAAGGCGAAAGTAATAATTTTCTATGTAAATCAGATGATACTGGTCGTTCAATGTAATTACGCGTAATTTCCTCTACAAAACAAAAAGCTAGCATAAACTTAAAGGATAAATCTCAAATTACCTTCATAGTCTAAATCGTTCAATAAATATAACAAAGAATATGTATACATTGTCTCAGATGTTTGGTAGACAAAGGGCACTATTCTTATGTTCGGCTCATCGCAATGCTGGATTCTTGACCCAAACTCATCCATTATATACCAAATATTTTTACTTTTCCCTGTCTGTTACGTAAAATTTAAATAAACTTACAAACGAAATTGCATAATGTTTTACAATCGGATCGTGCAACGAATATGTTTGGCAAAATTTCCACATTTCTCGCAAAACTTCTTTTTCTTGGTCTTCTTCATTGGTTATATCCATTAACTGCGTCATTCTTGATACGAGGTTGGGGAAAGCTCGCAATTGCATTCTTGCCTTTTCTACTTCAAATGTCCAACAATGATCGACGAGGAAAATACTGAAAAAGTTCTTTTTATGCATAAAAGAACGTTACGTAATTCCAAGCTTAATAGTTTATTACGCTTCTGTATCCTCTTTCCTTAAGCCATTCTCACATGTACACACCACTCTCCAGCTATAGTCTTCTCCGTCTTCGTCATGAATAAGTTTTTGTAACCCAAAATGAGCCAATGAGTCGAATGTCTGTTATGAGTGAACGATAATACAGTTATTTTTAATAAAGTTACTATTTTCTCGTACCTCGGCTTTTAATTTTTTGTACAGAGACAGCCAAAGGTGATCAGGTACACAATTGACTAAAAGTTGCGATTTATGAAGTTCAACAAATGCTTGATACTCAGTAGATGTTTCTAATATAGAATGAGGCATGGTGAAATCTTACAGGCCTACTTCTTTAAAAAGTAACCAAAATGTTCGAGCCAGTCTAACTCCATCTTATGAACTCGAGCAGAGTTCCGGTTCTTATCTCGAAATAGGCTGTTTTATTCAAGGTGTAGATGTATAGATGTAGAGGTTATCAACATATATAGTCTCCTATCATTTAAAAGGCTTTTACTAGTCATTAAAATATCTCATCCCTATATAAAATATATGAAATATTTGTTTTCGCGGCTATACCTGAAATTCGGCCATACGTATTTGTACATATTTTATAGTGTGTTTGTGTTTATAGTTTACTTGTATTCACTTATAATCATGTGCGGAGCGGAGGCCTGCGCTGCAGTGAATAGCCCGAACAATATATATACTATACTGTATATATATATATATATATATATATACTGTATATTAAGGCTCATGTATTTTCATTGAGAAAACCTGAAACAAGAACGCACTAAATATAGAACAAACAGCACAAAAGCAAAAAAAAACACATTAGGAAAGTCTCCGCTTATTGCGTAGGGCGATCCTTCGGGATGGGTTACGTCTAACAGTTTTCTGTTCTACAGGAGTGGGAGGCATAGTTTTACTTCGTCCTCTCCTGGATCGTCTTAAATTGTCTGCTACAGATGTTTCTTCAATTTTATCCTTTTCGTAATGAAGATTTGTTAAAAAACTCTCATCAAACATGTCCATCCAGTCAAGTTCATTTATAGAACCTCCCAGCTTTTTCCGAATAGGACACATATCGATATGATTCAGCAAATTACCTGTATATGTGAATTGTTTTTTGCAATATTTGCAAACTGGCGGCTGTTTAGAATCATTGCTGCCTCCTAGAACCTTAACTTTACGTAACTCTTCTTTCCTTGTACAATTTGGAATATGACGTTCTAGGGCAGTAATCGATCCCATGTACTTTCCGCAACCGCTACAAGCGTGCATATCCACAACGTTTACCTTCTCTCGACGTCTTTCGTGGCGACCTGGTTCATAAGATATGCGACGCTTCTTTTTTACCTCATCCCTGTCTTCTTCGATAGGGAAAGTCATTCGCTTTCGTTTTCTGCGTCTCTCTGGAGTTTTGTCGTCCACATTAGTGCTTTCATGGCGTATACCAAAACCCAATTTTCTATATTTTAAATACTTTTTGCGTATAAGGCATCGAAAGTCTGATTTTTTTGGGCTTTTCTTTGTTAAGCCAGAAGCACATTGCAGAATGTGTTTATGTAGTGCAGACACCGAACTAAAGAGTTGACGGCAACGAGTGCATTTGACCTCTTTTCCGCATAATCCCATCATTTTGTCTAAATGTTTGTGATCTCTGTTCTCAACGACAGTTTTGTCTATGTCAACATGTTCATCACATTCGGCATGACTATTTTGAATGCCGTAATGGGTTTTTTCTTGATGCTCCTTAAGGGTGTTAGCATTTTCAAATCTTACATAACATGCAAGACAAATAAATGATTTCTTAATAGGAGTCTTCTGCTTTTTTGGTTGAGTGATCGGTGAATAAGCTGGCGCCACTGGTGTTGACCACATGCCAAAAAATGTTACCGTCGGGTAAGTCTTATTCGAGTGAGCAGCAGGAGGTGAAAACCGATCACTTGGACTATTAACCGGAAGTGGAGGAGCGGTATGAGCTACCGGTGGTGAAGTCTTATTGACGCTTAAACTAGGCACATTTGATCGAGGAGATGTCAATTTAACTACAGCTTCAGATGCAGAAGAACTCAAGTCGAGTGCTGTCATTTCCTCTTCCACCTCTTCCTCTTCGTGCTCTATCTCCTCTTTCATAGAAGGTAGCTCTGTAGGTATCTCTCCATCTTCTTCCACGGTAACATCGTGCTGTGAAGACAAATGCTGAACATAAATTGAACGGCCATAATACAGGCAGTTACAGATGAAACATTTGTACTCTTCACGGTCTGAATCATCATTTTTCCACCAACCATTCTCAGATGCATCATATTCTCGAGGTAGATTGTAAAAGCAATAATTGGCCTTTGCGAGATCTTTTACATTTTCTCCATTACATTCCTCTGAACTTATCTCAATATTATTAACAGTACCAACAACATATTTAGATAAATTTTCAGCCACGTTAGAAGCAATTTTGGAGTAAAACTGTGGTTGTGATTGCATTTCATCAATATCGCAGGCTTTGGAAGTTGCACCATTTTTTTTCTCGTCGATTATTAAGTGGCGTTGATGAATTTGTCGTCTATGTTTGCACATAAGCGTATAATCATGAAATCTCTTCTTACATATTGTGCATGCAAACTTATATCCTGAGGAAGAATATTTTGCTAATCTCATTGAATCAGCGATGTCTAAGGAAGTATCACTACTCTTGAATAAAGGTTGCACTGAATCTTCTAAGGACTTATAGGCAGAAACTCGTTCGGGTAAACGCTCTCTATGAACATTCCAGGAGTGTTCGGTCAACCATGAATATTTTGCAAAAAATTTTCCGCAATGGGAACACTCTATATATTCATCGACGTGAAATTTTTTTACGTGCTTTTTCAAATCTCCTATTTGTGAAAATGAAGATGGGCAAAATTCGCATTTCCATCGAGATCCTTGATGTTCAATTTCGTGTGACCTTTTATGATTTAACGTTGGAAAGGATTTGGCACAAAATTTACACGAGTGTGGCTTTTCACCAGCTATATATAAATAAGAAAAAACAACCAAAACTTATTATTTAATACTTTATAACACAATTAAGATATTTTAAAATTGTTTAGGCCTATTTACCCGTATGAGTTTGCATATGCCGAACGAGATTTTGTTTGTGCGAAAATTTCATACGGCATTCCTTGCAACCATATTGATTATCTGATGGAGAAGTTGGATGATTCTTAACATGTTCTTTTAATTCAAATACTCGAGCAAACGTCATTTGACAAAGATTACATCGGAAAATTTCTTCGCCTGAACAAGCCTTTGGTTCTACTTCATTTTCTCCTGAATTTGACGACATAGAGCTTGAACAACGCGTATTTTCTTTATCGACCTCAGAAGTATCCCCCTCCCCTTCACCATCCTCTTCTTTCACTGACACTCCTTTGTTTATTTGATTAATGCTCACGCAACAATTTCCTAGATCGCTTTGGCTAACAAACTTAAGGTTAACATGATTCCTTATAAAATGTCTTTTCAAGGAAAAAGAATGTCTGTAGATGGCTTGACACACTTCGCACTTGAATATCTTTTTGCCCTTGACCTTGTGATAGGACTTTATTTCAAACTGAAAATAACCACTCTTACTGAGAGCATAGTCATCAGCATTTGGTAGAGGAGTAATAGGTTCCTCCTCCCTATCGACCTGATCTCTATCTAGCTCCTTCCCTGAACATCTATCCTCTTTATTTTTTTCTAATTTTTTCACTATTTTAGCATTAGGTGATAACTGAACTAAATTTCTCTGTCGTCTCTCCCTTTTCTTAACCCATGGTTTGCTATACGGATTATCTCCGTAGTCAAGGTATAAGTCCGAATCACCGGCGCATTCGCTGCCAGCTTCCTCCCCTGACAAACTACTTGCTGTGGATGCAGAACAACTTTCTATTTCCTCTTCCGGCATTTTGGAACTGAAATATGAGTTTTAAGTAGGAACATTATAATATTTCTTCACTACAGCCCTGTTCAATACAAAATCTTTTGTCGACAAGTGAGATTACGGTCGTATTGAAAAATTTCGCTATGAAAGAGTTGGGATGATAAAATAAAGTAACTTGAATTTCTGGATTAATCGAAATTTCATGGGCCAATCCCGACATTGCTTACTAAGATTATAAATTAATCAGTGCAAAACGAATATCATATAACCAAAGAAATTATAAAAGTCTTTGTTATTTTTATAAACTATTTTAAGCGATATGCAACAATTTGACATCGCTAATAATGTTTGAACACCAGTTGGACCTCATTCTAACCACAATAGATACTTTGAACAGTTGCATCAACTCGGCCATGATTTAGTGTTTTACGTGAAAAATTCATTGAGTACACCCGCTTTTCAAAGCGACAAAACATGTCTAATAGTAAGATGAAACAAAGGTTTTTCGTTGAAAAGTGTACTTAAGTCTCTTATCTATAGATTAACGATTAAAAATTTTGGCTAACCTTTACATAATATAGTTTATTTTGATGAACAGTCGAACGTCTTCCTTCAAGATGCTTTTCCTTTGACGGAAATTAGGTAGCAAGGCGTAGGCCTATACCTAGCGTTTTTCGTATTTTCATTGTAAACCATCAATTCTCTTATTTATTTGGAAGAAAATATTCGAAAAAAAATTTACTATAATCAAAATATTTTATAATTCTTAGATCATTCGAAAATAGCAGATTTATATCAATTAACTGAAGGTCAAGGTTAGTAATACCTTTCCGTTTCTTTTAAAAGACGGACAGAGAGAAAGTGAGGCCCGGAAATGGTATTCTTAACCTTTATACGATCCGCACTAAACCAGGGTCCTGATAAATATTGGAGAATTCAGCAACAACTTCGATTCTCATGGGTAAGTTTGATAACAGTGGAATTCTGAAGTGATCTTTATATTCGTTTCTCATGTGGTGCAGCATTTCTATGGTCGAAAAAGAAATTGTTATAAAATCGGAATGCGCTATGTTTTCAAAGCATTAAGATACGGTGTTAGTGGTAGAAAGGACAAGCTCAAAAATATGAGAGAACTCTGGTATAGGAGAATTAATGCAGGTTCAGAAGAGCATGGACTAGAAGGAAAAATGTTCCTAGAAGGGCTTGCAAGGGTAAACTGCTAAATAACATGTGTGCATTGTAATTATAAAGTTCTCTTTGTTTTAGTCCGAAATACAGTTAGATAGAAAAATTCTCTCTTCATTGGCCATATATGAACCTCGAACTTTCAAGGTAATAACTGTAGTATTAAAAGGGAAAATACTAACTTGTATTTTTATTTGCATTACAGAGCTTGTGCGAAGTTTCAAAAAATACCCTAAAGGAGCACAATTTGCCTTTCCATGAAAAACATATAAATTCAAGACAAAATTTATTAAAAGATTTAATTAACAATGAAAAAAGTGTGGAAATTTAGCAATTGTTATGTATAAAAGTTACGAATACAATTTATTTTTGTAAATCTAACTGCGCAGATTGTCCAATAGCGATATCAACTGGTGAATCTTTAGGACTAAATATTGCTCTTGTAGCTAAATATCTTATAAAATCTTGATCTGAAAAGCCCAACGCAATTTTCAAATTTTTATTCACTTTTGCTTCATTTTCATATTGTTGCATTATCGCTTTTTTCGTTGCTTCTGCCTGTATAAGTACGACATTGGCATGACTTTTTGCCTTCTGTAGAATTATCTCTGCTGCATTTTTAATGTCCTTTAGTTTGTTTATAGCTATAATTTTTCTTTTTGGTGCTTCCTGACGAGCCACGTCTATATCTTCTCTTGCAGTTTCTTTGCTTTGTATTGCATTTTCATATTCTAAAGGTCTTTGGATATTCTGCATTTGTAGGTCGGTGAGATCTGTATAAACTGTCTCAAGTCGTTTAATCAGAGCATCTTTGACAGCTAGCTGGAATTGTCCCCTCTCGGCTTGAAACTGAGAAGTGTTGAACATAGAACAAGATTCATAAATCGCTGCCTTGGCTATATATTCAACCATCTCATCAAGTCCTTCTTGATCTTTAAATAATAGTGTAACGTTATATAGATATTCTGATCTTACCCGATACTGAAATGAAAGAATGAGTTTAATCTCAATCTCATCTTTGTTTAAACAATGAAAGTCTTGAAACTGCATTGATCGGAATACAGCTGAAAATTTTATAATTTGAAAACCAGGTTGACCAAGATAAAGCCCTTCATAAAACACCTCCTTCTGTAGATGTTTTTTGATAGAATCATATTTCAATCCAAATTCTGTTGATCCTATAGTCTGTATCGAAGTAACAACCAGTATTACAGAAGCAAGTAAAACAGCGATAATCAAGAAAACGACTGCAATTTTAATAGATTTTCTTGTCATGTTTATTGTGGTTATGAAATTAATTGCTTTTTCTTCAATACAATATTCAAAACTCCTAATAGAGGTCAGTAGCAGTATGTATGGTTGACGTATCTTTGTAAGGCAAATTTTCTTCGAGAAAAGTAAAAACCCTTTGATTTGAATAAAAAGTAAATATAAATTTATCTGATATTCCAAATGAAGTCTTTGAATAAAATGAGTACTTATGAGATAGAATAGGCGTCTACCAGGCCCTTATTAGTACATATCATAGTAACACCACCTATATTAATCAATAAATTAATGATTTATTTTGAACAGCTTAATAGTTTCTTTAATTAAATATTATCTAATTTTTATTAAAGCGTGGCCATGTGAGATTTTTAACTTCCCTTAATAGATTGTTTATGAGTGAAATTGTGCTAGAACAAAATTTCAATTGAGTTCATGATTTCTTCTTCATTGATTTAATTCAAATTTAATTCTGGTGGTTGTCCGATAGCTAAATCGATCGAACTATCTTTTTCGCTGAATATAGCCCTAGTTGCAAGATATTTGATGAAATCTTCATTTGAAAATCTAAGTGTGTTTTTCAAAGTTTTATAAACTGCAGCTTCAGATTCGTATTGCGTTTCTATTCCTTTTGCTTCTGCTTCGGCTGCTGTCAAGATAACTCTAGCATTACTGGTAGCTTTTTGTAATGTTATTTCTGCTTCGTTCTTAGCCTCTTCTAACTTATTTTTGGCCAGAGCCATGAGTCTCGGACGCTCCTGCCGAGCGACATCAATGTCTTCTCTTGCTGTTTCTTTATTCTGAACAACAATTTCATATGAGCGGGGCCGTTGAATGTTTTGCATTTGAAGATCCGCTATATCCGTGAAGACTTCTCCTAATCGTTTTAACAAAATATCTTTAACCGCTGTCTGGAATGACCCTCTTTCGGTTTGGAATTGAGAAGTATTAAAATTGGAGCAAGCTTCGTGAACAGCTGATTGTGCTACTGATTCAAGCATTTGATCATGGCCTTCCTCATCTTTGAAAAGACGAGTAACTTCATATAGAGCACTAACTCTTACTCTATACTGAAAAGATAGTTCCAAGTTTACTTTAACTTCATCTTTATTCAAGCATTCAAAACGAACTAACTGCATAGTTCTAAAGACTGCTGAATACTTGATAAAAGTGAAACCAGGACTTCCCATGTGCAAGCCTTCATAGTAAACGTCTTTTTCCAATGACTTCTGCACATTATCATATTTTAAGCCGACTTCATGAGACTCTATCTCAGATAGTGAATATCGGACCAAGATGATAATAGTTAGGGCAATGGCAAGTGCAAAAATACAAACAATTATTACATTCCTCTTCGACATGTTATTTGCAGAAAGACAAAGAGATGCGAAATCAATGGACGCCTTTTGTAAGACCCTTAAAAATCTGAACCGCCAGCAGATGTCGCTAGGAGCAAACAGTAAAATCGCTGCTATTTTCATCCTACAAGAAGGTTCCCAATGCAATTTATCGCTCAAGTTAAAATTTAATTAGAAAAGTTGTAATTGTCATTTAAGAAATTAATAAAATAAATAGATTTAATCAAAAATCATTAATTGTTAATTAAATATAAAACTACTTGTATTACCTTTATATTACACATGAAAGCAAATGCAAAGCAATTTCGAATATTATAAATTATTCTATCCAATAGTTGAGTACTTTTTTTAAAGTTAGTATTATAAGGATCATTGTTACAATCACCAGGAATGTATTTTACGCAATCGAATATTTTAAGAATCTATAATTTGAAAGAATTTACACAACGTAGAAGAATTATCTGCCATTGCGTTATTCTGAATCGTTTGCTTGAAGTTTTCTGATAAACATTCTACAATAATACAGTTTATAAATATATATATATACTGTATATACTGTATATAAATGATATGTTTTTCAACGTTCATAATGTTAATATTCTACGAATCTTTATTATGATAATGGAGATTTTTTCCATACTCAGCTGGTTCTTTGTTTTCTAATTTATTTAAGAATGCTTCGTTCTTTCTTCTACGGTCACTTTCAAGTCTCTTCTGTCTTTGTTTTTCAGTTTCTTTATTAACCAAAGCCTTATTACGTTGAATTTGTTTCATATCCTCAAGTTTTTTTGACTCTTCTTTTTTTACAGCTGATCTATACTCCTCTCGTTTTAACTGTTAAATTAATATATTTATAAATCTTTTACGCTAATTTATGTTTACGAACCCGAAGGTAATTTCTGTTTGATAAATTGGAAGATGCTGGTGAAGGCTTCGGTTTTTCTAATAATCCACCTCCGGGTGTTCCAACTTCATTATAAACCTTTTTGCTTCTTGCTTTAAACTTGTCGTAGTTTTCTTCTTCTTTCTTTGCGGCTGTGTGAAAGTTCATTTTTAGCTATCTTTCATCATGGTTTGAGTATTTCAAATAAAGTAAGTAATTTTAAACTTTCAGATAAATGCTTCATTATTGATTTGATTAATTTTTTTTTTTAAATTTGATGATTACTACCTCGTTGAATAGCATCTCTCTTTTTTGCATCAGGAGGAATTACTGTGAACGCTCCATCAACCCTAAAAGCATGTATCGAGTTTAAATAAACATCAATAATTTAATTTTTAAAGAATACACTACACACCGGACCATTCTATCCTGAGCTGAAGTTTCCGGAGTTGCTTTGTGATTGCGCAAGCTGCTATCAGTTGGGCGAGCTCCGCTTGTACCATTAGGTCTTGTTTGGTTTGCTCTTGTTCGCCCAGTAGAATAAGTGTGGCTCATATTTAAATATTCTTGGAATTATAATATTGTACTTTTTGTTTCGATGTTTAGCAACGATAATAGTGTGGTTCTGCGCTGCAAAAATTTTACTATTTGCAAACTATTTCGGTCTAGCTAAAACACGGTATAGGTAGAAATTGGTTGAAATGAAAAAAGACGTAAATATTTATTCTACAATAATCAGCTCATACTTTTTGAATGAATAATGCTATTTTAAGGAAATTTTAGTGAATGCGATATTTACAACAAATATTTAAATCTATTAGCCTTTTAAACTAGTATTATTAGATTATGAAAATATAATGGTTAGAATGACATTAAAATGAAATTATTTAAAAGACAATAAATGTTATTTTCATATCTAATCCATTCTCAAATAAATACTAACTACATAATCATATTTAATAGTTCTTTCATAATTAAGCCATTAACTAATTGACTTCTACAACAAACAAAATAATTAAAACATTTTACAAGGTGACAGTATAATCATAGTGGTTTTAGTTATTAGAGATATCGAAAGTTGAGCATCGATCAGATACCAGTCTAGATATACAAAAACTTTTGGAGCATATAGGCAAAGACCTCCAAAAAGCTTCATAGCATATTCTTCGTGACTCGTGTCATAAAAAAATTGCATTTTTTAGTGCTAAAGACAATTAATATTACAATGCTTCGAGCTAGGACGTTTAGAAGCCGTTCTTTGATAGCTTGTCTTAAACATAGACCTTGGCAAGTGTTTTTTCAAAGAAATCAATCTACTTCTGCAGGATCCGAGTCTTTTCTAAATGGAAATTCAGCAACTTACATTGAAGAAATGTATAAGGCATGGCAAAAAGATCCAGGAAGTGTACATTCTGTAAGTATTTTTATGTTTTACCCTACTTAGAGAAATGTAGATAACTTTGGGAAGGTGCCAACTGGGTTCTAAATTTAGATCAGTCAATAACCATGAATTACTGAGGGATCAATGACTACAGAGATTATTCATGACTTTACATCTCTCACGGTGTAATTTCCAATGGTTACCTAATTGGAATTAATGGTTATTTTTGTAAAATAACGGCAAATCTTTTTAAAGCGTATTATGTGAAAGATAACCAGTAAGATTTCAAATTTGCAGTCAAAACAAATTCTAGATCTTCAACATCCCCATATCCCTATGTAAGATCAGACTGCTAAAGGATAATGGAAAATGAAGGACGTAAAAGATAAAAAAAAATGACGAATTGTCCCAGCATGCGTTACAGATAAAAATTTAGTAGGCCTGTAGCTCCCCGCCAATTTCCGATAACAGTCGAAGACACAGAACAATTTATTTCTCTGGTCAATACAACTTTCATCTTTATCCTATACGCTTATTGTTTTTTAAAAAAAAAACATTCGTATACAAAATATATGAAAAATATTTGAAACAAAGGTATACCACAGAATGAACGGTGGAAAAAAACGTAAATGCCTCTTTTATGGATTGTTTTCTTGTATAGCTTTCTATCAATATAATTGATCGCCTTAGCTTTTTTGTGGCAAATTTTAGGTGTTTTTGAAAAGTTATATATTTCGCAATATTTAGTAAATTTATATTTCTTCTTTCTTTTTAGTCATGGCAAGCATTTTTTCAAACTGGAACCTTTATATCTCCGACATCTTTAGGATCCAAAATGGTTGCTCTTGGACCGAATTCGGATAAAGATGTTCAAGATCATTTAGCAGTTCAGGCGCTGATCAGAATGTATCAGGTTTGTCTATTATCGAATGTGTACACTTAGAATTTAAAAAATAGAGAAGCTACGCAGGCTTGTTTCGTTCTGATCGCCATATTATTTTTGTGCCAGTAAGAGGGATTCTAAGCTTTTTTAGGTCTAGCTACTGAATCTTGTTGGTAGTACATAGGTCTAAAGCATTATTATGATTTTTTATTATTATAGAAAGTTAGCTGTAATTTTCCACTCTTCGCATTTTTCAAAATATCTAGATAATGACTATTGTCCATTGAATTAAAATGTATTTATGTTTGGTATGACAGGATTATAAACTTTGTATTCGATTAAATATTACATTTTATTAATATATCATTGTAAGAAATATCATTTTCACTTTCAGAACTTTCCTCGAATAAAATATATTCTTTTTTAAATTTTAATTTAGTAACCTGAGATTTAGAATAAATTACTTTTTGTGGTCTCGTTTCGGAAATCAAGGGCAAAAAGACGAAGAGGTTGAAAGATTATTATAAAAGTGTTAGTTCCCCTGAATAGATTCCCCAATAATATTGATCACTTTAGACATATCATGCAAAACAAATCGATATATTTCTAATTCCAGTGTTATTTTGACAGAATTGAAACTCAGTAGTATACAAGGTCAAATTGTTGTACTATTGACCTCTACAGTTACTAAACACAGCATTTATATGCTCTTTTTTTTTTTTAAAGATATTTTTTTATTTGTAAAGATATTTTATTCCTCTATCATTTATAATAAAATTACATCCTTTTAGAAGTTTACTCAAACTAATATATATATATATATATATATACTTTACATTGAGGGACATTGTTTTTAATATGCTTTATCTTATGTTTCATAGAGTTATTAACAATCGATCTTACAACTTTTATCTGTAGTTTTCCATTTTTCATCTTTTTACACGTTACCACTCTGACATCCGAAAATGATAAGTATAAACGTAATCATGTACTGCAGACCCAATACAGTCACTGGCGTGGGAAAAAAATTCTGTTTGTTAGTCAATTGTAGAATGAAGCCAGGGATTTTCCTTAGTGTATATTTTATAAATAGATATCATGTCAATTTCTTGTCTTTTTTTTATGGCGATCAGTTGATTACAAAATAAATCATTTCTACTTGCTGTTCCTATTTTAAATAATTCTTTTGTAGATAAGAGGGCATGTTCTTGCCAAGCTGGATCCATTAGAAATAAAAGAAAGTGAAAAAGCCAACGATAATTTATCTACCTATTACGATAGAGTAGAAAATCAATTATGTATGAATATACGAAGCAGATAATTACTTTAGAATTTCACTTAAAAACCTTGCTTTTCCAAATAGTAACTGAAGATGCGAACAGAGTTTTCAAACTACCCGAAACGACATTTATTGGTGGCGAAGAGAAGAGTTTACCTTTAAAAGATATTGTATCAAGATTAAAGGTTAGTAAAATTACAACTTTTATACAAAAAACAAAGATTAGAATGTCTGTGCAAGAAGGGAGAGAAGCAAACTAATATAGCATTAGGAAATATGTAGGCCAAATGAAACATTTCTGTTTTTCTCTTGCGTGCAATGCACTATAGGAGATCTTCCTTCTTTTCTTTCTTTTGGACTATTTGCGTGCCTGAACTAATATGATACAGTTTAAGGATATTATGCAGGTAACGTAAGGCAGCGTTTTACCGGGCGTGAAATTTAAATAATTAATTGTATAAATATATTCGTACCACTGAAAAACACTAAGATGCACTGGATTTAAGGTGCTTGATAGGTGCTGTCACATTTGTTTTATTAAAAGGAGGGAAGTCATTGACCCTCATCAATTCGTTTGCCTCCCGGACAGGCGCAAATGGTGCTAACATTAATGGCAAATCGTTCGACTAAAGCCGAAAATCTAATTTATTTGGACCAATTTTACACGTTGTTTTGCACAGTGACGTCACTGTCGCCCGCTCTCCTTTTCTCCTTCGATTTCCATAGCAACGGACGGCAGTCGCTTAGAAATATAATTCGTTGCTGCTCTTGTCTAACGAAGCTTATTTATTCTGAACCATATAGCTCTACTTTTATCGATTTTCGATATATCTTGCTTTTTTCCCTTCTTGCTGATTGATAGTCAAAGCAAGATGATATTAAAAGGGAGGCTTAAAAATTACTATCTTCATTACAGATTAAATATTCTCGTACTTCAATTCAAATTTAGTCCAAATTTGGTAAATTCACTATGAGACAATAACAAATACCTTATCGCAATCAATTTCCTGAATACCCTAATATATCATTGGATATGTTACAATAGCTTTTTAAATCAGGGTTACTCAGCTCAAAAACACATTCTAGCCCTGTTGTGTATCACACGTTGAGAGTTGCATGATGAACTATTATTTTTGCATAGAAACTTGTTTCACTATGCTGCTGTAATGAGAATTATCGATTCGAGTTACATCAAGCTATTTTATAATTGCAGAATATATTTTTTAACATATGCATATCTAGCTATATACAGTATTGTCATATTTGTTATACAAGTGAGTTAACTTCTTAACTTTCATTTGTTGAGCTCACGTAAACGAGATAAATGTACTACTCGAAGAGAAATGACAGATGATTCCTGATCAATGAGCAGATAATCAGGACTTGAAGCGAGCGTAACAGAGACTCTAAATAATTCTAGGCATGAAGAGTGTTTGTAAGCGACGAAAAAAGCAAATTTTTTTAACTCTAAAAGCAGATTATAATCTTTATTACACTGCTAATTTTCACAATTTTTTTATTTAAACATAATATGATAGAATAATATTGCTAAGTACTGAAGATATATATTTTCCACATGTATTCGATGAATTCTGTGCCAGAAGTCATTATCCTTAGGATAGATAAGTAATGCTAGTTATATAAATATCCAGAACAACGACACACTCGAGATAAAATAATGGAAAATATTTAACATCTATTATTGTAAGAAATCGATTTTTATCAATTCATAAGTATTCAATAGCTTTAATTTGTTCTAGTTTTTATCACAATGATGGCTGCTACAGATTGTTTTGGTGATTTACAAATTACTTCTTTGTACTGCGAATATTGATATTATTTAAGCGAAATTATAGGGAGACTAGTCATCTTAAATATCACAATAATGTAAAGGAATACGAGATATCCCTTCTTTTCTATATAATGAGATAACAAAAATATGAAGGCTTTAGTGCAAATACTTATATTTTATAAACGTTGAAAGTCATTTTCTAGTTAACAGTCACAGCATAAATAAATACAAATAATCCCTTATTTGCATAATGAATGATTCTTTTGATCTAAAATACAATAAAAAAAATGACTACGAAATAAAATTTTCGAACTTGGATCAATCATAATTAATTTTTGTATTAAAAACTTTAAAAAACTATACAAATTTTTTTCTTTTTTGTAATGCTATCAACCTTGTATTATCAGTCTTATCTCTCGAGTGCAAAAAAATACGATTGCATAGACTTTTTATTAATATTAAGTTGTTAAATATAGATAAAGAATCTAATTTCGCATATTGATAGCATATTTATACTAACTTCACTAAATTTTCCATTAGAAATGTTTTCAGTACTTAATTGTTTTTTTTACACATTTATCTTTGTTATTTTTAAACTATTCTTTTTGTGTAGATTTTTAAGCCTGTATCAAAACGAGTTATAAGTTATCATCCAATTAATAATATACATACACGCATTTAATGTAATATTATTTAAGATTCGACAAATAGTTTTATCTTCTTTACAAAACAAATTATCTTCGGTTAAAACGCGATTTTTGCAGTCCGTATATTGTGGACACATCGGGTTGGAATTCATGTTCATTAACGACATGGAACAGTGTAATTGGATAAAGCAAAAGTTCGAAACTCCCCAAAGCATGCAGATATCTGTTGAAGATAAACGGATTTTACTTGATCGACTAATCAGATCCCAAAAATTTGAAGAATTTTTAGCCCAAAAATTTCCAGCAGAAAAAAGGTTTGGCTTGGAGGGATGTGAAGTATTAATACCTGCCATGAAACATGTTATTGATATCTCATCAGAAAAAAATGTTGAGTCTTTTGTTATTGGAATGCCCCACAGAGGCAGATTGAATGTACTTGCAAATGTTTGTAGAATACCGTTAGATCGAATTTTTTGTCAATTCGATTCAACATTGGGGTCGAGTGATGAAGGTTTCAACTTTTTGTCCTTTCTTACAAATCATATAAATTTCTAAAATATACTTCGTTTTTAGGCTCTGGAGATGTAAAATATCATTTGGGAATGAACCATGAGAGAGTCAATAGATTAACAAACAAGAAGATACGATTAGCAGTGTGCGCTAATCCTTCACATCTTGAGGCTGTCGACTCTGTAGTTCAGGGTAAGACCAGAGCCGAGCAATATTTTAGGGGAGATACAAAACGGAAACAAGTTATGCCCATTCTTCTTCATGGTGATGCGGCTTTTTCTGGTCAAGGTATTGTCTACGAAACCTTCCACCTTTCAGATCTTCCAGAGTATACAACAGGGTAGATAATCAATTAATAAGTAAAACTATTTGCCAGTAATTAATAAGCTCTTTCCCTCGCAGAGGTACAATCCACATAGTCGTAAACAATCAAATTGGATTCACAACGGATCCAAGACATTCAAGATCTTCACCATACTGCACTGATGTTGCTAGGGTTGTTAATGCTCCAATTTTCCATGTAAATGCGGATGATCCAGAGGCCGTCATGAAAGTTTGTCGCGTTGCATGCGAGTGGAGAAATCACTATGGAAAAGACGTTGTTATAGATTTAGTTTGCTACAGAAGAAATGGCCATAATGAAACCGATCAACCTATGTTCACCCAGCCTCTTATGTATAAAAAAATTCATCAGATGGAAACAGTTATGAAAAAATATAGCACAAAATTAATTGCTGAAGGTATTGTTTCTGACGAAGAAGTTAAAGACAGAATTAAGATCTATAATGACATATGTGAAGCGTCATACGAAAAGGCGAAAGAGGAGCCAGCAGCAAGAAATAGCAACTGGTTAGATTCACCTTGGGATGGCTTCTTTCAGAAAGCTGACTCAATGACATTACCTAAAACTGGAATTGATGATAACCAGATAAACCATATTCTTACAAAATTTGGTAGTTACCCAGAGGACTTTAATTTGCACAGTGGCCTAAAGAAAATATTAATGAAAAGATTAACCATGCTAAACGAGGACAAGAAAACGGACTGGGCCATGGGAGAAGCTTTGGCATTCGGTTCATTACTAATGGATAAAATTCATGTAAGATTGAGTGGACAGGATGTTGAAAGAGGAACATTTTCACACAGACACCATGTTTTACACGATTACGAAATTGACAAGAAAACTTATTTGCCGTTGAACAATCTTTCAGATGATCAGCAAAAATACATCGTTTGTAATTCATCCCTTTCTGAATTTGGTGTCTTGGGTTTTGAATTAGGTTATTCAATGCAAGACCCATACACTTTAGTAATATGGGAAGCCCAATTTGGTGACTTCTCAAACACTGCTCAATGTATCATTGATCAATTTATAAGGTAAGTTTTCAAGAGTGATCTTCAGTCTCTAATTAAATGATAATTCTATTGTTAGCTCCGGACAATCTAAGTGGGTTCGTCAGACTGGTATCGTTCTGCAATTACCTCATGGCTATGAAGGTATGGGTCCGGAACACTCGTCAGCTAGATTAGAGAGATTCCTTCAGATGAGTAACGATGATGAAGACCATTTCCCTGTGGAAGGAGATGACTTTGAAATGCAACAATTGCATGATATAAATTGGTTCGTTTGTAATCCTACAACACCTGCCAACCACTTCCACGTTATCAGGAGGCAGATAGCTCTCCCCTTCAGAAAACCACTTATTTTAATGACCCCAAAATCTTTGCTTCGACTCGCCGAAGCTCAATCTCCCCTTTCGGACTACGCTAAAGGAACTAGATTCCAAAGGTAAATATAACTTATTTTTCTTCAGAATAACAAAACACAATTCAATTTTCAGAGTTATACCTGAAAATGGTGTAGCAGCAGAAAATCCTCAGAAAGTACAGAGGCTAATTTTCTGCTCTGGAAAAGTGTATTATCATCTAATAGGGGAGCGTAAAGCAAAATCTGATATTGCTATCTCTAGAGTGGAGCAAATTTCTCCTTTCCCATTTGATCTAGTTAAGGCTGAAATATTGAAATATCCCAACGCTGAAGTTGTATGGGTTCAAGAAGAACATAAAAACATGGGTGCTTGGTCTTATGTTGAACCAAGATTTTTGACCGTAATGAAAAACTTGCAAAAGGAACCACAAATAAGGTTGTAAAGTTAATTGATTTTGTGCAACATAAGTATAACTTACTTTTATCATTTTTATTAGGTATATTGGTCGCCACTGTTCACCTTCAACCGCTACTGGATATAAAGCATATCACATAAGAGAACTTGGCCAATTTTTGCAAGATGCAATGAAATTAGAATAGAAGGTGATTAATTACCAATTCAAGTGTGCTGTCATCTGCAGAAGTTTTTCTTTACTTTCGTTTTGAAAAATGAAGTAACAACTAATAAAATACGTCTTTTAAATCCCAGAGGGATCTTAAATTGCACAAAACCTGTATTTTAAAGTTGAATTTTTATGTATTATTTCCGTTTGAACTAATATCATCACTATGTTTCTCAAATTTTAAAAGAGAAATTTCACCGATTGATTTTACAACCTGTACATTGAAAGTCTATCGAACTTTGATGAAACTAGCATAAACTTGATGGCTTGAAGTTAGACATACTAATAAACAAGAAAACAAGAGTGACTTCTAAATTCTCTCCTAACTAATTACGCTCTGCTTATTAGTGGCTTAAGATTTAATAAATCAGAGAGTCTCTATAAAAAGAAATTTAAATAACAAGAGATACTTTTTTAGAGATTTTAATAGAGCTTTTTTTTATAAGTAATATTATATTAGAAAAAGACTTGTTGTCGATTAATTCAACGGAAGAAGACTTTGAGAAATGTAAATAATATAGTTTTATTGACAATATTTATTATAAATTACCATTCTATTTAGAGTTCTATTGAGTTTATTCATAATATTATTGGTGACTTCAAATGAAGAGTAACTGTGTATATGATCATCTATTTATGATGATCGTTTTTTTTTCAAGTTGAAAAGATAATATTTAGTATACATTTTAGTGTGTCCACTATCTTTAAAACTGGAATTCTCATCATTTAAATAATCTATACGGCCACTGTCTAAATCTTCATTTGTTGTCTTATGTGATGTTTTTTCACTCTTTCGATATTCTGTCGCATGGCTGTCTGTCTCTGTACCTTGAAATTGAATTTCTTTAGTGTCACTCTCGGCTTGATTAGTTTCGTTATCTACATACGCTTGGGGGGGAATGTTACGATTTGCATCGTCCTTATTCGAAAACTGGGCTTCAGTTATTTTCTGCACTTCTTCAGGACTCGATTGTTTACTTAATGATTTATCTCTTGATTTTCCTCCACTGTATTTGGAATCATTTTCGCAAATAATGTCACCATCACTTCCTCGACTGAAATCATTTTGTTCCAAGTTGTAAACTTGCGAGGATTCCTTCTGATTTTGTTTCTTTGCAATAATTGGAAGTCGAATGGAACTATCGAACAAACGCTTCGAATTTTTCAATTTTTCGACTAGTTTCTTGAGAGTTATGGCCTCGTTTTCGGTTAATTTGGTGTAATCGAGCGGTTTCGGTATAATTAACTCTCCATTGGAGCACTTAACTTTTAATCCAATAGCCTTAGAAGACAAAGTTTCAAAGACCAATCTGTCGGCTGTCTTTACGTCTGAGAGATTAAAGACAGCAGGTTCGAAGTCTAAGAACAATGGAGAATGTTCACACTTATGTAGTAGATCATTTAATAGTGTTTTCTCTTCATTAGGTAGACTTGTAGTGTTCATTTTTATTTTAAGTATTATTTTACAATTATCACTTTCCTCTACGCAAATATCTGGAATTGTCCTAAATAATTGGACAACAGCTATTCTTTCAACGTTTGTTAAATTCTCTGTATTAATAATTTTAATAATTTGACTACAATCAGGGCAATCAATCTCTTGACAAGAGCAATTAAACGTTGTAGATGAAATTGGAAAAGACCATTTAACGTCCTTCTTTTCTTCTTCATCTTCTTGTGATTTTATTGTGCTTTCTTTGCCTGATTTTTTTATTTCGCAACTCTCCGATACCGTCGGTTGCTGACCTCTATCTTCAGAAAGTAGTATTGTACTGCCATCTTTCTCTAGAACTAAGAAAATAGAATTGACATTTAAAAACGATTCTAATTGTTAATGATAAGTTTTTAGGATTTATTCTACCGTTATTTTTCCATTGTTGTTGACCAGTGTCTGTAATTTTATATCGAGCAGGCATTGAATAACTTCTAACTTGCTTATTTTCTTCTAACTTAGGAACGGGCAATGATTTTCTATATTGAATCTCTGCTTTATCTTTAATATATTTCTTTCGTTGTTTAAGATCAAAATCATCTTTTCCGCCTTCAAGCCTCTTGTGATTGGACTCAAATTTGTTCAGTTCCTCCAAGGAAACTGTCTGAAGGTGTTGACCTTTATTACTAGTCGCATTGCCTTCAGTAAAGGGGACAGACGTTTCAGTTTCTGCTCGGATGCCTATTCGTTCGTTCGAAAAGGGCTGTTGACCTTCTGTCCTTTCACTCTTTGCCATTGACTTGGCATGTAATGTAACATTTTTTCTCGTATCCAATAAATAGATTTTTCCACAAGGCAATTTAATGGGTGTCGTCTGATCACAACCAACGTAAATAACATCGTCTTCCAATTCTTTATGAGCTAATTGATTAGTACTAGGCCTATCTGATTGGTGGCTATAAGCCGGAGGCGGACCATTTTTCTTGCATTCTCCGCTCTCACTCTCTTCAGCATCTTCAATGTCGTTCTTAGCTCTCAAGCTTTCTTCATACCCTTTTTGTTCCGCTTTTATCAAATACTCATCTTTGTCTTTTACGTTTACCCTTTCATTCATTTTTGGTTTACAACTTGTAGAAGTTTTAGCCCCGTTATCTGAGATTATAACATCTCTGTGACAAATTTCGCGCGAGCTATCAGCAGTTTTTAAGTGAATATTTAAATTTGTATGAATATCCCATTCCATTTTGAGGGGAAAGCTGTTAAATATTTCTTTTTGCTGAGGAAGTGATTTAGACTTTTTCCTACCTTTTCCACCCCTTTTCCTTTTATAGTTTCTGCTCTTTGATCGCTTTTTATCAAGCAATTTCTTTTTATTCATTACGGAGTCTTCATCATCCTCGTATCCCTTTAACGATGAAACCTCGCTGAACACAGTAGCGTCTTTGTCAAAAGCTTGTTTTTTATTTTCAGGTTTTAGAATGCTTCGCTTAAACTCTGTTGGAGAACTTCTGTGTTCCTCATTTCCCAGTCTATTCTTTTCATTATTACTACTTGTCAGTAGAAACTTGGCATTTCCCTTTTTACAAGCTTCAGATTTATCTGTATTATTAAGATGATTAGCTTTTGTTTGTCCTACTCTTCTCTCTTCATCAGTCTTCCGAGCGTTGCCAGGGAGGAACGAACGTATAGAACCTTCACCTATAATTTAAAAGAAGAATAAATAAATAAAACATTTTTGCATAAAAAGCATAAAAGATAAAATTAATGGAAAATTGATAATAAAATACTTTCCCTCTTCGTTAAGGCTTTGACATTCATCTTTTTCCGCTTCATCTGCTTGTAATATAAAGAAAAGAATTACATTTTATGGTTTATATTTCATTAGCATTGCTTTCCTTTCTATTATTAACTAAAAGAAATATACCTGATAATAGCTCTAGTAATTGATTTATTGATATCCTATTACTTTCTATAGCTTGGCTTATTTGCAAGAGAGCGTTATGCGCTCTTAAAATTTCGTATTCCTTCTCCTTTAACAGTTTATAAGCTAATTGGATAGTATAGCAACTCTTTTTTGTTGATATTTCAATTATCACAGTGATTAAACTAATTATTTGATAAAAAAGAGAAAATAATTTATAGCTTTAAACTTAATGAGTAACTTTTAACCTTCCAGAAAGAACTGTTTTTATACAATTACTTTTGTATCTTCTCTCGTATCCTTCACTATCGCATTCTGGTTGGATTGCAATATCACCCCATATCTCATCCTTAACCTTGCGAAAGATTATCATCATTCTTCTCCATTTACTCGAACCTTCGTTTAGACCTTTACATAGGTTGGTTGGCTTAATTAAAACATGTACTGGAGCGTCTAAAGGTAGAATAAATTGAGCATCTATTTCAATTTCGCTAGTAGGTGGTTGATATGACGGGTTTCCTTTTGATAAGAAAATATTCTGTATCAACTTATTGCAGTTTGGATATTCATCTATGTTTATGTTATCTCGAATCATGATCAATTTATCAATTACGCTTTTCAGGGCATCTAATTTTGTGGTTTAAGACTAATTATTTTCTCTAATTAGACTAGACTTTGGTACAATAATTGACCTAATTTTTCCATTATACAACATCAATATTAGTGTCAAACCACACCCCTTGCGTATTAAAAGCTATTTGATTCTCTATAGTTTCAGTTGAAGATAAAATGGAAACATCTTTAGACGACGATGATGATAGAGCGGGAACATTTTCAATTCCGTTCTCTCTAATAAGCGTTTCCTTCCAGATAGGCCTACCAGTTTGTGGGGACGTTGTAAATTGTTCCTTGTCCTTATCTGTTACTTTTTCTGATCTACTTTCTCGCTTTTCCCTTTTAGAATTTAATAATCTATTATCAGATTTGAACTGACAATAATTTCTACAGCACTTGAGTAGTTTCTCGTCCCTTTCTATTTCCTTTAAAAGCTCATTTACTTTCTTGCAACATTGAGAGCCTTTTTGTTTCTCATAACCTATATAATTTTAAAGTCTATGTATATAGATATATATATACTGTATATATTACTTATTAATCTACTTAAAGTATCAATCTGACATAAATATAATGATGACTACTGCTTTATTAGAAAATTTTACCTTCATTTGTTACTCTAAACTCCTTCATCCTCCTTATTCTTAAAGGCCGATATTCGTTATTCATTTTATTAAGGCGTCTAAGTAATTTATCGGAATACTGTCTCTTATTCGTTGTCTCGTTATCGATATTTAAGTTCTTGCCGTCCATAATCTCTTCATGATATTTTTTTTTCCCTTTATTTAAAAATTCCTTTCATTTTGTATTATCTTTTAACCAAATATTTAAATTTAATTAATGATGTTAATTATGGTGTTTTTTTTTAATGACGAAAAAAAAAAATTAAATAGATCTCTTTAGAAGATGAAAAACCTCCTCTGCCCCCTCCCCCTTCTATAATACTGTATATACAAAAAACAGGGATTGCTCGATAGAATACGTAATGGATATCGACGTCTATCTTACATACATATCACGCTTTTCAATGTAAACAGTTAAATAAGGTTCAAATTAATGGTATTTATGGGTTCTTTTTCCTTACTCTATTTACTTTATACAGTTGAAACCAATATAAAATTATATAACAAATAGAAGCTTTTAACGATTTTGTACAATTTTAATGAATAAATTTAAACATTTAATTTCTTTATTTAAAAGTTTATTGTGACGAAAAAATTGTTTTGATGTAGTTTTTTTTTCTTCTTCTATGTTTCTTTCTCTCTTTATTCATTCATTTTTCTTTTATTATTCAACTGGAATGTCTGCAGGGATGCTTAAGAAAGAAGAAAAAAAAGACATGCTAAAATTATGTTTATTTCTTTCTTCCCACTCTTCTAATGTTTCCCAATTGGAGTCTTTGAACTAATTTAGAAAAATCCATTGTTACTTCGTCTTGTTTACTGTCGATTGTCTTTAATTCTTCTTTATCAATCTTGAAGATAGAGTGAAATCAAATAGTGGGATATATAGTCAATAATGAATGGAAATTACTTACTTTAAAGACCCAGGATAAGTATTTTAGCATAGTTTCTATCTCGATTTCAGGATCAACGATAGAGAAAGCTTTCTTCAGAGATTTCACGCTAACAGGGCTAAATAAAGAAGGAGTAGAAGATGAGCGAATAATTTAAAGAACTATGAATAATTTTTTTTCTATAATAAAGCAACTAAGTGGATAAAGCTTTTGAATCTAATTAACTCTAAGGTATGGTGTAAATAGTACAAAACTGTTTAATACATATTAATACTATAAAGGTATACAGTATATACAAAAAAAGGGCGAAATACCGATATTGTAAGGAACTAATTAAAGAAAAATATTAGAACGGAAAACATCATTCTTTATAAGTAGTCATTAATATCTTATCCAAAGAGGTTAAAAGAGCTAAGCAAAAACAGAAGGGGTTATTCCGTCCTAATATTTCGTCTTATTCATAAATATTTATATAAATATATAAAGCAGAGATTAATACGTATTTATCATCGTTATCGATATCATTACTCATTTATTATTCTACTATTTCTAAGCCTATATAACGATTGAATTTTATCCTAGGAGAATATTCATCTTTTTACCGCCTGGGTTAGGCCTATATACCTGTGTTTCTTTATAACAGATCCATCTCGTTTTCTTTTAACAAGTTCATTGATTTGTTAAAAAAGAAAAATTTTTTGTTGTTTAAAAAAGAAAAGAGAAAAAGAAAAATTATTGAAGAAAAATTCGAGAAGAAGAAGAAAAAAAATTTTTATAAAAAAATTTAATCATGCAACTTTCAGTTGAGTTTTCCTGTAAAAAGAGAGAAAAGAAAGAAAATCGATTGTAACTCACTTTTCATCTTTTAGTTCCGTTTTTAAATCATCTACATAATTCATTCTTTCAGTTTTTAGTAGTTTCAATATTTCTTCGCAAAAAGTTCCCATTCTGCCTTCATCGTCTTCCGTGAACAAATTACTATAATTAAAACCTTCTGAAGAATCTTTAGGCATATCAAGATCGCTAATAGCCGCCTTAATACAATTAGAGATTTCATCATCATTCCAGCTAGGAAATTGCTCTTTGAGAACTTCTTGAATCTCTTCACGATTTAATTGGCCGCTTCCTGCATTGTTTGAATCAACTTTAATAAAAGCACTTCTAATATTCTCCAACAGTTCGTAATCGTAATGGTACAACTCTTCGTCAGCCTATAAAAAGATACAGTTTTTTTTTGTTTCAATATGAATATGGTTTATACTGAATTTAAAATCCCTTACATCTCCGCTTAAGATAAAACCAAACAATCCAATCTTTTGGTCGTGGCTGTATCTTTGGCAAGCATCTCTCATATTATAGGCCCACTCAGCTACCATGGATTCGGCAGGAAATCGACTGTTTAAGTAATCCTTGACAAAATCTGCCATATTACTTCTAATATTATCATCGTTCTCACTATCCTTAACCATTTTTTGTCTCCAAATATCTTTTATTAATAGGGCAGCGTCCCTCTTTCCCAGCCTTCTATTACGAACCTTTCCTTCGTATTGTAAATAGCTAGGTATAAGCTCGCTCGTTCCCAAACCGTCAAAATATTCAGCTCCCGTATTGTCGGAAGAAGCGGCTCCGGATATTTCATTAAGGAGAACCTTAACCTTCTGCTTGCTTGTTTTTCCATCTGACAATTGTTTCCAACGAGTGGCCCCACCAGCAACATAATCGGCACAAGATTCCCAGTCTGGACGAGGTGTTGCGCTTCTACGCAAACTTTCAGCATTAACAAAGTATTCATCTCTTTCTTCTACAGTCTTCTTGTAGAGATCATCCTGGATTCTAGGTACATTTTAATAAATTACTATTCATTTTGTTAATAATATGCAATAGTCCTTACTGGCGTTCCTTAAGGGCAGTATTAAAGTCCGCTTTCAATTTTTGGTGAAGAGCAATTATATCCTAAATATTTAGAAGGATAAATAGAAATAAGACAATGATATTATCTATTCTATAATAGCCCATTTACCTCGTAATCCTTTTGCAATTTTTCCATGTTTCTTCTCGGAATAACATCGCCGTAATTAGCAATCATTTCATTGAGTCTTTGAGTAGCTGAAGCTTCATCTCTTCTAGCTTGTCTTTTTTAATTAAAAAAAGAGGCTAATTTAGCATTCAACTCGAAAGGTTTAAAGTAACAATCATGTCAATAAATTGCAAGTATTTAAACAATCTTATAGATATATATGTTTAATACATATATATATAGTATATGCAAATCCGCTATCTAATTAATAAATATCATGCATATAATAAAACATATAACTAAAAACTATAAAAGCGTTACATTTTGATCCTTCATGTATATAATCAAAACCAAAAATTGTATATACATGATATAGAAAAGCTGGTGAAAATCGATATTGAAAAAAAGTAGGAGACGCTTAAAAAAGACGTTTCCAAAAATAAAAAAATTAATATATTCTAAATTTTTGATAAATCTCACTCTGATATGTCTGTAAAACTGTCTGTTTCCATTGAGATGCTAGATCTTACATGAAATATACATAAGATATATAAACACCAAAATCTAATGTAAAATTATACTTTAAAAAGTTAAAAGGAGACAAAAAATTCTAGTAATCCGTTATCACATTATTCTTTGCTAATCCCTCTTCTTAAAGAAAGAAAGAAAGAAAGAAAGAAAGAGAAAGGCATCGGAATATTAAAATATATGCAGTCGCTTAATTATTAAGAAAGACTATTTAATATCTTAAAGCTGAATTAAATTCAATATGATCTTTGTTTAAAGAATAATTTACAACTTACTGTAACGCAGTTCTTAGGAAGACTGGATCATTCTTTAACTTTTCTTCTTCATCTTCCTCCAAATCGGGATTCTGTTTCATACTATCCTCTTGTTCGTAACGTAGATTATTATATTCGGTTATAAGTAATTTACGTTCGTCACATTCATCTCTATATTGTAGATACTGTACGGCCAATTCGTCCTGAAGTTTTTCAACTTGAGATTTCAATTCTAATTTTTCATTGTTTATTTCCGATATTTTCTGATATAGACGGCTATTTTCCCCTTTCAAATCTCTAATTTCTATAATTTAGGTTCGAATTAATATTTTATATTATTATTTTAATATTTCAAATTAAAGATAAAAAAAACACAGCAATAAAGAATAATTAAAAGAGGAAATCAATTATTTTTCTTCATAAAAAACGATAATAAATTACCTTGTTTCTCTTCATCTCTAATAGCCATAATTTTCTGATCGCATTGTTCTGAAACCGTAACAATCATTTGCTTCAGAGGTTCTAATTGTCTAATTACATTTCTCTGATAGCTAAGCATCATTTCATATTCATTCTTAATCGCTGACAGGAGAGGCCGATAGGTGCGAAAGTCTTCAATTAAGTATTCAAAAACTTCTCTATGTGCTTGCAATCTTAATTCACTTGGGCCTACTTCGGTAACGCCTAGAGCTTGTAATTCCTTTTTTAGATATTTTTCTAATTGTTCCAAGAATTTAGGCTTTGGAACATGAGATATTGTTTTCCCACTTGATTCATCAGTAACCTTTAATTGTTTATCTTTTGTCAAGCTAACAGCTATTGGAACTGTACGAGAATTATTTGCATGAGCTGGCCAAGTATCTAAAGCTCCTGATTGAGTGTCGACGTAGGGCTAGGATCATTAATCAAATACATTATTCATTATTTCGTCTATATAATCGTATAAAAATATATCAATTCTATTTATACAACATATATAAACATTTCTTGTCAGATAAATTACTTTAGATATTTGATTTAGGTAACAATATGAAACTTTTTTTTTCTACCTTCATTGTGGATGGCGGTGGAAGTTTATATTTGACATCGCTATTTCCAATTTTATACGATGTGGACTTCTTGCTGGTGGGCGAATTTGGAGAATTTTCATCTCTAAACAATCATCAAATAATATAACTTTTAAAATATAACTTTCCATCTACTTTTAAGATACATACGGTGAAACAGGAAATAATCTAGCTACAACCATATGATCCGCCATTATTTCAGTTTTAGAATTTCTTCTTTCTTATTAAAAAAAAACTAAATTGAAATAATTTTCGTAATCTCTCCTTTTCATTTATTTTTCCGCCATGTTAAGCTGTTGCTGTGGTAACATTAATACCGCACTAAAAATTTAGGAATTGAATTTTACAACTTGATTCTTTTTCTAGCTCTGTAATAATTTTAAATACTAGTTTAAAAAATTAAAAAAAATTACAGTTTACATAACCGGAAATCAATCCTGGCTGCCACCATATTGAAATCAATTTCAATCCGCACGTTTATTGAAACTGTGAAATAATTGTTGGGCTATATTATTCTCTTAATAATATATAACTATAAATTGACAATAAGAAATTCCTGTTAGCGAATGGAATCGGATATTCTATCAGTAGCTGATTCTCGAATTGCTGACGCTAAAGCAAAGGCTAGACCTGGTTTGTTTCCCTTCGTTCTAGAATATTCTAAAAATACTTTCTCTTTATATTACTCTTAGAATTACAATGCTTCTCCATAGGCAAGTGTAGAATAAGATTTTATATCATTCAATTAACGCTTCAAACAGCCATTATCTTTTTTCTAAATTCGACAAATTATTATTCAATCCATATTATTTTTATTGAATAACATAATTTAGAGCTAATTATTGACTTAATATGCCTTCTGCAGATGTTTATCTTCAATAATCAATGATGAATTGAACCACTTGTACATTAAATTCAATATTACTTTTTATTATTCCTCTTTGCATAGAAAGAAGCTTTTGTAATTTCAGTTTTTTTTCTAAAAGAAATAAATTTTGTGTGATCTGTGATAAATTAACTTCATCTTTTCTTACGACAAACAGAGTTACAAGGTGACGAAGGTTGGACAAAGTGTAATTATTATGAAAAGTTTGATTTATCATGGGAGCATATCGATGACACTCTGGAACGAGTAGATGCCAGAGTAGTTTCGGAAGAAGAGTTTATTGAACGATTCGAGAAACCTTATAAACCAGTAGTTGTAAGCCATGGACAAGATGGCTGGATGGCAGCTGAAAAGTGGACCTACCCTGTAATTATCTAAAACATAAAATATATATCATGACAAATTATAATTTTTTTCCAGCGACTGGCAAAGAAATATAGAAATCAAAAGTTTAAGTGCGGCGAGGACGATGATGGATATTCAGTTAAATTGAAAATGAAATACTTTGTTAAATATGCAGCTGATCAGAAAGATGATAGTCCATTATACATTTTTGATAGCAGCTTTGGAGAGGTACTGCAAATATAAAACTATTTCTATATGCATACAGTATTTCTCTGTTATAGCATTCGAAAAAGAGAAAAATATTAGAAGATTATCAAATACCGAAGTATTTCAAAGATGATTTGTTTAAGTATGCCGGTGAAGCCAAAAGACCACCTTATAAATGGTTTGTAATGGGTCCTGCTCGATCGGGAACTGGAATACACATAGATCCTTTAGGAACAAGCGCATGGAACGCTCTTGTTAAGGGTCACAAACGGTTTGTCTCCTCTGAATATTTCCTCATCAAATAATTTGAATGTCGAATAACTTTTTTGTAGATGGTGCCTTTTTCCTACAAACACACCTAAGAAACTGTTGAAAGTGGCTTCCGGAGTTGGGGGTAAACAAAGAGACGAAGCTATAACATGGTTTCAGCATGTTTATCCTCTAACTCAAATGCCTGAGTGGCCTGCTGAATTTAAACCTATCGAAGTAATTCAGAAACCTGGAGAAACCATGTTTGTTCCTGGCGGATGGTGGCACGTTGTTTTGAATCTCGATGAGACAGTGGCAGTAACTCAAAACTTTTGTAGTGTAACGTCTTTCCCTGTAATATGGCATAAAACTCTTCGAGGACGTCCAAAATTAAGCAAACGATGGTATGAAGCCTTGAAAAGGTTTAAACCCCACTTGATACCGATTGCTGATGCAGTCGATTTGTCCAAAAAGACGCATGTCGTTAGCGACTCTTCGTCATCGAGTGATAGCAGTTCGTCAAGCTCGGATGCGGAGAGCATAGACTCTGATAGCGATTCGTCGGTTGGTAGTGCCGTGGGGATAGCACCATCACCGAACTCTTCATTGAGGCCCGCGGCTAAGAGAAGGTAGATGAGAGATATTTTTTATTCAATTGTTTGAAATTTTCAATTTATAGAAAGAAAGGCCCGGAAAGGTGCAAAAGTCCATCCGGATGTTCATGCAACTCAGACAAAGTTACAAACTAATGAGAGAGTACTCGGGGAGGAAGACTGAACAAACATTACTTTCTTAAATGGTCTCCGAGAATGAAATTGTACACGTCAAACCAGAGTAACCTAATTGAATAAAAAGTCTATTTCGTTCATCTTTTTATCCGTTGATCCTATGGCATTTTAAAAATTTTTTTTGCTGTCTAAGTGTTCTAGCATATTACGTATTGTTTTTATAACATAATCATCTAGATGTCACTAGTCCCGCTTAATATTGCTCTAGATATTACATATTGAATATGTCAAAAAAACAAATTGTTTGAGGTAATACTTCTCATTTTAGTTCATAAAAATGGCGGCTTTGGTTGCCTCCCTATAATATAAGTAATAAACGATATTTTCTGTGGAAGCAATTTAATATTTCAAAACTCAAGATTCTGCTGTCGCTCTATAAAGTAGTAAGCAATGGCCCTGGAAGTATTGGGCAAAAGACTCCTTACAAGGGCCACAACTAACGAGGTAGTCTTTTAAATTATGTTACTTTAACTCCTATATTATCATTTATGCTCTCTAAGACCGTCGAAATGAAGGAGCTTTGGTCTAACAGGAACGCTGTTATTTACTTCTTAAGACGATTCGGATGACAAATATGTAGGCTTTATGCTAAACAGGTTCGCCTAAATATATGAAGGACGGACAGATCTATTAAATTAGGTATAAAATATTAAACGTTTCAGCTATCTGAGATTGCAGAGCTACTTAGACGACATAATACTGTTATCGTTGTTATTGGCGTAATGGAAGACGCTGGCAGCTTTCAAAGTTTTATGGATGGTAATTACCTAGACGGAGGTAAACGCTTTCGAAGAGAATTTTTTCCATCTCATTATATTGTAATTAGCATTCTCTTTACAGAGGTTTACACAGGCGATGAACAATTGTATCAGGACATAGGCTTTAAGCCATATTCATGCTGTGGACTTTGCTGTCTAGCGTGTACGTGTTGTTGTAGATCTGCCGTTCGTTCACAAATGAAGGGAATTCGAGACAATAAAATAGATGGTGATTTAGTTGGAAATCCTTTCAGGAATGGAGGAACTCTTATTATAAAAGATAACCAATTACTTTTAAGCCACATTCAGGAAACAGCGGACGACCACGTTGAAGTTATCCAAATTGTAAACATACTTGGTCTCACCCTGGATCAGTCTCTAAAAATAGTTACTAAGCAACCGAGGACAGTTTGTAATGACGAAGTTTGTCGGATTAGAAGAGATTAATTTTCATAGTATCTCCTTCGGCAGGAAGATTTTTAAAGAGATTAGCATCTACGTATCGATGATGAAAAATAGTTAAATCCTTTTAAGGAATCTATTTTTTTGATGTTTAACGTATTTTGGCTTATCTCTTAAAAATCTTTATATGATTTATAGTATTTCTGTTAAAAATCAAAAATTTCTCTTTATCGTAAGGTAACTTCTTTCTAAAACATTGTTTTTGATTAAACAAATAAAAAAGAAATTAGCATAAAACTATTAGAAGTACTGTATTAAAATTCTACTATTTCTAAAAATTCTTAAACATCAAACGGTGCTTTAATGCTGCATAAGTATAGACGAAGCACTTTCATAAGCTTGTAATTAATTGAATAACACCGCAGATTTTGCGTACGGCAGCAATAAAAAAAATTCAAAACAAAAGCCACCGTTATAACTCAGACAACTGCTTTGAAGCTTTCTTTTTTTAACATTTTTAGCCTGTTTTTTAATTAGAAAAAAAACGCCGGAAACGTACACACTCAAACGGGTTTATATCTTGCTCTACAGAGGAGAACGCGTGTATTTCTTTCTCTGTACCTAAATCGTTTTTGACAATAATAACGTAATCTTTTTCAATCTTTAATATACTATACAATGGAAAAAGAGAACAACGAGTAACATTGCTATTTTTTTATCATCTCTTCTTCTTACCCCTCCTCCTCCTCCTCCTCCTCCTCCTCCTCCTCCCCCACCTCCCCCTCCTCCTTCTACCGTCACTCCCATTTTTTTGCTGAATTAATTATATGGCTAGTGAAAAATATTACCAATCTTTTCCGTTTTTTACAAATTCTACTTGAAAAACTTTATCAATTATCAGTAAATGATTTTCGATCGATTACACACAAGCAATCCTTATTTAGTAATTGATACTTTAATAAAAGGTTTGTTATTAACAATATGAATAAGACATTAGAAATATAGAATATACAGAATAAATGAGTCTGAAAATTCTTTAATATTTTTCTCTTTTCTTAAAAGAAAAGCTTTTGAATTTTCTCTTTCTGTTCCACTTTTTAATATCATCTTTGCCAAAAATAGAATACAATATACAAAGTTATTAGTAGGCAAACAATGTCAGCTAAAATCTTGGGTTTTTCTTTTAATAAATATCTTTACTATTTAAAGCCTCTTTACCGACTTTTGTATCTGCAGTTATTAAAAATACAGATGGGAGATGAGAGGAAATTTCCAGATTTAACTATCTTATATGTCTCTAAAAAGGGCTGTTTTTTTTGTAGGCAATTTTGTATAAGTCTATAAATCTATGGTAAGATTTCTTGAAAATTTCTAAGGATTTCTGTTTAGAAATGGTATTTTTTTTATCTTTTAGTTACTCTGTCATATATTAAAACTAGTAAATACCATAAATATACTATAAAGCAGATTTGCGGTAATCTACATTTGTTAATCCATTCACCATTCTTTTAGTAGTAATATATTCAACCAATAATTGGTCCATCCCTCGTTTCTCTGAGGTCGTTTACCATTGATCGATTGACTGTTTGTGAGTCATCATCAGTCTATACATCAATAAGAATAATATTTTTAAGGAATATACATTTTCCATACATTGTTCAGTGTATATTTGTAAAGATAGACAAGCTTTGATATTAATTATTCATATTTTCTTTTTGAAGAAATCTTCTCTTCCTTTGACTTTTATCCCTTTAAAAAAATGACGGTTCAAGATTCATTAATTCGATCTTTTTCATCTTTCATCTATCCCATATGTTTTGTGAACCATCGAAGCTCAACGATTAAGCTAGTTAGCTTTTTAAGTCATGTTTTAGCGAAAAGAACGAGGCAAGTAGAGGCTTCATTTTATATCCACTAAAATACTACCGATAAGTTAAAGGATCTTCCCTTCGCTCCCTCCTTCTTTATTCTCTTTCTTTGAACATTCCATTAATTGATCTCGCATCGTTTCGTGATTTTCCTTGATAATCGAGACTCTTCTATTAATGAGTAGAGATTTAATTCTATTTCTATTATTCATTTAAACAATCATGTTTCCATACATATAGACTAATAAAATACATAGATTTTCTAACAGAAAAAGAAGAAGAAGAAGAGAATGTGTAGATTTACCTAAGAAATGAAAACGTGTAAAACCAAATAATTAATTGCATACACTCCACTTATACATTTTCGATAGATAGAAGAATTAGGACAGCAGTAAGCAATTAGCCCTTTAGGGGAATTTTCTTTTTTAAAACTATGACGTATGTCTTTGATTGAAACTAACGGAAAAATTGCGTGAGCAGGTTTTTTCTTTTTTTTTTGGCATGTCTAGTAATTGACAGCTAATTTAATATTCAGTTCTTCAAAACACCGAGTAAATAAAAATAAGCAGGAAAAATTAATAAATTAATCTAACTAAATGTATTGCTAATTAGTGCGATTCTTCTCTTATTACTCATACATTACTTTGTAAGCTTAAAATGTTATATAGTCTATTCTATAAATTTATATATATATTGTTAATATGATATGTATGAATTTATTGTATGAGTTTGATATATTGAATATACTTTATTCTTTATTTCTGTGGTTTTATAGAAGGGTTTCTCAAGTTGAAATCGTTTTCGATTAAATTTTCTAGTGGGGTAACAAATGGCAAGTCATTAGTAAGCGAATAATTTAATTAAATTCTCATACGGAAGGGGCTTTAATTACAATTTAACAGTAAGGTGAAGTTCAATGAATCAGTATGCTTAAAATTCTAAACATGGGTAGTACAAATTGCAGTGAAAAAGAACTATTTCCTGCTATACACAGCAAAAATAATAAGGTACGGCATTCCTGACTCATATTGTTTTATCAGCAATATTGTGAAATTCAATGCAAAAGGGCACCCGCCATGTTTATGTCATGGTGATATTATTCATTGTACCCCGTCTCCACAGTATATAGATATATGTATATAAGATATATATATATTTATTCATTTTAGCTGAATTTATCATATAATTTAGCCGGCTTTAAGCATATGTCGAAGCAGTCTTCGAGTGGGCACCAGCGAACTGAGACTGATACATTTTCGGTATAAATTGATTTGCCACTACTTATTTAAGTGTTAGATTAGTTTCATAGATAATTTTCACTCTAAATATTTTGCTTAATGTCAATCTTTGATTAACATAATTAAATTAGCTGAGAAAATGTTTCATAGTTATTATTTCATATCAATTTTATGAGGAATGCACTCTTTCTTTGTTGTACTCTTTGTTTTCTTCTGAGAACCAGTCTGCGATCTTGAATTTCGTTGTTTCCTTGAAATAGATTAATAATTTTTAATACTATTTCTTCGTTTCTATTGCAAGAGATGACATCTTCTTTACTTTATTAACAGACTTAATGGATTTGTTCACAGAGCTTGACTAAATTTTCTGTCCCCATCAAAAAACACGTTTTTTTTTCGTTTTGCACTCAAAAGTATGGTTCGTAAGAAACGCAGGATTTCTGCTCTAGAATAAACACGCCCTTATTTTACACTTTGCTTTCTCAAAACAGCAACAAGTTGAATTACAACCTCTTAGAACAGGAGTTGATACCGTTGTTAGATATCAACAAGACAACAGAAATTCAATGGGAGACAGTAAGAAATGTCTAATCTTAACAGTGTCCGTCCTAGTGGCAATTGGATCCATTCTAATTTTGATACTTGTCCCACTAAGCTTTTCCGGAGTTGAATATTACGAGGTGACTAATTTTTACCAATTTTTCTATTACTATTCGAAATCCTATATGTTTGACATTTTGTATTTACGCAGTTCGCTTTCAAAAAGAGAAAGTCCACGGGATCTATCTACAGAGAGAAAGCATACGATGTTGGAAAGTATCATTTAGGTCCAGATTTTTCTTTTCTAAAATTCCCGGCTTATGCACAACACGAATCGCTTCATGTAACAATATTCGATTCTGGAAAAACCGAAATTACAATCCAAGCAAGGTTTCAATATTTCCTTAGAAAGGACTTATTAAAATATTTACATGGAAAATTCGGCATGGGATATAAGCCTATCGTAAGGAAGAATGCTATAAATGCGCTGAAAAATACTGCAACGAATTTTGCTCTTCGTCAGTTTATTCTAGAGAGGAGTATTGTAGAAAAAGAGTTGTTTCAGCGTATCAAAACTATTCTTGGAGGAGAATGTTGTGCACCCGATTGTAAAGAAAATTGCAAGTGTATTCCCTATAAAAAATGCACGGAAGACGATTTCGGAACTTTCGTAGACGTCCGATTTTTTCAATTGCTTAGCGTTAAGCCTCCGCCGGGGAGACAAGTTAAAAAATTATCTTCGTTAGTTTTACCAGAACAGACTGAGGTTGAAATTATAAAGCACGACGCTAAACAAATTAGATTAGAAACTGAAAAGGAGGTGAATGAAATTGAAAATTCAGCCAATGAAATAAAAATGAACGCAACGGCCGACGCCGATTATCTAAAAGCTAAAGCTCAAGCCGAAGCCGCCGCCATGATTGAAAAAGCTCGATATGACGGATTAAAGAAGTTTTACGATACTGTCGGATTGTCAGACGCCAAGCAGAAAATCGCTTTCGATTATTTGAGATCGGTTCAGAAAAGCGGTAACACTCGCCTCAAAGTTAATTTTGATAAGATGGTAGCCATACTCAACGATAAATAGAATTGACTAAAAGACATTATTGTAGTGATTATTATTAATTGTCTATACTGCTTTTCTTTTAAAATAAAAGCGTCTACCTGTCGATATAAGTGCCTAGAATCGATGATATTTGCCGCTCAATGCTCTCAAGAGCCCCCTAGCGGTTCTGTACTCTCTTCACTTTCGCATCTAATATGGATACCGAAGAGGAGGAAAATTCGGTTAAGGGAAAATTAATGCAGGTAAAACTTTCTTTTTCATTTTACTTTCCTTACCTGACAAGGTGAAGTGAGGAGCCTTTTCAGTTTGAGTGACCGGAATGAAGAAAAATTAAAAAGGAAAGGAAAACGTGCGAGGTCCTTGGTTACGCTTTGTACATGTAAATACGCGTATTTCTTATACATTATATGTTTACACGCAATTGATGACGTCATAAGCGTCTTCTAGGTGCGCGAAAAGTTTGGCGAGGTTAAGCTTGCCTAAGGCCGCTCAATTTACAGCCTAATCAAGTACGCTGATAAAGTTAGCAGGCGTTCCAACTGGCTTTGATGATCGACTTTTTTCGACGGTTGAAAACGCTTTTTCTATTCTATACAACAATTAGTCGATCCGTAATTGACACTCTTCTCTCTGGCAGGATTACAAAGAAGAGAACGAGAAACCGGAAGAGAATGGCAAATCAAAGTTCGATTTCAAGATCGATATTTACATTCGAAAACACAGTTTCAGGGGTAAAAAGTATGAGAACTTTATACTTTTTTGTATAATCTAGAGAACGACTGAAACGTGCCTTAAAGCAAATTGAAATTCCACCGTCAAAGTTAGTTAATCGAAATGAATCGAACGAGACGGTCGCCCTCGCGCGACCAATCAGTAGAATATCGATCGACGTCTTTCGAGGCGTCAAAATGGCATCCGTAGATGACCTGCTATTATTCGAAGATCGGACTAGCATTAGGTTTTCGTAAGTAATTAAGGCCTACAGGGTGCGCTTTTTAACGAAATCGATAGGTCGATCTATAGATGCACATAATGGAAACATTTTAGTGTGAAACCTATTGCATGAAACGAAAGAATATTTTAGAAATATTAGAGAAATATTTAGATAAAAACATATCTATGAAATAGAAATGAGGCTAACACAGGCTAAAGACGCAGTTTATAGAAATTTAAGGCCACTAGAAGAGCTAAGGTGTTAGAATGAGTTCAATTCTTTCTGCAATTATGAAATTGACGCAGAGGAAGAAAATGAATTCTGAACAGAAGTCTGGAGAGTCGGTTATATAGCTTAGAGGTGAATCATTTTATTTGTACATTTCATCATCTACAGGACTCAAGTGAAACGGTATAGAGCTGACTTTCGCAAGTGCTGCCTATCTTCGTCGATTGTAATACTGCTTTTGTGCATAGTCGTCGTAGCCGTCGTATTGATTTTCCTCCTAAATAAACCGACAGGTATACGATTTACTTAATTATAGGTATTTTTGCATCTAACCAATACTACTTAACATGCAAATACTTAATTTTCTATTATTCAAACTAAAAAAGAATCCTTTGTTATTACATTAGATGAACAAACGCCGAGTTTCGTGCAAACAAAATTAGGAGAGATCAGAGGAAAGCGCGTTAAGTCACCACAGGGTGATGAGGTTATAGAGTACCTCGGCGTTCCGTTCGCAGAACCTCCGTTAGGCGAATTACGATATAACGACCCGCGACCTTTAAGAAAGCTGAAGTCGGATCCGTATGAGGCTTTCGACGTTAAATACGCATGCATTCAGTTTTTGGACACGACTACTTTTCCAAATTTCCCTCCCATGGATATGTGGAATGCTCAAAACCCTTTGAATGAAGACTGTCTTTATTTAAATATTTGGGTTCCTGGCAAGAAAAGGAAGAAAAAATTAACTGTTATGGTCTGGATTTATGGAGGGGGGTTTTACGGCGGGGCAAATTCTCTTTGGATCTATGATGGCAGAGCGTTAACAGCCTACGGCGACGTAATTGTCGTGTCCTTCAATTATCGAGTGGGTAGTTTTGGCTATCTCAGTACGGGTGATGGTAGAGTGTTGGGAAATTTTGGTATGAAAGATCAAGTCCTTGCATTAAATTGGATACAAGAAAACATAGCAGACTTTGGTGGTGATCCTGACGATGTAACTCTGTTTGGAGAGAGTTCAGGAGCTACAAGCGCTGGCTTACATATGATGTCACCTATGAGTGGTCACCTATTTAAACGTGCCATCTTTGAAAGTGGATCTCCTGATATTCATTGGGGCTTCATGTCGAAAAAGCAAGCACGTGAACGATCTAAAAAATTCTTTAAGGCTGTTAATTGCCCGGATGATGATCAAATTTTAACTTGTCTAAGGAGATTACCAGCCAATTTCATTCAAAATAACGAATGGGTTGACTCTAACTTTCTGGTCTTTCCTTGGGCACCGTCTGTGGATGGAACTTTTTTAACAGACACGCCCCATAATTTATTAAAGAATAAGAACTATACAAAGAAAGACTGCTTATTGGGTGCCAACAAAGATGAAGGAACTTTCTGGATTCTCGCATTAAAACATTTCAGCAAGGACACCGAAAGTTTACATACAAATGAAACTTTTTATGAAACTATTGACTTAATAGACCATGACTTGACGGACGAGTGGAGGACGAAGATCAAGCAAATGTATATGCCCAAAGATCAAACAGATGGCGCTGCCCTTCGCGACAATTTGGATAAAGTTTGCGGAGACCGAAGTTTTACATGTCCAACGTTCGATGTAGCAAACGTTTTTGCTCAAGAGTTTAATGAGCACTCCGTATATTTCTACTATCTTACTTATCGGGCGTCAAATGAGCAATGGCCACCTTGGATGGGCGTCATACATGGAGCAGAGATACAAGTAGGTTAAAAAAATATATTGTGTAAAGAGTATGATTAAGTTTTTTGTATATTCTAACAGTGGATATTCGGAATGCCATTGAACTCTTCGAGAAACTACACAAAGGAGGAAGTAAAATTCTCCAAAATAGTAATGGATTATTGGGTTAACTTCGCAAAAACGGGGTAATTAATAAAGATATTGTTAATTTAAACATACTAGAATTATTAACTCGTTTCTCTATTCCTTAAATAGAAATCCCAATAGTCCAAATCTTCCAGAATGGCCAAAGTATAATAAAGTCGAAGGAAAGAAAACATACTTGGAAATGAGGTCACCTGAAGATTTTATCGTTGGCGATGGTTTACGAGAAAGTTTTTGTAAATTGTGGGCATCCATTCATTTGGAACTTCAAACTTCCATTTAGTTCATCTGCTCAGATTATCGGCCTGCACAAATTAAACTCTAATTTACATATGCCACATCTATATATATATATATATGTATAAATTCATATATATATCTACTAATATATATATATATATATACTAATATATATATATATATACTGTATATATATATATATACTAATATATATATGTATATGTATAAATTTATATATGTATATATATGTACATATATATATAAGCGTCTACTGTATATATTTATGCATATACGTATTATATATGTATATATATAGATTATATAGTTTTCCTTCATTTTTTTTACTTATGTGTAAAGAAATTACATGCGAACTAGGCTCAGAGATGAAGCATATTAACTATACAAAAAAATATAGTGCAAGTCAATGAATTGATACATTGATAGTTGGATAGAAATAAACTACACAAAAATTGAGTCGATGGCATTAGCAATACATTTTCAGCAAACTTTTAATCCACAGCTGACGTATTATCTCGTTTTAGGAGGCTTCACGCAAGTATTAATAGTAAACGAAAAAAAGTACAGATAAAAATTCGCTTACTATTCAACGAATAACTAACACGTGTTTGCGCTTACACTTAACATATATACGGACACGCCCGAACTCTTCACCAACAATATCTCGACAACGAAAGAAAACTAAATGCAACTTGGCCAATTTTAGTTTTTGCGATTTGTTAAACAGGCTTGCAAACTGTTTAAGTAGGCTTCATGTAGTTTATCCAAAAATTCGCTGTCGTTCTGGATGGATATAAGTAAATATTTTTTAAGCACTTGATAATTATGTTCGTACGCTAAGTACCTTTATGAGGTGTAGTATTGCCTGCTGCATTTGATCCTTCGTCAGTGGAGATATGTGTGGCGGAACAGAAGCTATCAGAGGTGATGATGATGAATTTACGCTATCGTTCATGTCCATCAGAAGGGATTTTTTAAAGGGAGACGTTGCTAGAATATCAGAATAAATTTCAATTCAAAAGCATGCAAATGTGCTAAAAACATTTTCTGCAATTTAAAATAAATTATATTTACACAGTGAAAACAATGTAATCCACGATAAAAGCGTTGATTAACAAAAGAAATTAACATAATAAAAATAAACTATTACTTAGCATCGGAGAGACATTGTTTGGAGACATGCCAGTGTGTAGTGGAGTCAACAAATTTACAGGATGCTGGAAAAAATCTATTTTTCAACAATATGCTTCAATTTTATTACTTGACTAACTTACTGGGGGTAAAACAGTTGATGGTAAACTAGACTGCTGCAATTGAGCAGGAGTAATGAACTTTTGTGCAACGCCTGATGGAGGTGTTGTACTATTACTATTCTCCATGTTCAATGAACGCCTTAACAAAAGGTTTTGTTGAGTAGATTCTTTAGAGTTAATCGATGGCTGATCGGATTTTGTATCTTGTAATAATAATTTTGCCGTTTTTCTTACATTTTCCTCTATTTCTCTAGTGTTTATTGACAAAAATTTATAATCATTTTATTATTGGTATTTAAGACTTACTCGGTCGCATTCTGCTCTTTAGAGGCGTTTTGAAATAACGACTCAAGTGTAATCGATTTCGAATTACCGTCAGCGGCAGTAGGAATTAAATGTGTGCCGGAAGCTGTTGCAAAAAAAATTCTCAATATTTTTAATGGTTTCATTTGTTGATGATTCAACCTATATCATTCGATGCGGCTTTAACAGGTTTTGGTTTGGTTACCGGTGGAGTCGTTGATTCTATAGATACTGGAACATTATTTACAGCGGCAAAACTGTTACTGTTTTCTTTTTGACCCTATAAAAATTGCATTATAGCATAAACTTGGTCATTCAAATCTTATAGCTAACTTTTACGTATTCAGATTGAGCTCTTGAGAGCATTTGCATAATATCTACGCCAGACGAAGGGTTGTTTCCGTCAATGTTCGTTTGGCTGGTTCGTACAGGTGTTGCCTGCATACTTTCACTATCAGATGCTCTTCTTTGTCTACCACCGCTAGGGACCTCTACAGCTTCTTGTGGCCTATTCATAATTTGAACTAGACTGTTCATTAATTGACCTATTCTAGCACATTCGTCTTTATCATAAAACCATATTCCATAAATAGCTAAAACAAAACAAAAAAATAACAGTTATAGATAATTATAAAGCAAGAAAGTGTTTCTAACCTTTCGATGTTTTATACAACAAAAACGGATCTTGCAACTGGAATTCAAGATTATTAGCAATTGGTTCCGTTTGATTTTCTGGACCATTTCGATTCAAAATTGTGAATGCATAGACTGGGGAAGCCGATCTGAAAAAATGGAAATTTAGTCATTTTATTTTCTCTATAAACAAGTAGTAAAAATACGACAGACTAGTTTCTAGTATAATGAAAGTTTTCAAAGTAAAGGTCGGTCAGCTTAGAGAAACAAGCCGATGGTAAGTTTTGGCAGAAACAGGTGCGCTCTACTTATAATTTAGCTGTTCTGCCGTCATTCTTAAGTATAGCATCATATCGTAGGTTGTTGGAAGGGAGAAAATATACTACTTTTACAGTTTATTCTGTAAGTATTATTTATTTTAGATAAATTTCTTATTGCGATCAAAATCAATATGAACATTATCAAATAAAGCGCTAATGTAACAATCTTGCACAAAATCATCAAATTAACATCAGTAGGTTAAGTTGTTTTACTGCTACCTTGAATAGACGAATAAAGTTCCGCCAATATCAGTTTTCTCCTGCAATGAAAATTCCATGAATAAATAATGGGGTCATCAAATAACGGAAAATTTGGTTGATAAGTAATCGATAATAAAGAGCTCAGCGAATAAAGGCGAAAACCGGGTATTTTAGTACAATTTTCTCATGTGTTGTACTAACCCATTCGTTATCTTTGGAATTAAAGGAGTAAAGGGCAACTTGACTGGCAGTATCAACTATTTGGACGATATAAGGATCCCTTTGGCGCAAGACGGTTAAATTCATTCCTTCAGCCATATTGATGGAGGGAAATTTTTCTGTTTTAACAGACCGATAACTTCTATATTATGGCTGACATGGCGGAACAGGAAGCCTGATAATGTCCTTAAGATTTAGTTTTAGAGCGGCCATTTTTGTTTTTCCAGAGACTGGGTCAGAAAGGAATACTTTTTCAACTTGTCCATTTTAAAGAAGATAAATTTTAGAAATATAAAAATTTTTTTTAAAAGTAATAGACAGAGAAAAAATATTACTCAGTTCTCAATTCTTTTGCGACAGGTTGAACAGTGTCGCCCTCTTTGAATTTTCCGCTCAGTTCAATTTTCGAACAAATTTTAGATGAGAAGTGATAGTTGAAAAATTTAAGGTTTTTAAGGATAAATGTAACTTAACAAAAAACAAAAAGCAGTTTAAGAAAAGAGACGAGGTCTATGAAAAAGGAGCTCGACGAATGAACGCGAAGATGTAAATATTGATTAACAAGCCCCGGATGACTGTAAACCTCATCAGACCGGGCTTCAGCTCGGAACCGTCACCATGACTGTGATGCGGATAAAACTCAGTGCTCGGCAAATTTCTAGAAAAGGGGATATAACAAACTGATTATGGCTACGCGTTTTGCAGGTAGAGCGTTTTTCGCCTGGAACACAAAAGTTAAAAATAGTAGGCGGACGTAGAACACGCGCGCTCACGCTATCCGTTTTTGTTTTTCCTCTAAATTGGATGTTATGCCGCACCATACAGAACCGGCGCAGTATGAAAGAGTCTCAGAAGAGGCCTACAATCGTGCAGACCAAAATCGACAACCTCCTGCCGACTATCAGTTGCGCGAAGGAGGCGAAGAAGAACCTGCAGAAAAGGTGGAATTAAGTTCCGCATGGAGTACTGCGTTAGCGGCTACCGGAGCTAATATGCCCAAAAGGAGGCCGAATACTAGGAAAATGCCTCAGAATACAAATCCCAGGCCTCCTAGGGCGCTTTTCTGCCTTTCGTTGAAGAACCCTATACGGCGACTGTGCATTGATGTGATCGAGTGGAAATATCCTTTTTTTCGTTTTCTTTTTTCTTCCCTGAGTACGACTGTAAGCAATTCGCCGTGTAAGGGTGCAGTAATTGAATGTGACAGGTTTCATTTCGTTAGCAACACGTACGAATTTTTCGGCTTTTTCGTTTACTTGGATTATTGTAAGTAGCTAATATTCGTACGTATACAGTACATCCATCGTAAAATCGATGCGGCCAGACGTATTGCGTATAGTATATTTTCCTACTGATTTTGCAGTCGCTGTACAGATAATTAAGCATGCCGGCGAAAAAGGGCTTTGTACTCGTTCCTTTATTCTGCTTATTTGCACTTTTATTGATTAGTTAATTATTCGTTCGTCTTACGCCCTATGCCGGAGTTATTCCTGCACCAGACACATTAACTGCGAGTTGACGAGACAATAGGCCTGATGAAAGATTAATAGGCGCATTCGGGGCGGTTGTGTATTATATTTCAAGTCGTCTGTTTTTTTTTTTGTTTTACATGTACAATATACATATTTTTTGATGAGCATTATAGATAGACGGAGAGATAAAGAGATACGGTTAACGTTCATTTTCATTTTTAGCATACTTATACAAAGCGTAAACCATATCTGTGTATATATCTGTCCATCTCACTACATATCTATATATATCTATACATATTTGAATATATATATATATATATATATATATAGATATATATCTAAGGGTGTATGTATTTTAGCAGATTTTTTTATACATGTATAGATATATGCCGTATATATACAGCACATATCTTCTGTAATTCCTGCTGCCTCTCTTTTACCCTCTTACACACACACACTCTCTCTCTCTCTGTATATATATATATATATATATATATATATATATATGATATATAACGGTGTTTGCATTGATGTATATGATTTTATATAAACATATTTATGCACATAAATATGTGTATATGGAGGTGTTTATATCAAATTTTATTATACATAAATGTATTGTATACCTGTACTAAAAAAAGCGCCTTTGTCAACAGCATATGTACATATATATATATATATATATATATATGTACTATATGCTATAAAATATACATGTTATTTAGATAAATACGGTATATACTAGTCTATATATGTACAGTCTGAAGCATATACAGTACATCGCGTATTTATATCTTTTTTCGTTATATATATATATATATATATTTTTTTTTATTTTTTCCTCGTTCGAGAATCAGTGCTGTAGGTGACAAGCGTCGTTCAGACTCGAGGGACTCGACGTTGATTGTGTTATGGCGTCCGTCTGTCAGCGCCATTCTACCGCGTATATTGTTTTCCTAAAACTATCGAACATTTAGTCTATAATTTTGCAGCTGTTCGAAATCAACTTTTTTCCTCCTTCACTCAACCTCTCTCACATCCCATAACTACCCTCTGTCTTATGTGTTCATTTGCCCATTATATTCCTTTTAGTCATTGTTCATTCATTTGCCCTGACCATATCTATCTTTTTGGTACGTAAATTGTCTAATTATATGGAATGCGTTTACGGAGACCGTAACCGAAGCTTATATACTTGCACTCGCTTTTCGCTTAATAGTCGTATAGTGCTGTTCGTTACCATAGCGACGACTTACAGGTGAGTGTTATGCAGAAAAAATACTGCACTCGTTATTGTCTTTACGCGCGAAGGTGCGATGTGAATGACCCTATTTTTTTACATTCTTGGCTCTAAATTTTCAATCATAGTTCCTGTGACTGTTGCTAAATAATTTCTACACACAGCATATAATGTCTAATTTTTCCTTAACTTTGTCTTTTATACGCCGTTCGAATGGCTGGTGCTATTCACCATATTTGCGAACTGCGTAGCTTTAGCCATCTACACGCCGTTTCCAGAAGGCGATTCGAACGATCTCAATAACGCATTGGTAAGTCGTAAGATTTTTGCATATCCTCGAAAAACGGAGCGCTGCACCTGACGCCCGCTTGATTATTTTTAGAGTGACGCCTCGCATGCTGTTTTCCATTGATTGCTTTATCGAACGTCTATCGATTCAGGTCGAGAAATCTAGGCCTAAAATTTAAGGCGTCTATTGTTCAGCGACGTACGACTGTGTATTTTTCATAAGTATATCGTTTCATTTCGTAAGCCTATAACTGTATTAGAGTATATCGGGTAAAAAGGTACCTATATAGATCAGCATATAAAACAATTAAAGACGCGACTGGCAGACGCATATTGATCAGGCCTCACCTGCAAGGCAGCAAACTGACCTAGTTCTTTGCTAGTACGCCGTTTGGTCCGCCTCCAGTCTGGAATATGGCGGAAAGATGCTAAAGGCGAACCGATCGATGACAACCATCGATAAGCTTGATTATCTATTATTCGAAGCGGTCGCTTAAAAAAAAATCTATTAGCAAATTTCTTTGCCTATTGTTGTTAAGGACGTTTGCGGTAGATCTAATCTGCGAAAGGTCAACGCGCGGCTACAGGCGTTGTTCGTATAAATTTGCCATTCAGACATCGGGCGAATGTTGATTGCGTTGACCTGTGTTTGTTATATTGTGTATAGCAGAGCCCTCCTCATTACACAAAGATGCTATAGCTGTCAGTAATATATTTATATATTTTTATCCGATCATAAGCAGAATACAGTATATCAGTATATAGAATAAAAAATTCAGTATATACAGTATGAGTCTGCAGTATTGCAGTATATCTATCTACACTGGAGAGTATATGCAGTAGTATAGGTCTATAAAGTCTTTATTGAATGCCGATTGATTTGTTATCGTCGTAATTGACCTGCACCCGTGACATCCTACGCGTTTCTGCCTGTTTCCTAGGAGACCATTTCGCAAATTCCATTTCGCTTTCTATTGATCATCTCCATTCGCGTGTAGAAGTATAGACGAAAATCGTTTAGTAAATTTGATGATCAGACTGGGCTAGCCGTGACAAATAATTAATTTTTAAGTGTGAACATTGTATTTACTTGATGAATAAAACGTTGCAGGAAACCGTCGAGTACGTATTCCTCGTGATTTTCACTATAGAATGCGTAATGAAGATAATTGCTTACGGCTTCCTACTCCACCCCGGTGCCTATCTGCGGAATCGCTGGAATATGCTCGATTTCGTTATAGTAGTGATCGGGTAGGTTTTTCTCTGCGCTCGATTAGCTCTATAATACGCGCAGGCTTGCCGACTTAACTGGTCGTTTCCGTGGAAACGTGGCGAAAAAATCAAACTACTTGTTTATTAGCTTTTGTTCGAAGTGACCGCAAGGCTTATCGCCCCGTTTCCAGGGAAACGCCTCGCCAGTCCGGCTGGGAGAAAAAATAAATTACTAATTAATTTTTTGTTTACTTTTTTATTCCTATTTTTATTATATAGACTATTCAGTACTGTTTTGTCGGTACTTGACCAAAAAGGATTCGACGTCAAAGCGCTGCGCGCTTTCCGCGTTCTTCGGCCGCTACGTCTAGTATCGGGCGTGCCCAGTCTTCAAGTGGTGCTCAACTCCATTCTGCGTGCCATGGTGCCTCTTCTACACATCGCTTTGCTTGTCATCTTCGTCATCATCATCTATGCCATTGTTGGTCTCGAGCTGTTTGCTGGAAAGATGCACATGACTTGCTTCCACAACCGCACTGACGAGATGGCTTTTGATGATCCTCATCCCTGTAATCTTGACAAAGGTTACAAATGTAACTCAAGTGAGAATCTAGTCTGCAAAAAGGGATGGACGGGTCCGAACGACGGCATTACAAACTTTGACAATTTTGGACTTGCTATGCTAACGGTCTTTCAATGCGTAACCATGGAAGGTTGGACTACGGTCATGTATAATATTAACGACGCTGTCGGTAATATGTGGCCTTGGATCTACTTCGTATCTTTAATTATAATCGGTTCATTCTTCGTCCTCAATCTCGTACTCGGTGTACTTAGCGGGTAGTTATACTTTTCCAATATTTCTTTTATGTTGGTGTCTAGCGCTTTTCTCGTTTCATCCTTAGGGAGTTTTCCAAGGAACGAGAAAAGGCAAAGGCCCGCGGCGATTTTCAAAAGCTCAGAGAAAAGCAACAAATCGAAGAGGATCTCCGCGGATATTTAGATTGGATTACCCAGGCCGGTGAGTCGCAAGGCGCGGCAATAAAATTTTTTCTGTCTTCTAAAACTACTCCATCGATTCTTTCCTTTCGCAGAGGATATTGAACCCGAAACCGAAGACGGTGACGACGAAGATTCACCTGGCAGACAACGTAAGCCTTTTGTTTATTATATTCTTTTTTTTCTTTTTTTCAATCAAAAAAGAAAGAAAAGAAAAGAAATTGTTGCATCTTGACATATTTTAATACTCTTTCAAATTTTCTTCTTCTTTTTTTTAATGAATATTTTTTATTTTTTTCATCTTTTTTGGTACTAATAACGTAAATTCATATTAATTAAATAGTCGTATTCCGTTTTTTTTTCTTCTATTTTTTTTTTTGCTATTACTGTTTTTGGTTTCGAGTGAGAGTGTTGCGTACAGGAAAAAGTGCAGCGAGGAAAATTTCGGTGAAGAAGAGTCGGTGGAGAGTGAGACGCAAAAAAGGCAAAGTATCCTCACACTCCACAATAACATATAATTATACATTTATCTATGTATACGGCTACGTGTATAAACCAACGTTTGTACATGTAGATAAATAGTAAATAAATAAATATATATATATATATATATATATATATATATATATATATATTGTTTACATATACATATAAATATATAAAAGCCAAAGTAACATTCATTAAATAGCAATCTAATGTTTGCATTCATGAGATGATTTAGTCAGGGACTGTTGTTGAGACAACTTTATAAAAGTTAAGGTTAAAGATGAGGGTTAGGTTAAAATTTCAATGGTTTCAATCAAAATACGTACGTTTAATCAAAGAGGGATATAGCTTTATAAAATACTTTGTTTACGAGGGTTGTAAAGCGTCACTTTGGCATAATATATACAATAAACAGTATATATATATATATTTGTGTATATATAATATAATATACTTACAACGTATACAATATATAAATTTATACATATATTCACTGTATACCTCTTTTAAACTGTGGTACTTGGAATGCATTTTTAATATATTGAACTTTTTATTGTCACAAAAAGTATATATTTATGTATAAACCGGAAAATTTGTTCAGAATACTAACATGCATCCACAGTACACATATATACGTATACATATACATTTATACAGTGTATATATATATATTTATATGAAGTATGTGCTAATATTATATGTTTGCATTAGGAAAAAGTGGATGTTGTCAGTTGGGCACGTTTAACCGAGTTTATTGAATAGCGTGCATGCCATATAAAAGAGCATGGTTATCGGCCAGGTTAATAATTAATTAAGAATGTTGTAATATCTTGGTGGACGATAATCGAAGCTCTGCTCTTTACAGCTGTAGCGTACAATAGTTTATTCGTAGTCTGAAGTTACAGAGAACAAAAAAAAATTATTAAAATTATCACCTTAGAGTCGCTCTGACAAACATTACAAAAACTATATATTATATATCTACCTTATGAGCATTCAATAAATGTTAAGTAATGATCTCGCTTCTTGCTAGCTTTTATTTTCACTATCGATTATGTTCTTGACAATATAACTAATGTATTCCGTATCGTATACAGATAAAGCGATAAGTGAAACTGATTCGGCGGTAAAAACGGACGAGTTGGGAAGTGGAGAGATTAGTCAATTATCTTGGTGGCAAAAGAAGAAGTAAGTGTCACTGGGTATATTAACAAATGAGTAGAAAAACAATAAAATAATCGTCAAGAAAGCTATCATTTAAAAATTGAGATAATAGAAATACTCATTAAATTTTATTATTAATAATTATTATTATACAAAATTAAAAAATTAGAGTATATTTTAGTTTGCTGCGCGACGACGACAGGTAGGTTGACGTCGCTTGAGGGAAAGCTTCCGAAAAGCAAGCTTTTGTCATATTTCACCGGAATAAACACTATCTAACACACGCTGTATTAATCACATGCATGTAGGAGGCGATCGGTCTACTTTGACGTATTTAATCAATATTTCATATAAGATTTCGACGGCGCGTCGTTGATGTTACAAACAATTCTTGCAGGAAACGTTTACTCAAGTGGAACAGACGGTGCCGAAAAGCGTCCCGCAAGGCTGTCAAATCTCAAGTCTTCTATTGGTTGGTTATAGTTATGGTAGCTCTAAATACATGCGTGTTAACATCGGAACATCACGGACAACCGGATTGGCTGGATCGATTTCAAGGTTTTTCTTAAACAAAACTTTTAATCGATTGGTCTTCTGAACAATTTAAACACTTTTGTTTTTTTTTTTTAAATCCCAATAATACACAGAAATAGCCAACTTGTTTTTCATCATCTTATTCGCTTGCGAAATGCTCATCAAAATGTACAGCCTGGGATTTCAGGGATATTTTGTCTCTCTTTTCAATCGCTTCGATTGTTTTGTAGTAGTATGCAGGTTAGTATATTGTTTTTCTTTGTTTTTTTTTCTCTCGTCTCAAAACAATACTTTAGACTTAACGTAGTCAGTATTATCTTGTCAGCTTTGCAGATTTGTAGCTCCCTTGACTCAGTAGTCGTCTTTTTCTTTTACAGTATAATAGAAGTGATATTCACATCAACCGGTGTTATGCCGCCGTTAGGCGTATCAGTTCTGAGATGCGCTCGGTTGCTCCGAGTATTCAAAGTGACGAGGTAGTCTACGCCATTTCTATACCCTATATTTATAATCATTTATCATTCTGATTCTCTATGCCAGACACTGGTCATCTTTACGGAACTTAGTCGCATCGTTGCTCAACTCAATGCGCTCAATTGCTTCGCTACTTCTTCTTCTCTTCTTGTTCATTGTTATATTTGCCCTGCTAGGCATGCAAGTATTTGGCGGCAAGTTCAACTTTGATCACACACAGGAAAAGCCTCGTCATAACTTTGATACGTTCACACAATCTTTATTTACTGTTTTCCAAGTAAGTATAGAAATAAATCGATTATTCCTTTTCTCTATAGAGAGAATTCTTTTATATTTATGTTTTTCTTATTTTTTTTTAAGATTCTCACTGGAGAGGATTGGAATGAAGTGATGTACGATGGGATTAGAGCATTTGGTGGAGTGAATAAAGTGGGAGCTTTAGTCTGTTTATATTTTGTGGTGCTTTTCATTTGTGGTAACTGTATCCTTTGACGAGATTTTCCGTTGACTGTCAAATCACGCGAAATTAACTCATTTGTCAATGCGTAAAAGAGTCCTTGACAGATTTTTACTATAGATATACTGCTTAATGTGTTCTTGGCCATCGCCGTCGATAATTTGGCCGATGCAGAAAGTTTAACGGAAGCGGAAGAGGAGGCTGAAGAAGAAAAAGAAAAGGCCCGATCTCTCAGAAGATCGAAATCGCCGGAAGGAAGTCAAACTGAAGAAGTAAACGTTCGAATTGTAGTAAGTGTAGACTACTGTTTTCTTTTTTCATTAAAACGCTCGCCTCATTTATTTTTCTCTCCACTTAGAACAAAGACGTCAACTCGAAAATGAATCATGTGCTGACGGATACGCCAAAGTAGACAGATAATTACTCTTGGAACAATCAGTTGAATTTACATAGAAATTGATTTTTTTCACAGGCGCAGAGTAGTAATTGATAAAACTGCAGGAGCCCACGCGAAAGACGAAGATGTAGAAGACGAATATATGGAAGCGAAGAAAGGTTCTAAAAGCTTTGTTTTCTTCTCTGAAGCAGAATAAAATAACCCTTTTACATTATTAGCTCTGGCAATGTTAGGAGATGAAGAGGTAGAAGTTGAAGTAAAAGACGAAGAAGACGACGAAGAAGACGATTCTAAAACAGCTTCTACTGCCCGACCGAGGAGATTATCAGAATTAAATATCAAAGAGAAAGTTAAGCCTATACCGGAAGCCATGTCGCTCTTTGTTTTCTCGCCCACTAATAAGTCAGTAGAAATAATTTTTAATGCTACAATGACCTTTTCTTATTTTCATAGGTTTAGAGTATTTTGTCACTTTATTTGCAACCACTCATACTTTGGGAATATTATTTTGGGTTGTATTTTAATATCAAGCGCTATGCTGGCAGCCGAAGATCCATTAGATGCCGCCTCAAAGAGGAATGAGGTAAAGCTATCTCTTCCTATCATCGTCATAACTATCATAGTAGATTTCTCCCATCTCCTTCCCTTCTTCCTTTTTATGCATTCTTTCCCTCAGCCATAGCAATATTTTCCCCTTGTGAACCCCATTACAGCAGTAATTAACTCCTAAAATGTCCTTGTTGAAAAAAAAAAACAAAAAGAAAGCGTCTCACGTCTGCAAAATAGCCGGATGTTATTTAACAGCTTTACAGACTTAATCGATATTAATCAATGACTTTTACTCTTTTTTTTCTTCTTTTTTCTATCTTTGTTTTCATCGGATTAGCCAAACTAAGTCCGTTTCTGGCCTGTGGCACTTTCATGTTTACGCTTTTAGTGTCATGCCCATTCCTTGTAAAAAGAAAATCTTCGATTTTTCGTTTATTTCATCTCAAACCAAATGATCTAAAAATATCTTTTTTCCCTATAGATCCTCAAGTACTTCGATTATGGCTTTACAGGTGTTTTTGCAATGGAGATATCATTAAAAGTCGTCGCATATGGTTTAGTTATTCATAAGGGATCGTTTTGTAGGAGTTTATTTAACTTACTAGATTTACTCGTCGTCGGTGTCGCTCTAGTTTCATTCTCCTTCCAGTACGTATAGTCTTTCAATTTTCTCGTCCTTTAAATTAACTAATGAATAAGTAAATATACGATCTATTTTTATAGAAACAACGCAATATCCGTCGTAAAAATTTTGCGTGTTCTCCGAGTGCTGAGACCTTTAAGAGCCATTAACAGAGCGAAAGGATTGAAAGTAAAATACTCTCTACCAGAATTTTTCCCCTACAGATTCATTTTATCTTCATTATTCTTTTTTTTTTATTTTTATACAGCATGTAGTCCAGTGCGTAATAGTAGCTATAAAGACTATCGGCAACATTATGCTTGTAATGGTCCTGTTACAATTTATGTTCTCAGTAATAGGAGTACAGCTGTTTAAGGTAGAAAAGGGATTGTTTGTAATTAGAGCTTCGCAATAAAAATCGATTCACCTAACAAAACAGGGAACATTCTACGAATGTACTGATAGGTCAAAGATGACAGAGGAGGAGTGCAAAGGATCGTTTATTGTATTTAAAAAGAATGATATCAATAATCCAGTGGTTGAGAACCGAACGTGGAAGAACAATGACTTTAATTTTGACGCCGTTAGTCAAGGCTTACTTGCTTTATTTACTGTTTCAACGTTCGAGGGCTGGCCCCTGTAAGTATATTTCTATTCTTTCCTGGGGAAAAGAATTGTGTCAAAGAAAAATCATTATAAAAGTGATAACGTCCTCCTATTCTATCTTTATTCTTCTAGGCTGTTAAACAAAGCTATAGATTCGAACAAGGAAGACGTCGGTCCAATTTATAACAATAGGCCTGCCGTCGCAATATTTTTCATGGCTTTTATTGTAGTCATTGCCTTCTTTATGGTAAATATATTTGTCGGTTTTGTTATCGTTACATTTCAATCGGAAGGAGAACGAGAATACAAGAATTGTGAACTGGATAAAAATCAAGTATATATCTATATATAAAGCACTGTGTCAGGGCAAAAAAAAAATTACCTGTATTCTCTTCTTTGTCTTTCAGAGAAAATGTATCGAGTTCGCTTTAAAAGCAAAACCTCAAAGACGGTATATACCAAAAGCGAAACTGCAATATAAAATCTGGTGGTTTGTAACATCAAGACCTTTTGAGTACGGCATTTTTGCACTAATTATGCTTAACACTGTAACACTGGCGATGAAATACGATGGTCAGCCTCGGGCTTATTCTCAGGCCTTAGATTATTTAAATATGATATTTACTGGAGTATTCACAATCGAATTCGTACTCAAGCTAGCCGCATTTAGATTCAAGGTGAATTACTTATTTTTAATTAATTGATATAATCTAAAATGTATTACGAATGCATAATGTGATAATATATCCATGCAAGACGTTCTTGATGATGTAATCGTTGTAAAAGAATTGAATTAGTTAATTGTCTTTTTAAAACCGAACCGAAACAAAATCATAAAAAAAAACCAGAGAGAATCATTCTCTTTTGCATGAGGAAAATCATTGTTGTCTATATCTTCCTGGCACTTGAAAAGAGGATTGAAAGGAACTTGCTCATTTGGAAATTTGGTCAACTGTCGAAAATAAACTACAGATTATCTCATCTTTTTGTATATTAAAAAAAAAATTAGTAGGACAGAAACATTAGAAGTAAATTGATATGTTTTTTGAATGATCTACAGAATTATTTCGGCGATGCCTGGAACGTACTTGATTTTGTGATTGTTGTCGGAAGTATTATTGATATTCTCGCCAGCCATTTTTTTGTAAGTGCCTACAAAAACAAAACAAAAAAATATAAATAGTGCTCGCTTTCTACTACTATCACCCGTTTGTTTGTCGTCAGTCTGTTTTTTTTGTGAAAAACAATTTATTTTTTTTTTCAACAACATCAACAACAACTACAGCAACAAATTATTACTACTACCAACATTAACTATCTAACTAATCACTCACTAGTGTTTTTTCTCTTTTTTTCACACTCTCAGAACTATTTCGGCGATGCGTGGAATGTGTTTGACTTTATCATAGTTCTTGGCAGCTTTATAGATATTATCTATACCGAGGTGAATGTGAGTACACCACGACTTTTATTTTCTTTAATAACTTCTTACAACGTTTCTTTTTCTTTTATTTATCATTTTTTTTTACTTTAAAGAGTATGCGTGACTTTTATTTCCCATTATTAACTTTATCACGCCTGCTCGCGCTTTCGATTGCGTTTGGGCTAATTTAAGCGTAATTTACATAATGTATAGGAGAATTGTATATATAAACTATTTTACGTATGGCATACATAATGCAATTATTTTTGTTTGTATACTAACGCTTCCGCTTTCTATTGCCTTTTTTTCTAACCTCTTTCTAGAATCGAGTAACCAAAAGCAATGAGGTTTGTGACTAATAACAACAACAAAAAAGAAAAAAAAAATATAAAAAAAACAATTGGGTTTTTTTTATCATTTTTTTTTTTTTTGTTTTTCCTGAACTATATCCCCCTCTTTTCAAACTTTTACCTATCCGACTTTTTTTGTTCCTTTTGTTTATTATTTTTATCTTGTTTGCAAACGTTTCTTCTCGCTTCTATCCAAGATCTATCACGAATGCTACGTAGCATGACAGGCTTACGATGACGTGCAGAAAATAACAATATTTTAGGTTGTTTTTCTCCAATTCAAGTTTTTTTTTTCTATTTATTTTCTATATTTCTTAAAGCATGACCACAATTTATTTAAGAGTATATTACAACAAATTGAACGATAAATTTTATTCTAGAAAGTTGGATGCCAAGTATTTACTATGTTGTTCAAACGCATTACAGTTTTAATAACCGTAAAATTACTCCTTGCTTGTTAGCCATTATTGTATTTAAATCAATCAAGGGAGGGGGGATTTTATTTCATTAACCTACAGTCGATTACCTTTTTTTGTTACAGAGCGGAGTATCAGGAATTATCAGTATTAATTTTTTCCGCTTGTTCCGTGTGATGAGGATTGTCAAGTTACTAAGTAGAGGAGAGGGCATTCGTACTCTACTCTGGACTTTTATTAAATCTTTCCAAGTTGGAATTTAAATGAGCTTAATCCCCTAATATATTAATTATTGTTTTCTCTTTTATTATTTAGGCTCTTCCCTATGTTGCCCTGTTGATCGTCATGCTTTTCTTTATATATGCAGTAATTGGCATGCAGGTTTTTGGTAAAGTCGCTCTGAAATCTGATACAGCGATTAATCGAAATAATCACTTTCAAACGTTTCCACAAGCCGTAATGGTCTTATTTAGATCTGCAACTGGCGAAGCATGGCAGGAAATTATGATTTCGTGTTCTAATCGTCCGGATGTTCTTTGCGATGAACACTCGGATACTGCAAATGAATTGTGCGGAAACGACTTTGCCATACCATATTTCATCTCTTTTTACATACTATGCTCGTTTTTGGTAAGATTAAACTGGTTTAATCAGAAAAAGAGGCCTTACACATAAAATTTCCCCTCCTTTCCAGATTATTAACTTGTTTGTTGCTGTTATTATGGATAATTTCGATTATCTTACTCGCGATTGGTCGATATTAGGTCCACATCACTTGGATGAGTTTGTTCGACTTTGGTCGGAATACGATCCTGAAGCAAAGTAAAAAAAAATGCTTTAAAATGCAATTTATTCCACCGTTCAATGCTAAACATATTACATTATTTACAGAGGCCGAATTAAGCACTTAGATGTAGTAACTTTATTAAGGAAAATATCCCCGCCGCTTGGCTTTGGCAAACTTTGCCCTCATCGAGTTGCCTGCAAGGTAAAAAAAATTTACATTAATTAACGATATACTAAGTTGATTTTTAAGAGAGAAAATTATATGATATTTTTCCACCCATTAGCGTCTGGTGTCAATGAATATGCCGTTAAATAGTGACGGTACAGTAATGTTTAATGCAACGCTGTTTGCTCTTGTTCGAACTTCCCTTAGAATCAAAACTGAAGGTAAATGTTAAAAAAAAAAAAGCAATGAAAAAAACATCATTTTTTTTTTGTACATTGATATTAAATGGGAATATTTTTTAAAAAGGAAATATCGACCAAGCCAATGATGAATTGCGCACGGTTATTAAAAAGATATGGAAACGGACTAATGGAAAGCTTCTAGATCAAGTTGTACCACCAGCTGGTAGTAAGTTTTTCATTCTTTTCCAGTTGACGTTTCTGGGCGGTTATATCCAAATGATTTCTCTTTAAATGTCTGGGTAAAATGTATTTGCTCTTTTGTTTTCTTTTATTAATGAATAGTCTTTTTTTACACTACTTGCACTTTAATATATGCACCTTATTCTATTAAAACCTGCAACACTACTGGTACAAACAGAGCTTTTCTTGAAAAAGTTTTTGCTAAAAGAAGCAAACACTTGCTTGCATCTGCTTTCTTCTCAATTATTTATCCTTATTTATTTTACTTATCTATTTATTTGCTTATCCTTTTTTATCCTTTTCTAGTTTTAGTCAGAATTTTCGACACTCGCACTCTTTTTTTTTAACAAAAAAAAAATAAGAGAAAAAATATATTAATTTATTAATCTAATTTAAATTAAATGAAAGATAGTTTTAATGATTAATAGCACTTTTTATACAGTTATATATATATATATATATATATATATATATATATATATATATATATATATATATATATATATAATTAGATTTCTATTTTACACTTTCCTCACCACTATCATTTTTTCACGGATTTAAACTTTCAATTTAGTTGAGTTTGTATGCCCCGAAAGCTGACACAGTACTCTGCACCTAGTTCTAGTATACATTTTGCCCATCTTATTAAATAATGATAGCATTCGTTTTAAGAGAGCCAAATTAAGGCAGAGTCGCAAAGAATGTCAACTGGTGATATATATCCTCTCTTTCTCGCTCAATCCGTATATGTATGTATATCAACTATGAGAATTATCTTAAACAATACTAAAACATTCAAGTATAGTATAGTTATTTTTTAATAACCAAAAGAAAAGAAAGAATACTATAATGTATTATGGTATCTTATTCAATTATTAACCTCTATTTCCTTTATGAAAAGTAGAGATTCAAGCTGAAATTCTTTCAACAATATGCATTATTTCATCTGATATTCTGACTAAAGATAATTAATTACTTTTTATGTTTTAAAATTCAGTATTCCGCAAATAAAATTCCCACCTTTACCTCGTTCCTTTATTGAAAATTATTCAATATATTACTCTTCATCAACTAATTGATAATTTCTCAAATTAACAGGAGATGATGATGTTACAGTTGGAAAGTTTTATGCAACTTTCCTTATTCAAGACTATTTTAGGAGGTTTAAAAAGCGTAAAGAACAAATGGCTAAAATGCATCAATTGGGACATGAGCATACAAACGCCTTGCAGGTATGTAATAAGCTATTAGCTAAAATCTCTTTTTTTATATATATACCTTTATACGTTGTAAACGTTTCTTATTTTCCAAGCATCAGGGAACGATTTATCTTATTTTTATCATTAATTTCTTTGTTAAATATATTTTCTGTTTATTCTTACGCTTCTTTAATATTTGAAATTATTATTGTTGTTCTTCTTCAACTACCCACGAATATCCAGTCTCAACCATCTATAAAATTTAATCGCCAGGTATTAAGAAAAGCACAGGAGAATAGTCAATATCTAGTTAGGCAATAAACCAATGCAAAAACTATTCGTCTTTGTTTTAGATCAATAACTTATAATCAAAACCGCAAAAAAAACAAAAAAAGAACATCAGACAACCGTTTAATTTGCAAATTCTATTATTATAAACTTATTCTGTTGTAAATATTATGCCCGCATGAATGTTGTACAGGCCGGTTTGAGAGCTGTTCACGACTTAGGACCAGAGATTCGGCGAGCAATTTCTGGTAATCTGGAAGAGGATGATTTTTTCCTCAAATCTGAGGAACCCGCCCACAGGGTACGGATATAAATAAGGCTTGATTTGCAGTTCAAAAACAGCTTTTGCTCCGCTTAAAAACCTTACTATTCCAGTTTTTATTTTGTTTTCTCTTTTTGCATGACATATCGTAAAAATAAAGCATGATATTTATATATATTTGACTTAAGATGGATACTTTTACGTTAAAAATTACTTCTGGATTTAAGAGATAAATGGAAATACACTCCAACTAACAGTTGTGAAGCTTGTTAAATTAGACTAATTAAGCGAATATACGTAATATTTTTGCTTATTTTCTTCTTTATTTAAACAGCGTAATCACAGTCTATTTGGAAGTATCTTTAACCGAAGTAGTTCTACTCGGACAAAGAACGAATGTAATCAACAGCAGTCGAAATTGGCACCGACCTTGTCTGTTAACAACAATCAAGCGCCTACGAATGAAAAGATCCTACGCAATAGCATTGGTGGTCAATCGCCTGTCTCCCCTGGTGGCCAGAGTTATTTGGGTGTGTCAGAGTATGCCCCTCCAACACCATCTCCCCAACTATTGACACCGGTTACATCGGATGAATCTAGAAGAGCAAGTAAAACAAGGTTAAATTCCCTTCTGATTTAATTTAAAGATAACAAGTGAATTTGTTCCATATGATCTTTAAATTTTGGTCTTATTTTTCTAACTTAAATATTAAAACAAAAGAAAAAAGATATATATTTGGACACAATTTTTCTTTATTTGAATGTGTTTTTAATGCATGCTCGTGCGCAGCGTTTCGAATTTGGCTTCTATATCGGAACGGCCATCGTATTATGGAGGAAGAGTATCGAGTGAGAGTATCCCACTTAGACCTATCGGTAATGGACATAGTCCCTCTCGTGGTAATACCCGGCGTTACGGACACTTAGTCTATCAGGAGTTGGTATTTGCTTTCATTTTTTATTTGTCCCCTCTATTCTCTATTCCTCTGCTTGCCCTTGTTGGAATTATCTAGATGATAGAATTTACATCCAATTATCTTTAAATCACTGCTTATTTGAAATTCGAATAATTTTAAACAGTTTACCACAAGAAGACGAAGATTACGGAAGTCCACCACAAACTCCACCTTCTTACCGGTCCAGTGGTGGAAGAAGAAGCTCGTTTAAGTTGGCAGGATGTATAAAGAATAGAGACGATCCGGTTAGCATGTCCCGGATAGCTACTCCCTTAAAATTAGCTCAGGCTCACGTTAGTAGAAATATTATTTTTCTTATTATTTTTGCATATTAAAAAAAAATTGGCGAAAACGGAAGAAAGGACAAATAGGAAGGAAAAAACAAAAAGAAATGATTACCGCGTCTATCTTCTTTGTTGTTCAGTATTTTGATTTTTTTTTGTTTATAAATCGTTTAGAACGATCAACGACATATGGTTAATGACGATCGACGGCGCGTTCGCGGCGATGGTGGTGGCGTCGCTTCGCGTAAACACCATCACGCTTCTAATCACGTGACGGTGAGTGAGGTGAATCCTGCTCTCTAGAACTATATTTGTATATATATATATATCTTTAAATATATATACAATTGCACTCTTAGTATATTCCTCTCTAACCAAAGTCTGTCGAATTCTTGACTCTTTTTCCTCACTCGCTTTTTCAGTATTTTTTACAAAACGTACTAACCGATCATTAGATTTTAAGATGGCGCACTTACTCTTTTGCATGTTCCATTTCGAACAGAGCACGATCGCTTTCGATATATATCTATATCTATATAAATATATATATATATATATATATATCTACATATTAGTTTTAGACGACTACACACTCAGTCTACAAATTTCTTTAATAATACTATAATAGTGATAATAAAAACGAAAAAAAAAGATAATAATAGTCAATAAAAATAATAATGATACCTAACAATTTCCATAACGTATTAGACGCCGCTTTTGGCTATTCATGGAGAAACGAAAGAGACTGTGTTTTCTGAGGAGGAAATGGCCGTTATTCTGGTATGGCGAGTTCATCACCTCCTTTTTCAGTCACCGGCTCAACTCTTTTCGACTTTCTGCTGTGTCTTTTTCTCAATTAATTTGTTTTTATTGACTTTTTTCGCTTCGCACTCGATTTAATCCATACATTAATTGTTATTTAATACTTTCACGCAGGCTATGGCAGTAGCAGGAATGACTCCTGATGGCCGAGATCATGTTCTTGATCATAGGTCATATCGAACTCCCCCAGAATCTCCTCGCCGAGTTCGTTCGGCGTATGAACAGCCACCGGTATCATCTAGACGCTTGGTGGGACACGTCCTAGAGCAGTCTGGTCTCGATCGTTATGTTCACCCGCATATGATTCAACAAGAGATTGCCGACGCTCACAATATGACGCCGCATGACGTCGATATAGCTGCAAGACGCCTGATGCGGCCGAACGAACGAGGTTATCGTCCGCCTAGGCGGCCGGAAGCCGATTACGGACCGTTCGGCGATCAATTAGAATATATTACGACGCTCTGAATGATTACGTCAAGTTTTCTTCGAGTGCCTTTATTCGGTGCTAGGTGGTGCTTGTTATCCACCCTCTTTCATGCATTGTCTAGTTATGAAATTATATTTTTTTTTAAAGTAACTTCTGTTTGTTTTCTCTTCTCTATCTCTCCTCAATTTACAATTTCACTGCGTATCTATCTGTCTATCTATCTATCTTATTTCTGTCTCTTTCCGTATCTCAATTGAAAGAAAAAATGAATGAAATATGATTTAAAACACCCTTTTTTAACCTTCCTTTTAAAAAATTTGAAAAATATAAAGAAAAGAAATGAATTCTGATTGATTTATGTTTCAGAGATACATACATTCATACTTATATATGTGTGTATGTACTGATATGTATGCTTATATAATTAAATATATATATATATATATATATATAGTTATATATATATATATATATATATATATTCATAAATACATATGTTCATTTTAATGAAAAAACTAATAAATAATGCCATTTTTTTCCTCGTTTTTTTTTGTCTGCAGCACGTGACTGGTGCCGTTTTGGGCATATATCGTCTTTTTTTTTTGGTGCTCATTGTCTATTAAGACATATTTATATGTATGGAAAAAAAAAACAAAGGAAAAAGTTATATAAATTATTTGTTAAAAAGATATTTGTGTAAACAACCGCTTTTTGCCAAACAGTTCGTTTTTACGTGTTTTTATTCGAGCTGTGAATACAATATGGAGGAGTGTATTTATATAAATATATATACACTATATCTATTTATAACATATATTTCTGTCCATCTCTTTTTATCTCTTTCCTGGTTATTCTTTGTTTTTTAATCTTTATCTTCGTATCGATAGAAATACTGCGGAGGAGGAGTAGGTGGAGGAGAAGGAAGAGGGGTGAGGTAGTGGTAGGAAAAAAATCGTTAAAAAGAAAAGATTTATGAAAGAGTAAAACTAAACTAGCAATGGCACGATCGTTTTGGCTTGGCCGCTACGCTATTTAATTGAATTCGACTATGTGAACGAGTAGACTTAGTAATATCACTTTCGCCACATCTAACCATAACGGCCTCTAACAGGAATTTCATCGATTCCTTAACCATTTGACCTTCCTTAACCGAAGTCTCTGTCCAACCGATAAAATCATGTTCTTTACAAAATTCTTCAATCTCTTCTTGATAAATTTGACGTTGACTAAGATCGCATTTATTCGCCAATAACAGGCAAGGAATGGAACTACCATCTTTTAGATTCGCACATTTATTCTCCAAATCATAAATCCAACGTCGTGCTCCTAGGAATGTGTCTCTTCTGGATAAATCGAACATAACTATACAAGCTTGGGCGTCTCGGTAATAGACTCTTGTCAAGTTACTGAAGCGTTCTTGGCCTAAAAAATCCCAGAGGGAAAATTATTAAACGAATTGTAAACGAAGAAGGAGAAAGAAAAACACTAACCGGCCACGTCCCATAATTGAAGTTTAACCGCCGTATTTTCCGACCATTCGATCCTCTTTAAAGCAAAATCAACTCCAACCGTCCATTTATAATTAGATTGAAACGCATTTGTCACGAAACGTTGAATAAAACTTGTCTTTCCCACCGCTGCATCACCGACAATTATTATTTTAATAGTTAGTTCTTTAAAAGGACACTCTGAGTCGTTTTCTATTGTTGTTCCATCGTCGAAAACCTCTGGAAAAGATTGCGATTTTTTACTATCAGGCGTTGGAATATCATTGCTATAAGCGTTTCGGGCTAACATGACAACGAATCCGTCTGTTTCTCTAACACCGCCTGTTAGTTTATCACGGGGTCAGCGATTTCAATACCGACTGCCTGTAGATTCTCATTAAGCATTTACTCACCATTTTTTAAATACTGATATCAACAAAATCGTACTTTTTACTATTCAAACGACCTATAAATATAGGCTTAACTGTTATTTTTTAAGCCTCTTTACTAACAGCCGCTAGCTTATCGTCAGGATGATCACGTGGTTTGATAAGATGTTAGTCAGTCTATATGTACATATATCTATCAGATCGCAGGTATAATATAAGTTTACCTGAGTGAAAATAGATTATTATAAATTTCTTAATTATATTGCCATCGGATTTTATTATGAAACTAACGTTATTAACGTTAGTCTTTTTTTGTCTCTTTCTCCCAACTAGACAGGATGTAAACGTTTTTGGTAAGTTAAATAATTCTGTATTCAGATTTCTCCTTGATCTCATTTTCGCTACTCTTGACAAATATCCATTGACCTATAGAATGCCCTACTGGTTGGGAGGAACATAAAGATCATTGCTATCGTTTTGTTAGAGACCCTGAGGAAACAGCTGAAGGGGTAAAAATAAAATGTCAGGAAGACGAAGCTTACGGTCTTAGTATAAACTCCGAAGAAGAGCATATTTTTGTAAGGGATACTCTTGAAAGAATAGATGCAGCTTCTAAGAAATTAGACTGGTGGACATCGGGTAGAAGACTCCCATCCAATCGAACTAGAATGTTTTGGGAGGGAGACGGCACTATGATTGAATCTTTTGTCTATTGGCAAGATCCTTCCATCCCCGGTCAACTTGATAAGGATAGGATACTCTACAACTTCAATGGAATAAGCGGGAAATGGGGCTGGATACTTGGACAAGGCGGTGAGAAACGTCCATTTATCTGCGAAATATCAAAAGAGGATATTTTTCGGATAAATAGCAATGATCGAGGTCCAGACTATGGAATAAATGAACCAGATCCAACTAAAATTAAAAGAGGACCAAAATTTATTACTCAACCAAGGAAAACGGTTTATGAAAATCCAAAAGGTAAAAATGAACAAGATGATGAAGGAGATATTTTATCGAATCCCGGCGGTATTGTCAAGGAGGAGAAAACCTTTTTAGATTGTGTAGCGGACAGTGTACCTCAACCGAAGTATACATGGCTTAAGCATTATGATGGTAAAACGACAGTGATTGAACCATCGGATAAACACTATACCATAATTAACGGACGCCTCAATATAAACAAACCGGATGAGAAAAGAGATGTAGGTATATACCAGTGTATGGCTGGAAATCAGCATGGTATCATTCTTTCTAATACGGCCGAATTATCTTTTGGATGTAAGTGTTTCTTATTTTGTAAAAACATATCCTCTATTTTAATATTTCATATTATCTCTTTATGAAAAAAAAAAGATCTTCACAACTTCCCAAAGAGTCCTCGTGCCAGAGTCGTAGCAAAGTCACATGACACTGCATCCATCTACTGCGCGCCTCCAGATCATACAAAACGTAAGCAATTTATAATAATAACAATGGTTTTACAATTATTTAATTATATTTCTCTAATTTAACAACATCAGCGATCTTATTTGCTTGGTACAAGAATAGTATATCAAATTTTGTCCGACCAAATTTGAAGCCTTACACCTTTATAAGCTACGATGGTCATTTGTATTTTAGCGAGGTTACAGTGGACGATAAGGGATCTTATTACTGTATGGTTTATAAGCCAGAGTTTTTAGCAAAGGGAAAAATATCTATGCCTAATCCTCTCCACATAGAGGAATCTAGCGCGGCCACATACGAACCTCTTATACTTGATAAATTTCCTAAAATATTTCCGTCATCGCCAAAAGTTGGGGATAAAGTTAGAATTGAATGTTTCGCCAAAGGTTCTGCTAGGCCAGGTCCTAAATTAAATTATTTCTGGAGGCGTTTGGAATCTTCTGTAGCGAAGGATGGTACTGTACAACTAAAGGCTGGAAAGAGAAAAGAATTACCTCTGCCGAAAAATTCATTCCTAGAAGATCACAATAGAGTTTTAACCTTTGAAAATGTTCAGTTATATGACGCTGGTGTTTATGAATGTAAAGTTAGTCGACAAACTGGAAAAGAGGATTCCAGAACAAAAACTTTAAATGTTGTTTGTAAGTATCGCAATGGTCGTTTATTAAAATAATAAACAAAATTTCATACTCTTCCACAGCTCCGCCCTTCTTTATAACACCAATTAAGGACAAATTCATAGATGCCAACGTGGACCTTCAATGGCGTTGCGTTGCTGGTGGAACAGGCGATATAGCTTATAAATGGCTTAAGAATGGACTTAACCTGGAATCCAGTAATAGAATTCAAATAAACAACAACGTCTTAAAAATAAAAAAAGTTGACGCGGAAAAGGATAATGGAATGTATCAGTGTCGAGCAACAAATACACAGGGAGTGAGATTTTCAACAGCAGAACTTAGAGTTTTGAGTTTCGCTCCAAATTTCCAAAAGTATCCTCTTAAGCCAAACTTGTTTGCAACTCTTAGAGGTAATGCAACTCTGATATGTAGACCAGAAGCCGCTCCATATCCTAAACCAGATGACATTCAATGGTATAAGGGATCTAATCCACTTACGCCTGATGGAAGAATACAAAAATTACCAAATGGTAATCTGCTGATAACTGGTTTAACAATGAATGATAGAGGATTCTACGAATGTAAAGTTAAAAATGATTTGGGTGAAGCGTCTACAAAGGGAAATTTAACAATATTGAGTAAGATTTTTAAGATATTTTTCATATATATATACAGTATATGCATATTATAAGCATATATAAACTTGTTAAACAGCCACAACATCAATTGTCAATCCCCCGATGGATGAAGTTGTTCAAATAAATAAAACCAGATTCTTTCATTGTATTGCATCTCATGCTACTCAGTTGGATGTAACTTATATATGGTACCAAGGACCTTATATGATTGAATTCGAAAGAATTTACAGACTTGGTGAAACCAATTTCCAAATATGGCGAAATCCCACATTTAAAAGGGTTTGTTATTAATTTATTAAATTAAATACAATATAAAGATTATACAGACTATAAATTAGAATTTAATGTTTACAGGGAACAGGCTTTTATATGGGAGGATTATATATTATGAATGCAAAAGCTGAGAATCAAGGAAAATATACCTGTCGGGTAGAAAGCAGCGCAGGGAATTTCGAAAGTAGCGCTTTTCTTAGAGTGATATCCCCCCCAAGTATGCCAGTATCACTGCAAATTATTGGAAGAGTAACTGCGTTTAAAGCAACTCTATCATGGAGAGAGGCATTAAATAACGGCGGAAGACCTGTTCATACATTTGTCCTTGAAGCTTTTAACGGTTGGGAAAAGTTTTGGAAGGTTATTAGAACAAGTTAGTATCATTTTAATAAGCTAATTTCATGGAGAATATTAAATTACACTTTTGTTATTTAAAGATATCCCTGCGGATAGAGTAGAAGATGTAAAATCAGCTGTAAATCTATACAATATAACTTTGAATGATTTGCGACCTTTCAGTAATTATTATTTCCGGGTAAGGGCTGAAAACAGCTTGGGAACTAGTGAACCGAGCATACCTTCCAAGATGATAGAAACTTTAGAAACTAAACCGGATCTGGCTCCAAAGCAAGTTGGAGGGGGTGGTGGTAAAGTTGGAACCCTACACGTTAGCTGGGAACCTTTAAAGCTTTGGGAGCACAATGGTAAAGGTTTATATTATATAGCCTACAGGAGAAAGAAAGGAGATCAGGAATTTAAGGTTGATTTTATATATGATCGCAAAGGAAAAACGTCTTATCTCTTTTATTATATTATTCCATAGGCGAGTAAAAAGATAACTGATCCGGAAAAATCTTATTACACTTTCGAAGTTGGACAAAATAACTTTTACTTATTATACGAAGTTAGAGTGCAAGCTTGTAATAATCTGGGTTGTGGGCCGCTGTCCGAAATTGTTGAAATATACTCATCAATGAGCGGTAATTAATTATTTAATTAATTTTCAGTTGATGTATTTTGATGTATTTCTTATTGTTTTTTATTTCTTGTTAGTTCCTGTCATCACAGCAGAGGATGTAAGAGCTCAACCTTTCAACGCAACTGCTTGTATTGTACATTGGATTCCGGTTACCGATTCAAGAGAAAAATTAAAAGGAAAATTAGGAGGTTATAGAATCAGCTATTGGAAAGACAAAGGAGGTTCAAGAGAGGGAGCTCCACGAGTTACGGTTGACGGTCAGGCAGATGAAGCGTTGGTAATTGGATTAGAACCAGATACTATGTATAAATTTGACGTAATGATCTGGAATGAGGCTGGGAATGGACCAAAGAGTCAGGAATTTCCTCAAAGAACGTTTAGAAATTCCCCAATTAACCAGCCAACTGAAGTGCAAGTGTTACAAATTGATTCAGGAACCATAGATGTCTTTTGGAGAGGAGTAAGTACAGACCAAAGAGAAGAACCTTTGGATGGATATAAAGTAAGAATATGGAGGTCTGGTACTCATATAAAAGTGGCAGACGACTACGACGCTGGAAAAGAAACGGAGATACGAATTCGGAATATGAATCCACACAATATATATAAATTAAGAGTATTCGGCTACTCTAGAGGTGGAGATGGAACAATGAGCTCACCGTCTATCAAATTTCATCTAGGTAGGTTCATTATACCTCATTTTACATATAGGACTCATCTTCTACGCCGGAGAGCGCATGTAGGCTTAAGTAAAAAAAATATTCTCTGCAAATATATCTAAACGCTGCTCTCGAATATAAACCTAGCAAGGTTACTTATTCCATTAATTATAGAGAAACATATGTTTTTAATAATTCTATGGATATTAATTAGCCTTTTCAAATATTCAATTGACATATATAAATAAATGCGAGATGATTATCACACTGACCCCTAATGACACAGTTTGTCGAAGATAGCTACTATTTTTCTCTCATATTATAATAATACAGACGATTCATACAGACTTATGAATAATCCCTAGCTTAGCTAATATAGCTATTAATTCGATCCAATATAGATTTACAATAGACGCAATTTAGAAAGGCGTCTACCAGCTTCAAAATTCATTGCCATATGCTAATCCATTGTCATTTATCTATCAGGAAAATTTTAGTTTTCCAACTGATTGACAATGATATTTATGATGTTTATTGCAATATTACTCTAATAAACCTGTAAATTGATTTTTTCGCCTCATCCTCTATTATGTAGATATACTTGTTTTCTACATAACGTCAGGATATTGTTTTAGCAATTAGATATATTGATTTTTAATAAATTATGCTTCTCTATTTAAAGGTTCTTCTTCCCAAGTTAAGCCGTCGTTGCTACTCCTTTGTTTGGCTCTTTTAACCATTATGTGTATAAGAAGTCGGTAACGTAAAGAAATTGAATAATTCTACAACAATTCTATTATATTTTTTCTATTATTGTTATCTTTTTTATCATAATATTTGTAAAATTATTAATAAATATATATTAAAAAACTATAGTAAGTTTGTAAGACTTCTTAAAGCGTACTCACATACATACATACATATTAAATTTCTCTCTCCCTCTCTCCCTCTCTCTCCTATAATACATCAGTGTTATAAGTGTAATATCGGTTTAAAATACAACTAACACAAGTTGTCCTCTATTGATAAATTGAACGCATTGTCTCTGGCTGGTAACCACTTTAATGTCATATATATACAGTATATATATCCCCTGTCATTCACTTTCTACTAATTGCTTCTCTTTGTCAGCATGAAATGCGCAACATTTTCCGCAATTCTGGTATTTATTACTATTCATTTTCAATGCTCGACAGGTACACATTTTTATTATTCTATTCAAAAGAGCTAAAAGTTTTGTAACATCTCTTTTCATCTCCTTTCAATGCTTTAAATATCCTTCACTTAAAACAGAATTCACTAATATATGGCAGTTACTTTTTCGCTATTAGTATAAATATATATATTAATATATATACTGTATATACTTTACAATATATATATATATATATATATTTATCAGGATAAATAGCGTGCAATATAAAATATATAGTACGTTTTTCACTTTTCCCTATCTATCTTATTGATGATTAAAAGTTTTTAAAATTAAATTAAGAATAAGAAAAAACAATAACAGCCCCAGAATGCTTTGAGTGTACTACCGAAGGAGCATTGAGAGGAGTAAAGTGGTGCTTTGATCAATTTAGTAGACCAGACGAGAAACAATTGACTAATTGTAGAGGAAATACATGTCGTAAAGAAGTAATAAATGAGAATGGTATACTTTATATATTTTATTGAATATTAATGAACTATAATTAATTATATTGATAAATTTGAATTTTATCTTATTATAAGAAATTATAAGAAAATAAGTCACAAATGATAAATGTATTTATATTTTGTAATAATATAAACTTTATTGATATTATTCCTAATTTAATTAATGTTTTTAAATGTATATTTAGGAAGAATTTCCGTAAGAAGGGATTGTACAACTGAACTCTTTGATAATGGCTGTAAAGAGGAAAAAGATGGAAAAGTAATAACTTGTTACTGCAGGGGAACCTATTGTAATTCTGCACCGATTACACTTTTTGTTCCTGCAAATTTTATTCTTAGTATGTTTTATTTTCACTGTTTAATATAAAAGATATTTAGCTAGTCACGATTTCCACTTTATGTCTCATTTCCGTTCTTTTGTAACATTATTATATAAAGTTGGTTTTGATAAGTATTTATATGCAAGAAGAAGAACAAAAACCTATATATACTCTATATACAGTATGTATAAATCATTTTTATTCTAAAATCTCTTTTAAATGTTATATGAAGAGTATTATTAATGATTAATAAATATTTAAATATTGTATATCGTTTTCTTGTTTCTTTTTCTTTCATAATTAAGAAAAACTAGTAAAGTTAAAGATGAACATAAAATAAGAGTAATAAGCTATCGGAATACTTAATAGGTGTAATATTGCTGCTCTTTTTTTCTCAAGCTGTTGAGAGTTCCTTTTTCTGTTTTTTTGTCGTACAACAGTGTCATATCGCCTTACTTTATTATAACACTTATAAAATTCACCTGATCCTATTCTAGCTCCCTTAGGGTATCGAAATGTTAACTCAGAGATGTTTTATTCTTTATATCACTTGTTAGATTATTAGAATTATCATACGATTTCAAACACAATTTTCGATTATTCCTAATAATTCTTATATATATATTTAGTATTATTAAATCTTAAGATTTCATTTACAACATTAACTATATGCTAACACCGTTTCGAATACTATATAACTAATTACAACATTTAGTTAGCAAAACCTTGTCTACTATTACTTTTATACGTAAAATAATATTGACAAATTCCACCCCCTCTTCACCTCACCTTCTTCTTTTTAATACGTTTTCTACTTTCAATTTCAAAGTTTTTGTGATTTTTTTTACCCTCTTCCTTTTCACTAATTACCATGTCAATAATTATTTAACGTTTACATATTAAAGATTCAAGTGATTATTTAAATAAATGACATGTTCTCTAAAATGTTATTAATGATTATCTTTCTATTTTTAGCCTGGATTATAAGATTACTTTGGTTTGATAAAATACGATTTATAAAAAATATAAGTAATATTTATACACACATATATATATATATATATACTTGTATATCCATCATAATATGAACTAGCCTAAGAGAGCTTTTTAACAGCAACGCCATCTGCTTAATTCTTTATATTTTTCTTCTTTTTTATCAAGAATATAAAGAATGGAATTAATTTTTTACATGCAAGCACCCTTCGATGTTATTTAATTAACGATACAATTTCTAAGCTTCATTGATTTCCGGTTTATGTTTGAATTTAGTAGTAATAATACAGTAGACCTATTAAAAATGCTTTTGTTTCTTTCCGCAGAATTACCAATTAATAAAAAATATCACTCAAAGAATTTTTATAGCGTCAGTTTCTTAGGAACGGCGTCTTTACGTAAACTTTTATTAAATATAACGAACTCGTATTGACAAGTTGAGTTTCGAAATAAGCTTGGTCATGGCTGAATACAATATGGCGATTTCCCATATATCGCTCAACGTAGGAAAACAAATTCATGGCAAAAATAGGAAAATTAAATGACGACATAATAATGGAAGATTTCCAGAGCGACGATGAAAGTGAGAATCTACCGTTTCGGAGAAGAAAAATTCCTAATGAAAACCTTACTGATAGAATAATGAAACTTCAATATCAAAGACATAGAAAACATACTCATTTGGCGAAAACTCATAAACTATATCAATGTGTTTTTCCAAATTTAACAATTTCCGATGTTGATTATCCTCAGGTATATGGCAGAAAATTTAGCCCTGATGGACGACATCTTGTCAGTTTTTCAATGGATTTAAAAACTTTAGTCATTTATAAATATAATGGAGCCGCATCAGCAGAGCATTTACTTACAAAAATCAAATCTGATGTTAATCTTATAAATCAAGAATCGTATTGTAATTATGAAAAGTTAAGAATGGTTTTATTTAGTGCCTTTTTTACGAAGAAATTTGAAATAACTTTAGTAAAAGATAGGGGAGGTTTAAATAGGGAATGTTCAGTTTTCTCGACAGATTCTAGATATGTTATTGTTTGCCACCATTGTACTCATTCTCAGATGTATGCCACGCAATGTTTTCGGGAAAATTTCTATCAAAATAACGAAACTCTCGCTCCATCCTCGAGAACTCCAGTAGGAGAATATAATTTCGAGGTTGTTGATTTATATACTGGTACAAAGACTTTCTCCCTCCAATTCGACAGTGAAAGAATACCAATAGCTCATCAGCAAGGTAAGTTTATCCCTGATAAATAAAATTCTGTTCTTTAGTACATTTCTTTATTCTTTTAGGTATTTACCTCTATAGGAATAAATTAGGAATTATTTGCTTACAACATCAAAAAATCTTACTCTATCACTTTGAAAATGGAATTCTTACTGAATGTGATCAGATTGGAGTAGATACACCTATTGAACACTCAAATTTAGAACCTTTTCAATCTCCATATTTTGGTACTACTAGACAGGCTATATTTACATTTTTAGCGGAAAGAGGAAAAATGGAAGCCGAAAATTCTAAAGATCCATTTGAAAATATGAAGATGTTAGGTACAAGTCAATGCTTGTCAAAGATGAAATTATGGAGATTTCAGTTTTTAGACGAAGATAAACTTTTTATTAAGTTTATTCACGAAGATGTCGTGTCTGCTAGGGTTGTTGATAACGTGATGAGGTTTGCCGTTTTTTCTGTGTATAGCATATCAGCGAGGAGGATATTGTATATGTTTGATGGTGCTTCTTCCACACTATTAAAGGCCTTTGAAGAAAACTGTGATGACTTTAGAAATGCTGAACTGAACGGAAAAGAAGTCCTTTACCCATCGTCAATGGCCTGTTGTATTGATTCCAGAATGAATTATTTAAGACAAAAAGCATCTACAGCAACAGATGAAAGAGAGTCTAACAAACGATATCTTGGACAAATACCAATGCCCTGTCAAAATTTTTCGTATTCTCCCTATTTGGACGCTAAATTATTTAGTTATGATGAACAATTTATATCGAATTTCGAGAGACCAAAGCCCGTCTCATCAGCTCCATTAAAGTAAGTGATTTACTCTAGCGACTTTATTCTATTCTCATATCAATTGATTTTTTTTCTCTAGCTTCCTCTCTCGACCTTCTTTATTAAAGAAATTTCAGATTAAAACTGGTCCAGAACCCGATCAAAGTCCAGCTAATGAAAAAAAACTAGTCGCTTTCAACTTTCACCCGTTTGAACCTTTTGCTATGAGCCTACAAAGATGCGGTGTACATTTTGTATTAAATTTCCATATTAGGCATAATTCTGTTAAGTAAAAGAAAAGAGGCTTAATGTTGATCACTTTTTTATTAGTTTTTACTGTTTAATATTTTTTTTTGTTAATAAAAAGGTGCAGTTATTATTTTCTTATAAAATCCTTTATAAATGCATGTTTAATTATTTCTATTCCAAATAAACAAACTCTTTGTTCTTAAAAAAAATAAAGAAGTATTTTGACTTTTATTTCTTATAAACAAAAAGATTCAAATATTTCCACAGAATATAACTGATACAATCAATAATCGCAATATTTAAGTGCTGCCATCTCCTTTTCAAGAAAGGTCATTTTAAAAAAAGAACCCAAAGAATTAATGAACATTCATTTAAGATAATATGGAAAAAGTTATAAATCTTTATAATGAGAAAACTTGAAATAGATTATTAGACTATATATAAAATATAAAGTTTAGAAACATTCTTTAATACTGTTTCTGATAGAATTGAATGACTTTTTTTATTTTTGACAGATACTCTTTAAAATTTAAAACTCTCTAGTAGGGCGTCTAATAAAACGTCGCGAATATATTCGAATCCTGTATTAAATAAATAAGATTACGACTATCCTAAATATGTGGTAAATTTCTCATACCTAGAAAGTAAAATTTTGAAAGGTGCGCTATTCATTCCGCTGTCACGTGACGCACAGGTAGTTGTGACGTAGTAAGCATACCCGTTAGGGGTGATCAAACGTTTTACCTGGTTTTTAGAGATTTGTGTGTCCGAGTTGACTACCTTGAAAATAAATAAAGATCAATGATTTTTTTAATGTGATTTTAGATAAGCTATCAAGAGGTAAGAAAATAATTTAAAACAACTTGTTTATCAATTACAAACAACTACTTACAGGTGCAAAAATGAAATTTTTACTCATTCCTGCTTTGTTTTTAATACTCTCTATAAAAGTTATGGGCCAACCTAATGTTTTACCTGCTGATAATGAAAGAAAAGTTATTGTTCCCCCTCTTATATATATACAACCGAAAAGTAATTTGACTTTCGTGCTTGGTGAATCTATAGAGATGCCATGTGTAGCAACTGGAGTTCCAGAGCCAAGATACAACTGGACATTCAATAATGTATCTTATGATGCTTCAGGTGTTAACGGAAAAGTTGCTAAACAACCTGGCAAAGGAACTCTAATCTTTGCAGATCCACAACAAAGAGACGAAGGCACATATCAATGTTTTGCATATAATGAAGGGGGAGTATGTATGTCCATAAAAATATACTTAAGAATGGCGATATTAGACTCTTTCGTTAGTCGGAAGGTCACTGTCTTAGAACCAAGATTGGGTGATTCCCTTAAGTTGACTTGCACGCCTCCAAGAGCCTATCCAGAACCAGATATATTTTGGGCAATTCTTGAAGAAAGAGGGTCTTTCTATCCAATAGAAGAAGATGATAGGATAACAATGGATCCAGATGGAAATCTTTACATAACAAATGTGGCAGCGCGAGACAAACAATCGGGTAAACGGTGGGCGTGTGTTGTTCAGAATCGGCTCATGAGGGAGATTCGACACGGCGAATACAAAGTTATTGAACCAATTTCCGGACTTCCGCAGTTAGGATCTCCAACAATTCTTTATAGTCATCCTACTACACAGGTACTTTAAGCAAAGTAAATACAATAGCATATCAATACAAATATTCCCTTTAAAAATATAGGTGGCTGTGCGAGGAGAAACTTGGAAAGTTAAGTGTATATTTGGCGGCAATCCAACTCCGAATATTGATTGGATAAGAGGAGAAGGTAAACCAATACCAAAGTCAGCAAAAATTGAAAGCTACAGCCAACAATTGACAATATACGACATACGAGAAGAGGATGCTGGATCGTACCAATGCTCTGCAATGAACTCCAACAGTCCACAACCCCAAAGACAATCATTTAACCTTAAAGTTGAAGCCGCACCATATTGGATTCATAAACCTATGTCTCAAGACGTTGCCGATAATGAAAGAGTGGAATTTCTTTGCGAAGGACAGGGTAAACCGGATGTCGAGTATTATTGGTTTATTAATGAGAGGAAATTAGGCGATGCTCCACCTGATCCAAAAAGAACTAAACTAAAAACCAAAATGATCTTTACAAATGTAACAAAACATGATGTTAAAGTAATCGCTTGCAACGTTACAAATGCGCACGGCTATATATTCGCTAGTGCTTACCTCAACGTCCAACTTGAGCCTCCGCATATTCGAAGAGCACCGAAAATTGGAATGAAAGCTGCAGAGGGTCAAACAATCGATCTAACTTGCGAAGTTTATGGAAGTCCAAAACCTTTAGTTATTTGGTACAAAGGACAAGAACAGCTAACCGGAGGAAGATTTGAAATACTGCCTGAGGGACACTTGAGAATCACTGACGTTTCACTAGTTGACACAGGTACATATAGGTGCTTTGCTTCGAATAGACTTGGAACTGCCTCGGCTGAAGGTACTCTGATTGTACGAAGAAAAACTATGATAAGAATTGCTCCGCAAGATGTAACTGTTTATGAAGGCACCGAAGCAAAATTCACGTGTACTGCTACAACTGATTCTGAAGAAATTCAAAATTTACGCATCAGATGGAAGAAGGATAACGCTTACATTGACTTTAGCGAAGCTCAAAGAATATTTCAGAATTCAATGGATAATTCACTAACGATATCAGGAACAATATCTTTAGATACAAGTAAATACAGCTGTGTTGCTGAAAACGGTTTAGACTCCGACGAAAAAACTGCTCAATTGGTTGTGCAAAACAGACCCGATCCACCGAAAAATGTTCACGTGAAATGCAAATCTGATGCACAACAACTAAAAGAGAACCAAGTTGAAGTTACTTGGGAACCTCGAAAAGAAAATTATGCTCCTATTCTCAATTTCATTCTTCAGTACAACACCAGTTTTACACCTGATAATTGGGTCGACTATGAAACAAACATTAACCAGACACAAGATAACATTAAAGTCTTCCTTACTCCATGGAGTAATTTTACTTTCCGAGTATTGGCTAGGAATAAGATCGGTATATCCGAACCTTCCACTCATTCGAGCGAAACATGTCTTACTGAAGAAGATGTACCAAGTAAAAATCCTGATAATGTCATAGGTGAAGGCGATGCTCCAAGAAATCTAGTCATTTTTTGGACTCCAATGCCTCAAATTGAGCATCACGCTCCTAATTTCAAATACATCATCGAGTTCCGTCGAGCCGATATATCAAATTCAAAAATTGAGAGAAAGACTGTGGAAGATTGGTGGGAAAATCATTACCGAGCTGGTGATAACCTACCATCATATACACCATATAATATCACCATTAGAGCTGTAAATCGAATCGGACCTTGTCCAATAGATCCTACAACTGTAGTAGGATACACTGGAGAAGAACAACCAACTATCGTTGTCGGAGCCATAACTGTAAGTGAGGATAGTATAACAGATTTTACTGCTCAGCTTCAGTGGCAACAAGTTGATACTAATCCTGATCTTATAAAAGGATTTTTCCGAGGCTATAAGGTTCAATTCTGGAAAGAAGGAGAGAAAGAAAAAACAATGAGAGAACAAGATTTTATTCTCCGCGAACCTGAGAATCCCATACAGCCTAGAATACGCGGTCAGCAACTTTCGCGGAAAAAGAGAGATTTAGAATCAGTAGTTAAAGCTACTCTTACTCATTTACCAGCAAATTCCAGAATTATTGCCAGAGCTCTAGTTCTTAATAGATACTTCGCTAGTGCACCAAGCCCTGAAGTATCCTTTCAAACAAAACCAGGCAAACCCGGACCTCCATCTACGTTCAATATAGTCAATCGAGGTGCTACACACTTTGAACTACGTTGGACTAAGCCCAGAGAAGTAAACGGTGAACTTGTTGGCTATGATATCAGTTACCAAATTGTTAAAGATCTCAATTTGGGTAGATTGCAATTTCGTGAACAAGTATCCGATCCTGATGCTAATTATGCTAGATTAACTGGTCTGAGACCAGAGACAAACTATAGAATATATTTATACGCAGTAACAAAAGCAGGAAGAGGAGAGCCTATATTCCTCGATATGACAACGATTCCGGCATCGAGACCATATCCCCCTACATTCTCTATTACCGCAGTCGGTCGAACTTTTGTAAATCTGACATTCGAACCATCTCGAATTGGAAACCCCGGAAGTGTCTTCTATCCACAATATAGAATAAGAGGTTTCTATCATTGGACTCATGCTCCTGACGAAGTAATAGATTTCAACGCATATATCGGTGATCTTGAGCCAGGAACAACGTATCAGATTAGAATGATGTCAAAGAATGGTGAAACATTCGAGAGTGCTAGCGAGTTCCAAGAATTAAGGACGGATGGTACTCGAGAAGGGAAAGCATCAGCTAGTCAAGGCTGGCATATTGGACTGTGGATAGGACTCATTCTGGTCATAGCAATCTTCATCGGCTTTATAGTTGGTAAGAAGAGAACCGACGAATGGTGGAAGGATAAAGAAGAAGCTATTGATGATGAAATCCGAGCCTTACAATCCAGACAAGCAGCGGAGCATTTAAATATGGGATTAACGAATCAGTATGTCGAAGGGTAAGAGAAACACGAAAAACAATATTCTAGCAGCTAATTTTCTTTCCTTTTTTCGAAACAGAGTGAGTCGGGATTACGACGATTATTCAGCAGCTGAATATCGAGGGGATCAATATCCTCCAGAAACTCCAGTTTCAGAATATGCTCCTACTTATAATTACGGTCAAGCAGCAAAAGTTCATCAAGTCGAAGATCCTCAGGAGAAAAGCTCGACGTTTGTTTAGTTAATAATTATAGCTTTTTAAAGACTTTTGTTCATATGAGGTTTTCTAATGGGATTTTTTTTTTCAAAAAAATTCTTGATACATAGTTTTCCAAGATAATATTCCGATAACTATTGTTATTTTTTATTCATTTTTTTTATTATATACTTTATTAACCTATTGTATATTGATTGATTATAGTAATAAAGGTAATTATAATAATTTTATACGAAACAAGATAGAATCGTTAGTCGATTATTTAGTTCACCTTATCAGTTATAACAAATCTTTTTCAATATTACCTTTCTTATCAGGAGTAAGATAAAACTTTGTTTTTTTTGTTTGAAATATGTTTTATGAACAAAAAAAGATCTACAACAAACGCTTTCTCCATTTTCTTAATTCCCTTTCTTTTTTTTATCATTTTTGATCAAAGATACTTGACTTGTTGATATTTTAAATGGTTAAATATTTAGAGACTTTTTTATGACTTATATTTAAATAACGTATATCAGTGTTTTTTGACTGTACCTGACTCTTTTTATTATCAGTTCTCCTTTTTCTTTTACTTGAAAAATTCTTCAACAATACTTCTTATTACGTTGAACTTTTTCAAGAGAATTTTTATCCTTTTTTCTTAATAACTAATAGTCGTTTAATGATAGATTTCTTGATCTGCAATACAATCGCATTAATTAACGCCATCTATTTGAAATAATCACGTGATACATGCAGATCGTTGGCGTAGAATGTGTACCTGTTAAAGGTGATAGATAAACTTTTACCTGGTCTTTCTAACGCAAGTTGTTCAATAACCGTTTTATACTTAAATAGAAATTATTTTTAAAGGATCTTAATGGAAACTTAGTATTATTCTAATTACGTAAGTTATTCATTCAAACACATAATTCCTACGATTTCTGTTAAAGAGAAAAACTTCTTTGTTTAGAATGAAGATGAAAATTCTAATCAGTTTTTTTTCATTGCTTGTATGCTTTGTAATTATTGTACACGGAGAAGTTCAGCCACCTGCTGCCGATAATGAAAGAAAAGTAATTGTCCCTCCACTTATATATTTACAGCCTGACAAAAACTTGACTTTTGTTATTGGTGAATCTGTTGAAATGCCATGTGTTGCTTCTGGGGTTCCCGAACCGAAATATCGGTGGGAATTTAATGATAGACCATATGACCCATCCGGTGTAGGTGGAAATGTAGCCATTCAGCCAGGCAAAGGAACTTTAATCTTTGCTAAACCAGAAACTAGGGATGAAGGAATCTATCAATGTTTTGCTGAAAATGAAGGAGGGACTTCTATTTCTATAAAAGTATATATGAGAAGAGCTATTTTACATGCTTTTGATTCTAAATTACCAAGAACACTTTATCCCCGACTTGGTGCTCCCCTAAAGTTATCATGTACACCTCCGAGATCTTATCCCAAAGCAGATATTTTTTGGGCTCTTGTATCAGAGAACGATTTTTTTGTTCCGATTGAACTAACTCAAAGAATAACGATGGATCCTGATGGAAATTTGTACATTACTGCTGTTGAGGAAGGGGATAAGCAAAATGGACTAATTTGGGCATGCATGGTTAAAAACGAACTTATGCGAGAAACTAGACAAGGCGAATACAAGAAAGTACAGCCTTTGACTGGTCAAGTTCAACTAGGATCACCTACAGTTCTTTATCATCATCCTAGAACACAGGTTTGTCAGTTAAAATATTTTATTTTGTAAATAATTATTAAAGACATTATGAAAGATTGCTCTGAGAGGAGAAACGTGGAAGATTAAGTGTATATTTGGGGGTAATCCAACACCTCACATCAACTGGCATAGAGCTAATGAGCCACTTCCTGATAGGCATAAATTAGAGAGTTTTGGTCAAGAATTAGTCATAAATGACATTCGAGAAAGTGATAATGGAGTTTATCAATGCTCTGGAATCAATTCCAATAGTATAAGGCCTGAAAGATTTTCATTTGATTTAAAGGTAGAGGCTGCTCCGTATTGGGTGAATAAACCAATTTCACAAGAGATTGCTGAAAATGAACGAGCTGAATTCCTTTGCCTGGGAAACGGTAAACCAGATGTCGAGTACTTTTGGTTTATAAACGACAAGAAATTAGTCGACGCTCCTGCTAATCCTAATAGATTTGTGTCTAAAAATAAAATGATCTTTACAAATGTTACAAAAGATGATATTCAAGTCATCGCTTGCAACGTTACAAACACGCACGGTTATGTTTTCGCTAGTGCTTACCTCAATGTTCAAGTTGAACCTCCACATATCCGAAGGGCACCGAAAATTGGAATGAAATCTGCTGAGGGTCAAACAATCGACCTAACTTGCGAAGTTTATGGAAGTCCAAAACCTTTAGTTATTTGGTACAAAGGACAAGAACAGCTAACCGGAGGAAGATTTGAAATTCTACCAGAAGGGCATTTGAGAATAATAGATGTCAGTTTAGTTGACGCAGGATCGTATAGATGTTACGCGGAAAATAATCTTGGAAACACAACAGCTGAAGGTACTCTAATTGTACGAAGAAAGACAATGATAAGAATTGCTCCGCAAGATGTAGCTGTTTATGAAGGTACTGAAGCAAAATTTACTTGTTCAGCAAATACAGATTCTGAAGAAGTGAAGAACCTTAGGATTAGATGGAAAAAAGATAATGCATTCATCGACTTCGAAGAAGCCCAAAGACTGTTCCAAAACACAATGGATAACTCATTAACAATATCTGGAACGATATCCTTAGATACAAGTAAATATACCTGTGTTGCTGATAACGGTTTAGATTCTGATGAAAAAAGTGCACAATTAGTTGTACAAGGCCGTCCAGAACCTCCAACAGAGGTTTCAGTCATTTGTAGATCAAGCACGCAAGAATTAGAAGAAAATCAAGTAAAAATAAGCTGGCAAGCTCGAAAGGAAAATTACGCTCCTATTCTTAATTACATTGTCCAATATAACACAAGTTTTACACCTGATAATTGGGCTAATATTGAGACAAACATAAGCCAAACACAGGATAATATTAAAGTTTTCCTAAGTCCTTGGAGTAATTATACATTCCGAGTATTGGCTAGAAATAAGATCGGTATATCCGAACCTTCTATGCATTCGCGTGAAATGTGTTTTATCGAAGAAGATATACCAGATAAAAACCCCGATAATGTATTAGGAGAAGGTGATGCTCCGCGGAACCTGATCATTTTTTGGACTCCAATGCCTCAAATTGAGCACAACGCTCCCAACTTCAAATATGTTGTAGAATTCCAGCGTGCTGACATTGCAAATTCAAAAGTTTACAGATACAATGTAGAAGACTGGTGGGAAAATCACTTTCGAGCTGGCGATGAGTTACCCTCATACACACCATATAATATAACCGTCAGAGCTGTCAATCGAAAAGGCCCCTGTGAAAAACAACCTGCTATCGTTACAGGATATACGGGAGAAGAAAGACCAACAGTTCAAGTTGGAACAATAACAATTGATGAATCTTCTATAACAGATTCTACGGCTGAACTTCAATGGAAACAAGTCGACACTAGACCTGAAGTTATCAGGGGTTTCTTTCGAGGCTATAGAATTCAGTTCTGGCAAGAAGGATCAATGGAGGACACTATAAGAGAGCAAGACTTTATTCTGCGAGAAGGTGAAAGTCGTGTACAACCCAGAATCCGCACACAATTCGTATCGCGTTCAAAGAGATCACTCAAGTCTGAAGTGAAAGCTAAACTTACTCATTTGCTTCCAAATTCCAAAATTGTCTGTAGGGTTCTTGTTCTCAATAGATATTATGCAGGTGATCCAAGCTCAGAAGTTACTTTTAATACAAAACCAGGCAAACCCGGACCTCCATCTACGTTCAATATAGCCAATCGAGGTTCTACACACATTGAACTACGTTGGACTAAGCCCAGAGAAGTAAACGGTGAACTTGTTGGTTATGATATCAGTTACCAAATTGTTAAAGATCTCAATTTGGGTAGATTGCAATTTCGTGAACAAGTATCCGATCCTGAAGCTAATTTTGTCAGATTAACTGGTCTGAGACCAGAGACAAACTATAGAATATATTTATACGCAGTAACAAAAGCAGGAAGAGGAGAGCCTATATTCCTCGATATGACAACGATTCCGGCATCGAGACCATATCCCCCTACATTCTCTATTATGGCAGTCGGTCGAACTTTTGTAAATCTGACATTCGAACCATCTCGAATTGGAAACCCCGGAAGTGTCTTCTATCCACAATATAGAATAAGAGGTTTCTATCATTGGACTCATGCTCCTGACGAAGTAATAGATTTCAACGCATATATCGGTGATCTTGAGCCAGGAACAACGTATCAGATTAGAATGATGTCAAAGAATGGTGAAACATTCGAGAGTGCTAGCGAATACCAAGAATTTAGGACGGATGGTACTCGAGAAGGGAAAGCATCAGTTAGTCATGGCTGGCATATTGGGCTATGGCTTGGTCTAATTGCAATAGTAGCATTGCTTGTAGCCTTTGTAATTGTTAAAAAGAAAACAGACGTTTGGTGGACGAAAAAAGAAGGAGAAATAGATGATGAAATCCGAGCTTTACAATCTAGACAAGCAGCTGAACAATTGAACGAAGGTTTGGGGAATCAGTATAGTGAAGGGTAAGAGTTTTTTTGCATTATACAATAATATACTCAAACTATCATACTTCCATCACAGGGCAAGTAGAGATTACGATGACTATTCAATATCGGAATATAAAGGTGATCAATACGAGTATCCGCCAGAAACACCCGTATCGGGATACGCACCATCCTACGATTTCGATCAACCACCAAACACGCAACAAAATCAAGAATCCGAAAAGAAGGGTTCAACTTTTGTCTAGACATTGTCTTTTTATATATTGTTCATAGCTCTTTTAATACGTTATTTTGATTTGATGATTTTTAAGACTATTACTCTTTTTTTCTTTAAAAAAAAAGCCACAATGTTTTTTTGTTTTCTAATATAAATTTTATTCCTTATTTTCTCTATATACTGTACATTTTACCTATAAAGACATGCATATTGTTCAACCAGGAGAGAGGGATGAGACAACGCCATCTAACGGAATATTAGTTTCCGTAGTTTATTTATTTAGAAGGTTTACGCTAGTTTCTGAGAAAAGTTATAGTGTTTTTTGTATATATATATATACAATATATATGCATGGAAAATATTTAATAGATTTATACTTTAATAAGAAAAGAGGCTAGCGATTCTATTTTTAATGATTTACATCTATTTTTAATTTCCTTGCGTAATCGTATATAATTTAGCTATTTAGATATATACGAGAATGCAAGCATTGCGAAATATTGTTTGCGTTAGTGTGTGTATTATGCATTATCTACAAACTGGGATAATGCGGGAAACCTGGATATTTTCTAACCGTGAAATGGCCCACATATCGTGTTTTTGTATGATTCGGGATATAAACTCTTAGTTTTTGTGCTAAAAATATAAGAAAGTACCGTATGATGCTATCAAAACGGGTTTTTTTTGTTGTAAAAGTAACCTTTTTATTGTTTGAAATTGAAAGGGGAAGCAGATCAAAAGTAAATTCTTCTTTCTTCTACCAACAAAAAACGACTTTCACTTTGACACTTGAACATCCATCCATTAATAAGTTTACTATAGATGGCGCAAATCCGAAATCAAGTATCTCGATATATTTATATCTGTATAAATAGTCATTCGAAACCGTGTCACCGAGGAAAAATGAGTACAAGAGGTTTTTTCAACTATTTTGCAGTCACGTATGATATTCTCTGGTTATTGTTGAATTAGAAAGCTATAGAGTTCAAACAAATTTTTAAATTTATTAGCCTAGTGACCTCGTCTCTTTTAACCCCTCTTCCTTCTTCTTTTTTCACTCTCCATAAATTTTACTTAACGCATTCCACGTAGGTGAAGAGTTTTCTTTTAGACACTTAGAAGGTCGTTTATCATTTACAAAGTATTACCTCAAGCTGTTTCGGTAGCTTGACAATGAATAATTTAACGCGTATTCTTTCTTAAATCAATGATAATTTACCCCTTTGGTGAGCGCTTATCTAACTCTGTTTGATTGAGACCGCTTCTAATATACACCTAATTGGTACGATCGTACTCAATAGGCCTAATAAAAAAGTAAAAGGCCCCCGTAGGGAGCAATTGCTCAACCGCAGTTGGAAAGCTGCCTGAAAGGGTACCGGTCTACTATCGACGCATGCGCCATTCAATCTTGAGCGAAATTTCGCGCCACTCGCCCGGAAGGCACGGAGAGTGAAAGGCAAAAGTCTACGGACAAGGTTTTTAATGGAAGTTTTTAATCTAACAATAGTGGAAAAAGAATTGTTGATGAAATAATTGAGAAAAGTAAAACGTAAGTGGTCGTTGCGTGCGTTGTTAAACTGTTTATACAATGTATTAGAAAAATATAAAAGAATGAAAACAGGAAATGTTTTTTTATTTAATAAAAGCCTATATAGACTATATAGTAGAAAGTAAAGCGACAGAAACGCAACTACCAGCCCCAAATGATTTTCAAACATACAATTAAGTGACTTGTGTAAATCGGACTTATGCAAGTAAATTTGCTTTTGGCAGTTTGGCGCCGATACATTCGAAAGTTCGAATTATTTATAAACTTGAATATATATATATATATATATGCCTTGTATCTACTTAAAAAAAACTAGGAGCAACGAATTCCTAGTATCGACTTTGCATATTATTGCTATTCTAACAACTTTCGTCCAGGTAAGTTTTAAAAGCTTAAATTTGTTTGTTTCTATTTTTGGAAAAGGGAGATTTTTTTTAATTGCATTGTATTTTTCCTGTTTTTGGTATTAAAGTTATATTGTAGTACCATCAGCTGTGGCTGTAACTATATATATATATAGTATATATATTTATACACTGTATATATTTAGAAATATCATTGTCATACAAAGGTGTGTTCACCCGCAAACTAGTGCAGTGTATTTATGAAAACGGTATACGCTACCTAGATGTATATATATATATATATATGTACATATAGATATATATAGACTACACAGTCCCCTATCATTATTGCCGGACAAACGAAATTAACGAATCCCTAAAAGTGAAATTTGCAATCTGACACGTGTTGCAGTCACGGAACCGTATGATTGCCATGAATTCACCACTCAAAACAAACAAGTGTCAAAGGTCTATTTAGTTAATAGGAAAAGAAGTTAAGATATTGTGGTGAATTGAATAGTGAACATACATGAACTATATACATACTTTTGTACAGGCAAAGGAAAGTCAATCAGGATTTTATAGAGAAAGAAAGGGACACAAAGAACTTGATCAATAACGCTCAATATAAACCGTAAAAGCCGGCCTAATGGCAAGTAATCAGGGATCCGTAAGACCGTCCGCTTTCCAAAGAGTGGGGGCCTTCAGGTATTCGACAGGTTTTCGATATAGAGATAGCTTGGACATAAACTGTTTAGAAAGAGAAAAACCTTTGTGCACTTCGACGCCCAATGGAACTCTTAACAATAAACCTCGAATACCCCCTCGAACATACAGAAAGAAAACTTTTCAACCAGTTGTGCTGAGCAATACTGCTCCGGAACCTCGCCTGTTCCAAGAAGTTGAGTCCAGCTATGAAAATATTAGACGAACATGCAATCAATTATTTAAAACGTCTTTCAACTCAACTTCCTCCTGCCGCACCAGCATTAGACAAACTTCGCTGTTGGGCTCTTATAGAGGAAACATATCTCATTCATCGTCAGACGGCGTGCCAAGGGATCGTTCTCCTTACATTGATGGTATGTAGAACATTTTAAAATCTATAATTTGCTCTTCTTTCTGTCTTGTTCTCTCCTCCCCCTTACCCCTTTCCTTTTAAGGATGGCACGTGTCATCTATGCGCAGCTGGGGGTCGGAATGAAACGGCTCGTTGAATTGATGTAGTAGTAATTATTGTCCGACGTAAGCACGTGTCGTTGTTTTTTGTCGTGCAACATTTTATTTTCTGCAAATTCATTTACTGCAGCATATTTCAAAGTAATGTCTTTTTTATGTTATTTTTTTCCGCCAAAACGTTTTATTCAATTCTTTTCCACGTCACATAATGTTTTAACGTTGAGTGAATGTGAAAAGTTGTTAAAGTGATAAATCCGATAATTACACCCTGTTAATGAGGTTGTATTCAGAAGATGGTGAATAACTATGTGAGATAATATCGTGCCATTGCGTGTGTTCAAGTGCCGGATTCAACTACGTTTTCGTACAAAAGATTACGTTTAGATTCTCTATATTCGCCGGTGCGTAACAAAGCTCGTCGAATGTTACGTCATCGGATACAATGACACAACCCTAGCACGCGACTCTTACGAGCGCTTGATCGGAAATTTGATTGCTTAGGAACATATTTCAAACGAAAAATTATACCGTGAATAACTAATCTTCCGTTCAAGTCTCAAATAGCAAATACAACATATGCAAGATTATATAAATAATAAAGGAAATGAAATTCAATGACCGTAAAAAAAAAAGCATAAGTCGTTGACAATTTTTTGAATAGAATGCAACAACACCAAGTTTTTGTGATGAAAATTGTTTAAATTCATTCTTTTTCTACACTTGGATTTCCTTCCTTTTGGCCTTTTTTTTCTTCTCATAAATTCTAGTAACCTTACTATTTCCGCTGATAACGACATTGCTATGCGCAACGACATATATTAACTAAAGAAATTAGGTAAATGTTATAAATTGTCTATCAAAGTGTCATAACAGCTGGCAAACCGACCCGAACATTGAATGTTTGCCTTCCGTGAAAGGCGATTATAATAATACGCAAGCAATTAAGACATAAAGGGAGTTATTAAGAAGATGAAAAGAAATAGGATCAAGGAGAATCAACAATCATATTGCCGTTCAATTCAATTCGCGTATTTTTCAATCTGTCTCTAACTCTTACTCTATACATTTGTGTACATTGTTTATTACTAAACTATAGGAAGTAGCTCGATGTCAGTCATATTGAAAATCCACAATTTTTTCATATTAACAACTCCACCCAAAAGTGTAAGTGTAGGGAAAAAATATTAATTAAGTGAATTAAGGCCTGTCAGCAAACTATACTGTATTGTCCAAAAAAAAAAAAATGTACGGACAAAACATAATGTGATAGCGGTTAATCTTATGGTCTTATTGTTTTCGGAATTAATGTGTTCGTAAAAAGGCTATGGAAGAGTTTAGAAAACGATCTTATACCACTTCGTCTGCTCTTGAACGTCTCAAAGATCAGGGTCAACAGTCGAAGTGGCTTTCCGGTAAGATATAGAATCATCCTATGCGTAGAAAGCTCGCTTTTTATTGATATTCAATAAATGAACTATCTGCATCTGCGCCACATTTCTGTGGAGCAGTTGAAATGAGAACAGTGAAAAAAAGGCACGCTCTCTCTATAAGTTGTCTGAATAAATCTTTTTCCTGTTGGAGAATTCGCCTTAGAACCCGTTGTTCCAGACGTATTCATAATAGAACTATAGTTTGTATAACATTTTTCAAGTGCTGCTTGATTCAATCGAACCCAAGTGAATGGGGGTCGTGTGATAGTCTCTATACTGGCAATACGGATAAAGTTGAAGAAAGGGCACGTCCTATATCTAATTTCTCTTCTTCAGAAGATGATATATTTGATGATAGAATGGAAGTCATATGGAAAAGGTGGCTAGCGTCACACGAAACGGACGCTTTTTTGCCATCTAACTGTTCATCATCAACAGCCGCTTCTTGGCCGGAAAAGATTAACAGTGTCCCGGACTTTTTAGTCCCAATCGGTGGGCCAGAATTTTCAATTAAATTAGGGTTAACTACTTGCATTGAAATATATCTTTGTACCGTGCTATTCTAAGTACAAGGGCGAAGGAAGGCAGCTGTATTTGATTTGAGATTAAGTATTTGTATTTCGTTCCTTCACAGATGAAAGACTGGATACTATACGCCCTCTCACGTCTATCAGGAGTAGTATGACAAGCGTTCAGAGGAAAAAGGCGAAGACATATGTTGATAAATGCGCCATCTGTGGTTTTGCTGTGGGAATTGACCGAGTAACAACGAGGGATGATTTGTACCATACTTCCTGCTTTAAATGTACCAGGTATAAATGCTAATTAACTACGAAATGTCATTGATAACGACTACCTATCCACTAAACTCTAGCGGCTGTTATATTTCTTTTCTTTTGAGGTTACTTGCTTGTTTTCAAAGAAATTTTTATGAAATAGGTTTATACGAGATTTTAATATTCCCAAAAACCTACTTTAGTATATAATAATGCATATTTGATAGATACATCATATTAATATTAAAGGTAGAAAATACTCTTAGTAGAATACTCAAAGAAACATACGTAAATTTATAGGCTGGAGATGACGTACACAGACTTAGCTTACATACTAAAAAGGATGTTAACTCCATAAGACGCACACACATATATATATATATTGCATATATACACGGAAAAAAATGCAGTACAGTTGCGTACATTTACTTGTTAGCACAGAATCACACAACATGTATATCTATATATTATTGGATACAATCAAACATATTCCGTGTCCTATTCCTTTATATAACATTATAGTATATCAAAAATATATAAAGCATATACATATACAGTATATACAGCATAATATAATTTATATAGTATATGTGAATATATATATATATATATATACTGTATACTGTATGTAGGTCGCATTATACAGACGACGACGTCAGATGCGACGACGTCGGTGCAGTGCCGGTGCATTTTCGTTGGCGAAGCGTTTGGCAGTGAGACGCTCTTCAAAGACAATTAATTAGACAGGGAACGAAAAAAAGATAACAAAAATTTACTGTACTTTAGTAAAGAAATCGTAACGTATGTGAAGGTTTTAAATTTGATGGATAACTTCTATTATTGCTTTCTTGTGGAAGGGGAAGATGGGGACGATGAAGAGTATATATACATTTATTTATATTTTATATTAATACATTTATAAATATATATATATATATATATATAAATTTATATACAGTATATATATGTATTCTAATTTGACTTGTATAGTACGCATTTATAAACTATTATATTATTTTTCTTAAGATATTGATTACCTATTGATATTATATCATATAATTTATTGTACTTTATTTTTATTATAAAGATTATACATATTTAGTTAAATAGATATTTAATATAGAGAATTTATTATACTATCCCATATTTGTTTTTTTTGCAAAGCTCTATATTCTATATATATACATTTATATATATATATATTTTTATATTGCCATATGCAACTTCTTTTTCCTAAAGTAACTTAATTATAGTTTTATTATGGCTGTCTCATTTTTTTCAGGTGCGACGTTTCTTTGTCAATTCGTAATTATAGGTAAGATATTTTTTCTTAAAATTTTTTATTATGAAAAAATTATTGATAGTCTGTCTATTCGCCTGTCTCTTCGTCTGTCCCTTTCTCCATTTCTCTTTGTATGTCTTGCTGTCTTTCCCGCACGCTCATTCATTCATTCATTTCTGTATGTTTCTATCTGTCTTCTTCCTTACTTTCATTCATTATTTCCCTTATAAACCTACGTACAAACATACGCACACGTACACAGATATTTAACTATCCTACATACATAAATGGATACAATGTTTCTATTCTCTCTTTTTCTCTCTATTTCCTATTGAATGAAACAAGAGAAAGCGCGATTGAAATGAGAGAAATGAAATAAAGTTGTGAATATGTTAGTGTGAATAAGTTTACGCAACGACAAGATGATGCAACATTTGTCAGGCTTCGAAGCTCATCCATGAGAGACGTAGTTTTTGACAGCTTTCTCATGAGTAGATGATGTCCAAGTAATTCCAACGGAAAATAACATATAATAACACTTAGGCCTAAGTGTCGTGCAAAATATATTTTAACTGGAAGCGACAAGAACGTGACTATACTGTACCATATGGAAGTAGCTCCGATGCCAACAGTCGCGTACATATTCGTACATGTGCCTTACATAGATGTCATATAGAATTTCTTTAGTTTCGTTGAAAAAACTAATTGAGTCTATTAATCCTGAACTATGACTATCTAATTATTGCCCAATTGATATCATATATCGTGTATAGACCTCTTTTGATTTTTCTACTTTTAGTGTCACCAGTAATTAAGATCAATTTCAAAGTTACGTACAGCTCTTGCGTATTTTACCCCCTTTTGCAGTTGAAATTTGCTAGAAAAACGCTAGGTGTCGCTGACCAAAAATATACATAGTTCGATCTCTAAAAGCTTAGTCATCCCTGTAAATCATCATATAGTGTGGTATTAGAGGCATTTAGATCAATACGGCAGTCGAGCCAAGTCACACTCTATACCACAACAGAAGGGGAAAATAAATCTGAAGAATGAAATCTTTAGTTTCGCCGCCAACTGCCCTCAATTGAGCTGTGAAGCGGATTGAAGATCAAACGGAATTTTTTATTAGGCCTACGTAGGCAAAGAGGATTATCACCAACCATATACAGTACATTTATATATATATATATATATATAGTATATATAATAATAATAATATTATAGTATTTTTTTAAAGTTAAAAATAGCATATTCCATACATTTTTAATACAAAATTTAATTTTAAGCATAAATAGTAAGTAGATATATTAGTATGTAAATATACATACATAGTTATACATATACGTACAACAAGTATATTTGTATATATATATATATATATATACTTTATACACGTGTGTATTTATATTATATGTATTTATATGGAACTTCCAAGACTAGTAAAGATATTTTTATTTCTTAAGGAATTAACTAAAAGACTATATATATTGACATGAATAATCATATATAAATATACTATATATAAATATATATATATCCAGATAAATATAAAAAAAATATATGACGACTGTATTGGGTTATGTTATTCAAGATTTGTACATTTAGTATGATTTGTTTTTCCGCATTTCGACTATAATATTGTTAAATATTGATTGATTAACGGATGAAGTTTCTATAATGCTGTCCTGTGTACGAAAACGTAAAATAACGGATTATGCTCCATTATGTAAACTGTCCGATAGACAGAAGTGTTCTTGCCATCCTACGCAGGCGTCACTTCAATACAGACGTTCGTTTAAGGACTGGTGGCGTTTTCACATTCGTAGGTTTGTCAATTTTTTCCTTATTGTTCTTTTGTAGTTCGTTTTGTCACTGTTATTGATTACCGCTAGTCATTTGACGGTTAGCGCGTATCTTTCTTACATTTAGTACAGTCATTGTTTGCTTATGCGTAATATTAGATTCAGTGACATCCTAAGCTAGGATGAGAAAGTGGATTACTGTTACTACCTGCGCCATCTACTGTCTATGAAAGGCAGTGGAAAAAATTCAGGGTCACGTGATACACCGACCCTCGCCTCCTTCATCAGACAGGCTATTCGCTTTAAAGACAGTTATGATACCGTTGACGATTATTCAATTAAACGACTCGTATATAGAAGTAGTATATTTCTAATATCAAACATGATCTATTTCTTATTTACAAAGATTAAATCTATAAATAGATAACAATGTAAGTATATATACTACTTTTTTATCACTAAAAATTACGCGTTTGTCATTTGTCAAAGTTTCGTGCAACACTATATCCAAAAGTAAACATGCTTAACGCGTCGCACGTTTAAAGAGATTAATGAGCGAAGGATAGCGATATACACCTACGCTCTAACGTCGATTATCGTTCATCATTTAACGTATTAATTACATATGAGGCAATGTCAGAAAATTTTCTTGACACTAAATCAAAAGATGATGCTTGCTTATTTACGTGATATTTTATATCTTTTCACAAACAGGAAAAACGGTATGGATGGACAGTTATACTGTGAAAAACACGCCACGTCCAACCAACCCACGACATCCGATGAGAACGAAGCAAAGGTTAGTGCTTTCATAGGCCTGTAGGGGTTAAAGTTAACACGTGACGCTTTTCTTTGAGAAAATATATTTAAAAAAAAAAGAAAAAACTAACCTCAAACACTTTTCTAAATTGTTTACTTTATTTTTTTCTTTTTTTTTTTTTAATAAAACAAAACTATTCTTTTTTTCTTCTTTTGCTTTCTTCCTTCTTTTCCTACTTTTCTTTTAATTTTTAATTTTTAATTTTTTTTTTGTCTTTTTTTTTTAAATTTGTTCAATTTTTGTGAACAGAATCAAGAACAGTTCTTTGATTCGTTGGCCAGGATACAAGGGTGGGTTACCAAACAAATTTTTACCTATTTTTCTTACTTTCTACTTAATTATGGCTATGTATATATATGGCTTAATAATAAATAATGAGCATTGCATGTGTTTATCTTCTCTTAAATGGAGAAAAAGACTACTTCTCTCTTTTAAATATATAAATATATACAGTATATATATATATATATATATATGTATATACACTTACATGATATTTTTAGTTATTATATACAAAGAAAAATCTTCTCTTAAATCCTTTAATAACTTATTTATAATACAGAAAAAGATTGAATGACCAACGCTGCGCACTCCCTGCTTTCTTTCAGGTATATAAAAATCCATTTTGCTTATTACTACTTTTATTATGACTTTCTATTAAGAGATGTAAGAAAAAAAGAAAGGTAGAAACTATAATTAATACGAAATGTTAAAAAGAATACGACTATGTCTATTTCACCTATGTTAATTTTAATATCTTCTTTAATTAATATCTAATTATGAAAGAAGATCCTTAACTTTTTATACTAATATATTTATAAACAAAAACCTACTGAAACATGTTCAGAGTCCGGATTTTATTGAGGCTCTACTCCAATGGCAAAGTCGGAGGATTGACGAACAACGATGCGAATTGGTTCGTGCAGATTGTAAAACACCTTCCTTATACCTCGTCTACATCTTACCTTTTTTATTATTTATTTATTTGTTTATCTACCTAAATACGTACATAGCTCTTCCTACCAGATCATTTATCCGAATCTTTTTTTATCTATTTATAATTTTTTTTATATGTTCCTCTATTGTTATCTTCTTCTATTACTTACGTGGAGTGGTAATCATTTTGTAACCTTATTTTTTGACCCACTTTTTATTGCTTAAAATAGATCAAAAATGTAATTATTCCTCCTTTTTACTTCCCTTTAATAGAAAGAAACGTATTCACCGAAAGAGCGAGAAGATAAACAACCCTCCGTAGTAATACTAAGTAAACGGAACGCTGATGAGACGCTATTAAAAAAGGTAAATTAAGTTCTTGGAGAATTTGAAAGGAAATTACCTTAAAAGAGGAATTTTTTTAAGATTTTGACTACGGAGGGTCCTTATCCAATGATTGTTATGCCTGAAAAAGGTGGTTACTGGATAGAAGAGTGTGGAGAATCGTCTGGAAAATATGAGCTAAAAGTCGATGACACAACCATCCTTTATCGGAATTGCTTCTTGGGAAAGGAGCATTTTAATTACTATGGTGTAGATGATAAACTTGGCCCCCTCGTTGTGTCAGTGAAAAGAGAATCTAATAAAGATTCTGATAAAGTACTTGTTATACTCAGGTTGGCTACTGCAAATAATAATAATAATAGTCATAGTAATAATAATAATAATAAAATACATTAAGGACGTCTATTTAAATTATTTTGTAATCTAAACAGGATGAAACGCTCAACCGTCTACCGCCAATTTTCGGATAGCGAGTCCTTAAAAGCAAATACGAAGCAGTTAGTCACCAAGATGTGCTCGGATATAACAACAGATAAATTTACACCAGTCCTATATCATAACGTATGTTGTTGGCTACATTCTGTGTTGTGCACATATTGTAATTAATTATCTTATCTTTTCGTAAGGCTTCTCAACGGATCGTTGAATACGATGAGCACGTAAAGATGAAAAACTACAAGATCGGTGTGATTTATCAGAAAAAGGGTCAGTGTAGCGAAGAAGAGATATTCGGGAATAGCTTACATACACCTGAATACGATCATTTCCTTAAGATAATTGGGCGTAGAATAAAATTAAAAGACTTTGAAGGTTACCGAGGAGGTTTGGATACCAATCACTGTCACACTGGAGAAGAGTCTGTGTACACGGAATATGAGGATAAACATATCATGTTCCACGTCTCCACCCTCTTACCACACGATTTCGATCCTCAACAGTTACAGAGGAAACGTCATATAGGAAATGATATTATAGCCATAGTTTTCCAAGAACCTGGTAGTGTTTTTGTTCCAACTCTAATAGCTTCCAATTTCCTCCATGCGTTCATTATTGTACAACCAGTGAGGACAAATGAAGGTTTAAAGTATCGCATTGCCGTAAGCGCTCGTGATGATGTTCCGCCATTCGAACCTAATTTACCAACGCCTTCACTTGTTCCCGTAAGTCATGTTTTTTCTTTATTCTTTTGTCTTTTCTCTTCGTCTTTTTACTTTCTATGACTAAAGAAAACTTGTAACAAATAGGAAAACCAACTACGAGATTTTATTATCACTAAGTTGATTAACGGAGAGAATGCGTGCTACAAAGCTCAAATCTTTGCCAAATTGGGAGAGAGAACGAGAAGTGAATTATTGGAAACGCTATACGAAAACTTACATACCGCCAACGTACAAGCATTAGGTCCGCTCGCTGTCTCGGCCTCATCATCGTCGTCTACTTTATCGGCGCCCCCGAGCGCGGTATCAACGGAAAAAGAGAGTTTCTTCGTTTCTGTAAAAAGAGCGTTAGGAGGTAGTAAACGGAGTCAAAGCGTCGACTCGAATCTAGCGAATTCGAATAAGAAAATGAACAACAACAATGGATTTGTATCACCGCCTCTGGCTACTGTCGGTGAGTCTGATAAACCACGAAAGAAATCAGAAAAGAAAAGCTCCAAAACAAGTGTTTCTAGCGAAACCAGGTACACAATTTTTACAATATTTCCCCATTACAACTCTTTATTTTCCAGAATGAGTTGTCGTTTGTAAAGCTAATCTTTGTATTGTCTTTATTTCAATATAAATATTTTGTGTATATTGTATATGTATATATATATATATATATATATATATATATATATATATATGTATACAGTATATATATTGTAAAGATAAATTTACAATGTACAATTATGCAGTGTTGACGTTGCAAGTTTGAGTTCGTATAGGACAGCATGTAGCAGTACATCTCCCAATTCCTTACTACCATCACCATATACGTCGTCTAGGTAGTTAATCAATTATTTTACTTTTTTTTCATTTAAATCATAATCTTGTTTATTTATTTATTTATTTATTTGTTATTATCATCTCTATTAATAATCAAAATTATTAATTATGTTTCCTTTTCTCTTTTTTCCCCCTCCCTCCTTCCTGACCGATCGTCCTCCTTTCTCTTTGCCGACAAAACAAAAACAATCAAAAAAATTTAAAAAAAAGGGTATTATTTACGACGTCAAGTTCCAATAGCAGTTTTAACAGTAATGAAGACCTTTTGGAAACAACGAACGCCTTACAAAATCTAACAACCGAGGATAGCGATACGGGCATGGTAATTAAATATAATTAAATAATGAACAAACAAGGATTAATTACAGGAATAAACTTAATAATTTTTTTCTTTTGTCTCTTGTCCTTTTACGTAGGAGAGTATGTCATCTTCAGAAACTCCCAGAGATCTATCGAAACAGCTAGAAGAATTACAGAAAAAGTTGAAAAGGGTCAATGACGAAAATAATACGTTGCACAAAAGATACAAGGTAATAATATAAATTACTTTATTTTATCTCTAAGATGAGGAGAGCTTATGGAGAAAACTAGCCTATTTATTTATTTATTTTGTTTATTTACCTTAGTACGCTGTTGCTGAATTAAAAAGATATAAGGAATCAGAGAGAAAAACAATAGAAGAATTGGAACAACTCAGAAGCCAAATGGATCGCATAAGAAGTCAAAAAGAAATCTAGTCATATCCTAGTCCTGCAGTTGTTCCTTCCTGTTCTCTCTTTCTTTTCTCGATATTTAAGTATATATATATATATAATATGTATATTATATATTAAAAAAACCAAATTCTATATACAAAATCTGTATATATATATATATATATATATATATATATATATATATGTAAAACTACAAAAAAGATAATTAAGAAAAAAAAAACCATTTTAAATAATATTGATAATTATAATAATTATTTTAAATCGTGTTCCAAAAATGACTGCGTTAACTCTGTTTTATTTTCTCTCTCTGCTACAATTCTTTCAAATCACTTGAAAGCTACCTTAAGTTTATTTTTTTTTATGGTAACATTGGGAGCATTCGTGTATATATATATATTACCTAACATATTAATAAATGTTGTGGGGTGCTAATGAATATTGTTAGAGAGATGGCAGCACAATCATAAATCTCTCTCTCTCTCTCTCTCTCTCTATCTATCTATCTATCTATCTCTATAGAAAAAAGAAACAATGTTCAGTATTTATTTATTTATTTTTTTAATTTTTGCTGAGTCAGTAATCTTTTTTTATAATTACTTAATTGATTCACGTTTCCCCAATATTTATAAATTGTCACGAATCGAATTTAGCCAATGTCCTTGCAAACAGTTTTTTTTCTCTCTTTTTCTCTCTCTCTCTCTACTTAATCTAATAAAAAACGAAAAAAAAATCCTAAATAATCCCAATTAATTATTCAGCATATTTAAAAAAAGGTACAAAATTACTACTTAAATAACGTATTCCATCTTTTCCTCCTCACTCACTCGCTCACTCATTATATCTTGCCTTTTTTTTTCCATTTCTTCCAGTCGTTCCCCATTCCACTCTTCTTCCTTCTTATGATTGTCTCCTTGCTCTTCTCTAACCTCTTTTCAAGCTATCCCTTTCTTCATTTAAAGGTGAAAATTTTAGCAATTTTTTTTTATTTGACTAGATTTATTTCTTCTTTAAGATTAAATTATAGATTTACTTCAAAGAAGAACTTTAATATAACTATAAAAAGGGATTCCATTGCGTAATAAATATGTACAATTTCTTTTCGAATGGAGGGAAAATATGCCTAAAAAGAGTAGCGTTTAGTCGCAATTTATTATCATCACTATTATTAGCACTATTAGACTCTTTTATTCGTTCTACCATTTATTTCCAAGATTATTTATGCAACTATATTCATAAGGTAAAGGAAATATAATGGAAAACTAATGAATTCAGTTACAAAAAAAGGAAACCTCGTCTGAGTAAATAATAATTACGAATTAGGTTCGTAGATTGCTTGATCTTATGGAAAATAGCAAAGTTCATATACGATTTTCGACAAAAATCGCCATCTGGTGTGTATAATACTTTGAAAATAGTTATGCTATTAAAGTTTATTGTAATCAATTTCCAATATTACAAGCAATTTGAAAGAGGCTTAGCTGCATTCAGTTCAGGGTTTAACTGTATTCAATTCAGGGGCAAATGCTTTATTCATATCTACTGTAGTTATAGAAATAAGCTAGTCTTTTTAACTGTGACATTTTAGAATTACTTTTATCTCTGCGAATGAATCTCGAAATTGAATTTGTCATCATATTTACACAAAAAAGAAACTAACTATTCGTATCTCAAAGAGAAATATACTCTAACCTTTTTCTATTATATATTCACAGGAAACGATTCGATTGATTATTTTCGATGATTAATTATCATTTTGAACAGAAATGAACAAAACTTGACTTTTGTTTCTATATTTTTTTTCTATGGCATTCGCACATTGATCTTTTAAAGTTCTTCTAGAATTTCATCGGCAATTTCTTTATAATAGTCCTTTGGTTTTATACATTGATCTAACGTATCCCAATGATATTCTGGTTTTGTATACACTTTCGTCCAATTTCTACTAGCATGAAGATATTCGCAGATATCGCACAAAAGGTTTTTATTATTGTGATGTACAACTCTATAATCCTTTTTCCATTTAAAATACTCATTATAGGCCGTATCGTTTTTATCCAGGTATTCAATATACTTTGCCAATAACTTCGGTGATCTGAATGATTTGACATTGATGAATGAATGTTCAGGTAGAATTTCTTCGTAGGCAACATTTCCTAAAACAATAGGGACAACATGATGTTTTAACACTTTATATGCCTTTTCGGTTATATAGTCAGTGCATAATGAATTCTCAAACGACAAATAGAACTTATACTTTTTGTCTAACATTTCATAACATTCATTATCAGATTTAGTTCTTTTACATTTGTATCGTTTATCCTTCCCGCAGGCTCCATACACGTGTATTGTCATATATTTAGATAACTGATTACCGTAAATTTCTCGTTTACTCTGGGTCTTACAATGGCTCACAAACCAAGCAGCTAACTCTGTTTTACCTTCTGCATAATTTTTATTTGGTTGGTGGCCCTTTTCACCCGGAGGTTCGTAATGTCCGTAGGGTGAATAAACGTCAGAATGACGTTTAAATGTCACAGTACCGTTGAATTTATTACTCAATCTTCTTACATTCAGCAAGGCATGAACGTTTGATTCCATAGCGTGAATTAACCACTTTTGTTGGGGAGGTCGTCTGAAACTAGGAAAAAGTTTACTTTCTGGTAATGATCCAAATCCAGAATTGTGAAATAATACAGCATCTGCCGTCTTCAACTGTGACCTGTCGGCTGTTGCTGTGCATCTATCAATCCTGCATCCTCCTTTAATAAATGGTTGCCTACAAAAATTCGTTGAACCGCAATTCAAGGAAACAATTATGAATAATAAAACAAAGCCCTTCTACTGCCCCCTCCATCCCCTCAAATATTTACCTTCCAAAACCGAATTGCCAGTCGCTTATAACTCCATAAAAATGAATGTAATATAATATTGTCAAGACTTTTTTCTCCTCTCTTTGATCTTCAGGTATTGTTCCACTAATGTAGGATCTTCTATTTTTTCTCAGAGCATCAAAAAATTTCGGCCCTATTTTTGTGTTGAGGCTTGTGTTCTTTCCGGGTGAGTATTTCTTCCAGGGAAAAACAGGTTGTCGGTTTAGAAAGACGTAACGATTCAATTCCAGACTTTCTTCTTCTTGTTCAGACAGTTGAAACTTCTTAGATTTGATTAGACTTACCTGTTTCGTTTGACGAATTGCTATTACAATTTTTACGAATTGACTCCGAAGTAAGACAATAACAATTAGAAAAGCGGTAATAAAAAATAAAGTGCTTTTCTTTCGCATTTTAGTATTTCCAAATACACACAGTCAATAAACTGTTATACTGACGATAGTATTGAGAACATTCTCTATTGATTCATGTTTGTTTTCAGAGTGCCTAGCAATATGTAAATAACCTGGGTTTAAATTATACTTTATTTTCGATATAGGCAATATGTTATAGGCCACCCTGTAGAATTTTAATTTTTGTAAATTTTAGATATGAAGATATTAGTGAATAATTAGTTTGAATTGATAATAATAATTATTAATATGTACATTTTAATATCCTTAACAAAAAATTATCAAATAACAGTTTTTCTTTTATCAAATACGATTTTTGTAAATATACCTCGAAAAAAGGGGGCTCGTTAAAAAGGAGTCACGTTCTATTTTGTTAAATGTTTTACTTAAAAATCTATCTTATGACCTTGTTTTACAGCTGATATACATAGGTAATGATAATATATTATAAAATAATAGTAATAATAGTTTTAAATCTTTTTAATATTTTGTATGGCCACCCCTATTGAAAAGGCATAGTCTCAGTCTCTTTGGAAAACTATTGAATAATTTTTTGATATATTCAGTTGGAATATTTTCGAATTCCTGCTCAGCTACCCTCCATAGATCATCTACATTTGTGCACAGGTGTTTACTTACCCTACCTTTTAGAAATGACCACAAGTTTTCGATTGGGTTAAGGTCTGGACTCTGTGCTGGCCAGTCTTCCAGATACTTTACCCTCTCTTTCTTGAGGTAGTTTAGGGTACTCTTTGATGTATGGCAGGGAGCACCATCCTGCATCAAAATATGAGACCGATTATAATTCGGCAAAACGGATTTTTCAAGAATTTCCTGATATTTTTCGGAATTCAAGCTACCCTTGTACAGATGAATTCCTCTGCTGCCATCACTCTTTATAAATCCCCATATATTTAGGGAACCATTTGCCTCTTTAAAGGTTTTAATGCAATATTTGGCCTTGTACCTATCAGATGGATGCCTTCTGACAAACTGCCGTCGTTTTGGATATAAGTCTATCCTTGTTTCATCAGAAAACACAATGGCATTAATTTCATCTGTGGTCCAAGAGAGGAGTCTTTTGCAAAAATTGTGCCTATTTGATACATGCCTTTTTTTTAATAGGGGTTTTTTGGTTGCCACATAGCCTCTCAAGTTGTGCTTCCTTAAAATACTCTTGCATGTTGAAAGAGATATCACTGATGCAAAAAGAGAGGCTGATAAGATTTTTTTTGCACCCCAAAATGGATTTCTCTTTGATATCAGGCATAATTTTCTCTCATCTGCATCATTTAATTTGTGTGGTCTACCTGATTTTGATAAATTATCAATAGTTTTATGCAATTTGAACTTTTTCCAGATCCTCTGGGCACATCTGGAAATTTTTAGAACTTTCGCAGTTTTATTCAATGATAGCCCTTCTTGGTGTTTTCCAACAACCAAATGACGAAATCTATTATCAATTACCACCATTTTGAATAATAACCAAAGATACAATTATAATAAGACAATTTCCTTATTGATTAATGCACTTCAGCCCCCTAGTTTTCGATTTCTTAGAAAGTGACTCATTTTTGACGACCCCCCTTTTTTCGAGGTATATTTACAAAAATCGTATTTGATAAAAGAAAAACTGTTATTTGATAATTTTTTGTTAAGGATATTAAAATGTACATATTAATAATTATTATTATCAATTCAAACTAATTATTCACTAATATCTTCATATCTAAAATTTACAAAAATTAAAATTCTACAGGGTGGCCTATAACATATTGCCTATACTGTATTACAATAAAATAAAAACTGGTTAATGTAAACTGAATATTCAAAAAACGCACAATTGGTTTTTTCCCCTTTTCCGTAAGATTTTCCAAATTACTGTAATCATACTAAAAAGTCAAAATATTCTTGTCAAATTTTTTCAGTATTTAAAAATCAAACACTTTTCCCTCGACTTTGAATATGTAAGTTTTTCCGCGGTTTTTTAAATGTCAAATTAACAACAACTGTAAAAAGTTAAGCGTTTTTCATAATTCTGTTAAATATAACTTCTTTATCCATAGTATTTTATCTAATTTTAGTTTGGCTTAAAATTCGTAAAAATGAACAGACTAGTAAATGAGAGACAAAAATAAAAGTTTAATCCACTTCTTCAATTGTTGGTCCACTTCCAGAGCCTGCTCCGGGGGCACCTCCAGCTCCTGGGGCACCACCAGCTCCAGGGAATCCTCCTGGCATACCACCTGGCATACCTCCTGGGGCTCCGCCAGCTTGATATAATTTGGTTATTATTGGCATGCAAACACTTTCTAGCTCTTTTTGCTGGTGTTCAAATTCATCCTTTTCGGCACTCTGATTTGCATCCAACCAGGCAATAACAGCAGTGCACTTTTCTAAGATCTTCGTCTTATCTTCTTCACTGATTTTATCTTTGATTTTTTCATCTTCAATAGTTTGTTTCATATGGAAGGCATAGCTCTCTAGCGCATTCTTGCTCGAGATTCTTTCTCTTTGTTTTTCATCCTCTTGTTTGAATTCATCAGCCTCCCTTACCATCTTTTCAATATCTTCCTTTGACAATCTACCTTTATCGTTGGATATGGTAATTTTATTTTCTTTCATTGTGCTCTTATCAACGGCTGATACGTTGAGGATACCGTTTGCATCTATGTCAAAGGTAACTTCGATTTGTGGAACGCCTCTCGGTGCAGGGGGGATTCCAGATAATTCGAATTTACCCAATAAGTTGTTGTCTTTCGTCATCGATCTTTCACCTTCGTATACCTTTAGAAAAAAAACAATATTTAGAACAGAATAACTAAGTTAGTCATAATTGAGCTAATAATGTAATTCAGACAGCCAAGGAAGATTTAGAACATCACAGATTTCAGGGGAAACCGCGAATGGTGGGCTAGCTAGACCGGTTTTCATCATAAGAGTTCGTTGATAATCTAAGTGTTCAAAGCCGACATACCTGAATTAAGACGCCAGGCTGATTATCACTGTAGGTGGTGAATGTTTGAGTTTGCTTAGTTGGAATGGTAGTATTTCTCTTAATCAAGGCAGTCATTACACCTCCAGCAGTTTCAATACCCAACGAAAGTGGTGCTACGTCAAGAAGGAGTAAATCTTGAACTTCTTCACTCTTATCCCCCATTAATATGGCTGCTTGGACAGCTGCACCATATGCAACAGCTTCATCCGGATTAATTGACTTGTTCAATTCCTTGCCGTTAAAGAAATCTTGTAGAATTTTCTGAATTTTAGGAATTCTAGTGGATCCTCCAACCAGGACGATGTCGTGAATATCCGACTTGTCCATTTTTGCATCTCTCAAAGACTTTTCAACCGGCTCCAATGTACCTCTAAATAAATCAGCGTTCAATTCCTCAAATCTCGCTCTGGTGATGCTGGTGTAGAAGTCAACACCTTCAAATAATGAGTCAATTTCAATTGATGCTTGGGCAGATGATGAAAGTGTTCTTTTTGCTCTTTCGCAGGCTGTTCTTAGACGACGTACAGACCTCTTATTACTTGATATATCTTTCTTATGCTTCCTCTTGAATTCTTGAACAAAATGATTTACCATTCGATTGTCGAAATCTTCGCCGCCCAAATGAGTGTCTCCAGCAGTGGACTTCACTTCGAAGATTCCATCCTCAATAGTAAGTACAGATACATCAAATGTTCCACCGCCCAAATCAAAGATCAACACATTTCTTTCTCCACCAACCTTTTTGTCCAAGCCGTAAGCAATGGCAGCGGCAGTTGGTTCGTTAATTATTCTAAGAACATTTAAACCTGCAATTGTGCCAGCATCTTTAGTAGCTTGACGTTGAGAATCATTGAAGTAGGCTGGAACTGTAACAACAGCATTAGCAATAGATTTTCCTAGATAAGCTTCTGCGGTCTCCCTCATTTTCGTCAAAACCATAGAAGATATTTCTTCCGGAAAGAATGTCTTTTTTTCGCCTTTGTATTCTACTTCAATTTTTGGCTTTCCACCATCGTTAACAACATCGAAAGACCAATGTTTTTTGTCGCTTTGTACAGCAGGCTCTTCGTATCTTCTACCAATGAGTCGCTTAGCGTCAAAAACTGTGTTGGATGGATTCATAGCTACCTGGTTCTTTGCTGCGTCTCCGATAAGTCTTTCACTGTCAGTGAAAGCGACATAACTTGGAGTTGTTCTGTTTCCTTGATCATTAGCAATAATTTCAACTTTTCCATGTTGAAATACACCAACACAAGAGTAGGTTGTTCCCAAATCGATTCCTATTGCTACTTTGGACATTGTAGTTGCCGCTTATTCTGTGATAAAATATTACATAAAATAGCCATGATGCATTCGAGAAAATTCGAAAATGCAACAGTCTTTATAATGATATTTAATGACTGTTCTAAGAGTTATTCCCATAAATATAAAGTACTTACGTTTGAATATTCAAAAAAATAAACTTTTTACAAAAAGCGCTAATACAGCAAGTTCTGCTTCAGAATGTGTGCAATTGAAATGCCTTAACGAATATATAGCCGGCGGATGTGACGCGAGAGTTCGGGAACTTTCTAGAATTCTACCTGTCCAATTCCATTAGTTTGAGTGATATTTGGAAGGGGAACGCGTAACATAATACTTTTTATGCTAATTCTCGTAGCCGTATTTCCTGTCGAGTAATTTCGAGAAAGTTCTTTGTTTTTTTTATCAGTTCGAAAGTTCCTTCTATTTTTAGTTTTAGTTTCGAAATATTTAAATTGAATTTAACTTTAAGATCAAAATGTATTAAGAAAACACTAAATTTCTGATGGCCAAAGAACTACAATAATATAAAAACTCCCAATTACTTTAACTTAATTTTAAATACTTCTTGTATTAAATTTATTAAAAACAAATATAAAGTTGGAATCTTTGAACTTTTATTCATATTATTTGAATTTTCATCAGAAAGAAAACGTGGTTCGTTTGAACAAAACTGGGTTATTGATTCACCTGGTTAAATAATAGATCGTATGACGCAACGCAGCTGACTACGTCCTACCGAAATTATTACCTTTTCTAGAATATTCTATAGTAATATATATCACTGCTTTTTTAATTTTCAAAAGAGTTTTTATAAAATTTATCATTCTAATGTGTAAATTGAAGATACTGAACGACCAGAATACATAATTCTCAAACAGTACCGTGCCTATGATATTCCTTAAACATAAAAAGCAATGTAATTTCTTTAAGCAAGTTTCATTTAATTTTAATCTTTTACATAAATGTTTAGTTAGTTCTCAGCTCATTTCGGGAAAATTTGCATTTGAAAATCACACTATTCAGGTTGATTATTCGGAAAAGACTAATGTAAAATTATATAGGGATCTGTGAAAGCGTGCTTAAGTATTTCTTTCTCTTTACTTTTTGTGGTCTTCTCCGAATTCCTTAGAATCTTGGGGCTCCACCAGCTTTATAAAATTTGGTTATTATTAGCATACAAACGCTTTTTAGCTGTTTTTGCAGGGCGTACAATTTGTCCTTTTCGGCACTCTGATTGCAATCCAACCAACAATTAAATCAGTCTACTTTTCTAAGATCATTGTCTTATCTTCTTTACTAATTTTACATTTTAATTTTTTCATGTTCGACAGTATGTTTCATTTGGAGAATATAGCTCCCCAGCGCATTCTTCCCTTTCCTTTTTGTTTAAAAACTCATCAGCCTCCTTCACCTTCCGCTCAATCTCTGCCTTTGACAATCTACCTCTAACGGTTGATACGCCAATGTTGATGTTTTCAATTTCTTCGCAGAAAGCAATATTCCAAACTTGGACTTGAAAAATGTACAATAAAAAATTTATGAAAGACGGTGAACAATACAATGGGGGTTTGTGTGTAAAACTTTACCCGTCCCAATCAATTGAATTAGACGATATTATAAGAAGGGGAACTCGTACCGTAATCATAAAAACTTTAATGAGCGTTTTTGTAGCCACATTTCTTGTCGATCAATGTGTATTAAGAAAAAATAGACTTCTTTTGGCCTATATATTACATTATAAATAAATTCATATTTATTTAACTTAATTTTTAATAGTAATTATATTAAATTTTTTAAAAACAAATAGAAAATTGAAAGCTGTCAACGTTTATTCACAATGTTTGAATTTTGATTAGAAAGAGAATGTTGATGTTTTCAATAAAACATTTCTATTGATACTTTCCGTTAAATAATAGATAGTACACGCAATGCAGTTGATTGTTTTTTATATAAATTGTTAGCTTTTGTATGAATATCTATTGAAATATAATCATTTTCTTTAGTACTCCAAATGATATTTAATAAAATTTATAATTATGCTTTGGATCATTTCTAGTACCAACTGGCCTCCTTACATATTCCCTTCGACGAGGATGGAGTTCAACTTTGCTCTCGTCACTGAATATTACTTTTCTCCACATATTTGAGCTCCATTTCAGTTTATGATTGCAAAACTGTATCTGTTTTTTAACTTGCTTCCTATTTAAAGCTGGCTTTTTAGCTGCAATTCTCCCATTTAATTTGTATTTGCAGAGAATTTTTTTTACACTAGAGAGTGAAATCTTAATTGGAACAGGTAAATTTTCTAGAACTTCTCTAGCTGTCCATTTTGGATTTGCTCTGCATGTTTTTGTGAGTTGTAACTCCATCCTCCTAGTGATTTTGCGTGGTCTACCAGATCTGTGTAAATCTTTTATTGTTCTAAATTCTTTAAATTTATTCTTGATATTCTGCACTGTCGCAGGGCTGCAATTAAATTTTGCTGCTATGCCTCGAATGGTCATTTTTGGCATTCCTAGGTAATTCAGGATACTTTTGCGAATTTCTAGTGATAGGCGACGCATTTTTTAATTATTTAAAAATAAATTGTATATTCCGAATTCTTTGTAGAACAGGGGTACAATATTTGTATGCAACTTTTTTTTTCAATGACACTACTCATAATTACGAGGTCATAATGATGATGTTATAATTATTTAATAGTAGTCTAAATTCATAGTATTGTAAAAGAGAGTGAAAAACTGATTCTTATAATATAGATATTTATTAGAAATTTTGTATCATGTTTCACAAGTCATCTATCCTACAGAAAAAAATATCCACAACAATACTCTATTTTTAAATCAAAATATTTCGATTTTTAGACATTTTTACTCTTCTTATAGTTACTTAGTACCGCGACTGTATAATTTGGTTATTATTGGCATGCAAACACTTTCTAGATCTTTTTGCTGGTGTTCAAATTCATCCTTTTCGGCATTCTGATTTGCATCCAACCAGGCAATAACTTCAGTGCACTTTTCTATGATGCTCGTCTTATCTTCTACACTGATTTTATCTTTGATTTTTTCATCTTCAACAGTTTGCTTCATACCGAAGGAATAGCTCTCTAGCGCATTCTTGCTCGAGATTCTTGCTTTATGCTCTTCATCCTCTTGTTTGAATTCATCAGCCTTTCTTACCATCTTTTCAATATCTTCCTTTGACAATCTACCTTTATCGTTGGATATGGTAATTTTATTCTCTTTCGTTGTGCTCTTATCAACGGCTGATACGTTGAGGATACCGTTTACATCAATGTCAAAGGTAACTTCGATTTGTGGAACGCCTCTCGGTGCAGGGTGGATTCCAGATAATTCGAATTTACCCAATAAGTTGTTGTTTTTCGTCATCGATCTTTCACCTTCGTATACCTTCAGAAAAAAAACAATATTTAGAACAGAATAACTAAGTTAGTCATAATTGAGCTAATAATGTAATTCAGACAGCCAAGGCAGATTAAGAACATCACAGATTTCAGGGGAAACCGCGAATGGTAGGCTAGTCAGAACGCCTTTTATCATGAGAGTTCGTTGATAATCTAAGTGTTCAAAGCCGACATACCTGAATTAAGACGCCAGGCTGATTATCACTGTAGGTGGTGAATATATGAGTTTGCTTAGTTGAAATAGTAGAATTTCTCTTAATTAGTACACTCATTACACCTCCAGCAGTTTCAATACCTAACGAAAGTGGTACCACGTCAAGAAGGAGTAAATCTTGAATTTCTTTACTGCTATTCCCTATTAATATGGCTGCTTGGACAGCTGCACCATATGCAACAGCTTCATCCGGATTAATTGACTTGTTCAATTCCTTGCCGTTAAAGAAATCTTGTAGAATTTTCTGAATTTTAGGAATTCTAGTGGATCCTCCAACCAGGACGATGTCGTGAATATCCGACTTGTCCATTTTTGCATCTCTCAAAGACTTTTCAACCGGCTCCAATGTACCTCTAAATAAATCAGCGTTCAATTCCTCAAATCTCGCTCTGGTGATGCTGGTGTAGAAGTCAACACCTTCAAATAATGAGTCAATTTCAATTGATGCTTGGGCAGATGATGAAAGTGTTCTTTTTGCTCTTTCGCAGGCTGTTCTTAGACGACGTACAGACCTCTTATTACTTGATATATCTTTCTTATGCTTCCTCTTGAATTCTTGAACAAAATGATTTACCATTCGATTGTCGAAATCTTCGCCGCCCAAATGAGTGTCTCCAGCAGTGGACTTCACTTCGAAGATTCCATCCTCAATAGTAAGTACAGATACATCAAATGTTCCACCGCCCAAATCAAAGATCAACACATTTCTTTCTCCACCAACCTTTTTGTCCAAGCCGTAAGCAATGGCAGCGGCAGTTGGTTCGTTAATTATTCTAAGAACATTTAAACCTGCAATTGTGCCAGCATCTTTAGTAGCTTGACGTTGAGAATCATTGAAGTAGGCTGGAACTGTAACAACAGCATTAGCAATAGATTTTCCTAGATAAGCTTCTGCGGTCTCCCTCATTTTCGTCAAAACCATAGAAGATATTTCTTCCGGAAAGAATGTCTTTTTTTCGCCTTTGTATTCTACTTCAATTTTTGGCTTTCCACCATAGCCAACAACGTCGAAAGACCATTGTTTTTTGTCGCTTTGTACTATTGGATCTTCGTATCTTCTACCAATGAGTCGCTTAGCGTCAAAAACTGTGTTGGATGGATTCATAGCTACCTGGTTCTTTGCTGCGTCTCCGATAAGTCTTTCACTGTCAGTGAAAGCGACATAACTTGGAGTTGTTCTGTTTCCTTTATCATTAGCAATAATTTCAACTTTTCCTTTTTGGAATACACCAACACATGACTTGGATGTTCCCAAATCGATTCCAATTGCTATGCCAGACATTATAGTTGTCGTTTTATCTGATAAATACGAAATATCTACGCAGAATGCAATATTTCAAGCTTGGACTTGAAAAATGTACAATAAAAAATTTATGAAAGACGGTGAACAATACAATGGGGGTTTGTGTGTAAAACTTTACCCGTCCCAATCAATTGAATTAGACGATATTATAAGAAGGGGAACTCGTACCGTAATCATAAAAACTCTAATGAGCGTTCTTGTAGCCATATTTCTTGTCGATCAATGTGTACTAAGAAAAAAATAAACTATTCACAATATTTGAATTTTGATTAAAAAGAGATTGTTGATGTTTTTCATAAGACATGCATATCGATCCATTCGATTAAATAATAGATCGGACACGCAATGCAAGTAGTTGATTGTTAGTTATAAAAATTGTTAGCTTTTGTACGAATATCTATTGAAATGTAATCATTTTCTTTAGCACTCCAAATGATTTTTAATAAAATTTATCATTATGCTATGTAAATTCTAGGTACTGAACGATTAGGAAACATCATTCTTAAATTCTACAACGTTGCGTTTAATCAATTTGAAACTTTTAATGTAATGGTTTTTTTTTCAGCAGGTTTTTTTATTTTAACCTTGTATCCAAATATTTTGGGTCTGAGCAGTTTTAAATTTTTCACGGAAAATGCTAAAATATTAAAGTCTCCAAAGATTATTAGATTACCGGCAAATAAGTCACATATTGTAGTGGACGTCATAGTTTTACATCATCAAACTTATCCAGTAGGTTACGAATGACAGTATATATATTTGTTTTGGTTTTTATAGCTAAAATTCTGATGTGATTTTTAGGAAAATCTCTTAGACTATTTAAAAGTGATTATGGAAGACCTTCAGAGTAAATTAAATAATGGATCTGTTACCTACGTTTTTGAACATCATACTGTTCATATGGATTGTTCCAAAAACGCTAGTGCGAAATTAATTAGAGAGCTGAACAGGTATACTTACAATCTTTCACTGCTTGGTTTTTTTTGAAATAATCTCTTTAATTGGAAGTTATTTCTTTTTGCAAGTATTATGATAAGGGATAGGGGAAGATGCCGAATGATCTTAGCAGGCTCTTGCACTGAATTTTGTCGAATTATTGAACAATTTAGAAAGAGCTTTGGCTCATTTTCCGTCCCTCTTGGTTGTCCCTATATAGATGAAGAAGGTAGAATTTATATATCTCAAACAAGGGAAGAATTTGACATGGTTATACTGAAATTAATGGAGGTAAGTATAAGATATAATAACAGATAGATATATTATTTTATGCTTTCTAAACATTTAGTATATGAGATGGGAGAAATTGTCAGTTGTATACAGTACGTCAGAGATTTGGCACGAATTAGCTGTTAGACTAAAGCAAAAACTTTCTGGAAAAATCGAGATTTTTCTCAAAGAGGGTGCATCTAGAAAAAATGATAAAGAGATTATTAAGAATATATTTGATTCTTGCCATAGAGGTAGCAAGTTTTTATTAAAGCCTATAAATTTATGAACGTATTCAAAACACTAGTCTTTCTCATGCTCGTCGATCCATACGAAGTACAGTATTATCTTGAATACGCTGAAAAAGCAGGATATCTTAAACGAGGATATCAGCTTATCCTTGTGAATGTCTATTGTAAGAGCTTTCATGTTTGATCAAGCATAAGAATAATTTATAATAGCTTTTTACTTTTCAAAAGCTATGTATGACTTTGCCTGGGATTTAGACGATAAAAATCTATATAATGCATTTACTGGCCAAATGAGTATTGTCGATAGTATACCAAACTCTAAGGAATATCATGATTTTGTAAATAAATTCAAGCTATCAGATGATAGGATGGGATCTGGTCCATATAGAGTATAGCGCAATATCATATTTTTAAATACTTAATATTTAGTGTCTCATCCACTCTACCCTTTTATTTTAATATAAATATAGACTTGGAATAGTCTTTTGACTCTATACTTTTATAAAACATTCGAGTATTATGCAAATTACTTGGCATCAATAAATTCAAGTTCATTAAATGAAGAATTTAAATGGAGCATGAATGTTATTAATCAAAAGCCTAGCTTATCAATTTTGTTGGGAGCTGGAAAGTACGTAATAGAATACGCTAGATTCGACAACGGAAATCTTACAAAGGTTTACGAACCTCTGACTGAAAGGGAATGTTTTTCCGGAAATAAAACTTATCCAACTATGGATTGGTGCTCCAGAAAAGTAGTAATGCTCACCGAACAGAAAATAAATATTGGAACTTTAATTGGAATATGGAAAGTTACAATAAAGTTTACTAAAATGTCTAATATAGTAATATTAATACTTGTTAAATATAGGATTGCATCAATTCTTCCAATAATTCCACTATTTGCCTTTTACGTTATGTACTTGATAAAAGATAGAAGACTAAGAACCAATCGCGATTGGTTAGTTAACTTAGAAGATTTAGAATTGACGCAAGCTGATCTGTTCAGTGAGAGTGCGAAATTATCACCCAGAATAGAAACTTATAGTCGGGAACGAATTGACAATACAAGTAGATTTCACTGTAATGTCGCCCTTTATAATGGTAAAATGATCAGCATAAGAAGAATTTACACTTTCATTAATCTTACGGATCGTAGTATTTTATCAGAATTTGTTCAGGTTTATTATAATAATTTAAAGATTTTCCCAACTTATGATAAAATCGGAAAATAGATGAAAGAAATGACGCATGTAAATATAAATCCCTTCTATGGGGTTATAGTAGATCCTCAATTTACTTGCATAATCTCAGGATATTGTCAAAAAGGTTCTCTTCAGGAAGTATTAGCGTCTAGAATTTTCCAGCTGGATGATGCTTTTAAATTATCCTTCGCTACTGATATAACTGCGGGCTTAGATTATATTCATAATAGTTTTCTCCTTTCTCATGGAAGATTGCGTAGCAGTAATTGCTTAATTGATGAAAGATGGACTGTAAGAATATCGGATTTCGGATTGAATGCTCTTCGTTCAAAAGTTTTACATTAACTAACAAATTAGGAAATAAATATTAAACAGACACGTCTTTGTAGGAAAATGATCCTCTAAGGACTGAAGAGGATGAGACTTTGAAACAACTTTGGACGGCTCCAGAGCTCCTAAGATTAAAAGTACCCCCGATTAATGGAACAGCCGCTGGTGATGTATATTCTTTTGGTATCATATTACAGGAAATACTTCTTGAAGCTCCTCCCTTTGTTATGGAGCTCTGGGATCATGATCCTAAGAACGTGTTGTCAAAAATCAAAGAGATAAGATTTCCGCCATTTAGACCATCTTTGCCAAAAGATCAGCAGGAAAGCGTATTAACTGATTTGATGAAAGCTTGTTGGGAAGAAGAATCTACTTTAAGACCTCGTTTTCAAGAAATAAAAAATACATTGCGCCAGGCGAATAAAGGGAAACAATTTTGCATAGTTGACCACGTTATGGCAGCCATGGAAATCAAAGCAGAAAAGCTTAATGCAAACGTCTCAAAGCAGAGACGCTATTTGAAGGCTGAAAATGCAAAGGTCAACCACTATCAACTGAGACTTCTTCCTGTTCATACAAATGAACTAGATATATTAAATGTGTCTGGTTGCCGATATTTAAGACACAATAGAGTTGCTGTTTGTCTATTCTCTTTCACAAAATTACATAAGTGCGCTAATGAGATGAAAGTGGGAGACTTTGCCCATTTTGTCACCAATTTACACAGAACAATTGACATCGTTCTGGAATCTAAGAAAGTATGTCTAGCGGGGCAAATTGGACAATCTCAATTAGCATTATGTGGATTGTCTGCTTTTACCAATCAACCAGTTCGTAATATGATTGAGGTGATGTTTTTATTACGATCAGCTGTGGAGCGCGAATCTTCAAAAGTAGAGATATCAACTCAAAATGCAGTAAAATCAACAATTGATGTTGACGTTGGACTACAGTTAGGTATTCATGTTGGCCCAATCTCTACACTAAGCTTTCAGATAGTTCTAAATCATATCTGTTTTGTTGGAAATGCTATTACAATTGCATCAGTTGTTAAATCGCTCTCTGTTCCCAATAAGATAATAGTAACAAATTCTGTCAGGGAAGCTTTATCATTCGAAAATGAATATGACTGGCAACCTGCTTTTAAATTGATAATTAACTATTCCATGTCGCAATTTGTAAGTGTCAGTTTTATATGAACTTGTTTTAAAAAGTCCTTAGTTACCAACTTCATTAGACTAGGTCCGAATATGTGTGCTATTCTGTTAATTATAAAAAGACGAAAATAACGACCCCTAAGCAAATTGTTGAGATTGTTAAAGCCTCCCACGATCCTCCTGTAATAATTCTGGAAGAAGAAGATGAAATTAGCTGTGATGAGACCCTGAGCGGGTTTGTCCAACTTGAACCTGTTGCCGTACCAACACCCGAACAAACTAAAAATTTATATTCGAAATTAGGTTTTTAATGTTATAATATGATAAAAATAAGCGGATTTCTTACAATAATGCGTTTTTACAGAAAAAATGCCATCTGAAGAAGTCAGCGAGAAGCAAACTCCTAATGGTTCTGTTGTGGAGGAAACTATTTCTTCTATAAATGATAGGAATGAACGGGAAAGCTATAAAACAACCTTAACGTCCAGAAAGTCGTCGTCTGAAAAAATGTACAACTTGAAAGAAGCAATTGCGGTATATTTAATCAACACATTAAGACTATTAACAGTTTAACAGCTTTATCGGTTGAATACTTCAATCTAACACACTTAATGGCCTTGAGAAGTTTTTTAATATTCCTCTTCTATAAATACAGTAAATAATTAAAAAAACTGCTCTTAGGGTCCCAGCGGATTGTCCGAAAAATCAGATAGACGACCAGACACTGCAATTGCTGCAGAGGAAGAATGGAAAAGTTTACAAATGAATTTACAAACGGAAATTTTATTAACTCCCAAGCTCCCTTCGAAGATAACAGGAAGGATAGGAACGCCTTCATTAAAAGCTGATTATTCTGACGAGCCCGATTTAAAGACATTAGCTGAATCAAGTAAAAGTACAATATCTACTTCAGCAAAAAGATCTATTACAGTACAAACACAACAATCAACATTAAAGGAGCTAAAGGATGTAGAGACTTTAATTGAAAACCCACAGGTTTTTCAAAGAGATGATGTAATATCAAAAAATTATTGTATTATATCAACTCAAACGAAGAGAAGTGTATTGTATAGATTAAAGACATCACACGAACGATTTAAGCCGTTCTATTAAAATAATAGAAAAGAGGGGAATAGAAAGAAAGGAATAGAGATGTAAACGGAAAAGAAGACGAAGAAAAAAGATATATATATATATACATAAATTTATATATTTAAAAAATCTTAAAATAAATAATATAAAGAAAAAAAAAAGGAAATTTGGCAAGTATAGAGCATGCCTGAAAGAAGATTTAGTTCTGTTGTTTTAAAGTAAACAGACAACTTCTATTTACGAAAGAAATTTAAAGTAAAGTTTGTTCTCTAAAGTCACGTAAGACGACGAATTAGAGAAAACTCATTCAAATTTTAGTATAATATATGAAAATTCAATTAAGTAAAAATAGAATTTCTTTTTTTTTTTACATTGTTATATATGAAAGAAAAACTGCTTGTAAATGATTAATACAGTATAATTACCTTAAATATACCAAATGTACAAGTTTGTTATCTAGGTCATATGTTGATAGGTATGTTTATAAATTAGGAGGTTATATATATACTGCATACAATGAATAGATAATGAATAGGTTATACAGCAGGTAGAACAATTAAATAATATCTTATCTATAATTTACATTTCAGTACTTTTAAATAGAGTAAAACATGAAAGTAATGATAGCAACTTATTTCTATAGCTGGAAAATTTTTCTAGGTGTGACAGTAATTATCCATACGCTTCTAACGAACACAATTTACAAAAGAAAAATAACATTATATGAAATATATTAATCATCCTCCCTTTCATTTTTATTCTATTGTGTACTATGTATTAATATAGTATATACAGGTATATTAATTGTGTTATACTCTATTTATTTGCAGTTTGTTCAGTCTATATAAATGTACAGTATATCTTCAATATATTTTAAATAATATCGTATGATATTAACATAAAAGTTTGTTTCTTTTTCATCTTTCTCCCTCTCCCTCTCTCTCTTTCTCCCTATCTCTTTTCCTAAACTCTATTTTCTATTTTTTATTAAATATAAGATAATTTATTCAGATTGTCTTAAATGCAATATTACTCTTTACATAAAAACTCTCCCCCTACACGCCATCTAATAAAAAAAACTACTAGAAACAAAATCTCAGCAGTAATAGATTTCCTTTTACTTGTTTGTTTTCCTTGTCTTACCTGAGTTCGCATTATTTATGGAAATAGCTTGTCGTATGGTTAGGAGTAGGAATTACTCTAAGAGAAGGATAAAAGAAACATGTATTTTATCCTTCTAAAGATGATTAGTACGGTAAGAATTCGTTTAGTTTGTAAAATGCATAGATTGTAAAATGGAATTCTTACATTTAAATGATATAACTCTACAGAGCCTGTATTTTCAGGAATTAAATAAAAAGAAGGTCTAATATTGAATTATTTGGAAATTTATGTTGAAACTTCCTTTATTAATATTAATGATGCCATGAAACTTTATTGAAGTAGAAGAACTATCATTTCTTTTTAGCATACCGCCAATATTTGTGTTCAAAACATACCAAACATAGATATTTTAATTCGTGTAGTTGTATAATAGACTTTATTGAAAATATTATATACCTGTCTCATTTATGTCATATTTACGAATAAAAATCTGTTTCTTTTTGCAACAGCACGTCTTGAGGCTTGAAAAATAATTATTTGCAGCTTTTTCTGCTAATATATCTATAATGAAGCGTTTATTAAAGTATCACGTATGTCTAATTTATTTATGTGCAGATAATAAAGAAAATGGCTATTTATAATTTTGAATAAACTTAATTTAGAAAAATCTATAAAGGTTTTTAATTGGTAAACTTCACTTTGTTGTTTCTTTGGAAAATTAATGAATTCATTAGAAGATGTTGACGAGAGTTTTAGATTTGTGTTACTCTTAGCATGACTGGTTTCTGTCAACAATCGAAAAAATACTTTGATTTTGAGCTGAGGGAAGCGGTACCTTATTTCCCGAATCGGTGTTTAGATCGATTTATTTAAGAACTCGTGGTTTGATATTTTTATTAACTACAGGCAGAAAACGATGAAATAACAATGAAAATTTTAAATTACGACGATTCTTATTAATAATAATAGACACTTTGCGCTTAGTAAATATTTAAAATATGGCGTGCAATGCCTTGTTTAAATTTAGATTTTCATACTACCGGTATTTTCGTTCGATGAGGTATACCTCAACTAAAGCTAGAAAGTTAAATGTAACTGTACCAAATAAAGAATCACCAGAAAAGTTTGAACCATCTACCGCGGCTGAACTTTTTATATCAAACGAACGCGAACGGATTTTAAATGAAACTGCTGTGGATTTCAACAGACTCGAAAAACTCTTTGAACAATTTGACATTATAGATGAAACAAAAAAAATTGAAGAAAGTAATACTACGAAGCCAAAAAATTTACCATCTCAGCCATCAAAAATTATTGAGGCAATTGAAAATATTGAATTTGATAGTGAAAACTTTGCAGAATCCATAACGTTGGCTTCTACCAGAGATGTTCAAGGTATTTTAAATGAAAAGAAAAAGCCACTTTTACGCGGTAGTCCAGATCCTACAACTCCCATTAGCAAAACTCCCTGTGGAGGATGCGGAGCTTTCCTTCATTGCCAGAATCCAGGAATTCCGGGCTATATGCCATCGGAGCAGTTCAAAATTATTCCTTCTTATGAACTAAGGAGCCATATATGTCAGAGATGTTTTATGATGAAAGAACTGAATGTCGTAACCGATTTAGCTTTGCCACCAGAAGAATATGAAAATGTAATCAAAGAGATAGAGAATAAAAATCATTTATCTATAATAGTAGTAGACCTCTTGGACATGCCAAATTCATTATATGCAGGTTTCAAACAGCTAATAAATAAAAAACAACCAGTTTATGTGCTAGGAAACAAAGTAGATTTAATCCCGAAAGATGCTCCCGGTAGGTAAATAAACATCAATATAAAACAGATAATGACCCTTAGCATCCTCATCCAGGTTATTTGAAGAGGATCAATAATACGCTCAGACATTATTGCCAGAAACTGAACATTGCTCCTCAAAATAAAATTCACTATCTTGGATTAATAAGTGCTAAAACTGGTTACGGTATTGAAGACTTAGTAACCAAATTACTAAAGGATTGGAAGAGAAAGGGTAAATACTTAGAATGAGTGCCAAACGGGCTAATCGCCTTCTACAATTTGTTTTTTAAGGTGATATCTACATCTATGGCTGTACAAACTCTGGAAAATCAACGCTTTTTAACATTCTTCTAAAGTCAGACTATTGCGATAACTGGTCAAAAAATTTTGTATTACCTGCAAGCACTTCAAATTGGCCAGGTTTTTAAAAAACTTGTACTTATTTTTTACTTATACATATTATATATAATAGTTTTTATATAGGAACAACTCTAAATCTCTTAAAATTTCCTATTATGGAACCGGCTGATTGGAAGATAGCAAAACGGGAAAAGCGCCTCAAAAGATTATATAACGAAGAGAGAGAGGAGAAGAGAATAGAGAATAAAAGACAAAAGGATTTAAGAACTTCTCCGTTATACGGAGAAATCGAGTCAACTTTACTACCTCATCAGCTACTTATAGAAAACGAAAACGATATGAGTTTTCTTATATCGGATAGTACATATGAATATAATTCTGAAAGTAATTCAGTTCAAGCTAAAATTGATGATCCAAATTCATTTAAAGCTGCAAAATATGATGACGACAAGTTTAAGAAACAGAAATTTTGGTGCTACGATACACCTGGATTAGTAAATCCAGATCAAGTAAATACAGCAATTTCTTTTGTTTATATTATGTATGAAAAAATACTAAATTGACTCTAAATAGATCATCAACAATCTAACTCAAGAGGAATTAGCGGCCATTATGCCGGTTAAATTAATAAAGCCAAGAACTTTTCTTATCAAGCCAAAACAAGTTCTTTTTGCTTCTGGGTTAGGAAGAGTAGATGTTGTAGAGGTATAAACTGTATTTATTTTTCTTTAATAAGAAATTAAAGTCTTTTTATTAACTTGAAGGCAAATACTTCTATCTACTTAACATTGTTTGCCCAAAATAACCTTCCGGTTTTTATTAAAAAATATGGAAGGGAAGCTGATGATTTTTACGAAGAGCATATTGGTTCAGAGACTCTAACAGTCTGTATTATATAACTTACATGTTATTTTTTGATAATTTAACATAATCTATTGATATAGGCTCCATTAGGCGATTCTGATCGTCTAAATACACTGTCAAGTTTGATAGGTAAAGAATTCGTTATCACTGGGATTGGTTGGACAGAGAGTGTTGTTGATATAACTTTATCTTCTTTAGGTATGAAAAATAAAATGATTTGCTGTTTTTCCTCAAAAATATTTAATAATCAACGTAAAATTTTAGGATGGTTTAGCATAACTGCAGGAACAGGAATGACCGTTAAATTAAGAGTTTACACCCCTGGGGGTGTTGGTATTCACCAAAGAGAATCGCCCATATTACCATTTGCAATTAACAATAAAGGAAAAAGATTAAAGCAAAGTCAAGAATATTCTCAACTTTCCCAACAGTTATAATATATTGACTTCAAAAAAGACTTTTTAAGGTTTATCAGTTACCATCATTGATATTTACTTTGTATTCACATAGATTTTGAAAATTTGCATTATTCAATATATATATATATATATATAATTGACAACATAAAGCATATAAACATTTTTATAAAATTGTTAATTTGATTAAACTGGTCCCTAACTTTTAAACAGAGAAAATTTGGATTTCTTTGCCATACGCTTGCATTGCGCTTGATTTATACTTAACTTTTCAACAGCGTAAGATTCATCTACCACAGCGAGTTTGTCACCAAGATCATCATAATCAGTTGTCTTATAGTCAGAATTGTAAGCTGCAAGACTACTGACTTCCGAAAGAGCTTGACAATGCCTAGGAGCCTGATAATTCTGACCGCCCCACCTGCATTGAGCAGTTGTAGCATGACCAAGGGCTTCTTCTATCTTACCAGCAAGGATATCGTCAGAAATTTCTTTTTTACCATTGTCAGTCGCCTGCTTAACAACGTCGTCTACTTTCCCCTGTAATTTCTCCAGACTAATTTGTTCTTGAGCTGAACCGATTATTACTTTTGCCAGAAGCCTTGCGTTTGCCAAGGGTATAAATTGTCCTCCAGTTATGTGAGCTATTGTCATAAAAAAATCTCTACACTTTACAGCCAGTGACCCACATCCGACTGTATATAAAGTTATTCCTTTTTGGGCAAGTTCTCTTGTAATGTTGATGGGATCTAATCCATCTGGACAACCTCCAGGGAAACCATCTCCATGACTTCCTAAGCCATGCGGAGGAGCATCGGATATCATAATGCATATTTTAGTTGATTTTTCTCTCCAATTTAGCTTAAGAAGTTGATGCAATGCATCAGTTACAGCTTCAGGAGCATCGCCTCCTCCAGATGCAGCGCTTTGGGACAACCATTTTTTCATTTCACCAATAGATGAAACAAAATCATGAGTCCTAGTAACAAACGACTTATCCTGTGGAGGATGGTCTCTGTACTCAACAAGACTCAATTTAATATCACTCTTTTCTGAAGCTACAATTTCTTCACAAATATTCCAAATGCTATCTTTGGCTGCCGCAATATATGAACCCATACTGCCAGTACAATCCATAGCGAAAGCCAAATCTAAAACAGAACTGTCATGTTCAGCCAACGACGGCTGACCAACAGATTCAACATTAATCGAGTTATCACTCTGAGCCATGTTTCTTTTCTATTGCTTAGAAAGTAAAATTTGCAGCAAATCTGACTTGAATCAAGCTTTGATCTGATATGAAAACTAAGAAGCAGTGAGCCGCTTTATACAATTTATCTAAACTTGCGAAACGTTTATACTATATTGCAAATTATGACTAACGATCATTCATACACATCAAACCTGCTGCCAAACACTATTATGAGAGGAAACTACCTAGATGAGTCATAAGCAAATATGTTCAACGCAAGCAATTTCTTTCGATTGCGCAATATCTACGTAACATAATTTAAATATTTAGGCTTCATTAATGATGTTTATATGTAATGTGTCATATCAATTTTATTTCCCAACGTAAAACTCTTTCATTTGTATTTTATCTTTTTTTGAATCATAAACAACAATAATTCATACAGATTTGTTTTCATTGTTACTTTCCTTTCGTAATCTTCTCAGAAGAATTAATATAGTTAATATTAAATTCTAGTAAAAAGAAAAACAAGGAAAAAAGAAAATAAAATCGAAAGTAGAGCTTATATTTTTTAATATCTTTTAGATTTGAAAAAAAAACAGGATATATATTAAGATGTAAAAGGTATACATATCTAGTTTATATTCTTTGGGATAGGGGATTTGAATTTTTTATAATAAATCTTTACAAAGTAGACTCTGCTTAAGATTTTGTTTTTATTTTGGTTTAATCTTAAAAAAGAAAGGAAAGGAAGAAAGTATATTCTCTCTATCTTCTCTTTTTTTTATCTTCTGAAAGATGTGTACTCCTTTTATTGTTATTCCCTTTTGTAGATTGGTATGACGTATTTATGACCGAAAGGTGATTGATACGATATCCCAACCTGCCTGAAAACTTGCTTGGGAATAGCTACATCGGATAGGTACATTTTGCCACTGAATTCCGACAATTTTAGAGGAAGTCCTAAACTTAGTGAGCACTTGGGATTCAAAGCTGGCTTGTGAGGTTCCTGCGGTGGATCCAAAGCTATGATAGGTGTCCTTAATTTCTCTGCCCAAATCTTTGCTTCAATACACCAACTATGTCGTTGATTCGCGTCAGTACTACGGTGGGAATCAACGCCGCTAATTACCATATCAACCGTGTCCTTCGGTAGGTCTGCAACGCTCCTGATAAAATTTGATCCGGTTGACATGTATATCCTAATTTCATTCTCGAGGATTGAACAATATCCGGCCGAAACAGATTTCGGAACAAAAAGCGTTACTTTAATACCGTGGCAGGATAGCTGTCTAGCGCAATTAATGGCCAATGCCCCCTCAGGATGCGGTCCGGCCAGGACAACAACAAAAGGAGTTTGATGAGCGTTTGCGGGATTTAGTCGATTCGCACCTCCTAATAAGTTCATTACCATTTCAGCTGCAGATCTACCACACATTTCAAGACGTTTTTCAACAGTAACCCCAAGTTCGGCGGCCTTTTCAAATAAATCAATCCTCTTAGCCAAACTTATTGCGGGTATAACAATTCCAGAATCTGATGAATTTTGTGAAGGTATAATATAAAACATAAACATAGTAAGACTCTATTGTCGTTACCTGTTAAATAAGAAGAATTGATACTAGAATCACCAATTCGAATCTGTTTCAACTCGGAATCTGCCGAAGCTATCACATTTTCATCACATCTGTAGGATTTTTTAGGAGTTTCTTTCATTATATCTTTACCCTCAATTTTTTCAAATTCTGCTTTCTTATCAAATAATTTATGATTCTTCTCGAAATCAAATTCTTCGTGATAAGATTTAACATTATCATTAAATGTTTCAGACCAAGGTGTTCGCCTATGGGAGTCTTTTCTATTATTACCGCCTTTTCTTCCCTGTCCTTGGCACATAGGACTCAAACGTTTCGAAGGGGATTGATGCGATTTCCCTTGAACACAGTTGGCTGGAGATTTTAATTGTTCTTTTCTCTTCTCCTTGAGTTCTTTATCGCTATTATATTTTTCGGATTTTGTAGGTTTTTGAAAGTTAAAAACAGTGTTCTTAAGCATTTCTTTAGCTTCTTTTGCGCTTTTCAGTAATCTTAGATTTACAATATCTGGAGCTCTGTAAAGGAACAACACTCGTTTGGAATATTTTTTTTATCTTAACAGAAACACTATTTAAATGTAACAGGAGCCTTTTTTTGTTATTTGTCAAATTCTGAATTGTATAGATAAGATGTCTACTGCAACTTCAAAATAGTAATAATAACAGCAATAAAGCTTCAATAGCATCTATGCATAAACTAGAGAATATATTAATAATGTTTGTATAAAAAGAATGCTTACAGAATGGTTACTTTCGGCATATCGCATTGTACACCGTTGTGAAACGCGTGAGATATCGTGAGAGCCTGATGAACCGGATCAATACTATCAATTATCCCTTGATATGTTCCCAGTTGTTCAACGCATTCTATAGATACCATGCATCCAATATATTCTGTAGACATTTTCTTGGCTTATATTTGATTATAGTACGATTAAAACACAGAAATTATTGATCAATCTGTTTACAAGCGGTCAGTAAAATATACTTGATTCCTGATACCAGTTTTTATAAACACATATTTTTTTGGCGCCAAATGTTTCACACTTACCTTATATTTTCAATTTGTTCGTAAATGTGCGAACAACTCTTAACTGAATGGTCAGAAACCGTTCTAAAATTCTCAACTTACGTAAGACAAATGAAGATCTCTTGTAATATATTATCTTTGAAAAAAAAACAATTGGTTAAACATGATCGTTTTATTCTTGCAGACATTTAAGAGGCTTAATGTAAAGCAATAAATTGATAGGGTAACAATAGCTAACGAAGACGGTGACATTAAAAGTTTCTTTCAAGTAAAAATGACAAGATAATATAGAAGACTTACAACATCCTGGAAATTATTTTATACCGTGCTTTATCTTCTAAGTGGAAGAGTAAATTATTTTATTGATCATGAAACGTAAAGATTCTAATATACAAAATCATGGCGGATACATGTCTACTCAATATTGCTTTGGAAAATTATAAAGAAGAAAAACTATTTGCAGATGTACAATCGGTAAATTCTAACGTTTCAACAGAGAATAAAATCAATTTGGATGATACAAATGAAGTTTGGAAGACATCAGAATCAAATCATTTACAATTGTCATTAAAGGACGTATATCCATATAAATTCGAGGACAATCTACCAGTAAGAATGAATCCTTTATTCGATAACGAAGCTGCTTTTGGATCTGAAGATGTATAAACTTTTCACATGTTGTTAAAAATATGATTAATTTTTTTAAAATTAACAGCAACTTTCAAACGTCAGCTTCAATTCAGATATAACAGTTCTACAAGTTAAGAAAAATTTAGCTATTAAAGTCTTGATTGATAAAATCAAGCGAAAAAGAAGGAAAAAGAAAATTAAGTTAATGATTTTATCGTTGATAATTTTCTTGAGCATTTTAACAATTATAATTATAACTTTAGGCATTCTTTTAAAATAAATGTCTTATTTTATCGCTTATCTTATTATCAATATTCATTATATATCTTAGTTCAATTAACAATTTTTTAGCATTTTTCAGTTCTCTTTTTTCAAAAGCGTCTTTCAAAGAAGAAATGATTGACTCGATTCTTAATTTATTTTCTTTATCCAATTCCATAAGGGATACCTCATCATTGGAACTTTCAATTTCCTCATTTATTTCCATCATACTTAACAAAAATTCTGGTTCGGCAATAGTTTCATCTTCTTCAAGGTAGACTTTGTTTTGCTCAAGTAGGTAAACTCCTCTGTCGAGAGGTTTTTGCAAAGTTGTATAGGCTTTATTTATCAGAGAACTTTGCTGTTCAGAATATTCTTTTTCCACCTATAAAAAGTTGAAACTTGATATTGTATACTCATTTTTTTTCGTTTCACTAATTAATAATTAATTTACCGGTGATTTATTCGCAAATTTATCGGGATGTAGTCGCCTCTGTAAGTCCTTAAATTTTGTAGATAGGTCTTCGTTATCAACTTGAAAAGTTTCTTCAATATCCATTACTTTAAAAAAATTCTCGTTTATAGGGGGTTGTATCACTCCACATTCACAAAAAAATTGCTCAGCTTGTTTGTGAATGATTCTTTGACATTTCCAGCAAGATCTCGTGCAATAAGATTTTTTTGAAAGTTGCATCAGTTTCTGATTACCTGGAGTCTCAGAATTGTTATCTTTTTTAAAAGTAGAGAAATCATTCCTTCTCACCACCTTCGATAATTCATTTATAGTTGAATTATCATATTTTCTCAACAAACTAAAACAACGCGATACACGATTATACATTTGATAAAATTTTTCACAACATGCAACCTTGACTTTTGACAAAATACTCGTTCTTTTGTACCAGTTTACAGCCAAATGTACGATTTTTTACGATCACGATATTTTAATCGAGCTCGCAGTAATTATTAATTTGGCCCTATATATATATAATCGATTTTTAAAAAAAGCCGATATATCTATATAATCCCATAGATCAGTTGGTTGACTTCCGGATATTGAGAAAGCATAGGCTACGATTACTTAGTTTAAAACGTTTAGCTTACTCAGTAAGTCTCATTATATCTATATATATCTATATATATATATGATTGTCTTGCAAAGACAATTGTGCTCAAAATGTATCGGCACCAATCTATATGTTTTGTACCCGCTTCAAATAACCATGATCAAGCTAAAGAGAAAAGTTTAGTAAAAGAGTCTAACGAAATTCGGATCGGAGAAGCAGCTAAAGAGTTCTACAATGAAATAATAGCGGAACCTTCCGAGCAGGAAGTTACTGTTAAAAGCTGTCTGGAGCCTACAGATAATTCCAACGTAGAAACAAATTGTACAAAAACTGAAGTGCTAAAGAGTAAAAAAATTCTACCATCGGACTCGTATAAATATTGTAATATATTTTTGAAACATGCAACTGATGGAAACATTGAAAAACTGAAAGAATTGCTTTCTAAGGATTTAAATATTAACATACAGGATGACTACCAATGGACAGCGCTAATGTGTGCAGCAAAAGCGAATAATTATGAAGTTGTAGATTTTTTAATTAAGAATGGAGCTGATGTTACATGTACTGATATGAATGGTTTATCAGCGTATGATCTCACGAATTCAACAGCAATAAAAAATTTATTTCATGATATGGAAGACGAAGATACTAATGCAGAAGATTATAATGACTCTGAAGAGGCTAATGAAGTTTATTGCAGTGTTTGTGATGTAACTGTCAAAGATATTGATGAACATGACAAGAGTATACCTCACATAATGAATAAGCCGAAGCTGGCAACAGGAAGTTGCTATTATATTCCATGCACAAATAAAGGATATCAGCTTATGATGAAACAAGGATGGGACGGGGAGAAAGCTCTCGGGAGGGAAGCCGAGGGTACGAAGTATCCAGTGAAAACCATTTTAAAACGTGATAGAATTGGTCTTGGTGGTAATAAAAAGAAACAGATCCCAAGGGTATCTCATTTTGATCCTTTCGATACTACAGCTATAAAGCGACGATCCGAACTTTATATTAATAAATCACCAAGAATATTTAAAAAGAAGCATTTCAAAGAACAATTAAATAAAGAAAAAAAAATTGAGAGATTTTTTAGAAGAGAGTTTGATGCCTACTGATTTAATTTTAGCATATCTTATCTGTTTACAATTCGATCGTCAAAGACTGACATAACATTTGTTTTCTATCAGGGATAATGGATCAAGATTCAAAGTTTATTTTAGAACACTTAGAGAATGTTGAAGGTATTGCTGACGATATACTCTCTCAGAAGCAGGACATTATAGAGTTGGATAAAAGGAGAAATAAAACAAGGGAAGCTATAAGGTTGTTGTTCTAATTTTAGCTTTTAAACTTTACCATCGATTTTTTCGCTGTGTGATGATAGGTGTTTAATGAAAGCCGAATCATCGGCGAAATCTTGGGTTAATTTTGGTTCAAATTTTATAAAAATGGAGAATAAAAAAGCAAGAAATATGTTAGAAAATGGTGTGTATACTCTATATTCTATATAAACATGTTTAAATTATAGATTAAATCAGAATATCAATTTGCCAAGTCATTAATTGTCATTTAGTAATAATACAAAATATTTATCAATCTTGTATAATTAAAAACTGACATCAATAATGCGAGAATGTAATTTTTTTCAAATAATTAAGGAAGCGTCAGAGTTTACTGATGTCCCTATTTGTTTAACAATTATGGCGTATCGACTGATATCTAATGCACCGTTCTAAGTGGTTTTTTTTTAGTAATCACGTTTTAGACTTAAATTTAATAAAAGCGAAGTAATTATTTACCTCTGGTTTTTTTTTTGCAGATTTTGAAGTAATAGAAAAAGAAGTCTCGGAAAAGCGGCGACAATTAAAAGTAGGCGTAAATAAATTAAGAGACGCTGAAAATAAAGAACCTGTGAAAGGATTCAATTTAAAACCACTTTCCGAAGCAGAATTAAAAGAGTTACGAGCAGAATTCTGATGAAATTTATTGTTTTCAGTATAAATCTTTTAGAAAATACAAAGATTTTTATTTTAAACCTTTTCAAATATATATTGTATAATTATGACTATAAAAAAATCTAGTACTCCTATCCTAAGCCAAATATAAAAGTCAGACGATTGTCTTTTTGAAAACGTCTACAGCTTTGATCAAGTATTAATATATATAATTTATTATATAAAAACGTTTAATAATTCTGAGCCTAGACTAAAACTCAAAAAATGAATGTCTATATAAGCCAGATGTGCCTCATTTTAAATTCCATGTTAAAATTGATTGTTTAAACCCAGAATGTTTGCTGCTATTTATTTTTGTAGAAAGCTGAATATACACTCTCTAGTTTAAAAGAAAAATAATAATTTTTACATACAGATTACAGTTGGGCTATATATATATATATATATGTATATATATATGTATATACATATGTATAAAAGAGCCCCATAAATCCCAAGTCGCGGTGTGTATATTTACAAAAAAAAAATACCATAATTTAGGAATCCTTTTTTTTTTCTTCTTTTTTTTGCATAGAAAAATTTGGCGGAGATGTTGAAAGAGACTAGTAATTTTTTTTAACTGTAATACAAATAAGTTAACAAAACAACGACTAAAAACAAAAACTACATGTTTTGATAGACATTCCCGTGTATAACCAATTTTTCTTTGTTTTGTAATGAATGATTTAAAAAAAATAGTAAATGGAAATAAGATGAGAATTACTATCAAACATATGCGATCTTATAAATGTTTAAAATCCCTGTCGTTTTAAGAACGAACGTCAGTAGGAAACCATCTAAGGATCGAAAACTGGGAGGCTGGCGATACGTTTCTTTTCTTCCTCCTCTTCGTCCCTTGCCAGAAATAATGAATGACTAAATCCACAAGCGACTTTCTTGATATAAATGTTTTCCAGAGGTCTCGATTCGCTTGGAGTGGTACAAGACTTTGGCTCTCCAGATGCCAATTCGCCGAAAGTTGGACTTGGTCCCCAGCTGACTACGCTTTCGTCGGCAGCGACAACTATACTTTTATAGCTGCGACGAAATGAATATATATATATATATATATATATATATATATATAAATATATACGGTATACTAATATACTAATATATTCGTCATTCTCTTATAATTAAAATAATAAATAAATAATATTTACCAGCAACCAATGCTCCGTATGTTCCATCCACTTAGATCCTGAACAGGTTTAGGATACATTGTGGCTTCCCCCGTAGGCTTTTGCTGACCCCACATATAGAGCTGTGAGGCACATCCAACTGCAAGTGAAAATTGAGAACCACACTGAATTTGGGTTACCCCTTGATTTGGACCTTGAAATGCTTTGACGAGACGTGGAACGAGCTCATTTTTAGGTTCGGCATGGCCTAGTCGACCATAACCGCCAAAACCCCATGTATATAATCTTTTATTTGAATCGCATGCTAATGTATGATTTACACCACAGGCTATTTGTTCTATTTCAACATCCAAAACTGGTGTAACTGTACCGTCTCTTGATTTTTCGATAAATACAGCTACCTTTCTCGGCTTAAGTTCGCAGTTATAAGCTAGCTTGTTGCTGGTAATGAAGTATTTTCCATCCGTATTATGTCCTAACTGGCCATATTCTGGATGACCAAAGGAATATAAATTTCCTCTGATATCGACTGCCATAGAAAATTCACCACCGCAAGCTACTTTTTTTATTGGTGGACCTGAATGCGCCACCAGAGTTGGACTGGGTACATGATTACTCTGATGGCCCAGACCCAATTGTCCCATTTTATTATCCCCACACGAAAGCAATCTTCCTTTATCGGTTAAAAATATTGTGTGATTCTTTCCAACGGCTCCGTCAACGACATTCATAGTAAAAAGGCTTTCAACAGGCGATGGTTTATCTTTTCGTTCAGTATCTCCGTGACCTAATTGACCTTTTTCATTTCTTCCCCATGAGTAGACTTTTCCTTCAGTTGAAATTACAAAGAGGTGTGCGGCGGAACACCCAGCAACAACCATCCTTATTCTAATACCTTGTAAAGAAGCAATTCTATGTGGAGTGTATAAATTTTTCCCACCATTGTTTTTCACAGCATTTGGTACTCTATTTCTTCCTACCATATCCCAATTTGCGCAACCGCTAAAAAGCAATTCACCACTTTCGTCGGGTGCTTCCAATTTCTACAAAACGGATTAAAACTTAGTTATAAACATCAATGCACAGTCACGTGACAACAAAGGAGCAATTAGCCACTAGGTATAAAAATTGCCAGAAAATTATTTCACACGAATCGAAACTAGGAATACGATAGGCCTAGAGCGGCGCATCGTCGTAATAAGAAAAAATCTCTTACAAAGTCTGCGTAAAGCCCATCTTCTGTTATATCACTTTCTATTGGGGCAGCGTGAGAACCATTGGAGTTCTCCAGCTTCTTTCTACCTTTTTTGTGGGCAGGATCATTTTCAGTTTCGTTCTTTCGCTTTTTCGGCGGCATTCTGCTAAAACGCTTTTCTGATTAAAAGCTTATTTTTCTGCTTTTGTGTAAACAATGAATGACGCGCTAACGATCTCTTTCTCGCAGAGTCTCGTATTCTACTGATGTACGCCAGGAGTAATGTTCGAAGATGTAGCGTGGAACTCGAGCCAGGCGATTTTCGGAACGAATATTAGAACGACCATGATTGGTTACATTTTTATACTTCCTCCAATAAGCTCTTGCATAGCATGAAAAATAGATATTGCTGATACACCTTAAATCATATCTAGAGATTTGATTCGCTGTCATCTAAAAAGATTACCTAATCTATTCTGTTATCTGGAGTGTAAGTTAGTTAAACATTATCGCTAAATTAGTGTTATTTCTATCCTTATACCTCCTTATAGATTACCAAATGTAACATTTTATGCTTATATTAAACCCTAAACATTTTCTGTGCTGTCCCTAACACACACGCCCATCCCAGTGTATCATCGTAAATTTTAAAAATAAAAAAACTTAAATTTATAGTTAAAAGTGTTTCTCTTTGCACTTAGTTTTAAGTGTTGATTTTTTTTTAAAAGAGTTGTTGTCACAGCAAATATTAACAGCGCCTGATCGATTTTATTGTTAATTCGTCTATCGTATCGTCATAACATTCGTGTACTTTAAGAGACTACTCATTTTATACAGAATAAGGCAATATCATAATGCAAGAGCAACAAAATCCATCCTATACCACTGAAGGACAGCAACAGTCTCAGCCTCCGCCATACGGTACGTTTTTAATAAATTTTCTGTTCTTTTATTCGGAATGCTTTTAGAGTATTTGAATAATTAAATAGAATTGAAAGCGCTCTCTAAACGGTCGTCATTGCTTGTTAAAATGACGGAGAGAACGCTTGATATTGAGGATAATATTGAATTGCCTCATAATTCTAACAATTCAACAGGCATCCAACAGCAACCCCAGCAATACGGCCAACCTCAGCAGTACGGTCAACCACAGGGCCAGCCACCAAATCAACCTCAGTATGGGGTAGGTCAACCCCAGTATGGTCAGCCTCAATACGGACAACCTCAATACGGACAACCAGGACCTCAGGGATACGCAGGGGGTCCACCTCCTCAACAAATGCAGCCCTACGCTGGAGGGCCAGGACAACCTCAACAAGCAACTTGGATGACTAAGCCAGTGTTTAGTGGCTGTCCACCAGGCTTGGAATATCTAACTCAAATAGATCAGATCCTAGTCCATCAGCAAATTGAGTTATTGGAAGTTGTCACCAGTTTCGAAACCCAGAATAGATATGTTATCAAGAATTCCATGGGCCAACAAGTGTACTTTGCTTCTGAAGAGTCTGATGTTTGCATGAGACAATGTTGTGGTCCGCAAAGAGGCTTTGCAATGCATATTTCTGATAATGCTGGACAAGAAGTTATCCGCGTACAAAGGCCTTTTAAATGCTGTGCAGGAACAGCTTGTTGCGCTTGTTGCGATCCCTGTGCACAGGAATGCGAAATTCAAGCACCGCCTGGCCAAACAATCGGCTATGTGAAACAGTCGTGGAGTTGTTTGGCGCCAAAATTTGAAGTTTTGAACGAAAATCAGGAAACGATATTTACCCTTAGTGGGCCGATATGCTTTTGTCAAGGTAACGTTAAATTGATTCTTATTTTTAAAGTGTATTTAAATACTGTGTTTTCTTAACCTATTCATGTAGGACCTTGTTGTATGTGGGATATCGAATTTATTTTGGCCTCACCTGATGGAGCAGAACAAGGTAAAATTTCAAAACAATGGAGTGGATTAGTAAAAGAATACTTTACAAACGCGGATAACTTTGGCATTAATTGTAAGTGCTACAATTTTAAAGTAAACAATGTCTATATATGATTTTTTATTTTTGAAAACAATAGTTCCAATGGATTTAGATGTTAAAATGAAAGCAGTTCTCTTAGGATCCGTTTTCCTAATTGACTTTATGTTCTTCGAACAACAACAACAAAACAAGCAGTAACTTTGGTGACTTGAAAATTTATTTTGGATATTTATCATTTATGTTTTTCCTTCTTTTTTCCATTCTTTTTTTTAACTTTTAACTAATACTTATCAATCTCTTTTATGCAAACTTTACAAATGTTTTGATGAGATCTGTATTTTTTTTTTCTTATATCTTTTTTAAATATGTATTATCAGCCTTACAGATTAAGAAGGGGCTTTACTGCATGTATTCTATATGACGAAGAGGGATTATTAATAAGAAGTGAATTTCTCACATTTTTTTTTTCTGTGCTGAAATCTCACTAAAAGAAAAACTTTCAACGCGCCATTTCATATATATATATATATATATCGATTTCTTCTAAGTTAAAATAAAAAATTGAGTAAAAACAATACAATTTAAATAATATCAAAAACTTATTATCTAATTGTACATTATATACAATTTTCTATTATACTATTTATTTTAAGTTTAATAAAATAAAAATATTTGGATAATTCAATTTTTTCAAGTTTTATTCTCTCTTATTATTTTTTTACAGATGACCTTCTTTCGTAATTTTGTTTGAGTTTCCATATTATTTATTTTATTATGTTGATTATCCCTACTTAAATTACTCTTTGTCCAACGATCACGAGCTGATGACTCAGTGGCTGTCTTACCATTCATATTTTCCTTTAATGTATCTATTCTATTGATATCACTATTCAATTTTGGCAGCGAAGTGTTTGCTAAATGTTTCAAAGGATTAAAATTGGATCTATTCTCTGAAATTGAACCCAAGTGACTGGTTACTGCGTCAAGAATAGATGACTTCTTATCATTTTGTATCGTATCTTTATCTTGGTGAAATGAGTGAGGACTATTGATCAAAGTAATTTTTGTCGTCGGGGCCTTTCTCGCAACAGATCTTAAATCTGACTCTTCTTTGATCCCTCTAAGACTATCGCATAATTTTTGGCACATTTCCACAGCGTCCTGATCAATATCGGTCTTGGCAGAATTAAAAGACATAGTCGCTAGCTCAGTGTCATATCTATCATGATTGTTATGATAATCCAGTGTTGAATTGAATGGTGGATTCATATCACCAATAGCCGTCGACGTTGAAAATCTTCGTGATACAAATTGATTTTGGCCTTTTAGCATAAAATTTCTCCTAAACTTTTTGGGTTGCCTTTCGATCATTTGATTTCCAATATTGTTTGGCTCGTGTCTGTAAACTGGGATTCTATTTGCTTTAGAAAAGGTGGATTGTTCGTGTTGCTTAGTTGCAAGGTTTACATAATTTTTTAACGCTAATTCTGGCGAAGAAGCTATTGTTTTAAATTGACCGGGACAAGGAGAGAAATCTTGAATTGTATTCCCCGTTTTAATCTTATTAAATCGATTATTCCTATTATTATCGTATTCCCATATATGGGTAGGCTTGGGTAAATTATTAAATGAACCATCTTGGTCATTGTTAGGCATTTGCTTGACTTGTTTTAATAATTCATTATCTTTGTATTCAAATTGATTTCCCTGAGAGTTGGGTTGCTCATAGTACCGTAAATATTTGCAATATTCTTCTCCTACGACATTCGTATTAAAAGGATGGATTAACAACATAATTAAAGGGGAAACGGAATAAAAGAGTAGACAGACCTTCTTGAAAAGCTTCCTCAATAATTTTTGCCCTATATCTGTAAAATGTTCTGACAATAATCCATAAAATAAATAGAGAAAAAACAAAAAGACAGATGAATAATAACGAAAAACCCCAACCCCATACTTCTGTAAATGTTAAAGAAAGATCATTTTAATGCTATTATAATAGGCTAATTGATTGTTTGTCATTTTTTTTTGCTATTAATAATAATTATTATCCTATCCTTAACCTCTTTCGCAAAACGTTCCCTTAAAATATTTAGTACATTTACAAACGTTTTTATCGTTTTCAATGACGCAAACACCTTCATTGCGACAAATGTTAGGCGCTAAATGGCAAATTGTTGAACGTGTATTTATAGAGACAGTTTGTATAGCTGAAAAGAAGAAAAAAGAAATAGGTCTATTGAATATGCATGAGGTGATTTAATAAGTTTGAAAAGAAATAGAAAGTGGGCCGTAACTTACAAGAATCCGCTGTATCGATGATGCCATTACGCCTAATAATAATACAATGGTATAGGCCTTCATCAGATTTTGCAACTTTGAATACAGTTAAATTCAAACCAATCAGCTTATACTTATTGCTGTTAATATCATTAAATTATTGAAATATCTCTATAATAAAACAATTAATAAATTTTAATTATTCACTAACCGATATTCGTATGATGTAGACTTTATCAATCTTCTTGTAGGCGTAATCCAAGAGAGTTGTCGGTCATCTGACTTTCTTATTTGTTTACAAGATAATGTTACGTTATTACCTATTCTAGTTGATATTAGCGTTTGAATATTGTCTAATGAAAGCGTTTTTTGTTGTATTATTTAGTTAGATACGTAATAGTTTTTTGTTTTATTTTACTTTGATAACAAGCCGGTTCGACGCACAATTTCGTTTGAGATTCTTCTCCTTCGCAATGGATTTTATTTGTTTCCCTATTTGAATTTCTATTTGAACATTTCCTATAACGTTTTCGTTCACCAGCTCCACATTTTACGTTACAAGACATCCATTCTAACCAATAACTCCATTCTCCAGTTAGCAAATGTCTCCTAAGATTTACTGATCTACCTATCCTCTTTGAAAAAACAATTTTTGGTATTTCAATTTCAGTTGGTAACGAAGGATCATCTCCAATATTAGGAATGCTATTAAACTCCAAATTTGCTCTTTGGATATCAATCTTGTTATGTTTAAATAAGACAAAAAGAGAAGCAACAAAACCGCCACCTCCTCCAATCGATAATCTATATTTTCCATAAAATATAATATTACCAATTTTCTTTTTGCATTTACGTTGCAGATATCTGAGATTTTGAGTTTCTCGACTGCAATTTGGGCCAAAATTAAAGTTCAAACTGCTTCCATAGAAAATTCGAATTTCTGACGCTGTATTATTACCAGTCACGATTATTCGACAACCGGAACGATTGGCGAATTTTGATGTATAAACCTCTTTTAAATAGCCCCAGGGTGTTACCAACACAACCGTGATTGACTTATTTGCCCATAAAATAGTTATAGTATGATGATAATTAGAATCAATGGAGTGACTAGTTGCTAATGAATCGTTACTATTTAAAGGAAAAAGTAAGATTGGTTTTAAGTATGATCCTATCTTATCTCTTTTCTCTTTAGTATCCATTTTTATCATTTTACTTTTAAGAGAATTAATCAGTAGTTTGATAGGCTTAAATCTCTTTTTATCTGCCAATTGCAACAGTCTCCATTCGGAATCTATAGATTTTATGATAGAAGATAGATTCTTTTGATCAAAGTTTTGTCCCTTTAGCCTGTTGCTGGCATTTAATTTTGAAATGACATTTAAGAGAGTCTCTTCAATTCTTCCAATATCATAGGATTCTCTAGTAGTTCGTTCATTCTTATAATATGATGGGAAAAGCGAACGAATCCAAGTGAAAAAGGATTTTGTCCATCTTGCTAAGTAAGACATTTTTAACGGTGTCTTCTCTATGGCGGATGATGAATTGCAAATCCGATTTCTAGTTTGTTTACAATCACTCAAGTTCCCATTCATCACAATATTTGGACGAAATGATGATAGTTTAACAGTTCTGTTAATTTTCGCTTCAATCGTTCTTTCTACAACCTTAACATCTTTAACATTTCTAACCGATAATGTTCGATTAGCCTTATCTTTTGGTTTTTCTAAAAGGTGCGAGATTTTATCATTTTTCTCTAATCTACTGATGATCTTTCTTCTCTTCTCCATCCAATCTAATGCAATTCTATCTGTTCGTCGACTCTTTGTCTCTAATTGGGAAATTTTCAGGGGAAAATTACTGATTCTACTCAGCTGGGAAAGCAAATTTTCCAATTGACTTTTAATTGTTTCCAAAGAAACATAGTTAATTAAAAATCTTTTTGTTTCTAATCCATAAAAATATTTATCGACCGGAAGTAATTTAAATATTTTATAAAATTCATTATGTAATTCCAGAAGGTCGTCTAAAATTGTTGTTTTCGCATAGAAAACATAAAATACTCTTAATGTATCCTCGAATTTGAACAATAACGTAGAAATATCCTTTATCTCTTTAACAGGTTTCCATAACTGCTTTTCAGAAATCAAAAATCTATTTATATCCTTATTCTCTCTAAACTTAGTGCAAATTTCTATTAATAACTCGGTGAAGTTAAGCATTTGGTCGGATAGATTCGTTTTAGATTGTTCAGTCGTTAAAAAGCTTAGATAGTCATGACAGACTGAACCTATTAGATCTAGTTTTAAACGTATTTTGTGGAGAAGATTGAGACTCGATGAGTTAAAGTATTGACGTTTAAAAAGCTTTAGTTCTTTGTTTATAGATGAATTCTTTATATGCGACATATTTGATAGGTTGTCTGCATAATCATTCAACCATTCTGAAGCGTTTGCTTCGTTTACCGGATAACTGAGGCGTGCGAACGATGTGCTTGAGTTTGCATGATCCTGCTTATAAATAGGGCAAATATAAGTTTGGGTCAGTTAGTTTGCACTCTTTTCAAGATAATAATACTAAAAATAATAACATTTTTGCGGTGCAGATGTTCTACTGTAGCTTGAACATCTGTCTTGCACGGAGTAACGTAGCAATCAATGTGAACTTCTATAAAAATTAAAGTCTTATTGGTATCTGTATTTATTTTAATGCTATATCTTACGGCGTAAGATTTCAGAATATCTTCTTTGCCTAATGTTATTGTTCAGTCCTCTTTGAAGTTTTGAAGTACTCTCCGCCGGACGTAATAGAACGGTCCATTTTCCTGAATTAGCAATAACCTAATGATTCACAAATTGAGTTGCAATTTATTGGAAACTTGCCGTCTTTAATTTTCTGCTTTAAACCAGTTGTTTGTTGAACAAACACATATAAACTTAGAAAAAAGACATGGATTTGCATTTTAAATGACAATAAATTTTTTCGAATTTTTAAACCAGAAATTTATTATTTGGTAAATTCTCGGAAAAAAAGATATTCAACAATTTTTGTATTCGATATCAAAACAATTCTCAAAAATACGATAACAAGATATATCGTAAGGGCAAACAAATTTGTCCGTCAAACTGACCATGTATCACAGACACTGGGAAAATTGTTTGTCTCAACAAAGTCTCAAAGGAGTAAAACGTTAAATAAATCGTCAATTTGAACACAAATGTTGTGTAGAAGCGATGGAGAAAGCAGGGATCAGCAGAGAATTATGTTTACCGATGAAGAGATTCAATTTCTCCAACATTCCTTCTATCAGGGTCACCCGTGCATATAAACCCTAAAAGATTCTTATCCACTTTTTGCATTCTCTTTCTTCCTCTTTTAACCTTCTTACTAGCTTCATCAGAACTTTGCTATAAGACAACAATGAACAATAAAAAAAAAAGTTATAAAAAAGTTAAGCTATTACTTGAGACACATTTAATTGACTGGCAGCACTAGTATGATAAGAATCACCTAAGCCTGCTGATGATCTGCGTGCCACGTATTCTCTACAGAAACGCTCAACAGCATCAGTGGGGCCAAAATGACTTGTGCATATTTCGCGGACATCTTCTAAAGTCTGCAATTCCTTTAACAGTGATATAAAGGTGCGAGCTACGAACAAAAAGCATTCGTTAAATTCGTCGGTTAGTTTGTGAAAGGGGACACTGGTATTCTAATTTCTAATTAAGATGGTCGAAGGTTGTCCGAGCAACGTCTTTAAATACCAGTGCCCCAGATCTATCCTTTGCAGCAAGCCGATACTTACTGTCTACCGAGGAATCGATGCTCGTTAAAGCCTGCTCGCACCACCCGTTAAAATCTACATTCTCTTTCATTACTGGCTCAAAAATTCTGTCAATATTAGCCATTTTATCCATTCTTGACATTTGTTGCATCGGTTCAAAAACAGGAGTGTTTGGAGCTTTGGCCCAGGCACCTGTCCTGGCCCATTGAGTTGATGTACCCCACACGGCATTCTGCGGAACTGATACTGGAGGTACTTGACTTGGTAATGTTTTTGAGGCTAGCTCATTCTCTTGCTCTTGTTGTATTTGAAGAAATTTCTGAGGTTGTGCATTAGAAGGAGCACTCCATGTTTTTGCGCTTTGATTTGCAGAAGCCTCTAATTGGCGATAATTCTCGGCAATTTGCTGAGCCTCCATTTGTTGAGCTTCCAATTGTTGTATTTGAGATAAAGGCATTGGACCATTTGACGTTGTTGGTTGGGTAACTCCCCATGTTGCATTTGCTGGCAAGTGATGTCTTCGTCTAGCTTCGGCTTGTTGTCTTTCTTGTCTTTTTCTTATTTCTTCGTTTCTTTGGATTTCTAATTCAATTTCTCTTTGTCTTTTCTGTTCTTCTAATTGTTGTCGTCGTCTTAATTCTTCTGTTTCAATCATTCGCTGTTTTAAATCTTGCTCTTCACGTAGTTTTTCTATTCGTCTTCTCTCACCTTCTTCTCTCTATCAAAGTTATAAAAAAAATTGTTTACTACTTAGGAGCTACTTTTTATTAAGTGAATATATACCCTTAGATCTTCCAATAAACGAGACGCTTCTTTACGTTTTCTCATTTCTTCTTCCTCTCTCTAGTAGAAGATATAATTTATTGATTGCTTAACAGGCTAAAAAATGAGTATTACCCGATAATGCTCCATTAAGACATCTTTTTGTTGCTTCATCATCTCTTCTGCTTCCCTAATCTCTCTAATCGTGGCCTCTTGCCGCTTTCTTTCAACTTCTTGTTCCTAAAAATAATAAGTTTCAATTTGGAGCCTAAGCAAAAAAGAGGAAAAAATTGTCCTTACCATGCGCTGTCTTTGGTATTCTTTTTGGAAAAGAGCTTGTATGGGATCTCTAGTTTCCATTTCTGGCTCCCAAATACCTGGTTGTCGCATTGGACCATCAGCAGTCCAGGATCTCATGGTGGATGGAATGGGTCCTGAAGCATGAATAATTGAAGGATCGGAAACAGTTGAAATTTGTTGCTGAGCGGCGAGTTGCTGTTGTTTTTGAACTGTTTGAGCAGCAACGTGTTGCAAATCAACAGCAGACATAGACTTGTAATTTTCCTGCTGAGCAAGATTGAACATTACTTGACATATTTGAGCCTTTTGATGAATTTGTTGTTGATGCAGTAAGTATAATTTATATTGCTCTGTTGGATACGATCCCATTTGATCGGGTGTTGGTGGAGGGCGAGCTGTGTCTTGTGGTCCGAAAGGAACGTATGTGTTCATAGCCTTCATAACTTGTCCCAAAGTGCGAAACGCACCGAGACGACCCTTACGTAACTGAAGGTCCATGGTAAAGTAACCTGCTAAATACCATTCCCACATCTCGTTGTCATTAAATGGTCCCTGAATTTTTCCTTGAGGATCACGATAAAACCACTTATCAGCATCCACATCTACTTCTTCTTTTTCATCTACATTTAAACTAGCAATCAAGTTTTCAGCTGCTCTCGCATGATCTTCCAATATGTCCTCAGTTTTTACTTGAGCAGTTTCTACCGCTGGTTGAATTTCGCTATGTTCAACCAACGGTGCTTTGGCACTTTGGTTTACATTATCTACAGTTCTATGTGCAGTATGTACAGTAGTAACAGGTGGTAGCTGTGAAGGTCTGACTTCAGGCTGTTTAGAGAAGTGTTTTATTGTAGATACAACACTGTTACAGATTAATATGTATAAAATCCTACCGAGCTACTTTGAGCACCATTATTATTCTGTAATTCAAGTTTCTTAGTGTCATCAGTATTAGCATTAGAATTATCTGTGGATTTCTTTTGAGCATCTACTGAAGAATTTTTCGATTCTACATTCTCTTCTTTGGGTTTATCTACATTATTTAACTCCTAAAAAAGATATAAAATTTTTAAAATATTAAAAATTAGTTACTGTGTAATAATTACTTTAACTGATCTGAAGGCACCACTGGCATCGAAAGTTCCTTGTCCATCAGATCCATCGGCATCATCGTTCATCCATTCTGGTGTTTCTTCCTCGTCATATCTTCCTTCGGGTCTGCTACGAGATCGCTGGTAACCATCATGCTCTGAGTTTCGTGAACGCGATTCTCTTGGTTCTCGCCAGGCTCTTGAACTGGAATTCCATCTACCACCTTTACGCCAATCGTCATTGTCATTTGTATCATCTTTTCTCCTCCAATCGCTTGCTTCACTTGACATGGAACGATATAAACTTTTGCTTGGAGAACCACTTCCACTGCTACCACCACCACTACCGCCACCACCCGCAGCTGGACTTGTGCCTGTCTCTTCGTATCCTCTTCCAGGAAAGGGGCGTTCATTTCTGCTTTCAGCTGTAAATGATAAGATTCAATGTAAATGAATGTTTTATTAGGCTTTGTAATAATTGAAAAGTACCTCTCTCTCCTTCACTCTCCCAGTCTCCTCGTCTTGGTCTCGGAAAACCAGGAATATTGTCATCATCTCGATTATATGAACTATCACCTCGGCCTCTGCCTCTCCCTCGACCCCTTTCAGCTCCTCTACCTCGGCTAGGAGGCGCTGTCGGTCGACCCATCAGTCTCAAAGCCAAATTACTGTTTACTGATGGCGACATTAAACGCTGTTAACAAAAAAAAGAATTAGTAAGAAAATCAATGACATTTAACTGTCTGACACGTACTTGTTCCTCTTCCGTAATACTAATATAGTTGAGCGGCTCCTGAGGCTGCTCTTTAAGAATGGATGAAAACTCGCTTAAATCTTCTGGAAGTTCATTCGACGATATACTACACGCATATAAATCGAGCATCTCTTCTTTGCCATAACGACGATCAACACGCTTGTATTGAACTGGAAATGCTGGAGGTGACGTTGACCTTACAGGAGGCCCTCCCCCAGTATTAGTTGTCGTATTTGGACAATCCGTCATCTTTCTCATCCTGTTCGTTAGAATATGAACAATTAACAAATACACGACGAAGGATTTGTGCACATTACCATTCAGGACCAAACTTTTGCGTAGTCTTGCTATTATCGGACATTTCTGTAACTATGATTTTCTGAAAAAATTGAAAATTATTAAAAAACTGAATATATATCTATAGTTGTTTTATATGACTTAAAACAAAAACTAAGGACACATACGCAAACATTTGCAACATACGCATGGACACATTAATCGGCAATCGAGGGTTTTTAAGTGCAAAAGTTCAAGGAGCAATCACGTCATTCATTAGATAAAACGAAAGAACGTTACAAAAACTAGTCTATTAAGTGTTCAACTTACATGAAATATGTTTAATAAACGAATTTAGTTCGATTTTTTTGAGAATTCTGGAAAAATGCACACGCGAAAATGGCCGCAATATGTATTTGGGTCACGTGATGTAGCTGCCATACGCTGATTGGTTAAAATTGGCCAACGATCAGCAGCTATCAGTAGTCCCACAGCAAATGAAATGTTTTTCTGTAATTATTTAGAATTATCATAAAACTCTAGTAGATCGTAATTTTCCGATCCCTTACAATGTAAATATAATGTTTTAAGTTCTTGCAATTAAGCACTGACAAGGTCACGTGATTGAGAAATTATCTTTCAAGCATATTATTGAACTCGTATTTTCTCCTTTACAATACGCACTTTGAAAGTTCCCTTAACTTTTTATATTCTCCCTTTGGGAAAATTTTGAAAAAGTTTTATTTATACTCTTTTAACATTTCATGCTTAGGTATTTATGGACATTGCCTTCCAAATGAAATCTGAAAAGATTTCGATCGAATTTTCCACACGAGATTTTTAAAGTACGAAAGAAATTTGTATATTTAAAAATCCAGGAGACAAAGCTGTTGATTTTACCATATATCTCAACAAAGTAATATATAAAGTAAATTATTTATTTATTTAATTAATTTTAGTTCAGTGTCAATGAAGTAAAACAATTTTGAGCGATATTAAGCCTAATTTCTAGCATTCCACAAACACATGTTGTGTCGAAATAAATTTGTTCATTTCAACAAATAGGTCAATTTAAGCAAAGGGTATGGAACGCGGAGATATTCCTGCCAAAAAGAAAAAAATGTCAGAGGAAGTAAGTTATTTGATCCTAATAAAATTAATACTTCTAAAGTTTTATGACAGATTATCACTCTGATTATAGCTTTCTAAAGTTACAACTATAAATGAATGTATTTTGTATTTAATAGAATAATCAAGATAACCTCAATGAGGATCGTCTACTTTTGTGTGTTTTCAAAAATGAAGAAGGTGAAGAGCACCGAGGACTCCTAGTTTACTATCACTTTACTTCAAAAGACTTGGATGATCTCTTACAACAAGCAACATCATCTGTAAGAAATACTAACTCTTAAAAATTTTATCCTTAAAACAATCAAATTTTTTTTTAGGATGAAAGTTTGCAGTGCAAATATTTCATTAAAGATGTAGAAATTAATGGAACATTATCCGAAACCTTAAATCAACTAGAACTAGCAGGAACGTCTAGCGAAGTAGAAATATATTATGTACCACAAGCAATATTCAAAGTTCGAGCAGTGACGCGTTGCACAAGTACCATTGAAGGTCACGCAGAGGCTATTCTTTCAGTTCAGTTTAACCCTAATGGAAGGTGAATAATCCATTGAGATTGTAACACTTAAATTGAAATATCGAGTAACTAAAGTCTTTTAGATATTTAGCCAGTGGCTCAGGAGATACAACAGTTAGATTTTGGGACATCTATACAGAAAGTCCTCAATATACGTGTAAAGGACATAAGCATTGGGTTTTAGCAATCGCATGGTCTCCCGATGGAAAAACTCTAGCATCGGGTTGTAAAAATGGATTGGTAATATCTTAATTTAATTAATTTTCTCTTTATTTGTAACTAAGATTGTTGGTTATAGATTATGCTATGGAATCCTGCAAATGGGTCTCAAAAAGGTAGTCCGCTAAAAAGTCATTCCAAATGGATAACATCTTTAGCTTGGAAGCCAATGCATTTGTGAGTCATAAACATCTTTAATTAGTGCTTCAATTAAAATTATTTTTGCTTATAAGAGATGGGAAATGTAGATTACTAGCCAGTGCTTCAAAAGACGGTAGCATAAAAATATGGGATACCGTTCTGAGCAGATGTATGATGTCGCTAACAAGTCACACTCAAAGCGTAACCTGTGTCCGATGGGGAGGTACGAATTTAATTTACTCTGGTTCGCAAGACCGAACTATAAAGGTTTGGAGAGCGTCAGATGGAGTACTTTGTAGGACACTTCAAGGTTAGTGCGAATAGACTAATAAACTAAGATAGCTAATACGGTTGTGTAATATTTTACATGGTATATTTTCATGTCATTTCTCTTTATAGGACACGGACATTGGGTGAATTCGATGGGTTTGAGTTGCGATTATGTTTTAAGAACTTCTTGCTTTGATCCCGCGAAAGCTAACATTGTACACGAAACAATCGATCTAGGTATAGTAAATTTTTTTGTGGCGTGATTTTTTAACAAAGGAAATAATATTTTTTAGGTGAAGAAGCTCAACAGAAACTAGCTTTAGAAAGATATCAAAAGGTTGTCGGTAGTCAACCAGAGCGTTTAGTAACTGCTTCGGATGATTTAACAATGTTTCTCTGGACTCCGGAGAGTTCTTCGAAATCTGTCGCCAGACTGACTGGTCATATGCAGGTTGTTAACCATGTTGCATTTTCTCCTAGTACTCTTTATATAGCCAGTGCTTCCTATGATAAATCTATAAAATTGTGGAACGGTAGGACAGGAGCTTTTATTACAACTTTTCTGGGGCATGTGCAAAGAGTTTATCAGGTTCTTAAACTTTCATTTCACTCAATTTACATTCTTTCATAAATTTAATTGTTAAAGGTGAGCTGGTCGGCCGATAGTAGATTATTATGTTCGTCAAGTGCCGACTCTACACTCAAGATATGGAATGTAGAAAGGAAGAAGTTGTTATTAGACCTTGGAGGTCATGCCGACGAAGTTTACGCACTTGATTGGAGTCCGGATAGTCAAAGGGTGGCTAGTGGTGGTAAAGATAAAGTACTAAAATTGTAAGTAGTAAAATTGTGTATAAATCATACTATTGATTATTTACTTTCTATGTTTTCCAGATGGCGCCAATAAAATTCTCTTTTAGGCAATTATGCATTATTTTTGTATTATAAAATATTATTTTGTTAAAGAAAGTAAAACACTATTTTTGATTCGAAATAAAAATACGATAAAATATTACTTAGAAACTTCATGTTTGTAAAGACCGCTCTAATACTTTTTACTGAAATATCATTTCAATTAGTTATATTCTAATTGAAAACAATATATTATGTACATTAGATAACACATATGCAGAATATAGCATATATGCTATTAAAGCAAATGCTATAAATATAAGTAATAAAATAAAGTATACAAATTGAATGAGAAGATCAAAAGAAGTTACCTAATGGATGATTTACATTACCACATATTTTATATACAATTTACGTTGTTGCTATAAATTATAACTCAGTTTTTTTATGATTTACTCGGGTATTAATAATCGAAAGTGACAATTATTATTGAAAGTTTAGGGATTAC